AGTACCACTTCCGGTCAGCTAATTTTGACAAAACATTTGCTGCAACATCTCAGCCATATAAAAATCTTAATTATGAAATTTCAGTTGTTGTCACATCTAAGGCATATTAATTAGTGTGAATAATATACCTATCTTAAATACGTAATATCAATTTCGCACGACTTTTGAGCTAGACTGATAACATAAACACAGACACACGGACACACAGAACATTTGGTGGAACTCGTTACTCAGAGAACCTCAAAACACGTATTTCCGTTGAAAATGAGATTCGAAAATTTTCACGATTGTAGTACTTTCCCTTACTATATATTACATATATAGGTAACTGAAACTAAAACGAAGGAAATAAAAGGTAAATATAAATTGCGGTTAGGAAGCGACTATGATGGACAGCCTGTGAAAGGATTTTCTAATGATGTCGATTAAGGTTAAAGAAATAGATTGAATTAATTTGAATATGTCCCTACTGGTTTTATTTTTACTTTCACTTACGTATATATGTAATATATAGTAAGGGTAAGTACTGCGATCGTGAACATTTTTGAATCTTAGTTTTCAACTGAAATATACGTTTTGGCGTACCCGGAGTCCAAATAACCAAATCTCGAAAAATGGACTGTGTGGATTTCCCTATTGTTATTCAATGATACGTTTATAACATTAAATATATTTACTATAGTTTAATAACTCTAGATCTGATATTATATTTAAATATTTAGGTATCTATCGTCCGTCTATTCCGAAAAATCATCATGTAACCTTTTAGAAAATTAAATTAGTGAATAGTTTGATAATATTTCCTTTTGTGGTATTCCAACAGCACTATCGGATCCAGGATTTAATTTTGGAGGGGGCTTCAGCCCGAGATTTTTTTTTTCATAAAAATAACGATAATTACTATGGAAAAAAAGAAAGAAACTAGCTACCTATATGAAACGGTATTTAAGTGATTTATAAAGCCCTTTTAAATGTAATTACACGAACAATAATACTTTAAGAGATAATTTTTTAATATTTCTTTCCATAAAACATGGTTATATTTTACTATTTTGGCGGGGCTTCAGCCCCAAAGACCCTCCCTCTCTCCCCCCCCCCTCGTAGATCCGCCCGTGTCCAACAGTATCCACTTACAATTAGTGTGACGACTTTTGACCTGTCTATTATAGACAATGCAAATCTCTTAATTCCTTTTTAGTACACTTTACAATGGAAAATAACAGTTTAATAACTAATAGTCGTACAATCCATAATCAACGGATAGTTCAATCCATAATCAACCGATGATATAATAAATAAAACTTTTGTTATTTTAATGGTGTTTATGACTTTTTAGCTGTAATTTTTTAGCTTTAGCTCAGTTATAAATGCAATTAAAAAATTTTATAATAGCCCAACATGGCCAGAAAATAATTTCTATTCAAAGTTGAGCGGTAAGTGAAAGTTGTGTGTTGCGCACGAAAAATTTTTATAAATATTAATGGTAATTTTTGATGTTATTTTATTAATTTTTTGAAATTATAATTTTAAATTTACGTCACAAATTATATTAATATCGACCATAAACCTTTTATTTTTGACAAAAATGTGATTTCCGATCGAAAAGTTCTATCATCGTGTCCTAGATGTGAGGCGAGAGGACCCGACTCGTTTTGAACTACACGTCTGCACAGGATTTCCCTATTGCTATTTAATGGTGGTTTAACTGTTCACGATTAAGTCACTTACAAGTGGAGGCTACGGACATTTAAGCCCTGTAAAGTGACATCAATGGGAATAATACTTCAATGATATTAAAGGCCACTTAATTATACAACAATTCACTGAGTATAATCAAAATCATTAGAGCCGTTTTTGAGAAAATTGTAAAAATTCAGCATTAATATAAAGTGGCACTAGCCGGTTAGCCGATTTTAAGGAAAACGTTGCCACGACATCTAAGGCATATATCTATCTTAAATACGTAATATCAGTTTCTTACGACTTTTCGTTTTTGAGCTAGACTATTAACATACACACAGACCATTTTTTGGGACTTGATTTTTGTGAGGTTTGGTTTTCTGTAGTCTCAATTTACTAATTTTCTCTCGATTCCTGTAGTCGGTTTTTTTCTTTTAACTGAGTAAACTGTTTTTTCGTATGCATTAAAATACCTCAAAAACAAAAAATCGGACCTGTATACTGTAAGTGAGGGAATTGTTCAGCATTTCATCCTCTCTGTAATGGGCTCTTATTCAAAATTTTATCTTAACACGATGCAGTGTTTAAGAGACGAATAGGAAAAATATAGTGTCTGTCGAAAAGGAAATGATAACAAATTTTATTGAAGATAGGATTAAAATATCTCAGAAATTAAAAATCGTAACTGCATATTATGAACGAGGGAAGTGTTCAGCATTTCATTCTCTTCATAATGAGCTATTATTTACAATTTATATTCCATATTATTCTTATGGGAGCTTCAGCCCGAAAGCCACCCACCCCGTCCGTAGATCCGCCCGTGTCCTAGACCTTATCCCTGAAAAGTACTCCAAATTCCATCTAAAGCTTACCTATCAGCCAAATCCACCTGCACAATCCCTATCTAGCTTTATCGATTCATACAACCCTCGAAGGTTGAAGCGATAGTGGCCTAGAATTTTTGTAATGGCCAGATTCTCGACTGAAGCATGTATGTCTGGTTATAGTGCCTCTACTTAGCTTCCCCTGGTCTTTGATGCCAGTGATGTCGCTCAGTGAGAGGCGCTAGGATCTCCTAGAGTCCTGCCTTTCCTTCCACGAGTGGTGGAAAAGGCTTGGCCTGGAGAACTTAATTGAATGATTTTTTTTTTAAATATTGTATAAAAGCATGTGTGTATTTAAGTTGAGGCTCCACTAAACCATCGAATTCTTCTCGTATCCAATCCAAAATTCATCGTAAAATCCTCAACGATCCTTACTTTTTCACAAATAAAATCATCCATAAAGACATTAATGTTCCATATGTTTCCGACATGGCCCAATCCAGATACCTATCCTTCCATAACTAACTGCAGAACCATCCGAATCCTCTCGTTTCAAACCTTGCTTCCTCCTCGATCCCTGATAACCCTCCGAGGAGTCTGAAAAGAAGATGGCCTCGGGACCTTCTAATATAGAACTTTAATTTGAGTTCTACCAATGGGTAGTTTCTCTTCATGTTGTACATGTCATGTTACCAATGTCACATTTACTTGCTGTATTTTCCATGTAATACAGTTGTAAATTTCATTGAAATAAAAAAAACTATCTAAGTAGTTATTTTGATTTGTTTAGTTTAGTTTAAATACATTTACTTTTAGTACTATTATTTTTCTATATCTTGGGCACCTTATCTCAATTAAAGGACAAAATGAAGAAATAATCAGGCGATGTACCCAGGGATGGCGCGCACTCTTCAAATTTAAGGATATATATAGATCCTCGGTGAGCTCAGAGGTCAAGAGAAAACTTTGGGTGAGCACAGTACTTCCTGTCATGACATATGGTTGTGAAACATGGGTAATTGACCAGAAGTCTTGCCACAAATTGAGGATAACCGTCAGAGGAATGGAGCGATATCTTCTGGGGATAACTCGAAGGGAAAGAAAAACAAACAGATGGATCAGAGCTAAGACTGACCTTCCAGATATTGTGGAAAAAGTGCTCATCAGGAAGTGGACCTGGACCGGACATGTAATCAGGAAGAATGAATTAACATGGACCAGGCAGTTTATGGATTGGTATCCAAGAGAGCACGTCAGGAAGAGAGGACGCCCGCCGACAGACTGGAGCAAGGAGATGAAGAAGACCTGCGGGGGAGCAGCCTGGAAGAGAGTAGCATTGGAGAGAAAAGAATGGAAAAGGATGGGACAGGTTCATTACCTAGTGTGGTTACAAGAAAGTTAAGTAAAAAAAAAAAAAAAAAAAATCGAACTAAAAACCTCAACTAAGTTGATTTTGTACACATAAGAGATTTTGTATATTTTTATCCATTGTTTTTTCATTGTATGCACAAATAAAGGTTATTATTATTATTATTATATTTGTCAACAAATATAACAAATATAAAAAAGGTTTTTTTTTGTTTACTTGAGAGGGGGAGAATCAACTCCAACCACCTCAGGTATGTTCAATTTTAATTACTATTGAATGTTGAGAAAGCTTCTTACAATTCTGGCAGTATTCAGCAGCACCGCTTTCTGAGCTTCCTTTATTACATGAGTTGGGAGGCCCAGCCTGTCAGTAGCTTCCACAGTAGACACAGGTATCAGGCCATTGCTGGAGATCACAATGCCCCTAACGGTTACTTTATTAAGTTTATACAAACTTTTTAACTCAGCTGCTAGACCTTGATATTTCCGAATTTTTTTTTTTCTGCACAGACTGAGTTAATGTTTCCGTCATTTGGCACAGCGATATCTATAATTTCAGCCACCTTAATATTACCGTCAATTAATACAATATCAGGTCTGTTGTGGATCACGAGATGGTCTGTTATGAACGATTGGTTCCAATATAATTTTAAGTCATCTTTCTGGCAAATACCTTTAGGGCAATATTTATAGTAGGGCTTCGACTCGTTTAATAATTTAATTTTTAGACCAATCGCCTGGTGATAGACTTTGGCAACATCGTCATGTCTTTTTAGGTATTCTGTACCTGCAAGAGTTATTATTATTACTAATATTTTGCTGTTTATTTATTGTACATAGTGTGAATGAGCTATTCTTACGTCACTATTACTATTGTTCTTAGTTGTGACAGATTGTAATATATCTGAATAAAGAATTTTCGCTCCCTCCCCCCCCAAAAAAAAAGGTGCGATATTAGCGTAGAGGTGTCATCGACCTACTACAACACTAGTAGCCGATAATTGACAAGAGTAGGTAAGTGGGGGAAGGGGGGAGTAAATAATAACAGGAGGGCTAGCCGTGTAGCGGCACTGAGGACGCATGTCCGAACGCATGCGTTCGATCGCCTCCTCTCACGATAAAGGGTATCGCAAACGAGCGGGCGTTCGGGATGGGGTCGGTGGTTCTAAAGAGCCTCTCCGTTCTTCTGGGGCTCTTCTTCATCTTCATAGGCACCATGAAGCTCACCTCCTTCATCAGCAAGGATCTCCACAAAGACTTGGTTAGTAGACTTCTTGTTACAGTTACCTTAAAAGGGCTAGATCAGGTGGGAGTGGAGGGATACAATGATTTATGCACATATATCTGATTACAGGACTCGATTATCAGGCATAAAAAAAAAAAAAAAATACTAAAACTTTCATTACATTCTTTTTATTAAAAACTAACCTTTACGCATATTTGAGAAGAAATGGGATTTTAAAATAATTTTTATACGACTGTATCCTAGAGTAATCAAGCTGGCAAACTGCCTTGGCACCGGCAACTATACGGGGCCCCTTTTCAGTTAATGTTGAGACATCACACCACCCAGATAACCTACAAAATTAGAACAATAATTCCAGAAATAGGCTTTATCAATGGATTTTTTTCTTTTTTAAAAAACAAACTATAAAACTACAAATTTAATGGACGAAACACACGTAACCGCCATTACTATTTTGTTGAAAACAGTTCTGCTATTTGTTGTGTAAAATAATAAATAAATTTTTAGACCATTTTAACTTAAATTAAATTAATCCTGATTACCTTACTTTGACAAAATAACAACACAGCAACAATAAATCAAGAACAATTTTTAATTAAAATATGAAAAATATATATATTAAACCTGTTCCCCCTACATAAACATTATGAAATTACAAACATGGAAACTCCAAACACTTCTTAAATACAAAATAGTAAATCTTATTGGGTAAAATAATTATAAAACCGATTTCAATTTAAATTAAATTAATTCCTAATTGTATTTAAATTGAATACACATAAATAAGTTAACAATTGAATACAGGTTTGAAAACACTACCAGGACAAAATAAAAGCAAAATCAAATATATTAAAAAAAAACAAATTGACATCTATCCCTCAACATGAAACTACAGTTGGATAAAACTTGGGACTCAAAATATTTCTTAAATACAAAATACTGTATTTTATTTCATGCTGTATTTACATCAATTACTTTGATTTGAAAAAAACTACCATAACCAAATCAAAACAAAGAACAGTATTTAATTAAAAAATTAAAAATAAAATAACATTCCCTCATACATAAACACTATAACAAATTTAACTTTTACCTAAAGGAAAACAAAAATCAAAATAAACAGTTATGAAAATTTTCTAATAATAAATTTTATCAAAAGTTACCTTCAGAAATTCAAAATGTAGAAAATATTTTCAAGTTAAATACACCTTACCATTTTACTTTTCTTACTAAATTCATTGTTGAATTTCACTGTTTTAGTTGTTTTTTTTTTTAAGTACAATCTTGCACATCACTATAGCTGATTCATTGAAATTCCATTTTTGACTTTAGTGTTTAATTATTTAATAACTTGGATTGGACGAAAATTGAGAGTCAAAATACATCTTAAATACAAAATATTTCCATGCATTTTAGTAGAAAACATTGAAATTACTTACTTTTTTCAGACCAAATTAAAAATTTGTAAAATTGAAAACATTTTCCTTTAAAGATATAATTTTATAAAATCATAACACAGACACAAACATTAAAAGAGGGAATAGTAGCAATTATAAAAAAAATGTATAACTTAGTGAGAAAATGATTATTTGTAGAAAATTATTTTATTATCATAAAATACAAAATTAAAAGAAAAATTCTTATTTTCAAATAAATATATTTCTCAATATATATTTTATTTAAATTTTAATTTTAATCATTTACTTGATTGTGTTATAACATGTATTATTTTGTATATAAAATTAATAGTTTGACTTTTTCCATAAATATTAAATACAAATATTTTTGTTCTAAAATACAATATAAAAAAAATAATAATTTACCTTGTAATTTGAAATACCATATTTCAAATACTCCATATCTTTGCATTACAATCAACCACCTGATTTAGTACTCTAGTATTTATTTAGAAGGATAAATAATTTTAATTTAAATAATTTGAGACTAATTGAAAAGATGAAGATTATAATTTATCAAAAAAAAACTTCAACTACAACAATGTTTTTGTTTGACTCTTAACTAAGCAACATTCATATCAGAACTATATATTTATTTGGTTAGCACAAACTAAACTCACAGAATTTAATAAGTCATATTTATCCAATTATTAAATTGATACTTCATTTGTAATAACAGTTCTAGATTAACAAATTAATGTTTTTCAACTATTATAGACCATAAAAGTAATAACATATAATAAACTCATAATTTGATAAATGAAAAATAATTTATCATCCCAAAAAATAATACAATACAAATAAATTTAAATAACATAAATATATTGCGTAATAACAGTTACATAGAAGTAAAACAAAGGAAATATAAATTGATTGTATACAAACCATGGAATGTATAAATAAAGTAAGCTATGGATGAAATTTAGGAAGAATCAAATTTACTAAAATTCATTGTTTTAAAGACAAGATATTTCTATAAAAAATATATGTATAAAATTCAAATAAAATAGTGTTAATTTTAATTTGATCAAAACCTAATCAGTAAACTGCATAATCTAAAAGGCACTATTAATTGAACTAAATAAACTAACAATTATCCTTGATAATCAATTATAGCATAAAATCAGGTCATGAATGAATGAAATGATTTTATGATTCAAATATTTAAATAAATGTAGGAGGAATAGCATATTTAAAAAAATAATAAACAATTAGAATTAACTTACAAGACAATTTATAAGACTAATTACAAATACAAATGGTTTCTTACTGACAATGAAAAAACAATGAACTGATAAATGACACTGAAAATAAAATAGTAGAGAATTGAACCAATCAAAATCCCTGACACACATTTTGGATAATTTTGTATGAAATATATTTTTGGTCTTCCTGACCTTCACTATCTTTATAATAACCAGAAAATCTGACTGCAACTGTCAAAACTATGTAATATTTTCTATTTTCCTATTCTATGTTTTATTTATGTTGTGTTTACTCATTACATAATTATATTATTATTAGTATATTTTAATAATAAATTATAAACTCATGAAAATTTAAAGATGTTTATGAAAAAATAATTTTTCCTGTATTCTAATAATGGTACCAAGAAGTATTTGTATAAGTTATATTAAAAATGTCAGCCAAAACATAAAAAATAACAAGTAAATAATTATTTCTATTTAGAATATTTTTTATTTTTCTTCATGAATACAAAAACAGAAACAAGTTTTATTTAAACAAAATTTTTATAATTGTATCTCAGAAGTAAATTTTTATTGATAAATAAAAAAAAGATTATGAGATAAAACCAAAATAATAACACCAACTGCAGGGCTAAAGCCCAGGGACTGACAGCATGAAATATAAATACACTGTTAATATATTATACTTGGACAAAATTAATTTTTGAAAAACTCAGGCCCTTAGGCAAGTAAAAATATAGTGTTAAATATAAATTTTATTTTAATTTTTAATTTATTTCAAGAGTTACAAAGAATTATGTACATATTTTTTTTTTAGTTTTCATGATCCAAAGAATGTTTTTTTGTTGCAGTAAGTTGCATAAATTTATATACATAACGATAATACAGATACATCAATAATAAATGATAAATATTTAAAATTCTAATTTATCATTAGTTAATTAAATAGTAATTAATAATTTTTTAAACCCATTTAAAAATTATATTTTTATACATGGCCTTTTTAAAAAAACTCTGTTACACCTGTTAACAAAGTATCTGTAAAATTTTTAATTGTCAATTTCATCTAGACAAGAAGACAATTTATCTTTTTCTCAGTCAGTAATTTTATGACGGTGGATATTTTTTCTTTCTTGTTTTGTAGGTAGAAAAACTATTTAAGATTTTGGATCTGTACTATTACATCCATTTTCATTATATGTCACATTTGACTATACCTGTCTTATTCACAACTGTATTTTCAATTTGAAAAAGGCCGAAACATTACGAAATAAATATATGTTTATGTAACAAAATAATTTTTTAAAATTTTTATGTGTTGTGCTTTTGGTATATAAATGAATTTTAAAAAAAGTAAATTTCTATGGTAATTAACTTGTGATAAATTATCATTATTATATCACAATAATTTTTATGTAATATATATACTTACGTAATGAAAAAATGAGTTAGCGCTTTAAACAGAAAAAATACTTAAAAATAAGAGAACAAAATTTTTATGATTTTTTTTTTATTTCAAATGTTGCAGAGAAAAGAATATGTCAAATATGCTAAAGTTTTTCCACTTTCGCAAACATTAGACTTCAAAATACCAGCAAAATGGTACAGGAGGGTAATAGGAGGAATTGAATTAGTCTGCGGACTTGCAATGGCTTTAGTACCGATCGGTAAGTATTATAAAGTATCTGAAATTTCTGAATAACTAAATTAGTAATATCATTGACAGACATAAATATATTTTTACATTTTATTTAGATGCAGTAAAGCAAGGAGCGAATATAACTCTATTACTTTTGATGCTTATGGCTGTGTATTCGCATTACATGGTAAATGACAAATTCGAGAGAACAGCACCTGCTCTGGTAAGATTTAAATATATGAACATATATATATATATATTATTAAAAAAATAAGGTATTTGAATTAACAAAATATTTAAACCTAATATAATATTAGGATGTATGTATCATATTTAGATAAATTTTTGTTTCAATAATGTTAACAACAAAAACAGACCAGTGACTTAAAAGAATTGTGCCATTGAAATGGTGATGCTCATCAAAACACAATATTTAAAAAGGACATTTATTGATAGAATGATCAAGAAAACCAGAGGTCGAATGAAACCATTTACTCTTAAAATTAAAAGTAAAAATTTAACTTTTACCTAAAGGAAAACAATAATCAAAATAAACAGTTATGAAAATTTTCTAATAATAAATTTTATCAAAATTTACCTTAAGAAATTCAAAATGTAGAAAATATTTTCAAGTTAAATGTACCTTACCATTTTACTTTTCTTATTAAATTCATTGTTGAATTTCACTGTTTTAGTTGTTTTTTTGAAGTACAATCTTGCACATCACTATAACTGATTCATTGAAATTCCATTTTTGACACTTTAGTGTTTATTTATTTAATAACTTCAAACACAATTATAGTAGCAAGTAATTGTGCTAGTGAACACCAAATTAATTTAGTGTGCTGATGAACTCTATAGAAATAGTAAGATTTGAGTTGATCAGTTTTAGTTGTATGCTAACAATTTATTGGTGCACAAACTGTGTACAATGCATGCATTTTTTTTCTTTGTTTGTTACATTTATAATTAATGGATATTTGAAAAACAACCAAATGCTATTATTTTTTGTTTTGCAGGTATTTTTTTTCATGCTAACCGGTCGAATGGTTATAGACTGGCAATTGAAACGAAAGCAAGACGTAATGGCAACAAGTAATGGAGATACTAAACAGAAAAAACAAGACTGATTCTCTTTTGGTTATTTATTTGTTTGTGAACTCAGGGAGATGAAATTTTCATATTAATGAACATTAATCGTTCATCGAGAAACATAAAAGCGAAAAAAAGAAACGAGATAGATTAATGATATTGTATTTTAAATGGAGCCATATCATTGTAGTGTCTTCTTTTCTCAGATATGATAGCATTTGATACTAGTTGCTATTAAAAATAAATTTAACCTTGAAGAATCAACAAGCTTAAACTGGTCAAATATTTTGCACCAGTTACTTTTAAACAAAATATTTGAAAATTAAAAACTTACATGGTTGTTTTTGAAAATTAATGTAGGGGATGGTAACTAATTTTATTTATGTATTTTTTTTTTTTTTTTTTTTGTCTTAAGTAGAGTTCATATCAATTTGAAAGATTTTTTTATTATTAAAAAAAAATCATCTCTAATAGAGTGAGAAAATTGTAAGATAAATAGAGATAATTTTTCCAAGGTATTAGAGAAACATGAAATTATAATAGGCAACAGTATAAGAAAAACTATAATTAATTAAATATACAAACAAATAATCTCCTTATAATAAAATATTTACAAAACTAGAAGTATAAAACCTAAGCATCAGTAACATTAAAAATAACATTATGATACTTAAAACTGCACATGGGTGTTTATTTTGTTTTTTAAAGTATTATATGTGATTATGTAAATAATTATATTTCATATTTAATCTTTTTTGTTTTTTTACTGTAAATTCTCTTACACTTTAAATAAACATGATCTCTTTTTAAAATTTTAATTTGTCATTCTATTAACAAAAACCCTTTAATGATATTAATCTTATCGTAACAATCACAGTCAATAAACAATACTTTAGTAAAAATATAACAGGGTTTTAAATTTAAACCTTGTAATAACCAGGAGGCTTACATAATAGTTATATAACGATTATGATAACCATACACATAAAGCCCTATAAATTAAAAAAACAAACTTAATTATACCACATATATATCAGTACTACGCCTTAATTTTACAGATATTAAAACCTAAATATAATTATTTATATATATGTACACTACTATTAGTAGTCTCAGCCCTTAATACAAAAATACAAATTTTGAACATATTTGTACCAAAATCCAGGATATGTTTGAAGATAAAAATAACGAATTTGGTTAGTACAGTTTTTCCATTAATAATTTTTAGAAAATAGATACTAATCCAACACAGATATTGATTGTAAAAAAAGGAATTGCATCAATAAATATGAACCATTTTCAGGATCTTCAAACTTCATATATATTTTAAAACAAAACTTTTTTTTTCTATAATATCCAGTATTACACATTGCTGATATAACATAAATATACATTCATAGCTACAACAATCCTATCAAAACAACTTATTTTTTCTTTGGATTGTTAAAACATTACCTAAGGAACTAATTTCAAGTTCTAACATTCCAAACCCATAATATGAAATTAGTTTGATGAGAGTTGTGGTTCTTGCAGCTCCAATAAGAAGATGATATAATTTTTATATCATATGAACCCTTATGGTTTAAGATGTTTCTTAACAGTTGAAAATCGATTGATAAACAAATTGAATATAATAATAATAAAATTGATAAACATAAGTTATCATTTTTGTAAGTTTACAAATTCATGAATGCTACGAGGGCACCTTCACCAAAAAGTATTCTTCCTAAGTAAGTGAATTTCATGAGGGCTTAAATGAGACTAAAGCACAGATAACGACAACATTAACACAAGAAAAAGGTAGGGCTAGTAATTGGTCAGAGTAGAGTAAATATTTATTTTCATAAAAAATTATATTAAAATTATTAATATATTCACATTAAACCCAGTGATCGAGTGACGTAGCAGGTACTTTGAGATGTATATAATTTTCACCCTTGCAGTGCATTTTTGAAGATAGTAAGTCTCCACTATTTTCTAAATACCTGATTTATCTCTTAAGTTAGTAAACCCTTCCATGGCCGAAACACTAATTTTTTATCAAGAGAAAATTTTATGAGCTAGTTGGTACCTGAACTGGATCCTAAAGGTGGCACCACCTACCCAGCAATACTTTAACCACTAGATTGCCTACTTTCAACATTATATTATACTAACTCTTTATTCAACAATTCAACTCTTCTCCATAATATTTATGGTACCAGTTTACTGTTGTCAGCAGTTTATCTATCCATATTGGCACCGACAAGTTATCCAAAATGTCTACGATGAGGTTACAACAGATAGCGCCAACTTCTATCAAATTATTTCTCAAAATTAAAGAAAACTATCTGATGATTAATTATTAATGTCAACAACCATAGATAAAAAGTTTGATTATTTTTGTTTGTTATTATTATATTTAAATTAAAAATTTATGGACTTTGACAAAGTAATGATTTTAGAAAATTAACATAACAATGCAAGTGAATTATGTTGAATTGAATAGGAGTGTAAAGATAAACATTCATATAATGTTCATAACTAATATCTTTACCAACCAACAGTTCACTCAGGCATTTTCATCCTACTTAATCTGAGGATGAAATCTAATAACCTAATTTGAACTTGAATTTTAGTTGGATTGTCAGTAATTTCAAATCCAGGAACTCCAGCTTTTTCTAGAAACTTCTGTTGATCGTGAACCTAATGATGATAAAATTACATTAGATTTTAGCATAAAATTCATTTATATAACATATATGTATTAGACTACAATAAAACAAAATAACAGAAGCTATATGTAATAATAATAATCATTACTTTCTCATCCAACTGCTTAATTATATTTTTATCAAATTCCTTCAAAGCTCTTTTGTGTTTCAACTGTAATGTATTAGTGTTGGCAAACCTAACAGCTTCATCGTGATGAGTAATCATCATTTCTTGTATCTCCACTGCAAGAAAAGATCTAATTATTCACAATATCAAGACTTAATGACTACACTTCAAATTGAAGAACAATAATATTAATCTAATAATTTCAACATCAAATACTTACATGACTGATTATAAATTAATTGTAATCTCTCATGAAATAGATGCTTTTCAGTGACATGTTGAATATCCATTAGAGTATTAACAATACTGAAGACTGTATTGTCCAACAAAGATTCTGCTAAAGCACATAGTAATTCGTTCGGAATTCTTTGCTGATATTTTCTGTAAAATGTATTTAAGAGATTCTAATTCATGTTTAAACTGTCAAATTTTCACAAATGAAAAATAAAACATAACTTACAATGGTAATTCCCTGGCCATTATCTGTAATTCTTGATTCAGGAAGTACAGTTTTCTCTGCCGTGCCAATGGGTTGGAAGAGCTTGGCAAAGAGTTGCTGCTGCTATCATCGTCTGAAGGCATTTTAAAGGAAAAACAAAATTCATATCCTTTAGTGTTGACCCTCTAACTCCAGAAGTTTACTAATGATAGGTTTCAAAGGCTACAAGACGTTCATTCGTTTTTTTCTATCCAAAGAGTAATGAGAGGCAATCGTAAATATAGCCTCTATGGACTGAAAGATGATATCAAACTAAGGAAGTATTTGCAATTTCTTTTGGCTGTGGTAAATAATTTGTTGACCAGGATTTATTTATTTAGGTCTCTTTTTTTTTTAGCTTAAGTAAAAAATATTTTTTTTTACTTATTGATTGTTTTAAACTTAATTCAATCAATCCAACTAATATTATCTGATTCTTTATTTCGAAATACATCACTTAAAATGTTGACTTTTAAAGGGGGAGGGGTAGGAGGTGAAAGAAGGGTGAGAAAAATTTAGCCACTCTTGGCCATAATTCAAATTCCTGCGCTGCTTGGTCAAGTTCAATTTTAAATTTTAATTCTATAGAAATAGATCGTAGATCGAAAGAGTTGAATTCTCAAAGATGACAACGTTAAGCTCTTTTAACAAAAGTTGAGTTAATGGTGAATCGGAATAAAGTTGGGACTATCTCACTCACGCGCTCGTGCAATATATTATTTAAAAAATTAAAATCCGGATAAAAAACAAATAGGCAATAAATGTTTACACGTGGTGAGTGAATCAGATGAAATCATGCAAAAGACAGCATAAAATCCTACTCTCCGTGCTCTCAAGTTTGATGAATAGATTGCGGCGTATCTTATGGGAAAACTGTGATCACAAACCTTGAGAAATCGGCAACATGAAGCAGGATATAAGCTGAGCTCAAAGGATAAAATCTAATGTTAATGAAAATATAGACAAAATATTGGAGTTTTCACGGGAGCATATGAACAAACCTTTTTTGAAAAATGTTTTTTTTTTCAATTGAAAGCAAGTTCAATATTCTGGATCTGATGGAAGAAAAAGGGGAAAGCATTCAAATTAAAAAATAGGCACCCAACAGTAAAACAAGGAAGGGGTAACATTATGATTGGGGATTGCATAGGTGCCAGGGTAGGAGAACTATCTTTTATTGAAATGATAAAAAATGCTGAGAGGTATGTGGACGTTTTGCAACTTAGAGAACTCTTATTTTTCCTAGCAAGACATGTAGAATCAATCTCAAGGAGATAACATACAGATCTTCTTCATCCCAAAACTCCTTTGTTGTCTGCTCTGTCAATTTCTGGAATTCTCTTCCTATCAAAATTCAACAGATCCCCTCATTATCCACATTCAAAACCCTCCTATTCCAATTCCTGTTCTTAAAGCAGTCAGGTTCCTGCTGGACTTTTGATAATAAGTATAAACATTCATTTCATGTCATTTATCAGCAAAGGGCAGTGCTGTTCTTTGCTAGGGAAATTGCATGAATTTCCTACTATCGATGCCACTCAATGCATCTAGTTTTTGTTGCAATTATTTTCTTTAAAAACAATTAAATTATTACATTAATAAATGACCAATTCTTCTCATGGCATATGTGTATATTATTTAGATGTATTTACATAGTGTTTAGCATTTATACACTTAAACATTTTATATGGACAGATTCAACTCTCTTTTTTCGTAATTGAAACTCAGAGCTTATTGATAAGAAGTATTTAATTTATTTAAATTTAGTTATGTATATATTTACAATGATTAGTACATAGTTTTAAGTGTTTTGTAAATGGCATGTTCACATAATGTTTTCTTGAATACTTAATAGTTGACCATTGTATTAATAAGGAAGGAGATGGTCCAGGGTGGCGGTTATAAATAGACTAAATAGTGGCAAAACTATTTTTTTAAAAGCCAATATTTCGACCCCACTTTGCAGGTCACCTTCAGGGAGGTGAAATCAGCAAAGAATTTCACTAAGAACTGAAGTGAAACTCCTCCTGATTTCTGAGTTCTAAGTGAAACTCCTGGTTGAACACATCTCCCTGAAGAAGACTTGCAAAGTCGGGTCAATACTTTGGCTTTTAATAAAATAGTTTTGCCACTATTTAGTCTATTTATGACCGCCACTCCGAACCATCTCCTTCCTTCATAATGTTTTCATTATTTTTTATCTTAGGCCAGAAGTAATTTTTTATTTTTATACAACGTTATTCTCACGTTTGTCCCAGAACAAAGTTATTTTCAATCTATCTAAACACAAAAGAGTATCCAAATAAAATAAAAATAATTTGTGTTTAAGGCATTTTTGTTTTTTTAATAAGCAGTATGACTAATTTTTGGCGTAATGAATATTCAAAATTATCTAAATAATAAATATTAAATTAAATAAGATCCTGATTTTTGATCTTATGAAAAAGTGGTGCAAAATGATTGTTATTGTTTTCTGTTTTAAATCATTTCTGCTCCACTTTCTGAAATTTTGTTTATTTTTCTAGGATTCATTAATACCTTTACAGATTCTCTCACTATAAATGATAGCAATTTTTTTTGAGTCTTTGCACTTTTTCTCCTCCAAATGCAATTGCCAGTTTTTTTCTCTTTCTGAGCATATCTTTTTTCCTAGTTATCTAGTATCCTTTATGCCTAAGCTAGAAGATGGCCTTCTTATTTCAGTGTATTACCCACACCATAACCAATTATGAGTCTAAGTATGATAGAAAAAAATACTCATTATTTTAAACGAATGCTTCAGATTGTTTCTACTTGATAATTAGAAGAAAAATAGTATACAAAATTGTACATTTACAAAAAAGATAGGTATGCAGCTACCAGATCGAAGAAATTCATTAATATTCCTGCATTTTTCATTTTTGGATGTGAAATTTAATTTTAATAAAAAATAATTTATGGATAATGGAAATAGGTCAACAACTATTTTCAAACAAAATCAAAATATGGACATTTAATTGTCAAATGAACTTCTTTTTTTCCAAACAAGAAAAAAAAAAACAATTTTTGACGTATCGAACATTGAATATACAAATTTAAAATCAACTCATGTATAAATTTAAAAAATAAAAACACAACTCAATAAAAAAGTATATTTAAAGCATTATGAAATTTATTTACAGGTCTTCTAATGCCTTATTCAGGGTTCATTAAGATATATAATATATCTTTCAATACATTCATAACAGAGAGTAAAAAACAAGTAATTTTACACCAATTAATTACTAAAACTCGTACCTATTACAAAATAAATATATTATATAAAATACACAAATAAATAGGTTTAAAAAAAAGACAAGAGAGTAGGTTTACAAAGGATATTAGTTTGGGATCGTTAAAAAAATAGTGAACTGCTTATTTACAGAATCTACATAATTAAAATTAACATACATTTGAATACATTAAATTTATAAAAATCCTAATGACTAATACAATATTTTAAATTTTTTTTTTTTTTGGCTTCCTGAACATTACTTAAAATAAGGAAAAAATCATAAAAAAAAAAAAAAATAAAGGGAATAATGGAAGAAATAATTTTGGAAGATTTGCTTTTTATAAATAAAGGAGGTAGATTTAATTTAAGAGAAAGTAAATTATAACTATAAAGATTTATAAAAAAACAACATCCAGTCACTAGCTAGATTTACAGTGTTATATCTCTTTTCAGGCCAAGCTGTCTAAAGAATACCATAAGATCAGTGACTACTCTGTAATACAAATATGAATTTTAAAAAAATAATAAAAAACAGTCATATCCAATTGAATATGTTGGCCTTAAACAGGATAAATAAACAAACAAAACTTCTCGTGAAAATTTATAAATAATTTGAATGAATAGCATGTCAGGTTGAAGTTATAAGAATTCTGAACAAACATGATAAAATAATGATTTCCTTCAATCAGATTTCTTTTTTTTAAAAACATGAGAACTAAGAAGAAATTTCCAATATTTTTAAACAAGGGGAAAGACACTATATAAATTCAAGTAAGAAAATGGACCGTCTAACTGAACATATAAAAAATTACATCATTGAAAAGGAGCACGATAAAGTTAAAAGGGAACAAATCAGTATTTTATTTTAATTAATTAAGTATTGAAATAAAAATACAGAATTGGTTTTTCAATGTGACAAGAATAATGTTACAAATATATCTATAACTGCAGTAGCACCATATTCAACTGGTCACAGATTAATCAGAGATAAAACGTAAAACAAAAAAAAGGGTTGACTAGTCTCAACATCTATACTATCGTCAACAATCAACAGGTTAACAGTAAATATTTTTGTAGAGTGAAAAAAAAAAAATAATATAATATTCTAAATAGCACTTGGAATTTTCTTTTAATTTAGGAAAATAGTAAATTTGGTAAAACAAAAATAAAATCCTTCTTTAGAAAAAAAACTTCTTTAAATTAAATGCCTGTTCCAAAACTACCCAGATTCATAGTTTCCACTATAAGTGGCCATGCTTGTTAGGAATTAGATGAAAGTCACATTAAGTTTTATTAAGATTAAAGTAAACATGGTCTTTTTTATTAACACTAAATTATCATTAATTGAATAATAAATTATTCGTCAACATGGATAAAACTACCTACAACAAAATTAATATGATTTCCTCGTAAATAACAAAACTTACAGCAATGTCAACATTTTCTGTTATTGTTGTAGAGTTCAAAACAGAAACTACAAGGATTATTATAGCATAAAAAGTAAAAGTTGAGATTGAATTTTAAGAAAAAGTATCTGTTAAAATGTATTTATTGAATTTTAAATAATTTAATTTATACAATTTTCCAAATTCACCTCAATATTCTTTAAACAAAATTAATAACCAATTTTTACTAATAATCTCACTCAAAACTAGCCAGATCAATAAGATCCTCCTAAAAAAAAACAAAAAAAAAAACTATTTTTTACTTCATTCCACATCATGAATCATAAGATACTATGAAAAAAAAAAAATCATAAGGCTATCTATAATTTCAAAAATGGAAAATAAATTTATTTTCCATGTACCCAATACCATTTACAAAATTGCAATTTGCTGGTTTTGAAAATGAACTTCATATTTTTATTTTATTCCATTTTAACCTATCAGACAAATTAAACTAATCACGTATAATTAAATTAAAGTTTTTATGTTTTGAATATTCAACATCTTTTCCGTTTAATTGGAAGGGGCAGTTAAGGAAGGCACTACTGTAACAGATATCTCTTAAAACTTATGATATATTACAAAACTATTAGTCTAATAAGAATTTTTTATAACTAAAATTTTACCACTCTTAAAACATCATACAAAAAAAAATATATATATATTCTCAACTAATGAGAATACAATAAACTAACTTAAAAAATTACAATATTTAATATTAAAAATAATAAACTAACTTAAAATGTTACAATATTGACAGAACCTAAGAAATTCATTAATTTTACTTCATTTATATAATTAACATTTCTTAAATCTGTCTAATAAAGCAAAGGCTATAAGTCTTATACAATTAAAAATATTTGTTCTGGATCATAAAATCTGTTTTATGATCAATATAACAAAAGACAACTCGTTTATAATAATCAAAATACAAACTAACCTATATCTTGACCAGTTCTTAAAGCAGCCTTCATTTATATACTCTATTTCTTTATATACTTCTATTGATCGGCCTTCGTTAACTTTGTAAAATATAACATCATTATGAGCAACGCTCTTCCTAGCTGCTGTATATAAACAATTAATTATAATGCTGACAAAAAACAGCAATTAGAAGCGAGAAATAAAATAGCATGATGAGCTGGAGTTTTCGTTTTTTTTTTTTTGGCCATTAAAAAATTAAAGCCAATCATAATTCAAAACCAACCAACACCATTAGACTAATAAACAATTAAATTTCTAATACAATAAAACAAAAGAAGTTTAATCACTGGGAAAAAAAAATTAATTTATTAGATTGGTTTCAGAAAAAAACATGGAAACATATTGCAGCAAACAATGACAGAATAAATACAATTAAATAGGATCATTTGTAACAGTACATTATATGAATTTTCTTCTGCTGACCTCTTAATAAGGAAGAGGCATTGGATTCAATCAACAATAAACTATTGGGATTTAATTAGCACAGTAGTAAAAGTATTAGTGAAAGAGTATTTTCGTAATATTTTTTAAAAAAAATATTACATTAAAAAAGTAGGAATATAGAATGGAAAGAAGTGTCAATCCGGATCTTGATTTGCACATATAATTTATCAAGTAATTCAAAACTGTTTTGTCTATATATCATAAAACAATTATGTACATATTCCAACAAATAAAAACAAGCCATTTATTTACACATTCACGTGTTTTTCATCAAGACGTTTAGCTTTTAAAAATTCTTGAATTTTACATAACAACATTAATTTATTATGTTTTTTTTTTAAAGTACTATTATACCACAGGTGAGGAACCTGTGGCCACCATTAGCTTTTGTGCGGTCTTCATTAATCTAGCACTAGAAATAATTAATATTTAATTATAAAGGCTACGAAAATTATAAAATTAATATATTTAAATTGAATATATGTGTGTAATTTGTATTTACTTATAAATAAAAATATTTTATTGAACGATTTAACCATTATCAATACATAACCTTACTGCAGCCAGTAATGTTAACAAGGTTCCCCACCTAAGTACTATACAATAAATAAATTTTGAGCTTTAATTTAAAACTGAATAAAAAACGATGTTTGATCTACTTATACATTATGTTTTATCTAAAATAAAATTGAATTGGTGAGGAAAAAGTATATTCATGCCAAAATAGTTTATGTGCACATAACAATTAATGTAGTTTAATTCATTATGGGATCTAGTAACTTCTAATCTGGATTAGCATGACTCTGCTGTAAACGGTTGTGGATGTATTTACATAAAGTATACGGAATTAGATAGTTTGGAAGGACAAAATATCAAAAGATATTTTAATAAGAATAAACATAGATTTCTAAAAAAGTAATTAATAACAAATAATCAATTACTGTAACTAATAACTAGAGATTAGTTTTTAACCTTTTAGCGACGATGAGCGGGAGAGTTGGAATATCCTTGAGGACGGAATACTTGTCATCACTTCTATTGACCACGTTTGCTTTTTTATTTAAGGCAATGTTCAATGCCCGTTATCTTCAGTCACAGAAAAACTACCTACTAAGTCTTGGGAAGGTCGGGAAATATTTTAAAAGTAGAATTGATCAGTGAGCACTCGGTCGCTTAATGAGAAAGTGCCCGATTGGCTCCCAACTCATATATGAGTCCAACGTCGCCTAGGCCTGATTCCGTCTCAACTCATATATGAATCCACCGTCATTAAAGGGTTAAACAGATGATAGAATTTGCCTACACATACAAAAAATATTCATCTTGTGATTTTAATACTTTATGTCGAATATATAAAAAACATTAAAATGCTTCAGAAAAATCCTCAATTAACATCATTAAGACCTAGGTAGAGTGTTTTTAAGTAATTTGTGAAGGTTTTCTCTAGCAGAGAAAGAATAAATGAGATCTTACAAAATGTGCTACATACAATTATGACCATTTTTTTTAGAATAAAATTTTAAAAAAATTACAGTTAATAGAGTAATTTTATATTTTTGTATAACATGAGACTAATAAGTTTTAAAATGCACATATTAAAAAATATTTAATGTTTCTTTTTCCAAAGTGTAAAAAAAAAAAAATAAATATAGCAAAATTTTTATGAGTACAAATAGTTGAACATGAATAAAATCTGATACCTTATCTTTTATTAATTAAAACAGTAAATTTATTAAAATTTACAATAGTAGTTTTAATGCATAAAAATGGGCAGGATAATATTTTCTGGCGTAATATAATTAGAAAATAACACAGTACTAATAAATTAATAAGTACACCATTCAAACATTTAATCTGAATGTATTTGTTATATGTATGATTTCTTTAAACATGAAATTAATATTTCACTGAAATTAGTTACATCTTTAGAAAAGTATGCCTATCATAAATCACTTTGTTAAAAATACTTTATCGCTTAACAAAAAAAAAAATAAAAAATGCATAGGCAACATGCATTATTAGAAATTAATTGAATCACCTATATTTCAGGAAAGAGGTAGGCAAGTTTTTTTTTCTTTTTTTTTTTTCAAAATCAACAAAAGCCACACAATTTACACATCAAAATATTTGTAATCTAATAAAGTTTTCAATTTGTCACAACAAATATGCTGGAAAGACTTTTTTTCTCATGGAAACTTACATGAGAAGTCATTTATTTAAATTACAACCTTTTTTTTAAACTGATCGTAGCATCTTGAAGGTACCTTATGAAGATTTGTTTTTCTCTTCGGCATCTCTCTTATCAGGAGTTGATGGAGCAGCTTTACCATATGAGGAACTTTTGCTTATTTTGGTCTGTCCAATCAGTTGATACAGCACAAAGAAAACTAAAACAAAATATTAGATTTTGGATTGGATAATGTAAAATAACTGAAAAAAAATGAAAAAAAAATTGCACCTTACAATCTCTCAATCAAACTTTTAGGATACACATAAAGGTCTATAAACATCCAAGGGAAAGGGCAAGTAATAAAATTCAACTTAATGGAGATAATTACAAAACAAATATTGACAGTATATTATCTAAGTATTTATAATCTTAAACTGTTGATGTTAAGTACTCTCATAGTGTAATGGCTAGCGAACTATACTGATATGGTGAAGGTTCCCGGTTCAAAACTGATTCCACTATATTCTTTCTCGCATCTGCACAGCACCGCATGTTGCCCGACAATCTGATGTAGAACCGAGGTTATGTATAAATAAGCACGATAATAAAATAAGCATGAGTTCGCGTCCCGGGGCCAGTGGGATTTTTAACTCCTCGCCTTAACTCTCTGGCCCGGGAAAAACCTGTATGCCTAAAAGGCGAGGAAGAGGAAAACGGAAAAAAAAACTGTTGATGTTTTATAGTATATTATATTTGTGAAATCACAGGTCCACTTACTCCTCCACAACCTAATAGAAATAAATTAATAACAAATGCAGAGACACACAAAACCTGACTATTTCACAACTTCTTTTATATTTATTAACTTTATTGTTATATTAATTAGTTTAATATAATTAATGAATGTATTAATTTATATATAACTAACTAATATACCCGTCGTTGACAGGTGTATAGTAAAAATTTGAGAATCTTTTTTTGAGATGGATTTTGTACTATGGGGAGAGGGGTCCAAATTTAATTTCATAAAATTAGGTTGAGGAGGGAATGATTGCTGCGAATTTTTTTATGGCGGGGCTTATGGAAGTCAAGGTTTCGCAAGAGCCATAATAAAAACTTATTTGACTATTTGTTTAAGTGCCACACAGCTAAACCGACCACCACCGATCAATTAAAATTTTTTAAATGTTTCATTTTCATTTATGATGAAGCGAGGATATTGTGGAATCGAATGAAATAATCAAAAAGAGTTGTAGTCTCTCCACTTCTTAAAACTCTGTATTTTACTGAGGTTATCGCTCGCAAAATAAAATTGTACATTGAGTCACCTCCATCTGTGTAAAATTAGAACTTGATCTGAATATTGTGGCGGGCAGGGCGAAATTTTTGGGATTTTTTTTTCCCGATTTCCAGCTAATCTGTTTTGTTAATCCTAAACATGTATACGACAACATTGGTTAGGCTAAGGAAGTTCAATCAAATGACACCTTGAACGGGAAGATCGGACAAAGTTGAAAAATAAGTCTGTTTAAAACGCGTTTTAAGCGACAACGCGTTACAGAGTTGTGATCATTTTTTCCATCAGTTGCATAGTACAACTTGAATGTGACTTGCGGTAGAGTAGGTTGGGATGATAATCGAAGTAATTAACTGCCTAACCGGGATCTCTTGACAAATCACTCAAAAATTCATAACTTTGGTTCTACTCAATTGTTTTCATTTAAAGCTTACATTTTAAGTTAAGCAAACCTAAATATAATGTCAAAATTTCAAATGTCTATCATTAGCCATTGCTGAGCTTACCCCTGACAAAATTTAGTTGGACAATGCGGATATACAGATAGACAAAAAATTTACTAAAAGTGGATTTGGTGTCTATAATGTATGAAACGAGTTGATTCTATTCAAGGTACAGACAAAACCTTTATTTTTTTTATAAAGATAGATGTATTATAACAATTTATATTAGCTATCAACTTTTGTGAAATGGTATACATATAATAGAAATTAATAAGTTTGTTTTACTAATGATAAGTGCATGTAAAATACTACATTGTAGGAAACATGTATTAAATAAATAACATTCTCACAGGACTACTATCTGAAGAAAAATAATAATAATAAAACATATATCGATCTGATAAGATATGTAATTTCTTAATTTCATCTCTGTTTTTATAGTTGTATAGTCCATTGAGAAGCAGAGCAAATCGGCCTACAAGTAACAAAATATATGATAATAAACCAAACATTCCACCTCAATAACAGGATCTGCATAGAAGAGAAATTATTCCTGGAGTAGACAAATTCAAATATCTCGGATCCACAATAACCTCAAAGAATGAACAACGGTCAGAAACAAACCCGTGTATAACAAGAGCTTTCTTCTCTCTTTCAAAGATACTAAAATTCCCCAAAATTAAGGCTGTACAATGCTATGACAAAGCCAGTTCTGATATATGGATGCAAGACCTGGACACTAACAAGCACCATAGAAAAAAGTATTGAAAGATTTGAGTAAAAAATCCTCCGCACGATAATATCAGAGTACTAACATATGGAGAAGAAAGATCAATAAAGAGCTGCATACAGAAACTGGCCAATCAATATCTAATGATATGAAGGCAAGGAGGTTAAGAAGGGGAGGCCATGTAGCTTGAAATCATCTGGAAGCCTCTAAACAACAATGAATGTCTCAATATAAGGCAAAAGACCACGTGGAAGGCCAAAAAACAGATGGATAGACCGAATCAACAAAAATGCAATAGAGCTGCACGCAGATAACTGTAAAGGAATAGCTCAAGATAGCCAGAGATAGAGAAGGCTTGTTAAAGTGGCAAAAGATTTTAAAGGCCTGTAACACCAACGGCAGGAGGAGAAGTCCACTGTTTTCAAACCATTACAATTATTGAATTGCTTAGCAAGAATAAATTGTATTTACATAAATTCTCATACAGTATTTCATTCAACAGGTATTAATCCCAAATGAAAAAAAAATAATAATTCGGTACTTTGTCTAAATTTGTTTAATTTTGAAGAGATGATCAATTTTTTCTAATATGCATGTAAGAAAAGAATACTGTATGAAATTTTACACAATAATTTAATTTTAAAAACGTACATTCAATATTACTAAAAATAATAATTTCATTTAAAAAAATAAAATAACTCACAGATGAAAATTATCAGTATCCCAATAGATACGTAAAAAGTGGATCCCGATGTCAAAAGCTTGATGAGCATATACACCATAGGTATCAGGGTCACCAGTGCCCAACAAACCATGTTCAGCAACGAGTAGGGTCTCCTCGGCAGCCTTCTTCCCTCAACTTTAGGCACTCCAGAGCTGGTGAACCAATCACCGTGGGTCAGGAAACTGTCCATCAAACGATCCTAAACGTAACAAATAAAATATGAGTAATCATTAAAAAAAAGAAAAGGTCTAAAACTAACACTTACATACATGAAAACAATAAAACTAAACAACATTGATGAAAGCCGGTAAAGAACTGGGACTCAATATAAATATGGATAAGACAAAATATATGGTTAGCAACAAAATGGCGACAATGTTGGTGTTACAGATATTGAAGTAAACACGTTTTAATATGTAGATAAGTTTAGATATTTAGGGTCTACGTTAACGAGAAAAAATTGGAATTGAAGAGGAAGAAGAGGGTCCACGCTAGGTTAAAGGCCAAAAATGCTTGCTATTTTTATTGCTATCAAGGAATTTATGTGGTTACACAACGCTGAATTGCGTGAACTGTACACGGTTAATATAACAGATATGATTAAGTTGAGGCAAATAAAATGGGCATGTAAAATCGCTGGCCTTAGTAATGAAGAATTCCTAAAATGTTAATATGTGTTGTACCGACTGGCAAGCATCCCAAAAGTATAGATCGAAGCGAAGGTAGAAAGATTGCGTTAAGGCTGATCTGGCAGGGTTGGGTTGATGGCGCCCGGAGGATGGAATGGATGGAAGAATGTAGATATTGATTGGTGGATTTGGCATTGAATCTTTGGGTTTCGCTAAGTCTTATTTTAATTTATTATTATAAAAACTTATAGGTTACATTCAATTTATAAATTTCTCGATATGCATGACATGCACCCTGAGTACGTTAAATCTTCAATTGAAGCAGTAAAGAAATTATTCCATGAAGGTAGTATTTTGCTGGCACAGCCCACAGCAGCGACTACCATTCCTGGCTGTCAACTGTTTATGCTTGAGTATTTAGCTGGAACTGTTCACTGTAGCTATTGAATTATGAGGCTATGTCTGTATTATAGGAATGTTAATATTAACCAGCCCGCCCACCATCCACAAAATAATGGTTTCTTGTAATATTTTTAATAGAACATATTAGCCTAATGATAGAAATATGAAGCAATATTATTTTAAGAATTAAAAAGGAAGGAGATGGTCCGGGGTGGCGGACATAAATAGGCTAAATAGTGGTAAAACATATTTTTATTAAAAGCCAATGTTTCGACCCGACTTTGCAGGTCTTCTTCAGGGCTAGAACGGACAAGATACAAAAAGATAGAGAATTGTGGAAGTTATGTAATATTTACACAAAAAATTATAAACAATGTGAATATTAAACAATTTTTGTCTAAATATTATGTTCCACTATTCTCTATCTTTTTGTATTTTGTCCGTTCTAGCCCTGAAGAAGACCTGCAAAGTCGGGTTGAAACGTTGGCTTTTAATAAAAATAGTTTTATCACTATTTAGCCTATTTATGACCGCCACCCCGGACCATCTCCTTCCTTTATAATGCAACGGTCAACTATTAAATATTCAATATTTTAAGAATGATGGTGTATCGTGGTCTCTCATTTTGAATTTATTACTTATTAGTAGTATGATCATTTCAGTACTAAATATCACATTGTCAGTTTAATGTCTAGTAACATTTCATAAAATTAAATCATTAAATACTTTCCCTTCCATTCTGTAAAATAAAAACATTGTGCATTTGGTATAACTATGTTTGATATATAAAAGGTTTGTGTTGTTTTGTAATTTTTAGCCTGTTTATGTATTGATAAATTTTGTCAACAAAAATTTATTAGCTCCATAAAAAATGTACTCAGTAACTTTTTGCAATAAAGCGACAAAATATTTGTAGTGAAATCACAACGGATAAAGTTTTATCATCAGATAATTAATAAATCAGCACTTTAATTAAAAAAAGATGAATTTATTTTTAATTTTTTTCCATTATTTAATGTCAGTTGGATTTAAGTATATTTGAATCCAATATACAAAATATTTCTTGTACTACTTCAACCGTACGAAAATGATTTACTAAATTTTAAAAAAATTATCATTTAATTTTGTTTGGGTTGATGAAAAAAAAAAGGAAATGAAACATACCAAGATGATTGATATCATCAATATTCTTCTGCGATATGATAACATAACATAGCACTATCATACTTTCAACTGCTTCAGGAGCAGTCTAGACATGACGTCATACCTAGACTGCTGAGCAGTTCCAACAAAATATGCTCCTTTCTATTCCACTAAAACAGTGCTCAACTGCTAACAGTAGACGGAGCTGGGCAGTATCAGCGAAATGGTACCTATTAAGCTAATTCCACGAAGAAGTGACATGATCTGAACACCATGTAGCCCATACTCGAGTCCTATGGAATATTTCTTATATAAAATTAAAAAATAAACAACCATAGACCAACCTTCTTAATATACAACTCTCTCAACCAGAGAGATGCCTTCTCCTCATCTTCGGGAACACTATCTAAGGGCACTCTCTCAATGTACATATGTCCAGTGACAGGTCTACCCATGAGCAGATTCATTACTGTCGGTTTGACAGAGTCATTGCTGAAACAGACCAACAACATATGACGCTGATCATAAATTCACTATTAGTTTATTGTATATTAAAATATAGAAGTAACTAGTTGGCCCGTGCGAAAAATTAGCAGAAAATTTTGTTTAGTGGAAAATTATCAAAACAATATGGAAATAAGTAGTTCCTATGTATTATGTAGGGAAGTATTAATATTTTTTCCTTGGTCGATTACAAAATTCTATTAAACATAATACACCAAAATATTTGTACAAATTGCTTTGCATAAAGGACTAGAAAAAAATGCAGACTTCTTGGTGTCTTAGGTCAAATTTGTAGAAAAGTTTTTTTATTTTTCGATCGTCCTATATCCCTCCAAATTTCGTGTGAATATGTGGAAGAATATTGAAGTTATAACCCTTTTTATGATTTTCAAAATAAAATCAAAGGGGGAGCCTTATTTTAAATTTGTAGAAAAAAAAAATTTATTTTTTAATTGCAATGAAAATTCGTTTTCGAGGGTCTTTCGGAATGGGAAATACAAATCTCAACTCTGTTTCTCCTTAAAAAAATATTTCAACACACTTTACTCCTTCTGTTAATACAAATTGTTTAAATTATACATATTTCTAGTAGATTTTTATGATTTTTTTTTTTGTTTTGTACGTAATTTAGTAATCTTTCTAATTATCATGGATACAATCAAGAAAAAAATGCATACTTTTTGAGTTATTTGCGAACAAAGTTTCTTTTCCTTCATAACTTTTTTCCAGAAATTTCGGGAGGATAGGACTATTTTTCGCATGTGAAGGAGAAGAATATCTTCAAAATTTTAAATATCTTCAAAATCAATCATTGGATTTATGAAGAATTGACGAAGTTATGATGTACCAACAAAAAAAACACCTTTCAGAAATAATATATAGGATTAAAAGGAAAGAACATATTCCTAAGCTAAAAAAACCATAAACATTAAATTATCAACAGCATTAAAAATATCCCAAGTTTGATTAATAATATAAGATACATCTAAGAATTTAGGAAGTAGCGTTCAAATGGAATATGGCACTTTCTGTAGTCTTAATTTGGAAGTTTTGCCTATTATTTTCCTTACTCTTACTTTATTTAGAAATAATTTTTAAATTTTATCACTAATTGTTATTATGTAAATTAAGCAATATTAAATAGAGTAGGAAACAATGAATCATCTTGCTTATGCCCATCTCTGACCTTGAAATCCTCCGACAACAGACCATTCATCTTTACCATGGATCTACAATCACTTAGGTTTATTCCAGTCAAAGTGACTCCAATCTTATCACTGTCTTCAGAAATTGATTTATCCAACAAACCTTATTTTAGGATTTACATCCTTTTCACGATCTTCTCCACTTCATTCACTCATTTCAGGCTTAGTCTTCCACCTTTTGGTCAATCCTTGAGCAGGTGGTTGGGAATTGAATCTCTAGGCATATGCAATACATGACATAACCATCTGATTTGGTTACTCCTCAAAATCTGCTCTTTCATAAATCCAGCACAGGTCTTCATTGATGCAAATTTTCTAATGTCCATGTTCTCACACCAGACCAGATCCTGCAGAGAACCCTTCTTTTAAGACCAAATAAAAATGTGGTGTACAGTTGATCTACCATAAATGTCATAACCATAACTAATTAACGTTTTCGGAACAGGAAAGATAATTCAACTAAAAACTTTATTAAGTAAGTCTGTCATCTGCCTCCTGCAGTGCCACATGCCACGCCCTGATGAAGACCTGCAAGGTGGGTCGAAACGTCGGCATAATTAAAAATACTATTTTTAAATAATCTAGTATTTATTTGACCGCAACTCCCGACCAATTCCTTCTCATATGATATCACAGTCAACCATCTCTACATCATTATAAAAACTTTATTGCTTTGGTTAATTCAATTTATGAAAACACTAATTATAATTAACATTAAATAGGAATGATTTCTGTCAATGCTAAAGAAAATAAAGTTTATAAATGTATTAGAAAAAATTAATAAAACATATTCAAACTGGAAAAACAATTTTAAATCTGCCCAATGACTTAAATTTACCATTATTCCACTCTCAGTACAAATAATTTTAAAAAATCAGGTTTTGTTGATTATTTTCTTTTAAATTTGATGACTCAAAATGGTCTATGATCTTAGAAATATACAGTAATCAATTTGAAATAAAAGCTACATGATATTTTACTTACGTATCAAAGCAGAGCTCTATATTGTATATAGCTGGCACTCTGCCTCGTAGCTGTGCGAGGCTAGAAATAAAACCTTTAGTCCGAGGAGTCAGATGCCTTTTCAGAAGAGGTAAACCTTTATCCTTAGCAAATATGAGGCTTGCTTCATGTTTATCCTCAGTGAATCGTGTGCCTTCAGCAAATAACAGCAACTGCAAAGAATTATTTATTTAACTCACTACCATCAAAACATGAGTAAGTAAATAATGAGTTAAGGATTAATTAATAAAAGTTTAATTAGTATAAAAAAATAAATTAAAAACGGTTTGGAGTACTGATTCAACAAAATGATGCAATCAGACATTTTAGTGTTGTTTTTTTAAACATGGCAAACCATGACAAAACAAAAATACACATATTTTCTTTACAATGTAAGGCTATATAAAAATAATATTAAAATCTCTTGTATTCAATAATTTATTTTGCATTAAATGTCACAAATATCAGAAGGGAACCAGCCCATATTGTCATAAAAAAAATTATTTTCCCCCAAAAATATTTTTAATGATGGGGTGTATAAAAAAAATATAAATATAGTTTTACCAAATTTTTATCAAGAAATATAAATATTTATTTTGTACCTATACAAAATTAATCAATAATTTATAATATTGGAAAAATAATTAAATAAACTTGTATCACAGTTAATCTGTGATATATAGTTTAATAAGAATAGTTCACTAGTTAGATATATATTTTTAAATTATTGAAAAAATCATTTACCAGTGAATTTTTAAAGTTAATATTCTTACTAAAATATGGAGCACCTATTAGAATTTCAGTTAGCTTTTTCAGCTGTCTTTGGTACAAAATATCTGTTCTGCGTCACAAGTTTACAATTTTACTAGCCAACAAGTTTATTTTTAAGAATGAAAAAAATTGTCAGTCCAAAAATTTCTTTAACGAGTTAGCCGACGTTTTCACCCAAATAGATGGGTCGTCAGTAGTACCAACGCGCTCTCAAGGCTAACTCATTAAAGATATTTGACAGCAAATACTGACAACTTTTTTCATCTTTATAATTTCAGAAACAGATTGTTATAATACTCAATAAAGAAATATTATTCTACAAAAAAATAATTTCAACTGTCAACAACATACCCATCTCTAAAAAATGTCTATATACAATGCTGCCCTATTTTGTTCTTTATTCCACCAAAAGTTGCTAGTTGACAGGATAGATGTCAACATCAATATTAACATGTCGCCAAGATTTTGTATACCCGTGCAATTTTGGGAATTTAATTTCAAATATTTTTTTAACTTTGTTTCTGCATTCAAGATAACAGAACCAAGAGAAGATTCTTTTCTATTGAAAATAATAAGCCCTAAGCCCATTTAAAACTACCTCTGTATGATTTTTGTGCGTTAATTTCTTTCTGTTAATTTCAATCCATATGATACTAGTTACTTTTAAGTAAACTATTAGTAGGTAAAAGTTAATCAATTAGGGAAACATATTAAGGTACTATTTCGCTTGTACTGCCAATGGCAGCGATCGCCATTCCTTACTGCTAACTGTTAATCCATGTGTATTTCACTGATACTGCTCACCGTGGTGGCCAGCTCCTTTTAATCTAGCACTCTTGTTTGAAATAATTTTAAATAAAAACATTATCTTTAAATTTAATGGCTTTCATTTGTTCATTCAACGATGGCGGAGTTGAGATCTTATTTAATTAGGCTATTTTTTCAGGTATTTAAAGTTGAACAAGAATAGGTTATGCCTGTACTACAAAACATCAGCAATTATCTACATATTAATGCATCAAAAAGTGATGGTTTATTAAGAATCTTCATAGAAAGATGACTTAATATTATTTTAAGAATTAATGGTGTATCTCTGATTTTAAGCTTAAACTTATTTTTAGAATGATCATTTAAGTAATAAATATTATATATATTTGAATTGAAATTATAGCATAAATTTTTGTACCGTTTTATCATTAAGTAATTTGTATTTAATTTTTAATGCATAAAGCAAAATATGTTTCCATTATTTAATTTATTTAATGTCAGTTGGATTTAGGTACATTGCTATTTGTATGTAAAATACGTTTAGTGTAATAAATATTCATGTCACTTCAATCCTACAAAACTGATTTACTATAGCTTTGCTGACAAAAAGGAAATGAAACGCAGCAAGTAGACTGTTATCATCAAAACTCTTTTCAGATATGGATAGCATAACCTTTAACCGCCGTACAGCCAACGACTTCGCAGCTTCAGGAGTGGTCAGAAAGGAGCAGTATAGATATAATGTCATATCTAGACTGCCGAGCATTGCTAATGAAATATGCCCCATCCTATTTCACTAAAGCTGTCCTCAACTGCTAGCAGTTGACGAGGTGGGCAGTACCAGCTAAATAGGACCTTTAAACATGTTTAATTATTTACATCCAGAGATATGAATTTTAGTTAGATTAGGAACAGTAGCTAATATAAAACTTCAAAAATGTAACTTATGTACAAAATAAATAAATAATATCACATGATACATGCATAATAAAACATGATGAATAATTACAAAAATTTATTAATGACTAACAAACATTGGATCAGGATACTGAGCAATCTCAGCTACTTGCCGGCCAATCATATCTTTATCTTTCTCATAGTTTCTTTCAAGGAAGACACTCTCACTGAACTTCCACGCCCAACCCATTGTTGGTAAGTATTGTATACTTTTCTTGGCATATGCTTTGCAATTCTAAAAATATTTATAAACAATTTAATAACATAAGCTAACTATACAAATATAATATTAATAAAAAACAGTGTAATCACAGAAATTAAAAGTTAAAAAACAAATACTCAGCCTAATCTATAGCAGTACAAATAAATAGTTATTATACAATAATAAGAAGAAGGACTGCTGAAAGGAGAACTTATAAAAAAAATCAAACAAGAATTTAAAATTGAAGCAGATACTTCCAAATAAAATGTTTGGAGCATATAAATTTTCATCAAAATATAACTAAATAGAATATTTAATAGAAGGTAGTAAACTTTTTTCTATTATTTGTTTGCCTTGAAAATTTATTTAATTAATTTCTAAAGTAAGTATTTTACTTTCAGATAAATCAAATTTTACACTATCTTAACCAAAATCATAGGTGCAGACTTTTCATTCTGGTTGATGGGGGAGAGGGGAGGGGGCGATGGACCTCCTAAAATATAGTATAGGAAGTTAATATTATGTATGAAAATTATGAATTATTGTAAAACAATATGATATTATATATGAAAAAAGTTTATAGGTATGTTTATATATTAATGATTTTTTTTTTTTCATATGTGTTACAGATATATCGTTGGCACCATAAATACCAAAGTAATTAATGTTAACCTGCCTAACCTTTCACATTCGTTACTTTAATATGGTGCCGATGAAGTTAAAAAAGATATTAACACAGCGATGGACTCTAAATTCTGCGCTGATTCAAAATGGAAGAGTGGAGATGAATGAATCATAAAAATCCTAGGATACATAGCTACACGTAATTATCTTTGGATATAAACTAAAATTTTGAGAATAGGTAGATAGGGCGTGAGAAAATACTTGCATACCTACTTTTAGGCCTTAGCTTTGCTATCTATTTAACTCTTCCTATTTTCTTAATTAATTTTAGTTTACATATTTAATTCATTTATGTAGATTAATTGTTATTAATTTTGATTGTTTTTTTCCTTCGAAATATTGGGGGGTGAAATAATATTCTCATCCTCTTTCTATTTTTATTTTTTCTTCCCTCTCAAGTCTGGGCCCAGGCCCAAAATATAATTTTTTGTATATTGTCATGGAATTTACTTCAAATCTACATGATATTGTTATAAGTCAGGAAAACAATGTCTGCTTGATTTTTTTTTTTTTAACTTTGAAAAATGTATATATAAATTTAATAGCTAGGAAGAACTATGAGACCTGTAAGGAGAGAAGACATTGATGACATTGCATTTCCTGGTAAGATGGTGTAAGAAAGGCGTGAATTGTAGTAGAAGGGAGTTGGTTCAAGAATGGGACATCTGATCCAGACTTGAATTGAAAAGTTGATGATGATGACTACACTGCCATTATGCTTCATGTCTCTGCCTATGTCAAATGTATGGTTATACTGCTTTACTTGTCATCATGTGAATATGAAGTGTCCTATTTTATTCGGTTTTTTAATTTAAAAAAAAGTTCATCCTGCTGAAATTAGTGTGTTATTGGTTCATTCATGATTATTTGTTCATGATGAATAATCTGGGCGTCCTATTGCCATGAATGAAGAATTTACATAAAAAGTTGATAAGTTGAGTTGAAGGGGAAAATTGTAGAGAAACTGTCATATGTCAAGAAACTGTTACTGATTTAACGGTCAGGGGCAGTATTTTTTTATGATGGGATCCAAAAGCTGGGGTGCCACAACATAAACATCTTCCAGTCAATATTAATTTAAATAATACCTAAAATGTTGCCTTATATTCAATCAATTAAATTAATTAAAGAAAGGATAGTTTTATAGCTTATGGCTTAAACTAATTAATAATTAAATAATCCAATTTACACCCAAAACTCCAACTCGGTCACAGAATATCCAACCAATTAACCAATCTATCTCATAAGTGTGGTTCATTATAAGGTAGCCATGCTCTCGTCCAAAATATTTTTTAAAATTATCACTGTCAGAATACACAATGAGATCACTTCCAGACCACCACTCTGCTAAGAATACAAGTTCTGAAAACAAAAAAGTAAACAATAGAAAATTAAGTTCAAGTGAAAAAATTACATATACTATAAATATAATTAATAAACAATATAAACATTTGTCAGGTGAAATAGGTTCAAATATTTTTTCAATAAACCTAAATACTAAGAACATCAGTAACTAAGTTCATGAAGCAAAAAGCACATGTACAGATCTCATAGGAGTGACCTGGAGTAGAAATTATAAAGTAAATATTTTGCAAAAGTATCTGTAATCCTTTTTACAATTTTATTATCTTTTCTGCATAACCTGGAAGCAAATTCACAACACAATCTTTTTGATAAGTGTAAAATTATTCTGTGAAAACATGAAAATTTTCGTTGTTGTCATTTTCAGTGTGTTCCTTGAAAATTAATTAGATAGAAGATGGAATTATATTAGATAAAATTCAAATGGTCCCAATCATGAAAAGTTAGCATTGGATTAAATAAAAACATTTATTTTTTTTATCGATAGCCCTACCTCACCTTAATGGCATACGGAGGATTGCTCTTGAGGTACAACGAATCCTATTCTAATCAGAATGGAAAGGTTGAGATTCATTCCGTGGGTTTGTCACAAAATGAATTTTAAACCACCCAGGCCAGATTCGAAATGGCGTCATTAGACTTGAGAATGATAAAGTTTACGATTTGACATGTTCGGCCATCAGGACTTCAACATTTACTGAAAACATTGTTTACTCTGAGGTATTATAAATCAGAGCAGTTCACCATTCATTGAATTAAGTAGTTTGTCCTTATTAAAAGGACCAGATGGAGAAACATTTCATAGACCATCTTTAAGAATTATAATGTTTCTGTTTTAATAATATTGTATTTGTTTCTAATATTATTATTACTTGTTGTAAATTATATTTAATTGTTTGTGAAGCTATTGTTTTACTGCAATCAGTACCTATGGTTTTTACTGAAACCAAAATTGAATAAATGAATAAATATCATGCTTTGTATTTTTTTCCCAGTGATTAAAACTGTTCTTGGGAAAGCTATCCCCAACACACCTCAATGGATCTTAATGAAACAGAAACATGAGTAAAATTTCCTAATTGTATTATTTAATAGTATAATATACAAAGTAAATGTTACAGATATCTCAGGTTAGTTAAACAGTTCATTACTTTGTTTAATTTTATGGGAAGTTTCTTTGAGGATAATATTTTTCTGACAACTAAAAATTTACCTGATAAAAAGTAGGACCACATAATCATAGACATAACTATTCACAATATTTAATTTAAATAACTTTAATTCAAATAAATTTTAAATCTGAAAACATTTCCTCTATAAAATAATCATAACAACAAAAATACTTACGTGAATATAATGAGTAGCACAGATAATAATTTAACTTCCTATAAGCAAATTTACAGAAAGGTCTTAAAAAATAATATAGAGAGCCTTGAATAATATTGAGGATTATTCCAGATATAAAAAATGTGATGGTCATTAAAAGATGCGAAACAGGAGATTTTTTAACGTACGTTAAAATGGAAGACATTCTTATCTGTAAATAAAAAAAAAGGAAGTGTAAATATATAAGAAAAATAAATTAAAATTTCCTACAGTTTATATTACTTATAAAAAAAATATATTTCCTTTCATCTCTTGATTAATTCAAAATCACAAAATTGATTAGTCAGTCAATAATTCAGATAAAAAAATAAAAGATTTAATATTTTCTCTCATGTAGATTCATGAGTTTCTTAAACAAACATACATTTCATAATTTTACCATTGAAAAAATATGTAGCATTAATATTTATGATGGACTGTCTATAAGAAAAACCTTATTATAAAAAACAGCATTAAAATAATAACTTTACACATGAAACATTTTTATACAAAATAAATTTAAATAAATTTCAAGAAGATATATATAAAGCATGCAAGATATGTTTCACTCAAAATTTTAAAAAATGAGTTTAATCATGACTCATCAACTTTAATCCAATATCATTACAGTGGTTCTTAACTTAGCTTAAGATATATTTAATCTCTAAATATTTAATAATCAATTAAACCAATTTTTAATAATTAATTCTAACTAATGAAATTTCACTTTAATTTTTTTTAAATTGATAAATTCCTAATAAATAATTGAATAAACAAATAAAATGACAAGAAGATAATTTGGTTAATCAATCTATTTCAAAGTTTTAAAAAATAAATCAATATTTAATTCATTAGAATGAATTTTCATTTTTGTAATTCAAATTTATGGAAATTTAAATGTAGCATTCAAATTTCTTAGTAGACACAATGGCATTGACATACCGTTTTTCCGAAATCTCTTAACAAGATTTAAAAGATAAAATGTAAATCTATTTCATTAGGAAGTCATAAACATACGTTATTAAATGATTTTTTTAAAAATAGATAACTTATGAACTTTAGTCTCCTTATCAGAACACTCCCTTCTTGGTGGTTACAATTTAGAACAATTGAAAAATTACTTCGCGTTCAGAAATTCGTTTACATAAAGAAATTAAGTTTCGATTGCACTTCAAAAGAACTAACATTAAGAGGTTTTTAATAACTATTTATGGAAATAGTTTTTTTTATGATGATAATCAACTCATTGATAACATGACTAGAAACTGCCATAAACAATACTTCTACTAGCAGTTTTACCATTTCGATACAAAAAACACGATTTTTAGAATTTTGACATCAAAATTTTATAGTACTAATGTAATGCCAAAAACTGTTTTTTTAAATTTATAAATAAAGGTTTGTATGCGAACCGAAGTTTTGTTTTTCAGAATGATTTTCACCTTTAAAGTCATATCAAATCTGTTAAAATAATGTCTCCACATAATGTTTACAATATTTTAATCATAAAATATAGGTTTATTAACTGTTGAAATGAAATTCATAGGAGAATGACTTAGAATATGGTCTTCCATATTAAACGAATTGTAGTACATTAGTTAATATATATTTGTAAATGTTGTGAAAAAACAAAATTTAATGTAATGAGAAAAATGGCACAGTGACATGATAGTTTTATCGGTTTTGTAAAATTTAAATAACGAAAATTTATGACCGTTTCTTGAAAATATTAACAAAAAACTGCAGTAAATATTTCATAAGTTAATGGAGGCTGAATGGAAAGCGTTAGAAAATCGACTTTCTGCTCCCATGACAATCAAATCGATCAGATTCTCTTTTAATTTTCTTCTTAGTTTATTAAAACGGTTTAACTATCTAAAGGAGGAGAGGAGTCTCAGCGGGAAACACACTGTGTTATTAGGGCATAGTGTCGAGTCTTGTGGCAAATAAATATTTAGTATGTATTATCGACAAAAGTGGCACATCTAAGCTCTATTAAGCGGGGATCTTAGATTAATTAAGAGAAAACTATGGTGATTAAGTGTGATTCGGACACAATCACTTCTCTGAAAAACAGTTGGCCAAGAAACAGTAGTTCCTAACAAAACATTTAACCCAAGAGCTTTCTTGGGTTATAGTGGTACGCATTTTTTTTGTTTTACTTGAAGATCTAAAATGATTCATTAACGACTATTTCGGTATATGAGCTATAAAGAGATTATTTTAGTGTCTGGATTTCGATATTGAAAACTGAGAAATGAAATAGTGACCAGGGTTGTGGAGAGCATGAAATACCATGTTCTTCTCAGATTAAAATGTGTAGGGCCTACCGCATCTTTCCACTCGTATACGAATTCCGTGGGTAATTCTCTCTGTTCATTAGCTGGGGAACATGCTCTCTGTCAGTGTATATATCCCCGCCTCTCTCAGGAGCTTAGCTCTTTGTGCCTCATAGGCAGTACATTCGACTACTACATGTTCGGCGGTCTCTGGAACGTTGGGGCATAGCGGATCAATATTCTTTCCGTGTATAACGAGCTTCGCTCGGAAGCCCCCGTGTCCCTTGAGGAGTTGAGACACCCAGTAATCCGGGAGGACCCATCTTGCATCTAATCGTGACTTGACCGTAGGGAAGTACTTTCTTAGAGTAGCTCCCTTCGGAGTTGCCATCCATCGCCGGTTCCATTGATCAACTGTGTCCTCCCTGATAATTATTTTCCATCTTCTTGGTTCTTCTTCAATTCTCATCTTTGGATGTTCCGGTAGATCCGCCTAACCTTATCTTTTCATTTTAAAGAGGTAATAGCTTTCTCGCAGGAGGAGATCGAGAGGTGTTCTCCCTGCCAGTACTTGCACTGCCTCACGAGATATCGTTCTCTAGGCTCTAGTAACCCGAAGTAAAGCCAATCTCTGAATCGACCTACTCTTCGGTGTAAGAGATTTAGGTTTCAGGCTGGGAATGCATATGTCAGAATACCCAAAACAACTCCTTGTATATAGTTGTATATAGTCATTGTAGCTGAGTATCTGAGACCCCAGAAGGCGCCTCCAACACGACTGAGTCCATTTAGGACCACTGTGACTCTAGTTCACATACAGTCCAGGTGAGGAGACACGTTGAACTTTCGATGAATTTTTATGCCAAGGTAGGCGAATCTCACTGCTTCCACAAGGCAGGACCCAGAACAGGTCCCTGCGGGCAGCCCCTTTAGACGGTATCTCCTACTTCAACGAATCTGTCCCTAATTTTCAATGTTCATTCCTGGAGGTAGCTTCTCACTAGTTCATACAGGTTACTGGGAGTTTCATATTTCTGGAGTTGCTGGAGAACACTCGGCCACCACACGCTGTTAAATTCAGAGTACATGTCGAACAGGATAAGCATGACATACCTCTCCGCACTTTCTTTCTTTGAAAAGATTTAAAAGTAAACCAAACTATTAAAATATTGTTAAATAACAGAATAAGTTCAAAAACATAAAACTACATCGACAACTATAATAATTACGGTAAGAATCTCAAAACACTTGTGAAATTCAGATTACATTCTTACACAGCAAACTTGGTATTTTTATTTGCTTAAACGAACATAATTATATTACCGGCTTTTTTCGATTTAATTTTCATTGGGCTTTCTTAACACTTAGATAAATCAAATAACATTTAATTTTAGTTATACATCGATGAGATTTTTTTATCTCCCAATGGAACTCCTGAGACCAGGAAAAATGAACGATCGTCTGTTATGAAGGTTAGTGGCTTCAAAAGAAAAAGAACTATTAATGAGCAATTGATACTCTGAAGGGAAGGCTATAATTAAGAGCCTCCTATAACTACACATTCCAACCTTCGGTAATGATAAGTGGATTCATAACATTTCCTAGACCCCCAGTTACGTTGGATTATTTTCATGACAGAGCAATCCTTGGCATATACAATCTACTCTGATCATCCCAATTGCCAGTTTGATTGATGGTGATCTTGCATATTTTCATACCCTCGAGGAAGCTATTCCCAATCTAGCTATTGGTCTTCCTCGAGGTCTTACTCCTTCGGATTTTCTTACATACAGTTTTTTGGCCTCTCCTTCATCATTCTGTGCACATATTCTAGCCACTTTATACGTTGAACTCTGGCAAAACTTGATATCAGGAGGTATCCACAGATAGTAAACAGTTCCCTGTCTTCCTAAAAGGTAGTGTGATTTTCTCAAGCTTGTCCATTTTTCAATCGTATATCTGTTCTTTTATAACGGATTACCTTAACTCTCTGACTGAGGAGCCGGCAAAATAAGCTTATTTGATCTAATTTTCTCCTCCTCATTAATACGACTTTCCAAATATTCGAAACTGGCCATATACTGGAAAGTGTAACTCCCAAACGTATAAAAAGCATCCCAATGGCGTTATAAATTTTTAAAAAAAATTTAAACAGAGTCTCAGGAGGTCACAATAATAACATGATAGAATAATTTAATAAAGCAAGCAATATCCACATTATTGATAATAATCGGCACCCTGATAGGAATAGTACACTCTCTGCCTTGGTGTATAGGAATGTAAACAAATCCGGTTTTTAAATAAAATGAAAAATGTTTAAAAAAGTGCTGATTGTCTCTGGACACAATGGCATCCTATAATCCAATAATGGAATAGTAAGTGGTGATAGTAATTTTAAAAAGTGTAACCAAACATGTATAGCTTGCAGTCAATTCCAGATCCTTCAAAGAAATGGATATAGTGGATAAAGTCGTGCATCTCTTCAGGACTCTACACGAATCTCAAGAAATTAAGGGGATGAAGAAGGAAAAGAAAACTACAAAACCACCATTGGCAAAGCAGAAAAAGATCGCAGAGATTGTTAAATCTCTTACATCAAGGTCGGCAAACAAGAAGGCTAGCTATGTATCTATAAATGGCGCAAGTAAGATTCCAATTGGAATAATTAAAGACTAAGCTTCTCGACGAAATTGGAAAAACAAGCTAGGGTGGTCTATGCCGTCAAGACGGCCTCGGTTTAGATCTGTGTCAACAACGATAGATGCATCAATTGTATGCTAGGAAATTCGACTTTGACTAATGCATGTCCAGAATAACCAATATCATACCCAATGCTCAGAAAATTTTATTCGAGCATGGGAATGGAAGAGTTCAACTGATCCAATTGTAGACAAAGTACTTAAGTGGTATTAGGAGATGTCCAAACGATCCAGTGTTCGTGTAGAGAGATGAAAAGAAGTGCACTTGGGATGATTAAAAGTTAATAAAGCTAGTTTACAACAATAGGAATTGAAATCACAGAAATAGAATTTCTGGTTGGAATTAATGGTAGTGAAATCAACAAAGAATTCTCGCTGTATCCCATGTAGAATGGTTCTAGGTGGTTTATCCCATCACAAACTATTGTAGTGCTGAAGTATGAAAATGTTCCTGGGATCACTTTGTAATAGTAATCATTCTTATTAATGCAACATACCTGAGAGATGATCTATCCCAAGACAAGAAAAGGCATTTGTGAAACACACTATGTATAAACCACCTGGAAGAGGCTTGTTCTCAACAAAATACCTCTGGGCACTTTTTTTTTTTCAGTTACTTCCTACCCCACCATTGCTGGCATAAAGAGAGATTTTTATAGAGGTATATCCAAACCTATTCTAACCAGAGTGGGAAGGTTAAGATACCCCTACAAAGCAAATTTTTACCCACCCAGATTGGTTTTGAACCGAGATACATCCAGAAACTTTGAAATGATAGGCTGAAAATTGATTTTGCTCCAATTTTTAGAAATAGTATCTCTTATATTTCAAGGAACACTTCCTCAAATTATATAAAGAACATCTGGATAGATGTTCTTAAAGCCTTAAAAGATGGACAATCACTGTCCTTGAGTCTACTTAACAAGGAAAAGGATATATATATAAACAACTTCCTAAGCTAATTAGACAATATATAGCCATTTAATTCAAATAATTTCCATAAAAATAAATGCAATTATATTATTAAGAGCTAAATAGTAATTATAAAAAAAAATTATTCACTGATATGAAGTATATTTTATTCCAATGTGAATTTGTTTTCTTGTGGTTTATATAATTAGAATAGACTAAAAAGCTTATCTTTGGGTCTATAGCAAAAATTCATTAAATGAAATCACTTCTTTGATGAATTCTTACTTTGTGAAATTAAAACATTGTTTACTTACAACATTGTTAACTAGATTTAGTATATGAAAGAAATGTTATTTTGCTGCACTTATTGTATAATTATATCCTTAAATAACTTGATATTCACAAAATTCTACATAAAAGTTTAGCTCTAAATGTACTTATCAACTTCTAGCAATAAACTTATGATATGTATCTATAAACAATTTAATTTATGCTCAAAAAAATTGATTAAGCCTTACAGTTTCAGGGCTGCTCACTCGAAGGATATTGAATGAGTTAACAACAAATTATTTAAATTAGAAGCATATTTAAAATTTATAAATTATTTGAAGAGCTTAATAGCAATAGAAACATGATATTAATCACAGATTAGAATTTACTAAGTAAGGATTCTCTAGAACTGATTCAAATTTTTTAAAAGTTTCCATGTATGCGGTTGCATTGTCCGGAACTAGACTGGATAAGTTCTTAACGGTCCTACAAAATTTGACCCATAACTGTTCAGTTATAGCAAACTCTTCATACTAAATAGACAATTCTCACTTCCAATTTACTTTTAGTTTTTATTGCATATTTTTGATCCAAAATCTTTTAAGGTCAAATTTCAGTAAGGATTCAATATTACACAAATCAAAATACTGTATAATTTTATTATACAAAAAGGCACTAATTCAAGAATGGCAATTAGGAAACAAAAATAAATATATAAACAATAACAATTTTATACAGTTATAATACTAATATTTACAAATTTGAATATTTACATTCCTTAGCATCACATACAGGAATTCGGTAAAATATTTACATTTGAACAACATTAATAACATGAAATAGACCTAATCAATCACAGTAATTTTTCAATGTCAGTCGAGGGACTACGTTCATCGATTGCAGTTCTTGAAATAACAGTTTACATGCATAAGGAATCCTGATGGTGGAGACTGAAGCACTGCTATTGCAACCATGACACCTGAAAAAAAAAAATTAATCAGAGGGGTTGTTAAAAATAAAAATAAATCTCCGAGAAGAAAATAAATTTTCTATTAGGTAATATTAGACAGCTTTATATACTTTGAAGATTATGATTTTTTTTAACCATTGGCAGTATCTCTATAATTTATATTATTTTAATTTGTTTCATATCTTATACCCAGAAAAAAGAAAGAAGCTTTCAGGGACCTACACCATATTCATCTCTTTTCTCCTTACTTTTATATTTAAAAACATAAAAGAATGCAACTGCGTGCATACTTTGTCCCATATATTTCTCTGAGAAAAGGACTACTCACTGTCCGACACCATCTCACCTTATGCTCTTATTATTATGATAAAGAGACTGTCATTGGTAAAAAAATTTGGATCTTCAATAAAGTTTCTTTTGAAGATATTTTGAATTAATCGCTGACAAACCTCTTTTAAGTTTTCTGTAATTTATTTTAAAGTCGGGTCGAAACGTTGGCTTTTAATAAAATAATTTTGCCACTATTCAGCCTGTTTATGACCGCCACCCCGGACCATCTCCTTCCTTTATAATGCAACGGTCAACTATTAAATATTCAATAATTTATTTTAGGTTTTACAAGTCATAAAACAATAATGTTCATCTTTTAATTATAGAAACTAACTTTATTTTATTTTTTTATTCTTAGAGCTTAATAGAGTATGTAGATGATGTATTAATGAAATGACTTAAGATGCTTATAAATATCTCAGTAGAAAAAATTATTTTAACCTAAAATGAAGTTTGTTTGTCCAGATCACATGAATCATTAATTTCCAAAGGTAACCCTAATCATTATTAATAATTCTTCAGGAAGCGAGAAAAACTATATTTTCTATTCCTGTTTAATATCAAAACTACTATTTTTAAAATAAGTGAAAGTAATAAATTAAGAAATTATTTATTTGTAGAACATACTTCTGGAAATAATTGATTATTTCAATAATAATAAAAAAAAAACATTAAAACTTAAATAGGGCACTGAACCTCAATTCTTTTGGATTTTTTTTATCCTTTCACAGAACTTGTGCCAGACTAAAAATTATGCGTCATATTTACAGCCACTCGCAGCAAGCTACAATACACTAGTTTTATATAGTACAGAATACATAAAAACAACTGATCTGTTTTCACCCTCACAATGCCTTATCACTGAATATGTCGGAATAAAAAATGGCCGGATGATAGGAAATGAACTATATTGTCAGAGATGTAAAATAAAAAATGGATCCATAATAGGAAAATGTTTAAAAAATTTTCCAATGATACGTACCAACCAGAGTAAGCAAGACGACCGCATAAATTACAAACATCAACATCAAAAGCATCACTAGATATCATCAGTCTTTCTATCAGCATCATACTAAAACAAAATTTAAAAAAAACAATGCAATATTCTTACTTGAATGGAACAAGAATATAATAAATTTAAAACATTTTGGATACATCAGTTGTGTAAATATGAAAAAGAAATTAGTGTATGCAAAATACATATTTATTGAATAAAAATATTAAAATTTCAAAAACTGCGATGCATAGTACAATCACTCGCTATAAAGAGACACTCTCTCACCATGATAAAACTCGATCAGGAAGGCCACGAATAATATCTAAACAAGAGGATCAATTTTTATTTTAAATAGCAAAAGAAACAGAATACTAATAGGTCCTCAGATTAAGGATAATATTAATAAGATTGGGCGAGGAAACTATTGAAGCATGGAGGAAGATAGGTGGAATAGAGCATTATCATGAAGCAAAATCACTTTCTGTGGTCTTTTTTGAAATTCTCATCGTTTTTCACGCAATAGTCAATTCAAATCGACCATTTGTTGTTGACAGCGCCCAGAATTACTGATAAAACCAGGTTTTAACAGCTCATTCGCTATCTTCAAATATCTTCTGAACTCTTGATTTTTCACCTCACAAGGCATAGAGATTTACCAAGAGCATGCTCACCGTAAGCTTTGACATGATTTCAATGCGATTCTGCATCAATTTTCTTTAATTGGTAACTGAAAAAAAAAACAAATGCTATTTGCAAATCATAGTTTGTAGACACATACTATTAAATGATGACATTCTAGGAAATTGTATTGTTGAGCTTGAAAATTTTCTCAGCTGTCAAAAAAAAGAAAATGACGGTAATAATGCGGTTCAAAAGTAATTAAATTAACAACTAGAACCATCTAGGGATGAATTTCGGTTTCATGTTTACACAAAATAGAGTTCTTAAGAAAATAAAATATAATAAATTAATAAAAATTATAGTAGTATATACCTATATAATTTTAATTACGTACCTAGCACCATAGCTAATAAGACAGTCCCGTTCCATTTCCCCCACCCTTAAACCTCCTTCTCTGCTCTTGCCCTCAGTCGGCTGCCTGGTGAGTACTGCTCTTGGGCCTCTGCTACGAGCATGCATTTTGTCTTGAACCATGTGTTTTAGTTTCTGATAGTAAACCTGCAAAATTTAATATAAAATTATAATATATAATAACTGATAATAATGAACAAGAGAGCAGAATGTCAAATTATATTAACTTTTACATATAATCAATAGTGATAAAAACCAGCTCTATACCTGAGATATTTCATAGCCAAGGGTATCTAAAAGAAACTGAACTGATGTTGGAAAGATCACAAAGTTTTTTTAGTACTACGTTTAGCTGCTAGGAGGGTATAGAGTTACAATTTAAGAGCCAATAAGCCAAATGTAATGATTAAAAGTTTTGTTCAGATTTTGTAGATTAAATTGTTTAGTGTAATAATTGTATTTTCAAGCGATGATTCTTTTGATTACAGCTTAGATAAAAACACTTTCCTTTCATGTCTCTTTTCATAAGAGAAAGTCAGATGAATAAAGCAGGTAAGACATCGAGGTGTACTATTTTTGCTCATAAAATGGAGCACAAAAGACCAACTCAGACCATAATAGAGAAAAATCATCTGGAGTTTGATCATGTCTCTGAAATGGCAGAGAACAGAGTGGCCAGGATTGCATTCGAAAGCAATGTTGATGAAGAAGGCCTCAATAAACAGGAATCAAGGTGGCCTTTAATAGAAGAGAAATGGACCGAAGGAGGTAGCATTAAGCACATCATCGAGAATTGTGGATTCGGTTCTACAAGAAGAAATGATCGAGAAGAGAAGAAGAAATCGGTGCACAAAGGTGTGAGAGCAGGGATGTTATCATGGAGAAGTCGCTGTAAAACCACAAATAAGACTTATTCCCTCACAAACTTCTTCAATGGTCTTTCATAAATCTCTGGAGGATAATAGAGCAATTTTTTAAAACATTTTCATCAGTTTGGGCTGCGAAGTTAGTCTTTCATTAACATTTATCTCTTTTTATATATCATCCTTATAGACTACTTTTAACATTTCAATAGTTTATGTATCATATTTTTCAATCAAGAAGCTAGAGTTCAGTTTGTCAATCAAGTTGACAATGAGAATCGGTCAAAAAGAACTTGTTAATTAAGTTCGACCACAAGCACTACTATATCTCTAAACCTTTATAATTACTAGAGGATAGAAAACACCTGTACCAGTAACAAACCATGAAGGGTCTTGGGTTCAATACAATGTGAGGAAGTAACATTAAGAGGACAACAGTTGTGCAGGAAGGTGACGGGTCAATATCACACTCAACTGCTGGGTTCAATATCAATATCACACTCAACCCCCTTAATTAATAATTTAACTAAGAGTACCCACACTTTATAGAGGCTGGGTTTGCCTCAGGAGGGTCTCCCGTGGCCCCGGGTTGACTCTCGGCTGATAAAAAATTACAAGTCATCAGCCGGATTCAAACCTGGGACCTTGGGCTCTGGAAGTCCGTGCCCATCCACTGAGTTACCCTGCTCCTCGAGGACATAAAATAAGAGATTTTTATTTATAAAACTTTTTTAAAACACAGTCAAAGGAAAGAAAGATAGGAAAAAAAGATATATTATCATATACTGAGAAGAAATATTTCAATGTATTACTGCAACATTATCCTACAAATACTTACAGGACCCGAGTAGATATAGGCTTCAAGAGGTTCTCCAGTGATGCCAGAATAAAAAAAATCTTTTCCTTGGTAATTGAATCCATTTTTAACAAGCTCTTCGCAAATGTCTTCTACTTTTGCACCCCCAAAAGCTATAAGATAAAAGAAAAAAATTAAAGAAAAATTGTGTCTTACATATTTCTGGATGGCACAAAAAAGAATAATCACTTTTGAAATAAATTAACCATTTAAGATTGTTAGCATAAATGCATTTACTTTACATATACAGATTCAGAAATGTACCCAATCTGAAATATATAGCTAATTCACGATCACTTTCAAAATGAAAGAAAGTTGGATTTAAATTGTGTAGTAGTAATGAAGAGGGAATGAGTGAGTATTAATACAGTCACAGTAACAATTCGTTTATTGGTGAGTAACGAATGTTCAGCCGACTTTTCAATGTGACAAGAGATGTAGAAACCCCTGATCACAAATAAATATTTTGTTGGGAGACGATATTCCAAACAAGATGAGTTATGAACAAGCAACCAATATTTTCTTTTTGTAACACATAGTATATTGAATTAAAGCTGAACCTTTATCCTCTATTCTATCTAATATTGCTTTAGAGTATGCAGTAAGGGCGAGTAGGACATAACCTGGTGGCACAAATTATAACAGAATGACACAGCATCTGGCTTTTGCTAATGATGTTATAATGGCAAAAAATAAAATAGCATTAGCAGAGGCACTAGAAGAATTTGAAAACACAGCACAAGAAATAGGGCTACAAATAAATGAGCAAAAGACCGTTTACATGAATACGTCAAGAAAGACGAGTAGAACAGTTGAACGCTTCATGATAGGTAACCACACTCTAAAAAGGCTCGAATACTAAGTATTTAGGAGCGCTAACTATTTAAAATTATAAAATGGTGGAAGAATTGAAAGCTAGGGTGGCTGTTGATTTCCCATTTCTCACAGAACAAAGATCACGGTGTACGAGGAAGTCATCAGACCAGTCGTCACCTTACGGTTCTAAGTCTTGGTTGATCTCTAAAGCTTCAGAAAAAAGGCTACTTGCATGGGAGAGAAGGATTCTTCGCAGGATCTATGGCCCGGTGTGCGAACATGGACAATGGAGAATTCGCACCAATAAAGAGCTGCACGACATGTATGCAAGGCTGGATTTGGTCCCAATTCTTAGAGAAAACCTGATCAGATGGTTGGGCCATGTGGCATGTATGCCCAGAGACGCTATTCCCAAATGCTTGCAAGAGGATCAATCTGGACGTGGCAGAGGAAGACCACGCCTGAATTGGCTGAACGAGGTGGACACCCTGAAAAGGACGGGAATCCGAAGATGGTAAATGCTCGCGCAAGATAGAGGAGAGTGGAAGAAAACCATAACAGAGACTCGGTTTTTGCAGGACCATAGCGAAAAGAATAAATAAATAAACACCTAGTATTTTCATTTAACTAAAAATAATTTTGAAATAATTTGTACTCTGTATTTAACTTATTAAAAAATATAGACACACATCAGGGTGTAAAAAGGATAAGATTAATCATAATTTAAATGATTATTACTAAATAGTATTAATACTATAATTTTTAATAAATTGTTCTGAATACACACCTGTGCCATATTGGAATTTTCCTTCTAATAGCCCAGACTTTCCAGCTAATAATTCAATTAGCTTCCCCACTGTCATACGAGATGGAAAACCATGAGGGTTCATGATCATGTCTGGGCATATTCCATAATCATTAAATGGCATATCCTCTTGTTCCACAATCAGACCTGATGAAAAATTTAAATGTTGGAATTTCCTTACCAAGACAAAAATTAACTAAATCCATTATAATGTAGAGATGGTTGACCGTTGATATGATATGAGAAGGAGTTAGTTGAGGGTGCGGTCAAATAAATAAAAAAATTAAAAAATATAAATAATTTTAATTTTTGCCGACGTTTCGACCCACTTTGCAGGTCGTCTTCAGGGCGTAATTTGTGGTACTGCGGGAGGCAGTTGAAACACAACTCCATTGTCCAGTGTTTCAACTGCCTCCCGCAGTACCACAAATTACGCCCTGAAGACGACCTGCAAAGTGGGTCGAAACGTCGGCAAAAATTAAAATTATTTATATTTTTTAATTTTTTTATTTATTTGACCGCACCCTCAACTAACTCCTTCTTAAATTCATTATATAAATATGATTCATTACCAGTAACACCCTTCTGACCATGTCTACTGCTAAACTTGTCTCCAATTTCTGGTCGCCTCGTTTGCCGTAATAAAATTTTAATCAGAAAAGCTTCTTCATTATTAGATGATATCATCACTTTGTCGATACAACTATCCACTGAACCTTTGTAAGACACTGGGACCTACAATACAACAGATTAGTTTAAGGCTTACAAGAACTCCGAAATTAAGTTGTATTTACTGTGACATCAGACTGAATGTCTACACTTATTCTCATTGTTTAAAAAAGAAGATGAAGTAACTTTGAAATCTAAGGGTACAAAGTCTGATTTAAATGATTTATTTTCACTTTCCTACCTATACTAGGTAAGGAAAGTATCGGGTCAAATTTCCGATATGCGGTTTTCAACGGTTCTATATGTTTCAGAGCCCTCTGAGTCTGAAAAACACATTTTTAGCCATTGATCTGTCTGTCTGAGCCAAGATTTTCTCAGAAACTAGTGAACCGATTTTGTTGCTTCTTTTTTTATTTTGTAGTGTTTTGACTACTGATGCCTGTGACACAAATTGGGTGCTCCATGCACAATATATGAAAAACATGTTTTTATATAGACTGTAGCACAAAAACGGCTCTAACCATTTTGATTAAACTTTCCTATAATGTAAGATTATGGGTACATATCCTGGTTTCAGAAAGCGATGAATGATAGAAAAAAGATAACTAAGTGAAAGTAAGAAAATCTGTTGCCTGGATCACACAAGCTTCACTATTTCCTCTACTTTTAACAGAAATTATTGTTTGACAAAATTATGCTATTGCAAAAAGTTTTTGGCCAGCAATATTAGAGAGTGTTGAAATTTTTACACTGATCTTCCCTAAGCCGGTATACATTGCTTTAGTTTATCAAATAAATTGTACTCAAATCTTTTCTTTGATCAATTTTCAGGAAAATAAATCTAATTCAATTTTTTTTGTTTCTTGATGGACATATGTAAAGATATAAAAACTTTTCTGAAATAGGTAGGAAAGTTGTGTGAGTGGACACACCAGATTTTTTGTTTTGTTAAGAATTTAATTACCTCATATATATACTTTGTCACAAAATATATATCTTTTGAGTTATGCCCAAATAAAATTTATGTTTTGCCACAAATTTTTCTTGGAACCTTACTATATATGAAAAATTAAAAGGCTTTAAGAAGATGACTTAAGGCAAGTTTCATAAAAATTGTTAGAACTGTTATGGCACTCAAGTCAACAGAAAAACACATTTTATAGGGTACTAAGTTTAGTACACATGCATTGGGGAGAAAAACTAAAAGCTTAAAAAGTAAAAACGTCTACTCATTCAAGAGATAATCATGTAACAGACACAAGCGCACAACCAAACCAATGGCTGAAAACCTGATTCAATCATGATAATTTTCGTATCTTACAGAGGTAGGAAAGAATTAAAGTATCATTTTAAAGTAAAGTATATCATAAAATACTCTTTGGAAAAATTAAAGAACAAGAAAATTACCTCTTTGTGTTCAACATTAGGCAGAGATTGTCCAGGCATTCCAGGAGTGGAGGTAGTTCCACTCACCACAGGCATTGTTTTGTTGACCAAAACCTGAACAAGAGATTCATATTAATTCTTAAGATACTGTATATATTACTCCTTCTATGAATCTTCTCATCATGAATATGCATAAACTTTCCCATAGTCGTAACAAAACATAGACCAAATACTCTTTTCCGTACTTGAATAAACATACGTAGTTAAGCTTAAAAATATTTTTTGTTGTATTTAAAAAATTAATTATAAGTACTTGGGAGTCAGAAAAATTCAAGTAATTGTGTCAAGTAAGTATTGGTTAAGTTTATTCAGATGAAACCTGAAATATCATACCTGTCTATCTTTCACTATTTCACCAGGAGCTGCAATGCCATCAGAATCAAGAGCTTGATGTTTGTATGGTGCTGTTAATGTTTCAGCCTCCAACAGAGGAGGCATGACTCGATCATATGTTTGATTAGCATACTGCTTCAAGTTACACCTTGAATTTCTATATACCAAGCATCGGCCATAACCTATAATTATCAATAAATTAAAATAAGAAAAACAAATATTAAAAAAAAACAAGTTCACAAAGTAATACTGCAGGAAATGCTTAATTTAGATTACCGCGGTCGATGGAGGCTTTATTCAATATGAGAGCATCTTCTATATCATAACCAGAATAGCTCATTACAGCTACGATAGCATTCTGACCAGCTGGTAATTTATCAAAGTTTATTAGATCCAATGCTCTACTTTTCACCATCGGAGCCTGAGGGTAGACTAAATTGTACATCAGAGTATCAATCCTGTTTCTCTGATTATATCCAATTGTTCCTTTAAAAAAATAATAATACAAAATTTCAAATAAGTGGAAACATCCATTAGTAAAACAAATGAGTCGTTTATAATTAAAACCAGTTACGTTTATTTATATAAATTTGATATAAAAAGAAAATGGATTTTTTAACAAACAAAATGTTTGATCAGTTGAAATGGCATCTTCCTATTGGGTTCTTGGAATGGTATTGAACTTTAAAATTTTATAATTTCAATGTATGCTTTAACATGCAGAAAACTGCTATTTTGTGTTAGACATAACAGGTTTTGTTTAAAAGTGGTCTCTTAAAAATTTATTTTTGGGTAGTTCTTTGGTTTTTATCAAGTTTTAATAGCTTTAGTAATTTATTTCACATTTATACACATCTTTTCCCATACAAATATTTACTGCATTGATAAAAAATATATTTTTGAGATCATGAAATTTTTAAGCAGAGATTAATTTTTGTTTATAGTTTAATATTTTTTAAAACTAAACTTGGATCATAAAATTACACAAGAACGTAGTCTATTCCTAAACGAATCTTGATAAATTTCTTCTAAATTTTTTTTTTTCGATTGTACTGCGATTCCATTAGCTGAAGGAGAAGCTAAAGATCGAAAGGTTCTATTTTAAGACCTTAAATTTGTATTCAATGTTTTTGGGATTTGTTTCTTTTCGATCAAGTCTCTTTAAGTACAAGAAACTTTAAAAATTTACTTTTATCCAATAAGAATACATAAGGGATTTTTATTCTAAATGATTAAACTAAAATGATGTGTTACAAAAAAATTTACAAGAGAAATTTCGAAGATACCAAATACTGACCCATAGCCTGCTTTCCCATAGCGCATTGGTAAGTGTTCCTCGGACTTTGATTGTGATGAGGATAAGGAACCAATGCAGCACAGACACCAAGAAGAGTGAAATCAGCTACCTCGAGGTGGGTTGTTTTCAAAGTTATTTCACCTTCATTCAAAGCAATCAAGCTGTCATTTTCTTCGTTTACATCCAAGTATTCAATCAAACCTGAGGAATAAGAGAATGGTATAAATAAAGAATTTTTGCGGATAATTCAAAGATAATATTTATCTAATGGCATGATTTACCTTCATTGAGAAAATCTTCAAATTTCATTAACCCACTAGAAAGCTTATTAATATGAGTTGAGTTAACTAGTGGTTTTCCGTTTTCAACAATTATATATGGCCTACAATTGAGATGCATATTAAATCAAAGTTGATATTTCTTAACAAAAATATAACATATAACATGTTAACATATAACATATAAAATATAACATGTTAATGCATAATCAAATAGAAAAAATGAATAAATAAAATTTAAAAAACGAATAAAAGATAGTAATTTTTACACAAAAATGTACATTGGAAAAAAAATTCATAAAAGTCTTTATTTTACTATAAATAAATACTTAGGTGACAGAAAAAAAAAATTATATAAAATAAAAATAATAATGTATATGATATACATGGAAAAATAAAACTAGCTGTATGAGACTAAATAAAGAGTAATTAGAGAGAACAGGAGGATTTCAAATATGGATAAGGAGGACTATGTTGTATTTTGAAAAAGAGAGAGAAAATCCCAGAAAATGGTAGAAGGATAGTAATAAAGGAATGTGTTTGTTTATGCTTTAAGGCATAAAATTCTAGAGTTACCAACGCTTGTGAGGCAGTTATTTTTTGAGTTCTTAAACTCCTTAGAAGAGAGAAAAAGAAAACATATTTTAAAAACATATAAAAAATGAAATAAATTAGAATAAATAAAAATTATATTTATTTCTATATTTTATTTAATAGCCTATGGATTTTAAGATTTATTAACAACAAAGGAATGTTGAAGAGGCAGGGAAGACATAGAAGACAGAAGATTTCTAGATCTTGGAGTAAGGGAGTGGATAGAAGACTTTTACAAATAAGAAAAACTATTGTTATTACAAAGTATGCATATAAATGGTAATTACCTACAAAGCCGTCCACCATCAGAGCTTATATAGACAGACTTATGCTTGTGATGCGGATAGATGGAGACAAAACCGTTAATTCGACCACACCTCCGCAGCATTCGAAAATTTTTTATCAATCTGCGATGTTTTCCAGTTATGCCGAGAATATTACCTTTGAAATGGAAAAAAAGAAAATCATCATATGATTACTGCCAACATAATATGAACAATTTCATTATGATAAACCATCAATATTATCATGATTTGCCTGGTTTATGAGCTCTACACATTAATTTTTTAATATACGCCAGATATTAGGAAAACTTATAATATATTACTAAATTTTTAAAACATCTAAAAAAAAGTGATGTTTTAAGAGAATGATTTTAAAGTTTAAAATCATAATAAAATTTACCAAAAATAAATCTAGCCACTGATTGAAATTTTTATTGATTAAACATCAGATTTATTTAGAAATTACCTGAAGTTACTCAACTCGATTAATCTAGTAGACCACAAAAGATCTTGATTTGATGTTAAATATTTAATTAATGATTTATATGTATAAAAAAAAATCTAACCATTGAGGAAGACAGTATAAACATTAGTATAATACATTTCTTCTCCTGCGAACCAATGCAAAGATTCCACGCCCATATTGTGTGTTATTTTAATAATTGGCTCCTCTTCCACTTCAGTAGTAATATGGGTCATCAAAGCAAGGTTCTTTACCAGGCCGCAAGCCTAAATAAAAATAACACGTGTTAATAATACAATACTGCTATATAATATTTGATACATTTAAATAAAAAACATTTCATCACTATTATAAATAAAAATCTGGAGCTCGCAATACACAACTTTCAATTACCACTCTACTTTGAATAGAAATTATTTTCTGGCAATTTTGGGCTATTATCAAATTTTTGTAGTGCATTTTTAACGGAGCTACAGCCTACAGATAACAAATCATTAATACCATTAAAATAACAAAATCGCTATTAATTATATCAACAGTTGACAATGAGAACTTCGTTACAACATCAGTTTTTGTAAACCACAAAACTCCAGTTGTCTCTGTGCTATATATATATATATATGCCTAGAGAGATTTGAAAGTATATCTGTATATTCAACTTATAAATGATTATGGACTTTATGCCTTTCAGTTATTAAACTGTTATTTTCTATTTTAAAGTTTACTAAAATGAAATTAGAAGATTTTCATTGCCTGCAATAGATGGATCAAACGTTGCCTCACTAATTGTAAGTGAATAATGTTGGGATTTCACATCAGGAAAATTTATCAAATTATTCACTAATTTAATTTTCTAAAGGGTTACATGATGATTTTTCGGAATAAACAGATGTTGATACCTAATTATTTAAATATGTTAGATATAGAGTTATTAAACTACAGTAAATGTATTATTATAAGGTTATAAACATATCCATGAAATATTTTTATATTTCACTTATTTTTTCACACAAGTACAATGAAATAGTATTTTAAACAATGGCATTGGCTTGATTCGGTGGATTTTAAATACTTTTTTCAAACTGAAAAAAAAAAAAAAATGTTAGAGTTTAGATTTAGTAAGAAAATCTCATTTAATTTCCTCGGAAACATGTGAATCCACACATTAGTGATTATTTTGTAAATTTACTTTAATTATCCTCATCCCCACATATATTATTACAGTAAGGCTCGAAATCGGTTTTGTACCAAATATAAGCGGGACAAATTGGATCTTGAAGATTTCGTTGCGTACAGCAAGACCTGGATAGTTCCTCCGGAACTATCGGATCCTGCGTTTTTAAGCCCCAAAACGTACTATTTTCGAGATAACGCAAGGCATAGGGTTCACATCCACACAACCTTACATTAATTGTAGTACTGTCATTGAATACAAGTCTCATTTCGTCGACTTGAGGCCTCTATTATCGAGAGAGGAGGAGTTTATTTTATTTATCGATGGTGTTTTTGATCGGCAAACCAAATAATCGTTAATTCTAAGCCACCAATTTCGAAGGCTTCCTTCTCCTTCAGGCGGGCAAAATAGCCCAATCAACCCAAAAATTCAGGTAAACAAGTTATGAAAGAAAACACACTTTATTTGCGAATAACTAAAAAATTACACACTTTTCCCTTGGTTATGCCCATGGTTATATAAAGGATTACTAAATTCCCTACAAAAGGAAAAACAAATCATCGAAATCGGACAATTTTTAGCAAAGATAAGGCTTATTGAAATTTGTAAACATTTAGGATCCAAACATTAATGAAGATTTAAAATAATTTTTGTTTCCTTTGTCATTTATATTTATCGATAAAGTAACAATTGATTTTCTTATCTTTTGATACGTTGCATTATTTTTTTGTCTTAATAATTAGGCATTTGAAAACAATATGCTGTGCGAATTTTTCGCACGGGCCTAACAGTTAAGTTAAATAATGTAACTTTTCAGAAATTATTTTTATATATTTTTTGTCACTCTCTGTTACCTTCTACAACTTTATTAATTAAATATTTTTTTTTTCTAAAATTCTCCGCTTTATAACAATATATTATACATGTACCTTTTGACTATTATTTCCGAAGATTCATTTTCAATCTAGATAAGCATTTTTATTTTTTTTCTCCTTTATTCAATCATCAAATTCTTTCAAAATTTATACTTAACATTTTTTCATAACTCCTAACAATGAGCGATAGTTAATTATTTAAAATAAACCAAATTAAAGGTACTTTTCAATATGAAAATTTTCGACAATGAGCACAAAATTATTTTAGCCTCCAACAGAAATACAAAGCTTTTCTACCTTCAGTAGTGATAAAGCAAAATTATTAGATTAGTTTTAAAAAAATAACCTTTAATTTGATTTATTGTTATTAAAGAAAATAAGCAAATAAAACAAATTTTATATTTTATACTAGTCATTCTTCAGTTTATTAAAATTTAAAGATTTTAAAATCGACTTCAGATTGTTTATAATAAATTTGAAAAAAAAGAAAAGAAAAAGTTTACCTCTCCTTCAGGAGTATCAGAAGGACAGAGCATTCCCCATTGTGACGGCTGTAGCGATCTTGGACCTGACACCTTTCTTGTTTTTTCAAATTGTGAATTGACTCTCGTCATCATACCTAGGCACGAGATGTAAGAAAGTCTTGAAAGAACTTGAGTAACTCCATGACGTTCCATCTTAAAACGCTTAATAGTCCAATTTCCCTATTGGAGAAGAATAAATTACTTTAAATACTTCATTGGTGTTATTTAACTACTTACAAAAATTAGTTAAATTTATAACAATATTTTAATTACCATAATATTTTCATTATCAAAATAAATAGAATTAATGACAAATAATTTTATTGCAATATGAGAAGGAGAAATGATGTGTCCCTAAGTCATATAAAAAGATTCAAAACTATATTGTGTGCTCCACACCTATTCTATGATTTAATAATAATAAATATATTATTATTTATAGGGGCCGGTATAGCAGAGTGGTTAGCGCGCTATACTAGTAAAGTAAAGATCATAGGATCGAATCCCGGCCCTACTTCCCAATACGGCTGGTCCCCGCGGGAAGTTAGACCATAACCCTCTTAATTGGGGAGGCCTACAGGTGTAATACTTGTAAAAACAGGCTATACAAAAAAAAAAATATATTGTAATTCCAAAGCAACAAAGAATTTCTTAATGGTGCTTTCTTTCCATTCTCTGGATACCAAAATTAATTTACAGGATGGCCTCGATAATACAAAGAACCAAAAACAGTAAATAAATTTAAAGTTGACTGATGAGAAATGGATTGAAAATGGCTCTGTTTCTCACGACATATTGGAATTGATTCAGGTGGTAGTGGCGAAATCGTATTATGGTGTCTCTAAAAAGAAAACATTAAAACTAGACAGTCACCCAGAAGTTAGGAATCTCTTTATACGTAATTTTTGCAGCATATATCACGAGGAAGCCCAATTTTAGACAATATATTAGCTGAAAAAGCAAAGTTTTTCCATTAATAAATAATTTCTTTAAAGAAAGATTACAAAACAGATTTTAATGGCAGTAAAAGTTGGCTTGATAATTTAAAAAGCAGTATTTTAATTTTTATTTCACTGAAAAATTTCTTTATATCTATTTTATTTTTCATTATAGATTATAGATAAGTCATAAAGGCATTTAATACTTGCCTGAAGTGGGCAAATGGATACTACGTCAACTACTGAAGCCTGGTACTTTTAAGGAATTTGTGAGAGGCGTTTTCTTTAGCAACAAAATCAGACTCAACAAACATTATATGATCATTTTAAAAATCATTTTTAGATTGAAACGTGTGTACATTTAACTGATATATTTTCGTAATTTTCCATCATTTTAAATTTAATCTTTGATAATCCAAACAGACCATGCAATTTACGTGTTTGTATTATCAAGTCCATTCTGTACTTCTATTTAGACAATAATTTAAACCTTCATTTAAAATTCAACTTCTAAATATTTAAGCAACTATATAAAAGAGACATAGAACAAAAATGAGAATAAAACTTGTAAAAATATAAAGAACATTTTAAAACAAAAAAATATCTTTATAAATTAAGGATTCTATTAAACTGTTAAGAATGAGCTATAACTTTCAGAAAGTAAAATAACAACTGACATTATTTCATTACGTTGTTGAAATAATCAATTACTAAGAAAATTTAAATAGTAAATATTTGGAAAAGACAAAATTTACAATAGTTATTCTTAAATTATTGTTTATTTGATGGGTAAAACATGCAACAGGAACAATCTACAAGGCTTAAACATCTAATGGACGAGGCCTTATATTGAATTGTACTTACAGTAGAAATAGCATGGACCAAAGCATTGGTTATCAAATCTTGCCGCATATGTTTTACTACATCAAATTGGGCTGCTTTTATTTTAGGAATGTTCTTGTCGGCAATCATTTTTAGCTGAAAACAATTACGATACAAAATAACAATTATGTAAAAATATTTAATAAAACTATTCTATCTGAGCATCATATGTAAAATGTAAGAATTGAAAACATGAAATGAAACTAAATGAACTAAATTTCTGACTTCCTCCAAGGAATGTTGCTCAATCTAGTACGAAAATGAAACCATTATTTTTCACAGATTGCTTTTGTTGCCAGGAAAAGCTAATTGAGAGTATTAGGAAAACTGAAGTAGAGATGACAATTAAATTAACATATTAATGTTTATAAATAATAACACAAATGATTAAAAAGTAGTTTATTATTTCCAAATAGTTATAAATGAAAAATATCTGTCGTCTCCTCATATGAATTTTATCAGCCACTTTGTGTTAAATACAACAGAAATTGTTTGTACGATACATCACTATTATTGGTCTGATTTATTTTGTCTTAAAATTATCTTTTAGATGATCATCTGAAATGTTCCGGGAGATGTATATTTTTCCCGTTATCAAAAACTAAACGAAGGTGAATGGATTTCTAAGGAAAATTACATAAAATAATATTCAATAATACCTCAGTGTTCAATCTTTTGAAAGCGTCCTCGAACATAAGGGATAACAATGACCCTGCAAGTTCCAGCCTTTTATTACCATAATAATCTTTATCGTCAATAAATTCAGGTTGACTCTCAGCCTGGATGACCCTTCTTACCATCAAAGCAGTATAGACAGCTTTATGTTTGAAATTGAAATTTTCAACCTAAAATAAAAATTATAAGCAATTAATCACAAATTAAACTTAAAAATATAGAAAGCATGCTTAATAAAAATAAAATTACACAAACCGGCACATGAGCTAATATCACAGAAGTCAATAAATCTCTTGCTTGATCAATGGGAGGTTTTGGTTTTCCTGTAGGGCCAAGAAATCTTTTCTGCTTAGTCCTCTTTCCAATATAACTATGGCAAAGATTAATAAAATATTGCATTATTAAAATATATTTATTTATTCACACATGTCCTGAAGGAGGGCAGAAACCTCCTCATCAAAAAAATCTATATTGAAGAGTTTGTTTGTACATACTAAATTTAACTACAGGTCTTATTTAAAAGTGTTTTTCCATTAGATAGACTAATCACTGAGAAAGGCTTTGTAATATCAAGCTTCGACCCATAGGAACAAAGCTAACAATAAACTTCAATTAATTAGGAAAACTGTTAATAATGCAAATTGTCGAGAAGTGTACTGGAGTTATCTTGAAGAAATTTTTTTTTCTCCATTTTTTTAGAAAATCAGTACATACTATGAATCAGTGTGTAAATATGAAACCATAATTTTAACATAGAAAATATACGAACATTGCATAAAAATCTTAGATCATATTTTATTCGAAATGTTCTCCATCCCTAGCTATACATTTTCCCCATCTTTCTGGCACTTTATGAATGCCATGCCAGCAATATTGTTGCTCTTTTGAAGAACCAGTCATCAAGCCATTTTTGTTTGTTTGCATAAGAAGTGAAGTGCTGCTTGACAAGTGTGTGACCCATCAATGCAAATAAATAATAGTTGGAAAGAGATAAGTCTGGTGAGTAAACACAAAATGTTCAACACAATTAAAACAATGCTGTTCTATGAAACTTGTATTATTGAGAGTTTAAAATCTTTACCACCTTTCAAAGAAACAAAATGGCGCTAATAATACAGTTTTACAGTAATTAAATTAACAAGTATAGCTATCTGTAGACAATTTCCGGTTTAATATTTACACACCTGGTACTTAAGCAATGGGAGAAATAAATAGAAAAAACGTTATGTATAAAAAAAAAGTGTGGTTCTAATTTTCAAAATAAAAACATTCTTTATGCTACAATATTGTAAGTAACTGAAGAAACTTTCGGTACTTGTGGATGGTCTGATCTCTGGTAAACCTCCATTCTTATCTCATCTTATGTGACATAACCTGCTTTTTTATTTAGTGTAAGATGTGGCGTGTGCGTTATTGAAACGGATGTTATTAAATTGTGGGAAATGCCGTAATCAGAAGAAGATGCTATCAAATATTTTCAAGATGCCGGCATAATTACAAAGGTGAAATATCGTGATGAAGGCAATGAAATGAAGTTCGACGGGAAGACGAAATGGCGATGCTTTCGTACTTGTAACAAAAACGTTTCTATAAGAAAAGGAACATGGTTCGAGGGGTCGAGGATTTCTTTTTTAACGGCTTTGAAATTCATTTATGGGTGGTCCCATAATTTAACAACAATCCAGTGAGGGCAAGAGCAGCTGAAACTATCCGAGAGATGATGTCATATTTATAAATTTGTATGTACAATAGATTTTTGTATTATAGTTGTATTTTTTCATTAATATGTATACTGTTTTGGTCTATTTAATATATATGTTGTAAAATAAAAGTATTTTTTTATCATTACATTTGTTTTTGTTACAATTTCAATAATATGAATATAATATAATAAATATGAAAACGAAGATCTAACAATATGAATATCAATAATATAAATATAAGACAATAAATATGAATACGAAGATAGAAATTATCACTGCCTTATCAGAATTATCGGTGTTAAGGTTATAAACATTGGCATACAACAGTCGAACCCGACCGGCTATTTAAGGAGTACCTCCAAATTCAATGCAAGTGGAATTGTCGGGCACAGTGAGTTTATGATATTTTTATTAATAAATTTATTTTTACTTTCATAACGTATTTCTGAATATTATGATTTTTACTTACTTTAAAGCCTGATTTTGGGTGTACACACTTGCTGAATAACAATCTTCAATAGATAGGGCCATTTTTTGTAATGTTTCCTTTTCTGTTCCAATCATTTGCATAATTAATATATCTGCACAAAATCCCATTGCTTTAAAAAATATCGCAATAGGAATATCCTAAGAAATAAAAACATCAATAAAAAATACATATAAAATAATAACCACAACTCAAGAATACCGAATCCATCACTTCTTCACAAAATAAATGGTAGAGGTCGACAGACAGTTATTTAATGATTATAAAAAACAAATGGTACTTTTAATGTTTATTTAAATTATTGCTGTCAACTGCAAAAAAAAAAAAGGGGATAAACTGATTCTCCATGAAGTACAAAATATGACCATATCTGAACTGTTCACACACAAAATACTTTATAAACTTTGACATGAACACATTAACAGTTCACACATTTGTAATGCTCCACATGAAATTAAAGAACTTAAACTGAATGGAAAACCAACTTCTTTTATTAAAATTTTGAAATAAACAGTCAAGAAATTGTTAAAAAGTTACTAAGTTTAGTGTAGTGCTGATCAGGACCCAGAATTCTCGAGTATTAACTCAAAAATTTTTTAGAACAAAACTAACATCTTGTAATGAATTATGCTTCAAATAATATTTTCCTTTTTTCATAATAACCAATGTTCGAGACTTTTTATCATGAGTGCTGCTGGTAACGATACATTGTACACTCCCTTTCCTATCTTCTTCAACAATCATTCTGTTTCGTGAAAGTTGTTCTTGAATTAAAATAACCTAAAAAAAAAAATAATTATTTTGAATAAACATTCAATAATATAAAAAAGAATGAAGAAAAAAAAAGTAGTACCTTCTCAGTTCCACGAACAACAAAGTAACCACCAGGATCCAGTGGGCATTCATTCATTTTTGAGAGTTCAAATTCAGACTTGTTTGTCAACACACAGTTGGAACTTCGCAACATGATTGGCATACTAAAAAATATCATAAATTGGACTTAAAAGTTATATCTTAGATAAAACAATACACAATTTTGATAAAACTATGTTAGTGTTATGTCTGCTGATTGACTGGTGAGCCAGATTATATTGATCAAAGTGTACAGAAAAATGCAGAGGAGTTTGTCAAGTAGACATGCCTGCCATCATACAAATTTTCAGATTGTACATTCAAAACACTACCAAAATATGTTAGAATTTTAGTAATAATTATAAATTGAAGAAGGTAAAACTTTGGTTAACGTATCAATCAGACATGCAACTAATATTTTTTTGAAGTTTTATTGAAACTCTAAATTGAACTGGAATAACAAAGAAAAGAAAAATATCATCTAATCTTTACCGGCCAATAATAAGGTTACTTCTAGCAACCCTTTGGCTTCCTCTAGTATACTCAATATCAACAGTGATCGGTGCAGAATAAGTTAGATCCCTAAGACGACACTCATGTGGAGTAGTTGATCTTGTGATATTAAACCCTTCTTCAATATCTGGCATCCCGACATTAATATTCAAATACCTAAACAGTAAACAATTAATATAATGTTGAAAATAAATAATGAATTGGCATAGGCGAAACTACATTAAATGTCACTTACTTCAAATAAAACATTGGATCAGCATCACTCAAAATTTTCTCATTTGCTTTTACAATTTTCTTGATCTCGATGTTTATAAAATAATTAAACGAATCAATATGCTGTTTGACTAAGCCTTTTCCTTTTAGAAATGCTGGCACCAACTTCCATTTATCCTGTAATATGTAATAAATCAGCAACATGATACATTACATTAAATGATATAAGGCTGTGCTTCTTACCTCAATAATTTCGCAAGAATCTTTTGGTGGCGAATTATTTTTGGATGCACAACTTTCTCCCATCTTTTACCAATAATAGAGTTCATGAACTCAATAACAACACAGTAACCTTCTGTAACCTCCTTCAACGTCTGATCATGAGGTATGGTTTACCGGTATCGATAGATCATTCGTATTCTTACATCGATATTTCTGTTCTGATATTAATGCATATTTTCTAATTGTGGTCCTATTTCTTTGCAGATATACTTATTGATATTATAGTATTTTAACAATATTTCTCAGTCAATTTCATCAGTTTTTTTTTCTTTTTTGAAGAATTAAAACTAAATTCCAAGATTGGTAATTTTGCGTTCAACATATTTCACCTCTAGTTATGTACTCAGGTGCCCGTTTCTTATTTTACTGTCTCAAATTTTCGTATTATATTATAATAACTTTCTCCAAATTATGAAGTAATGACCAATGAAATCAGTGTAAATATCAAAAATCTTGCATTTATCTTTCTTTCAAACAAATTTTATATCTTCTATACACTTTTAATGTGTTATTAAATAGGTAATTACTTTTTTGTATAAGAATATATGCAATAATTTTTCATTTGTTATTTACAGCAATATCAGACTATGAATAATGTAGAAAACACAAACGAATTGTGGAAGCTCGCCGCACGCCTCTAACCTATAAATGTGTCTTCAAGAGAAAAAAAGGTTAAAGACTCCTGACTTACGTTGTATTTCATAAATAGGTAAGGAAATACAAATAAAAAACAAATATTTCATAAGCTTTTATTTATTTAGGTTTAATTTCCGCCTTTGCTTCTTTGCTTTTCACTGAATGCTTTGAAACAACAGGAGGAGCACATTTTCTGCATGGAAGACATTGCGAATCTAAAGCGATTCCTGAGTGCTCTGTAAAACGGATTTGGTAATATCGGATTTCTTTTCCACCATCTGCCTCTAGCATAATATTCGTAACAGAATCATTTTGTACCATGCAACAAACATGCGCCATGATCTGCACATAATCTGGAGAATGAACATCTGAAAACAAAAAAAAACGCTTGATAAGTTTAATTTTATTATACTGTGACATTATCGTACCATTTTCTGGACGAATGTTCTGTATAAATTTAACTAATGAGTTTACCAACGTCTGGTATTAATTGTTAATAATATTTATAAAAGTTTAATTTCAATATTGGTACGTTTATGTAATGCATTAATGATCCAACTGATATGCATTGGATATCGTTTACAATCGCCTGCGAGGCACCATGCACGTATGGACATTATAGCCGATCGTCATTGTTACCGATCTTGTAAATGTAAAAGCAATTATTGCTACCATAATCTAATCAATTCCTTTATATTTTGGACACGTTTTTCAGATGTTCCTGAAGACGCTTCGGTTGCTTCACAATTAAGTTTTTCAAAACCTACACTGCCTAAAACAGTTTTCCATACAGACGAAAAGTTTCATTTTTCATTGGAAAAACGTTTTTGAAAAAACAATCAACTTTCTAGATTGTTATTTGACAATAAATTAAACCAAATAACATTAAAATTAGTTGCAATTTACATATAATAATACCGTAATATAAATATTTATGAAAATCAACTCAAAAAAGTTTCCATACATGATACAAATATTATACGAACTTTATATTATTTCTTTAATACCTTGTGGTACCACCCTTTGCCCTTAATACTTCAGTTAGTCCATGTTTCATACTACGGATCATATTTTTAGTTACCTCGCTGCTAAGTGAACCCCATTCTGCCAACAGAGCTGCTTTGAGATCTTTAGTTCTAACAGCATGATTTTTCACATACCGTCCTAATTCATCCCACAAATGTTCTATTGAGTTCATGTCTGGTGATTGTGGAGGAATGTGCTACTGCTTTGGAACACTGTGGATTAACCAGTGTTTTTCATTCACGGCGGTGTGCTTAGGATCGTTGTCCTGTTGAAATAATAAATCTAGGTATAAGTCCAAGTTTTTTAGCAGAACTTTTCAAATTGTTCCTTAGAATGTTTAGGAATACATGCCACTTGCAGATCCAGTGGGAGGGAGGGGGCGCTTTCCCCTGGAAGCTGGAAAAAAATTCCAAAAAAACCTATTGAAAGAAAAGAGAAATATAGAGAAAATTCATCCTCATAGATGAATTCTATATGTAATAGAAAAAAGATTTATCGTGACCAACACTAGCGAATGACTTGGATGGTGGAAAAAAGTTTCAAAAACACCTATTTAAAGAAAAGCGAAGTATAGGGAAAATTAATTCTCATAGGCTAATTTCCTAATCTATATATATAAAAATGAATGTATGTCTGTCTGTCCGTCTGTTTTTCCTTAGTGCATTACTATACCATTCAACCGATCGGCATGAAACTTTGGGAAGTTGTTCCGTACACTCCTGGGAAGATTTCTGGCATAGTACTTCTGTCTTACGATAATTTTATATATGTAAAAAAAAATAAAAATGTAAATGTTTTTCTCTTCAAAGCCGCAAAAAAATGTGCCGCTATAAACTGTAGCGCCAAAACGGCTTTACCGATTTTAACGAAACTTGGCTAAAGTCTTCCCCTTGAAACCCTTTTAATTTATGTGTATAACATACTTTCCCGAAAACAAGCTGAAAAATGTTACGATGAATTCAATATTCTATTTGCCGATAACTAAAAAAGTACACAATTTTTGATTGATAATACCCATATTTATTTGAAAGATTTCTGAATTGCTGACAAAATAAAAAAAAAAAAAATCATCGAAATCAGACGGTTCGTTGCAGAGTTATAGAGTTTTAAACATTTACTGCTTTCTCTTCAGAAAAGGCCGTTTCCTTTTGCTTCCTCACTACCGAGGGCGGCAAGCTTTTTTTTTTTTTTTTTTTTTTTATTGATTAATCGAAAATTTTATAATTACTACAGTAATTGAAATTATCATTTGAAGAAGTTATATGATTCTCCTTATGAAGGTCAATACTATTATACGTTCTTTTTATTAATTTTTTATTTTAGTTTTATAAGTTCAACTCAGACTGTTTCTGATGATTATGAATGACGGCGTATTCACTCAGATGATTATGAATGTTCAATTTGAATCATGAGAAAAAAAATCATTAGAATTAGTTTAAATTGAAGCCATTTTACAGACAAATTTGTTTCCCAACTTTTTAAAAATGACAGATGTCCTTTGCTATTAATCTACTCATATGTGCTTTCTATTTTCTTTCTTTTTCATTTTGCCAGGCTAAACCACAGCAGCGGGGGTAAAGCTAGTGTTATATAAAAAAAAATTATGATAGTGTCCAGCTCTAGCGAATTCTGCCAGGGGGCGCGCTCTCCCTTGGATGGAGGAAACAATTTCGTAAAAGTTCCTAAAAGCAGGAAAATTTAAAGAAAAAAGAAATATAGGGAAAATTCATCCTCATAGGCCAATTCCTAATGTAATAGAAAAAAAATATATCGTGTCCAGCACTAGCGAATTCTACCATAGGGCGCGCCCTTCTTTTGATGATAGAGAAAAGTTCCAAAAAACATCTATTTAAATAAAAAAGAAATATAGGAATAATTCATGCTCATAAACGAACTTTCTATAGTACTATTAAAAAAAATATTATCATGACCATTTTTATTAACTTTACGGTTTGTCATAGTACGTCACCTCACTAGGCTGTGGCGCAATGCGAGATTTTGTGAAACCAAGAACAGAATGTAAGGGCAAAAGTTGGCTCGTAGGTTGAACTGATGTAGTTTTTGGCCCACCATGAAATGCGAAGGCTCCAGTCGTAGTTTGTTCCTACTGACTCCGAACTGAGTCTCACAAGTGGTATACATGATGGAGGAAAATTAATTAATTAAAAAACTTCATTTATTCTTTCTAACAAGCTTTTATTCGAAAACAAAAACAATATAGTTTTTCTCCCGGATCCAGTTTTTATTCAGTTCAAATAGATCTGGACGTATTGCAACCTCCAGCAACAATGGTCTCCTTGAAGAATCCATGTCTAAACCCATATACAGGGTGTCCCTTAAGTAGAGATAAACATTTAAAGGAGTGATAGCAGAACTTTGTCTCTTCTTTGTCTTTTCTCCAGACACGACACCTGACATCTGGTACAAAAAGTTTAAATTTGGATTCATCTGAGAAGATAACAGAATCCCTAAAACTTTCTGGCTCATTGGTACACTCCATGACGAACGCCAACATCTTCTTATTTATATTTGCTTATAAAGGGTTCTTTTTCTTGCAATTCGTCTATGAAAACCTTTCTTTGTTAGAAAATTCCTGACAATCTCTGGATTTACACATACCCCTTAATCTCTTTGAAGCCCTCAGGCTAAGAATGATGCACATTGTTGGGGCCAGGGGTATTTCAAAATGAAAATATAAATCTTTCTCCGGTGAGTTTCCTCAAAGGTGGGGAAAATTCGAGCAAAATTAAAGGGTGAGAAAGAAGGGGGAAAAAGAGTAAAAATGAGACCTGTAAAACATGAAAAATGCATGCACATCAAAATATTATAAAATTACTCAATTAATTAAATATGTTTTAAAGATAAACAAATAAAAAAATCCCCTTCTAAATGTTTACAGCATTTATTGAATTGAAATAAAAGAGATGAAATATATACTTACAAGATTTAAAACATAAAGACAATAATCAATGAGAAATAAAGAAAAAATGTGCATCAAAATAAAATATATATAAAATCAACTTCTAAAATTATAAATAAAACAAGAGAAAACCATAACTGTTCAAAATAATAAAACTAATTTATCGTGAGAAACAAAATCAAATTAATATTTAAATGTCTTTGGTAACGGTGAGAATAAAAAAACAATACAATCTAAGATGGAGGCTATACTTCCAAGAGGTTACCTAGATGATCAGCTGTCAAAGCAGTCGATGGTGTGGGAATCGATATGTATATCGATCTCAATAGATGACTGGAGATGACAGCTGGGCTCTTCAAAATGGCGCTAGGCTGTTTTGCCAGATGAGGTGAGGTGAGACGAACATGGAGCTGGTGAGAATGGTGGTGGTAAACTTCCAACACGTGGATCCAACCTAAACGAAGGATCGTTCCAGACTGACTTTCCGGCAGTATTATGGCATTATTTTGATGTCTTAATCCCTAAGACTGGGTATTGCTGCAGGGCTGGTGTGTATATACAACGCGATAATACATCGAAAAATAAACCTAAATATATAAATACTATAAACTTGAATATATTTCTGGGACACTATCCCTCAGCTTTTTACAAAAAAAAAAAAAAATAAATAAATATATTATTAACATTTCAAAAGGGGTAAAACGGTGAGAAAAAATAATAATAAAAAATAAAGATATGAGTGTATGCGGCGTTAACACGCTTACACGGGGATTTTCACGGACCTGATTGAGAATAGTCCTCCTGTGAATTCAGTTCATTTTTTTTGGGCGGCCTGAAGGATGTTTTTAATTCACTTTGTCTGATCAACACACACAGCATGCGATTTATTTAATAAAGTTCCAATTTTTCGGATAGAAAATCCTCGACTTCTCAACCGCACAATTTGATCACGAATGCACTGATTACTACATGAATGATGTTGATTTGACTGAACCTTAACTAAACCTTGAATGGAGTGTTCAGATAATAAATTTAAGAAAAATAATGGCATTGAATAGAAATAGAATTACGATATTATAGATGTATGGAAACTTTGTTGGCCTTCAGATTAAAGTTGTATCATGTTCATAAACCTTTGCCTTTACTACCCTTTCTGATTAATGTAAATCATATAATAAATAGACTATTAGCAATGTTGAAGAAAAACTAACTGTATGCAAACCTAGCTGTTGAAACCTACATTAAAAGTACCGCTTTGTCAAATTGACCAAGTCCCTTTATACGTATTCGTTGCTTCTTTTTTCGTTCTTCTGATTTATAAGTCTTACAGAAGCGAATGAGTAAAGTGAGTTGAAATATTTTAAAATAAAAATGTAACAATGGATTTTTATATATAAATAACTCAAAACTTACACAAATGGTACTGCAATGTTTTCTTTTTTACATTTTCGTGTAGAACCGTAAACAATGTTGACATTGAAAACGTTTCCTGCACTGGGCGAAGGTCGCGTTCCACTCAAAATCATTTTTACTTTTTATAACCTCATACCAGACTGAAACGACAAGAAACCGCTCGACGTTTCCGATTACTTCAGCACTTACTAGACAAACGCTCTAAACTTCCAATTAATTACAAAAGACTCACATACATGACTAAAATAAGGCCTATTTGGACTTACGGAGTTGAGCTAAGGGGCTCCACTAAACCATCGAATTCCTCTCGTGTCCAATCCTTCCAATCCAAAATCCTTCGTAAAATCCTCAATGCTCCCTACTTTGTTACAAATAAAACCATCCATAATGACCTTAATGTTTCTTATGTTTCAAATCTGGCCCAATCCAGATACCTATCCTTCCATAATAAACTTCAGAATTATCCCAACCCTCTCGTTCCTAACCTTGCTTCCTCTTTAATTCCTGATAATCATCCGAGGCGTCTGAAAAGAAGATGGCCCCGTGATCTCCTAATTTAGACATATCATTAGTGTGCTACTATTGGGTAGTTACTCAACTAGTATTTTCACGTCATTATATCCATATGTTCAAATTTAATCCATATCTTTAATACAGAGGAGTATAATAAGAGGAGTAAATATCATTAAGAAATGATTAAAAAAAATAAAAATTTTATAATGCAGTTTTGGTTAGACAATTCGAGACTAAGGGAAGATACAGGTTCATCATAGATTTTTCTAATTATTTTAAAAGATTTTTTATTTTATTTTTCTCTCACTTTTTAAATTTATTCATAGTAATAAATTAATAAGTTATTAAAAGTTAAAGTTTTGATTTCGCATAGAAAGGTAAATCATATTTATTTATTTATTATCATCCTACCTTACCTTTCGGCAATATTGGTTTTGGTGAAAGCAGCGTAATAATAAATATTTTATCAAGCTACCTCAGCCACTTGGAAAGTAGTTCTTCAACTGAAGTCCACATCTTCATTCTGGGCTGCCTTCTGCCGCCTCCTCTCTTCGCCTAAGGGCACAAACGTTAAAGTGTTCCGGTCCCACAGTCATCGTCCACCTGTATACGAATTCTTCGAAATACTGGTAGTTCTCTTGTTTCATGAGGGAGGAGATATCATCTTCTGTCATGACGTACAATCCCGTTTTCCTCTTTAAAGTCCTTCAAAGACAGTGCAGGTCGTTACTACGTGTTCGGCAGTTTCTGGAACGTGGCACGTGGGGCACAGGGGTTCGACGTTCTTGCCAAAACTGTGCAGTTTGGCCCGAAAGCCTCCATGTCCGTGAGGACTTGCGAAACCCCGTAATCCGGGAGCAACAATTTCGCTGTTAATCTAAAGTGCACGGTCGAAAAGAACTTCCTTAGCGTCGCTTCTTTTGAGGTTGTCGACCATCGTCTATTCCATTCTTCGATGGTGTGCTGCCGGATTATTTGTTTCCACCTATTGGGCTCACCTGCAATCCTCACTCGCAGGATCTTCGGAAACCCAGCAGTGCCTCCTCTCTTATAGCCACACACTGTCGCATCATCGAGCAGGATAAGGTCGAGAGGAACACTTCTGCAAGACGTAAACTGCCTCGTGTCATACAGTCCTGTAGGCCTTAGTTTTCCGTAGCAGAGCTGTTCTCTGTATCGTCGCCAACTTGTTCTTCTGTTTTCTTGAGGGGTTACGGTCCAGGCGGGGGACGCATACCTCGCAATACCCTGCACAACTCCTTTATAGATTGTCGTTGACGCTGCGCCCCAATTTGACTGAGCCCATTCAATGAGAGGTCGACCCTGCCTGCCAAGTAGTCCAATTTAGGCATTATGTTGAAATTTCTTCCAAATCTCACTTCAAGGTAAGTTATCACTTCACTTGGACGAATTCTCTTCCAAGTATTAGTAGAGTAATAGGATGAGTTCTATCAGTTATCCCTCTCAGGAGTATGGCCTACGTTTTAGCAGCGGCCATCTTCAGCTTTTTCCTCCCACACCATCTCGTCACAAGGTTGGCGCAACGTTCCGCTTCGAGCTTCAGACCGGCTCTGCTGTCGGAAGCCACAACTGCGACCAGAAAGGTATATAATAATCTTAAAACGTCCAAAAACAAGGACGGAGGGGTAATATCGGTCTTGTGGTTACGTCAGAGCTCGATTTTTTACCACCATTTTCCCTTTAAGTGAGCGACCCTGGTATTTTTATTGACCTCGAGCTATAGCTATATTTTTCATTTCCTCAATTTAAATAAAATAATGCTTTAATGGAGGTTTGCATCTAGGTTACATTTACTACCTAACAATAAGAAAATAGTTAGCTTACCATTAATCGTCACAGTTGGTTCAATCTCCAGATCTTTACTCAATGATGTCACGTTGTATTTTATTTTAGTAGAAAACAAGTAACCAATTTCTTGAGCAACACTAACTTTCTGATCTCCCAACATCCACTTCACAAGATCCAAACCTATCCTTGTCTCTGAAATCATTGAATAATTTTATTAAAATGTAGCAGGGGTGCCCAGAAGAGGATTTCATGGCGCATGTTGCGCCATCAAAATATTTGAAGGGGTACATTTTGAAATTTTGAGGGGAGCACATTTCGACGGTGTTATACATTTTCTGAGTGAATTGTTCAAACAAGCGAACTAGGGAAAAACATTTACCAGACCACAGCAAGTGTAATGGTATACAATGTACGATTTTTCGAATTCTACTTTCGCTTGCACTGTTTGTAAGAAGAGTAGACCAATAACATTTCTTGGGAGTGGATGGAGGAGTTCTTGCGCCATTGATCTTGGGGGAGATGGACACCCCTGAGTTGACGTATCGAAAAAGTATAATTAAAGTTTTTGTTGGTAATATTTTAAACAGGATTAGGTGAAGGCGGGTAAGATGACGAATGGACAAATATGACAAACCCAGTATTTCTCATCAGATAGCAGTACCTCCTAGCGGTAACTTGATATAACTGATTAGTAGACAGGACCGCCACGTGGGTGGGGAGCCATGGTGCTGGGGGGGAGGGCGCGGATCGATGACATGATTTGATGTTTCTTTACTTTTTGAAAAACAATACATCCTATATCCCTCGCCCTTACAGGCATTCGGCGCCCATAAATGTTAGCGTTAATCCACAAATAGAAATCGATGTAGTTGTGAACATCGATTTTAAAAAAGAAAAATCCTCACATATATTATTACAGTAAGGCTCGAAATAGGTTTTGTACCAAATATAAGCTCCTGGCATGCTCAAATACCATGAATGGAGTACCGGTGGATTCAGAATTTCACGGGGGTTAGCGAATCGTATTCGCCACTTTTGTTTTTCTTTCTAAAATAAATAAAGTCGACACAAACATTTTGCTATGCTTCAATACTGGAACAGTGGTAGGTCTGTAGATCGATGCGGGACAAATTGGATCTTAAAGATTTTGATGCGTACAGCAAGACCCAGATAGTTCCTCCGGAGATATAGGATCCTGCGTTTTTAAGCCCAAAAACGTACTATTTTCGAGATAGCGCAAGGCATAGGGTTCGCATCCACACAACCTTACATTAATTGTAGTACTGTCATTGAATACATGTCTCATTTCGTCGACTTGAGGTCTCTATGATCGAGAGAGAAGGAGTTTATATATCCATTCCCTCACTACAAGATCTCGACCCTCTGACCTATACATCCCTTATCATAGATCTGCCTCATTCCAAAACTCCTTTATAGCCCGCTCTGTCAACTTTTGGAATTCCCTCCCGATCAAAATTCAACATGCCCCTTCCCTATACACATTCCAAAACCTCCTATTCCAATTCCTGTTCCAAAAACAGTCAGATACCAGCTAACTATTAATACTATATATGTATTGTGTAGCAATCATATAATCATAATACTTGGTAAGAGATAGTACATGCATTTCCTACTATCGACGTAGGAATTTCAATACATGCATACATTTTTTTTTTTATTCAATTATAATTAACTGTTTATTTTTATAAATATATTCAAGTAAAGTTTTTTTTTTTATGAAATGAACTCATTCTATCTATTTTTCGTTCTTCATTTCTCAAAGTGTATGTTTATGTTGTTCAACCCTTATATATAGTTTTGTTCATAGTTCAAGTGATTCGTTCATAATTTTCATGTTTTGTTCATGTTATCTGTATTGTATATAGCTTGTGCATCTAAGGTTTTCTTTACTTTTTATTTTATTTTATCAATTTTATTTATTGTTTCAAACTTTTAGGCCAGTAGTATTCTATTATTTTGTACAATATTGTTATTCTAAAGGGACTTAGTCCCAGAATAAATTTTTTTTTCTAACTATCTATCTATATATATATATATATGTATGTATGTATGTGTGTAACTGTATTTATATGAGGCCGATTTCGATTTCTGTGGATGTCTGTCTACTTTTATGATTTACATTAATATCTTTTAATAAATATATAATGATTTTAATTTATATTCTGAAATAACTCGAATCTATGGGGAAAAATGAAAAAGAAAAAAAAAAAGGAAAAATGTCAGTCACCTCGAGCTCACTTTACTCGAATGAGCGTTACATAGCCGAGTGTGACGATTCAGCCTCATTCGATAAGAATAAGTTTTCCATTCATAAAAACTTACCGAGATGGTTCTCCCAAAAGGAATGCTCCTTCTTTTCCAAAGTCAGAGAGAACATAGCCTTCACCGTAGTCCAGAGGCGGGCGTTCCTGCAGGGGATGTAGATATAGAAGGACCTGGGACAGTTGTAGGAGCAGCGGGCATTGGGGAAGCCGGTGCACATCCCGACCGGCAGCCTCACCGGCAGGATCACGAAGGGTTTGTCTATTCTGGGCTTTATCATCACCTGCAGAAAGAATAGTATTGGAATGAAAAGTAATTTTATTATAGGACTGAAGTATCTACATGAATAATAACAGAATTAGAAAAATATGTATATCAGTCTAGTATGCAGTAATATATATATATATATAAAACGCTGCAAATTATTCCACAATGGTTTATTATTTCCAGACAATTATACATCTAAAGTAACATTACCTTCATAGTTGCAAAGAAAAATAAATAAATGGAGATTCCAATTATTGGACTAAATTTTTTTTTTTTAATCATTGTGATATGCTAAAAAAAATAGCATTACGTCAGTAACATATTCAAAATTTAAAAACCAAACAAAAGATATAACATTTGGAGTAGAACATATTTAAAAAAAACCAGAGACCATATCTTTGCTCCTAATTGTCCGATTTAAAAATTTTTTTTTTGGTTTTTAGGAAATTTTGTAAACTTTCAAAAAACCATCCAAATTTGTATTCGTTTTTCGAATTCCACGCATCCTGAAACGTAAAACCTCAATTTTGAGAGGGAGTTAAGTTTTTGAATTTTTTGGTCGATCACAATGGTTGATTATTGAAAATAATAAACCAAAAATATAAAAAAATCGCGATATCTCTACTAATAGTGCTTTGATGTCGATGAAATTTCCTTCATCTTATCACATTATCGACAAAAAAGTGTAAACTTTTTGAGTTATTCAGAATTTAATTTTACCATCCCTCGTAACTTTTTTTCCAGCTTCTTTTCGTTGAAGTATGTTATATAGTTAAATTTAAAAGGCGTCAAAAAATGACTTTAGCGAAGTTTCATTGAAATCGGTACATTCGTTTAGGAGCTACAGTCTATAGCAACGCAGGTTTTTCGCCGCCATTTTGAAAGTTAAAGGCGGAGAGTAATGTCGATGAAGCAAGATCATCCTCGGGTGACCTATGATTTTATATCCAAATTTGAAAAAAATAGGTCCAGTAGTTTCGGAGAAAATGCGCGGACGGCGGACGGACAAACAAATTTTTATTCGTTTTTCGAATTCTACGCATCCTGAAACGTGAAACCTCAAATTTTGAGAGGGGGTTAAGTTTTTGAATTTTTTGGTTGATCACAATGGTTGATTATTGAAAATAATAAACCAAAAATAAAATGGCTGTTATAAATCAAATGTTGGTAAGCAATTGTAATTACATAACCTACAAATTCCTACAAGCCTGCGGCAGTTTGTGAAGCAGGTGATGGAATAGGAATTATTTTTAAAGCAATTTGTGGACGTGGTTTGACTTATGAAGAGAGGTAAGGAGTTTCAAAAGCAAATAGTACAAAAGATGAAGGATTTGGTTCAGAAAAGGGTTTTATAGGACGAGACATATAGATCTTTAGGATGAGATCTGGTATGAAGAGAATGGATAGAATAACGTAGAGTAAGGAGTTTTAAGATATAAAGAGGATTTTTGGTTCTGAAGACTTGGAAAAGGAAAATACCAAGAATAAATTGTCGCCGGGAAATAGATAAGGACCACTTCAACTCGGTGTACCAGCAGGAAACATGAGTATCCCAAAGATGAATCTTGTGAAGCGATTCGGGAGTCTTTTCAATCTCATCTCCGGGCTTGCGGACAGCCCTCCATACACCAAGCAATTGTAGTCCGAAGTAGTGAAGAGAAAGAACTTTCTATTTTCTTCTTCTGCGTTTCCCTCTCAAGTGCTCAGGTGGCCATACCAGGAACTAAAATGAACAATTCGGTAGTTCTCCTAAGTGCTCCAAGCTTCCGTATAGCTTTATTAGCATATCAGTTGGAGAGGGCCAGATCACATTCCTTTGCTGGAAATGGATCCTGCAAGTTTAAAGGATTTGATCCGTATTTTGTTCCTCTCTCCGCACTCGCAGAGGGGACTAGGACCAGAGCCAATGTTGAACTTCCTAAAAAAGCGAGCTTTGAGCCTGTTGTGATTTATATCCAAAATCCATTGCTGCACTCAAACAGTTCCTAAAATTCCGTGATTCCATGCCCATTAAAATCCTTCAGCTCCTAATTTCCTCACTCATTTTTCCTCACTTCGATTATGGCTGCCTTGTGGTGGACTGTCTTGTGGGCTTGAGACCAGATTAAAGAGAGTAATGAATTGTTTCATTATTATTAATGTGTATAAATAAGTGAACTCGCACATCAGAATTTATCTATAATTTCATATAACTACCAGTGCCTTTTCTTTATTTTCTTTTTTAATTTTATATCTAGATAACCTTCTAATTTAATTTATTCTGAATTATTTCTAATGCCAGACAATTGTCATTAAATTGTACATTGCAGTTATTCTAAGGGGACTTAGTCCCAGAATAAAGTTTATTTTTCCTCTTCTTCTATTCTAACGTTGATTAGAAGATTGGCTTTTCCCCTCCTTCCGAAGACAATGTTTCCTAGGTACGTTCCTCTACCAAATCATCAACAACCATCGTCCTTCTTACGCCTATAACCTTCTTCAGTTCAAATCCTCAGTCCATTCCATGTCCACAAGATCCAAAACCTTCTAATGTTTATATGCCTTCTCACAGATCTGCTTCATTCCAAAATTCCTTTATTGTTCGCACTGTCAATTTCTGGAATTCACTCCCTATCAAAATTCGACATTCCCCAACCATATCCACATTCAAAATCTTTCTATTCCAATTCCTATCCCAAAAACAGTCAGATATTTGCTAACCATTCGAGCTGATTTTAATAGAGAATTTGATATATTTTTATTTTTTAATTCTTTATTATTTTCTTAAGAGTGTATACTGGTCTATCAGTGCAAATAGCTTTAAGTGTCTTGTCATAGTATTAATTGTTTTGCATATAGTTTCGTTTGTTTTGTATATAGAATGTTTACCTTATATTTTCTTTACATTATTTCTTTTTTTCGATTGATTTTATTTTGGCCAGATGTAATCTTTTTATTTTGTTATTCTCAAGGGACTGTGTCCCAGAATAAAGTTATTTTTCTATCTATTCTATCTATTACTGTTAGCTTCGTTAAGAGTTTTTAGCTTGTCTATGCTGAGCTCACAAACTGCGGACTCGAGACCGCTTCCTTCGCCAGCTGGTCTGCCCTTTCGTTTCCTGAGAAGACGCAGTGTCCAGAGATCCACTGCAGGACAACTTCCTTGTGAAAGGACATGAGGTCTTCAAGTTCTTTGAAAAGTTTTCTTAGGCTTTTGCATAAGGAATGCCATTTTTGAGTTGGAACAACCTTCTCAATAATATTCCCCGCAGGAAATTGGTACAGGATACCGGACCCACAGTTTGTAGTTGTATTTGGTCATTTTGTAGTCATTATGTATTTGAGTCCACAGGTCTTTTGGTTAATTAGTATTTATATGTTGGAGGGAAAGAGATTTCAAGAGTTACAAAGGTATATTCTCCTTGCTTTTAATACTAGGGTTGGACAGAACAATTTGTTGTTTCGGAGATTCAAACCAAGAAGGTTTGTCTTCTATTGTTGTTGAACGTTCAGAAGCAATCTTTGTAGTTCTGTGAAGTATGCTTTGCCTTTTCAACCTGTTTATATTCCTTTCTCTTACTCTTTTTTTTTTGGAGGGAATGATTTTGAATGGACTTGACTTTTGTAAATAATTTTAGGAGCTACACATCACTCTTATCCTCAATTGCGAGAAGTTTCGCTTTCATTTTTTCAATTGGCGTAAACTTCATTTCCCTGTCATAATCCTTAGCCCCTGATTTTGCACGATTGAAATTCTGTGGAGGTTCGATACCGCAGCGTTTTCCCAGATGATAGATCTATACTCCAAGGAAGGCCTAGCGTAGTCAATGTATAATGACCTCAGTCTTAGGAATCTTTGGACTTGTTTAAGGTTAGTTATGGATTTCCAGGTAATCTGGGAAATATTATTGTAAATTTTTATAAATCACGACGTTAAATGTCTTTAAATGACTGGCATATTCCACTTTTCTCCGATTTATAAAATTTTACGCATCAGCCCTTTAAAATGATTTAAAGAATAAAAATTGAGTTGGTGTTTGAGAAGTGCCTTTTGGAGATACCAATTTTTTCATCCGCCCATGCCATTTCCATTAATTAAGTTCGGAAACATATTATAAATTGTTCAAAAAAAAAAAAAAAAAAAAAAAACACGAAAAATAAATACAGCTAGCAGTTAAATTGGCCTTGAGGTTTCTATTTAATTTCCTTAGGTAAACATTAATGATGGCGTACTGCTGGTCATTTATTTCATTTTTTTTGCCTTTTTTTATTTGTATTTTTTTTTATTAACGAAATTACAACTGTAATTAATAATAAATACAACAAGTAAATATGAACAAGTAATATGATATGTACAACATGAGGAGAAACTACCCATTGGTAGCACTCCAATTATATTTCTATATTAGAAGGTCCCGAGGCCATCTTTTTTTCAGGCGCCTCGGAGGGTTATCAGGAATAGAAGAGGAAGCAAGGTTGGAAACGAGAGGGTTCGGATGGTTCAGAAGTTTATTATGAAAGGACAGGTATCTGGATTTAGCTAAATCGGAAACATATGGTACATTAAGGTCATTATGGATGATTTTATTTGTGACAAAGTAGGGAGCATTAAGGATTTTTTATTGTAGGAATTGGATACGAGAGGAATTTGATGGTTTAGTAGAGCCCCAAAGCTCGATCCCGTAAGCCCAAATAGGCCTTATTATAGTAATATATATGAGTCTTTTGTAAATAGTTGGCAGTTTAGAGCGTTTGTCTAGTAAGTGCTGGAGTAGTCGGAAACGTCGGGCGGTTTCTAGTCGTTTCAGTCTGGTATGGGGGTTCCAAGTGAGTCGTTTGTCAAGGTGGAGTCCTAGGTATCGGATTTGGTCAACAGGGATAAGTGGGGTATTGTTAAAGGATACTGTAGGACAGGAAGTCATAGGTTACGTTTTTTACCTTAACCAGCATTTTTGGTTTTAAGAATTTGGAAAGCAAAGAAACCAAGAAGGTATTCCGGCCATTGTAGCTTTATATTTTTCGGCTTAAATAATAATTTTTTTAGTAAATAAATAGTGGTATGTCTATATTACTTCTTATTAACACCCAGATTAATGTGCAAATGCATATTTTTAAATAACTGAGGCTACATCTTTGCGAAACAAGTCATTCTATTTTTTTATTTATTTTTTTTGACAAATCTTTATAATGTATATTTTGGCAAAATTTAATTTTTGTTCATATTTACACTCAAAAGGCAAATATTATGCATATTTCGATTAATTAAATTTATTTAAGGGACAGAAAACTGTTTAATTAATAACATTAGTGTTCGCCCAGTGGTCGAAATTCGACTATAATCATAATTCGACATTTGAGGAAAACATAAATGAGTTTCTATGTTTTTAACACTGTTTTTCTTTTTACTCATAGGTATTCGCGTATTCGCATTTACGTTTTAAGTTATTTAAATAGATTTCAATTTACACATCCATATTATATGCTACATTTCAATGGCTTTTGTTACATATAAATCCGGACATTACTCATTATATTTCCAGTTTAGCTCGTCTTCGTGAAAAGTGGTGTGTTGTATGTCCTTAGTGCCTTTCGCTTGTGTTCCCATCTATATTACTTATCGATATACAACTTGTACTAATGATTGATTAATTTTGTAATTAGTGAATGCTGAAACCAATTTTGTTCTTTCTTGAATTAACGTTGAGGAAATGAGATATTTTACTTACTTTGACGATGAAATCTCCGATATCCTCGTTCCTGAGAATGATCCAGAAGGTGCTAGGAGTCAAGGAGTAGCAGGCCGCAGTGAGTGGGAGCACGGCCGCATGCTGGCTGATAGAAGGCGGGATGAGTAGACGGTTGCAGCCGATGTGCAAGATCCTGGGAAGCTTTTGCTGCCGTATGCTGCTCCATTTGGAAATCATTAATTTGCCTGAGGGAGAGGGAAGGATTTAGAATTAAATTACCAAAATTTTATTAATATTTTTTATCTTAGTGAAATCGTAACCTATAATTTATCTTAAACAATTTAGCCACCAAACTAAAAAAAAAAAAAAAAAAAAAAAAAAAACTCCAGCGATTTCCTCAAAAAATCGTTACATACTTTTTAGCAAATTGATTAAACACACTCTATTCAATCATTGGTCAGTTTTTCAGCTCAAATTGTTCCAAAACACTCAGGTGATCACTCTGAATAATTGGAGTGATGGAATTATAAAACTGACCCAGCTGTTCAGTTAAAATATCGTTACATACTTCTTAGCGGACTATGTAAACATCCAACCCTCCTACCGCTTCGGGTTCAAAAGCAAATGTCGCAAACTTGTTTACGCGGTCTTGTGCAGATGATGAACGGTAGAAATCGTCGAAGAGATGACAATCCTTTCTTCTTACGGTGACTTTATATCGGTAGTTTATGAGCTCTCATATTATTTAATAAAACTGCAAATGGGCATTAGACCAGTAACTCCGCTATGAAGGGCTGTAGTGCAACTAAATGTGCCATACAACAATTGGCAACTCTTAACACTCAGTAAAGAACTGAGGCAGACCCTCTACGTTGACAAAGTCCAAGGGCTTGAAAACTTAAACCTAAGCACTTGTTCATACGTAAGGCAATAGTACTCTTACTATAATCATTATAAAACACATCATAACAATAGAGCCTGGAAACTATGCTAACTATACTAAAAACTATAGTTAACAGTTAATTTCTAGTTATAATTTCCATCATATAATTGCATATATTTTTCTGCTTCAATTTTTAATTCAAGTTGAAACATTGCTGAGCATACTGTCCACAAAAAGAGGTTGCTTCAAATAAAGACAAATTTTATAAATAATTTATAATAGCTAATCCAACTTTCCTCCGGGTTTAGGATGTTCAGAAACAACAAGCTCTCTGTACGTACTGTAAAACCTTAATAATGCTTTTGCTGACGATATGGTGGTGTTCGGAAATGACTGCCGTAATCTGCAGTTTAACCTCAAGATCTTTCAAGCTGAGATGAGGAATATAAACATGGAAATTAACATCTCCAAAACAAAATTTATGAGGATTGGGAGAAGAAGTGACCGAGGAGACCGGATCGTTCGGCTGGGTGGAATCCGCCTGGAGCAAGTAATGGATTTTAAATACCTGGGTGCTCACCTCAACGAGACTTAAAAGAGAGAATTAAGAAGGCAGGAAAATGCTTCTACTCCCTCAAGTCAGGCTTCTTGGACAAAAAGGAAGTCTCAAAGGCCACTAAGAAGATTGTCTTCAAGAATACCTTCCTCCCTATATTAACATATGCAAGCGAGTCTTGGACCCTCACTTCCAAGCACAAAAGCCAAATCCAAGCTATGGAAATGCGATATTTAAGGAAAATAGAGGGGAAAACAAGAAGAGATCGCGTTAGGAATGTGACCATACGAGCTAATCTGGACTTGAGGCCTGCCGAGGAAATATTCCAAGAAAACCAACTTAGGTGGTTTGGACATATCTCGCGAATGGCTGAAAACAGAATTGCCAGGGCTACCTACGAGGTCAAAGTGGAGGGAAGGCGGCCACAGGGAAGACCAAGAAAAAGATGGAAAGAAGGAATTAAAGAAGCCTTTGACAGGAGAGGAATGGACTGGAGTAGGACAGCTGGCCCAGGATATATATTCTTGGATCAAGCTCTATAAGAAGGAACCTCACACTGCTCAGCGGTAACAAAGAGGATTGGATTAAGTAAGTAAGTTAGTAAAAACTTAATATATGTTAATAATATAAATATACCTGGGCGAGGTTCCTCTTCGGTGTACCACATTTCATACTCCCCTTCCACTTTGTAAGGTGAAAAGACATTGGCATTGATGAAAGTGGGCTTATAAACCGGAGTACTGATGACGTAGTCGCTACTCACAACTAATTTATAGGGTTCTCCGATTAAGGTAAATACCATGTTGTTGGCGTATCCATTAGGTAAGCATGTGCCACTTAATACCAGGATTGCTGTTATAAAAACAAATCTTTGTTATTTAATCCGTTAATTAGTGCCGTTCTAACCTATTCATGTTACTAATTAATTGGCACTTAATATACTAGGCCTTGAAGAAGCTTTTAACTGCAAATACTGTGTAATTTCTGTTCTTTAAACAGGAGTGTGAATTTTCTCCAAGGTCATTGACGCATCTCTTTCCCTCCAAGAATTTTATTAACGTTTTCTTTTCAAGATAAATAAAAAAATATATTCTAAATTGTATTTTAAATAAATTCCTAAACTGAATAGGTTCCCTTCGAAGTATAGTAGCAAGGCTGATAGTTTTTACGAACATTTTCTTCAGTGAAAAACTAGGTTAGAAATTTTCTTGGTTGGCCCAATAAAATCTTAGCCTTTTTATTTATTAGCCTTAAATAATAATTATACACGATTCCAGGATCTTGTAGGAAAGAGTAGATCATATTTTGTTTAATAAACAAGGAAAGTTAAACCGAAAAATATTTAGTAGAGAAAAAATGTCTATTTTTTTCTTAAATGATATTTACAAAATCCTTGGAGTAAGGAAAAAAAGAAGGAATCGAGCTATGTAATAATCAAATATAATGCCTTAGAAGATATTGAAAATTAAATAACTTGACAAATGGATACTTTTACTATGAATTGTTCAAAGATAATATTAATTGAATAAATAATTTATTCTCAGTCATTTCTTTTATATATATATAATGTCTTCTAATTTCATAACTTCCCATCGCGAAAATAAACCTATTTTTAAGAAATTAATTCCAAATCCTTATTTCGTGAGTAAGAATTGTTTGTTTGTATTTTGTGTTTCGTAAAACGGATGGTTTTTTTTAAAAAATGGAATGTAGCATAGTTTATTTGATCAAAAGTCCTCTATATATAGTTTTATGAATGACAAACTCTGATTTCGTTTGAAGTAAATTTTATTTAGTTTATAATGAAGCAATCCTTAATTAATTAAATTAAATATTTCTTTAGTTATCGCTCCCTATTCTTTAAAAAACATGACTTACTTAAAAAATACAAAACTTGTTTATATTTTTTTACTTTTTGAAAGCCCTTGAGGTTAGCTACAACCCCTTTAATATTCCTGTCTTCGTAAGGAAATCCCTGTATAAGGAAAGCTGGGTATATAAGCATGATAAGCAGAAAATAAAACACAAAAAAACACAGGTCAAACTTCATTTGAAGAAAATATTGTTTAGTTTAGCGGAACAATTGTTAACTATTTTTATTTTTATTTTTAGTTACAGCTTTTAAATTTAAATTTAATATTTTTTTAGTTATAGCTTTCTATTCAACGAAAAACGTGACTTAATTAAAAACCGAAAGCTTGAAATTCCTTCTTTTCTGCTGAAAATCTGCCCATTGTTTATATAAACTTTTTTGTAGCTTTTCAAGTCTGCTATCACCACTTATCTATTTCTGATTTGAAATTGAACCTCAATTCTTCGACAAATAGGTAGATATTTGTTATTGCTCATGTGTTTAATAACCTTCAAAGAGTAATTCTTCCGCTGGAATCCAACAGATCCTTCCTAACCTAAACTTAGCATAAATCGGTGTTCAACACTATTTAATCAATGGAATAAGCGTTGAGTTAAGGAACTTGCCTAAGCTAAGCGGGTTACATTATTTTAATCAAAAATTGTAATAAGTAGTACATTTCAAAAGATAAATAAGAGATAAAAATATTTTAAAAAAATATATATGAATCTTTAAACGACCACTTTCAGCTTAAGGTGGTGTATTTAGATCTTTTAACATATCTAAAAATGTATTTAAAAAAATTTTTATAGATAGTTTTTGATCTTTGGATAGCATTTAATAAAATTGTTCACATATTTGAGTTAAATGCACAGGAATTAACGGTTGGCAGTAACGGATGGCGGTGAGCAGTTGGATAGTTTGGGCAAGGGGCAGTTTATACAGTACCAGCAATACTCAACGCCAGTGCGGGTTTAAAGGTACCGCAGCCCAACTCTAATTTAATAGCTTTAATTAGGAAATTATTAAAATATTTCAGTGCAAACTAATAAATAATAGTAATAATAAATTTTTTTCAAAAATTATTTATTTATATTATTTTTTTAAAATTTATTTATTTTATCTCCAAAGACCTCAAGCAAGGTCTCTCTCCCTCTCTGCTCTCTCTTCCCCCACTATTTAATATATTCATCGAAAGTATCCTTGGTCTATGGAAAGGAATGTAATCATGTTGGAATAATTATAGATAATGGATGCTTGTACCATTTACAATTCATCGATGGCTAGGTCATTGTTCTAAATGAAGAAGATGCTTCCTTTATGATGAGGAAGCTGCTGTAAGCCTAGAGGGTATGGCAGGAGGCTTGGAAATCATTAAAACAAAAAGCGAGCACATGGCATTCAATAATAATTTTATTGAATTAAATTATTATTGAATATTATTATTAAAGGGAGCTACTCATCAAATGTCAGAAACGGGAATCCACCGTACCTGGCAATATAAATCTTAGGCAGGTGGATTTCACAGGGAAGTAACAGCGAAAAAATATTGATGAAAGGATCATCAGAGGTGGAAAGGTCACACGGACTTTAAATTTAGTTCTATTTTAATTAGGACTTTGATAGGGATGCGCCTGCAAAAAATTTATGCTACGAGTTTAAACCCCGTTCGCGGGATTAAATAACAAAAAATAATCTGGTGTGTCCACTCTCACGACTTTCCTACCTATCTCAGAAAAGTATTTATGTCTTTGCATATGTTCATGAAGAAACAAAAAATAATTGAACTAGATACATTTTCCTGAAAATGATCAAACATAAGATTTGAGTATGGTTTATTTGATAAACTAAAGCAATGTAAACCGGCTTAAGGTAATCAATGTAACCGAGATCAGTGTAAAAGTTTCAATACTTCCTAATATTGCTGATCAAAAACTTTTTGCCATAGCTTAGGATTGTCAAACAATAATTTCTGTTAAAAGTAGAGGAAATAGTGAAGATTATGTGATGCGGGCAACAGCTTTTCTTACTTTCACTTAGTCATCATTATTCTCTCATTCAAACCTTTCTGATACCAGGATATGAAACCGTAATCTTACATTGGAAATTGAATAGCTGTAACTTCGTTAATAGTTGTCCGAAATGAACGATTTTTATATGGCTTTGTAAGGAATTTCATTACCTTTCAAACGACAGGCTAATGGGCGTTCCGCACTCAGGGGGCTCTGAAACGTATAATATATACTTAGGGAGTTAGGCCCCATAACATATTTCTTTTTTTTTATAACTTTTATTCCTGATTTTTTTCGGGAATTTTGTCTATATACGAAAATTGAAAGAACTATGATTAGAACATTATAGGAAAGTTTCATCAAAATCGTTAGAGCCATTTTTGCGCTACAGTCTATAGAAAAACATGTTTTTCATTTATTGCGCGCAAGCTATTGCGCATGGAGAACCGAATTTCTGTCACAGGCATCAGTAGTCAAAACCCTAAAAAATAAAAAAAGAAGCAACAAAATCGGTTCAGTAGTTCACGAGAAAATCTTGGCACAGACAGACAGACCAATGGCTAAAAATGTGTTTTTCGGACTCAGGGGCTCTGTATAGATCCGTCGAAAACCGCATGTCGGAAATTTGACCCGATTGCAATACTTTCCTTACCTAGTATAGGTAGGAAAGAAAAAAGACAAAATAAAAATCGTTAATAATAAATAAATAAGTGCAGCCCCTACTCGATTGCTTAGACCACTACGGTGCGGGTTCGATTTCCGTATGGGGACGATAATATCCCCATCCTGAGATTCATAGGAAGGTTAGAGCGACCCCTGTATCTAATAACATAGCTATTTTGATCCTCCAGATTTTGGGGTTTGCGCACAGAGCTAATAACCCTATCCCGTAAAAAACAACAACAGGATAGACACTTATGCAAAAGGTTGCCAACCATCCATATGAAGAGGGAGTGATTGTGATCGCGTCCGGTTCTTATAAACTACATGCTCCCAGGATATCATCTACATTAGAAGAGAACTAAACGATTACAGCTTATGTAACGAAAGAACAGCCCCAATGCTGCGAGAAGACTAATGGTAGAAGTTAAAAGATTCAAGAGGCGTAAAAAAAAATACATATTTATTTATTTAATTATTATTTTCAATGTTATTATTTTATTTTATTATTATTTATTCATTTTACAAAACTTTAGCCAGACCATTATTATAAACAAATAGTTAGCCTGTGCGAATAATACGCAGACAATTTTATTTAGTGAAGGAATAACAAGAAAAATACAGAAATAAGTAGATCCTATTTGTTATGCGAGGGAGGAAGGAATTAATTGTTTTTCCTTGTTCGATTGAAATATTCCATTAAATATATTAGACCAAAATATTTGTACAAATTTCTTTGCCAGGGCCTATTTTTAAACACTGGCTGATAATAATCAAAATAACGCCTCAGTCATGAGATTTTCTAAATTACTAAAAAATATAAAATGTATAAATAAAAAAATGCCTTTAATAAATTATAAAGTATTTATCAGCCTGAAAAAAAGTGTAGTAGAATAGTAAATTCAGTATCTTTAAAGAGCAAGAAATTATTAAGAATTCTAATGGACTGTATCTTTGTTAGTACTTGTCCGATTTGTTTTTGTTTTGTAGCTAATTTAATAACTTTCTAATTATCGTGGGTACAATCAATAAAAAAATGGACAATTTTTAAGTTATTCGCAAATATAACTGTGGGTGTGACTATTTTTCCCACCTAAATGCGAAGAAGATCTTCAAAATGAGAGCTCAATCATTGGATTTGATGACGAATTCACGAAGTTATGGCGTTGCGACAAAAAAAAAAGCCTTTCAGAAATAATATGTAAGATAAGTTTTTTTTTTATAACACTATGCCGACAGTTTGACAACTGCTAAAATATTTACTTATTTTTCTCTGTTTTTGGCAACGATAACTTCCAAATATACAACAATTGATTTATTTGTTTATAATATCATACAGCTTCCCAGCAAAAAGAAGAATTTACATGTTAACGTTTCAGGAAATTTACTCCCATCTTCAGAACTTACAATCCCATATTTTCTTATCGATTCATGGCTAGAAAGGAGTTAATTAAAAAAATAATGAATGTTATAGTTGAGTTGTTACATAAATTTTGTAATTGACTAAAGTCTGATGTGCTCCTTTGTCATGTTTTAAATTTATGTTATAGATAAATTGCAGTTATAATATTCAGGGCATCAACATTCCTATAGACCAATAATTGGGTGTCTGTTATGGAGGATACTATTGACCTTGGATATGATTATTTACTCTTTTACTGTTGTTGTTAAATGATTATGACTGCATTTCATTTTTACTATATTTTAATTGTATTTAATACATCAGCATAATGATGCTCTAGATATTATAACTGTAATTTAAAACATGACAAAGGAGCACATCAGACTTTAGGTAATTACAAAATTTATGTAACAACGCAACTCCAGCATGTGCTGTAACATGCATTATTTTTTAATTAACTCCTTTCTAGCCATGAATCGATAAGAAAATATGGGATTGTAAGTTCCTGAAGATGGGAGCAAATTTCCCGAAACGTTAACAGTAAATACAATATATAAATCTATTGTTGTATATTTGAAGTTATCATTGCCAAAAACAGAGAATATCATACAGCTTCCCAGCAAAAAGAAGAATTTAATTTTTTTAATTTGAAATAATTAACCATTTCACATTGATCTATAATGTAAAAAATAGTTAAATATAAAATATGAAAGAATTTGATAATTATCTAAAGGGATTGTAGAGAAACAAGAGATCGCAACGGAGAATAGTTGTAATGGAGGAACCAAAGGAATACGAGTGCGCCCGAGCTTGCCCGAAAGATTAGAATAGTTTTCCATACGTAACATAATAAGCTTAATATAATAAGAACTCCACAAATATTATATTCAGTCATAAAAGTCATCGTTGATATTATTTAATATTTAATTGTATACAAATTGTTCAGTTATATGTATATATATTGTTCAATTCTAAGTTAAACTCTTTGGTGAATACACCTCCCTGAAGAAGACCTGCAAACGTTGGCTGTTAATATAATAGTTCTGCCACTATTTAATTGGATAGATTACAGCGATATAAAAATCAAAATTTGTATATTTAGGGGTACTTAAACAAATTAAAATACCTACAATAAAATATAAATAAATATAGCGTCTATAATCTTAACTTTTACTTCGACTTTGTCTCAAAATAATTATTTCTGCTAACAAGAGAGTGGTAAGTAGTGGTGGTAGTTCTTTGATGTTTTAAACATGATTACATATACATTTTTAGTACGCATTTTTTGTATGTTGCATTCTATTTCAATCATTTTGGTTCATGAAAGGAAGAAAAAATATTTTCGCCTAATCATTGCCAAAAACAGAGAATATCATACATGCTTGTACAGAGAATATTGGCGTGCTTATTATTTTAGCACTGCATTAATTGTCATTCAACCCTTGAAACTTCGGTATTAACTATTTATCATACTCAATAGTATTACTTAATATATTCATATTAGAAACACACACACACACTTATACACACACACATATTTTTTTTTTTATGTCGGATGAAAGTAGCTCATTTGAAACGTTTCCTATTCCCAAGATTCCGTATTCGAGCCAGGCTATGGCAAATAATTATTATTCGGTAACATCACCCGTGGATAGCCCCAAGGATCATATCCTTCTGATATATATGCACACACACTATTTATATATATATATATATATATATATATATATATATATACATAAACTTAACTATTTAATTGGGAATAAGGTCACTTAATTATTATTTAATAAACTATTGAATGCTCATTTCTTCTGTTTATTGACGTTTCGATCCCGGTATTTTCTTTTTATTAGTCAACCATGGGATCCTCTTCAAAGCTAGATCTACAAGAGGATCCCATGGTTGACTAATAAAAAGAAAATACCGGGATCGAAACGTCAATAAGCAGAAGAAATGAACATTCAATAGTTTATTATATAATAATTAAGTGACCTTATTCCCAATTAAATAGTTAAGTTTATATATATATATATAATAGTATATATATATATTATAATATATATATATATATAAAACCATAAACATCTTTGTAATATCATACAGCTTCCCAGCAAAAAGAAGAAAAGAAATGAATTACTTACTGTTAAAATAGCCATACATGGTTCACTGAACCTATACGGAAATAATGAATAAATATATAACGTAAGTGCTACATATTAAATTACCTTTCACAGGAGTTATTGTCCTGGCGGTGAAGTTGATCGGAATGGTAGCTGCCGACTTAGCCGCAAGGACGATCACTGCCCGCAATTTTTCCAACGAAAAGGATCCATTTGGATCCCCGAGTATCTTTATCGCATAGCCAATGGAACTTGCGTTGGGGTTGATCACTGATACCTTCCTTGTTACTGATTGCGAAAGACAGGAGAGGAACTGGATTGTAGACTGAGGGACGTACGACCTCATCACCATATAGAGGTGGCAGACGAGGAGCATCATGGAGATGGGGTTGGAGTGGTAGAAATCTGTGGGCACCACTGTCAGTCCCAGCCGGATCGCGTTCCAGGCGGTCGCCAGCAGCACGCCGTTGTGATGGCTCTGCAAAATATCAATCAGGAATTCAAACAATGTTTGTTCGTCCAAGTTATACAGGGCGTTTCAGGGTTAATTAGCCAAACAGCAAAAATTAACTAAGGACCTCAAAACAAGAAAAAAATTTCCTCTGAATGTATGTCCGCAAACACTTTGTTTAGGAGATATTCACACCAAAAGATTTTCGTTGTTATAAATTATTTGATAATAATAATAATAATACTTTATTTATTCTGGGACGAGTCCCTTTAGAATAATACAGAGAGACAAAAATGTGGGCTAAGGAGCCTCAGAGATGCATAAACAAGAATATAGTTTGATTAAATATTAAAAAAAAATAATAAATAAAAAAAAATAATAAGAGAAATTATAAGTTACACCGACCACGTATACACCGACGGCTCCGCTCAAACAGCTACGCAGGAGCAGGAGTATACTGCCAAGATTTCATGCTATCCATCCCTGCTGGTAGCCGGGGAACAAACTTTGATGGAGAAGTCAAAGCCATCTCGGCAGCATTGACTGCAATAGATAAAGAACTCACCTATTCCCGAGTTGTGATCTTTGTCGATTCACAAGCAGCCATACTGTCGATCTGCAATGGCCTGGACCATCCTGATATCACTAGTGCCAGAAATCGGATTAATAACTTAATTAAAAAAGGAATCCGAGTGGCTTTCCAATGGGTTCCAAGCCATTGCGGCGGGCTACCAGGAAACGAGAAAGCTGATGAGCTCGCACGGATCGCCTCGGAAATGCCACAAACTAATCCCTCGCTGCCCTGCGAATCTGTTAAAAGGAATTTAAAAACATTTTACAAGCAAGAGAACAAGAGTTGACAAAAGCGACAGGCAGCAGGGAAAAAATGGGGATGTTTAACAGAGGAGCCGATAAAACAAACCAAAAATAGGAAAGAATCGGTGGCAAATTTCCGCATGGCAACAGGGCACGATTACCTGCAAAGGCATTTACACAGGATTGGAGTGGTGGAAAATCCTGTGTGCCCTCTATGCCAACAGAATGGAGTTCCATGAGAGGATCGAATGATAAAAGATTTATCGAAAGCAGCGGTTCGGTGGGCCATTATATATGAATCTGAAGACTCCAGGAACGGCTATTGCGGGAGTGGACAGAGGATTTAAATTGAAGGAGCTCGGCGATGTATGAAGGACGGCGGGAGTAAATTACTTGGAAGAGGAAGGATGCCAGGAAATACTTACGGCGGTAGGAAGGATAAAGCCATTTTAACTCTTCCTAGAAACAGGAAACAGGGGCATCTCTTGGGATCCCGAAGATGAATCGTACAAAGCAATTTATCAAATGTTTTAGTTTCGTCTCGAGATCCCCAGAGACGCCTCCATATACCGTGCAGCAATAGTTGAAGTGGGGAAATATTAAGGAGGTGATCAGGAGTCTACGGATTTCAAAAGGAAAAAGGTGTTGCAGGCTATTTAAATTGGAAAAGGTTTTTTTTCCTTTTTAAATTTGTTTAAAAATTTACGTTATATGAAATAAATAAAACCTATTTATTTGTTTCTAACTATTTTATTAATTAAATGTAAACATTAACATTCATATTTAATGTTGTTCAAAGTGAAGGTATGTCTGCAAAAGCTTTGTTTAGGAGAGGGATTAGATAGAATACTAATATGGCATTTTATCCCTAACTGTATGTAAACTATTGACAACATAAGTTTTAATACTATTTGGAATTAGCATTGGAGACTCTCAATAACATTTATCAGTTTACAAGACACTTTTGCAGAGTACTCATCATTATGCCTTGGCCGCGCAGGACCACCACGCTCTACAGACCTGACACAACTGGATTATTTTGTTTTGGGTGACATTAAACAAAAAGTCTATGCACGTCAGGCCATTGACCTTAATTCTTTACAAAGAAGGATAATTGAATCTTGTGAAACTATAACACATATCCAGCACCGTTCTGCCACTGCTGCTGTTCAAGAAAAATGCCGAGCCTGTCTTAATAGTCAAGGAAATCACATTTAATATGAATTTAATGTTTACGTTTAGTTAATAAACTAAACAGTAGTTGGAACAAACGAATAAGTTTTACTTACTTAATATAACGTAAATAATTCATAACAATGAATATCTTTAGATGTGAATATCTCCTAAACAAAGCGTTTGCGGACATAACTTCATCGAAAGTTTTTTTCTTGGTTTGAGGTCCTTAGTTCATATTTTCAATTTGGCCACTTAACCTTGAAACACCCCGTATATCAATCGACAGTCTTTTTTTAATATTTTTTATTCCGCAACATTATTCTCAAATAATCGCCAATAATAATAATACTTTATGTAACTATAAAAATAAATGAGCTGCTGTTGGATATTTTTGGTTATAGTTTCAGAAATAGAGATGGTGCTGACGATCAATGCACTAGAGCCTCTACGATAGAAATAACATTAAATAGTAACACTAGCGGATCCAGGATTTAATGTATGGGGAGGGCTTCAGCCGGAAGCTTTTATATATATATATATATATATATATATATATATATATATACATACACTGACCCACTTGTCCACACCATTAAGGAACTACGTTGGAAAGGTTGGCTCTGGGAAAAATTACAGGCTACATATCTTTCGTATCTTCTTCTCCACACCCCGTCATGCCCATCTGGAGATCGAAGAGCGAATCTTGACTCATCTGTAAAAAGTACAGCACTCCATTCGTCCATAGTCCAATGGCTGTGTTCTCGAGCAAAAGCCAGCCGTGTTACTCTGCGAGTTCTGGTCAACTCTGGTCCTCTTACTGGACGAAAAGCCATTAATCCATACTCATTTAATCTTCTATTGTAAGAACCAGTTTCCCGAAAACGCCTGACGGCGTCTCGTAAAGTTTCATATGGAACTGCATATTACCTGCATATCTAATGGAACGTCCATCATCAATAAGCGCCACACCACGCGCAACATCCTCAGCACTAAGATGCATTTTTAAACTTAATAATGAAAAAATTAAAAGCCGGAGACTAAGAAATGTGCTGCAAGAAACGGCACTGAACTAATGATACTGAATAAACATTTTGATTCCATAGAAAGTAAACATTGGAATCTAGAATCATTTCATTGAATTAAGAATTAAGGGTTATTGTCCTCTATTTTAACATTCCTAATAGAAAACAAAGAAAAAGATTACCTATTTATTCATTAAAAACAATAGACCAATCCAAAGCAGAAATATTTTTAGATGAAAACATGAAAAAATCAAGTGGGTGGAATTTTTTGCCTGTCAGTGTATATATAACGATAATTACTTTGGAAAAACAGAAAGATGCTAACTACCTATATGAAATAATGTTTAAGTGATACTTGAAGTCCTATTAAATGTAATTAAACGAGCAATAATACTTTAAGACATAAGTTTTTAATATTTTTTCACCATAAAAAATGGTTCCATTTTATCATTTTGGAGGGAGAGGGGGCTTCAGCCCGAAAGTCCCCCCATAGATCCGCCTGCGAATAGTTGTGCGGAGGGTCATCAGGGATCGAAAAGGAAGCAAGGTTAGAAACGAGAGGATTCGGATGGTTATGAAGTTTATTATGGAAGGATAGGTATCTGGATTGGGCCAGATCTGAAAAATATGTAACATTAAGGTCTTTATGGGTTATTTCCTTTGTTACAAAGTAAGGAGCATTGAGAATTTTACGAAGCTTTTTGGATTGAATACGAGAGGAATTCGATGGTTTAGTGGAGCCACAAAGCTTATTGTAATCAGTCTTTTATAATTAATTGATAGCTTAGAGAGTTTGTCTAGTTAGTGCTGGAGTAGTCGGTAATACTCCATATACGCCCTACTATATGTTATTAAAGGGCATATCACTGATATATATAAAATTATTTTGTTTTTTATTGAAAAAGAAATTTGTCTTCGAAAGTAAGGAGCCATTGTACTAATAAGTTTTTATTGAATACTTAATAGTTGACCGTTGTAGTATTAAGAAAGGAGATGGTCCGTGTTGGCGGTTGTAAATAGACTAAATAGTGGTAAAACTATTTTATCAGATCATTATAAACTATTATGTCTCAATATTATTTGATATTTATAATTGGTAAATGGTTGACGGTCGTGGATAATGAAGAGAAGAATAGTTGGGGTGGTCAGTCAAAAAAGAACGCAAAAATAAATGATAATATTTATTTTTACATATGCCGACGTTTCGATCTGAAGTTTAGGCCTTCATCAGGGCTAAGAAAATAACCAGATAACAAGGTATGAGAAACATAAGTAGTGATGGTAAAAAGGTTAAATAAACATTTTTTTTCAAAAATTTTCAAAAAAAATTTCAATATTATACATTGTCTGTACATCTTGATAGAATTTACAATATCTCAATTTTCTATCTAACTACTCCATTCTCAATGTCTTAATTTTACTATTTATTTTCATTTCTTATATAACTTTATATTTCTTTATTATGTTTTACATTTTATTCTAAGATTCCCATTGTAACACTTATGTCACCCGTTTTGATTTAACTTTTTTATTTTTTTTTATTTAACCTTTTTGATCTAACCCTTTTTAACCTTTTTGATTTAACCCTTTTTGATTTTTGTCACCCTTTTTTTACCATCACTACTTATGTTTCTCATACTTTGTTATCTGGTTATTTTCTTAGCCCTGATGAAGGCCTGAACTTCAGGTCGAAACGTCGGCATATGTAAAAATAAATATTATCATTTATTTTTGCGTTCTTTTTTGACTGACCACCCCAACTAATCTTCTCTTCATTATTTGATATTTAAATGTAATTTTGTTACAACTAATTATAATTATAATTATTCATACTTGTTTCCTCTCTATACTTCTAAATTAGTTCTGTAATATATGGTCTTTAATTTTTATATTTATATTTTACTTCTGTGTACGTTTTCCATCTTTCATTTTTGTTTTTATTCACATTGTACTTCTATCTATAATTTCTTAATTCTATTTTATATGTATGTATTGTTCCAGAGATATAGTATTTTCCATTGTATGCATCCATATCTTTAAATTTTAGATACTGTAATTTTTCAGAATTTCTTTTACTTTTACTACTTACCATCTCACCATTCCCTAACATGGTCAGAAATTTCCCCAATAATTAACCTGGTTTTCCAGTTCTAAGTGAAACTCCTTGCTGAACATACCTGCAAGTCTCTTTATTTATTCTTCTTTTTTTTTATATATCTATTTATTGAATAATAATACAATCAGCCACTGCTGGAGGGCTATAAGCATTAGGGATAAAAGTTCTCATTCATAAAATATATACAAATAATAAAGACATAAATATAAATATAAGAAGTAAATAAATAATACTGATGAAGAGTAAATAAAAAGAAAAAAAAATTAACAAATAAAATAAAATAAAAACTTCAAAACACAATCATAACTATATAGATTCGCCCAAGAATCTCCGAGCCAGGCTTTTTCCCCCACACGTGGAAAGCAAAGCAAGACTCCGGAAGATCCCAGTGCCACTTTTCCATCTGCATCACTAGTATTAGAAGCCAGTGGAGACTGAAAGAGGGCACGAGAGCCACAGAAGCTCAGGACATGAGTGGAGAAGCTGGCCATTGCCAGGACTCCAAAGGCATATTTACAAAAGATCTCGAGGTCACTGCCGTTTCAACCTTCGAGGGGGGTGGTATGGATGCTTGGAGGTGGAAAGGGATTGCGCTAGAGGATTGGGATGATGAATGAGGTTCTGATGAAAGTTTTATTCTTCTAATTTTATTTACTTATTTTTTTATTTTTTCTTCTTCTTTTTTCTTTTCATTCTCCACATCCCTTTATGTCCATTATTTCATAACATATCATTTTTCCTTTTCTTCTAATCTCTCCTGTAGATCTATAGGAGTAAATTAATAATTGGATATATTATATTTTATATAATACCACCTATTTACTTCAGTTTAGGATCTTGTTACTTAGCTTACCCTGTTTATACAACTTATTGTCCTTAATATTTTAATGTACTTATTCTTTATAATTTTAATAAGTTTATTAACATTTTCTATATTTTTTTTATCTAAATATGATGTAACTTCCACAATTCTCTATATCTTTTTATATCTTGTCCGTTCTAGCCCTGAAGAAGAGCTGCAAAGTCTGGTCGAAACTTTGGCTTTTAATGAAATAGTTTTGCCACTATTAAGCATATTTACGACCATCTCTTTCCTTAATAAGTTTTTAGCTTCACCGCATTTGTTATTGATATGTGTTGATGTATTAATATTGGTAGGTTGATAGTTACCTGTGCTGAATCACTGGGACTGAAATAAAAATCTTGAAAATATAAGTCTTCCAGGAAAGGGCAATAGAATAGTGTCACTGCACAGAGGACTACTCCATCTTGTAAATCGGTGTGTAAATTTGTAATTAATTTGGTAGGCCACCTCGGGTTCTCCCGATCCACGGTTAACTTCATCGTGTTGTAAACGACGTTGAGCCAGCCCAGAATCACTTTGTCTGCCCTTTCCAGGGTTAACTTCTTCAAATGAGGCATATTTTCGGCTGCGTAGGCTTCTTCCAAGTCGCTCATAACTGAATAAGCCCTGAAAAGAAAATACAAGTCAAATGTTTCAGTCATTAATTTTTGAAGTGAAAATATATCTAGGTTAGGAGCTCTTTGCAATTCTTTTCTGGATAGTGACCGAGACTGAGCCGTCATGATCGGATGTGTTAAGGGGACCCTACACGGTCAATCGGAATTGCACTAATGACGTTCCGAATTGTCGTGTAAGGTAGTGAATGAAGTACTGATGGTGGTGCGCTGCGGATTTCCGAACATCCGGAAATCAAAGGTTCATTCAGGAGAAGTGGAGGGGGGGCTGAGGTAAAAGTAGTGGGGAGACTAACCATACTACTGGATAGGTTAGGTTACCTAGGCCTCACAACCATTATAAATTTCTGATTTTCATTATATGTAAATAGTTAAATAATTTTTCATATCATTGTTTATAATTTGAAACCATCTTCAACTATTTCTTTTAAATAGTCAAGTGGGCAACAAATTAAAAAAAAAATGAGGAAACTTCACAATTTACTTTAGGAAAAAAAAACTTTAACGTTGTGTGTATTTATCAGTTCTTTTCCCATTTTCCTCAACAAATTTATTATTTTCGCAATACCTTTCCTTAATTTTTGTAAGTAGTAGACTTATATTTTACTAACTTTTGTCAAAACGATATGAGATTAACCTTACTACTAGATAGGTTAGTTTACCTAGGTCTCGTTATTAAGTAAATAATTTCATAAAAGTAAATAGCTGTTTATATCCCTAGTCTATATTATTATTAACCATTTTCAACTATTTTTTCTTTAAATTCTTTCTTAAACGTGCTCTACAGTTTCCGGAACACTACTGGTTGGGCATGGAGGATCTACATCTGTTAACGCCACAGCGTTAATTTATTTTATTTTCACAGTCAAAAACGCCACAGCGTCAATTCATTTTATTTCAAACTAAACTAGTTTGATTAATTGTTGATTTGTTTTATTTTAGCAAAGTGAAATAAATTAATAATATGTTATATTTATGTATAAGATATGTGTATATTAAGTATTATAGGCCCATAGCTTATATTGTTCATATTAAATAAATCAATAGTCTATACTTGGACTACTTGTTATGGATTTTAGCCCTAGCTATAAACAAATCCTAGATATGAGGCCTGTCAACTGATGTACTGCCCACTGCGGTCCAGTTTAAGAGAATTCGCTCTCTCGAGCCACCATATTGTCACAATTGTTTGTTCAGCTGGTGTTTATTTTATGCTAGAAGTTTGTTATTTTTTTTACCTATCTAACAAGTGTAAAATTACTTCATTTTGTTTTTATGTTTTCAATATTAGATTTCGTAAATGTACCAAAATAAATGTTTGAAGATACAGTCCACTTTTTTTCTTTTATTAAATCACAATTAAATAGTTAGGCTTCATTCGAGGTTTGACATAAACTAAGAGGGAGCTAACAATATCAATGCCCAGACTGTGAAGTTTAGCTCGAAATCCTCCATGCCCAGTGAGGAACTGGGAAATCCAGTAGTCCGGGAGGACCCACTTTGCCTGAAGCCTCGACTGTACTATGGGAAAGTACTTCCTCAATGTACTTCCTTTAGGAGTTGCTGTATATACTGTATATACTGTAATGTACAATGTACTTGCTTTAGGAGTTTTTTTTTTTTTTTTTTTTTTTTTTTTTTTTTTTTTTTTTTTTTTTTTTTTTTTTTTTTTTTTTTTTTTTTTTGGTCGTTCCCTTCCTCGCTGTTAAGGCTATACGGGATTTTCCCGGGCCAGGGGGTGTTTGCGGGGATTTAAAAGACTCCCCCGGCACCGGGACGCGAACTCGTGACTATTTTCATATCTTTGATTCATATGTCAGGTTGCCTGGCAACGGCGGTGCATTGCACACGCTTTAGCCCATTCGGCCCCCGCCCACTCATAATCCTCACCTGTAGATTGTCCGAAAGTACTGTAGAGCCTTCCATCTTGTAAGAATATTTCGTCCCTTCTTCTAGTAGGAGGTCGAGAGGCATCACCCCCACTAGAACCTGCATCGCTTCATGCGAAGTTGTCCTGTATACTCCGAAGCAGAGCTGTCCTCTGAATCGAGACCAGCCTTTTTTTTTGTCGTAGTGTGAGGTTACGGAACCAGAAGGGAGACGCATACCTGAGGATACCCTCCATTGACCTTTATACTGTAAGCGAGGGAAATGTTTCTACATTCCGTTCTCTTTGTAATGAGCTATTATTAAAAATTTTATGTTAAAGTGACGCACAGTGGTCCCAAATGGTGAAAAAGTGGACATAATTTTTTAAGTCTTTCTCTGGACTAAAACTATCAATATCCATTCAAAGCTACAGGTATAAACTATCCAGAGCCAGATTTCCAGGGTTCTAAAATAAATCGTAAGCTTGTGAGTCTAATTGAAATAATGAAAAATTAGTACAAAAGTGGCTGGATTTAGCTGACCAATAATTTAAGTTTTCACCGAATTATTTTTAAATCTTCCTTTATTTCAACATAAATGGCTCTCCCTTTTTTTGTAGGATAGAAATACGCGTCGATTGAGCAAAATAACATTTATGATGTAGAGATGGTTGACCGTTTATATAACATGAGAAGTTGATCGGGGGGTGCGGTCAAATAAATACTAAATTCAACAAATAGTAATTTTTTAATTTTTGTCGACGTTTCGACCCAAAAAAAAAGGTGAAATTTATTCATTTATTTAAAAAAATATTTAAATTTTTGTGATTTATTTAAAGTGAAATTTATTTATTCATTTATTTTATTTTCACCATGTTATGTGTTATCCACCATGTTATCTTCTGTAGCCCTGATGAAGACCTGCAAAGTGGATCGAAACGTCGGCAAAAATTAAATAATTACTATTTGTTCAATTTAGTATTTATTTGACAGCACCCCCCGACCAACTTCTTCTCAAAATAATTTATTTCGATCATCGGGATACATTTCAAATTTTATGTAATTTTGAAAGTTGCAGGGTAATTTTGTGTATTTGTTCCACTCAAAATTTATCGATTCCTTCCAATTGTTTAAAAATGTTTAGAAATCCTTCATTGAGATGTCTCCTTTAATGAATAGCATACGATAACTGCTACTGTTGACTTCATGCTCCTTGGAATTAATATTTACAGTAACATTATATATTATAGATAATAATAAAGGAAGAATAAAAAAAATCAGGATGTGCAGTCAAAAAATTATGTCGCAAACTCAATAAACATACTCTTTTTTACTGGACATCCTGTACAATTTCAACAGCTGGAGGTCTAAGCTATCCAGGGCTAAATTTTCACGAATTTAAAATAAGTTGTACGTTGATGTATCTAATTGAAGTATTGAAAAACATTTAAAATATAGGGTGGATATGGATAACCGATAATTTCAGTTTTCACTGAATTGTTATAAAATCTATGTTTATGTCTACTTAAATACTTTTCCATTTTTTATAGGATAGAAATACGTGTCGATTGAGCAAAAAAATATTTATTTCGATCATCGGGAGCAATTTAAAATTTTAGGTAATTTTGGAAGTTACAAGGTAATTTTGTGCATTTGCTCCACTGAAAATTGATCGATTCCTTCCAATTGTTTCGAAATCGTTTACGAGATGTCTATATCGATAACGAACAAACGATAGCTTCCACAGTCGACTACAGACTCCTTGAAATTAATATTTATCGACGTCTCTCAATACGTGTGGCGCGGAGATATACATGGTAATTACTATTCTGACTGGATTAGCAATAAACGTTAATATACCTGCGTGTCATGCGTTATATATCAAAGAAAATAAAAAGGGAAAGATGAATGGGTAGAATATGGAGTCAAAATAATATCTATTATAAGAATGAAGAACAATATGAAAAATGAAAAACAATTCATCGACGAGAATTAACCGGCATCTGTCAAAAAAGGCGTTTTGAAAATAACTAAGATAGAATAATTTCATACTGAATTTTATATCAACTCCTTAAAAAAAAAAATGAAAATTCTAGCGGAAAGTCTAGACAGTCATTGACATTTTATGAAATTTACAATATTATGAAAATAAAAAAATCAGTAAGTTTTCGAGAAACTAGTTTTTCAGTTGAATGAACCAAATTTATCAAGATTTTTTTAATTTCTTAATGACATTTACAACTGTTTTAAATAAATACATCTAGTAAATATGGACATAATGGATATAATGACATGAAAACACTTGGAGATCAAGGGGATCATCTTCTTTTCAGACGCCTCGGAGGGTTATCAGGAATTGAAAAGGAAGCAAGGTTAGAAACGAGAGGGTTGAGATGATTCTGAAGTTTATTATGGAAGGATAGGTATCTGGATTGGGCCAGATCTGAAACATAAGGAACATTAAGGTCTTTATGAATGATTTTATTAGTGACAAAGTAAGGAGCATTGAGGATTTTACGAAGGATTTTGGATCGTAAACATTGGATGCGAGAGGAACTCGATGGGTTAGTGGAGCCCCATAGCTCAACTCCGTAAGTCCAAATAGGCCTTATCGTCAAATATATGAGTCTTTTGTAATTAATGGGAAGTTTAGAACGTTTGTCTAGTAAGTGATGTAGTAATCGGAAACGTCGAACGGTTTGCCTAGGTATCGGATTTGCTCAACAGGGATAAGTGGAGTATTGTTAAAGGAAACTGTAGGACAGGAAGTCATTGGTTTACCACGTTATCAAGATTTAAAGAGTTATAAATTATAATATCTTATTTGAAATATGTATATGCATGGTTCAGAAATTTGTTATGAAAGGACAGGTATCTGGATTGAGCTAAATCGGAAACATGTGGTACATTAAGGTCATTATGGATGATTTTATTTGTGACAAAGTAGGGAGCATTAAGGATTTTACGAAGGATTTTTTATTGTAGGGATTGGATACGAGAGGAATTTGATGGTTTAGTAGAGCCCCAAAGCTCGATCCCGTAAGTCCAAATAGGCCTTATTATAGTCAAGTATATGAGTCTTTTGTAAATAATTGGAAGTTTAGAGTGTTTGTCTAGTATGTGCTGGAGTAGTCGGAAACGTCGGGCGGTTTCTAGTCGTTTCAGTCTGGTATGGGTGTTCCAAGTGAGTCGTTTGTCAAGGTGGAGTACTAGGTATCGGATTTGGTCAACAGGGATAAGTGGGGTATTGTTGAAGGATACTGTAGGACAGGAAGTCATAGGTTTACGACGAAGAGTAAAGGTAATTTGATGGAATTTATTGGAGTTTATTTTAATCCTCCAGTTTTGACACCATTTTTCAAGACTTGTGATGTGTGATTGAAGAGTTTGGGGTGCAATAGATGGATCGTTATTGACTGATAGGATACATGTGTCATCGGCATATGTGGTGATGACAGTGTTGGAATGAGTTGGGATATCAGCTGTATAAACTGTATAGAGGATAGGACCTAGTATACTACCTTGAGGAAGCTATAAAACAAAAATTGACTTTTTCTCCTCTTTTCAAAAATGAAAGATATCCGTCTTCGATTCATCAATTCAGTTTTTAAAAATAACTATTTTTGATAATTTTATAATAATTTAAAAACTAAGAATTTGATTGACTTACCTAGAAAGCTGAGATTTTTGCGTCATCGTGAAACTAAAACAATAAACCAAGGATTAGTAATATGTACCTAATAGTACGTGTAATATCTTAAATACTATTCATATTTGCCGCAGTATTCAAAATGGCCAATTTTTTTTAACAATATTTTTTATTTAACAATACTAATCTTGAGGAGGTCAAAAGGTTCTCATAGTGCATTTTCTCATTTTTTATCCTCGAGAACATTTCCCTTTTTTCTTTATCTAACATTTCTTTCTTTAACATCATTTTGATGTCCTTCATTTGCGATGAAAGAATTTTATTTAATTTTAAGAAGTTCTTTTTCGTTTTTATATTTCATACACTCAATAAAACAATACGTTTATGATTTAGGTTAGGTACTAACGTCATTAGTACAATCGTAATAATTTATGAAATGATGTGTATTTGACAAATCTGTAACAGTTCTAAATAAGTGGCGAAAAATTAAGATACCTATATAAAAAAGACACGGCCTTTTTTTCAAGGAGATTTATGAAGCTTCTTGCTTCATTGTCTTAAGTATTCATTAAAAATAAATAAATCAAAACAGTTTTATTCAATTGATATTAAAAAAAAAAAATATTTGAATTGTCTATTTATTTTTTATTTTTTACTATAAAATGTTTATAACTTTATTCTCCCCTGAATAATACACTATTTTTCTCCCCAAACAATCTTATTTTAGTTCGAAAACGGGTATTGAAGTAATTTTCTTTCAAAAAAGAACACTATTCAAGTGTCGATATTTTTAAATTACTACTATAGTAATAAGTAATTTTGAAAAATATATTCTACAAATAATTTATTTTTAAAAAAATATTGGTTTTGATATGACAATTGGAGTAGCAAATACAGTTTGTTAATAATAATCAGGATTTACTTTAGAAATAAATGACTCACTTATTATTGATTTATTTAATACAACAGCAATATGTTTTTCATATATTATATTTCATATACTATAAATACACACAAAAAAAATCTATTTACACAATATAACCGACAAATCAATTGACGTCACATTGGGAAGAACCTTTACCTTTGGACATAGATAAAATATTTGTCGAAATAACCTGTACCACTACAACCCGTGAAGGGTCTTGGGCTCAGTACTGTTTAAGGAAAGTACTGTTTCAAGGCCAGCGGTTGTGTAGGGAGGGGATCAGGCCAGAATCATGCTCAACCGCCAGGTTTTTCCTCTTAATCTATTTTTTAATCAAGGGTACCCACTTTATAGAGGCTGGGTGTGCCACAGGAGGATCTCACTACCCCACGATCGCCCCACGGTCAATGAAACAGAATAAATAATTTATCTGCCATGAGCCGGGATTCGAACCTGGGACCTTTAGCATTGGAAACTTAGTGCCCTACCACTGAGCTACACCGCTCCCTTCCTCGACCTTGCATCACCAAAAAATAGTGTTTTTGATATCGGTGACTCCACAACTTCTTCGTTAATAAATATTGAACAATTTGCTAATTTATCACATTTTAAAATGGTTTAATTGAAAGGGTTTTTTTAATTACTTCCGTACTACGTTCTAGTTTGGTGTAGTCACTTCAACTGAGAGGAAAAATATTAATTTTTTAATGGTACAGTAATTATTATTATTTATTATTTAGTGAGAGAATAATTAACATAATAATAATAATAACAACCTGCTATGTTCCACGGAGGGATCGTCATTAACTGATTTAATATCAACACGATACGGAATTCCAGCTTGTATTATCGCCCTATGTATTTGTAATATAATATCCATCCATGATTGTAAATTGTACCTTTCGAATTCTTCTTCACTTAGAAAAACTTGGGTTGAGCCTTTTTCCTTCAATTATGGAAAAAATAATCATTAAAGTAAAATATATCCATTTATATTTATTTTTGATGTAGAGATGCTTGACCGTGATATAATATGAGAAGGAGTTGATCGGGGAGCGCGGTCAAATAAATACTAAATTATACAAATAGTATTATTTAATTTCGGCAATTCATCAGGGCTACAAAAGATACAAAACATGGTGAAAATAAAATAAATGAATATAAGTAGATATAAAATAAGAAGATATTGTCTGATAAAGAAATAAAAACATGATATCAGAGATATAGTGGGTGACAATCTCGTTAAAATATCAAGTATTATATATATATAGAAGATACAAACAAAAATGGAAAATAAGTATGAATAAAAATAGAAAACAAAGGAGAATATAGCATGTAAGTTTAAACTAAACAGATTGCGATAAAAGATAAGGAATGAGTGTATAACAAACTAATAAAGATTACATTTGATAACTGTAGGTTAACAGATAAAGAAAGTGAATGTTAACGAATAAAGAGATTGAAAATTGAATATCTGAATACCGCACTCTCCGATCAGCTCCTTCATATATTTATTTTTATTTCTTATTTAGAGATACTATATAATTAATATGACTTACATCGATAAAATGTAAAAAATACGAAATGTTGTATCAGTAATAAATCGAACAAGTTCCTGGATTGGCAAAATAAGACTTGCTTTTACAAGCCTTAAAGTCAAAAAAGAAAAAAAAAAGTTTCTGAATTCATAGATAGCAAATCTTAGTGAGAAATCTATAGATTGGATTTCCATGTTATTGCACATTTTATTCGCTTCCGTCAAACCTAACATCTATTCGTTTCACGTTCTGCAGAATAACATATTGAAATTTCATATTCCAAGTTTTGCTGTTTTGGGCCTAAATTATAGGTTTTTTTATTTTGTCGCACTAAATTGCACTTGTAAATATTTACTTTTTATCATTTTTGACTAGCGGATCAAGTTCATCAAATTTAATTTTTTTTTTTTTTTTAGGGGGGGCTTCAACTCAGAAGCTTTTTTTCCATATATATATATATAACGATAATTACTTTGAAAAAAAAGACAGATACTAAATCCCTCTATGAAATGGTGTTTATGTGATTTTTGAAGTCCTATTAAATTTAAATACACGAACAATATTACTTTAAGAGATAATTTTTTATATTTTTTTTCCGTAAAACATGTTTCTATATTACCATCTTGAGAGAGGGCTTCAGCTCGAAAGCCCCCCTCCCTCCCATAGATTCGCCTGTGCCTTTTTATTTACTTATTGCCTTGTTTTTACTTTATTGTATATTTTATACTGTATTAAATATATAATTTAAAATAAAAAATATGAGAAAGGTAAATAATTCTATGACTAGCAGTGGTTCGAATTTAACGTTTCAAACAGAAGAGATAAGCTTAAACGGAAAATATTCTTGGAATAGAACTTGTCTAAAGTATTGGATAACATAAAAAAAAAAAAAAAAAACTCCTTCCTTAAATAAACCGTTTTGTTAGAAAGACATTTATTGTTTTGCTTTAATTCACACTTAATCTTTGAAATAAAAATGAGGCTTTGAAGTGAATTGTAGTTTAATTATTATTAAAAGCACTCTTGCTCAATCTCCACTGGACTTAGCCCTAGTGACGCGGTTGAGAGAGAAGTGCACGGATCTCCTGGAGTCATACTTTTCTCTCCACAGTTGGAGGGACAAGTCTGGTTTGGAATTCTCTCGCCAGATTGCCAATATTGTATATAGGTATGTATGTGTTCTTTTCATTTATTTATTTTTAGGTTATTTTATTCTTATTTATTGTATATATATTATTTTTCTGTATAATTTATTTTATTTATTGTACATAGAGTGTGAACGTACGTCCTACGAAAAATATATCGGACATGATAGTTAATCCGAGATAGACACTAATTGTAGAACAGGTAAGAACAAACATATATATTTAATAATTGAATGTTTTTACTTTCCTACCTTTACTAGGTAAGGAAAATATTGCGATCGGGGTAAAATTTCCGATATGCGGTTTTCGACGGATCTATACGTTTCAGGGCCCCAAAACAACGTTTAACCTGTTTTTTTTAAAGCTAATTAAATTCTCTACAAAACTATATAAAAATCATTCAGCGGAAAAAAAAATCTGTTTCTCGCATCACACAAGCATCACTATTTTCTCTACTTTTAACATAAATCATTGTTTGGCAAAATTAGGCTATGGCAAAAAGTTTTTGATCAGCAATATTAGAGAGTATTGAAATGTTTATACTGATCTACGTTAAGCCGATTTACATTGCTTTAGTTTATCAAATAAATCGTACTCGAATTTTTCCTTTGTTCAATTTTCAGGAAAATAAATCTAATTCAATTTTTTTTTGTTTTTTGATGGAGATATTTAAAGATATAAAAACTTTTCTGAAATAGGTAGGAAAGCCGTGTGAATGGACGCAACAGTTTTTTTTTTTTTTTTTGTGATCTAAACAGAAAAACAGCATCAACAATAATATTTGAACACTTAAAAATCTCAAATATTACAGTGTATTTCTAAAGTTTCCTAAAAATTCTTAGATGTTGTATATTAATTTTTATTAAATCTTTTTCTTGTTCCACATTTTTTTAAATCAGCAGCTTAAAACACTGTTTGATGAAATTTCGATGTATAATCATAATGAATTAAACAAACATGTTTAGATTTTGAATACATATTTTTAGATTTTTTGCAAGTTTTTCCGATTTTTATTCCACGAAGACCCGGTCTCTAGAGATATCTGTAGGAACTGAAATAAGATGCATTGGTAGCCGATACTACTTTAGCTTCTACTATCACTTACAATGAGCCTAGTATCTCGAAGTACTGACATTTCATAAATGTATCAGAAATCTCAAAAAAAAATAAATCTTAGGAAAATATATCTTGGGAGCCCTGCAACCATCCGAAAAAATATTCCTATGAAGAATATATTCTCGCCAGTTTGTTTTTCAGGTTTTTGAAATTGAAAAAGCAACCAGGATAAAAACTGCTCAAAAATAAATAGGGATATTTCTATTCGATTTTCATTTGATTCGTTTTAATTAAGACTAGTTGGCCCGTTCGAAAAATTCGCAGAAAATTTTGTTTAGTGAAGAAATAGCAAAACAACATAGTAATAAGTAGTTCCTATGTATTATGTAAGGAAGGAATAAATATTTTTTCCTTAGTCGATTACAATATTCCATTAAACATAATAGACCAAAATATTTGTACAAATCTCTTTGCTAGGACCTATTTTTAACGCTGACTGGAAAGATAATAAAAGTAATAAAGACAAAATAATACCCCGATCATAGGATATTCTAAATTATTAAAAAAAAAAAAAATGTAATACTAACAAATTTTTAGGAAATAATAAAGTTAATATAAAAGCCAAAAAAAAAATTAGTAGACTATTCTACTCCTAAATGCAATATCTTTCAACAGGAAGACATTATTAAGTATACCAAAACTAATGCACTGTATCTTTCTTAATATTTGTCCGATTTTTTTACGAGAATAATATCTTTAAAATGAGTGGTCAATCTTTGGATTTGGTGATGAATTGACGAAGTTATGGCGTACCGACAAAAAAACACCTTTTAGAAATTATATATAGGATAGGTCTCTTCATCTTGACATCTCTTCATCTTGACATCACACTCGCTGATTGTCGGAACTTCTGACAGGTGTGAGTTGAAGAATCAAGTCAAAAAAAAAAAAAAAATATATATATAGGATAGTCTTTTTTTTTTTTTGTTTATTTGTTAAGAATTCTCTTATTTGTCAGTAATCTTAAAAAGTAAACAAGTATTCTTTTTTTTAAAAGTTAATAATCAACTAAAGGATAGTCAACATGAAGAATAACCATTGTGTAAACCAGCAGTTATTTTAGACGTTTCTCAATTTTAATCCAGTAATATTCTGTTTGACGATGGAAAGTCGTCATATTGAACAAGAAGTTCGTAATATTACCGTGAGATCATGGTCTCCCGGATTTTAGCCAGATTCAGGAAACCCTAAAATGTTCAAATATCTTCAAACATGGAGGATTTCGAACCCTCAAAACCGTTTTTGCGGGAAATTGTATTACGCTATTTTTTTCAAAATGAAAACTGTAGCTGAAAGACATAGAGCTCTTCTAGAAACTTACGAAACTCACTATCAGAAAGTACTTGCATAGAATGGTTTCATTGCTTTAAATAAAATGATTTTAATCCAGCAGAGGCCACACTAAAAAAAAAAAAAAAAAAAAAAAAAAACTTCAGACCAGTGTTGCCGTTTGTACGAGGATCCTCGTATTTGTACGAGGTTATGACGTTATGTACGAGGTACGAGGATAGACCAGCCTCGTACCTCGTACATAAGTTTTGCTGACGTTTGCAATGCAAGGTTATATTTTTATGAATGAAGTTTAGAATTGTTTTACGGTTACTTTGACTGTATTATTATTTATGTTGATATGAAAGACTGAACTTCTGTTGCTTTATAGACAAATAAATTGCAATTATATCTTCTTTAATTAGAGTATGATTAATATTTCCTTCATAAAACCATGATTGTATATATATGTTTTTTTTTAATTTTCTAGAAAATAAAATTTAAAAATTTTTTAGATTTTATTCAGTATAAAATAAAATATAAGAAACCATATCCATTATTTCCTTCATAAAACTTTTTTTATAAATATGTATTTTTTAAAATGTGGTGTAAAAGAAAATTAAACAGAAATTTTTACCGTCATTTTTATCGAGCATAAAATAAAATACGAGAAAGTATATCCATTATTTCCTTCGTAATTATTATTTCCTTCATAAAACTGCAATTGTAAATATATTCTAGATAAATTGAATTTTTTTAAAAATTATTACCGTAATTTAAAAAAAATTATTTTCGATTTTTAATCGAGTAAAGTAATTAATTGAAAAATTAACTAGTATTCATAATGAACCCATCTTAAATAATGAAAAAAAAATATTTTTTTAGTGGTCCACATTTATTTTGTGCGTAATATAATTGTAAGCTAAATACTAAAACAATCACAATCTATTATTTTTTTATATTATAATGGATATCTCTAAAAGCATCAATGTCCCAATAATTAAGTTTTATTAGCCTTCCAGAACCACTAACATCCTTTCATAAAAGCAGTTGTTTTGTTTTATAAAAAAGAAAAAAAATTAGTCCTTCCCCCAAACTAAATCTTGGATCTACTAATGAATACTTATGAAGAGTACTTTAAGAAATTTATTTAGCTATTTTAATTTTTATATAATGTGTTCAGTAGTTTATAAAAATATATAAACTTTTTTATATATTTTATTAAGCTAATTTTACTTCTTGACCCATTAACTTAAAAAAAAAAGTAATGTAAAAAGGCTTTAAAATATATGAATGGAGGTAAAAATAAAAAATTCTGATCTAATTTTACTATAAAAAAAACAATAACACTGGGCTTATAATAGTACAAGTTATGAATGAACAAGTATACGAGGATGTACGAGGCTTGAGTACGAGGTTTTGTCACAGAGCGCGCGGTAACACTGCTTCAGACCTCAAACCACCATATGAGATCACTAAAAACTACAATTGATGCGTTTCTGCGTACGAACGAACTCACACTTAACAGTAACACACTTACACGAAATAGTGATGACTTTAAGATTCATTTATATTAGTGGTAGATTATAAGAAACTTAAAATTACTTAATATGATAGTTTCGTTTTATAATAGGGTGTATAAATAAAAATGACCGATTTTTAACCAAATATTTGCATTGTAATCTAAAATACAATCAATACTCAAAGTATAGTCTATTGTTATCTACCGCCATTAGCCATCAGCTAGTCAATTTCTCTCAAAGAACTCTTGACAGCAATTTCAACTTCCGCAGAATCATTAATTTTTTTCCCTTGAAGAAAATGGGCCATGGATCTAAATAAGTAGTAATCCAATGGTGCGAGGTCTGGACTATATGGTGGATGGGGCAGGAATCCGAACCCATGAAGTTCTTTAAACTCTTACTTTGGTTCGAGGGAAAGTGTGAAGGCGAACATTTCTTTTCTTGGAATAAAATTCTTTTTGGCTTGTTCAAAGCAGGATAATGCTCTGACAACTTCGCGCACAATCTTACCAGTTGTTCGCAAGTAGAGTTCAGAATTCATAGAGCATTCATCAGGAACAAATTCGTGATGAATAACACCTTCAACATTCCAAAAACCGCAAAGCATGGATGTTTTTCATATTGCCCCCTTGCACCAATCGGAAAAGCAGTTTGACCGTGATCTAGTCATTGCTCACGGGTATTCGGATTTCGCCAGTAAACCTAGTTTTCATCACAGGTGACAATCTTCCGGTAAAATATCATATCAGAAAGGTTTTCCAATAAATGTTCACACATTTCTAATCTCTCAGCTGATTGTTGAATAATAACCTCGCGTGGAACCACTGCCCTTTTACACCTTCATCATGGAGAGTAGATGGCGCTAACAGTATCTCTCGACACACCACACTCCCTAGCAAGTTCGCGAGTACCTGTGGACGGATTTGATTCCTGCAGTGCTTCCTGCAGAACGTCATCAATAACCATTAATGCTAGCCCGGAGCCCTTCTTTCTTTTCAACGTCGTATTTGCACTGCTAAATTATTCAAACCAACGCCGCGCAGTGCGCTGGTCAAGGACACCGTCGCCTTCATATTTGAATAATTTCACGAGTTGCTTTAGTGGCTATGATTTATTTTTTTTTTTCAGTAATGCCTTAAAGTTATGAGAATTTCGTAGTATACTGTCATGTTTCTTCTTTGAAACAAATAACTAAACTGAAGCTTTTTTTCGAAGAAGTCGAATGGGATTAAACAGCTTAGAGAATGCTCTAAAGGGATTATTAAGTATTGGTAAGTATTAAATCATTTCTTTGAAATCTTGAATTTGATAAAACGAACATTTTTTTTTTTATAGACCCTATTATATTATCCATAAGTAATATGAAATATTTTTATATATACAGTTACATCAAAGATATCTTGATAGTGAATAGCGCCTTTCCGAGACTTATCCATGTATCTCATCTTCACCTCGTTATAATAATAGACGTAATCGTCGTAGGCGAGGAGGTAGACCGGGAAGATATGGCTGGAATGTCCGCCTTGAACTTTCAAGAACTGGAGGATCTGCTTGTAAACAGCTAGGCAATATCCAATCCGTCCTGTATCGTCCTCTGGGATCGTCCTGCCAATAGTGCATTATATCAGACAGAGGATTTTTATACAGTGAAATATGTAGTTAAGAAATAACTATATTTATAAATTATACCAAGAATTAATGTTAATTAATGTATGCCGATGACGCAGGTGTCCTACCAGTTAATAATGAAACATCTATTGCATCCCAAACTTTTCAATCACACACCAAAAGCCTTGAGGATTTCCAAAATAGTTTCCAAATTGCAGGATTAAAATAAATTCCTACAAAATCACAACAAATCACCTTCACCCTTCGTCGTAAAACTATGGCTTCCTATCCTACAATATCTTTCATTATTACTCCCTTGATGAGCAAATCAGATATCTAGGATTGCACCTGGACAAACCCCTTAACGCGGAGTCATACTAAACAGAAATAACGAGAAACCTTTTTTCCGTCTACATCAATGACCTTCCATCCTCTTTCCTACATTGTCAATAACCTCTGTGTGCCGACGACATTCAGATTTATCTCTCCTTCTATCCGACCGAATCCTCTGACGCCATCCAAAAATTACAGGAAGATATAAACGGAATTTGTACCTGGGTAAACCACAATAGAATTACTCTAAATTTCGAGAAGACGAAAGCCATCCTGATCGGAACTCCCTCACTCCTCAAATCCTTACCGGAACTCCCCGATCTTTTCCTGAATAACTCACCCTTCTCATAACATACTACCGTTAAAAACCTTGGTGTTATCTTTGATCAAGGCCTTTCCTGGAAACCAAACATCTCCTAAATTTTCCATTTTACTATTTTCATCCTGAAACAGTTCAAACGTCTACGCTATCTCCTTCCATTCACAACCAGTCAACTCCTTGTCTCACGGAATTTTCATAGCATTCCAAGCCCTCCCAAACAAAGATACTCAAAACATTGCGCTGTTGGTAGATTCTCGAGCGGTTATTCTCACTGTATCCTAACCTAATAAATTCTTTGCTGAGAATATTTCGGATTGTAGGATTGCTTCTTCAGGACAGGAAAGTAATCTTTCAATAGTTACCAAGCCATTGTGGAGTACACTGAAATTAAATGGCCCATAAATTTATCATTTCTTCGATCCATCTGAATCCTTTGATGCTATATTTTAACTACACGAAGATATCGATAGAATATACTCTTGGGCATATCTCAATAAGCTCACTTTAAATACGGAGAAGACAAAAACCATCCTGTTCGAATCCCCCTCACTCCTCAAATCCATTACCGTATCTCCCAGTATTTTCCTGAACAACTCACCTATCTCCTTCATATACTACTCATACTATCATAAATAACCTTGGTATCACCTTTGATCAAACCCTCTCCTGGAAACCACACTTCTCCCGAATTTCCCGTCGTACTATCTCTACCCTGAAACGGTTTAATCGTCTCCGCTATCTCTTACCACATAAATACCGTCAACTCATGGTTTCCTCCTTTGTGTTCCCTCACTTCGACTTTGGATGTCTGGTTAACAGCGGACTCTTAGGAGGATTCGAGGCCAAACTTAAACGCCTAATGAACTGCGCAATACATTTTGTTTTCGGAATCTCAAAAGATACGCATATAACCCAGTAGTACACTAAGTTGAAATGGCTCTATCTATCCATCCGCCGTCTGTGCTTCCTGGCCACCTTTCTCTACCAAGCCATCACAACTCAGCGACCTTCCTATATTTTTCACAGCCTACAATTTAAATATTTCATTCAATCCCGTCCCACTAGATCCCGTACTTCCGACCTCTGTCCATCTCCTCATCGAACTGCTGCTTTTGACAAATCCTTTATAATTCAAGCCTAATCTTTTCACAACCCGATTGATCCTGAAAAGTAGATATAAGAACTTTTTAAGTTCCCCCAGAAATGATTTTGTTTACTAATGTTATTTTATTTTTACATGTTTGTACTATATATATATCTGTATGTTTTTAGTGTTTTCGTTTTATTATTCTCCCAGTATTTTAATTCTAATGAGAATTATAAATATTTAATTTAATGTATAGCCACACAGGCATTTTCTCTGTAGCTATTATTTGTTCTAAAGGGATAACAGCCCCAGGATAATAAAAAAAAAAATTCATTTAATTTCATTTCATTACTAAACAAACGCTCTAAGCTACCAATTAACTATAAAAGACATGACTATAATAAGGCCTATTTGCACTTCTATTTGAGGCGTCTGAAAAGAAGATGGTCTCGTGACTTCATAGTATGCTACCAATGGGTAGTTTCTCATTAAGTCTTTTCATGACATTGTAGTTCTCTGTGTCACATTTACTGGATATATATTTATTTTTATACAGGTGTAAATTTTATGAATAATAATTAGTAGCTTAGCTTATTATTAAAATTATGTTTTCACTTACATCAAAAACAATTAAAGATAATTAAGGATATTAGTCCAAAATTATATACAATAATAAATCAAAACTATTTATATCAAAACAGATAGAAACTTTTATTTTTTTCTTCGCAATGTAATCCCCTCAATTATATTAACAGTTTATAGTTCATGCAATTCGGTGTTGTATAACCGTCTAAATTCTCCGGTTGACTCCTCTATCTTCAGTCGCAATGTTCTACGCAATACTTTATTTTCAAAAACCTTAAGACGTTGCTCATCCCTTAATGTAAGTTATCACGTTTCGCAACCAAAAGAGCTTTAGGAAAAGTAATAGTGTTTTCATTTAATTTTTAAGTTGAGGGACAGGTAAGTAGTTTAACCTAGCCTTCATCAATTTCGTTTTTTCTAATTATAAGAAATACCAAATATCAAAACTTCTCTACAGGTTCAAACAGTTCTATGTCTATATTAACGAAATTGTCGCCATTTTCACAGCTAATCATACATTTCGTTTTGTCCATTTTTGTTTCGAGCCTAAACAGTACCACGACATCAGCGTATGTAATAGCAGTCATCTGACCCAAGGATTTTTGTATTCGCCTCTTGTCTAGGCAGACCTTGTTCCAGCTCTACGAAATCTTGCTATGGTCAGTTCTCCTCTATGGTTGTAAGTTCTCCTCTAACATGTGTCATGGATGGAAGAGAATACTGAAGAAGCTTTTTAAGCAACCACTATATGGCACAAAAGGAAAGGGAGGTTCTATTGCGTTGGTTCGATTTCAAAGCTGAAGATGCAAAAGGTATTCTCGCAATGATCAAGTAAATGGAATCTGCACAGGACCGGGACTATTTGCGGAAGCTTCTAGATGAGGTCAGGACTCGATACCGGTTTGTAGAGCCGTGATGATGATGATCTCCAGAAGTCCCAATAATGGTAATGAGTAAAGTCCAACAAAAATCTGATAAAAGAATCGGAAAGACCGTCATTTAAACATTATTGTGAAATAAAACTAAAAGTTCAGATCACTCTCTAAAAGAAACAAAATTCTCATATGCAAAACCATAGTAAGGCCAATGGTTATGTATCAGTGTGAGATTTGGGCCTTAACCAAAAACTCAGAACGCACGCTCAATCCCTGACAGAGCAAAGTTTGGAGAAGAAGAAAGAATGAGGAACGGCGGAAACTCTATGGTGAACCTGATATTGTGGCATTGATAAAAAGAGCCAGAATCAGATGGTTAGGCCATGTGGAAATAATGCCAGACCAAAGAATGCCAAAGTGGATGCTGCATGATAAGCTAGATGGCATAAGAAATAGAGGGCGCCCTCGTTTCAGATGACTGGAGGATGTTAAGGACGATCTGAGGCGGCTAGGCGTTCGAAGATGCAGGGAAGTAGCACAAGACCGCAGAGATTGGTTGGCTGCAGTAGAGGAGCCTCGGGTTCTTGCAGGGCCGTAGCTCCATAATAATAATAAAAAGAAGAAGAAGAAAGGCTCCCACAAGATGTATTGGGACAAATCTATAATAACGGATCATACAGTGCGTCACAACAGACCCGATATCCTTATTATAGATTTAGGAGCAAAGAAGGCAAAGCTAATAGATATCGCGATTCCAAATTATAACAACATAAGCACAACCGTGGGAGAGAAGCTCTGTAAGTACTAAGAATTGGCGATCGAATTAAAGGAGTTGTACCATTTGGGAAGCGCATTGGTTACACCAATAATAATATCAACAAATGGTCTGATCCCAAAGTCAACGGTGGCAGGTACGGACGGCTTGGAATTACCCCTTGATTTGTTAAGAGAGGCTCAGCAAGCGGTTCTCTTGGATACATCCAGAATTACGTAAAAGTTCTTAAATATCTACAAAAAATTATAACTGCAGGTGGTTGGAGTTGTCGACTACCTTCAGCGTTGAATCCGCAAACGCGAGAACAATAAAGATAATAATAATAAAACTAAAAACAAACGAATTAGGATACATACGATGGAAGTTGATACTGTAAAAGCAAATCACGACCCACAAAATTAAATAGTAGATCTATTATAGACTTGACACTGTCGTGGTGAGAACTCTTAGATCTGGCGTGGGTGGCGTTCACGAAGGCCTTGGAGAAGGCGACGTGTTCGCCAATGATCATTCTGTATGATCCGCTGAACCCTTGTTCGTACAGCCACTGTTCTGTCGCAAGCAATACTCTGAAACATTTTTTTTTTTTTTTTTAAATAAATAAGTTTATTAAGAAATAATATATTCTGCCACACTTAAGGGCAGTAAATATTAGAGTTATGTGTTACAGCTTCATATTTTAGAAAATAACAAAACAAAAGAAAAATTATGAATTCTTAAGAGAGATCCCCTAGTGCGCTCTCTCAGTCGTGTCACTGATATGGGAATCCTGGAGGTCGATTGGACCGAGCAGTTCAGTCAATAGAAAAACATGTTTTTCATGTTTATTATTGCGCAGCAGCTATTGCGCATGGAGCAACCCAATTTCTGTCACAGGCATCAGTAGTCAAAACCTTACAAAATAAAAAAAATAGCAACAAAATCAGTTCAGTAGCTCCCGAGAAAATCTTGCCACAGACAGACCAATGGCTAAAAATGTGTTTTTCGGACTCAGAGGGCTCTGAAACGTACAGATCCGTTGAAAAACCGCATATCGCAAATTTGACCTGATCACAATACTTTCCTTACGTAGGTAAGGAAGTAAAAAAAAAGTGGTGGTAAAGTATAAATAGGAAATAATAATATAAGTAAATAAAATACCTCCTCATGTAAGAAGCATATTTGGAGTCGCTTGTCTTCTTTGGAAACCGAGGATATTCTAGAATTTCTTCTAAAATTTCCTGATTAATTAATGCATTTTGAATTTTATCTATACGTATCAAAGGCGGTTTCTCCTGCGTTTCTGATGAAGAAATTGATGATTCTACTATTTCCTGATAACATATGTTTTGTATAAAACTTTAATTACTTCGGTATTATTAAATTAACTATTGTAGAAAATCTATTGAAAACTAGGAATACATGCCTTTTTTGAGGACATATTGTGAAATGAAAAACAAATTATTATCCTGAGGCAAAGTCCCTTAAGAATAAAATTAGGAATACCTTATCGGGGAGTACCTGTGGAGGATTTTTTAACTGTCATCAAATCAAAAATGAAGACAAAATGGGAACAGATATGGTCGAATGTAAGCGAAAATAAATTGAGGGAGGTTGAGGGTGACGTTTCCTCTTGGGCATCGTCAAATAGGAATAACCGCAGAGAGGAAGTATAGGTCATACACGCCTTACCCATGGATACCTGATGGCCTGTGATTCTTCGCCAACATGCCAAACCTGTAGGACTCCTCTGACAGTGATACACATTTTAACAGAATACAGAGCTTACGAAACATTTAGACTCTCTTTTGACTTGACAAACGATCTGCATTCCATTTTACAGGACAATACGAATGAGGTTGATAAATTATTTTCTTTTCTGATATGTTCTTTTTTTTTTTTTTTAAATGTAATATTTTATTTAGAAAAAAAATACATTTTGCGTCAATTAAGGGCATTGAGTATTTAGGATGAATGAAACACAACCATACCATATATACAATAAAAGAAAAACAAGATTATAACAAAATAACACTTGGATTAACAGAATAAATCGATCTTGATACAACATTAAATAAAAATAAAAAAAAAATAAAAATACAGTCAGCCGAGGGAGCTCCGAGTCGGGCCTTTTCCCCCACGTGTGGAGGATAAGGCAAGACTCCAAGAGATCCGGAAGCCTTCGAAATTAGTGGCTCAATCTTGAGATTTGGTGAAGAATTAACGATGATATGGCTTGCCGATCAAAAACACCATCGATAAATAATATAAACTCCTCCTTTCTCGATCATAGAGACTTCAAGTCGACGAAATGAGACATGCATTCAATGACAGTACTACAATTAATGTAAGGTTGTATGGATCCGACCCTATGCCTTGCGTTATCTCGAAAATAGTACGTTTTGGGGTTTAAAAACCCATGATCCGGGAGAAACTATCCGGGTCTTGCTGTACGCATCAAAATCTTCAAAATCCAATTTGTACCCTATCGATCTCAGACCTACCACCGTTCCAGTATCGAAGCCTAGCAAAATGTTTGTATCGACTTTATTTATTTTAGAAAGAAAAACAAAAGTGGAGAATACGATTCGCTAACCCCCCGTGAAATTGATCACGGACGCCTTCAGGTATATTTGATACAAAACCGATTTCGAGCCTTACAGTAATAATATATGTGGAGATAATTAAAGAAATTTACAAAATAATCACTTTTAGAATAGTCTCTCTTAATCAGCGAAGTGAATTTTTGATTAAAACCACTCAAAAAAATAAAAAATAATGAATTCTTATTTTCAACTCATTGAATGTGATATTAATTTAATTTAATAGATAAATTAAGTTTGTCACAAAATTATTAAGTAAAATTGTTTGATTTGATATGCATTGATACGAGAATTTAAAATATACCTTAAATGAAAACTTACCCCCTTCATTGAGTGTTTTAGAAATAGGTAAATGTGATTCGAAACTACAGCGTTGTCCGCGCAGGCCGAGAACTGCAAGCTGCATTGGCCATCTTGCTCGTCGGACATGACTATCTGCAAATATAACGGCTGGATCAACTTGTCTTTGTCAAAGATTCATTGATTAAACTATATAACTTAATGGGATAATGATTAGAAACAGCTACAAACATCTTGATGACTATGTAATAACATGGTACTAAATGAAATTTATGAGGTTTGAAATGCCTTATTATGGATAGTCCGTGGTACAGCCCCTTTTTATCGAATTCATCCGCCTGAAAATTCGTAAATAGTTTTATCTCATTGTAACCTACAACTATTTTATTTACAAAAACTCTTGGAATTGGGGCGTTTTCAATCTGGAGGGGGGCAAACTTTGTCTATTTAATTAGGTACTAAGAACTCGTAAATGCATATTTGCTTCCTACTTGGATCGTAAGGTAATTTAATAACAAAATCTAGAAAAAAGGTGGCCTTAAAAATATTAAGCAGTTTGGTGTGACCTACACCTCCAAATTTTCAAAATAACGAGGTTATATAGGACAAAAGGCCCAATATTTTTGTAGGCCACCTTTTTTTTTTTTATCGATTTTGTGACCAAATTATCTAAGGATCCAAGTAGAAAGCAAACGGGTATTTACGAGTTTTTAGTTCCTAATTAAATAGACAAAGTTTGCCCCCCTCCAGATTGAAAACTCCCCCAATCCAAAGAGTTTTCGTAAATAAAATAGTTGTAAGTTACGATGATATCAAACTATTTATGATGTTTTTACCTGGCGTTAACTAAAACATTCATAACTCCTCCGGATTTTATCCTAATTTAATGTTTATACAACACTTGGAAAGCTCAATTATCGCTCTTCAAGACGGCATAAATAACTTTTTGATTAAACACGTCTATAGAGAGTAATAAAATAAAAACTCCTCACAGGTTTTTAATTATTTAGATGATTACAGTTTGTGTCATTTCGTGTATATTATAAGGCTCTATATTCCTACAAAATATCGTGTGAATAGGGGGAAGATATCGAAGTTTTCACACTTTTTGTGATTTAAAAAAAAAAATCGAAGGGAGGTATTCGAAGGTCTTTTCGAGCTGCAAAATACAAATCTCAACTCTGTTTCTATTTAAAAAATATATTTCAACACACTTTACTGCTTCGGTCAGTACAAATTGTTTAAATTTTACAAATTTCTAATCGATTTGTAGGTAATGTAGTAATATTTCTAATTATTATGAGTACAATCCAGTGGCCGAAAATTTTAAATATCTGGGAGCACTAATCACAGAAAACAATGAAATGGTAGAAGAATTAAAAGCAAGGATGACTGCCGGGAAAAGGTCTAAAAAAGTAGGTATATGTATAGAAAAAATATTGAATTACAGATCTCTTTCTCACAGAACAAAGATCACGGTGTATGAGAAACCTATGGCTCTGAGACTTGAGTGATCTCCAAAGCATCGGAAAAAACGCTACTCGCATGGGAGAGAAGGGTTCTCCGCAGGATTTATGGACCTATGTGCGAACAGGGACAATGGAGAATTCGCACTAATAAAGAGCTGTATGAAATGTATGCGAGGCCGGATTTGGTCTCAATTGTGAGGAGAAACCAGATCAGACGGTTGGACCATGTGGCGCGTATGCCCTGAGATGCGATTCCCAAACGCTTGCTGGAGGATCGGCCTGATGGAAAACGTGGAAAGGGAAGACCACGCCTGAGATGGCTGGACCAGGTAGAGGACAGCCTGAAAAGGATGAAAATTCTAAGATGGAGAATGCTCACTCGGGATAGAGGAGAGTGGTGAAGTATCATAAGAGAGGCCCAGGTTCTTACAGAACTGTAACGCCAAAAAAATAATAATAAATTTTTAAAAAATCCAGAAAAAGTTTATAATTTTGGAGTTATTCGTAAGTAAAGTTTCTTTTCCTCCATAACTTTTTCCCCAGAAATTTCGGAGGGGTCGTCTATTTCGTTTATTTTTCTCATGCGAAGGAGACGAATATATTCAAAAGAAGTGATGAGTCATTGGATTTGACGAAGAATTGACGAAGTTATGGCGTACCGACAAAAAAAAACACCTTTTAGAAATAATATATAGGATTATGATTATATGTAACATATATAGATACTTACGGTTCCTCTAAGAGAATTATTCCTTTTAGATTTAAATCTTATCACGACAGGAATTACAACTGGTTCATGGTTCGCAGGTATTTTGTTTCCTTTTGGGTAGATAAATTCGAAGATATCTTCCCCTTGATACTCTCCCATGATTCTCCTCATGAAGCAATTGAGTGTGGTCTCTCTGTATTGGTGAGTAGCGATCACTTCCACGTACCTTTCAATACCACACTCCGTGGGGACCGGCAGGAAGTGGATCTACAATTGTTAATTAATGAGGTACTTTACAAAACTGTCGAGTGGATTTGTCTTTATTACAATAACTGCTTAGGACAAAGGCACCGATTATTGGCCTGCTACCAATTATTGACACTTTAACTTAAATTTGATAAAATAAGCGTTTAGGCTCATTTACGATTTCAAAAAAGCACATTAATCAGCCACCGATTACCGCCAAGATTGTGACGAAAAATAAAATACAAAAAAAAAATTAGTTCATAAAATAATTGTTAGTTTTTTTTATTAACTCGAAGAGGGTTAAATATAAAATTAAGTATTTAGTATTAGTTTTAATAATAAGTCTTAGTTTTAAGTATTCATTTTATTTCGGATTGGAATAACCAACAGCGGAGGAAAAACAAACGACAGTTTAGAGAGAGATGGCGAAACCTCGCGAGTGTTGAGGCACGCTAAGGATTTCTGTGTGCGAAATACTTTAGTTTTACGGTGTAGACCGGATTTTCTATTCCTATCCAAGAAGCTGTGATTATCTGCGACGAGTGCCGCTTGATTTTACAAGTTGATGAATGAACATTTCACAGCTGGAGGAGATAGACTGGGGAGACCCTGACGACGCTAGTTCCAATAAGTTCTCGCTTCTTCAGATAGCTCACTGGAGTTCAACCAGTGGGATATTGTAAATATGTACATACAAGTTTTTTTCCTATCTATTTTTTCCCAAAATATTTGTAATTTGTTTATTGTATAGTCGTAAGTTAATGTTTATTTCTATAATAATTTTGATGTAGAGATGGTTACCCGTTGATATAATATGAGAAGGAGTTAGTCGAGGGTGCGGTCAAACAAATAAAAAATTAAAATATATTAATTATTTTAATTTTTGCCGACGTTTCGACCCACTTTGCAGGTCGTCTTCTGGGCGTAGGATGTGGCACTGCGGGAGGCAGTTGAAACACTAAAACACTGCAGTGTTTCAACTGCCTCCCGCAGTGCCACATCCTACGCCCAGAAGACGACCTGCAAAGTGGGTCGAAACGTCGGCAAAATTTAAAATAATTAATATATTTTAATTTTTTATTTGTTTGACCGCACCCTCGACTAACTCCTTCTCATATAATAATTTTGTAATCTTTTCTTTGATAATTAAAGTTAATTGTATTTTCTTATAAATGTAATTTCTTGTTCATAATTTTCATTTCCTTTAACAGTTATTTAAATCAATTGAAATAAGAAGATTCATCATTAGTATTAATAATAGCCAGTTTTATTTTCTTCTTTTTCTTCAGTTTGTTTTCACGTTTTATGTATATATTATATTGTTCGTTTTGTTTTTGTTGGTTTAATAAGGAATTGTAAAACCCTTCTCGAGGGATTAGGGAAAGATCTATTGATTCTACTCCGGAATCAACTTACTCCCTGTCTGCATAGATAACTTTTTAAACTAAAAATATCACTAAAATGACATTACTCAAAAATGTTGAAATTTGAAATAGTCATTCTGTGGTTTATAAAAGCAAAGAAAGTTGTATGGTTTATAAAAGCAGATGGAGTGACTATCATCGCATTGCCTGTCATCGATATATTAAATAGACATTTTGTAATTATAATGGTCTTAATGACTTGTTATCTGTAAGCTTTAAGCTTTAGCTCCGTTAAAAATCCACTTCAAAAAAATTTATAATAGCCCAGCATTGCGAGAAAATAATTTCTATTCAAAATAGACCGGTAAGTGAAAGTTGTGTGTTGCGCCAGATTTTTTTTTATTAGCCCTATTGCTTGACCCCATCGCTCCAAAGCTTTAAAGGCTTCTTTCATGCCCAATTACGACCTAAAGCCTATATCAATGTCATCAGCAAAACGCCAGAACCTCTAAGTCTTTATTGAAAATATGCACGCCTATTTGTATCTGCGAATCTCTAATCACTTCCTCTAGACCTAGGTTGAATAGAAGGCACTCCGGGATGTCTTCTTCCTTCAATCCATTCCTTGTTTGTAGGTGATCTGATAGATGGGACTGGATCTTAATTCGACATTTAGAGTTGGAAATGGCCACTCTTACCTACTTACTATACAATACAATTTTGTTTCTCATGTCATTTTGTGATATCTGGGTATGGAATTTTAAAGTGTGCAAATACTAATGTGTCATAATTTTGCACCTATAAATAGAAAATATTTTGTTCAAAATAAATAACTGAATAACTGGTTCCTTTCTCTGTCAAAAATTGGGTTTTGCATGTCAATAATTGTTGAAAAACTTTTCATCGGTTTTGGACTCGAAAACTTTATAGTATTTTGGCCTAGAATCTGTAGAATAGACAACATTTACTTAAATACTATTAGTATTTAATAATCCTAATTTTTCTCGATAACTCACTCACTTACCATATAAGTGGTACAGTACAGCACCGATTTGGGCAAGGTTCCTTTGACATGAATGTTGGTGTAGGGTTGGAATTCACTGTGCTCCCTCACAATGAGCGGGAGATCGCACTCGAAAACACTGGGAAAGAGCGGTTCAAAACTCAATTCTATCATGATGGAATCATTGGGCATCAGATAAGTCATCTGGCTTCGGTCGCTGGGTCCCATCACCATTTTGAAAGGCGTCGGAACTAGGACGGCTGAATCGAAGAACAAGTAGATCTTGTCTTTTGTTATGTTTTTTATTGTAATACTCTTCTTTTGAACTTCTCTTCTTTCCAAGAGATAAAATGAGAACTGACGCTTAGAGAACTCGAGATAACCTTTGGCCACGCTGCAGTCCACGTGGATTGAAGTAATCCTTGAAGGACAATCGAGATCGAAGTACTTCTGCAATTTGTTACTAAAAAAAATCAAATGATTACTTAATGTATCATTTCAATATTATTAATCAATTTTTATTATAAGTATGACAGTTTCAGCTATTGAAAAACTGAGATTCTCTTTCAATGTTTTATAATAACCATGTTTCATAATATTATCGGGAAATATGTTTAGGTTTTCTACGCATAAATAATTTTTTTTTAAATTATGGCTCGCCAAGTTGTTATCCTAAGCTTTTAAATTCTTTCATACATCTTAAATAGAAATAATTTGCCGTGGTAATGAAAATTTCCTCCTTAAATAGTCTAATTAACTCCTAAAATATACCATAAGAAACACTAAAGCGAACAACAAAACAATCTCCGAAGATACTACTTCAATATTCAAATATACTAATGTACCTACAAAAATATTTGAATCATATTGAATATTTAATAGTTGACCGTTGCATTATAAAGGAAGATGGTTTGGGGTGGCGGTCATAAATAGGCTAAATAGTGGTAAAACTATTTTATTAAAAGCCTATTTATGACCGCCACCTCGGACTATCTCCTTCTTTTAAAAATATTTGAACTATGAAAGATGAAAATGAGATAAAAACAAAACTATTTCAACTTTTTTTTTGTATTTATTTTTTTTATAAATCAAAATTACTGACATATAATGGAATAAACAAAGAACCGTAAATAAATAATATATATATATATATATATATATAAAATATATATATATATATATATATATATATATACAAAATATATATATTATAACAGAAAGAATCCTTCCAGAAAATATTTCGGAGAAAAGAATATAGAAAAAAACAAAAAAAAAAACAAGACCGCGTGTTCCGTAGTAGGCCTATATTCCCATAAATAAATACACACACACATTAATGGCCAAACTATAGGAGGTGATCCTAGATGAAATTTCAAAAAATATAATTTATCTAAAAATAACTCCAATCTTGTCCTTTCTTAAGGTGGTCAGGTTTTTTTCTTATCACCTCCCAGAATTTGAGCATTCACAACTGAGACACCCTGTATATGTTTAATATACATATATAAGTTAAGGACTGGAGTAACAGCTGTTAGGTTTAATATCAGCTGTTAGATTTAATATCAGCTGTTGGAAAAATCAGCTGACAAATTGGATACAAATTGGATATATATAGGAGCAAGGAGAAGAATAGATCAGTGTTTATACTACAGTCTTGCATGTTCTTTCAGCTCCTCTCTTTCTCTTTTTTAATTCTATTCGTTTCTGAACTTAAGTTTTATATATATATATATATATATATATATATATATATATATATATATATATACATATATACTAGCTGATGTATTATTATTACGACGGGGTACGTTGACGGGTGTATAGTTAAAATTTGAGAATATTTTTTCGAGATGAATATTGTATTATGGGTCGGGAGGAGAGAGGGGGGTTATTTTGAAATTTTTTATGGCGGGGCTTATGAAAGTCAAGGTTTCGCAATAGTCATAACAAAAACTTTGTTATTCAGCTATTTGTTTAGGTACCACACAACTAAACCGACCACCACCGATCCATTAAAATTTGTGAAGTGTTTAATTTTCATTGATGATGAAGCTAGGAGATTGTGGAGTTGATTAATTAATCAAAAAGTTGTAATCTCTCCGCTTCTTTAAACTCTCCTGAGTTTATCGTTGGCAAAATAACAAAAATAACATTGAACATTGAGTCACCTACATCCGCATAAAATTAGAACTTGATCTGAATATTGTGGCGTTGTGGTGAATTTTTTCCCCTTTTTCCGGCTAATCCGTTTGTTTAATCCTAAAAATGTATACAGCAATATTTGTTAGGATCGGGAAGTTGAATCGAATGACACCTTGAACGGGAAGATTGGACAAAGTTGAAAAATGAGTGTGTTTTATGCAACAACGCGTTAGAGATGCTCGATATTCCGGATTTTTCCCGTTGAGTTGTGATAATTTTTCCTATCAGTTGAGTAGTACAACTTTTAACTGTGGTAGAGCTCGCGGTAGAGTAGGTTGGGAATAAATTCGAAGTAAATGCATAACCGAGATCTCTAGATAAATTACTGAAAAATTCATAACTTTGGTTCTACTCAATATTTTGTTTTCTTTTAAAGCCTATGTTTTAAGTAAAGCAAACCTAAATGCAATGTAAAAATTTCAAAATTCTACCATTAAGCATTGCCGAGCTTATCCCTGACACAATTTCGTTGGACAATGCGGACAACCAGACAGACAAAAAACTTTTTTAAAAGTGGATTTGGTGTCTGGAATGTATAAAACGGAAAGATATCATGAAACGGGTTGATTCAATGTACATATATACATACATATACATATATATATATATATATATATATATATATATATATATATATATATATATATATAGGGTGACAGAGAGCTGAATGTGTTAGTGGTTAAATGCACATTATGAAAAACTTTTTTGGCCAAATGGTGTTTAGGAGAACATGACATTCTATTGGTCACTAAACGGTAACCATTTACTTTATTTCTTATTTGCAACAATAATTTCCTTGGCAACCCATTAAGTCATCATTTAATAATCGAGTAATATTAAGACATTCTGTTGTTCACTAAACGGTAACCATTTACTTTATTTCCTATTTGCAACAATAATTTCCTTGGCAACCCATTAAGTTATCATTTAATAATCTAGTAATATTAGTACTTACTTTTCTCTATTAATAGCTATGTATGATTCGGGCCTTTGAGTGTCATCGTTATATAATATAGGAGGACCGATTATTTTGTTCAGTATGAAGGGTAAGTAGAATTCATAGGTTGCCAGGTCTTGTGGTTTAAAATGTAAATAGAGATCTTTGCAATCTTTGGGCAGTAAACTTAAGCCATCATCATCAAGTCCTGAAAAAAAATACACAAATCTAGAGACAATTTTGTATTCAATCATGTCATGAATACTATTTTTAATTTCTCCATATCGTAAAAGCATTTAAAATATCTACAAAAATAAATTATAATATTCAGGCCTTCTTTACTCACTTCTTTAGACAGTAAACCTTATGATAGTAAAAAAATATATATATAACTGCTGACTGAATTCTACATTAAAAAATCAGTTGACGTTAAGATTATTTTAGGTGACAAAACAACTCATTTACAAAAGGAAATTATTTTAGAAGCGTGTTTTAAACACCTAATTTAATGTTATAAAATCCTAAATTCTCCTTACTTTGTCACAAATAAAATCATCTATAAAGACCTTAATGTTCCTTATCTTTCTGACCTGGCCCAATCCAGATACCTATCTTTCCATAACGAACTTCAGAACTATCCAAACCCTCTAGTTTCTGATCTCGATCCCTGATAACCCTCCGAGGCGTCTGAAAAGAACATGGCCTCGAGATGGTTTCCCAACAAGTGGTTTCATATCATTATATTCTTATGTTCACATTTACTGAATGTTTCTAATACAGTTTACAACATTCATCTAAAGTTCGTGTAAAGTTTCATCTCTTTGGAGACCAATGAGGCAATTGAAAAAATCTGGTGCGCACAAGACACAACTTTCACTTACCTCTCTACTTTGAATAGAAATTATTTTCTGGTAACGTTGAGCAATTATGAAATTTTTGAAGTGTACTTTTAAGTACACTATAGCTTAATGCTTACAGATAACAAATCACCAAGACAACTAAAATAACAAAAACCCTATTAATTATATTAATGGTATACAATAAAAACCTTGATACTCCATTTGTTGTATCCGTTTACTAAAATGAAATTACGAGATTTTCATTGCCTGTCATAGGTAGGTAAAAAGTTGTCACATTAATTTTAAGTGGTTAATGTTTAGATTTCATAAAGAGAAAATTCATTCATTCAAACTATTCACTATTTAATTTTCAAAATTATTTAAAAATAATATCAGATCTAAAAAAAAAAAAAGATATCTCTACTAATAGTGTTTTGATTTCGATGAAACTTCCTTCATTTTTTAGGACATTTAAATACCTTTGAAACATCTTATCATATCAACAAAAAAGTATAAACTTTTCGAGTTATTCGGAATTTTATTTTACCATTCCTCGTAACTTTTTTTTCCAGCTTTTTTTAGTTGAAGTATGTTATATAGATAAATTTAAAGAGCGTCAAGAAAATGACTTTTGCGAATTTTCATTGAAATTTGTACATTCGTTTAGGAGCTACAGTTTATAGCAACGCAGGTTTTTCGGCCGCCATTTTGAAAATAAAAGGCGGGTAGTAATGTCGATGAAGGAGGATCAATCCTCGGGTGACTTCTGATTTTATATCAAAATTTTTTTTTTTTTTTTATTTATTTTAAATGATATTTACAACTGTATACAAAAAAATACATCTAGTAAATTTGCACATTGGTATAAAGACATGGAACACATGTTGAGAAACTACCCATTGGTAGCACTCTAATAATATGTCTATATTAGAAGATCACGTGGCCATCTTCTTTTCAGACGCCTCGGAGGGTTATCAGGAATCGAATAGGAAGCAAGGTTAGAGACAAGAGGGTTGGGATGGTTATGAAGTTTATTATGGAAGGACAGATATCTGGATTGGGCCAAATCTGATACATAAGGAACATTAAGGTCATTATGGATAATTTTATTTGTAACAAAGTAAGGAGCATTGAGGATTTTACGAAGGATTTTGGATTGCAAGGACTGTATGCGAGAGGAATTTGAAGGCTTGGTGGAGCCCCATAGCTCAACCCCGTAAGTCCAAATAGGCCTTATTATAGTCATGTAAATCAGTCTTTTATAATTGATTGGAAGGTTAGAGCGTTTGTCTAGTAAGTGTTGAAGTAGTCGGAAACGTCGAGCGGTTTCTTGTCGTTTCAGTCTGGTATGAGGATTCCAAGTTAGACGTTTGTCCAGATGGAGTCCTAGGTAACGGATTTGTTCAACAGGAATAAGTGAGGTGTTGGTAAAGGATACTGAAGGACAGGAAGTCATTGGTTTACGACGAAGGGTAAAGGTAATTTGATGGGATTTATTGGAATTTATTTTAATTCTCCAGTTCTGACACCATTCTTCAAGGTTTGTGATGTGGGATTGAAGGGTTTGGGATGCAATACATGGGTCGTTATTGACTGATAGGATACATGTGTCATCAGCATATGTGGTGATGACAGTGTTGGGATGGGTTGGGATGTCAGCTGTATAAACTGTGTAAAGGATAGGACCTAGGATACTACCTTGAGGAAAACCTGCAGACTGGGAAAAACGGGAAAAAAAATCGGTCCAGTAGTTTCGGAGAAAATGCGCGGACAGCGGACGGACAAAAAAAAATTATTCGTTTTTCGAATTCTACGCATCCTGAAACGTGAAACCTCAAATTTTGAGAGGGGGTTAAGTTTTTGAATTTTTTGGTCGATAACAATAGTTGATTATTGAAAATAATAAACCAATATTAAACTACAGTAAATTTATTTAAGGTTATAAACATATGCTTTATACATCCATGAAATATTTTTATATTTCACTTCTTCTTTTACATAATTAATATGAAATAGTTTTAAACAATACTATTTCCTTGATTAGATGGATTTTAAATCCTTTTTTTTTAAACTTAAAAAAAGTTTACATTTAGTTAGTAAATTTAATTTAATGTCCTTGTAAATATATTATATGCGTTAAATAATATTAGTTTTCACAAATAATTATTTAAAATTTTTCGTCACTCTCCATTACTTCCTACTATTTTTTATATTAGATATTTTTTTTAATTCTCCGCTTTCCAACGATAACGTATACCTTCTGACTTGTATTTTCGGAAATTCTTTTTTGATCTAAATTAACATTTTCCCTTTTCTATCCATTTTTCAATTATCAAATTCTTTCAAAAGTCATATTTAGCATTTTTTCGTAACTCTTTAATAATGATTAATTATTTAAAATAAACCACATTAAAGGTACTATAGAGGAAGACGAGTTGAACATTTAAGCCCTGTAAAGTGACTTCAACGGCGATAAGACCTAAATGATATTAAAGACCACTTAATTATACAATGATACAGCGAGTTTAATCAAAATCTTTAGAGCCGTTTTTGAGAAAATTGTAAAAATGTGTTTCACTGTGGATATAAATTGCCACTTCTAGTCAATTTTAAAGAAAACGTTTCAGTCTCATCCTAGGCATATACAGATCTTAAATACGTAATATCAGTTTTTGAGCTAGACTTACCTCATACATTCAGAGACGCAGACCATTTTGCGGGACTTGGTTATTTACACTTAGGGGACATAAAAACGTGTATTTCCTTTGAAAACTCAGATTCGAAAATTTTCACGATCGCAATACTTTCACTATATATATATATATATATATATATATATATATATATATATATATATATATATATATATATATATATACTCATACAGTAGCTAAATATATGTGCTAGTGGACGAAGCTGAGAATGTCGGTGTTTCCCTGGCCTGAGGTATCGAAGCTCTATATTAAAACTTTGAAGAGGATCCCATTGTTAACTTTAAAAAAAAACCGGGATCGAAACGTCGAATATACATAGAAGCAATGAACATTTAGTAGTTTGTTGAATAATTAATAAGTGACCTTATTCCCAGTTAAATAATTATGTTTAAATTTAATAAGAATTGGGAATTTTCACATGCCTATTTACATACACATGCCTATATCTCTGACCACAGATGCAAAGAACGCATAGAGCGTGCAGAGCCCTCTTAACTTAAAATGCCCTTGGGCAATAAAAGTAAAGTTGAAAATTTATGTATATATACATTTATATACATACTGTATTTATTCAAGAAATTCCTGGAGGGTAGGAAAAAAAAAAAAAAAAAAAATGCCTATTTACAAAGAAGACTAGACCCACCGACTTGCGAGAGCTGTAAGGTGCAAAGAACTCACCAACACATCATCCAAGACTGCCCTGTATGTAAGAATATAAGGAAAAATCTCGATATGGCCTAGAGTCTAAAAGAAAACCTCAGCGACAACGAAAACACCGTGGAAAAAACCTTACAATTTTTAAAAATTATAAAATTATTCTACAATAGAGTATAAATAGGAAGTGTTGCCAATGACCCTGCAGGGTAGAGGCAACAATAAAAACAAATAAATAAATTACTCAACGGTCGATTAAAAAAAGTTGTAAATATATATATATATATATATATATATATATATAGGTAAGTGAAAGTAAAAAATCATGGTATTAGGTAAGATAAAAAATATTTCTTAAATCTATTCACATTAGCTATGAAAAATAGCAAAATCCTAACGCTCCTTACTTTGTCACAAATAAAATCATCCATAAAGAGCTTAATGTTCCATATGTTTCCGATTTAGTTCAATCCAGATACCTGTCCTTCCATAACAAACTGCAGAACCATCCGAATCCTCTCGTTTCAAACCTTGCTTCCTCCTCGACCCTGTTAACTCTCCGAGGCGTCTGAAAAGAAGATGGCCTCGGAACCTTCTAATATAGAACTTTAATTCGAGTTCTACCAATGGGTAGTTTCTCTTCATGTTACCAATGTCACATTTACTTGTTGTATTTTTAATGTAATACAGTTGTAAATTTCATTAAAATAAAAAAAATAGCAAAAGCTTAACCTCGGCATCATACCCCATCTCTCATCTTCTCCTAATATATGCATACTTCCCATTAGTTTATGGATACTAAAATACCTTACTAATATAAGATTAGATAATAATAAATAATAAATAATTACCCGGAAATTTGTCATTTTTGGACATTGAGAGGTTGATCTGGGGGTAATTATCCATCGGGAATTGGATCTGCACGAGAGCTGGGCTCTGATTTTCGACTTGTATGTTGTAGCAATCTCGCGAGAAGCAGGGCGTGGACCTCAATGTCAACGTCTTCGGATTGAATTCCACCTAACCAAGAGGAAGAATACTTTTAAACAAAAATAAAATATATCACTGAAATATCTCTACCGGTAATAATAATGGTAATCCTTACTTTGGGGAAAACTACGTGTCCTATGAACTTAGCTTCGATGATATCGTAGCCTTGTAGCTCGATCAGGAGATGGAAGTCGAAAGCCGCTATACTTGTCATCCTGAATAACATTTCCAGGCCGATGCAAGCCCTAGCAGGCATCACCCCTACGATAGGTCGCATGGTCACTCCTTCGATCGGCTCGGGGGTCACTATCGAGTATATCACATCCTTGAAACTATCACACAACCATTGTCAGAGGAGATGAAATTAAATGAAAATAGCCTTTATTTATGCACTAATATTACAATTTCAAAAGCAAACAAAACAAAATAAAACAATTTTTTTTTAAATTATTATAATTTATGCAAAACTTTTTACTATCTAACAAAGGCCTTCCCTTAGGAGTTATAGTCTTTAACACTTCCCTGGGTGACTAGCCCTACTGGGAAGCAGGATTTCTGACTTTTAACCATTTTTCTCTCCACACATCTCTGTCCCTAGCTGCTCTCCACCAGAGAGGTCCTGCCAAAAGCCTAAATGGATCTCTCCATCTCTCTCATCCTTTTCTGGTCATATGGAGTCCATTCGGTGACTATTTTTGACCATCTATTGTCGTTGAACCGCAGGAGATGCCCAGCCCATTTCCATTTACCTTTTCTTATTTGCGAGAGTGTGTCTTTAAGCCCTGTTTCTTCTTTTATCTTCTTGCATCTGATTTTATCAATATTTTTTACTTCCATAATGCTTCTCTCGATGCTATTTCGCCACACCATGATCTTCCCCTCTTGGGCTTTTGTCAATGACCATGTTTGGGAGCCATAGGTCACCACTGGCATAATAAATCTATCGAAAACTAGCCTTTTTAGTTCTATACTTATGTTTCCTTTTGTTATATACTTCACAGACCAGAACTTGTTCCAACCAAATCCTATTCTTCCCCGGACTTCTTTTGTAACTCTGTCTGAAAAGGAAACTAACTGTCCCAAGTAAACATATTCCTTTACGTATTCCAGGGTGAAGTGTTTTTTTTTTTTTTTTTTTTTTTTTTTTTTTTTTTTTTTTTTTTTTTTTTTTTTTTTTTTTTTTTTTTTTTTTGTTCTTCCCTACCTCGCCTTTTAGGCTATACGGGATTTTGCCGGGCCGGGGGTGAGTGCGGGGAATTTAAAATCCCCTCCGGCACCGGGACGCGAACTCGTACTTTTATATCATCTCAAATCTCTGTTATCCGGTTGCCAGGCAACTAGCGGTGCTGTTACACACGCTTTAGCCTATTCGGCCACCCCGCCCCCACCAGGGTGAAGTTGTTCATTTTTATTTCTTCCTTTGAACTATTGGTCATTAGTTTCGTCTCATTGTGGTTTGGGTATAAACCAATTTCTTCACAGGCCCCTAGAAGGTGTTTTAGCATTTCTCGTAGTTGTCGGGAATTGTTGGCAAAAAGTACAATGTCATCTACTAAACGTAAGTTGCTTAAAAATCGACCATTCACCTTACTCTCAATGTCCAATGCCTTGTCGGCTTTAGATACTGCCCAATAAGATTATGAGTATAGCAAAGTCTACCAGTTCAAGTTAATATTGCAAGTTACTAACGCCAAAAATATTGGGATTCGATCAAACTTGAAAACTGATAATTTTTTGTACCTTTATTTATTATATATTGAGAGTTTAGAGCGTTTATTAAGAAAATAGAGCAATCGCATTCAACGAGTAATTTCTTGTCGTTTGATTCATGTATGACGAACACAATTAAGAAAAATAAAAAATGATTAACGCTATATATATTTACAATTCATTGTGGGTATTTTTATTTGTTTAAATACCCTTATATATAAAAATTTTAATTTTTATATCACTGTATTCTATACAATTAAATATTAACTAATACCAACGATAGCATTTATGAAAACCGTATATGTATATATATATATATATAAACATAATGTCGGAGTCTGTATTATATGGAGCTCATGTTACGTCTGGAAATCTGTTGTAATCTTTCGGCCAAGCTCGTATTCTTTTGATTCCTCTATTAAAACTATTATCCGTTACGATATGTTATTGCTCCTTTACTTAATTATTAAATTCTTTCATATTTTATATTTACTAATTTTATATCAAAGATTAATGTGAAATTATTATTTCAAATAAAAAAAAATAAAGGCACATTAGAGCAAGCCCATATTGAAAATTATCCATTTAAGCCTTGATAGAGAACATCAATGAGAATAAAACCTACATTATATTAAAAATTACTCAATAATACACTGATATACTGAGTTTAATCAAAATCGTTAGAGCCGTTTTTGAAAACATCGTCCAAATGTGTTAATTCCATTATATAAAGCACCTCTTCCGGTTTGCCGATTTTGACGAAAATGTTGCTGTAACATCGAAAGCTTATAAAAACCTTAAATATGCAATTTAACTTTCATAAGACTTTTCGTTTTTGAGCTAGACTGATTACACACACATACACAGACCATTTTGCGGTATTTGGACTCAGGAGACCTCAAAACATGTATTTCCTTTGAAAACTCGGAATCGAAAATTTTCACGATCGCAATACTTACCTTTACTATATATTGCATATACAGGTAAGTGAAAGTAAAAATGTGATTCTGAAATCCAAATGAAATTTTATCGTTCATTACATTTTTCAAAAACTATTAGGAATTAGAAAATTTCACCTTTTATTTTACTTGTTGTTATGTTATTTTACTTGTATATGAGGGGTTTCTCGGGCCAGGGAGTGAGGGCTAGGAATTAATGCCAGAGTTAAAAGAACGCGAACTCGTAATTATTTTACTGTCTCAAACAACGTTTATCAGGCTGCCGGACAAACCCTCACTCAAAACTTAACTAGACTGCTAACATACAAACACACAGACATACAGACCGTTTTTCGGGACTTCGTCCTTTCGACTCAGGGTACCTCAAAACGTATATTTCCGTTGAAAACTCAGATTCGAAAATTTTCTCGATCGCAATACTTATCCTTACTATATATTACATATATAGGTAAGTGAAAGTAAAAATATATTAAAGTCACTATATCTCTACTAATATTACTTTGATTTCGATGAAACTTCTTTCATTTTTTAAGAAATTTAAATACCGTTGAAACATCTTATCACAATATCTACAAAAAAGTGTATGCTTTTGAGTTATTTGGAATTTAATTTTACCATCCCTCGTAACTTTTTTTTCCAGCTTCTTTTCGTTGAAGTATCTTCTTTAGATAAATCTAAAGGGTGTCGAGAAAATGACTTTAGCGAAGTTTCATTAAAATCTGTACATTCGTTTAGGGGCTACAGTCTACAGTCTACAGTCTGGCCTCTGATTTTATATCAAAATTTGAAAAAAAAAAAATCGGTCCAGTAGTTTCGTAGAAATGCGTGACGGCGGACGGACAAAAAAATTTTTATTCGTTTTTCGAATTCTACGCATCCTGAAACGTGAAACCTCAAATTTTGAGAGGGGGTTAAGTTTTTGAATCTTTTGGTCGATCACAATGGTTGATTATTTAAAACAATAAACCAATATGTTAATATTACGAAAAAAAAGGTGTCGACTTTTACAACTATTTAAAAGACCTATAAAAACGTTATTTATATTTTTAATGATTTTTTTATGGAATACTATGAATAGTTTCGTAGAATTTGTTTAGAACTTAACAGATTTATTACTCCATGGTACAGACCCCTTTTTATCGAATTAATAACATCTGCCTGACACTTCGTAAATAGTTTCATCTCATCGTAACCTACAACTATTTTATTTACGAAAATTCTTGGAATTGGGGCGTTTTCAATCTGGAGGGGAGTAAACTTTCTCTATTTAATTAGTTACTTTCATAAGTTTCATTGAAACCGGTACATTCGTTTAGGTACGACAGTCTATAGCAACGCAGGTTTTTCTGCATTTTTTTTTCTCCTTTATTAACTTATCAAATTCTTTCAAAAGTTATATTTAGCATTTTTTCGTAATTCTGAATAATCTGAAATGATTAACTTTTTAAAATAAACCATATTAAAGGTACTTTAGAGGAAGACGTATATGAACATTGGGCATATAGCCCTGTAAAGTGATATCAACGGGGACAAGCCCTAATTAATATAAAGACCACTTAATTTTACAATAATACAGCGAGTTTAATCAAAATCGTTAGAGCCGTTTTTGAGAAAATTTTGAAAATGTGTTTCAGCGTTGATATAAAGTGGCACTTCCGGTAATCCGATTTTAAGGAAAAAGTTGCCGTCACAACTAAGGCATATACCTATCTTAAATACGCAATATCAGTTTCGTAGGACTTTTCGTTTTTGAGCTAGACTGCTAACATACAAACACACTGACCATTTTTCGGGACTTGGTCCTTTCGACTCAGAGTACCTCAAAACGTGTATTTCCGTTGAAAACTCAGATTCAAAAATTTCCTCGATCGCATTACTTACCCTTACTATATATTACATATGTACGTAAGTGAAAGTAAAAATATAAATATATTTTTTTCAGATATAACTTAAGTAAAATAGATTATTTTACCCTGCATTGAAGAATAGAACTGTCTCGCAGAACAATAAGTTGAGTGAAATCGGGGGAAGGATTCTTTTAGTGAGCATAACAGAAACGTTGTGACTCTTCTCCTCTACAAGGCTGATCCTGACAGGAATTTGATATCCTTCATTGACCACCAGGTGAATAGAGCTTCCAAGGATCGTCCTGTTTCGTAAATTGGAATAAACTGCGCAAGCTATAGACCTATTGCCAGGAACCTCACCACTCATCGGTTCCAATACGAAAGGTATACCAGGTGGCACCTAGACAGCATAACATTATTGTATAGACTAGTGTTCGCCCAGTGGTCGAAATTCAACCATAGCCATTAAAAATTTGAGGAAAACATAATTAAATTAAAAATAAATAAAGAGTAAATCACGATTCGAAAATCCTCATTTATTGATAAAAACAAAATTTCAATTTCAATTAAAAATTGGGCTTAAACTACCTAAAATTATTTATAAACAATACAAAATAGACTCATTCAAAATATTTAATTTCCATGTTAATTTATGTGTCTTATTATCACAATGAATTAATGTTATGATTAAGCAAGTAAAAAAAAGAATTTAAATTAGCAATTTCAACCGAGTTTAAATCCATTTTTAGGCAGAAATTCGCTGAAAACAATTTTCTTTTTTAATGTTCTGTTATTGTTCAGTACATCGCCTTGACCATTGCCATTGGAAATATAATTTTCAAAATTTGAATCCTAATTTTAACGTGCTCTACTTGCTGCCACATATAATTGTCCATGCGAAATTACTGGACGTCGCAATAATAAACAATTTTTTTCAAAAGTTTGACTCTGCGATTTGATTATGGTCATAGCAAATGCAGCTATTAATAAGAACGTTGTTCTTTGAAATTCGAATGTAAATATTGTACCAGAAAATATCAAATTAATTCTTGGAATTAAAATTCTTTTATTTAAAGTAGCTCCCGTCAATAATTCGCTCTCTTTCGTGTTTCATTAACTACTGCTTGTGCAGTATTTAAGTTAAAAATGAGTATAACTATAGAATTTATTTTTAAATATAATTCAAAACATCCATGATATCATCCTTTCAAATAATGGTCCCGATCACTTCATTAAATTTAAAGTTTTCGATTTATCAAAAACCAAAATAGGAGAAATCTACTTTGCAAAAGAAAAAGTACTCAATGTTTGAAATGATATATCTCTGCAACAAATAATCCGATCTTGATGATTTTTTTTTTATTTTGTAGGTAATTCAGGAAGCTATCAAATAAATATTATGGCAATTTTTGTGATTTTTAGAAAAAAAAGTTGTCGCAAAAAATGTTTATTTTTCGATTCTAGTGAAAATTGGTAATTGGGGATTTATCCAGGTGCGAAATACAAAACTCAACTTTGTTGCTCCTTAAAAAAATATTTGAACCCACTTTACTCCTACTGCCGCTACGATATCTATCATTTCGAAGAAAATAGTTATCAATATCGATATTTTTTTTTTTTGTACGTAATTCAGGAAGCTTTCAAATAAATATTGGTATTATCCATAAAAAAATGTGTACTTTTTGAATTATTGGCAAATAAAATACTGAATTCATCATAAAAATGTATGCAGCTTGTTTTCGGGAAAGTATGTTACATACATAAATTATAAAGGTTTCAAGGGGAAGACTTTAGCCAAGTTTCATTGAAATCGTTGAAGCTGTATTGGCGCTACAGTCTAAAGCGAATCACGTTTTTCGGCCGCCATTTCGAAAGGAAAGGCCTGATGATAATGAAATGTATACAAAAAACTTTGTGAAAAAAAAAAAACAGTGAAAAACTTTCGGAGATTAGCCGTTTTGAACAACCTACCATTTATATTTTTATTCGCATACTATTTCATATTTTTATTTATTGATAACATTAAAGCTCGTCAATAACTATTAAACAAAAAAAGAAGAAAGAAAATCGGTTGAATAATAGAGGAGTAAAAGGGGCTGAACCGTTTTGTGTTTGCCTATTTATTTAATGATTAAAAAAAAATTGTATGCGTGCATGCTCACTTATTTCGATTTACGAATATTAATTACTTTACCTGCCATGAATATTTTGTAGGAACATAAAGTGGATTAAATATCTTTATGACACCCCACTTCACTTGAAAAATATCTTCATATTGTCCTTTAGTTGAATTAAGGATTAACTCGTTTGGGGTCACTGATAGAGTTCTTTGAACTACATCTGCAGACAGCTTCAGGTCAAAGGAATGGCTATTGTTAACCACATATGAGACATTACTGAAATACAAAAAAAATTACTAAAAATTGATTTTATGTATTTACTTATATACATAAATTTTATTTTAATAAAACATACTGTGAACAAATTCATTGTAGTGTCGAATAATTTATCAATGATGGTTTTAGTACTTTATTATTTTTTTTACTACCTTTAAATCCCAACTGTTTAATCATTTCTTATCCATCCATTCATCATAAAATTGTAAATAGTTACTACTGTAAATATGTATATAAATTATTAGATCGGTCTTTATTTTTTTTACTTCATGTTTATTTTCAATTTTTTATTTTTATTATTAACTGATGTAAATTAGAAAGTAACTTGTAATTTCTCTTATTATTTTTTTTTCATTTATCTATTATTTTTTTTTTTTACTATTTAATCAAACTATATTCTTCTTTATATATCTCTGAGGCTCCTTAGCCCACATTTTTGTCTCTATGTATTATTCTAAAGGGACTGGTCCCAGAATAAATAAAGCATTATTATTATTATTATTATTAAGTAGTTGTTACCTGTAAAATTTTCCATATGATTTAAGGTTTAGAGTAACTTCTTTTTCGTGTCTGCTTCTTGCTGCAACTACGAAAACCTCCTCTTTCATTTTAGCTTTTTGGAGAAAAAGCTTTATCGTTACAGAAAAATTGTTGAAGTTATCGATTCTTATTATTTTAACGCAATCGACATTTGGTGGAATCTGAAACATGGCGTATGGCATATAAAAGTTTGGATTGAATAATGAATCGATAAAATTATACGTAACTAATATAGAATACTTTTCCAAAGTCCAACGTCTTCGGCATGACCCTTATGTTGTAGAGATGGGTGGGAGTGAGGGGGCAGATTTCATTCAGCTCGACCACGTCACGGGAGACCTTCCTGCTTATCATCTTCTCAAAGGACACGTCATTTAAATGAGCTTTGTCCATTTTTACCAACTGTTCTAATCTGAAAAAAATTATTGATACGCCTTACTTAAGTAATCGATCATTAATGGTCGTTCATCTTATACATAGTAATAGAAAAAAAAAATCATCTTCCGTCCTACAATTTCATTTAACTAGCTGGCCTGTGGGAATAATTCGTACAGTACATTGGTCAGTGATTAAATGACAAATTAACTGGCAAATACAAAAAATATAATAGATCATCATATCAATACTTATTTTCTCGGTAATTGTAATCGACCAAGGAAATGAAAATTTATTTAAAACTTCATTCAAGTTTAGAAATTAATGCAGGGCGGTCCCTCCACGCCCAGTGGTATAATAAAAGGCCTCTGGCCACAGATGCAAAGAACGCATACAGCGTGCAGAGCCCTCTACCTTAAAATGCCCTTGGGCAATAAAAGGAAAGTTGAAAATTTATGTATATACACATTTATATACATACTGTATTTATTCAAGAAATTCCTGGGGGGTAGGAAAAAAAAAAAAAAAAAAAAAATTCAAGTTTAGAGGTTTTTATTGCTTACCGTCGCACAGTACAACTAAAGCATATTTTGGGGACAAAATAATATGAGATAGATAACAGTTGATGATTGATTTTTGCAGTCTTGTTTGCCCTAAATCCATTGATCTCTGAAACATTTTCGTGTGACCAATTCTTCATGACAATTTAAGGGTTTAACTCAAATTTTTTATTATTATTTTTTTTTTAATGAACTTTACAACTGTATTACATGTAAAATACAACAAGTAAATATGACATTGGTAACATGACATGTATAACATGAAGAGAAAATACTCATTCTTTTCATACGCCTCGGAGGGTTACCAAGGATCGAGGAGGAAGCAAGGTTTGAAACGAGAGGATTCGGACGGTTCTGCAGACTGTTATGGAAGAATAGGTATATGGATTGGGCCAAATCGGAAACATATGGAACATTAAGGTCTTTATGGATGATTTTATTTGTGACAAAGTAAGGAGCGTTGAGGATTTTACGAAGGATTTTGGATTGTAAGGATTGGATACGAGAGGAATTCGATGGTTTAGTGGAGCCCCAAAGCTCAATTCCGTAAGTCCAAGTTCCATAGGTCTACGACGAAGAGTGATGGTAATTTGATGGAATTTATTGGAATTTATTTTAATCCTCCAGTTTTGACACATTTGTTCAAGACTTGTGATGTGTGATTGAAGAGTTTGGGATGCAATAGATGGATCGTTATTAACTGATAGGATACACGTGTCATCGTCATAGGTGGTGATGACAGTGTTGAATTGGGATGTCAGCTGTATAAACTGTATAGAGGATAGGATCTAGGATACTACCTTGAGGAACACCGGCAGACTGAACTAAAATAAAAAATAATTCTTAATTTTTCATTAATGTCAAAAACACTTATTTACAGACCCTCTAGACGTAGTGCAGACCCTTTTTTTAAATCGAATTATTAACATGCGCCTGAAACTTGTAAATAGTTTCCTCTCATGGTAACCTAAAACTATATTATTTGTGAAAACTCTTGGAATTGGGGCGTTTTCAATCTGCAGAGGAGCACCCATTGTCTATTTAAATAAGTACTAAAAACTCGTAAATACCCACTTGCTTTCTACTTTGATCGTAAGATAATTTTATCACAAAATCTATAAAAAAAGGTGGCCTACAAAATTTTGGGCCGTTTGCCCAATGTAACCTCGTTATTTTGAAAATTTGGGGGTGTAAATCACCGCAAACGGCTCAATATTTTTGAAGGCCTCCTTTTTTTTCGATTTAATGATCAAATTATCTTACTCTTCAAACAGAAAGCAAATGTATATTTACGAGTTATTAGTACTTAATTAAATAGACAAAGTTTACTCCCCTCCAGATTGAAAAAGGCCCCAATTCCAAGAGTTTTCGTAAATAAAAATAGTTGTAGGTTACGATGAAATGAAACTATTTACGAACTATCATGGGTCTGTACCTATAGTAATAAATTTTGTGCCTTTTAAGTTCTAAACTAATTCTAAGAAACTATTGATAATATTCCATAAAAAATTCATTAAAAATATCAATAACACTTTTATAGGTCTTTTAAATAGTTGTAGAAGTCGAAACCTTTTTTTTCTCGTAATATTAGCATATTTTTTTTTTTGCGAGTATAAATAAGAACTAAAAGGGATTATGTATGTGTGTATATAACAATAAATATCGGTTTGATTAAAGTTTCATTTTTCATGGAAATGTCCATACCTGAATAAAAACTAAAGATTTTTAGAAAGTCCTAACTACTGAATTAATGAAACTCAATTTACTCACGGAGAAAATATAAATAGATTTCTAATAAGTTTCCAATCGACTAATGACTATAATTAAGTTCTAAAATTATTTTACCAGAGTTTATGTGGCAAAAGATTGGTCGCGAATACAATCCCAGTGATAATATGACAATGAAATGGAAAGTGGATTTTGGCTGCAAAATTAGATATTCGTTAATTAAGTAAAAATAAAGAATGTGTCGAGGCATTTAAGGCAGAAGCAGTATATGCAAGTTATCAGAAGGCCTCGACATGTGTTCATTATAGAGGGATAGATGACTGAGTGGATGAAGGAAGTTGATTAGATGGATGGTCTGGAGTGACAGGCGGATCAGCACCCAATCACTCTCGGCCTGCGGTGTAAGAGATCAAGCTTAACACTCCGCAAGGATGGTAACCACAACCGGAGGGATCAAACTCCGGACTTGTGAGAGGATGAGATACAGACGGAGGGGTCGATCTCCAGACTCAGTATATAGGAATGCAAGCGGACGGATCAGCGTCCAACTTGCATGTAATAAGAGATGAAGATAATGGTAAAATGATAACGTTAAGTAAGAAGAGCAGTCTAAAGTGAACTAAAAGCGTATATGATACACATACTGACCATCTGCATAAAGATCTACACCCTGAAGGGATGGGTATCCGTAGATCTAACAACTTGAGGTTTGACTGGGGTATTCGTTCCGCCAAGACTAAACCAGCTATTTTTGAGCTTTGATTAGTATATGTTATCGCCATTAATCTTTATTAACAAAAAGCATTCACAATTAATATGCATATTTATATTTACAATTTTAGTATTTTATAACACAACAATAAGAAATAAAAGATACAATTTTGGTATGTAGCTCGGACGAGCTTGTAGAGCGCTGCCTGGTAGCGGGAAGGCGAACTTGATGTACCATGTGGCAAGAGCGAAAACTATGCCGAAAACTGTTGCCGCTACAAATGTATAAATAACTTTAAAAGGAAGAGGTTTTTAAACTCTTTTACTGTGATCTAGTATTAGTGATAGTGCAAAAAAAGTACATATAGGAGTCACGTTAAGTATTTTGCACTGTTATTTTCTTGGACTTTGTCTTTTACTTTGAGCTATAATTTAATCGTTACCATATTTAATTCAAATTCATCATTCCTATGGGAAGATTGACAGACTGGGAAGTTTTGATGCATCAACAGTATAGCCCGGACCTTGCCCCGTCTGACTACCATTTGTTCCGATCTCTGCAGAGCTCTCTTAATGGTGTAAAACTGACATCAAAAGGGGATTTTGAAAATCATTTGGTTCAGTTTTTTCTCAGAAATCTCAGAACTTCTGCCGTGACGGACTCTTAATTTTACCAGAAAAGTGACAAAAGGTCGTAGATCAAAACGGCACATACGCCATGGGTAAATGTTTGAAATTTATATAAATAAATTTGCTTTGAAAAACATGAAAAAAAAAAAAGAAATTACTTTTTCATCAACCCAATATATTCACGTATTAAATTATAGTTTTATATTTTTCACAATAACTACCGTTATTTAAAAAAAATATTAATAAATCCTGGAACCGTTGCTGCCCCTAGTGGATCCACCATTCCTTTACAGAAATATTTTTCACCTTAAAAAATGGCAAGTAGAAGCTTAAAAACCTCTTTCATTGAAAGATCAACCTTTCCATTGAATCCCATAATATTCCGTAATAAATCCTTTTTTAAAATATCCAAAAAATATTATACCTTTCATCGGAGAAAGTCCGTTTTCCAAATTTGACATTGTCCTGAGCCAGGTAAAATTGACGTATCTTTCCCGCTTCATTTTGATAAAATTTTCTCAGTTTTTCATTTCGATTATTCATTAATTTCTTTTCTTTCTTTGAGTAGGTGTAATCTAGGTCGACAGGTGGAGTGTAGCGTTTAGTTCCTGTGAATATAGCCCTGAAAATGAAAACTGTTATTTATGGCCACCAGTTTGATTTTTTTTTTTTTTTAATGGAAGAATAATAATACAATCTGCCACAACCAAGGGCATTGGGCATTAAGGCTCTATGTGTACATTTATACTATTCTATGCAAATTAAGAAAAAAGAAAACATGTAAGTAAAAAATATATACAATAAAAGAATGACAAAAATATTAATTACTTGTAAAAAGAAAAAGAAAAATAAGGAAAAACATATTAAATGGATAATAAAAACAAAAAAATACTTGTCACACTCATTCCGATATACGATATTTACATTCAGCCTGGGAAACCCTGAACCATGCTTTTCCGTTCTCATGTGAAAGGCAAAGCAGCACTCAAAGAGATCCCAGCGCTTCCCTCCCAGTCGCATCACTGTTTAAAAGTCAGTGGAGGACTGAGTGAGAACGCTAATCCACATAGAAATAGAAATAGAAATAGAAAATAACTTTATTCTGGGACAAAGTCCCTTTAGAATAACAAAATAGAACATGATTAAAATACTACATCTGGCCAAAATAAAGCAATAATAAAAAAGGGAAAATAAAGAAAATATTAGTTAAACAAGCTATTGGGATAGGAATTGGAATAGAAGGGATTTGAATGTGGATATGGAGGGGGAATGCCGAATTTTGATAGGTAGAGAATTCCAGAAATTGACAGCGCGAGCTATAAAGGAATTCTGAAATGAGGCAGATCTGTGCGAAGGGATGTAGAGGTCAGAAGGTCGAGATCTTGTTGAAAGGGAATGGACTGAGGACTTGAATTGGAGAAGGTTGTAGGCGTAAGAAGGACGATGGTTGTAAATGATTTATATAACCGCATACACCCCGAACATAACCGGAGAAGCTGGCCACTGCCAGAATTGCAATAAAGTATTTACTAAAGTTCACGGGGCCACTGCCGTTTCACCCTTCATGGGAGGATTACATGGATGGTTGGAACCGGAGAGGAATTGTACTAAGGGATTAGTTTGATGGATAAGTTTTTGATGAAAGTTTAAGAATCTGAATTGAATTAGGTCAAGGACAAATGGGATGTTGAGATCATGATGTAGGGTTTTATTTGTGACGTAGTATGGAGCATTGACTATTGTTCGAAGGACTTGAACTATTGTTGAAATTGAAAGGATTGGATGCGTTTGATGTTCGAAGTTTAGCTGTCTCCCCCCCATAGTTCGAGTCCATAGGTCCAGATAATGGTCTTGTATATTAGTAGTTTGTTTTCAATTGAAACACGTGTTTCTGTCCAGTAGTCTGTATAGCTGGCCATAACGTCGGTTAAGTTCTTGTCTTCTAAGTCTGGTATGAGGATTCTATGTTAGCCTCTGGTATCAGGCTGTGTTTGAGAAGGGAAGACATGTAGAGTTAAAAAAATCTTGGCGAACATGATTTGCGTAGGAGAGTGAAAGTAATATACTTACACATGGATTCATTTACTTTAATACGCCAATCCTTTTGCTTAAAAATATGATAAATGTATATATGTTTGTTTGTTTATTTAGGCTTTAAGGCGTGAAACCCTGGTGTCATCAACGCCTGTGAGTCGGTTATATTTGTAAACTCTATAGTGGAGAAATTTAATGAATAGTGGAGAAAGAAGAATGAATAATAAAACATTAATAATAGATTGATAGAATAATAAATTAAAAACATATAAAAAATTAAATATATTAAAATAAATATAAAAAAAGAGAGCACAATAAAATAAAAATTACATTTATTTTTATATTTTATTTAGTAGCCTATGTATTTTAAGAAAATTTATCACTGTTTTTATGTTTGATTTGTTGTTACTTAATACTGCTGATATATCCGGTTTTAGAGATAATCGATTTAGGCTTGATGTATAATAAGTGCAAGAGAAGGCTATTACAATGCTGACAAATTGGCGGTGGCTACTTAGTGATGAGATGTACATGAGTTAGGTTCGTGTTTCCTATTCTTAACCTGGTCACGGCGACTTCCTCTCTACGATTAGGGCTGTTTGATGTGCTCCAGGGTTTTTCTGATTTTTTAATAACTTTTAATTTGCTAGATGGGCTTTCGTTCCACATAGATTGCCAACTATCCAATATTTCCTTTTTGAGAGGAAAACTCATTTCTGGAGGGGTCAGGATAGCAGTACCTCGGTCTGGGAGCGCGAGTGCCTGTTTGGCTGCCGGATCCGCAAGCTCATTACCAACTATACCCACGTGACTTGGAACCCATATAAAACAAAGCGATTTTCTTACATTTTGCAGAGTGTGAAGATATTTGTGTATTTTAAGGATAACTGGATGTTCTGAGTACATATCATTTAAACCCTTTAATGAACTCAAGGAGTCGGTTATCAAGACTATTGAGGCTGGAGTTATCGACATCCAGAAGTGAAGGGCTGAGTCTATGGCGTGAAGTTCCGCTGTGTATAAGCTGCTTAGTTTATGTAGTTTTATTTTATGTGTGGAGTTGTGGATAACAAACGAAGAAGTTACAGTATCATCAGGATTTCGAACCATCAGTGTAAATTAAAAATGGTCTCGGAATATTTTGTAATAGACGGGAAAATTCGGTTTTGTACTCGTAAGGTGAGGTATTGTTTTTGAGTATTCGAGAGAGATGGATTATCATTTTTGGGGGTTTTTGGATCCAAGGTGGGAAAATGTATATATTTTCTTCATGTAAGATAAAGTAACTTTAATAATCTTATCTTAAAAAGTGCAATAACTTAATATGTATGTATATATATATATATATATATATATATATATATATTACCTGACTTTTGGGTCATGTTTTTTTACCCTGAAAGAGCTAGGCATATCATTTGGGTAGGCAACGAAATCACTACCGTATAACCAGGGTCGTTTTCCATTCTTTGGAACGAGTAATGATTTCGGGCACTTAGAATGAATATCTTTGTACATAACCGTTTCCGTATGTACACCAGTTTCGTGAGCGATAGATGGTGTTATACCTAGAATAAACATTAATGTTAATATAGAAATTAATGAATTACAAAACGTAACAGTCAACAGATAACGTGGATTTTAACAAAATGTATTGGTTCAGCTCATTTCATTGAATTTTATTTATATAAAAAATGAATTCTAATAAATATTTTTATTATCATTTCTTTTCTTTTTTCTTATTATCATCGAAGAAAAATTCTCCAAATTGCATTAGAACTTTACGTAGCATCCAAATTGCCTTGTACAATCCCTATCTAACACTATCCAACCTCCAATAAGATTAAACGGTTGTGGTCCCGTGACCTTTTGTAGAATGTCGCAACTGGTATTCCAAAAGATCGTATGTAAAAATTGAGTTTTTTTACAAAAGAACATAAAAACTATTTTTTTTCTTTTGATTTATTAATATTACTTCATATTTTATATCCCTATACTATTTCCTGTAATAGCAGATTATTTATGGCAGTTGCAGACTACAAAATGTCACGTTTAGCACAAATAGAATTAACGTAGAAAATTGTCACATACGACATTTTGCACTAACAGTAATGATGTATACAGTGTGATTCAGGGTTAAGTGGCCAAACTGAAAATATGAATTAAGGAACTCAAAACAAGAAAAACAATTCCTCAGAAGGTTTGTCCGCAAACGCCTTGTTGCTATTCATTTGTTCCAACTACTTTATTAATTAAACGTTGGATTTTGATTATTATTTTGTTCTATTTATTTTTTTTTTTTGTACATATAGTGTGAATGTCATCCTACCTCACTATAACCAATGTCCAATAGACAGATTGTTATAATACTCAATAAAGAAATTAAAAAAAAAAATTAAACGTAAAGATAAATTAATATTAAATGTTGTTCAAAGTGATTTCCTTGAGCATTAAGACAGGCTCTCGGCATCTTTCTTCAACAGCAGCAGTGGCAGGACGGCAATGGAAATGTGTTATTGTTTCAAAAGATTCAATTATCGTGGATGAATTATCATAAAAATATTGTAATATGGTCGCATTCCTTTCTTCATTTCGTAAAGGGGCAAAAATAACATCAGCACGTGGTATTATAGCAAATGTACCAGTTTCTCTAAGACGTTGAAACGTATAGCTAAAGATAGACTTCTTTGGTAATCTTCTATTCGGAAATCGTCTGGTATATTCCTGACGGGCAGCATTAGCATTACCATAGCGGAAACCGTATACAAACACCATATCGGCATATTCACCATTAGTATAAATGGAAGGCATAATGATGAGTACTCTGCGAAAGGCTCTTACAGACTGATAAATGTTATTGAGAGCTCCCAATGCTAATTACAAATAGTATTAAAACTTATGTTTCCAATAGTTTTGATACAGTTAGAGATAAAAGGCCGTATTAGTATTCTATCTAATCGATCTCCTAAACAAAGCGTTTGCGGACATACCTTCACTTTGAACTACATTTAATATGAATGTTAATGTTTACATTTAATTAATAAAGTAGTTAGAAAAAATAATTAGGTTTTATTTATTTCATATAACGTAAATAATTCATAACTATGAAAATCTTTAGATGTAAATATCTCCTAAACAAAGTGTTCGTGGACAGACCTTCAGAGGATTTTTTTTTTCTTGTTTCGAGGTCCTTAGTTCATTTTTGCAGTTTGGTCACTTAATCCTGAAACACTCTGTATATTGGAGTTCCGGCAATGGCGAGATTCCCTACTCAAGAAATGAGTATGTTTTTTTCTTTTTCTCCTCTACTTGCCTTTTAGGCTACACGAGTTTTTTTCCCGGGCCAGGGGTGAGGGCAGGAGATTAATGTCAGAGATAAAAGCCCTCCGTTTTTATTGGTTGTTCCGTACAACGCATGTCTTGCACACACGTGAGCCCGCTTAGCCACTCCTCCCCATGGATATAGTTGGTTAAAGCGTTCTCGATCAATCTCCACTGGCTTTAACACCAGTGACGTGGTGGTTGATAGAGTAGCGCTGGTATATCTCTATAGTTGGAGGGACAAGGCTGGTACTTCCTTAGTGTACTTCCTCCAAAGTACCTTTAATATGGTTTATTTTGAAAATTTAACTCCCTTTTATTGACAGTAACTATAAAAAATGGCTAAATATTACTTTTGAAAGAAGTCGATAATTTAATAAAGGATAAAAAAAGAAAAATGCTTATCCAGGTCGAAAATGAATCCTTGGAAATAATAGTCAGAATGTATACGTATAATATATATATTTTTTTTTAACTTTTATTATGATATTTACAACTGTATTAGTATGAATACATCAAGTCAATTTGTACAGAGAAATATCATCACATGAAACACGCTTGTTGAGAAACTACCCACTGGTAGCACTCTAATAATTGTCTACATGAGAAGATCACGAGGCCATCTTCTTTTCAGACGCCTCGGAGGGTTATCAGGAATCGAAGAGGAAGCAAGGTTAGAAACAAGAGGATTCGGATGGTTATGAAGTTTATTATGGAAGGATAGGTATCTGGATTTGGCCAAATCGGAAACATATGGAACATTGAAGTCTTTATGGATTATTTTATTAGTGACAAAGTGAGGAGCATTGAGGATTTTACGAAGGATTTTGGATTTACGTATAATATATCGTTGGAAAGTGAAGAATTTTAGAATAATATCAAATAAATAAAGTTCTGGCAGGTAACAGTGACAAAAAAAAAATTTTAAATAAATAAAAAATTTTATCCACCTTAGTTGGAAATACTTTTAAGTTTTTGTTGATAAAGCAATTCCTCATAAAACTTAAGATGTTAAATAGACCTTCTCTTGTAGCAAACCAATCCGTTGGTTATAGACATCATACTACCTAAGCGCCCTCAACTCTGCTATTTCTTACCTCTCTGGGAATGGGATAGTGCTATGGGAAGCTGGCATGGATTAAATTTTATCTATCAGATCTTATCTGATCTACTCCCCCTCCCCCCACTCGCTATCGACGATCGGGCAACAACTTTTCACAAACAACTTCTCAATCATATGTAAGTTCTTTATTACTTGAATTGTGATCCATCTCAAATTAAACCTTTTTTTTTCAATGATAATACACAATTATTTATAGCATTCTATACAATTATGTACTGCTAAATGGACTTAAACTAACTTTTTTTTATTATTAAAGAAATTTACAACTGTAATTAATAATAAATACAACAAGTAAATATGAACAAGTAAAATGACATGTACAACATGAAGAGAAACTACCCATTGGTAGCACTCCAATTATACTTCTATATTAGAAGGTCCCGAGGCCATCTTCTTTTCAGACGCCTCGGAGGGTTATCAGGAATAGAAGAGGAAGCAAGGTTGGAAACGAGAGGGTTCGGATGGTTCAGAAATTTATTATGAAAGGACAGGTATCTGGATTGAGCTAAATCGGAAAAATATGGTACATTAAGGTCATTATGGATGATTTTATTTGTGACAAAGTAGAGAGAATTAAGGATTTTACGAAGGATTTTGGATTGTAAGGATTGGATACGAGAGGAATGTGATGGTTTAGTGGAGCCCCAAAGCTCAAATCCGTAAGTCCAAATAGGTCTTATTATTGTCACATATATGAGTCGTTTGTAATTGATTGAAAGCATAGAGCGTTTGTCTAGTAAGTGCTGGAGTAGTCGGAAACGACGGGCGGTTTCTAGTCGTTTCAGTCTGGTATGGGGTACAACGGTCGTTGGTCAAGGTGGAGTCCTAGGAATCGGATTTGGTCAACAGGTATAAGTGGGGTATTGTTAAAGGATACTGTAGGACAGGAAGTCATAGGTTTACGACGAAGAGTGAAGGTAATTTGATGGGATTTATTGGAATTTATTTTAATCCTCCAGTTTTGACACCATTTTTCAAGACTTGTGATGTGTGATTGAAGAGTTTGGGATGCAATAGATTAGATGGATCGTAATTGACTGATAGGATAAATGTGTCATCGGCATAGGTGGTGATGACAGTGTTGGAATGGGTTGGGATGTTAGCTGTATAAACTGTATAAAGGATAGGACCTAGGATACTAGCTTGAGGAACTCCAGCAAACTGAGAAAAAAGAGATGAAAAAGCATTGTTATGATTGACTTTGAAGTATCTGTCAGTAAGGTAGGAACGGATGATGATACGGATATCAAACGCCTGTTCAACGTCGAGAAAGACTCCCGTGCAGTACATTCCGCGCTCCAATGCAGAGGAGACTACATCTACCACACGATGGCATTGCTGAATAGTGGAGTGGGATGTGCGGAATCAATATTGGTGATCTGGGATAATGTGTTTAGAGTCTAGGATTGGACACAGGCGTTTTAGGATGAGTTTTTCCAGGATTTTCCCCATAATGGGTAAAAGAGTGATAGGACGGTAAGAGGATGGGTGTTCTGGCGGCTTTATGGGTTTAGGTATCATTTTGACAATAAATAGTTTCAAAGTGTCAGGAAAATATATGGTTCGGAGTACAGCGTTATATATATAGGTGAGGAATAGTATGGCTTTTTTAGGAAGCAGTTTTAGGATCTGGGATGTGATTAGGTCATGGTCAGGAGCTTTGCGGGAAGGTAATCTATGAATGATATTGGATATTTGTGAAGGATGAAATGCTTTAGGTGGAGGAGTCAATTGGAGTGGGATATCCAATTCTGCTTCAATAAACTCAAGATGGGTTGGATTAAGGATATCTGGGTGTGGATTAAATGTTTTGAAGTGGTGCTGATCAAATAATTGAGATTTTTTTCGTCAGATCTGGACCAGATTTGTGTTTCAGTAATAAGTGATAAAACTAACATAAAAATAAAATTTATAATCAGACAAAATATGAAATTTTCTGCAATAAAAATGCAAAACATACAATTTTGTCGATTTAGTAATGTCACTTAACTTAACATTTCTATCTTTAATCTTACCCATGTTAAACTTAGGCTGAGGTGGATTAAATATTGATTTGATGTTGGCTGAAAGTTCAACATGAACTTCATCGATAGTTTTTAAATGCTTCCTATCAGTCAAGTCTTGGTATGCAATCACTTCAAATTTCAAACGCGTGTTTTCAAAAACTGAAACAATATTAATGATTTCGGTTAAGGTATTTATGAAACAATAAATATCTTATATAAAGGGTAAATTTTAACTGATTTAACTAACATAACTATAAGCACTGTCCAGTGTGGAATGCATTTAGTAGTTTCAATAGACATTGTAATGCAATAGAAAATTTGATAACATATACCTTAAAACAAAAATAGTAAAATAAATTGGCTAGTATTTATTAGTAATAATTAAAAAATCACAAGCAGCAGACCTCCGTAATAATATCTTATTTTTTTCTATTCACCATTGAAAAACAGGTGAAAAGAATTATATTGTTTCATTAATGCTATAATAATGATAAAAGGCTTAGCGAACCCGAAGGTTCGATGCCGACACCACCAATCGCTTATTACTCACTTCCCTCCACCGGTCGTCGTCCAAACCCAATCCCTTCAGATCGGCTTTAACGCAATCTTACAGTTTACGCAATTCGATGTTGTCCAACCGTCCAAACTGTCTGGTTAATTCACCCTTCCCAATATTCTAAACAATACTTTATTTTTAAAAACCTTAAAACGTTGTTCATTACTTAATATGAATGGCCACGTTTAGCAACCATAAAGAACCGTAGGTAGGATCACTAACACATCCAGAATTAAATTTTGGGGTAGGATAATAGTTTTATATATTCTAGATTTTAAGTTCTGGGACAAGAGGCGCGAACTGAGTAGTTTTATGACTGAAAAAAAAAAGCATTTCCCGCCTTTAGCCTAACCTTAATCCTCTCTTCAATTTCGTTTAGTCTAGTTATAGTAAACCCTAGATAACTAAACTTCTCTACATGTTCAAACACATTCCCTTCTCTATGGATATCACCGGCATTATCAAGATTTTGGTAGTTAACTCTATATTTTGTCTTATCCGTTTATATCTAGCTTCAGTTGTCTACTCGATTTTTATTAACACATTTCATTATCGTATTTAGTTTTATAGTTCACGTGTCTTCGCTCAACAGGATCAGATCATCCGCATTGCCAAGCTCAGGTGTTGTTCCACCCAGATTCAACTCTTTTCCGGTACGCGTTAGCTCTCTAATAGTATGTTCGGTGCTTATCTAATAACAGGTAGCGTCCGACTGCTATCTGCCTATGTTTATAACCTTAACACTGATAAGCTCTTCGTATTCATATTTATTCTATTATATTCATATTATTTATTCGTAGTATTATTATTAGTTCGTATTCATATTTATTGTATTGTATTGATATTATTGAAATTTTGAACATAAACAGAAATAAATGTAATAATAACAAAATGCTTTTATTTTACAACGTATATATTAAAATAGACCAAAACATTACGAAAACAAAAAAATAGACAAAAAAAGATGAATTAATAAAAAACTACTTAAACAGCATATGTAGATGTAAAACAAACATTATGAAGAAACGATAGAAACAAAATATGAAAAATTTTATTTTGGTAGGGAAAATAATTTTCTTATAGAAACGGTTTTGTTACACCTACGAAAGCATCCCCATTTAATCTTCCCGTCGAACTTCATTTTATGACCCTCATCACAATATGTCACCTTATCAAATATACCGGCGTCTTGAAAATATTTGATAGCCTCTTCTTCTGAAGGCGGCAATTCCCACAATGTGACAAGATCCATAATTAAATAAACTCATACCTGGCACAAGAAACAAAAACTAAACACCAGAATAACTTAGGTTAGATAAGAAGGGAGGTTTTGACGCTACCCGCTAATGGATAAGTACCGTATGTTCTAATCCGAACTTAAACAGGATAGGTGAAAGGGAATCAGGGTAGTATCTTGAGATGAAATCGGAAGAAAAACGAATACTAAACCCCTGACAAACAACAACTTATTTTTTTTTTTCAAATCTTATTACCAAAATCAATATTTATTGTAATTTAGTAAGTTTAAATGTTTCCAAACAGTACTTACTTAATGAAGATGCCCTAAATGATACGGCTAACTCCAGTGATTTCTTGGGATCTATGAAGTGGCTCTCGGGGTAGACGTATACGCCGACAGTCTTCTTGTATCGGTAGCCGAGAGGCAGCGAAGTCGATTCGTTGGTCAGCCGAATCACCTTCTTGCACTCCTTGCCCACTTCCATGTTCTCGAAGTATAAGCTATCTGGAACAGCTGTCAGCATTGGCTTCACACCATCGCCGTGGAGGCATATCCTCAGCATATCCAAATCTTGATTGGTGTCTGCGAAACAACACCAACTTTAAATTCATGAATCCATAAAATCTTTTTTTTTTGTATTCATGAAATTTATAACTATATACAAATAAATATACACCAAGTAAATGAGATACAGAGAAATACAATGGCATGAAAAGACTTGTAGAGAATCTACCCATTGGTAGCACTGTAATGAAAAATCTAAATTAGGAGATCACGGTTCCATATTCTTTTCAGACGCCTCGGAGAGATATCAGAAATCGATTTGGGGGAGGTTCTGAAGTTTATTATGGCATACCGCTCCTATTTGTCTATTTCCTATTTGCTCCAATCCAGGTAGCTATGCCAGCAACCTGGATTGGAGCAAATAGGAAACATAAGAAACATTAAGGTCGTTATGGATGAATTTATTTGTAAAAAAGTAATGAGCATTGAGGATTTTATGAAAAATTTTGTATAGTAAGTCTTCGATACAAGAGGAATTCGATGGTTTAAGAGACCCCATGCGCAAGTCCATAAGTTGAAGTAGACAGCCCCCAGTATTATACTCCTTTATTATATACTCCTTTATGTGACATTGTGTGACGGAATGAGAAGGAATATATAGGAATGTGACCTTGCACTGTGAATTGTACTCAATTGTGCAGTGGACAAATTATACATTGAAAAGTCTCATATCGATAAACAATCGACGAAGAAGATTGGAATAGAACCGAGCAGGTAGCAGCAGCTGGAGAAGGACGCTAGAGAGAAGGGAAGGCACTTGAGGCTGGGGCATGGAGGGAAAAATGACGTTATCTGAGAAGAGAAGCCTACTACATTGAAGAATAAGAATATCAAGCCTACAGTTATAAGACTTTTATATATTCATTTATTACAGTTGTCAAAATAAATTGTTTTATTACACAGGAGTGAAAAGTCATTTTATTTAGTTGTCGTATATGCCTCACAATTGAATAATAAGAAACCAGGTGAGTCAATTCATTCAAAGTGTATTTATTCAATCCCACATTTCATATATATATTCTTATTGTTTCTTCTCACTCAGTGTCACAAAAGTATTAGGTTCCCGAATTCCCAACAACAGTTAAACATCCTCAAAAAGTCTATATCCAGGACCAGAGTTTTATTTTAATATCCACAAGTGTAAATAACCTAATCCCCCGTTAAACGGAAGGAATATTTAGGATTCCCTCCAAAACGTTATTAACTATTAACTTTTAACAAACTATTTACTATGTCTACATAGGCCTTATTCATTAGTCATGTATATAAGGCTTTTGTAATTAGTTGGAAGTTTATTTTTCTAGTAAGTGTTGAAGTGGTCGGAAACGTCGAGCGGTTTCTTGTCGTTTCAGTCAGGTATGTGAATTCCAAGTTAGACGTTTGTCCAGATCGTGTCCTAGATAACGGATTTGTTCAACGGGAAGAAGTGAGGTATGTGAGGTGAGAGTTAAAGGATAATGCAGGGCGGGAAGGCTGAGGTTTACAACGAACGGTAAAAGTAATTTGATGGAATTAATTTTTATTCTCCAGTTATGATACCATTCTTCAAGGTTTGTGATGTGTGATTGAAGATTTGGGATGCGATTGGTGGGTCGTTATTAACTGACAGGACACATGTTTTATCGGCATAAGTAATGATAACAGTGTTGGTATATCAGCTGTATAAACTGTGTAAAGGATAGGACCTAGGATACTACCTTGAGGAACACCAGCAGACTAGGAAAAGAGGGATGAATGACCGTAAAAGATAATACATAATATATATAATAATTGCCGAAATATTATATACACTTAGAACAGAATTTATTCGTATAATATTTTTATATCTATTACTGTATTTATATATACAAATTGGACAGTAATTTATATACCTGACATTGACGAGGCAGCAGTAAATGATGTCCTGCCAGCTCCGGTGCAAACTATAACAAACGTTTATTTATATTTTTCATTATCAATAGTAACACGGTATTGATTGTAAATATTTATTACGTACACGGGTCTCTACCACCGTCATCTTGCCACTCAATCACGTCGACTCGCAGGATCCGAAGAAAACACAAAAATTCTAATTCGTCAATGGTGGAATGTTTCCACCCCTTTGTCTTTGACGAATCAGCATGAGGATGAAATCTGAAACAATATTCTTACATTTGTCAATGTATCTCAAACTAGTAACTTTATTTCGCTCAGTAAATGCTGATAATTCATAACTTTATGTCTTTTATTCTGCCACTTAAGTACTTAAGTAGTACCCCCCGATACTATTTATTTATTTTATTCTATCTTTCTCTGTTTATTTTATATTTGTTTATGTTTATTTTTTGAATGAAAATAAAAATTATTGACGCTATATTTATTTACATTTCATTGTGGGTATTTTTATTTGTTTAAATACTCGTATATATATATATATATATATATATATATATATATATAAACAAATTTCATAACGCTGTATACTATACAATTAAATATTAAATAATACCAACGATTACATTTATGAAAACCGCATATGAACATAATATTGTCGGAGTTCCTCTTATATGAAGCTCATGTTACTATGGAAATCTGTTGTAATCTTTCGGGCGAGCTCGTATTCCTTTGATTCCTCTATTACAACTATTATCCGTTACGATCTCTTATTTCTCATTTCGTTAATTATCAAATTCTTTCATATTTTATATTTAACTATTTTTTTATATCAAATATTAATATGAAATGGTTAATTATTTCAAATAAAAAAAATAAAGGTACTTCAGAGGAGAGAACATCAATGAGAACATAAAATCTACATTATATTAAAGACAGCTTAATAATACACTAATATACAGAGTTTAATCAAAATCACTAGAGCCGTTTTTGAGAAAATCGTAAATATGTGTTAAATCGATTATATAAAGTACCACTTCTGGTTTGCTGATTTTGACGAAAATGTTACTGTAACATCGAAAGCTTATAAAAACCTTAAATATACAATTTCAGTCTTATACTTTTCATATTTGAGCTAGACAGATAACATACATATACGCACACGCAGTCACACACATACACACAGACCACTTTGCAGGACTTGGTTATTTGGAATCAGGACACCTCAGAACATGTATTTCCGTTGAAAAATTAGACTCGAAAATTTTCATTATCGCAATACTTACGCTCACTATATATTGCATATATAGGTAAGTGAAAGTAAAAATACTAGAATTAAAAAAATATTTTATTAGAGAATAAAATCTCACCTTACAGTAAATATGTGGCCTTCAAAAGGCCCTAACGTCCCTTCAACCGGATGAATGGAGAAATTACTGTAAACAAACACCTGCTTCACTGCCTTGTTTAGTGTCTGAAAACAAATAGCAATAATCTTATGAATTTTTGTTTGTTTTTTTATATGCGACTCTTATTTGAAGGGATGGATCCCATTTGTGAATTTGGCACCATCAGTTTTCAAAACTTGACAGAATAAGTCGTCAGTCAATGTGAACATTTTATTTTTGTATGGAAACGAAGTGTGCCTCCCATCAAAATTTCAGTCCTCAGTTTTCCGGTAAAATAAACAGTCAAATTTTCAGATTCAATTTAAAATTTCGTATACAAAGCACCATATTGACTTTCTTTTGTCTTTTAACAGATTGGCTGGAACTTTGTATTCAAATAAGGATAATCTAGATTTTTTTTTTAATAACGAGTAAATATGCACAAATTCGAAATAATGACATGAACAGGCTTGACGAAATACTACCCAGTGGTAGCACTCCTTAAATAATTCTAGGTAAGAAGATCACGAGGCCATCTCCTTTTGAGACGCCTAGGAGGATTATCAGGAATCGAGGAAGAAGCAAGGCTGGAACCAAGTGGATTCGGATGGGACTGGAATTTATCATGTAAGGATAGGTATCTGGCTCGGGCTAAATCAGCGGCATATAGTACATTAAGATTTTTATGGTTTTATTTATGACAAAGTATGGATCATTAAGAATTTTACGAAGGATTTTGGATTGTAAGGATTGGATACGATAGGAATTCGATGGTTCGCTAGAGCCTCAAAGCTCAACTCCGTATGTCCATATAGATCTTATTATAGTTATGTGGATAAATCTTTTGTAATTAATTTAAAGTTTAGAGCTTTTGTTCAGTAAGTGTCGGAGTAGTCGGAAAATCTATATTTTAAATTGGTTTCTAGCCTGTAAGTTCTTTCATTGAATCCGGTAATAGCTTCTACTCCAATAGGGAGTGTACTTCAGAAAATAAAATATAATATAACACCCAAAATAAATTCTTATTAATCTATGTCCAAATATATAGCTGCACTTGTTGAATAAATTATTAAAACTTACAAATAACTGATTGTTCATCTCCGCCAAAACGACAAAGCAGGAAGGAAAGGATGACACGTTCTGCACGATGAAGGTCTCGTATCTTTCTGATCCGAAGAACGTCGGTTTGAAATTTATAAGGGTGAAGTCGCCAGTTGTGTTCGGGTGCATCGCTTGGAAGTAGGGGAATAGAACGTGGACCTCCACTTCTATTCTGGATGGAGGGTCACCCTTCACCCTAGAAAGGGATACGGGTTCAGCTAGGTTTTATAAACAAATATAAGTACGTTAAGCTGTATTAATTATTAAAATAAACAAGCTGACCGGTGCGAATACTTAATACAAACCTAACATTTGTATCAGATCTTAAAACATAAAGGGCTCAGCGCAATTTCCATTCAATAATGTTTGATGCACACAAAGGTTTAATACATATATCTAATTAGCTATATATTTATAAATATGATTTACAGTCTGCTATGGCTTTACCATTGCATATCATTAAACTTTTTTTAATTAATTTTTTTTTTTGACAACCATACCAGACTGAAACGACTAGAAACCGTCCGACGTTTTCGACTACTGCAGCACTTACTAGACAAACGATCTAAGCTTTCAATCAATTATAAACGACTCATATATATGACAATAATAAGACCTATTTGGACTTACGGAATTGAGCTTTGGGGCTCCACTAAACCATCGAATTCCTCTCGTATCCAATCCTTACAATCCAAAATCCTTCGTAAAATCCTCAACGCTCCTTACTTTGTCACAAATAAAATCATCCATAAAGACCTTAATGTTCCATATGTTTCCGATTTGGCCCAATCCAGATAACTATCCTTCCATAATAAATTGCAGAACCATCCGAATCCTCTCGTTTCAAACCTTACCTCCTCCTCGATCCCTGATAACCCTCCGAGGCGTCTGAAAATAAGATGGCCTCGGGACCTTCTAACATAGAACTTTAATTTGAGTTCTACCAATGGGTAGTTTCTCTTCATGTTGAACATGTCATGTTACCAATTTCACATTTACTTATTGTATTTTCTATGTAATAAAGTAGTAAATTCCATTAAAATAATAAAAAGAAAAAAATATGTTTATTGTTATTGATTATTATTATTTATGAAATTTACAACTGTACAGATTAATATACATTCAATAAATGTGATACAGTAAAATACATGACATGACAATGCTTGTAGATAATCTACTCATTGGTAGCACTCTAATAAAGTATCCAAATTAGATCACGAGGCCAACTTCTTTTCAGACTCTTAGGAGGATTATCAGGGATTGAGGAGGAAGCAAGGATAGAAACGAGAGAATTAGGATAGTTCTGAAGTTTATTAAAGAAGGATAGATATCTGGATTGGGCCAAATCGGAAAAAATATGGAGCATTAAGGTCATTATGGATTATTTTATTTGTTACAAAGTAAGGAGCATTAAGGATTTTGAATTGTAAAGAATGGATACGAGAGGAATTCGATGATTTAGTGGAGCCCCAAAGCTCAACTCCGTAAGACTAAATAGGCCTTATTATGGTCATGTATATGAGTCTTTTGTTATTAATTGAAAGGTTACAGTGTTTGTCTAGTATTGAAGTAGTCGGAAACGTCGAGCGGTTTCTTGTCGTTTCAGTCTGATATGAGGATTCCAAGCTAGACGTTTGTCCAGGTGGAGTCCTAGGGAATTAAACTTATAATTTAAATTTTAGAATTTTAGATTTTTTCAGCACTGGATTATCATAAATTCACAAAAGCTTCCAAACATTGCTTTAAATAGCTAATAAAGACAAAAGACAAAAGGGTGGAATTTTCAGAGATGGAATATACTCAGCAGGCTGTGTATTACTTTAAATCGTTAAACAAAAATCGAAACATCAAGTGAATTGTCCAAAAGATAAACTTCAATAACAAAAATATAAAAGGAAAAGCTAATGTACTTGAAGCACATTAACAAACACTACAAAAAGTGTTTAGTGGAAGACACATTTATAGAGATAAAAATAAAATAAATAACTTAACTAATAAAAAAATATATTGAATATAATATACCCAGAGAAAAAGAGGTAAATTTTCAAAATGGGAAATTTGCAATTCTATGTGAAACAGAATCATTGTGGTACAATTAATACTAAATATCCAGAATGATATAACTTGAGACCAGATTTTCGTGCAGTAAAAACCGAAAAATGTGCAATATAAAACTCAAAATGTGTAAAATCGTGCAGTAAAACCCATAAAAGTCTAAAATTGTACACATTACATGCAAAAATCATAGTTTTTGTTTAATTTATAATATTATTGATTGTTTACTGTTATGTTATAAGTTATAGCCTCTAAATTGAAGTTTGGTATAACTTTTAGTAACGTCAGAAAAAATTTAATTTAATTTAAAATTAACGATTAATCAAAATCGGTATTAAAGAAAATCAGCTTACGAAAAAGTAATAATATATTTTCAAGTTTATTTATTTTCAGCCATTTTACACCAATTTTCAAAATTTTTGTCAACTTAATGACTACACATCTGATTACGACGTTCCATTTTCAAGTCTAAATATTTTTTTACAATTTACAGTCATATTTAAAACATTACATACTTCAACATATAGAGATTCATTTTATATACCTAAAATACCAATCATGTACCTGTCCTTTTCAACTTATGCGAATTGCATGCGTCTACTCATGTAAAAAAAAAATTTTTTTTGTCATGTCCACCTATAATTATTTTATAAAATTATTATTAGTCAATTATTTCTTATTAAATGATTCAAATAAGTTAAAATTACCTTATGTTGTGTCACCGACATCTCATCAGCCTCATTTCATTTTCGTGACTGGTTATTCTTAAAGGAGTAGGAGAAGACTATTTATTTTAAACATATACAATGATATTTCCAAATATAATATATATGGATTTATTTTATGTACAATTAGCTAATTCATTTCATATTTTTATTTTTCCAATCGAACTCGCGTAAAAGATATTCATATTATCCACATCTGTATGATTATTTACAGAGTTTTTTTAATTTTTAGCTATGTATATTGCTTCTTTTATTCTACGTTTATTCATATTACCTTCATTATGTATTATTTTGGGGTTATTGAAGTCAAATTCATGTTTTGTTTGCATAGTGTGCTGAGAGAGTCCAGGTAGCTAATTTAATTTTTTTTTTTTTTAATTACAATTTTGTTTGTGCTGTTTAAGTCTTTTATCAAACCATTGTGATGTCTGTCCAATATATGCTTTGTTGTTGCAATTTTTACTATTTATTTTATAAATAATATTCGTTAATTTATCGGTGGGTATTTTATCTTTAGTTTTGGAATAAATTGTATCTATTTTATTAATAGGTTTGATTGCATGCAAATTTAATTTCATTTACATCATATTGTTTAAATGTTCTTTCTATTTTGTCCGTTAAATTTATAATATATGTGACGCTAAAATATTTTTTAGGTTGTTTGTTTTTATTATATTTTTCATTTTGTGCTTTAATGTCATGTATATCGTTAACAATGGCTGAAAATAAATAAACTTGAAAATAAATAGTATGCACCGAAGAAGAATTGGAGAAATATTGTGAGTAATAATATATTTTAAAAACCAGTGCATTTTTAAATTGAGGCTTGATTTTACTGCTGTATATACTGTTTCCTATTTTTATGAAGAGTTGAAGTGGCTTTATCCTTCCTGCCGTCGTATTTCCTGGCATCCTTCCTCTTTCAAGTCATCCAATCACACCGTCCTTCATATATCACCGACCTCCTTCAATTCAAATCCTCTGTCCGTTCCCGTAATACTCTTTCCCGGTCTTCTGATTAATAAGGGCCCACCGAACCGCTGCTTTCGACAGATCGTTCATTATCGGATCCTCATCCATATGGAACTCCATCCCTTCCCACATCCATCAATCCAATACCCTTCCTACCTTTAAATCCCGCCTGTTCAATCATTTCTTATCCATCCAGTCCCCATAAAATTTTAAATAGATACTACTGTACATATGTATATAAATTATTATTTTGTTCTTCATTATTTTATTATTTTTTATCAATTTTTATTTTTTATTATTAACTGATCAAAATTAGAAAGTAACTTATATATTTTTTTTAGTATGGCTATTTAATTACTCTTTATTTTTACTTTCCTACCTATAAGGAAAGTATTGCAATCGGGTCAAATTTCCGACATGCAGTTTTCGACGGATCTATACGTTTCACAGCCCCCTGAGTCCGAAAAACACATTTTTAGCCATTGGTCTGTTTGTCTGTCTGTGCCAAGATTTTCTCGGGAACTACTGAACCGATTTTGTTGGTTCTTTTTCTATTTTGTAGGGTTTTGACTACTGCAATAGCTTGCGCGCAATAAATGAAAAACATGTTTTTCTAAAGACTGTAGCGCGAAAACGGCTCTACAGATTTTGATGAAACTTTTCTATGATGTTCTAATCATAGACTGAATTCCCGAAAAAATTCAGGAAAAAAGTTATAAAGAAAAGAAAAATGTTATGGGGCCTAACTCCCTAAGTGTATATTATACGGTGAAATTTATAATAAAACTTTTGAAAGGTAATTAAATTACTAACAAAACAAAAAAAAAATCATCGGAATCGAACCAGTATTAGCGATGATACAGCTTATTCTATTTTTTACAAAATTTTTTAACTTATTACTTTCCTACCTATACTAGATAAGGAAAGTATTGCAATCGGGTCAAATTTCCGACATGCGGTTTTCGTCGGATCTATACGTTTCACAGCCACCTGAGTCCGAAAAACACATTTTTAGCCATTGGTCTGTCTATGCCAGGGTCTGTCTGTCTGTGCCAAGATTTTCTCGGGAACCTGAGTCTGATGAAATTCTCTACAAAGCCATATAAAAATCGTTCATTTTGGACAACTATTAACGAAGTTACAGCTATTTAATTCCCAATGAACGATTACGTGTTCATTTCCTGGTGTCAGAAAGGGGTGAATGAGAGAATAAAGATGACTAAGTGAAAATTAAGAAAGTCTGTAGCCCGCATCACACAACCTTCACTATTTCCTCTACTTTTAACAGAAATTATTGTTTGACAATACTAAGCTATGGCAAAAAGTTTTTGATCAGCAATATTAGTGAGCGTTGAATTTTTTACACTGATCTACCTTAAGCCGGTTTCATTGCCTTTATCAAATAAATCGTACTCAAATCTTTTGTTTGATCAATTTTCAGGAAAATAAATTTAGTTCAATTCTTTTTTGTTTCTTCATGAACATATGCAAAGATATAAAAACTTTTCTGAAATAGGTAGGAAAGTCATGTGAGTGGAGACAACAGATTAATATTAATGTGTAATATTATCTGTAAAATGTACGTACCAAAATTCGTCTAGAAGCTCCCCAGGCATGAATCCTGCCATTTCTATCTTCACCATTTGCATTCCATACGCTGGAACTAGGCCTTTTTTCGGTGTTGCTAACAGGTCTAACTTATTGGTTCCGAAATCCACACAGAATTTGGCAGAGCAGCTCCCGCTGTTCGTGAGGACCAGGTATTGAGCAACAAATCGACATCCTAGATCGATAATACCAAAGTTCAGTCGGAGTGGAGACACCGACAGATACGACTGTCCCCTCTTCCTACAAGCGTCGGGGACATAATAAGTGTAAAGAAACTTCTATAAAAAGGTTTGATCAGATTGATATATTAATTAATTTATATATATATACCTACACGTTGATTGGTATATCAAAATAATATTTATAGTCTACAACGAAAGGTAACTTAGATTCGTGGGAAAAGTCATGAGCATATATGTAAGTAAGGTTTCTTGACGCAGACAGACCAGGTGAGAGGAATATCGGTGTGCTGTCATCATCTAATTGGAACACCTGTGCGGGAATCGGAGAAATAATTAGTGTTCAACCAATAGAATACAAGCTGAGTCGAGAGGAACGGGGCAAACTCTAGAAGTGGATTGTATATAGGAAAATAATGAGGAAAAAACATATGTTCTAAGCTGATTTGCACCTGTATAAAATGTTTGTGCCTTTTGTTTATTGTCTAATAACAAATAAACAATATTTCATGCATTTATTTAAATTTCGGTATTACCACTATGATTTTGTTTACAACATATTGTAAACAAGTTGCAATCAGATTAGAACATATGTTAATTTTTTTATTCATGATATTTACAATTGTATTAAAGAATAAAATTTCATCAAGTAAATTTGAAGAAATCAATATGATGATATGAAAACTCAGATGTTCAGTTAAGAAACTACCCATGGGTAGCACTCTAATGACTTGTTATCATTAGGATATCACTGGGCCGTCTTATTTGCAGACGCTTCGAATGAATCTATGTGGAAACAAGGTTAGAAACGAGAGGTTTCGGATGGTTCTGAAGTTTATTATGGAAGGATAGGTATCTGGATTGGAAAAAATTGGACATAAGCAACATTAAGGTCGTTGTGGATGATTTTACTTTAAACAAAGTAAGGAGTATTGAGGATTTTACGAAGGATTTTGGATGAGAAGAATTCGATGGTTTAAAGTTACCCCCAAAGCGCAATTCCAGAAGCCTAAATACGCCTTATATATGAGTCCTTTGTAATTAATTGGAAGTTTAAAGCGTTTGTCCAATAAGTGTTAAAGTGACTACTTCAATGATGGACACGTCGAGTGTTTCAGTCTGGTATGAGGATTTCAAGTTTGTCCAGATGGAGTCGTAGGTATTGGATTTTTCAACATGGATAAGTGGGGTATTGATAAAGGATTCTGCAGGGCAGAAAATCATAAGTTTACGACGAAGGATAAAGGTAATTTGATGGAATTTATATTCACTCTCCAGTTTTGACACCATTCTTCAAGGTTTGTGATGAGTGATTGCAGAGTTTTGGATGCAATTGATAGGATACATGAGTCATCGCCATACGTGGTAAGAACAATGTTGGGATGCTTGTAGAATTTACACTGTAAAGGGCAGGGCCTAGGATACCACCTTGAGGAACACCAACCAGCAGACTAGGAAAAGAGGGATGAATAGGCATTATTGTGGTTTACTGTGATGCGCCTATCAGTTAGGTAGGAACGGGTAATAAGAACGTAAAAAATACTCGATCGAAATCCTATTATAGGTTTATAAATGATTCACCGCAATGATTTAATCAATTATTTTAATGTTTACAAGTCTTATAAATGCCTAAAACCTATTCGCATAGAGAATATTCAAATATGTTTTTTTTTTTTTTTTTCGCAATAGGAATATTACAGCTGCTGTCTGAGGGATATCTTCATTTTCTTCCCTAACTACTATTTCTATCGTACAGTTTTTATAGTTGTACCGCTGCAAAAACTTTAAACAAACAACTCTATGTGAACGGGCTGTTTGGCATTTTCTAAGACACTGGTACAAATAACATATGTTTTAATCTGATTTTAACTTGTTTGTAGATATTCGTTGTAAACATCATAAAGGGAACCCTACACAGTCAATCGGAATTGCACTAATGACGTTCCGAATTGTCGTGTAAGGTAGTGAATGAAGTACTGATTATGGTGCGCTGCGGATTTCCGAACATCCGGAAATCAAAGGTTCATTCACGAGAAGTGATAGGTTAGGTTAGGTTTTCTATGAGACTAACCTTACTACTAGATAGGTTAGTTTACCTAAGTCTCGTTATTAAGTAAATTTCATAAAAGTAAATAGTTGTTTATATTATTATGTTATTATTAACCTAGTCTATGTTATTATTAACCATTTTCAACTATTTTTTCTTTAAAAAGTCAAGTAGACAATAAATTGGAGAGAAAAAAAAGTGGAAACTTCACATAAGTAATGATCAGTAATGATTGAACGTGTAAGGGTCTTCATGATCAAAGCGATAGCGGGCAATCTTGGAACTTCTTGTGACGTTCATTCATGAATTACCGTGTAGGGTCCCCTTAATCATAATGCTAGTTCCGCAATTTTCATACACGTATAAAATATCTTTTATTTGGAATCAACCAATAAAATTTAAACAAATGAAAATCAGATAAGAACATATTATTTTCCTGTGTGAAAGTCATTCCTGGAGTTTTGCCTGTTCCGCTCGACTCACGCTGTTTATTTATATGAATTAATATATTTAAATATACAATAAAAGTTAACCCAAGAATATGGTTTCAATATTTTCAACTTCAGATTTCGTCTTCCTCTGTTGTGAAAAGTTATTTTCTGGGTGAAACATTCTTCACCAGGAAAAAAATCACCAAATTCTATGGATGGTGGTTCAATTACCAAACCAATTTTCTCGTATCCTCTCTCCATCTGAAATTTAACAAAGCGCGAAATGAAATGTGGAGGAAAGCCAAAAATTCATTATTTTCGCATAAAAGAACGAATAGCTCTTCTAAAATCCAAATAGTTCAAAGAATCTTGTTCAGCGTATCACACAGCATTGATTTTCTACCATCTTTTTCATTCACATCCAGTAAAAATTATTGTTTTAAAAAAAAATAAGAAACTTAAAGAACATTACTTTGACTATGAACTTTTTTTTTTTTTACTGGTCTGGGTCGATTCTTTCATTTACTTCCAAAGTAGCAACAATGTATAAAAAAAATTAATAAAAAAGTGTGTTTTAGACCAAACGATAGAAATAAAAACATCGACAAGGCTAGATTAATAATACGAAATATAATTTATAAATAATAACTCGTATAAAGGTAGTGAAATGTCTTAAAAAATAAATAAATATCCTGTACCACTACAACCCACGAAGAGTCTTGGGTTCAGTACTATTTAGGGAAAGTACTGTTTCAAGGCCAGCGGTTGTGTAGGGAGGGGATCAGGCCAGGATCACGCTCAAGCGCCAGGTTTTTCCCCTTAATCAATTATTTAATTGAAGGTACCCACTTTGTACAGGTTGGGTCTCCCTATCCCTGGGTCGCCTCACGGCCAATGAAACAGAATAAATATTTTTTCTGCCATGGAAAGCTTTAAAAGAAGCTTTTCTTAATAAAAAGGAAAAAGCTGCAGATATCAGGCCAAGGAGCTTGTCACAATTGGACCGTTCACATTGGAAAGTGTTCAAATGTTTCAAATCTCTTGAGACCGACCAACAAATAAGAATTTTTATTTCTAAATCCTTATCAGTACTTAAGGAACAATAACAGATTCGACTTTTTTTTCCTGCGCTTTTCCCACAGAGCTCTTATTAACAACATCAATGGTTCACAATTTATATTTTATTTCATTCCCTCTTGGATTATAAATTATAATTAATGCAGACATACAAAAATTGCAAACGTTTATCTGAAATATAATATAATTTCTAAAATATTTGCGTAATTGAAAACAGTTTTCGATTGATATCTGAAAATCACGATTGGCCAGTCGGATAGTACTAAACTCGATGTTCTTATTCAATATAATTTATTGATGAAGAGTATAATGTTGCGCAAAGAAAGGCAAATTTGAGTATCGAGTACCAAGTAATTTACTCAAATTTAATCACTATTGGGAATTCAATCACTACTTCAGTTAATCGTTTGACATCAACTGAAATATTAATTAAATTCTTTGGTACTCATAAAAATTCAGCATTTGAGTAAAATACTTGGTACTCAGTACTCAGAGTGGTATTTTTCCATTCCTGATGTTGAGACGGTAATTTATTAATACTCCAATATTGGAATAATATACAGGTGCGTTTAGGCATTTCAAAAACTATGGGAAACACCATTATTAAACTTACCTAATACTGAAATTAGCTCCATTTCTCGTGTTACCGACATCTGATAAAATAAATCAAAAACACTAGCATAGGGAAATAAGCATTTAAATATTTTGTTTCCCATAGTTAGCAGAATGTCTAAACCCACCTAACAAGACTCCAGGCATCAAGACAAAATGTAAACGCTTCATTATTCATTTCACGAATTTCATCAAGCATGGTTAAAAAAGATTCCACGATGTTAGGTATAATTAAAATACATTAATCATGGATAGGACATAATCCTTATCACAACAACCTATTACAAATTTTGCTGATTATTGAATATAATTTTCCAAGATATTCGAAGTTTTATTCTATAATTTACAAACAGGATTTATGAAAGGAATAAGTTTACTGATTCAGGGGTGCCCCTCCCCACCTCCCCACTAGATCGATGGCGCATAACCTTCCCCCTCCAAGATATTTTATTGCTCTCCCCTTCTTAAAAACATTAAAAATAAAAGTACCGTAAATTATAAACAATTATACTTCCTAAGATTTGTTACACGTACTCCCTTTGTATCTTTGTGTGAAACTATTCAATCCGGAAATATATAAATCCGTCAAAATGTGCCCCCTCAAAGATTCAGAATCCCGTCAAAATGTGCTCCCCTCAAAAATTGTGAGCCATGAACCCCCTTTGTGGGCACCCCTGCACTGATTATTATAGCAATATTAATCTTACAATTTTTAACATATAACATACCTTAGGCTTAGATATGTATTAACTTGTCCGTTTTAATTATTTAAATTAATGAATATGTAAACAAACCTATCAGTACAGGTTATAAATAATCAAACTGATAAGAAAAACACATGATTATGTTAGGATTTTTTATTTGGATAACACCAAACTATATTATCTGTCTGATATAAATTATATACCTAGTTCTGCCTGAATACTACTACAAAAGTTGAACAGTTTATATCCTTGGGTATTCTTTAGATAATCCTCACCTCTATCAGGTTATTTTCTTTACATGTCAGGATAATAATCCCAATTAGTTTGTATTTTTCTACCGCTCAGTTGACATGGAGTGGGGTGATAAAGAAAACAGAATAGTTGTGATCGCCTTACACAAAGTTGGAAAATGTAGGTCAGAGATTTTCAACACTTTGAAACCTTTGGGTATCAGCCGTATGTTCGAGTACCGCACTATAAATAGATATAATGAGACCCTATCTCTGTATGACAGATCTCGACCGGTCCTTCCCCGCACTGTGAGAACGGCAAAAATATGGAAGAAATCCTATTCGAAAACAACAAATCATGTCTTATGAAATGGGAATCTCTTTCAGATCAATGTCTCGCATAATAAAAAGTGACCTTAGGATGGGTACATTTCGAAGAATGGCAGGACAAAGGCTAGCCACTTCTCTAAAAAAAATTAGAGCTAATAGATGCAAAGTGCTCCTTGGCCGTTACACCAATGGTCTTCATCGAAAGATTTTGTTTAATGATGTGAAAATTTTTACAATTGAAGAAATATTTAATCGCCAAAATGATCGTGTGTACGCACACAGCTCTAAAGAAGCCCAGGAAGTCATTAGAAGTATGGAAAGAGGTCATCACCCTTCCTTAGTGATGGTTTGCTGAGGAGTTTGCTTTGATGGCACCACAAAGCACCATTTTTTTTTTTTGTGAAAAAGGAGTTAAAACAGCTGCTAAAAACTATCAGGACGATATTTTGTAACCTTTTTTCAATCCTCTAAATGATACTCTGTTTGCTGGAATTCATTGGGCTTTACAGCAGGATTCCGCTCCAGCTCACAAGGCCAAGTCAAGTAAGCAGTGGCTGCAAAAGAACATTCCAGGGTTCATCTCTGCCTCGGATTGGCCCTCAGGAAGCCCTGATCTCAACCCACTAGATTATCGGCTTTGGTCCGAACTGGAGAGGATGGCATGCCACAGAGCATATCCTAACATGGAAAGCCTCGAACAATCTCTGGTCCTAGCAGTTGAACGCTTTCCTCAAGAAGTGCTGCGTGCTGCTATTGAAGACTGCCCACGGAGATTAAATGCCTGTGTCAAGGCAAATGGGAGACATTTTGAGTAATTTCTTATTTGTTTTACTCTCTATAGATATACATTTTATTTTCTAATAAAGTTTATGAAACAATTAATTTTTCTGTTGAAATCTATATATTTCCTTGTAACAATATTTATGACAGGACTAGGTATAATAAAGTACTATGAATCCCTTTTTTGGCTCTCAGAGGCTTTGAATTTTCAATTTGACGGATACCAACTGACAATTGACAATAGATACCAAGTGACAAGTGACGGATACCAATTTCGAATTTTAAATTCCAACAACTTTAATAAAAGTTTTAGAAAAAAATGGGAGGTTTTAAAACACAGATAGTTCCAAAAATCGAAAGATCGGGACGAGATAAATTTGAAACATACCAGACCCTGTGTTCTAAAGCAGAGATAAATTATAATTCTTAGCTGATAACGTTGCCATATAGCATGTTTACGTTTTAAAAATGAAAAAGTTGCAATTTATAATATTTCATTGCAAAGGTAAATGGAGAAGTAAAGCTACATGATCTCTTGGATACTTCAGATGACACTTAAAATGAAAGTTTTTGATATTTTAGTTTATTACTTTCAATAATCAACCTTTGTAATCGCACAAGAAAAAAGAAAAAAATAGTTAATTCCCTCTCGAAATTTGAGGTTCTACATTTTAAAATACGTGGAATCCGAAAATCGAATAAAAAAAAAGAACGTGTGTACGCGGCTTTTTTGGATTGATTTTTTAAAAATGTGGTATCAACATCGAAGTGGTACATGATCCTCGGAACTCGGCATTACCACCCCCTTTTTCTAACAAGATGGCGGCCGAAAAACATGTGTTGCTGTACAGTGACTTAATTAAGTCTTATAAAGTTACTGTTGGTTAAACCACCTCCCCTTTATGTAACTAACCCTTATTTAAACGTTGAATATTGAGTATAGCATCTAAACCCATGTAGCGATTTTAATGGAACTTGGCTAAAGTCTTCTTCTTCGAAGCTCTTTAAACTTATGTATATAACATACTTCACCAAAAAAAAGCTTGGGAAAAAGTTATAAAGGGTTATAAATTAGATTTCTGAACAACTCAAAAGTATAAAAGCATCATTGCCACCATAGGATAAGTTGTTCTAAACATTTTACCACATGCTCTACAGCAAAGTTTTTCTGTATATATATATCCTTTGTTTTGCTTTTCGATTTTTAGGAAATCTTACAACTGAAACAATCGAGATTGTAGTCTATATATCTTAAAAATTACTGATGATGAAAGAAAAATTATTTAGGCTATTAGGAATTACCTTTTATTTATTTCCTTCTATGTGACAAGAAAGGTACTGTTACATCTGATATAAACTGCTTGGAAATAATAAACTATTATTTAATAACTAGTAGGCCCGTGTGAAAAATTCGCACAGCATATTGTTTTCAAATGCCTAATTATTAGGAATAAGATCAAAAGATAAAAAAATCAATTGTTACTTTATTGATAAATATAAATGACAAAGGAAACAAAAATTATTTTAAATCTTCATTAATGTTTGGAACCAACATATTTACAAATTTCAATAAGCTGTATCTTTGCTAAAAATTGTTCGCTTTCAATGATTTTTTTTTTCCTTTGTAGGGAATTTAGTAATCTTTTATATCATCATGGGCATAACCAAGGGAAAAGTGTGTAATTTTTTAGTTATTCGCAAATAAAGTGTGTTTTCTTACATAACTTGTTTGGCTGAATTTTCGGGTTGATTGGACTATTTTGCCCGCCTGAAGTAGAAGGAAGCCTTCGAAATTGGTGGCTCAATCTTGAGATTTGGTGAAAAATTAACGACGATATGGCTTGCCGATCAAAAACACCATCGATAAATAATATAAACTCCTCCTCTCTCGATCATAGAGACCTCAAATCGATGAAATGAGAAATGTATTCAAAGACAGTAGCACAATTAATGTTAAGGCTGTGTGGATGCGAACCCTATGCCTTGCATTATCTCAAAAATAGTACGTTTTTGGGCTTAAAAAGGCACGATCCGATAGTTCCTCCGGAGGGACTATCTGGGTCTTGCTGTACGCATCAAAATCTTCGAGATCCAATTTGTCCCGTATCGATCTACAGACCTACCACCGTTCCAGTATTGAAGCCTAGCAAAATGTTTGTATCGACTTAATTTATTTTAGAAAGAAAAACAAAAGTGGAAAATACGATTCGCTAACCCCCGTGAAATTCTGAATCCAACAGTACCCCATTCATGGTATTTGAGTATGACAGGAGCTTATATTTGGTACAAAACCAATTTTGAGCCTTACTGCAATAATATATGTGGGATTTTTAGCGTTTTTATAATTGAAAAAATCTGTTGTGCGTATCACATGACTTTTATTTACTGCTCTACTTTGAACAGGAATTATTTTCTGGCAAAAGTGGGCTATTAAAAACAGTGTTTGAAGTGCACTTTTAATGGAGCTAAACTTTAAAGAATACATTTAATATATATAATTGTTATGATTTTTTATTATATTTATCAATACAAAAATTCATTAAGACCATCAAAATTACACAAACCCTACTTGTTATATCGAGGATAGGCAATCAAAATCTCATAACTTAAGTCAGTCTTTATTTATAAAAACAGAACTTTAAATACCTTTATAAGACCTAAATTTCCATCACATTTTACATGCATTCAACTATAATTTTTTTCTTGTAAAATTTACCAAACTAGAGTTATGAGCTTTTCATTGATACAATAAATTTAGTCTAACTAATTGTAAGTGGGTAATATTGTTATTTCACAGATGGAAAAATTGTTTATTTTAAAAAATCATATTGTTCATCAAATGGACTGAAATACATAAATAATTGAAAATAATTGGTTATAATAATCAATATTGTAACATTCAAATTTAATTTTTAATGAAATTAAAATATTTAAAAAATAAAATATGTTAATTCAAAGCAACTGTAAGGTCGCATAATGGAATTCAGTGCATGAGCAGCTCAGCTCTATACGTTTATGAAAGTTCTATACAGTTGATTGTATAACACTGCATATAGGATCCAGCACATGGATTGGCGATCCTTTTCTTTAACAGACAAGAGGTGATCTTCGCTGATTTCAATAAGCAGCAGATTTAATTGGAATTATAATATTGACTAGACAATATTTTTTTATATATATTTTATATATTTCACAATTAAATGAATAAATTTAAAGAAAACAATAACATATTTTTCATTATTTTATTAATAAATATAATCAATATGTTAATAATTTATTTTTATCTTTTAAATACAAATTTATTTGACACCTCAATAAACTATACCATTTTATCTTGAAGTGATTTTGAATAATTATATATTTTCTAACAATGTATATACATTAAAAAATAATGACACTCTTTTTTTTTTCTAACTCTTACTCATTTTTGTTTTGGGTAACATAAATATTTTTGTAATCAAATTTGAACCCGTGCATGAGTCGCAAGTTATGAGAGACAAAATTAATTACGCTCTCTAGAATTACTGAGATTCTTAAACAGATTAATTATTCCCATTCCTTCTTAATCCTTTCATAATCCTCTTCTGAAATAAACGGTTTGTCGATCAATCTGAAACATAAAATTAAATTAACATAAAAGGATAAATGTAAACATATAAAATTAAAATAATACTCCTTATACATACTGCGACAAGTCCCTTTAGAATAAAAAAGGACTGTGCATTAATAAAATCTATCTACTGTGGTGTGTGAATCACACAACTTTCACTTATCAGCCTTTTTTAGTAGAAATAAGTTTTCAGACAAAGGGAAAAGAAAGTAAAAATTACATACGGTTAGAAATATTATTTAATACAATTTATTACCATATGTTTTTCATTGCCATTTAATGTATTATATTTATGTTTTTTTTTTATTAATCATTTCCTTTTATGACTGTTTATTTTAATTATTTATTTTATTATAATAAAATATTTTTATTCCGACAAGAGTATCACTGACAAAGAAGACCACTATATTTCATTAAAGACATTTTTATTTTTATAAGCATTGGTATATATAAAAAATTTTAATTTTTATATTGCTGTAATCTAAAAAATGATTAACTCCCTTGAGAACAGAGAAGTAATCCACACATCAAAGACAGATGATACTGTAAAATATTTAGGATGCATGTTCTTGGGAGAGCTAGTGATGAATGAGGAAACGTTGAAAAAATTTAACGTCAACTTGGATAAACTCATGAGCTCTTGTCTTCTTAAACTGAAACAAAAGATCAATGCTGTCAATCAATATGTGTTCCCGAGACTTACCTACCCTCTCCAGACAGCGCCTCTTACAAAGATACATCCTGCATTATTGGAGGGAATTGATGTAAATATCTGCAGGAGTATCAAGGCTATCATAGGACTCTCCGATAATACATCATCGGCGATGTTATATGCACCAAGGAGGTATCAAGGATTGGGACTGACCACTGTCAATGGGAGGGTCCTTTGCAACATTGGTCCATTGCCCAGTGACTGTCCAAGGTACCGGATGTCCTGTTCCGGTCCACATTTGATTATAACGCTGAAATCGCCGAATGTGCGGAGAGATTGGGTGTTGATCAAGGCCAAGGCGAGGTCTATTGTATCGATAGAGATGGCTCAATGAGATATGTGGATATAGTTGCATCCTCCAAGACCGGAAAGACGGCACTGGGCTTGGATCCAACTGTTCGCTTTGAGAGCAATGACCTCGATCAAGCCAATGAAGGAGAAAAAGAAAATATACGATAAATGTATTCCTTTCCAAAAAGGAAAATTCCACGAGACCTTCAGAGAGAGAGAGAGTTCACCGTGAGAGGCCTCTGGTTTAGGTCTCGTGGAAGGATTCCTAAAAGAACAGGGAGTTTCTTCGAGGAACTAGGTGTTGATGTCGGGGAGCTTGCAGTGTTGGCCGAGAGCATTATTCTAGACTCCCTTGGGATCATTCATCAATAAAGTAATAAGGGATTAATTGGAGATATTTATTAATTTTTTTCTTTATTCAATTTTAAATATTTTATCTAATCATATCCTTTTGTCTGTGTTCATTGGATTATGTTACTTAGTATGTGCATATGTGTGTTCTAATTTTTTAATTTTGGCATTCGAACATCTTTTTTTTTTATATATATAAATTTCTGAGTTTATGTTGTATAAGCTACTGCAGCACTTACTAGACAAACGCTCTAAATTGCCAACTATTTACAACAGACTCATATATATTACTATAATAAGGGCTATTTGGACTTAGGGGATCGAGCTTTGGGGCTCTACTAAACCATCAAATTCCTCTCGGATCCAATCCCTATAATCCAAAATCCTTGGTAAAATCCTCAATGCTCCCTACTTTGTCACAAATAAAATCATCCATAACGACCTTAATGTACCATATGTGACCGATTTAGCTCAATCCAACTATCTTTCCATAATAAACATCTGAACCATCCGAACCCTCTTGTTTCCAACCTTGCTTTCTAGAAAAGAAATTCCTGAGAAACCTCAGAGGCATCTGAAAAGAAGATGGCCTCGGGACCTTCTAATATACAAATATAATTGAGTGCTACCAATGGGTAGTTTTCTCTTCTTGTTATAAATGCATGTTACTTGTTTCATATTTATGTGTTGTATTTATCATTTATACAGTTGTAAATTTCAATAATATAAAAAATATAAATAAATTTTAAAAAATGTTGTATAGGTGTCACCAAAATATGTATATTGTATAATAATGATTATGTTATTATGATGAGTGATATGGAAAAGGAGGAAAAGACTTGTATATATATATATATATATATATGTGTGTGTGTGTGTGTGTGTGTGTGTATGATTCATATATAGATAAATATAAATGTATGATTCAAGTATAATTAAGTGCTATGTCCAAAAAAGGATTGATGAGTCTACTGTGTATCGTGCAATCCTATATAGTAGGGCAGCACTGCTTTAAATAAAGTATTTCTTTCTCTCTCTAACAACTCTAGCATTTATGTAAGTAAAAGTAAGTAGGTAAGTGAAAGTAAAAATAGTGACAACAAATTTTTGCTGAGAGTTCGTTTAAAGTTAAAAAAACAAAACTAAAACAAAACATTGATTCTACAAAAATTAAATTTTGAACTATGATAACTCAGCAAAACTTACTCAATCATTAGATCTCCACAAAAGAGGCACTGGTGAGCAAGAATAGAATCTATTTCCAATCTCGTTTTCTCTTTTTCAGTTTCAGTTAGATTTGATTCCAGATGTTTCTAAAAGCATAAATACACATGTTTTTCAATTTTACGGTCAATAATAAAAGCAAAATAAAACATTATATTAATTATAAATATAGTTTTTGTTTAAAAACGATAGTTTCTGTTGGGCTAACTGAATGTAATTAACTGCAGAAGCTTCATCACTCTCTGTAATTATGTAATAGTTCATGAAGAGCCTAAAAGCAAGCACCAGTAGAGGTCTCCTGTTGGGTTTTCGCTGATTAGCCACATCAGTAATTTTCAAACAAGAAAAGTATCTGTTACAGAAAAGTATCAGTTATATTTAAATTGACGTTGTTATTCTTCTATTATCTAAACATATGTTAACAGGTTCATTTAATTAGCAAAATGAACTGCTTTAGGTTATACTCCAGTTTGAATAACGATAAGAGGGAAGCCTTTAAGTTTTATCAGGAAGCGCAGACCATTTTGTGGGATTTGGTTATTTGGACTCATGGGACCTCAATACGTGTATATCTGTTGAAAAATCAGATTAAAAATTTTCACGATCAAGATACTTTTCCTTACTATATATGACATAGGTGAAAGTAAAAAATTATAATTTTGTTGCTTACATGAAACAAGGTCCAACTGCAAATTTCTACATAATACAATCCTGGAGGAACTGTAAAAATTAGCAATTAACCATTGATTGACACATTTTATCTAGTGGAGAAGATGGATTCCATCAAAACAGAAATGACTAGGTAACTGAAGAATCTTCAGGAACAGGAAGCAGAGGAAACTATGACAGTTTACTGCATCTCAGAGGGAGAGAGATAAATTAAAGAGTATAATAATAATACTCAATTACCTCATTAAATGCTATGTTTTTGTTTCTCATTTTTATTTGGACTTTTCTGACAACCTACAAACATATTTCAGGAAAATGAGAATGCTGTGAGAGAACCGTTTTTATCTCTTAGTAAAAAAATAAGGCTCAAAAACATAATTTAACAATCGTATCGAGTAGAGAAAACACAAAGGTATTACATTTAAATAGTGAAAGTATTGATAATATAAATATATTTTGAAAAGAAAAATGATACTAAAAGGAAAAATCTCAAACTATTATAATCCTTTAAATAAAACATTCTATCAAAGATTCCATACCAAAGTACAAATATAAAAAAATTTACCTTTAAAAATTCCAAGACATTTTTCTTTTTTTCTGGGAGTAGTTGCATAATTTCAGTCATGAGACAGTCACTATGGAAACGGTGACCACAGGGAAATGAATAAAAAGGCCTTAACAGCAATTGGATATCACAAATACAGCAAAGATCTGACGACAGGATAACAGAATACCTAATACAAAATTTTAAATTTTAGTAAAATTTCAAATATTTTTTTTATATGTTTTGATAGGTTTAAAAGCCATGAAAAATATTTTATTAATTAATTTTTTTTTTTACAAATAAAAAACCAAGTCGAAGAACATGTTACATAAAGATAAATCTGAATATGACAAAACTTTAATTCAATTTATTAATTAAGTGAATTAACTTATTCTTATACTAAGCTGGAACATCAACTTTTGAATTTCTGAAAATTAACAACAAATTTAAGATTTTGGATACTAAACAATGTGCTTGTCGAACCCTCCATTCATGAGACACATTTACTTTGATTAAGTACAACAATTGTTAGGAGTATTGCCTAACTGAAATATTGCTATATTTCAATTGATCAAAACAGAGTACTTCACTTTTAAAATTCCGAATATTCATTCGAGTTGTTCAGAGCAAATAACCCTTCCATTTCAACCTTTCCATTCCACTAGTTCAAAGTGGAAAACACACTGTTTTCGGTAAAGATTTTTTTAAAAATATCTTTTTCAATGTTAGTTACAGTGTGTGGGATAGTTTAGTAAATAAGGCACAGTGATCAAGTGGGTTCGGCTGTGGGAGATTACTATTTGTTATGTTTCACCAGTCGTGGATCGACCCTACGGTTGGCAGACCTTCCTGGGGTAAACACAGCTTCTATTAGTTAAGTACCTTTAATTAATTAATTAAGGAGAAAAACCTGACGGTTGAGTGTAATCTCGGCCCGATCACCTCCTTAACAATAGTTAGCCTTGAAACAGTAGTTACAAGCAAAGTACTGAACCCAAGGGTGTTTGTGTCTCGGTACAAGTACTTTCTCTACCTTTAACAGTTTGACAGATCTACGTGTGTGATACTTTTTGTTACTTAGTTATAGTTCAAACTTTCACACGAAATTTCGTACTCATTTTCCTCTCAAGTTTTATCATTATATATGAATATTATCGACTATTACTTCTTAATATTGAAACAGAGGCTCAATATAAAGCAATTTTTAAACGACCAGGTAGAAAGAAGTATACAAAATATTGTTCCAAGCTAAGATCTCTATCTTTTCTAAAATGTCACAAAACATGTTCATCAACTGGGCTCTTCAAATATTGAGTATATTAGAATGATATAATAATATTGAATATCTAATATTCTATATTAAATAACCACTAAACATTTTACATCTGGATTAAAGCTTTAAAAACAGTTCATTCTTTAAGTAATTACCAAGATATTGCATCACTTACTTGCTTCTGAAAGTTTGGATTTCATTCCGGATGTCTTCAGCAGATTTTGTAGCATCTTCCATATCTTCTTTTAAACCTTGTATGTGTTGATTGTATTCCTAACAAAAATTGTATTAAAACTGTAAATATTAATCTAATCATAGTAATTAAAATCATAATGCTTATAATGATAGAATCAACTCCACAATCCAATAATATGGTTTAATTCAAACCACACTCCTATATTTCTCAACTTAATTTATTATTCCGTTTAAAGTAGCAACGCTGAACCAACCAAAGGTCCTTACAATTATAACAAGACTAACATACCCCTCCGAAAATTATATCACATTTCTAATAAATTAAAGTATTTTGGACTGAACACTCCAACCAGCTTCTCTTAAATAAATAAATTAAATTGAATGGAAATCAAAAACCAAAATAAATTTAATATTAACATTTATCTGTCAAGAATAAGGTGATAAATCTAAGCAAACCCAAAGAATAAAACTCTTTCTCAAACATAATTTAGTTTGTAATACTCAACATCACAAGCAATTAATAAGAAAAAGTGGCACATTAAAATTAGTAAATAAACAAATCCTGATTAATTCTAAAACATAAAGTCCTACAAACATTTTACATTAGTAAGAAGAGATTTAGAAAAATGAACAAAGAGAAGCTGTTTCCATTTTACCTGAAGAGACGAACAGATAGCATCTTTAAAATGATCTATCGTAACAAAGTCTGGAAAGAAGGGCAGTATATCTTCTATCTTCAGATCTGATTGGCTAAAAAACTGCATAGCTTGAGATATGTTATTCTGCTCCTCCACTACATGTTTTGCTGAAAGATTATAAGAGGATGTCAGTTTAAGCCTGCTCTAATATCACTTATTGTGAGGAAACATTTAATTTAGTAAATTTTTCTAGACAAAGTATGCAGCAGTAATTTTTAGAATTTACTTTCTCAATTAAAATGTAAACTTATAATAGTTATTGAAAGGTGAAATGAAGACTAAATAACACAAACCTATCTTAAGCCACAGCTTCCTGGATGACTGGAGCTGAGATACAGTCTGCACGGCCAGCTGTACACTGACAGACAGCGCTAACTCTACAGCCGATTCCCATAACCCCAGCATTGAAGACAGTTTGACACATGCTTCTCGTCTATCATACTGCTTGCATACTCTGAATGCATATCTGATATCATAGTTTACCATACTTTTTTCTTCACCTGAAAGATAAATAAATGAATAATAAATATTTTTAACAATAAAATTTTCAATTTTCAAAATAGTTTTTAAATTACCTTGTATAGCTAAATAAATCATTAATTTCTCAGGTTTGTACTGAGCAAGAAGTGTCAGGAAAAAATTATGCACAGCTTGTTCTTGAGTAAGCAGATCATTTGTGCAATATTCTAAATATCTGATGACCTCTTCAGGCTAAAAAATAAAATAATTAAGTTTTTTTAAATATGTTGTGAATTTATTTATCAATAATTTGAATTTAAATTTCTCGCAAAGTTGTAATGTGTTGAAATAAGAGGTTTACGAGGGTGGTCTGAAAAGTTTCTGACCACAAAATGAAGATGGCAGCATTCATAAATAAAATCAAGTGAGTTTTGTTGTTTATCCATTGACAGTTACCCACCTAAGTTTCAGCCATTTTGGATGCACAATTTTTATGTAACAGTCATTTGAGTGAGTTGATGTGAGTTTTTTTGTGAAAATGGACAAAATCGAGTATCGAGCTGTCATTAAATATTTGTTTTTGAAAGGCAATATGCCTACACAAATCAAAGGTGTGTTGGATTCTATGAATGGGGACTCTGCACCATCATTTACCACAGTGAAATTTTGGACAGCTTTATTTAAATGTGGGCATAAGAGCTTGGGAGATGATGAACGTTCGAAACTTCCAAAAACTGCAACTACCGACGAAAACATCACCAAAGTTCACCAAATGGTGCTAGACGAACGCTAAATTAAAGTGAGAGAGATAGCAGAGGTTATGAACATGTCAAAAGAACGTATTTGTTACTTATTAAATCAACATTTAGAAATGAGAAAGCTGTCCGCACCTTGGGTGCCACGTTTGCTGATGTTAGACCAAAAATGTGTTTGAATGAACATTTCTGAATTTTTTTCATTTTGTATTCCAAGAATATCTCTACAAAATTAATTATTTACTCTATATGGTATTCTATATGGTCAATGACTTTTTATTTCAGAACTGATGAACCATTTTTTAAATATTTGCTCATCAAGAAAAATAAATTAGCATAAAAAAAATTAATTAATTAAATGACTTTGATAAAATTGATACTGGATGATCATTCATTAGTACATACAAGTCCCCAATATTGGCCCAACTTGAATGAACTGTTAATCAAATATCGGTGAGTTATAATGATGACGTTATGGTAAGAATTATTAATCATAATCAAAATCATTTTTAAAATCATGATTTTAGCATCACTATTTACCTGACTATTTTCAGCTGCAACTAATGCAGGAAGAAGTTGACGAGGATCTAGAGGCTTTCTTAGGCACCTTATCGCAGACAGCATTGCTTTAGTTTCAGTGTCTATTATTTCAGGGGCAAACGTGTACCAAAGATTTGCGTCTGACTGTTCTTTTAAAGTATCTAAAGCTACAAAAGAAGAATACTTTATAAATAAAAGTAAATAAAGAAACAATCCCATGCACTCAATTACTAAGACGTATCACTGTACAAATATTTTACATTTACCAAATATACTCATATAAAATGCAATAAAGCTAAAAACAGCATCAATACAATGATTCTCAACCATCATAAAAAAAATCCTCCGGTACAAAACCGTCATACCTCCATTAATAACATATTCTACTAGAGCTACAGCTGTCACTACAATTATAGAAAAATAGAGGTAATTCGAAACTACTCCATACACCAGAATTGCAAATATGTTTTCTGATTTACACCTCTAAACAGTAAAAACGATATAACCCATTTTCATTTTTTTCTTTCAAAGGCACTACTGCTTGATTCTAAACTAATCAGAGTCTACATCTCTGAAGCAGGGGTTAATACCGGTCTTATAAAGACATAGTGTTTTATAAAGACGGTACTTCATCTGAACAAACAAGGCCTTAAAGCAAAGGTGCTTTCTGAGGCCAAAATATAAATATAACCACCTATTTATTATAGCTGCTTATGGGGATCCAGGCCATGGGGCATAGTTTTAATTTTTTTTTGTCATGTAAGTAGTGGTCCAGGTGGCTAAAAAATGATATTCCGTAGGCGAGAGGTCCGGAGAGTAGAGCAGATATGGCAGAGTTTCATATCCAAGCTCCAACAGTTTTTGTTATGTCACACGAGAGACTTGTGGCCGGGCGTTTTCATGCAACAAAATGGGATCCTTCCAATTGACCAAAGATGGCTTCATTAAAGCTGATTTCTGATGCATTGCATTAATTTGGTTACAATACGATTCGGCTTTGATGGTTTTTCCAGGATTTAAGAAGCAGTAGTATATAAAACCAAATCAGCGTCGACAGTCGATTTGCTAAGGTTAAGTTTCCCTGCAAGTTCTCGAAGAATTTGTTCTGGGATTTTCTTCCAACAAAGCCAGTAGAACCTTGTCATCAAGAGAGGAAGTCCTTCCTCGACCTTCTTTGTCTTCAAGGCTGAAGTCTTCTTCTCGAAATTTTTGGAAACACTGTTGAACAGTACACTCTTGCTTCCCGATGTTTGATGTTTCTGGCCGTCTGGGTCCCATTGCAGCCAAGTTTAAACTCGTAAAACAAAATTATACGAAAATCACGAGTTGACATCATAATAAAGACTAAATTATTTCTAAGCAGAGAAATGCAAACAAAGATAAACAAACATTATCGTTTGGAAGAGGATTGATAAGTGTTGACATTCATATAAATGAATAACCTAGTAAACGAAAAAAATTAGTTATACAGAAAGGTATTTTAAAGAAAACTCAAACTTCTGCATGTTTTTCTGGACAACCCAATACAATGTTGAAAAAATTTAGAAATGTTATTAATACACAATGTTATTGCATGTATTAAACGTTACTTATAAAACTTTCCTTAAAATGGTTTTTAAGTACTATGAAAGCTTGAATAAATGCTGCCGTTTTGTTTTAGCATTTCATAGTTGGACAAACATATTAAATAACTTTTAGTCCCAAAACGAATATAGCGGATGGTAGTGAGATCAACAATTATAATGAATCTTTTATAGGTATCAAAACACATTGGAAAGGAGTAAATAAAAAAATTATTTTATTCGAAAACTTTGATCTTGTTTGACTGAAAATTTTTCATTGGGAATTTCAACGTTAAATTAGAAAATCTCCACTATAATGTAACTGATTATAAGGTTCACTATAATATAACAAATCACAAGTAATAAAAAGCAATAATATAAAATATTAATCTTCATTACAAATCAATACTTGAATATTTAAGTACCTTGTAAATAGTCTCCTTTGTGGATAAAATATTCGATAACTTTCTTGTAATCTTCTGTTAACTTAGCCAATTTAACCATGTTAGATTCATCACCATGGCTAGCCATAAGATCATAAACAACTCTCTTATTGCTGCGGATGCATTTCTACAAAAAAGACATTTCCTTAAGTGATTAAATAATAATCATAAAAATGTGGTAGATTTATTAAGAAATATTTAAACAAATAAATTTAATCCTAATAATTGCTGTAGTACCCATGATGGTTATTGTTTTTTTTTTTTACATTCAGGACATGATTGGCTAAGATCTTTCAAAGTAACATACAGAATATGAATATACATAATCAAATGAATGAACGAATGAATGAAAATAATTTTATTATTCTGGAACTAGCGTCTCTTTAGAACAAGTAACAAATACAGAATTTGTATTCTGTTGTGTCCATAAAATACAATTAAATACTTATAGGATGATTAGGAATACAATAAAATTATAGATAATAAAAGATATAAAAACGTATATAAATACAAAATAAACAGAGAAAGTAAATTAAGTAAACAAAATATCAATGAATCACAAAATAAACATAGTGAAACACATTTTTACAATTTTCTCAAAAACGGCTCCAACGATTTTGATTAAACTCGGTGTATCATTGCATAATAATTAAGTGGTTTTTAATATCATTAAGATCTCATCTCCATCGATGTCACTTTACACAGCTCAAATGCCCTAGGTTTATATACGTCTTCCTCTAAAGTACCTTTAATATGGTTCATTTAAAAAAATTAACTGTCTTTTATTGACAGTAACTATGAAAAATGGCTAAATATGAAGTTCAAAAGAATATGATGATTGGCAATTGGTGAAAAAAAGAAATATGCTTATCCAGGTTGAAAATGAACCTCCGGAAATAACAGTCGGAAGCTATAAGTATGATATATTGTTGGAAAGCGGAGAATTTAAGAATAAATAATATCAAATAAATAAAGTCGTAGAAGGTAAAAGAAAGTGACGAAAAAATTATAAACAATAATTTCTGAAAACTAACATTATTTAACATAAAACACATGTTTCCAAGGAAATTAAATGAAATTTTCTTACTAAATGCAAACTTTGAAAAAAAAATTTTAAGTTTGAAAAATGACACTGTTTAAAATACTATTTCATTGTACTTGAGTGAAAGAAGAAGTGAAATAGAAAAATATTTCATGGATATGATCATAACCTTAAATACATTTACAGTAGTTAAATAACTCTAGATCAGATATTATATTTAAATAATTAGGTATCTATCGGCAGTTTATTCCAAAAAGTCATTGATGACTTTTGACACTTGAGTGTATCTTTTAGAAAATTAAATCAGTGAATAATTTTCCCTTTTTGAAATCCCAACATTATCCACTTACAATTAGTAGGACAAGTTTTGACAGGCAATGAAAATCACGTAATTTCATTTTAATAAACTTTACAATGTACATTGTAACTTACAATTAAATAACAGTTTAATAACTAATAGTCCTACAATTCATAATCATTTATAGGTTAAATATTCAGATATACTTATGTATATGTAGATAAGTATACTGTATCCAATTTTACCATAATATGGTTATCAGTGATAAATTCATCCAATTCAGCTTGAACAAGAATGTATTGATCCTCGTTCTGAAGACCCCTGATTCTCAGATTGCTCAGCTGACGCAGGATTAGTTCAAGCAACCAAAGAACGAGCATTGTCATCTGGGCTTGATCTTCGCCACGCACTTTTTTCACTTTCTGAAATTTAAAAACAAATAAGTCAATTTTTAACTTAAATAAACAATAATAGCTATAGGAAAGGTAAGGTCAGTATATTAGCAAAATAAAAGGCTACCTCTTTTAAAAAAGCCTTTAGAGCTTCTTCGATCATATATTTAGGAGCATCATCACACTTTAAAAATTCTAATGCAACTTTTTCAAACGGAGCTTGAGTATCAGCATAGCATAGAGCACTTTCTTTGAACCTATAAAAATATAAAACTAATACACACACATAAAAAAATAAATAACCATTATTGGACTGAAAGCAAACAGCAATAGAACTGTGTAATATGAAAACTTGTTAGATATTTCATCAACTTTTGACAGCTTAAAAATGACCCAATTGGCTCAAAACCTCTTACTGTCGTAAATAATTTGAACATTTTGAAGGTCAATTCATTCCTTGAAAACACTGTATTTATTTACCTATCAATTTCTGATCAACTTCAAATTAATTGTTATCCCATAACATTCCCTATCCTAAAAACTGATATTTCTCTATGAGCTTCTAAACATAAGATATCTATGTGATCTTATTGCATCAAACAATCATTAGAGTAATAACTCTATTCATATAATATTATAGTTTTTTTAGGCATAATAATATAAATTTGAACAAGTCACTAATCGGTGCCTACAAAAATAGCTACGATTAATTAATAAATAACGATATCATATCTAATAAATTAATACGAGTAAAAAATAAATGTTATAATTACTGTTTCTTTTTAAAGTAATCCTCAGCTTGCATGATAAGAACTTTATCCAAATTCTCGAGATTATCTCTGCAGAAATACTTAGCCATTTTGTAATCACCTTTATTAGCAAAAATCTGAAATATAAACAAAAATCTTTGAGAAACTATTTAAAATAAAATTAAGACAGAAAAATAAATGTAGTAAAATATTAATCGAAGGGACTAACTAGCGAGCATTGGAGTAGAAATTAATAGAAAAACAAATAAATAAAATATATATATTATATTATTTGGTGACAATTCTGGAAAATATGGAGTATATATAAAACAAAAGATATAAACTATTATATGACAATAATTAACCATACCTGCCACACATCTCTTTCTTCATTATTTATTTTATAGCGAAAAACAGCCTTTTCAGCATATACCCAAATCGTACCTTTAATCGGGTCTCTAATTATATTCAAAAGTCTTCCATGCATCTATAATTTTTTTTATAAATAAATGAGATAGCATGAAATGTAATTATAAGTAATAAATATTAAATAAAAATAAAAACCTACTTCATTGTAGTAATCAGTAAAAACCAACTGTTCAGTGAGTGATGATATAACTGAAATGTAATAAGGATAAAGAAGAAGGATATGAAAATCAGTCATCAGAAAAGCTGTTGGAGGATCAGTATCTGGAAAGTTGAACATTTTTGTGCCAGTTAGAAGTAAATCGTCATTAGTTGGATCAATCTAAAAATAAAATAAAAATACTCAAATCAATAAAGAAGACAATATTATAAAATATATTACACTCAAGACCTCTATTTTCAAAAAGTATATATAATTTTTTTTTAAGTTTATGTAATAAAAGAGATATTTTTAAGCTAATAGGTTAATTCTGTGGTACCTATTTTAAAACCAGGTAAAGACGCAAAATCGGCTTCTTTCTTCAGGCCTATTTCATTAAGTTCCTACCTACTAAAAACATTCGAAAGAATGATGAAGTTTAGGCTAGGATGGTGGTTAGAATCACAGAATATGCTACCTGACTTTCAATATGGTTTTAGAAAAGGGAAGTCGAGCATGGATAATTTATTGGTCGTGCACTCTGAGATAAATATAGGATTTTCTGAAGGCAAAAAAAAAAAAAAAATGGATTATTTTTAGACAATGAGAAGGCATACGACTCAATTCCTGTTCACATACTATCACAAAAAATGGAAGATATTAAAGTCCCCAGGAAAATTATTAATTTCATAGTGAATTTGATTATAAATTATTTTTAAAAGATAACAATTGGCAACAAACACCCAGATTGGTCTACTGCAGGGGGGTATCCTTAACTGTCTACATTTTGCTATAGTTTCAGCAGATTTAAGAAAATATATACCTGGAGAAATAGAGGTATTACAATTCACTGATGACACTTGTATATATGTAACACATAGAAACAATAAGCGTTGTCTATAGTTGTTAGAAGAAATAGTGAGGGGTCTCAAAAGATAGCAGCTTGATACGGATATTAATATTTTCGTCTATCTGTCCCTAAGTCTGTAGTGTCCCTTCAGTAGAGAACATGCATTCCCGCTAGAAGATAAAGTAATTCTGGCAGAGATTACATTCCCATGTGTGACCTCAGTTCGTTTTCTGGGGCTCTGTTTCGATATAAAATTAAATTGGCACCCACATATAACGGATATTCAAAAGAGGGCTGGAAAATAAATGGGAATAATAAAACTGATTTGTTCTAATAATAAATGGGGGACAAATCCTAATATGTTTATATTATTTTATAGAAGTACTATTAGGGCAATATCTGATTAATAGTAGGCCCGTGCGAAAAATTCGCAAAGCATGTTGTTATCAAGTGCCAAATTGATAAGAAAAGAAAATGATGCAACGTATTAAAAGATAAAGAAATCAATTGTTACTTTATCGATAAAGATAATAGACAAAGGAATAAAAATTAATTAAAATCTTCATTTTTGTTTGGAATCAATATATTTAAAAATTTCAATAAGCTGTATCTTTGCTAAAAATTGTCCAATTTCGATGATTTTTTTTCCTTTTGTAGGGAATTTAGTAATCTTTTATATAATCATGGGCATAACCAAGGGGAAAGTGTGTAATTTCTTAGCAAATAAAGTTTCTTTTCTTTCTTAACTTGCCCGCCTGAAGGAGAACGAAGGCTTCGAAATCGGTGGCTCAATCTTGAAATTTGGTGAAGAATTATCGATGATATGGCTTCCCGATCAAAAACACCATCGATAAATAATATAAACACCTCCTCTCTCGATCATAGAGGCCTCAAGTCGATGAAATAAGACATATATTCCATGCCAGTATTACAATTAACGTAAGGTTGAGTGGATGCGTACCCTATTCCTTGCGTTATCTCGAAAATAGTACGTTTTTGGGCTTAAAAATGCAGGATCCAATAGTTCCGAAGGAACTATCCGGGCTTTGCTGTATGCATCAAAATCTTCAAGGTCCAATTTGTCCCGTATTGATCTACAGACCTACCAACTTTCCAGTATTGAAGGCTAGAAAAATGTTTGTATCGACTTTATTTATTTTAGAAAGAAAAACAAAAGTGGAGAATACGATTCGCTAACCCCCGTGAAATTCTGAATCTAACGGTACCCTATTCATGGTATTTGAGCATGACAGGAGCTTATATTTGGTAAAAAACCGATTTCAAGCCTTACTGTAGTAATATATGTACGGATTGAACTACAATTTACGGCGAATCACCTGATAGTACCTTAAAGAAATTACATACGATACATAATAGGTGTTTAAGAATGTGCTTAGGGCTTATTAATTCTATTCCAATAGACATATTATATAACGAGGCTGGTGAAACTTATTAAAGTTTAGAAGGCAATTACTATAAGATAGGATATATTTGTATAAACCAACGATATATTTGTCTTATAATTACTAGAAGATGGGATATATTTGTATAAACTAACGATATATATGTCTTATAATTACTATAAGATAGGATATATTTGTATAAACCAACGATATATTTGTCTTATAATTACTAGAAGATAGGATATATTTGTATAAACCAACGATATATTTGTCTTATAATGACTAGAAGATAAGATATATTTTTATAAACCAACGATATATTTGTCTTATAATTACTAGAAGATAGGATATATTTGTATAAACCAATGATATATTTGTCTTATAATTACTATAAGATAGGATATATTTGTATAAACCAACGATATATTTGTCTTATAATTACTATAAGATAGGATATATTTGTATAAACCAACGATATATTTGTCTTATAATTACTAGATGATAGGATATATTTGTATAAATCGACGATATATTTGTCTTATAAGTTTTATAGGAACTAAATAAACAAATTTATAAAATCATTAGTCAACACCTTATAAGCATAAATAGACAATAACTATGAAATACATAAATACAAAAATTAAGTCTAAATTCATACTTGTGCATAATATATCCCAGTTTCTGTCAGCCAACCGAGTGAAGATGGTGTAGTTTTTCCAGGTGCAGTGAAGATCTGCAAACATGAATAATCAAGAGAGCTGGGTATCTCTTGAAATCCTTCTAAAAATGAAAACTTCACTTTAGCAATAAGATTAAACTGTTTATTAGGAAATAATAATTAACTCTGTTGTAAATACCGGGAAGTCCAAGATATTTATTAAATAACTGCTGGAGAAGGGGCCTTTCATCTGGACCAGAGTTGTTACCAAAGAATTTAAACAGTCTATCGACAGTAGTTGCTATTACGAAGTAGCGATCGCTCCTTCCCACTCTATAATACTGGAGTCCAGTGATCGCATGGGGAGTTCCTTTACCCAAATCAAAAACCTTCAAGTTTAAAAAGAAATTTTCAAAATAAAAATAACTAACACTTTAAATCAGCGGTCTCCAACCTTTTATAACCTGAGCCACCTTCTAGCCACAACAACATTTTATATCAGCCTACTTGAAAAATATCTCTTTTCTATATCCTTAAAAATTTAAGGAGTGAACTCAAATAAGCTTTATAAATTTACATATTAATTATTTTTATTTATTTTCTTCCTTCCTGCAACACAAGGATCGGCAACATAGCAGAGCATGCAATGTTGCTTATTAAAACCTTGAAGTTGTTATCTTGTCTAATCATGTCCTTGTCTCCTGGTGACCTCTAACTTCTTCTTCATATCTTCTGTTCGGCAGTCATTCGGAAAACAATCCTCTTCTTTCCAAGCTGAAATGAGGAGGGCCAACTGTGGTTTTCCACCCGTACACAAAAGAATTGTAGCAAGAGTAGTTTTCTTCAGTCACCTGCTGAGGGAAATTATTCTCTAAGAAGACAGTGCCCTCAATAGTAGAGCCTCAAAAAATGGTTTAGTCCACTAGGATGTGCTCAGCTTCGGAACTCCACAACTCAGGTAAAGGCAAAACCAAAAGTTCATCTCTGTTTAACAGATATTTTTATTTTCCATAGTTTAGTGATAGAGCACACCTTTATGAGTATTTGTTTACATATCTTTCTAGTTCTTTTCTCATTAACCAATAAGTTGGTGTCATATATAATTTTGTTGATATATACACTTTTTCAATCTTGCAATGGCAATGCATTTTAGTTGGAGGAACAATAAAAGGCATTTTAAATGTTTGCAGCAGTAACCCACCCTTAACCTTTACATAAGAGGAAGGAAAACTAGGACAAAAAATATTAGGCAGGGACTCGATTGTTTTTTTGAACTCTCAACCTCAAAATCTCTCATCGCATAGACTAGATATACAAGGTTGAGTATACTGTTAGAGAACTGAAGAAATGAAGCTATTATTTAAAAACTCCATAGCTCAAAACCACCTGTGTAAGATTCTAGAAATAGAAATAGAAATAGAAAAATAACTTTATTCTGGGACACAGTCCCTTGAGAATAACAAATTAGAACAAAATTAAAATATTACATCTGGCCAAAACAAAATAAATCGAAAAAAAGAAATAATGTAAAAAAAATATAAGGTAAAAACTCTATATACAAAACAAACTAAACTATATACAAAACCATTAATACTATTACAAGAAACTTAAAGCTATTTAGACCAGTATACACTTTTCCGAAAAAAATAAAGAATTAAAAAATAAAAATATATCAAATTCTCTATTAAAATCCGCTCGAATGGTTAGCAAGTATCTGACTGTTTTTGTGATAGGAATAGGAATAGGAGGGATTTGAATGTGAATATGGAGGGGGAATGTCGAATTTTGATAGGGAGGGAATTCCAGATATTGACAGAGCGAACAATAAAGGAATTTTGGAATGAGGCAGATCTGTGAGAAGGCATGTAAAGGTCAGAAGGTCGAGATCTTGTGGACAGGGAATGGACTGAGGTTTTGAACTGGAGAAGGTTGTAGGCGTAAGAAGGACGATGGTTGTTGATGATTTGGTAGAGGAACGTACCTAGAAAGTATTGTCTTCGGAAGGAGGGGTAGAGCCACCTTAACTCAGTGTAGTGGTGAGAGACATGGGAGTACCTCGGGGCACCAATAACAAATCTTACGCAGCTATTCATTAATCTTTTCAGTCTATCACGGAGCTCCACCGAGAGGCCATCATACACCACACAGCTGTAGTCAAAGTGGGGGAAGATGAGAGAAGAAATTAGGAGTCTACGGATATGTTGAGGTAGGAGATGGCGGAAGCGATGAAATAGTTTAAGGGTAGAGATTGTCCGACGGGAAATGTGAGAAATATGGTTGGTCCAGGAGAGGGTTTGATCTATGAAAAATCCTAAATTTTTAACAGAGGAGTAGAAGGAAATTAGCTGGTCATTAAGGTGTAATATGGGAAAGTCAGTATGGGATCTAATGAGGGGCTTGGAACCAATGACGATGGCCTGAGTTTTGGCAGCATTTAACTTTAAACCATTTACATTTGCCCAGGCATTGATTCGATCAAGATCTTCTTGAATCTTGGCAAATGCCCCCAGTAACTCAGAGGGAGAAAAGGATAGGTAGATCTGGGAATCATCTGCATAAAGATGATGGGAACAATGGAAAATTGATTTAGGTAGGTCGTTAATGTAGGAGCTGAAAAGGAGAGGAGATATGCTTGAACCCTGGGCAACTCCAGAGGATAAAGAAAGGAAAGCAGATAGTGGTTGGTTGGGTATGGAGACTGCTTGGGTGCGTTGGGAGAGGAAAGATTGGAACCAAGAGATGGAACTATTGGAGAAAGATAATGATTTTAGTTTGTTGAAGAGGATGGAATGGTTGATGGAATCGAAAGCTTTGGAGAAGTCTAGAAGAATAAGGACAGTTAATTTTCTATCATCTATTGCAGATTGAATGTCGTTGGTAATTTTAATTAAGGCAGATTGTGTGGAATAGCCGGGACGGAAACCAGATTGGAGAGGATCAAATTGGTTGGAATTTTCGAGGAACTTGGAGACTTGGGATTGCACCAGTCTTTCAAGAGGCTTTGAGAGGTTAGAAAGAATTGAAATTGGACGGAAATCTTCGGGTGAGGATGGATTAGGCTTTTTATTTAAAGGAAGGACAATGGCTTTTTTCCAAGAGGTAGGGAATACTGAATTCTGAAGGGAGAAATTGTAGATAAAAAGGAGAGCTGGGAGGATTTCAGGTAGACATATTTTTATTAATTTGACAGGAATGCCGTCTGGCCCTATGGAATTGGTGTGGGATTTCATTAACGCGGTTAACAAGTCTGTGGGAGAAATGTCGGAAAAATAAAAGTTATTGTCGTTAAAGGATATCTCTGGAACAAAGCCAGAAGAGGAAGGTAGAGAAGAGGTATTAGGGACAGATATAAAATAAGAGTTTAAATCATCGGAGGATACAGGATAGGCTGCGGTAGGGGATCTGGAAGGATTACCAATGGAAAGTTTACGAAGCAGTAGCCATTTCGATTTGATATCAGGAGCTGAGGAAAGGGTTTCATGGAAGTAGGAAGTTTTCGCACGCCGGATCCTTGTCTGTGCCAAGTTGCGAAGCACCCTGAACGCTTGGTAGTCATCTGCAAGCCTCGTACGTCTAAAACGTCTTCGGGCAGCGTCGCGCCTCTTCTGCAGATCTTTGATTTCCTGACACATCCAAGGAGCAGGCCGGTGACGAAAGGTAGAGGGTTTGAGGGGAGCATGGGTATTGAGAATATTGAGAAGATTGGTGGTAAGAATGTCAACCATGGAGTCGATGGAAGAGCAAGAATATATTCCGTTCCAGTCTAGGGTTTCTAGGTCAGGTAATATTTTTTCTCGAGTAAGGGAATCTAGGTGACGGAAGGTGATAGTTCGAGGGTGGATTGAAGGAGTTTGGATATTATATGTTATTTGTATAAGATCGTGAGATGATAAGAATGATACTGGCAATTGAGAAGAGGAGAGGAGATTTTGTACAGAGTCTATAATGTAGAAGTCTAACCAAGTGTCTGACCTGCTGGTGTGGTGGGTGGGGGAAAATGGAACTATGAAGAGGTGCAGAGAGAAAATTAGGTTTTCTAGATAGGATTTGTCATTGGAGTTAGAGAGGAAATTGGTATTGAGGTCACCGGAGATGATTATTCTGGGATATAGAGGAACGAAGTTGAATAGGGTTGATTCGAAGGACTGATCAAATGGAACATGGGGAGGACGATATACCACAGTGTAAAGGAGAGGAAGATCCTTACAATGGATTTCTACTAGAAGGTATTCAACCTGAGGATGATCGGAGGGTGGTGAGGAATCGAGGATTCGAGTCTTCAGGCTATTATGGACAAACATGGCTACTCCTCCGCCATTCCGGCTTACCCGATCATGACGGAGGAGGGTGTGATTAGGCAAGGAAACAGAAGAGGAAGGGATGTAAGGTTTAAGCCAAGTTTCCGAGATTGCGATAATATGATAAAAGTTTTGAGTGAAATATTGCAGGAACTCGTCATAGTGGGCAGGGAGGGATTGAGAGTTAACATGACAGGTGATTAGGGTACTAGACATGAGAGGAATTGGGAGGGAAACAGTCAGAGTTTGGTAGAGAAACTCTAAAACAAATAGAAAATACAAAAAGGCGTTTACAATTAATGAAAATAGCAGAAAAGAAAGTGTAAGCAGGAACCAAAAGAAATAAAAAACATATGGTCAAAAAAATATAAATTAGTGTGTAAGTGTGAAGAGATATCTCTATGCGTAGAAGTGAAAATGTTCCTTTGTAGATAATTGAGTTCAAAGTTATTTTAATGAGGATGAGGGGTAGACGAATTCTTCGTGGTCAGGCAAATATATCGAGGTCCGAGGCCTGTTCAATCAGAATAACTTTATGCCCGTCCTCCTTTCGACATCGCACCTTTCCAGCGGCAAACCACGTATATTTGATTTTCCCCGCAGCTCTCTTCTGTCGGGCGAGCCAATATAAGTGTCTGTTCGTGGGAGTCATTTCCTCACTCAGATATATCCGGTGACAGTCATTCTCCTGCCAGCCGATATCCCGAGTAGTGAGGTCTCTCTTGACTTTCCTCTTCGTTATTAAGTCGTCCCTGACTGACTGTTTGACAAAGCGCGCGATGACAGGCGGCGGTCGTGGGTCATCTTTTCTACTTCTGCGGCGATGTACTATGTCCAAGTCATCTGTACTGAGCCTGATGCCCAAACTTGCTCCAATGCAGGTCACCAAAGCGGCGGGCGTTTCACCAGTTCGCTCCGGTATCCCTCGGATCTCCAGTGATCTGGATAACAAGCCCTGCTCTGCGTTATTCAGGCGAACCTCCAATTCACCCACTCGAGATTTGAGGGCTTTATTTTCCAGAATAATTTTTTCGAAATTACTGGCTTGACTTTCGAGGTGTTTCTCAATTTTCGATAATTTTTCATTAAGCTCAAAATTGAGCTCTCCATATTTATCGAGGGTTGTTTTTATGTTTTTTATGTCTTCATTGACACTCGAGTCTAAGCGATTTACTGCCGCCAGTATTTCTGAGGCGGACGGCTCAGTGTTAGATTTTTTGGTCTGGTCACAATTAGGGCATACCCAAGTTTTTTTGTGTGATTTTAAGGCTTCAATTTCTTTTTCACTTAGATTGAGACACCGACCGTGAAAAATAATTTTGCATTTTACACAACAAAGATTGTTTTTATCTTCGCGTGCAATAGTATTATTGCAAATATTACACTGCACCATATTTAATTAGAATAGAACAATTAAAATGTAAATAAATACCGGGAGAGAGTTGTTTTGATGAACGTAGTAAACAGTGTTGTCTAATGCTGTAGGGATTAGTAGACGTTTACACTCCCGGAGCTTCTAGAACTCAATTGGATTCACGACACTTTCTTTAAGTAGATAAAAGTGAATATATTACACTAATCACAGTGAATACTAATACTGTTAGAAGAAAAATACACTCAACTATAATGAACTGTACTGAACATTAAAATTTTAAAAAATCAGAACTGATAATATAAGAGAGTAATAGCGATGTGTACAGGTAGCTGTCTCTGGCCAGACTGTGAATTCTAAGAAGAATTCTACTGAATGTTTCTGAAAATTATTTATTTTTACCCAACTGAGTGAAGCGACACAAGGGGATATGTGGTTGGGTGGTCTGTTAAAAGTTATCCAAGACTTTTTAAGCAAACGGTTGTATTGATTTTTAAGTTTTAAGGCTCAAATTTTATCGGTGAAATCACCTCCATGTTTTGAAACAATATCGACCTGTGATTTAATAAAATGTGTTTAATTGATTTGCTAAAAAGTATTTAACGATTTTTGAGCGAACGGCTGTATCAATTTTTAAGTTTGATGGCTTAAAGTATTTGGTCAGATCCCTCAGTTTTTTTTTTAAACAATTTAAGCTTGAAACACTGACCTGTGATTGAATAAAATGTGTTTAGTCAATTTGCTGGCTATTTTGTAGGTCAACCGTTGCTATTATGGTCAACACGTGAAAAGCACCCTGGTGACTGAGTGTAGCAAAGTAATCCTCTACAAGACTCTTATCAGACCGGTTATGTATCAGAGACCTGGACGATAACCAAGGCAGTTGAGCAGGACCTCCTAATATTTGAACAAAATATTCTAAGAAGAATTTATGGTCCAGTCCAATATTGTCAATTTTATAAGAGCAGGCTGTCTCAGATTGGCAGGTCATGTGACCAGAATGAGAGACGAAATGCTCCCAAAGCAGGTGTTGGTTGAAATCCTGTATGGATCGCGACGAGTAGGAAAACCAAAGTTAAGATGGAAGGACAACGTGGACAAAGATGCCAGGAAGCTAGGAGTTTGAGCTGGATGGTGGCAGCACAAAGCAGGGACACCTGGCGGATGCTGTTGGCGGAGGCCATGACTCGCTAAGCGGGCTGTAGAGCCAGTACAGATAGAGAGATAGTCAATTTGCTAAATGGTATGTAACGATTTTTTGAGCAAACAGCAAGATCGAATTTTAAGATTGATATTTTAATTACTTCTTTACTTTACTTTGGCTGCAATAATTACCTCATAAACGATTTGTTTCTACGAATCAGTTGCTATCTTATTTAAAATCGAAGCTGGATTCTGAAAACAGTATAAACAAAATGAGAAATCGGTTACATCAAAGAAATTATAATTTGTTTTATGAAAAAAAAACTTGGTTATTATGTTATTTTACAGTCCCTGTTGCTGCAAGAGATTTTTTTGTTACCTACGATTTGTCCATATGAGTTAAACTACATCTTGTAGTTTTGTCATTACACATGGAATGCTGTTAATACCCATGTTGTTTTAATCATATATCATGTGTATCAAATATATATCATAATTGTATCTTTAGTGAATCGCTGAAACATGTTATGAATAAATAAAAAATTGATTTAATTTTTACTTTCCTCTATCCCTCTGAATCAAGATAAAATAAATATATTTTCTTTTTAAATATAATTAATTGGTCATTTTTTTAAAGTATAATGAAGGCTGGACAAACGTACATCATAGTATAAAGCGATATAGAAGAGATCTGCAATAAATTGTGGGATTTCAGTGGACCTCAAGTCAGAAAGGTTGAAAACCACTGATTTCAAAACAATATATCTAAAACATAAAAAACATCACCTGTTTACAATAAGATTCAATGCTGGAAGTAAACAATCCTTCGTCAGGCCTTATTTCAACTTCAAAAATTATACCTCTAGAAGTTCCTAACAGGATAGGCCTAGTGTTAAGGTCTCCGAATGTATCAGGAGACAAATTCCAACCAACAGCAGTTATTTCATGACCTCTCAATTTACTTGTCTAAAAATCAAATGAGTAATTAAATATTTTTTAACTTTATATAAATATAAAAAAACTTGAATAAGTAAGTGAAGCTATGTAAATGCCACAAAATAAAACAATGCGTTAATCTAGAATTTTAATTGGGTGATGAATTTTGAATTTTGTTGGTAAAGTTCACAAGTAAAACATCTAGTTAATAGGTGGGTCACATCGATCACACAGTACATAGAATCCTAAAGGAGATAAGTTTTTCTGGTGGAATATTTATGATGAGTCGATATGAACATATGGAAGGAATGAATACGGATCATTCTGGATATTTGATGAAAACAGGCTGCTTTTCAAAATCTTTTCAAGTTACTGACTTCTCCAAGTCATTTTTGGAAAGATTTTGAGAGGATCAAAAGAGTTGTACTAAAACGTGATACATTTATAAAAACAATTTGATTATAATTCCTGTTTATAAAACATAGCTCCAAGTTGAATAGCAAATGGATGAAAGAAAAAGAAAAGTTTATAAAATGCTGTAAGGCAATAAAAAAAAAATTAAAAAATATTTCATATGGTGATTTATTGCAGATTAATAAAATTTATTTTCTTTTGTTACGAAGTAAGGTGAAAGAAAAAATATTTTATTCCTTACTAAACTTTTATAAATTAATCTTTTTAACATAATTTGTAAATACATCACAAGTATTTATGTATTTTGTCTTTATTAAGTAAACTTTTTGTGACCAATAATAACAGCAAATATGCACTCACCTCCTAAACTTTAAAAATTGTCTAACCGTGTTTTATCATAAAATTCTTAAATATTAAAAAAAAAAAAAGGAATTTTGAACCTGGATTATTCAATTTAGGACCAAAATTCTCTGACTTTTTCGGGTCTTGTAGATGCCCTACTAAAAGATTCCATCTCAACTGATAAGGATCCTTGGTAAAGCGCAAACTTAAACTGAAAAGGACGCGTTGGGAAGAGTTCATAACTCATGAACAAGCAGCAATGTAACAGTCAAGATTTAATTTTACCAGTTAATCATTTTAATAACAACTAGTTATTTTCTTGAATAAAATTGCTATTGAGAGATATGATTACTACTCAAAATAAAAAACATTTAGAACTTGGGTGCCTTTATAACTCCTATTTATGCTTTAAATATGGAGAAATAAATTTAATAACCAATAAAAAACTCAAGGAATCAAGTTTTATTTAAATCTAATATTGAGTGGTATTGATATTGGTCAAGAATGACATATGGCTCAGAGCCTTGGACGATGATGAAAAGTGATGAGATGAAGCTGAGTGTGTTTGAGCGAGGAATCCTCAGAAGGATTTATGGTCCAGTAAAGGAGGGTGATGTCTGGAGGAAAAGAAAAAATAAAGAGCTCAGTTCTCTTTATACAGACATCGACATAGTCACGTATATTAAACTTGCCAGACTAAGGTGGGTAGGGCATGTGGCCAGAATGAGCACCGTTTAAATACCCAAGAAAATAATGATGGAGGAGCTGCACCTCGCAAGACGGGTAGGAAGGGCGAGGACGAGATGGTTGGACAATGTGGTCTATGATGCGAGAACCCTACTTGGCGTACGGAACTGGAGAGCTGCAACAGAAGACAGAGCCAACTGGGGGAGGCTCTTGGAGGAGGCCCAGTCTCGGTAACGGGATGTCGCGCCACATATCTATGTATGTATTCAGCAATAATTACATCACTGCTTATGACTTCTACTTATACGAAAGGGATCAACAAACCCCCAATGGTTCCTTTCCAGTTGAGGTTTGGACCTTACCACCTTATTTGATCACCTTAGTCTACTTTCAGACACATTTCACAGTTCTTGGAATTCAAATCAAGGGAGATAATAAAATCATTTACAGTCCATGAAATTAGGGCAACACTTGTGCAGTAGTACCAGTTTCCGTATATACATTTTAGTGAAAATTGGACAAGTTAGAATATAAGTTTACAGAGTACTTCCGATTTAAATTATGAAAACATTTTACCAGAATTAACAGTTTATCTTAAGACAACTTTTATAAGTGAATTCGAACTCTCAAAATATATAAATAATAAGCTATAGTTAAAAAGTCATCTTACAGGTTTAGGTTTGGGAATGTTTTTATTCAAATACAATAACTCAGTAGAAAAACCAATCAATAGATGGTCAGCAGTAGGGTTGAGAAATAATCCAGTCAACTTCACTCCAGGTACAATACGATTCAGTTCTATTTCTATAACCAAATATATTATTAATAAATGACCAACAAAAAAAAAATATCAATCAATATAATATTCGTACTGCGTTACCAGGTTGTTTATTTTGTGTTTTTAAATCAATTCTATGAAGAATGTTATTCGATGTAACATACACTAGATACTCATTACAAATAGTCAAATGTGTAATAAGTGCTGAAAATTCAAAACTAATTCTGTTTTTCTGAAATATTGGTTTTTCGCCACTTTGAGGATAATTTATCTGAACAAAAAAAAAAGAGATATCACTAAATGTAACTATAAACATAACTCAACTTTGAATCAAAACATACCATAGAATTCTTTTCTTTCACATTTGAAACAAATCTTTGGGAATCTTGTTCATACTGATCAAATAGAGATGTCATTGTAATTATTTAACTTAACTTACAATACTACAGTAAATTTGTCACCACAATTGTCAAAATTTCCTTATCTACCGGCCACGAATGTAAGAGCACCAATTAAAAAAAAATGTATTACATCGAAGAAATTATACATTACGCAAAATTAAAATATTCATTATTTAATAAATAACACCAAAAAACCTGGAAATTTGTAAATGTTTATCAAACAAAGCAATCGGTAATGAGTGTTCATAAGAAGCATCTAATGTCAAAATCGTGATAACGATATGTTAAGCCCATTAATAAAATAAAAACCCAGTTTTTATTGTGTTTCATTTTCTTTATTACCACTATCTTTATACATGTCACTCAATCTACGACAATAGCTGATTTAATATTAATTGATTTTGTTTGAAACTTTTCATTCCAGAAATTAATAACCCTATCGAAATGTGCCCCCTCAAAAATTTAAAACCCTCTCAAAATTTGCTCCCTCAAAGTTTTTATGGCCTAACTTGCGCCTGTAATTGGTGTATGGTTGAATGCAAGGATCCACGGAAGGCTTTCGGGCTGAAGCCCCCACAAAAGGGTGAAATATAACCATATTTTATGAAAAAAGTTGTCTTTGAAAGTATTAATGTTCGTCTGATTACAGTTAATAGGATTTCAACAATCACTTAAAGATCATTTCATACAGGTAGTATGTTTCTTTCTTTCTTCCGAAGTCATTATCCTAATATATTTATACAAAAGAAAAAAAACTTTCGGGCTGAAGCCTCCAAAATTAAATGCTGGATCCGTTAGTGGTTGAATGTTGTAGTTGGATGCGATCGAAATCCGAATTGGTGTGTTCAAATAGTATTTAGTTGAGAGCGGTAGGTAAGCACAGGAGTATGATATGCAGTTGAGTTCGCGAAATTCTAAGTGTTCTTAGCTCCTTCAAGATCTGGTATCCCCTATCATTTGCCGGATGATCTCCTTGGGGGTTGGCACACTTTGAGGATGTATCCCAAGATTTCTATCTTGAGGAACCTTTACATTTTTCCAAACTTAACAGTGGTTCTTCAACAATTATCTGATTATAATAAATTACATTTGTTTGAAAAATGTTTTTACTGTTTATTGTGCAATATCAACTAAAACATTGCATTCAGCTCTTTAAACAGCGATATTACATTAGTGACATTTACTATCTCAGAACTATGGTCTTTAAATCCCTCAACAATCACTAATTTTGAAGTTTAATAACGTATATTTTTAATTAAAACCTGTGAATATCTGTTCTCGAGCAGCTGAAATGTTTGAAAGTCAGCACCTTATTGAGAAATGACTATTTCACGATAAGGGCCTGAGGTAACAAAATAGATTCAGTTATATACAACCAGGATTTGCTTAGCATTTCAGCGCAAAACATTATTCTAGACCAAAGAATAACCAGGCTAATGAGGCTTTAACGTTTTGTTCGCATCTAATCTTTTCATTTAACTGAATCTTTCAATAAGAATTCACGTCTCCTAGATTCGTAAACATAAGATATCCGCCTTACAACTAATAGTAGCGATAAATGCGAATATTCATACCGGGGGCCGCTGTTGCATGTTTTACGCATAATCTCGCCTTAGTGCAAGTAAGGATGGTATGGGCAGGTTCCTAAACACAAAAACTCCTTAATTTAAGAAAGCCAATTTCCTAAACTCAGATCTAATTCCATTTTTATCCATTGACTCCATTAAGCGATTGAATTAAGCAACAATGGATAGCGATTTATGCTGAGTTTAGAAACGACCTAATGTACTCCAATGGATTTCCGATGCAATCGATGCTCAGCACTTTCTTATTATACCAAAAAATTATAATATTGCTCAAGAGACAGAGATAGTTCTTCTATTTATAACAATATTTTCTTATTGAGTCAGCTGTAGATTTCAGTAGTAATCACAAGGGACTTGTAAAAGAATATTTATCAAAAACGTTTTGAAATCAAGGAAAACAAAATTTATTTGTTCAATGATTCTATAAGACATTCTAAGCAATTTCTAATTTTAATTATTCTTAAAATATACCTTTTCATTAGCTACTGCCAATCCTTGAGGATGTTTTTATGTAGGCGAAAATGTTATTTTATTGTTTGTTTTGTTTTTTCATAGTATCCAATCTATAATTACAAATTTACGTATAATGTTTATAAGTTTATTTTTATATCTCAAGTAAATTTCTTTTCATTAATGTATATCTCTATAGAAAACAGTCTCTGGTCACTCGTTAGAGAACGGTACTGTTTGTATCTCTAAAAAGGTTTTGGTTTTCCAGGTTTTGTTTGTTAATATATTTGTTTTGGTGATATTGGCTTGAAGTACTATCTTTAAATTCTATCCAATATTGTGTTAATTTTTACCGGTTATTTTCTATATAGACCCTGTGTACATTGAAATATCTTTTGAAATTGTTGAGTTAAAAGGTATTTATCTTGAAAATATATGAGTTACTTACATATACATTTTTATTAAACAGTTCAATAATTAGATTTTCACAAAAACTTTCTTCAATATACGTAGGTTGTTTTCTTAATGATATTTTGTTTAAACTTCTAATCTTAGTGTCAATGTGAACCCTATAAATGCATTTCTTCACATTAGTAATTATGTGATGTTAGTAGAGTAATGTCTTCGTTACTAGATATTGGTAGCTTTAATTTATTTATTCTAAACAGAAGCAGTCCTTAGGCTAAGTCAAGGGTAAAGTTTAAATAGTGTTACTCCCCAAATACCAAGATTGTTTATTAATGTTTCTCTCTTTTATCCATTAATTAATATCCATTTGATCCCTAACACAATTTTAGTTGCCAGATTTTTTAAAATTTTATTTGCTTATATTGAAGGAAAACTTAGTGAATCAAGTTGCACTTGGTCGGTTTATTTCCAAAAGATACTTAGTGCATTTTTGATGTAGGTTAACTTTCAATTATTGTTTTGTAAATTTCGGCCTTATTTATCAGTACAAAAATACCGTAAGTGCATGCAAATTCCATTTACCCTTTTATTTATCATATATGGTGCAGTATACTAATTGCACAATTTTCTGATTTCACAAACGAAAAAATCTTTGAAATTCTTAATTATTTGAGGCTATGAAATGTCATTTAATGACTTTTTTCAATAAACTGGTGGTATAATTCCTTTAAATTCTTGATTACATGCTAGACCTGACCTGTACCCCTAGAACTCCGGAAGGTTCTTGGTTTCACTGCTTTGTAAGGTAGTATAGTTTCTTGTTCTTCAATTGTATACTTCCAGGGGTTTTCTCTTAATTAAATATTAAATTGAGGAGACCAACTTTGTAGAGACTGGATGTACTCCATGGTCGGACAATGACTGATAAATAATAACTTGTCAAACCTAGCAATAACCTGGAGCATAGCGCTATTTATATGCGCCCTTTTTCTTAAAGGGCGCAACCACTATTTATTATAAAACAGTACTTTGATAGCATTAGCAAACTGTAGAAGGCTAGTTGGATGGACAAACAGTTCTTCAGATCCATCCATCTATGCCAAATAGCGTAAGTCCTGGAAACTCGTTGCAGCAACAGAGGATGTGATAAGCAGTGTCATCCTCAACACAACAGAACCTACACAAAGTTGAATCTTTTAACCTGAGTTTGAACACATGTTAATTCAGTTAGTAATTGCACTGTACGTGTTATTTATTTACACCATACCGTGCCATTGAGACAATGCAGGTGCAGATTTGGGCTGTTATAAGTCACTGCATAACTGCCTGCTTCTGCAACGAGACTAGTGTTCATATTTATATTTGTTGTTTATTGCCTTATTTCACTCCTTGTTCCGGTGGCCTCCCTGGTGCGGGTCCTCTTCTTGTGAGGTTGAAGTGTGCGGGTCCAATGTGGCTTCTTTCCACTCGTACACAAATTCTTTGTAGTACGGGTAGTTTTCTTCCGTAACTATCTGAGGGAAATCGGACTCTGTGAGAACATAGAGACCAGTCTCCCTCACCAATTTGGCCCTTAGTGACTTAAAGGCGATGCAGTTTATGATAATGTGCTCAGCAGTCTCCGGGATCCCACAGCTAGGGTATAAAGGATCCAAATTGCACTGGACCTGTGTAGATTGCTGTAATTTTGCTAAGGAAAGCCCTGTTCATTTGAGTATAATATTACTCCTTGGACAAAGACTTTCGGACTGAAGCCTGGGACATTGAAGAGATAAACTTCGTCGTTATAAACGACCACGGTCGCTATATTTATCTACCTTTGACTGTCAATAACGGCACTAATTGTTATATTGAAATCAAACAAGTGTAATGAATAAAGGTTAAGCAAAAAATGGACTTTTTGGTAACGAAAAACATACCAATATTATTTGTTATTTGTAATATATACTAGCTATCGACATATATTTATTGTTTTTTAATAAAGTAATGAACTTCTTAACGGCAATACTGTTTATAGATTAACTTCCATTAAAACATGTTGAGTCCGACCGAGCATTAATTTTTTTAAAAATTGCGTTTCACACATTGAATATGGCAGCATCATGATAATTCTCATCTGTCGGCTAAATCTTTGAATTCCATTTGTTGGTTAACTAAAAGAGAACACTGGCAGTTCCACAACTAATTTTTTTAAAAACAGTATTGTGTCTGTAGCAGAATCTTTGTATTCATCTTCACAAAATATTAGTTTGAGGTTCATCTAACGGATCGCGAATTGATTATAAATATGTGTTAGTCTTTTCGAGTAAAATCTTCTTTAACCCTTATAGCGGAATATTCAGAACAACGATTTTGTTGTTATTTATTATAAATGTCTTTCATGTACAATAAATAAATTAATTTATAAATTATACATTTTTAGTATTTGTGTCTCCAGACATATTGGTCAGGAAAAACTATCATTAAATAGGGAAATGTCAAGGGAAAATGAACAAACGATTTTGTCGTTATTTATTACAAATGTCTTTCATGTACAATAAATAAATTTATTTATAAATTATACATTTTTAGTATTTGTGTCTCGAGGCATACTGGTCAGGGAAACTATCATAAAGTCAGGGAATTTCATTTTTAAGGATCTGGTAGCCATCCTGTGTTAGTACAAAAAATAATTGTAATTCTAATGAATTGATTCAATAAAATAATGGTCTATTTTTGTTTGATTTCTTTGTCTAATTGTAAGAGCACCCAATAATTGAAATTTTAGTTCATTGTGATTAATTAATTTTAATTTTCCTCATGTTTTTCTAGCATGGCTAAGTCAAGTTCCGAATCTAGTGATAGTGAGGAGGATAGGAAACAGAGAGATGAATTTGCTGCACGACTTAGGAAAAAAGATAAAGAAAATACAAGAAAAATTACAACTATTCATTCAGGTAGTTCAAGTCACCCATTTTTAAATGGTTACATTATTATGTCTTTTATTTCTTTGATTTAACATTCTCATCATTTTTTTGTACATATATATAGATAAGAGAGCATATGAAGAAGCGGCGAAAAGATTAAAAATTGATTCAGAGCACCAGGAAAAATTGATTCCTCGATTAAGAGTTGAATCAAGAAGGAAATACTTAGAAAAACGAAAAGAAGATAAAGTTCTTGAGCTTGAAGCAGATGTTGTTGATGATGAATATCTTTTCAATGAGGAAGAGTATGTATTGTATTTTGTTTTATGAATACATTACTTTAAGAAAACCAACTAAATATTTATTATTAAAATATATATTTATATATATAAAATTATATCTGTTTAGACTCACTGAGCGGGAAAGGAAAGACAGAGATCATAAAAAGAAATTATTAATTCTCGCAAAGGAACATGAGAGAGCAAGAGAATTGGAAAAGGTTCAGAGATATCATATGCCTAGGGATGTTAAAGATGTAAGTTATATCTACCTTTTTTATCTGTTATATATATTTTTAAATTCATTTGTAATTAAGGATTCTTTCATTAATAAATATCAATTTTCATTCATCAGAGTGTCGAACAATATGAAGAAGTCGATGAGAGGGAAAACAAACCAAATTACGAACAAAGGAAATGGGAGGAGGAACAGATGTCATCTGCTGTATTTCACTTTGGCGCTAAGAAAAAAGATAAATCCCAAGAAGAATACGATTTAGTTCTAGATAATCAGATCGAGTTTATTCAGGCTATGAGTCTAGCTGGAACTAAAGAAAAGGTTTTTTTCAAAAATATTTTGAGGTTATTTCCAGCATACAATATGTCTACTTCAATTATTTCAATATGTATTTATATTTATATTTTTCCATATAGCCTGAGCCACAATTAACAGAAAAAGAAAGAAAAAGATTGACTATTGAAGAAACTCAAAAAAGCCTCCCTGTTTACAAGTTTAAGAATGAACTTGTACAAGCTATCAAGGATCATCAAGTAAGTTTTACGTATTTTTCTTTTTCATCATTTAGCTTCTGGTGTATTTACTGAATTTATAATGTATTAAGTACTTAACAGTTAGTTCCTCAATGTAATCATTGACAGGGAACTGCTCTTCTTCTAACAGTTCCCAGCTTCCTCAGGATACAATCATGGTATGTTTCTTCAGAAAATCTTATCCAAAGCTTCATCCTCATAAAAGTTTTCGCATTGATAATCATGACAAATTATACAGAAATGTGTAATTTAAGTTTTAGCTCCATTAAAAATGCACTTCAAAAGTTTTTATTGTACAACTGTAAAAATGTCACTCCACTTTCAAGAGTGGGCCAAGATTCCATGATCATGTTATATATAAATGGGATTCTGAGAATAGTTGAGGATTGGAAACATTTTAATGCTATATAACCTCCCTTTATTTAGATTGTGATTTATGACTTCAGCAAACTCCCAGCTGATCCTTTTCGGTTAAAATTGGGGTTTTAATTAGCTTTAGTTATATTGATCTTTTAAACTGCCACTTGCTCTAAAGGCATAAGCAAACCCACAACGGCTCCTTCTCAGTTGAAGTCAGGACTTTACAATATTTTTTTTTTTCAGTCTACTTTCGGATACAGTCGCTATTCTTAGTATTCCAATTGTGGTATAATTATGAGATGTGCCACCAATAAATGTGGTGTAACATTCATAGAGTATTTGTTTTTGAAGTGAACATTTATTTTTTGTAGAGTGTGAATTAGATTGACCTGTGAGATTTCCAATGTGTAACACTCAGGTAAAGTCGTCTAGAGTCGACTAATTGAACTGTTTTTGCTCATGGATTAATATATCTCGAAAACTAAAAATCGGACCTGCATATTGTTAGCGAGGGAAATGTTCATCATTTCATTCTCATTGTAATGAGGTATTCAAAATTGTATCTTTACGCGACGCCTTGTTAGGTAGAAGGAAAGGGAAAAATAGAGCCGAAAACTGATAAGTTTTATATAAGGTATGGATTAAAATATCTTAAACACTAAAAACCGGACCAGCATACTGTAAGCAAGGAAATTGTTCAACATTTCATCCTCTTTAGAATGAGCTATTAATTATAATTTATATTTCATATTATTAATCTTGCCTTGCTGTTTTCACTTTTATCCTGTGGTCTAAAGTACACACCTTAGTTTTTTTTTTATATTCCAACTTTGCCAGAATATAATTTCTACTCGAATTAAAGTGGTTAGTGAAGTTGTGTGATATACACACCAGATTTCTTTTTAAGAACAAGTGGTCTGGGTTTTGTTTGCTGACCCATGTTCATAGGATCTTCTTTGCCAAGTATTAAATTTTCTATACAACCCTTATCTCTTTTTGGGGAGAAATATATTATTTTATATTACATAAACAGCAATATATTGTTACATTTATTTATTGTATCTTATTTTACATAATTTTAACTTTGCAATGCTCTTCTATGTGTACAGTATTTTTGATAGATGTTACTACACCTTAATTTTTCTGTTTACTTTTGTTATTTTCTTTATTTCCTTTTCTTTCCTTCCTTTTCTTTGATTTTTTTTTTTTTTTTGTTCTGTGTTCATCTCATTTCCTCCTCCTAACATATTAAGACCCTATTTATATTATGTTTAACACTTACAATTTTTATCTCTTAATATTCCAATACATTTCTTTGTTATTTCATTTTTATTTCTTTGTTAATTTCATTATGTTGTTACCCTTATTTCAGAAGTTCCTATCTCTGTTATCTTTATTATTTCATTAGCTATTAATTCTTAGGAATTAGTTCCTAATTCTCTATCTTAATTAGTTCCTAATAAAATAGTTACTGTTATTTTATATAGTAACTGTTAATAAAATTTAATTTTATATTTTACTTTTTATTGCTTTGTTAATTATATTAAGTTGGTACTGTTATTTTATTATTTTCTATTTAACCACTGTATTGCTTTTTTTTTTTAATAACTTCTTACGTTGCACTATTTCATTAGTCTCTAACTTTGTAACCACTATATTATATATGCGTAGGAAGAGTAAAGTTAATACAAATATATAAGTGGAAAGGAAAAAACTATATGATATATAAATAAAGGAAGTATAAAATATTAGTAACGAAGTTGTCAACAGAAAGCAGTGGAATCAACTTTGAGGAGGTTGCTTTCTGTTCACAACTTCGTTACTAATATTTTATACTTCCTTTATTTATATATCATATAGTTCCTATAGTTTCCACATATTTATTTGTATTAACTTTACTCTTCCTACACATTATTAGACTATACCTTTTATCTATTACTTTTTCTGTCTACTAGTTTCTCATATTTATGTTATATTGTCTTTTCTTAGCCCTGACAAAGGCCTGAAACTTGGACCAAAACAGCAAAAATTAAAATAAATATAATTTATTTATTTTTACTTTGTTCTTTGTTTGACTTAACACCCCGACCAACTTCTCTTCAATATATCTTAGTCAATCATTAATCTACTATGTTTAAAAAATATTTCCTAACATTTTTATGCATTGAATATGAAAAATCCGGTTTCATATTTACACAAATGATATATCATTGGCTTTTTATATTCTTTAATTAAATAAAATCTATAATGTTTTAGGTTCTGATTATCGAAGGTGAAACAGGCTCAGGCAAAACTACTCAAATCCCACAGTATTTATACCAAGCAGGCTTTACTGATGATGGTAAGAAGATTGGATGTACTCAGCCAAGAAGAGTTGCTGCAATGTCAGTCGCAGCGAGAGTTGCCGAAGAGATGTCCGTTAAGTTAGGAAATGAGGTATCTTGGATTTAATTTTTAATATCATGTCTATTTTTTATAAATAATATTTTTCCTGTCCTAAATTTCCCCTTTATATGGGTTAATAGACAGTGCATTGCAGAATTATATTTATTCCCTTATTTAATATATACAAATTATTTTTCTTTTTTTTTTTTTTAGGTAGGTTACAGTATTCGTTTTGAAGATTGCACTTCAGAAAGAACCATTATAAAATATATGACGGATGGTACTCTTCACCGAGAATTTCTCTCTGAACCAGATCTGCAAACTTACAGGTTTAACATTTTTTTGTTCTCTTTTTTACTCCTATATTTGGTTGGTTATTATTAATTTAATATTGGTATATTTCAGTGTGATGATCATTGATGAAGCTCACGAGAGAACGTTGCATACAGACATATTGTTCGGTTTAGTTAAAGATATTGCGAGGTTTAGATCAGATCTTAAACTTCTTATATCCAGTGCTACGCTGGACGCAGAAAAATTCTCAGCATTTTTTGATGATGCTCCAATATTCAGGATTCCAGGTACGATAATAAAATTTATTTAGGTGCTCATGTTTTGCTTATTTATTATTCTATTGAATTACTTGAAAACAGCTGAGTTCAAATAAAAAGTTTAATAAAATTTAATAGATTTTTTTATTGAAATGAATGTTTCATCTGAAAAGTATTTTAAAATTTTTATCTAAAGGAAAAAGAAGGAATTGCGGAATTATTGGAATTAATAGTATCCAGAATCAGTTCTTGTTATACGAATATTTCACTCTAATATTACCTGAAATTGTTCAAGATTCTTGTTAACGAAATAATTAAGTTTTTTTTCTTAAAAAGTATTTCATGGCATGCATTGTTTTTATGCAATTAAATTATTTTATATTGTATAAGGTTCATGTTGACTGTGTTTGTGATAACGAGGGTTTACTGTTTCTGTTGTTTACTGTACCCTGAGTACATTTGTTCTTTTCATAATTGTCTCCTGGATTTACCTGCTTTCTTAACAATGCATAATACTAATACTATTGTACTATCTGATTGATGCTGTTCAAATATTTTTGAATTATTAATATTAAGAGATGGAGATATACAAGTTTGCCGTCGTTTCAATGCAAGCATTTGGGCCATCATCAGGGCTAAAAATAAAAAAACATCAGAAGAATGATATATTAGGTTATTTCGTAAGAAATGTTCGTTTTATTATTTCAGATATTCGAAATGGGGTTGGTGGATTTTAGTTTTTTACTACATTTATGTAGACAACTATAATGAACTATTATTAATCCTCTTTTTTTTTAATATTTACTATCATTTCAATTTATTGCATATTGTTTAGTATGCCATCAAATATGACCGTAAAAGCACGTGATTTATGAGTATTTTTTTTTTTTAATGAGTTTAGACTTGGACACTCGGCAGCCCAAGCTGCAAGAAACATTGTTCGGGGAAGAGTATTGTAATAAATGGACCATTCACCAGTCGTTTGAAAAGAAATTTGCATCCAAAAAATTATTGATTTCTGTGTAGTGGTAAATGGCAGGAATAATTCATTTCTACTTTTTATCCAGAGTCAAAACCATCCCATCCACATTTTACTTCAATGATATTGACATAATGCATCAAAAACTTGTCAAAAAAACAATCTGCATTGGTTAATCGGGAAGGGAGCTATAATTTTACACGGTAACGCCAGACCTCATGTTTAACGACAGTGAAGAAACTAAATGAACAGTGTTACTAAGTCTTTCGCTACCTACCTTATTCGCCAGACTTATCTCCAGCAGATTTCCATCTGCTCAGAAATTTGGACATCCTTAAAGATAAAATTTTTGAAAATGATTCTCAAGCCAAAAACACATTTTCTGACTTCATTTTTTCATAAAACCATGAACATGTCACTTCTGGGGTTGAAAAGTTGATAATACGTTGGGGTGAATTAATTGAAAATGAGAGTAAATATTTTGAATGAAAATGTTTTACTAAATAACCCTTTCTAGCAAAAACTGACATTTCATATGAAACGACCCAATAGATAAATTTTGTATTACTGTTATATATTTGTTATCCTTATCTCATATGTACATTCTATTTTTTATCTTCTCTTATTTACATATTGTTATCTATTTTATTTTAGTCCTGTTGATGACCAGCAAGCTTGAGTCGAAACATCGGCAACTTGATAAACACCATTAATGATTGCATATCCTGACTAATTTTCATTCTAACTGATAATAAAGAGTAAAATCAAATTAAATCATCTAAGAAACAGTAAAAGTGAAAATAAAATTCCATCTGTTGTTGAATGAATGGGAAAACTGTTGTTCTTTTTAAAAAAGGAATTTACGTGCCAGTATTTGAGTAAATACCGTTATTTATTTTTCGTATTTACAATGATTACTGATAATTCTTGGTAGTTAAATAAAGTATAGGGGAAAGATAGCAAAATTTACTTTTAAACGATTAAAATTAAGCTGTGTTTTAATTTTGAAAATTAATGGTTTCCAATTATAAAATGACCTTATACCAGTTACGTATTATTATTTCTTTAAAAATTTTATTAGGAAGAAGGTTTCCAGTTGATATATATTATACCAAAGCTCCCGAAGCAGACTATATTGATGCTTGTGTCGTATCGATCCTACAGATACATGCAACGCAACCACTAGGCGATATTCTTGTGTTCCTTACTGGTCAGGAAGAAATCGAGACCTGCCAAGAAATTTTGCAAGATAGAGTAAGGCGTCTTGGAAGCAGAATTAAAGAACTATTAATCCTTCCAGTTTACTCTAATTTACCATCTGACATGCAGGCCAAAATCTTCCAGCCAACTCCTCCGAATGCAAGAAAGGTATCAAATTTTCATTTAATCAGTTCTGATAAATTATCTTTCTTTTAAAATGATGAACTAAACGTTACGAAAAAAATTATATTTAGGTTGTGTTAGCCACAAATATTGCTGAAACCTCTCTTACTATAGACAACATTATTTATGTCATTGATCCTGGTTTCTGTAAGCAGAATAATTTCAACTCTAGGACCGGTATGGAATCATTGATAGTTGTGCCCGTTTCAAAGGTTAGTCCTTAACTTATAGATGAGTTAATATATTTGTTTCAGTCCCATAAAAAGTAATAAATAATTTTTCCCTGTTTTGTAATTAGGCTTCAGCCAATCAGAGAGCAGGAAGAGCTGGACGCGTGGCCGCTGGAAAATGCTTCCGGCTCTTTACAGCGTGGGCATACAAACATGAACTGGAAGATAACACTGTTCCAGAAATTCAAAGGATGAACTTGGGAAATGTTGTGCTCACCCTCAAAGCTCTAGGAATTAATGACTTGATTAATTTTGATTTCTTAGATCCTCCTCCACATGAAACATTGGTTAGTTTCTTTATTATCAATGATTATTATATTTATAATGTTGTTGACTCTAGATATAATTCAAGGGATGGGATCAAAGAAGAAATCGCATTAATAAACTTAAACTTATTACTTTCACTAACCTATGTTTGAAATATGTAGCAAGGAAAAGTATTACGATCATGAAAAATTTTGAATCCGAGTTTTCAACAGAAATACACATTTTGAGGTTTCGTGAGTCCAAATAACCAAGTCTCGCCAAATAGTCTGCATGTGTGTAAGTATGTTAACAGTCTAGCTCAATAATGAAAAATTGTATAAAACTGAAATTCACACTCAATGAAGAAGGGCAATTGAACAGATGGTAAAGAAAAATCCTTCGTAGAATTTATGGCCCAACCAAAGAAGTGTGGCTGTGAAAAAAAATGTGGTAATTAATTGTTTTAAACAATATTTGGTACTACTTCACTAGCAAGCCGGGTCGAAACTTCACTTCTTATCTATGTTATCTAACGTACGTCACATAACCTCCCTCTTCTTATCCCGCCAAACCTTTCAGTTATTACATTGTTTATTTTTCAATTATTCCCTTATTACGTTCACTTATTAAATTCTTTTTTTTTGGCCCGTTTGTGTTTATTTTTATTTAAATTATGAATCTTGTTACATTCAGGGATTTGCCATCTTCAGAAGAACAAGCTATTGAATATTTTCAAAATATTGGGATACTTGCAGATGTGAAAAACGGCGGTTCACTAAGAAGAGGACCTGTTCCTCGCTATTTTAAATAGCATCAAACTATTTTGCCTCCCAAAATAAATAAGAGGAAGTGAAAATAAATTGTACATATGTCGTTTACAGTGTTGATATTTTTTTTTATATGTACATATGTTCTTTAAGTGTTTTTTTATTATTTCATTTTCATCTTTTGTATGTACGTATGTTCTTTAAGTGTTTTTTTATTACTTCATTTTCATTTTTTATGTATACATATCTTCTTTAAGTGTTTTTTTTATTATTTCATTAATATATGTGTCGTGTAATAAAAGTATTTTCTTTTGTTATTACATTTGTTTTTGTTTCTGTTTACACTTTCAATAATACAAAAATAGGAATTATGAGAAGGCTTATCACTGCCTTATCGGAATTATCAGTGTTTAGGTTATAAACATTGGCAGATAGCAGTTAGTCTAGTGAAGAAGTACCCAATATTTTGTACAATCTGTAATTTTTACTTTCACTTCCCTTTCTATGAAAATATCTATTTCTGCTTTAAAAAAATTGGTCACTAAGTGAAAGTTGTGATGCACCGACCACATCCAATATTTTTTCAATGGGTGTTTTTTCTTAAGTTGTAGCCTTCACCATAGCTAATCAAAACAAAATAACTATAAAATTATACAACTATACAAAATTATTATACAGCTTGTCTCATATAAACGGAACTAAACACTCATCTATCATTACAAAGTATAGAACCTAAGATCCTCCGGGTATTGGAACAGTCAGGTTTTTTTTTTCTTTATTATATCTTTTTCTTTTTTCATTGTTCATTTCTCATTATTTCGATTTTCACTATTCCTATATACAAACTTGCATGTATTATAATAGTTATTGTATATATTTGGATACCTATATTTTCATATTGATATGTATATTTTCTTTGACCACTTCCCCCAACCAATTTCTCTTTGAGTTATTCTATTTTATTTTTTTTCGAGTTACATAAATTTTTCGAATTATGTTTTTTTTGTCAGAATGCCATATCTTCGTCAATTCTTCATCCTAATGATTAATCTCTCATTTTGAAGATCTTCTCCTTCAGGTTGGAAAAATAGTCACATCTCTCAGAAATTTCAGGAAAAATGTTATGAAGAAAAAGAAACTTTACAAAAGTAAAACTTAAACTTAAAAAAAAAAAGTATACAATTTTTTTCTTTGTACCATGATTATTTAAAAGATTACTAAATTCTCCACAACAAAAAAAAAATCATCAAAATCGGACAATTTTTGGCAAAGATACTGCCTATAGTAGTGTAAACATATTTTTGTATATTATCATGAACGACATAATGTGATTCCATTGATAAAAAGAAAATAATATCATCTATCTAATAACACATTCCACTTATTAATAACTTATTTCTATATTATATTGTTCCTCGTTCACCGACAACATACTATGAGAATTATTTGCATGTGCCGTCTAGTTTATTATATTATTTTCTTGTTTAGTACGACCGTATATTATACTTCAAATGATTGATAAACACTATAAAAATGTGTATAATTTTTGTAAACCTTATTTGTCACCTCATGACTATACACTTTATTTTTTAAAACATCTTATACAAAATACAATAAAATAAATTAAAATTATCTTATTAAATATTGTGTTTGTTTACATATTTTCTAATCATAAAATAATTTTATTTTCTCTTCAATAATCTTTAATGTGATCAACTATCTTATTAACTGTTAATCGTATGTTTAGGTACTTGCTTTAGAACAGCTTTACGCATTGGGAGCTTTGAACCATCATGGTGAGCTGACGAAATTGGGTCGAAGAATGGCTGAGTTTCCATTAGACCCAATGATGGGGAAAATGTTACTTGCTTCTGAAAAGTAAGCATTATTTTTTTTCTTTATGTATTTATTTTTAAATTTAAATCAATAGACAAATAAATTAAATTTAAAAAAAAAATGATGTTATGAAAGTCAGACTCGCCTTTTTTAAAAAAAATATTTCTGTATTATTACCCCAACTATACATCTTGCTCTGATTTAAAATCTGTAAAAATAACATTTAGGCTACATCCTCCTGTTCTTTACCAAAAAAGTTTGAATCTGACAGACGCTGTAAAATATTTTGTATAGTTACCATATAAACAACTGATATCAAATCTCAAGTTACGACAAATTATTTCTATATATTTTTAAAAAACGATCATAATTATCACTAATTCAAAAACCCAAAATTTATTTATTTGGGCTTATTATACATAAATATAAGGCTGTAAAAAAAAAAAAAACGACAATTTCAATAAAATGTACTATAATATAAAGTAATTGGGCACCAATCGTACTGAAGATATGAATATTCAGATTTTAGAGATACAGAATTTGATTCTTATATAAAACCAACAAATGAAGTAATAATGCAGATAATCGTACTGTATTACCCATAAATACGCAAATCCGTGTAGTAATTACAGCAGCAGATGTTTACATTCATGAACAGTAACCGCATTAGGAATTAAAATTGATGCAGTACCTGGACGACTTCCCTTCCTCGCCGTTAAGGGCTATACGGGATTTTCCCGGTGTGTGTCCAGTGGGTTTGAGCGGGTATTTAAAAGACTCCCCCGGCACCGGGACGTGAACTCGTGTCTATTTTTATATCCTTGATTCATTTATCAGGTTGCCGGGCAACAACGGTGCAGTGCACACACGCGCTAGCCCATTCGGCCACCCCGCTCACTTACCTGGACGACTTAATCAAGGAACTATAAATATTAATCGTCCAGGATTAATATATGGTCAATGTTCTGAAATTTGTGGTGCAAACCACAGATTTATACCTATTGTTATTGAAAGAACAACAACTGAAAATTTCCTAAAATGAATTAAATTAGTATCATTAAGTGGCTGAAATTTAAGCATTGGTCTCTTAAACCAAAATATAGTAAATAAAAAATACTCTTAATGACCTTTTAAAGATTTAGTTTAACATTAAAACCTTAATTTGTCAAATTAAAATTACTAATAAATAGTAATCTTTATTGCCTCAAATATCAAAATTACATATCAAAGTATTCAAAGAAATTTCCTTACTAAATACAATAATTTTATTATGCTCAGGCATAACAGTAAACTGAGCACAACCATAGATTAATAAATAATAATTACTCATAAAGATTTAAAAGTTTATTAATAACAGTTATACTAGGAATATACTTCACTATCCTACAAGCATATGAATATCTAGAAGCAAGATTTTGTATTAGAGATTCAATTTATGGATCATGCTTTTTTATAGCAACAGGATTTCATGGATTACATGTAATAATTGGAACTATCTTCTTAATAATTTGTCTAATACGACATATAAAATGCCACTTTTCAATAAACCACCACTTTGGATTTGAAGCAGCAGCATGATATTGACACTTTGTTGATGTAGTATGACTTTTCTTATACATTTCAATTTACTGATGAGGTAGATAAATCTTTTTAGTATAATAAATATAATTGACTTCCAATCAAAAGATCTTTTAGTAAAGAAAAGATAATTTTTATTATTACAATATCATTAATACTAGCAATTATTTTATCAATTTGATATAATATCACTATGCTCAATAATTTCAAGGACCTCAAAAAAAGATCGAGAAAAAATATCACCATTCGAATGTGGATTTGATCCAAAAAGATCAGCACGATCACCATTCTCTATCCAATTTTTTTAATTGCATTTCTATTTTTAATTTTTGATATTGAAATTAGAACTTAATCTTAACTTCTAACATCTTTTATAACAATTTAGTAATAGGCGCTAAGACTTAAATACTTTGTGAGTACAACCAAGATTAATGTAAGTAATATTGACATGCAATTTACCTAACATAAGATGTTTACGAATGAGTTAGAATCATAAAATTCTTTAAATATTTTTTAGCAATTTATTCTTCTTTGTAGGTATAAATGTAGCGAGGAAATAGTTACAATTGCTGCAATGTTGTCAGTGAATGGTGCCATTTTCTACAGACCTAAGGACAAAGTTGTCCACGCTGATACTGCGAGAAAAAATTTTTTCCTTCCTGGCGGTGATCACCTTGTTCTCTGGAACGTATACAAGCAGTGGTCGGACACTGATTTCAGCACCCAATGGTGTTATGAAAATTATATACAGTATAGGTAATTTATTGATTGAATTGTTTCTTTTTAGTACATTAGAGTGATAGATAAATCAAAATGATAATGGATCAGTTCTATTTTCTAATATTTATAATTAGAGTTTGAAATAATTTTAAAATGTTTATACATAGATTTTATTTACCTATGATCAGTCTAGAAATATTGATGGCAAGATATTTATGGTTTTAATGAAAGCATTGTTAATGTTAATCCCTAGTAGAGTAGAGAGTGATCCCTCATTATCATGAACAAACATTGGATAACAAATTAGCTCTGTAAAAAAAGAAAAAAAGCATTTTCCAGAGTATATTTTTTAATAAATCCTCCGTAATATGAAATAGTCAATTCAAATTCAAATAACTTCAAGAAATGGTTGACTAAGGTTTAATACAAACTTAGTAAAGGCACAAACATTCAGTTAAAAATTCTTAATATATTCTCACATGGACCTTTCTTCTTTTAAATTCAGTTTCAACTTCACTCTTTACATGAAACACCCATTTCCGTGAAAAAATTTTTTATTAAATTGTTTGAGCTAATTATTTTAATAAATTTTTAGGTCAATGAAAAGAGCTAGAGATGTTCGGGAGCAACTGGTAGGTCTGATGCAACGTGTAGAGATGGACATAATTTCCAATCCTACTGATAGCATTGCCATAAGGAAAACTATCACAGCTGGATATTTTTATCACATTGCGAGGCTTTCTAAGGGCGGTCATTACAAAACAGTCAAACATAACCAAACTGTAATGATACATCCAAACAGTTGCCTGTTCGAGGATCTCCCTCGCTGGGTTGTCTACCATGAGCTTGTTTTCACTACAAAGGAGTTTATGCGACAGGTATTAAAACTTTTTATAAATTATATATTTTTGTTTTCACTTACCTATATATGTAATGTATAGTAAGGAAATTTTCGAATTTCAGTTTTCAACAGAAATACATGTTTTGAGGTCTTTTAAGTCCAAATAAGCAGTCCCGCGAAATGGTCTGTGTTTATTTGTATATGTATGTCAACAGTTTAGCTAAGATTTGGGATGTTATAGCAACTTTTTCATCAAAATTGGCTTACCAGAAGTGCCACTTTATATTATCAATTTTACACATTTAAACAATTTTCTTGAAAATAGCTAACAATTTTGATTAAATTTAATCTATCTGTGTAAAATTAAGTTTGTTTTTTTTTTTTTTTTTTTCTACACCTAAGTAACACCTGCTTCATTAGCCATGCATGCTCTTGCAGTCCAATACAGTTTTTCTCTCCTAGCATAAGGGCTGTCCATTTCATTAAAGGAACATCTTATGTCCTGTAATACAGGGCATGTATCAAAATGTTCTCCTGTCATCATGTCTAAGGAAAATAGAGGGCATGTCGAGCTATCTTTTACACCGATGCTGTGGAGGTACTTATGAAGGAAATCGTGGCCTGTCAGCATTCTAAAGCATGCCACGGCTTGCCCTCTAGGGAGGTCTCTAGGGAACCTGCCACTTTCTTCCAGCAATCCATTCCATCGTTTCCCTTCAATTGTTTGTACATATTTCTCTTTTAGTGAACTTTGGAGGGTCTGCTTTATGATTCTTTTTGTTGAATCCATGGCCAGAGGAATATCGGTTGGATCATTCCAGAACCTATTCTGGCCAGTTTGTCAGCTTCATTATTTCCGTGGAGCCCGCAATGGCCTGGAATCCACTGGAAAGCGACTTCTGTCCCATTTTCCTTTAATCGGTTCAAATATTGATGGCATTTAGGAACATTTGGATTTATACTATATCCATTTTTTAAATTAAAAATTAAATTAAGCTGTTTTTAATATAATGTAGGTCTTATCATCATATTCCTTTTGATGTGAGTCAGAAGATCAGCTTTCCAACGGTTGAATTGACTGAATTTGGTGAAAATCCTGAGTAATTTTGCTCAATATAGTAATATGCCGAGTAATATGCCGCAATAAATGGCATATTACCATGTTCTTTGTTCTATATAAATCCAGTTCTTAATTATAAAATTATCTTTTACTAAATCATCAATTGCTTATTTAAAATTCCTAAGAATATAATTATTAATCAATTAGAAATAAATCAAAAAATAAAAAAAATATACATTTTTTTCCTAAGGTTGCTGAAATTGAGAGTAAATGGCTGCTTGAAGTCGCACCACATTATTATAAACCTCGTGAATTAGAAGATTCAACAAATACCAAGATGCCTAAGGTATTAGGAAAGACGAGAGCACAGCTGGGAGAACATTAGAAATATATCTTTGTATATAATTGTAAATTTATGAATTGTAAATTCTCTTAACTTATAAGTCTTATTAAATTAATTATACAAATTTTGTATTTTTTTATAATAAAGATTATTTTTGTTCCTAACATTTCCATGATTCTGTTATTACATATAGTGCGTCAATAGAATTTATACATCTTTATGTTTTAATCACTTTGATTGGGAAACTTAAACTGTCTAAATGGGCTTTGATAAGTTGTTTTATGACTAGAACTTTCTGAAGAAAGAGTTAGGATCACATCTAGTGTTTACAAAGCATACTAATGTTCAAAACATATGTGGCAAAGGTAGCCCCTATGAGGAGAGTTAAAATTTATCCCCACATATATTATTACAATAAGGCTCGAAATCGGTTTTGTACCAAATATAAGCTCCTGTCATGCTCAAATACCATGAATGGGGTACCGTTGGATTCAGAATTTCACGGGGAGTTAGCGAATCGTATTTTCCACTTTTGTTTTTCTTTCTAAAATAAATAAAGTCGATACAAACATTTTCCTAGGCTTCGATACTGGAATGGTGGTAAGTCTGTAGATTGAGACGGGACAAATTGAATCTTGAAGATTTTTATGCGTACAGCAAGACCCGGATAGTTCCTCCGGAACTATCGCATCTTGCATTGTACTATTTTCGAGATAACGCAAGGCATAGGATTCGCATCCACACAAACTAATATTAATTGTAGTACTGTCATTGAATACATGTCTCATTTCGTCGACTTAAGGTCTCTATGATCGAGAGAGGAGAAGTTTACATTATTTATTGATGGTGTTTTTGATCGGCAAGCCATATCACATCGTTAATTTTTCACCAAATCTCAAGATTGAGCCACCGATTTCGAAAGCTTCCTTCTCCTTCAGGCGGGGCCAATCACCCCGAAAATTCAGACAAACAAGTTATGAAAGAAAACTAACTTTATTTACGAATAACTTAAAAAATTACACACTTTTCTCTTGGTCAAACCCATGATTTTATAAAATATTACTAAATTACCTACAAAAGGAAAAAAAAACTCATCGAAATCGGACAATTTTTAGCAAAGATACAGCTTACTGAAATTTGTAGACATGTTGGTTCCAAACAAAAATGAAGATTTAAATTAATTTTTGTTTCCTTTGTCGATTATATTTATCGATAAAGTAACGTTTGATGTCTCTATCATTTGATACGTTGCATTATTTTTTTTTCTTATTAATTTGGCATTTGATAACAATATGAAGTGCGAATTTTTCACACGGGCCTACCAGTAATATTTATTCCATAAAATCTTGTTTATTAGTGCGACAGACGCATGAAGCAATTCTTGACCTGCTCAATCATTTTTCCTCAACGGAGCACAACTGGAGAGTTTACTATGCTCACCTCTCCTCCCCCCCCCCTACCTGTATCATGTCTATGTGGAAACCATTCTGCCAGTATGATCTGGTTCTTATCCCACCCGCTGTGTTTCTTTAAGCTTTTAGAGGGCACCTGCAGTCTTACATAATGATGACATGACCAATCCATTTTAATATGTAACCTAGCCAACTTGGAGATACTCAAATCCTGTTATTCACCATAAAACTCTGCATTTCAGCGCAGGTGCTAAGTTTCATTGTCTTTGACTAGTGTAAGAATGCGTCTCAGGACCTTCTTCTCAAAGCGATCAACCCTTTGTGAAACTGACTTGTTGAGTGTCCATGCTTAGCATCCATAAGTCGTTATTGGCCTTGTAAGAAATTTGTACAGTAATTTCCCTAGCATCGCTTACCAGTGTGCTTTTGAGATTATATAAAATGTTGATAATAATAACTTACTTTTTGTTAATTTTTTTTTACTATTGATTATCTTTAAAAATCAACAAACCAGATCTTTGCACTTAGGTAGATTGATGAAAAAATGTGGAAGTATAACACGGTTACAGCAGCATATGAAATGACCTACAGATCCGTGGTGTATCAGGCTATGGAAGAAGGAAAGATCCCTCCTAAAATAATAGTTTTAATGAGGCACACCAATTGTCAAATTAGAGTGAATGGGGAATTGTCAAAACCCTTGGAAATAAGGAATGGATTGATACAAGGAGATGCACTAGTTCCTTTGCTGTTCAACTTGATTCTTGATACAGTTGTTAAGAAAATAAAGATAAAGGGTAATAGCATAGTTATCAATAAATCACTTCAATTAATGGCCTACGCAGATGATGTAGTGATTATGGGAAGAAGCATGCAGACAATCAAAGAGGCATATGTCATCTTGAAAAGGGAGGCAGTAAGAGTTGGTCTCGAAATATAAGTCAGCAAAACCAAATTGATGATTGTAGAGAGAATGAGGCAGCAACATCCATCTTACCATAATTTAAGCAGAGAAAACATCGAAGTGGTATCAGCATTTTCATACTTGAGGATCATTGATGACTAATGAAGCCAATAAAACAGAAGAGATCATAAGGATTCTGGTAGGATATAGGACATATTATGCTCTTTGACACATAATCTCTCGTCAAAATAAAATCAGAATATACAAGACCTTAATTAGACTGATAGTTAGTTACGGCAGTGAATGCTGTGTAATGAAAGAGATAACCTGTGACGGGCTTGAAACATTTTAGAAGAGGGTACTGCAAGGAATGTTTGGTGGAGTGTGGGGAAGCAGACAGAATAAAGAAGTACTAGTTGGCCTGTGCAAAAATTCGCACAGTTTATTGTTCAGTGATCAAATAATAAATTAATAAGAAAATAAAACAATGCAACATATCATAAAAGAAATCAATTGTTACTTTCTCGCTAAATATAATAGACAATGGAAACAAAATTAAATTAAAAATTCATTAATGTTTGTTAATCTTAACTCTTTTGCCTGCCTGAAGGAGAAGGAAACCTTCAAAATTGGTGGCTCAATCTTGAGATTAGGTGAAGAATTAACGATGATGTGTCTTACCGACAAAAAACACCTTCAATAAATAATATAAACTAATCCTCTTTCGGTTATAGGGGCGTCAAGTCGGCGAAATGAGACATGTATTCCGTGATAGTACTACAATTAAAGTAAGGTTGTGTGGATGCGAACCCTTTGCCTTGCATTATCTTGAAAATAGTACGCTTTTGGGCTTAAGAACGCAGGGTCCTGCTGTACGCATCAAAATCTTCAAAGCCCAATTTGTTCCATATTGATCTACAGACCTACCACCGTTTCCCGTATTGAAGCCTAGCAAAATGTTTGTATCGACTTTATTTATTTTAGAAAGAAAAACAAAAGCGGAGAGTACGATTCGCTAACCCTTTTTGAAATTCTGAATCCAACGGTACTCCATTCATGGTATTTGAGCATGAAAGGAGCATATATTTGGTACAAAACCGATTTCGAGCCTTACTGTAATAATATATGTGGGAATATAATATCTACAACGATCTGTCTTCATCAAATTTTATGCAAATAAGCAGGCTGAAATGGATTGACCATGTCAACAGACAGATAAAGAAGGTATATAAAGAAAAAATCTTCCACTAGAGCAGAGGGCCAACCAAGAGCATGGTGGAAGAAGCTGCTGCATACATGGATAAATGAGTTTTCAGTATATTTGTTTTTATGATAGTATAATTTTTCATCAAATTGTAAAGTTTTAAAATAAAATTGAAGAAATAAAGCAGTTTCTGATATAAATTTAATTTAGTATTTAAATAAACTAAAAATAAACCAAACAACAAATATTTATTGATTAAAAATACAATATTTACAAAATTTCACAGGTTTTAAGGTACTGTGCATTTTTCTTTCTTGATCTTTATTTACAAGAAAAAAATCAGGCATACATAACAGAACTAACTAAATTTTCAAAGTGTGATATATATATATATTATAATAAGCAACAGAATATATACATACATCTAATTAATTACAATTCATTCTACTTTTAATATACCAATTTACATTATTATTTTATTTCATTAAGCCTTCATAATTATTTGAACGCATCATTTTCTTTCATTAACTTTAAAACAAAGTTTACAATATTTCAAAAACATCTTGCTAGTAAATGAGTAGTTATAGTCAACTTACAATTATCCTTGGAGGCATAACTGAAAAAATATTTTTCATAAAATTGCCAATGAAGGCTCTGTGCTCCTTATTGATAATGTTACATGTCACAATGAAAAGATTTAAAATCAGCTGATGGACGAATTATTGCAAAAGCGCTTTAAAATCAGCTGATGGACAAATTATTGCAAAAGGTTTTAAAATCAGCTGATGGACAAATTATTGCAGTTTTTTATTTACAACTATTATAACTATGGCTCTCTTCCAACCATGGATCAGGGTTAATTGCTTAAGATAATTAGTAATAAGACTTTAGTGCTTTTTGGAAAGATTTTTATTAAACTATTCAACTGAATTGTTCTCAGGGGTCAACTTGTCTCAGAATAAGGACAAGGTTATTTTATTTTAGTTTATAATACTACAAGTATACCTTAACCAGTTACTGATGGCTGAGCTGAAGAAAAGTGGGGGGGGGGGAGAACAGCAATAGAGAGGAAAGCGGAGTAGTGGAAACAGTTTTTAATAACTGGTCGCGGTAAAAATGATTTCTCTATGTCTTTTTAAAAACCACTAGTTCTCCTTTTCCTCAATCCATTGATCTGAACACCATTGACAATTTACAGCGTTTGTAATATATGGTAACAAACAAAAGTATTCCAGATTCATAATTAGAAACTAAATAATTCAATGCAAAGGTTTGTTGTAAATAATGAAACATTAATTTATAATTTAGAAGTGAAAAAAGTATTAAATTTTGTTTTCAATATTTTTTTCCTGTGAAATTTTACAATTTATACTTTTGATTGTAATTATTGTTTATTTTGATTTAACATGTTATGTCAAACAGACGTCAGAGAACACATTTAAGACAGAAAAAATAAACTATAAATTATTACAAAAAATTATGTGTTCAAATTTGTTTTTCTTCTCATAAATATTTGTACATAAATGAAACAAATTACGTCTGAAAAATTATATTTATATTTCTTAATATTAGCTTAAAATATTTGAAAATAAACTGAAATTGGTAACACCAAAAGAAACATATTGAACATTCAAATTACATTAATCTGTAGGATGTGATGAAAAATTTTGGAGGTAACATAACAGAACCATAATGTGAATAAAAAAATTGAAAACCATAAATATTGTAAAAAAAAAAAAAATAATAAGACAGTAGATGTAAAACAACACCACATTATACTATAAAGCTAACAAATACATAAAAATAATAATTTATTTACCTTTAAGGTATAAATTGTTATAGAACAAAGCTAAAAAAAAAGTTATATATATACGTTAACTAACCAATTACTCTAGTTAGATCAAACAACATTTTCAGTCATTCTTAATATATTTATCAGTATTATAACCCAATTTGAATTTCAAAGCAATATTAACAATAACCTATTATGTAATATCTTTTAAATATATAACTTACTCTAAATTAATGCCTTTAACTGATGAAAGAAAAATAGTCTACTTTGGTAGTTTACGATTTAAAATTTAACTCTTACTTTTAAAAAGGAATGTTAAATTGTAAATAATCACTATTTTAATATAGATACTACGATTTTAAAATAAATTAAAAAAAAAATGACAAACATTGAAATACCTTTAAGAAGGGTATTTATTATATATATATATATTTTTTTTTTTTAAATATGAGAATAATTTTAAACAGAATAGTAACAGACTAATAAAAACAATTTTAAAAATAGGCTATTAATTCTTTGCTAAATTGGGTCAGGAAGAATATAATCTGATCCCTTTCAATAACATAAAATCTATTTATTAGCTCACTCCTTACATCATAACACTTACAGGATTTTCTTTTTTTTAAAAAATGGCTATACACAATACTGTACACATCCTGGTGTATGACGGCCATACTTCGAGTTTAGCCTAATCTGGAATCAAAATAAAATCAATTAGGTTTAATAATATTAAGCAATTTTAACATAAAAGATATCCATGTATAAAATGAAAATTTATTTTCCCGAGGAAGTACACCCACCCATCCCTCCAAATTTAATCCTTTAATGATGGTAGACTCACATATGAGACGAGAGGAGATTAGTCCCAGGCGATGAACTCGTAAATGAATTGAGAAGGAATCTGGCAAAAGCGGAAGAGTACTCATATATGAATTGAGACTGAATCTGATCCAGATGAGGGTGGACTCATATATGATTTTTTCTCTTTAAATGACAGAGTGTTTAGTGATGAATTTTTTTTCAAATTAACTCGTGGCCTTTCTACGAGACACTTCTTTAAATAAACATTTTAAGAGAAATAACAAAAAAATATTATCATAATAATATTCTTATATAATATCTCTCACACATGTATAACGTCAATTTCGCAATAAGAATAAATAAACAATTTTCAACCAGTATTTTTTACAAAAGAATAAATTTACAGTATAATGTTTCATGTAAATTAATCCCATTCTTAGTAATATAACATATTCCAGTATTTTTTTTTTGCTTAAAGAGAGCAACATAAAACACTTATGTTTTTAGTTTTTGACTCATTCAGTACTATAAAAGGAAAATTGTATAAAAAATAAAGGTTTAAAAGTTCATATTAAAAAACAAAACAAATTATTTAGGTCATTGTTGTAAAAATACAACATTTAAATTGTATAAAAGTTCGATTAAAAAAAAAAAATAATAAAACAGTTTGGAACTATTCCCTAAATAAAAAGGCTAAAGAGATGCGTATAAAAAATATTCCATCACAGGGGCCACAGAGAGTTGTCGACTAATGCTGTCCTAAGTCCATTCGTTCCTCTCTTCCCGCTCATTGCCACCATGAGGTTAAGAGCTTCAATTAACATGAATTCACATTTACACGATTGAAGGAATGACAATTTTGGCAGCAGATTTCCGCAACTTGCTACAAGGGACAAATAGTTCACCTGCCTGCTACCTGGCAGCACCACGTGATCTCGATTGTGCAATGCACCTAAAAAATGTATTTTTATTTCTTATTGTATGGAAAAATACCCAAATTATAAGTTGAAATATGTATATACATTGTCAATACTTTTTATTAATAAAGTTTAATGGCGATAACATATACTGATCAAAGCTTAAAAATAACTGCAATTGTAACGGCTCTTGCTAGCCGATTTAGTCATGGTGGAATGATTACCGCAGTCCTTCAAGGAATTAGCCAGGTCCTCGGATCTCTGCCCCTTCAAGGAATAGATCTTGTATGCAATTGATCAGTCTATAGCGGACCCTACACGGTAATTCATGAATGAACGTCACAAGATGTGCCAAGATTGCTCAGGATTGCTTTGATCAAGAAGACCCTTACACGTTCAATCATTACTGATCATAACTTATCGTTGCTGACACTAATTTAGCTCAGTTGTAAACAAAGAAACAGCTGAGATATGCTTATTTGGATATTGTCATTTATAATATTGGGCATCAAGAGAAAAACGGAGATATAATAATTACTTCCTAGTGCCTGAAAATCGTTTAGACCAAAGTTAGAAAAATATAAGTCAACTACATACAAATATCTAGGAAAAGTATTGCAAAAATAATCGATTTGTTAAGAAAAATGGAAAAATTAATGACAAATAAACACAACAGTTAAAGATTTTTTTTCTTTAAGTCAATTGTGAAGTTTCCACTTTTTTTTCCCTTCAATTTATTGCCTACTTGACTATTTAAAGAAAAAATAGTTGAAAATGGTCAATAAAAATATAAACAACTATTTCTTTTATGAAATTATTTACTTAAAAACGAGACCTAGATAAACTAACCTATCTAGTAGTAAGGTTAGTCTCATAGAAAATCGTTTTGAGAAAAGTTAGTAAAATATAAGTCTACTACTTACAAAAATTAAGAAAAGGTATTGCGAAAATAATAAATTTGTTGAAGAAAATGGGAAAAGAACTGATAAATATACACAATGTTAAAGTTTTTATATTTTCTATGTCCAATAACCTTTATCCTAATATCTCTCTTTCCATGCAATGTCTGAAAGCTGATATTCCTACATACTAAGTCAGGAGATTGATCCCTCCATTAGTAAAACATCCTCCCACCAAGTCTGGATATTGATCCCTCCGTTTGTGGTTACCGTTCCTGCGGAATGTTAAGGATCATCCCTTACATCGCAGACCAAGAGTAATTTGGGTGCTGCTCCGCCTGACACTTAAGGTCATCCTTCTACACATCTTACTTCATCCACTTAGGCATCTTAACCCTCTATTGAACACGCTCCGTCGAGGCCTTTTGGTAACTGTCTACTCTGTACAATATATCTCAACACACTCTGTCAGATTTGGATGATCCAGTTTGCAATCGGTAAACAAATCCAAGTTCTAAAAATATTAAAGTTACTCTTTTACAGGATGCCTCAGTTCTTAATTGCTTAACTCTGGGAGATGATTCTAGATAAAATTTTCTAAAAAAAATTTTCATTTGATGTTTGGGCCGATTTTGAACGGAAAATGAGTTCAATTTAAGTCTTTTCTTAACATGGTCATGTTTTTCTCTACCATAGAAAGGAATACACAAGGAATCTACACAAAAAGTATTTAATTCAGGTAATTAAAAATTGCTTCATAGTAAACTAGACAAAATTATCGTCAAATACAAGCAGTTTGTTTTTGTAAAAACCAAAGCCGAACAACGCTAAGTTGGGTTTTTCATTAAATTATGGATTGTTCACAATGTTTTTTTTTCTTCCTAAAAACTACGAAATTATGAAATGAAATGCCCCATTTCTTATATTTTTTTCACTTAAACATGAATATTCGGATTAAAAACATTTAGTTACTTAATACCAAAAGGATCAATTTCCACAATAGATATCTTTGTTATATACAGTGGTTCATTATCCAAAAATAAATTTTTTAAAAAGTGGTATTTTTCTAGTGAATAAAAAGTGTATTTTCATAATTAATTTACTAAAATAGATGTCAGGTCTCGGTTAAAACTTTGCGATAATTTATCATTTGTTATTTTTCCTAAAAATACAGGTACTTTGGGGTTACAGAATATCATATCACATAGTTTTTCACACAAATAGAGGTGAATCTGAAACAATTCTAAAACAAACCTCAAATAAATTGATATGCAATTGAAGCTAATTAAACAAGTATTTTTTTTTTTTTTTTTTTTTTATAAAAGTGGGGTAATGTAGTTGTAGGTTGAAAAAAAAAAATCGCAAATAATCCATGATTTAATGAAAAACACAACTTAGCATAGTTTGACACCCAAAGTACTCCTTGAAATGTTTTTGAAAAAGACAAACTCTACTTGTATTTGACAAAAATTTTGTCTAGTTTTCTATGAAGTCATTTTCAATTACCTGAATTAAATACTTTTTGATTTATCTCTTCTCTATAAAAGAGAAAATGTGACCATGTCAGGAAAAGAGAAAATTGGACTTGACTCGTTTTTCATTTGAAATCAGCTCCAACATCAAATGAAATTTTTTGTAAGAAATTTACAAATAAATTTTTTTTTTTTTCGTTCTCGTCTTTGTTTTACATTGTTACCTACATTTCATCAAATAGTTAAATACATACATATAATCTCTCAAAATATAATGAATTTAAATTTTATAATTATATCAACACAATTTATATTCATTAATAATTTAAAAATTACATTAGTTTTTCTTTTATCAGCAATATGATATATTTCCTTAATGAATATAGTAAAATTAAAAATATTTCTCTCAAATATGAACTATTAGATAACTCACGGGGCTAATGGTCAGGTAGTGCTTTGAGTTCCCTTATCTGTTTGATGAGGTAAGCTTTCTCATCATTGAATTGTTCATCTTCAGATCGGTCTGTATGAAACTTTGTTAAAAATTCTACCAATTTATCCTGGTTGCGCAGGAGGATGTCCAAAATAGGTTTGGGTTTATTCGGATTTGCTACAAACACCTGAAAAAAAATCAGAATATTAGTAACATTTAGTGGCCTTGGTTTGAAAAGGTTCTAACTAACAAAATAGAAGCAAATTGAATGTTCACTCATAAATTACTCATAACAACGTTATATATGTCCCAAATGAATTTTAGTGCCATCAGGCAAAAAATAAAGAAACTAGTAGTGCGACATGATTCTAACTACTAACAACTTGTAATGCAAGTGCAATGACGAGACGGTCAACAATGTGTTAATATTGGCTATATCAGCCTCATTGGCAGATTATCGGTATCAGTTATAATCGGAAAAATTAAAAAGAAAAGAAAAACAGGTAGGTAATAATAATAGGTAATAGGTTGCATATAGCAACGGATACAGTGAATTCTCAGAATAGCATTTCTCTGCTCGAGTAATTTTATTAAATTGGATGGTTTATTAGTTTCTATGAATCGATTCTTTTTCTTTTCTTCTTTAAATTATATTCCTTAAACATCCAAATTAATAGGAGCCACAAATAAAATTCAGACCTACAAAATTGTGCAACGACTATAAATTAACATGTTTAATTAACAATACAGAAAAATTTCTTAAGTTATACTATTGTACAGATGTTGATGGAATGAAAAAAAAAGTTGTCTTATATTTTGTTTCTGGCCTTTCAAATATCAGCTGAAAATTCTAAAATGCTCGTTTATTAGTTCTCGCACAGACTTACTAGTTCTTATTTATTCTGAAGGCGGCAGCATTTTCTATTAGACTAAAAATTTGGATGATATTCAAAATGTAATCTTGTATTTTATTATAATATTTGTAATTGTAGCCCACAATTACTGATGGAGCTAAAGTAATTGAAATTAATTACAAATGTAATTAATCGTAACCAAACTCTGACTATTTAAATAGAAAAATCTTTGTGCTGACCTTAAAAACATGAAAAGCTTCAAATTGTATATTCCTAGACTTTTCTTTTAGCATATTCATCATGAGTTTGAGATTATCTGGATTGGATATGTATCTAGTCATAACCTAAAAAGAAAAGAAAAAATAATTTAAAAGCATTAAAATAAATATAATAATGAATTTTTGTTGATTCTTTCAGTTGCAGTGGTTAAAAAATGTTTAGAGCAACTTACATATAACAATATGAAATTTTATTAGCATTAAAAATTATTTTGTACGACAGATGGTTTCTATAATGTTACTAATCAATCTAGATGGAATAGTAGTTCAATTAAAAAGATTTGAATATTAAACATAGTTAATAACAAGCATAAATAATTACACCTTAGTTCTACATTAATAATGTGATCAAAATAGCATAATGATAATTGAGATGTTTATTTAGACAAGAATAGATATATAACATATGTTTACATACAGTAAAATTATGCCTGTCTAAAAGAAGTTCGCCAAGAAGTTTCAGTGACTGTCGCCTGGTAACATAGTTTTCTGAATTCAATAAACGTTGATAGTGAGAGAACACTTTGTCATAATTCAATTCAAGAAAATCAGCACACAACATTTTATGTCGTGTAAGCAACTCCTAAAAACAATAATAATAATAATAATAAATAAACTAAACAAAAACAAAGGTCAGTTTCTCATGTAAATTAACATTCATTATCATAAATTATATAAGTTATACAAAGATCGCCCCATTCTTCTTAAGAAGTAAGAATTTTCATAGTTTAAACTTATAACTTCTTTTTCTATGAAAATTCTCAGAAATGGAGTGGTTTTAAAACTGGAGATTGGTAAACATTACAATTTAATCAGGTAATAAATACTAATGAATACTTATTTGCTTTCAATTTGAATCATAAGATAATTTTATCATGAAATTAAAAAAAAAAAAAAAAAAAAAAAAAAAAAAAAAAAAAAAAAAAAAAAAAAAAAAAAAAAGCAGCCTACAAAAATATTGGACTGATTCGCTATGTAACCTCATTATCATGAGGGAATGGAGGACACACCAAATGACCCATTATTTATCTAGTAGGCCACCTATTTTCTAGATTTTGTGATCAAATTGTCTTATGATTCAAGTGTAAAGTAAGGTGAGCGGGGTGGCCGAATGAGCTAACGAGTGTGCACAGCACCACCGTTGCCCGGCAACCTGACATATGAGACAATGATAAATAATAGTCACGAGTTCGTGTCTCGGTGCCGGGGAATCTTTTAAACCCCCGCCCACACCTCCAGGCCCGGGAAAATCCCGTAAAGGCGAGGAAGGGGAGGACCCCAAAAAAAAAGTGTAAAGTGAATAAGAGTTGATGAGTCAATACCTCATCTAATTAATAGCACTGGAGTCAAGGATAAAAAAAAATCAACCAGATTGTAGGCAAAGGTTTGAATCTAAATTATGAAAGCGTACGTTATTCTAAGTAAAATGAAGGCTGATTTAAAGAATATTAGGCCGGTAATTTGGGGATCGAAACGGGAAATATATTGCGAAAAATGTGAGAAAAGTTGTCATTTTGTAACTTGTGTGTACAGGTTCAAACACATAACATACAATTGCTAACTACAACAACCAAGAAAACTTTTGTAACGCATCAAATTTTACGTCCACTGAGTGCTAACATTTTTAATATAGGTCACTTATTCTGTACAAACTCGGTAATCTCCTGTTGCTGGAAATTGGTAATGAAGGTATGTGTGATTTTCCATATCATAACAGTATCGGTGTCTATTCTACTGATACAAGTACAAGTACGGATACAAGTATTATTCTTGTTTAGAGTCTGCAATATGCAGTATAGGCCTCTTTGCCACCTCTCAGCAGCGAAGGATTTTGAGAAATAGTGTGTCGAAGGAAATTTAATTTCATGAAGAAACAACAAATCCCAATTAGAGATGTATAATTGACCTACATTAAATCTGTTGGCACTCACTGGATGTAGAATTTGATCATTTTTTATTACATGATTTTTTTTTCTTTAGGAAGTTATTTCCTAGCTGCAGGGCCATTTATAGTAAATTATCTGTTTTAACAGATTTGGTAATAATCAGCATTTGTTAACCATGGTTTTCTATTATATCACTTAACCAAATTATTAAGTTTAGGCACTCGTTCAACACACGATTTTTTAACATTCTTTAATTTCTTAAAAAGTACATTTTTCGCTTCTATGTACCATTTAGAAGTTATAAGCGAAAACACAAAAAAATCGAGAAAAAAAATAGGGCTTTTTTGGCTGTAAAAAGTTTTCTCTTGATTGCTCGTGTTAGCAATTTTGGTTTTTACATGTTTACAAAAATAAAAATAATAATAAACAACCATTTCACCAATGCTATAATACCTTAAATGTAGAAAAAGCATCCGATGCAATATCAAATGTTGACACTTCAACATATCTGAAAAAGTTGAAAAAATCCTCCGAGTGGAGCATAATCTTAGCAAGAGCTTCATATCTAGCACACTCCCGCAGCATAGTTCCGCAATTCAGAGCAATATCCTGATGTTCATAACTGAAATAAACATGAATTCAATATTAATTCCTAATTGCTATTGAAATAAAACCAAAATAAAATAATTTACGAATGTGCCATATAAATTAAGTAATATAATATAATTAACTATTTATATGATAAAAGACATATATGTTAAATTAAGTAAATAAATAAAATACTCGAAAAGTTATAAAAAGATAAATCCCACTCAACAGAGATCAGCTACGCAAATGTCATTTGCATAATTCTCTAGACGAGGCTGCTAGTTTTTATTTCATACAGTTATTTACTCACTCTTTGAATACTTGGAAATATGTTCTTATATGTTCTAGGAATTGAACCACATCTTGATGTTCAAACATAGTTACGCTACTTACAACCCTTAAGCAACAATAAACTATATAAAAAAAAAGAATTCTTACCACTGAAACCCTTGAACTACCAGAAGAAATTATCGCGTCATGAATTAGGTTTTATTATTTCATCTCTACGAGGGTTTTAACATTTCAGAACAAAAAAGTATTTAAGAACCAGAAGAAACAATAACAGAATATTTATATGAAGAGAAATGGTAGACAGAAAATAGTAAATAATAGATTCAGGAGCAACGATTCAATAGAAAAAATTAAAATTTCTTTTATGTTTTTGATATAATCTAAAACTAAAAACTTGTCGACTCAGACAAAAATAAATATTTTAAAGGAATTTCATGGATGAGAAATTATACAACTGTTTGAGAACAAAGAGCAAAATACCTCAAAATAAGTCAATGATATTGATACCTATTATTCTCAGTTCACTTCCCTAAGAATTTTACGGTGAAAACCAATTTTACTATTCCCAATTTAAAATCTTAAACTTCTTTTACAGAATAGTCAATCAAAATAATTTTAGCATTATTCATACCAGGAGATATAAATTTTCACAAAAAAGCATAATGTAATAAAGAAATATAAAGTATCAGAACTCAGTAGACCTCTCAAAATAGAGATATCAAATAGATGGCAGGCGACATGGGAAGAAAGCCCTCCGAGTAAGTTAAAGCATATAAAAAAGATGGTAAAACCATGGCCAGGATCCAACCGCAGGGGGGAAGTCGCAATGGCCCGCTTGAGGATTGGTCACACCTTCTTAGAAAGCAGCCACCTCCGTTATACGAGTGTTGTCATTGTGTGCTCTCCATTAAACATATTTTAAAGGATTCTAATCACTACATTTCAAGTATAAATAGAATATGATTGATCCTAAATTTGTTTATAGCCCTTAATGACAATGAAACTTCACCCTCATTGGTATTTGAATTTCTAAAAACACAGCAACTTCTTTCTAAATTATGGCACTTTTACTGTATTATTATTTTTAAAAACCTACCATTTCTACTTGTTATTTCATTTCATTATTTAAATTGATAACTTTTGTATATAGTTTTCTATAGTGTTTTTTTTTTCAATAATATAGTCTAAATTTTTTACCAACTTATAGTTGAAATAAACCGTAGGCGTTGATGACTTGGGGGTTTTACGCCTGTAAACAGCAGCAAACAAACAAACAAATATGAAGTATAATTTAACAACTTAAAAAATGTGATTTTGTTTTTAATTGCTCAACATTTATAATGAAAGAGAACTAACTTGTTTCCGAACAATAACTCCCTTAAGAGCAAACAGAATTTCAAGCTGCATAATAAAGAAATTAATTAATAAATGATGAAAAAAAAAAAAGAAATATTAAAGAGATTCAATATAAAATTACTGACACCCTCTTAGTTAAAGCAGATAATGCTTACAAAGATACTGATCAGAAAAAAAGGAACAATGTTTGTTCACCCATTCATGAGCGTGAAGAGTATTTCAGGTTTAGTGCAGATATACTCGACTGTAGGCGAGCGGGTGCCAATCTGCCTTCGGAGGATATTGTTGAAAACCTGCGCCACATCTTTCTTTCCCTAAAATTAACAGAAAAGTAATTTTAATTAATAAATACATTTAACACTATCTAATAAATTATATATACTATATCGTCGGTTTGTAGCCAAAACTTCATTAAGTGATATTTCATAATCTTAAATAATAAATAATTAAGAACTTTGAAGAATTTTTCCTTAATGAAATCAGAAAATTGTGAGCTTGTTGTAACTATATTTGATATATAAAATGGTTTGTGTCATTTTCATGAACTTGCTCTATTTTTGTATCGATAAATAAAGTCGAAATGCACACAAATCTATTTGAATGTTCACCTATATAAAAAATGCACTTAATCACTTTTTGCAATAAACTGACGATGTATACTTTTGCTAGAGAGGCATTCATGGAATCAGTGCTAAGTATGTAAACCCTCTTATGTCAGTTACTGACAAAGATGGAACCCTCATACCAGACTTAAAAGACAAGAACTTAACCGATGATTTGGCCAGTTATCTAGACTAATAAATAGAAACTCTAATCGCTCAATTGAAAACAAATTATTAATACACAAGACCATACTAAATCCACATGGACCTACGGACTAGAACTGTAGGGGGACAGCTAAATTTTCGAAAATGAAATGCATCCAATCTAAATTCCTTCATACAACAGTCAATGCTTCTCAAACAAAACTTTACATCATGACCTTAACATCCCATATGTCCTTGACGTTATTCCATCCCGATTCTTAAATTTTCATCAGAACCTTATTGGCCATCCTAATCCCTTAGCACAATCCTTATCCAGCTCCAGTCATCCTTACAATTCTCTTTAAAGATTGAAACGGCAGTGGCCTCGAGATCTTTTGTATATACGTCATTGGAGTTCTGGCAGTGACGACCAGCTTCTCCATTCAAGTAATGAGTGTCTGTGGCTTTAGTACCCTCTCCCAGGCTCCACTGAACTCCCATCCCGTTGACACGGCTGAGAGAGAGCTGAGCGCTGGGATCTCTTAGAGTCTTGCCTTGTCCTCCACACGTGGGAGAAAGGACCAGACTCAGAGCACCCTCAGCTGACTGTAAATAAGTATGAATGTGTTTTTATGAAATTTATAGTAAGTTTAAGTTGTTTCAAGTTTCATTTCTCTTGTTTTTATTACAGTTTTCTTTTTCCTTTATTTTGTTGTAATTTTTTTTTTACTGTAAATATGGTATGAATGAGCCTCACATATCTCTAATACTTAATGTCCCTAAGTGGGATCAAATGTATTATATCTTAATAAAAGAAGAAAAAAAATGTCTGCATAAGTCAAGAAACTTATTAAACATTTGTTAGGTAAATATGCCCACTAGCACACTCGATTTAACACAGTCTAGGGTCTGTTAAAACTTGGTACTAATTTGATAAATCTTCAGGGAAAGTTATTGAATATTTCAATATATTTCATACATAGGTAAGTGAAAGTAAAAAATAATTTTTCTGCTAGTCAATTAATAAAATCATTAATACTACACATATTAATAGGGTACATTATTACCGTACAAATTCAAATTACCTCAAATTCTATCCTATTTAGATTTTGTATCAGCATTAGAAGAAGATTGCTGTTATAAAGTTCCTGGGCGAGTTGGGCAACAATAATGTCTGTTTGTGGTTCTGTATCAGAAGTTCCGTAAAGCATGTTCTTTATCAAGAGTAAATTTTTACTGACATCTTCCTGAGCCTGAAATGCAGAAAATTAAATAATAGGATCAATAAGTTAATGTATTAATGTGTTCATATTCTATATTAACTACCATGATTATTTACCCTTAATTAGTGATAATGATTTGTAAGCGAAGAATAACATTAAACAAAAATTGTTCTTGTTTTATTTACAACAATCATTTGGTTTATTAATTCCTACTTATGATATACTTACCTTTTTCATTTATTTATAAAAAAAAATTCTTATCATATTTCAATGTTTTTATAATTATTATGCTTAAGAAACCCTTATCTCATTTGTACATTCCGCCTTTTTCTTCCCTTATACTTTTACATTCATCATTTTTATGATTTTATTCTTTACTCTTATTATTACTATTATCTTGCTTATTTATTCTTATGAGTATTACATCGTTACTGTTATTCTTCATGGTTATTACTCTTATACTTTTATATTTATTTTTTCTCTAATATTATTTTATAGTCGGTAATTTTTAGCCCTGATGATGACCCACATTACTGATTAACGAAATTCCTGACAATTCTGTTTCATAAATATAATTCAACTTTTTTTTCTTTTTACTCCCTTCCTCACCTTGCAGGCTATACAGGGATTTTCTGGCACAGAGAGTGAGAGGAGAGAGATTTAATGCCTGAGTAGAGCTGGCACCAGGAAGTGAACTTGTAATTATTTTATCAAATTATTATATCTTCCATCAGGTTGATGGGCAACGCGATGCTGTTCACATGCGTTAGCCCACTTGGTCACCCATCTCTACTTTTAATTCAATAGTCAACAACTTACCTAACTATAAATCAAAAATGTCCTTTTTTTTTTATTAAAAAATGCCATTTTCCTCCCCTTCCTCGCTAAACGTGGTTTTACCAGGCCATCGGAGAATGCAGGGGTTAATGCCAGATATAAAAGCCCCCAGCACTGAGAATCAAAATTGTAATTTTTAATTTATCAGGTTGTCAGGCAACACGTGTGTTTTTTTCAAATGCCTTAGCCCGCGAGGCCATCTCGCCACCAAAAAGATGACAACTAATAACAACAAGTTGCAATCAAATAAATAATAGTAATGTCTCATTTAGCAAATAACCCTTCCATTACTTTCAGTATATTTATACTCCCTTCTACATCTGACAAAGAGGACCCAAGCATAACAGCCCTCGAATTCACTGCCCTAAACATTAGTCAAAGCAACCAACATCCATCTTAACAACCACATGTAGCCATTGGTTTAAACTTTAAAGGTTTTGATTGGTCACGTTTGCAATTACAGCCGTAACGAATAAGTGAATATATGCTGTAATATAGCTCCCTATCCCATGGGCTCTTCAGAGCAAAGAAATTCAGAAAAAGTTTAAGGTTTGATTAGTTAAGATTAAATTTATATACAATTCAATATCTAAGGTCTTTGTCCAATCTAAATTATTTCTCTCTCATCTTAGCTATGATAAGATTAAAAATATTACTAACTACGACTAGATTACATTGAATTTATTATAATTTTAGAGAAATTTTATGACTTTTATATTAATAATATTATCATTAAGAAGAGTCATCAGACTTGTGTATGATGTTCAGTTGCCCACAAAAAATTTCATACTTTGAAAAGGAACATTTGTTATCAGATAACTATGAATGACAAATGTGGCTACAAATGCTCAGTCTAGCTTTAACAACTTCAAGAGAAAAAAATGCTCTGTTTGTGTTAGTTATAAACTGTCGAAACTTGCTATCAGAGTCCTATTAATTTCTTAAAAGAACAGTTATATCTTCTGCATTTTCAAAAATTTTATGATTCATTCCAGCCTGTACTCCTTTATGTTCACATGATGCTTATATCATCTTCTCTAGTACTAAGCTGAACAGCTTCGGCAAAATTTTATCTCCCTGCATCAAACCTGTTCGAACTTTGAAGGTTTCAGATTCTTTTCGTGGCACCAGGACTTGTCAATATATATGTATATTTTTTTTAAGAACATGTTTCATTATTTTACATATTTCTTTCCTTCCCCATGTTTATATATAATAATAAATCATAATAAAAGGCTTAGCAAAGCCGAAGATTTGACGCCGACACCACCAATCGGTTTTTAGAGACCATTAGCCATACAAATCCAGTTCCGCCAGGTGAGCCTGAGTGTAATCCTCTCACCTTCACTTCGGTCTACCCCTCTGACATTTACCAGTTGGCACAGAGCATATTAATCTTTTAGAAATTCTTTCATTATTGTATATATATATATTTACATATAAACTTTTCTGACAAGTAGCATATTGCTGTGTGTATATTTGCATCACTACGTATCAAGTTTCTGGTTTAAGGCAAAATCTTATTTCTGATGATATTGAAAACAGTAAAACAGTCATTGGATGAATATTGCTGATAGTGGATTCCTTAGTTATACCTTTAATCTCTGATTTCTAATAAAACAGATACTTTTTAGTTTACAAATAGATTGTAGTTTAAAAAAAGATTTCCGTGATTGGTTTCTATCAATAAATTTATAATTACTGATAAAATAAATTATTCGTGTGAAGCGATGTCTCCTTGCAGCAAAAGAGGCCATTTTCAACAAATACAAAATTAATAGAACTAGTTTTGAAAGCAAATGTAGCAGAGTGAATTGAGTCTAGAACTGAAAAAATTGGTGATGAAAAACAAAACTACCATAGCCTAATTTTGAAATTATAAAACTACTTCACCATGATGGAGGAACACAAGATCACACTGCAGATGAAATTCCCAAAAATGTGTCAGAAAGAAGACAAAGGTGACAATCCACTGGTGAGGCTCATATCTCCACTTAAAAGTACTTGTTAGGAATTTGTTTTCTTCTTTTAAAAAAGGTAGTCAAAGATAAGTTCCACTTGTAAACATGTCAAAACTCAGCCAATCTTGGAATTCAATCTGTAGTGGGCTTATGTGATCTTTTGCCAACCCATCTTGCTGGAGTGACATTTGTAATTGTATCTAAAAAATGTTTTTGGAATTTCCAGACGAAATTGGGCAGATTTTCTCTTAACTATTATTCAAGAAATAGTTCATCTATACTAACTATTGAACATGAGACTTTGTAGATTGTAAAAACAACCAATCTTCTTTCACTGTAATACATCAATTCCTGACAACTCTACCTAACAAATGATGGAACTGTCTCTAACAAAAAGGCTCAGTGCTTTCATTTGCCTAATTTATCAAACCTTAAAACCATTTTGGATAATTCAAAAAATAAATATTACTAATAACGAAAGCATGTAAACTACCATATTAAAATCATTAACTTAATTATTTATATCATGTGAAGAAAAACCTCTTACCATGATCAAGATAATTTCTAATTAATAACACATTCATACACTAAATTTTAGATGAAGTAAATCAAACATTTAAAAACCGTTGTTGATTTATTTATTAAATATAAATTGTTCTAAAGATTATCCTCTATGATAATCAAATCACTGTTTATAAATGAAAAACTCTACATATAATCAATTTCTTGAAATGAAAAAATCTAAAAAACATTTATGTTAATAACTGGAACTAGAAATATAATCGAAACTAAAACTACAATAACACAACTAAATCAAGAAACCTGATTGAAACACCTTGGTTAATGTTATTACGTATAAAACCCAACAATACATAAATAACAGATGCATAACATTTAATTAGTTAAGTTTACCTTTTCAACTTTCTTATCTCCTCTTTCAAGGGCATTCACTGCTTCTTTAAGGGCCTTTACTACTTCAGCAGGGCTCTTCTGTGATTTCCCGAATAATGGCATTTTTATTGAAACACTGGAAGTCAATAACATTCAATATATTATTTACACTTTGAAACTTTAATAGATCAAAATTACACCAAGGAAAACATAAAAAACAAAGAGGTTTCATAACCTTCTAATCCTAACTACAAAAACTTCCTCTGTACTAAGACAAGAGAAAATTTGTCGTGACCTTTCAAAATGATAAAACCAGCTAGATTTTAGTTAAACGACTACACATTAAACAAAAAATTTAAAAATATCACACATTCATTAAAATAGGTACAAATGAGGATAAGAAAATGCTAATACTATACTGATTTTTAATTAATATGATTTATCTACTAACGTCTATTAGCTTTAATGCTACTCCGAGCTTAAATGGTATTCCTTTAATATCGAAGCAAAATCTGTAGAATTTACTTATTTTTGGTAAGTTATGGCATTTCACTTTAATACCAACGACCAGACAATACAGACGAATGCAAAAGCTACATGATTGAAAAAGTTAATACATAAAAAAATTGTTAAAGAAATTAAGAAATAATAAAACAAAATGAGTTTTTAACCTTGATAAAATATTGTGGATAGAATAAAACGGAACATTCAATTTTAGTTCAATCAGCAGAGTGGATTTGTTTGGTACCAAATTTATTAATCAGCTGATAATGAGGTTACATGCGGTATGTGTTGTTGATAATGAAACTGCCAACTTGTAGTAGGATCGTCGGCTTTGCATAGAAATGGAATACTTATTCACATTTCCATTCCTTCTTTTGGAAGTTCCCAACTTACGAATAAAACGACCATCATGGTTTCAACAGCCCTCTGCTATGGTCACCTATTCATTAGTTTTACTATCATATTTTCTTGTTACTGGAGGTATATTGAAAATTGGTGCTTGAGTATATACCTATATTTACACAATAAAACTTTGCCCATATACACACATTTTATGTCCTTTGTTTAGGTATAATTTATGATGTCATCATTGAACCCCCCAGTGTAGGATCTACAACTGATGAACACGGACATTCCAGGCCTGTATGTTAGATTTTATATTTTTAATATGTAATATCTATTTCAGTAATTCTTACAGTCATTTATGCATGCTAGGTGGGGCAAGATCACACTGTACGTGGTGTTCCCTAAGTAGTAATGTGTCCAAAAGTAACAGGAGACCACTGATTCTGTAGCATAATTGACATCCTAATCCTTGCCAAAGATTATTAGTGGTAATTAAAATTATTACTGATATGACAACCATTAAACTTATACTCACTTAAGATAGAATCGAACCCCCAACAGGTCTATTTCAGTTGAGGTTGGGGCCTTTCTTTATATTTAAAGGAAATATCTCCGGACTCATGACTAGCCCACCTTGCAGGAGTTGTTATTTTCCTATTAATCGGTTCTGCTGAACACCCCTTTATATTCTTAAGACCTAATGTGTAATCAAAACTTCTTTATTAAACCTATTATTATCTATTCTGATCATATAAAACATTTGAGTCTTCTTTTTTCTCATTAATGTCTAATTCTCCCTTTTCTATGATTCCCAAAATATTTCTCATTCTGTACCTCTACCCTTCTATTTTCTTTGGTCCATGTATTTATCCCAAATTATTCTTTTCGTTTTCAATAGCCTTTGTATATTTGCCCCATATAATATCGCTAGTTTCACTACAGACTCATAATGCCTAAGTTTTTCCTCTCCCCCTTCCCAAAGAAAAAAAAATTGTCTTTAATCTTAATCTATTTCCTGGTTTGCAGTATTAAGTTAATGCTGTATGTGCCCAAAAAGCTACTTCCTCTTCTTCATGAATTTTAATGATCCTTGCCGTGCTCCAATCCCACTGCTTTGCTCTAGGTCAGGAACCTTGTTCTCAGAAAGCTTGACTTTAACAAGGGATAGTTTCCTCTTTATTTGAAACTTCATGGTATGAATAACCATAAACATATTGAGGCTGAACTTTCATCTAACATGATACAACGAGGATTGTAAGTCCTAGAGGAAGGCTTAAATAAATATATGAAAAATCAATTGTACTAGTTCACATCAGTCCTGCACGTATTATGCGTTGTTCACAATCACTTCGGCCACACTTGTTCATGGAGGGCCGAATGCGTTCGGGTTTATCTGAAAAAGAACAAAGACGACTGATCTCTTGAGTCAGTTAATGTTAACTTTCCCACCATTTAATTACTTTATCCTTAACCATGTTCAGTTATACAGCAGGAGTTGACTTGTATTCGAAATTTAGGCTACATCATTTAATCTTAATCGAACTTGTACATATATTATACATCTGCGGAAAATAATTTTTTTTTTTTCCTATGCCTAAGTAATGTCTGCTTCATCAGCCATGCGTGCTCTTGCAGTCCAATACAATTTTGCTCTCCGAGCATAAGGGCTTTCCATTTCATTAAAGGAACATCTTATGTCCTGTAATGCAGGGCATGTATCAAAATGTTCTCCTGTCATCATGTCTAAGGAACATAGAGGGCACGTCGGGCTATCTTTTATACTGATGCGGTGGAGGTGCTTCTGAAGGAAATCATGGCCTGTGGGCATTCTAAAGCATGCCACGGCTTGCCCTCTAGGGAGGTCTCTCAGGTCGGAAAAGAAATAGTAATAGATAAAAAACCTTTAATTATTATATCTCTGAATGCTATTTCATAATTATTTTTTTTATTGAAATACATTACTCATTATCTCGGAATCATCAGATATTCTTAATCAGTTGTTTCCCAATAGGTTAATTCCTTTCTTAAAACTAAACATCCTAATAAACACGATATTGTTTTTATTTTATTTTTATGAATGACTACAATAAGTTCCAATTTTTGGATTATTAAGCAGAATAACAATAATTACAGAGTTAATTCATTCAATAAAAATAATATTGTTTAAAATGAGAAAATAAATTAGAAGTTTACTTTACATTATAGTCCAACTAAGTGGTAAATCTACGGGTCCCGTTGGAATTGGGCATTATTTGAATAAATATTTATCTACATAACGATTAATAGATACATTTTATTCATTATTTGATGGATTTTTACATATGATTTCTTGGTTACTCGATAGTTACAGACATTGTAAATTACCTATTATCTATTAATAAGAATAACGAATAAAAAGATAATAGATAATTGCAGATTATTTATTATCCAAATGATGAAAAAAAATCTTTCATAGACAGTTATAAAAGATAATATTCCATAGTATATGCATATTTCTTCAACTACATGTAAGCGCGTGTCAATAAAAAGTTTATTCCTAAAAGCATTATTTTTTAAACTATCCTTGAAGGGCGACTGAAACATCATTTTACATATTTTCTTTATTTTTCTTCCAGATTAATTATCGTTCTAATAAAAATTAATGAATTAGTAATTACACAATTTGTTAATTAATTATTAATAAGGAAGTTCTATGATGGGAATACGTTTTTTCAAAAATGCATGAAATGGGATTGTGTGGTGCGGGCAAAAGCTGACGTCATAAAAGACGGCAACGTTCGGCTGTTCTCGGTATTCCATGAACAAGTGTGACCGAAGTGATTGTGAACTACGCATAATCTGTTCGGAACTCTTGTACCAGTCAATTGTTTTAACAAATTTAGTAGCTTATTCTTTTCTTTAAATAATTGTCATCATAATAAAATATATATGATTCATGATAATAATGGGATTCTCTATGGTTTTAAGAATTTTGTTAAAGTCAAGCTGAGAATATAAAAAAAATATTTAAGTTGAATAAAATCTTTTGAAAATTATAATATGAAGGAGTGAAATTATCAGATTTAGCTCTAGAACTGAAATAGTCACAACCTACTGTTCCATAGTAGTCGTTACCGGTTTTTGCCCACTATTAAAATATTTAAATTTTTTAAAAAGTTATTTGCAGTGTATGAGAGAGAAAATATTTACAAGCGATGGGCTCCACTTGAGCAGTATTACCTTTTCTTAATCTTATATATTATTTCTAAAAGGTGTTTTTTTGTTGGTATGCCATAATTTCGTCAATTCTTCATCAAATCCAATGATTAACCACTCACTTTGAAGATATTCTCCTTCTTCACATGCGAAAAATAGTCCTATCCCCCCGAAATTTCAGGAGAAAAAGTTATGAAGGAAAAGAAACTTATTTGCAAATAACTCAAAACTTATTCATTTTTTCTTAATTGTACCCATGATAATTAAATTACATAAAAAAAAAAATTGGACAATTAAGGGACAACTTAATAATTTTTTCATCTTTAAAGATACTGCATTTATTATTCTACTAAACTTTTTTTCTTGGCTGATACACTAGCTTTATTATTTCTTAAAGACATTTGTTTGTTCTTACATTTTATATTTTTTAATAATTTCGAAAATCCCATGATTGTCTTTTTTTTTTTATTACCTTTATTATCTTTCCAGTCAGCGTTTAAAAATAGGCCCTATCAAAGCAATTTGTACAAATATTTTGGTCTATTATGTTAAATGGAATAATGTAATCGACTAAGGAAAAATAATAAATTCCTCCCTCAGATAATACATAGGATAGTAGATAAATCTATTTCCATATTGTCTAGCTATTCCTTCAATAAACAAAATTTTCTGCGAATTATTCGCAATGGCCAACTAGTTATATCAGTAATTTTTAACTTCGATTACCAATTATTTGTAATCGGTATTAAAAATTACTGATAAAATTAAGAAGAGGTAATTTAGCTAAAGTTCCCATTTATTTCTAGCAGTTAACAGTTTACTTCATTTATATTAATTATTTATTTATACAACCAAGTTTTGGTGCATTGGTCTGCTGTTTATATTTTATATTGACACAGTGAAGATTTCAGTAATAGAAATATATTTTTTTTTTTTTTTAACATATTTCCTTCTGTCGATTTAAAATGGTATTTAGATTTAAGTGGTATGTTTCAGGTGGCCTTTATGCCATATAGAGTTAATGGACAGTACATAATGGAGGGTCTTGCGTCTTCGTTTCTTTTCACTATTGGCGGGCTTGGCTTCGTCATTCTTGATCACACACATAATCCAATGACTCCTAAGCTCAACAGGATTTTATTAATCTCAGTTGGATTTATTTGTATCGTTGTCTCATTCATCGCTTGTTGGGTGTTTATGAGAATGAAATTACCGTAAGTAAATTCGTTTATTTATGAAAACTTGCTTTGTTAGTAGATTTGGCTTTTGCCTATAAGAGGTTGTCAAAGTCGACAAAATGATTAAAAGATAAGAATTTGAAAAAAAAAAAAACAGGTGTTGCAATTATTAGTTTTTTTTAAGAGGAAGCTTATATAGATCGAGAGTTGTGAGATAGACTGAAAACAATCTTTGATTATTTTGTTAGTTATTTTTGGTTTAAGTTGTTCCTATTATAAATAAATTGACTAATTATGGATCTGCTATCAATTATTTAATATCACCTGCAAAGAAGAAGTAGTCAGTAAGAAAGAACTGTCTCCCTCTACTGGGTAGGCCCTTATTAATTATAATTATACAATTCTAATTTTATCATTCAGTTTACGTTTAAAGAAACATTACAAGGTTTGTTGTAGGTACAAGCCAAAATCTACCATAGCAATTAAAATTGATAGTTACATTTATATTGGTTAACTGCCACTTTTTGTTGAATGTACAGAAATTTTAGTTGATGTGTAGAATTTATTTCTATTATAAATTTAGTTTATAATAGAAGTTCAATATATAGAAATTTTAGACATATTGAAGTTCTATATGTAGAGGTTAAGCTGTACTATGCATTAATTACATAATGTAAATCTTAATATATTTTTTTTTCTTTCTTGCAGTGGATATCTGAGAACATAACGGATCATAATGAACATAAGGAATATTTAATGTCTTCTGCCCTTATTTAATTTTAATTCTATTTCTAAAAATTAAAAAAAAAACTACTTATATTGTATAAAATACATATATTTTACTTTATCAGAAGCAAGTTGTTATTATAAGTTAGTTTTTAAGGTACTGAAATATATTTATTCAATAAATTGTTTTATTGATTTTTTTTATAATACATTAAATTTGTTATGTATTCGATAATAACTTATATTCCATTCCTGATATTAAACTTACTTTTTCAAAAGCTTGTTTTGTTGTTTTTTTATGAACAATTTAATCTATAAAATTACATTTGTTAAAAACATTTTTTGAATTGATAAAGAACTCAACAATTCATTTTCATAGAGTAGCTTGTAAGTAAAGATGTAAAAGCCAGGTGATGTAGTAGTTCTTGTAATCACAACTATAATTGAATCCTAAAAGAGCTGAAACAGAAATTTAAGATCATAGTTATTCTTTTTTGGGTAATTTTTATGATCAGATTCCCATGCAGGTCATGTCATAAACGCATAACAGTAATCATCTCATGTGAATTGATACTACAAAACAGTGAGATTTTTTTTTTTATACGTGTTTGGAGAGAAGAAAAAAAGTTATGGAAAAAACAACTCAGTATTCAAACCCATTTATAGATGAGAATGAGAACTTGAAGTTAGCACCATATAAAACAACTAAATTAAAAAGTAAATGTCAAAATAAGAGAGTTAAAAAAATAAATAAGAGTGAAATGGAGAATAAAAAATCAACAATAAACAAAATAATGGAAGAGAAGTAAGACTGTAAAGATGGATCAAATACAAAAAAAACACAATAAATCAATAGGAAGTTGGACTTTAAATAGTAATTGGCTAATCAGCAGTAATTTAAATGAGAAATTTTAGTCTACAAGATGCATATAAATTGAATATTTGTAAAAAAAATCATGAAAAACAAAGAGTCTACTAATAGGAACATGCATAATTATACTGCATACACATTCAAACGACAAAAAAATGAAATGATTCGAGTAACAAAATCTATTACTTGGCAAAATCGGGTGATTTATCAATAACATGTTCAAACTCTGCAAAAGACAGAGCTCCATCGTCATCTAAATCAGCCTCCGCAAGTATATTTTGAATGAGATGGGTCATTTCGTTGTCATTTAATTTCTGAGGACTGGTTAGCCTGTCTATTATTTCCTTCAGGTCCGAAACCCCTAGCATATCATCACCATCAAAATCTGAATATTGAAAATAATTAATATGAATAGTCAATTTTAAAACAATTATTTTTTTATAGAAGAAGATTCTAAGATTGGTGATGAAATCCTGAGAATGATAAATATTAAATTTAATAAAATAATGTTAGAACTATCAGATATGTGCACGTTACTCTCAAAACACCAAAACTGATTGGTTAGTCAGCAAATATTATTTTATTCTTTTGTATTATAGTATTATATTTAGTTAGAGCTTATTCATATACTTCTGTTATAGTTAGTCATATACTCCTATAGTAAGACCTTATTCTCATATTATTTGTTATCTATATATTTAATATATTAGTTTTGGGTCCACAACACCTGAGTATTTAAAATAAATTAAAAAAATGTTATCAAGCCGAAACCAAGAAACCCTTTTTATTGGATGCTGTATTAAAATTTTATTATTAATGTATGATATTCTGATATTGTTTCTAAAGTACTGCATGATAAAAATGGCTTGCCGTATCACTTTTGATAGACATTAATTACAAAAGGCATAAGAACAGAGGGAAAACGGAAGGATCCCTTTGGGAATATATTAAATAGCAATCAGTGTCTTATGAGATGCCAGCATATATCTGAAAGTTTTATAAAAATAACGTCAACTTGATAAAAACAATGCGGCTTTAATAAATAGGAATGAAATTTTGATGGTGTGTGGAAACATAGTGAAATACAACAAAAATACTTAACGAAAATCCTAAAGGCGTGTTCAGCTTTCACGGACTTAGGGGTAGAATCACTAAAGACAGACATCATATCAAGAAAATCTTCAAAAGTACAGTCCCCATCTTGACTAGTACTAAAAACTTTGCAGATTCTGTCGCCAAAAGGATTTACTCTTAACTCTGGATACTGCAAAACTTTGTTCATAGGAAGTTTAGCGTTCCTATTATGCCCAACCTTTTCTGGTGCCAAAGCTTTGAATTTCATATGGGCACTAAAACAATTAATGGATCAATTCATTGTTACTATTCAAATAACATCTTAGGTATTAGATACTTACTGCATCACCTCTTTCTTGGTAAAATAAGTTAAATCCTATAAAAGAAATATGAACAATTTAGTAGAGCATATGATCAATAAAATAGCAAGATGAAATCAGACACGTATAATGGTATTCAAAATATTTGAGTGATTATTACTATGTTGAATTACTAAAGAATCAATGTGAACAGTTTTTTTTTTTTTTAATAAAAAATTGTCTTCAAGTATTAATAAAAAAATTTCGATAATAGTCATAAAACAAACCTGGTAATCTTGAAGTTCTTCCTCTGTGAATTGACTTGATCTTTGGCCCATTACAGGTTTTTCAGTAACCAAGTTTTAAATGGTTCTAGAGATATTTAAAAAATATTAATAGTATCTTATTAGGAATAATTAACTATTTACTATGAGTAATAAAAATAATCGAAAACTCTACTACAATATTTCATAATTTCTTTTTATCAATTAATTTGTTGTTTTTAACCCATTTATTGATTTTAAGAGGACAGTACTAAATAAAACAATTACAAAAATAATTTTTTATGTAAGCAACTTTTAACATAAAATAAAAGTGTTAGAAATATTCCATAAGAAATACAAGAATTAAATTAATATAGTAACGATATTGGTTCATAAGTGCTTCCTCTGGATGATGTATGGGCTAAGATTATGTCAATAACACTTTTACATGAACTGGCAGAAATAGCTATCATTGTCCAATAATACTACTTTGTGATAACACCAATGTTTATATTACATTCAGTTACATTTTATTCTTCGATATTAAAATAATCACATTAGGTTAGTTCTCTATAAAATATTATATTAATCTTCTTCTTTGATATTCTCTCAAATGGTTTGGCTCAGTATTAAAACTATGAATTCAACATCCTTTCTGAGATCCATTAGATCACTGTAGAGCTTTGTTACCAAGTCTGTATGGTTTGGCAAGCTCTGCTTCCTGATGTACTCCAGCTCAAAGCATCTTTGAATGATATACTCTGCGTACTGTTAAAATTCATATAAAGATGTGCTCTCTCCTGTGATGAAGTTCCGAATCTCCAGCGCACAACTTGCTCATTTTATAGCCATGACCATGGTATAATGTGGATGGAAATCATTTCATCTTTGATGAATAGGCTCTTTATTTCTAGAGCTCACACTGCTAGAGTTTGAATGGAGTTTACTTAAGGAGAAGCAGGAAGGATACAGCTCCATCCTTTTCTAGTCGGTCAGTATCGCATTCCCATGCGCAGTGCCTGGGTATCCACTGGAGTACTACTCTTTTAGATACCCATATCTTTATATTAGTCTCACATAATTCTTCTGGGTTGAAATATACAATTTTACAGAATTGATTAAGAATAAATTATTATGTATACACAAATCAATAATATGTATGATTCATAGGATTTTTTATATTATTTATTAAATTCTGATCTCACATTATTAAAGTTTATCTTGACTACTTTTAACATTTTATTTGTTTTACAAATTTAAAATCTTTTATTATAATTGAATTCCTGGCTTTGTTACCATTGCTATTCTTAGCTATTGTGCTTAAAGTCTCCAAAAAAGTATGGGATTGTGATTATCTTTATCTTCAGTCTAAAATATAAAATTATGTCCATTTGATCAACAAGCAATGTAACTTTTTTTTTTTGGTCTAGCCCTTCTTTGCCTTATAGGCTATACAGGGTTTTTCCGAGGGCAGGGGATTGATGTCGGAATTAAAATACCTCCCCCCTCTCACCAGCACTAGGTCAATGTAACCTTCACGTTATGTATAATTTAGCTCACACTATAATATATATATCTTATTACAAAAGATGTGAAAACAATGAGAAAAAATTATGTCTATTTGAATCATGAATAATTAGAATTCTGGAGTTCAGTTTGCTCTGCACTCTTACAGACAAACTCAGCTATTGTCAGCATTCCATGTACAAATTTGATTGGATTCCAAATTATTCTAATACCATCCAGATAGAGCACTTGTAAACTAGTAACACTTCTTCTTTCCAGTTTGTATATTCCTAACATAATGAACAAGTGTTTGCAACAAGAAATTATATTGAGGATTGGTGACAATGTTTAAGCTTTTATACAAGCAGACAATAAAAATATTATAATTTCCAATTTAACATTTGATAACATGTTCAAAAAGTTCAGACTTTTAAAAATAATGAAGTGATAGTTGTGAATAAATATTTATTTAAATGAAAACCATTTCGAAGATTTTTGACACTCAGTGTTAATATTGAATACATGTAATCTTTAGAATCACAATTCAAGATACCTTACTAGTTACCGGTTGCTTAATGAATAAACCAACAACAATATTTAAAATAAAGAATTAACCAGCAATAGTAAACAATAACCTCCCAAATTTAATTGAGTATGTTTTCCTCATATTGCAACGAGGAATAATAAACAGTAAAGTATTTTTATTACATTGATCTCATGAAGCTCTTTGGAATAACTATAAAACAGTTGACAAAAGGGCAACTTTCTCCATACTTAATAATATACTCCCCTCTTTTCCCTCATCATCTATCATCTATAAATATATAGGGAACTTGTTTACTTATTTATTCATTTTCTAATTTATATTAAAGAATTAGATTGGTTAAAAAAAATAATTTTCATTGTTCAAATATTGTATACAAATTTAATTTTAAACAATAAAAATATTAAATTTTAAAATTATATACTAAATATACGAGTTTAGAAAACACTTAGATGGCAGAATATGCTATCAATATGTCTCAAAATATTTAAATCATAACAAGAGAAGAGGCAGGACAGGATCTCCATTTTGGAATCATAATTAAAAGACAACCCGATGTATTCCATCTTCCGGGTCCAAGTTGTGTATGAAGGGTGTCCCCTTAGTAAATGGAAATATTCGAAGAGGTGCAATATCTTGTTAAAATGACTGAAACATGAAGGGAAATAAACAGTGCGGTTTTTCGACACTTGTTGACGCTTTCATTGCACAAAGTACACGATATACTGACTCAAATTATAGTTAAGAACTATGCAACAAAAGATGGTAATGTTCGCACCACATCATAGTTTTAAGTAAAAGGAACAATAGAAGGATGAAATGAAAAAGGTAATTTGACATAAATAGAATTCGAAAATAATATATTAGGACGATGAATAGTAAGGATTTGCAGTTTTTATATCATCGGTTTATTACAAAAAGTCAGGAAGTGCATTTTTGATATAGGTTAACTTTCAAAGATGTTTTTATGAATTTCGGCTTGATTAATCGATAAAAAACACTGTAATGGCATGAAAAAGTAACAAACCACTTTATTCATCAAATATAGTTATAACAAGCGCACAGTTTTTCGATTTCATAAAGGATAAATCGTTCAAAGTTCTTATTTAGCTGAGGTTATGAAATCTCACTTGATAGCTTTTTACAATAAACCGATGATATGTTTTAAGAAAAATATTAGTTCATGGTGCTAGGCGTTGTTACACTTGCCAACTCCTGACGGCTACCATGAGGTTGCCGCCGCGTACTTTCCAAAGTGGAAATTTCAAGATAGAACTTCCGGACCGAGAAATGAAAATTAATCAACCTAGGAGGGAATACAACCCACAACGTTCAGAGCCGTATGAATGATAGACCCGAAACAATTGAATTGATCGAGTGGTAGGGTTCTGCAAGCCGAACTTGCACAGATGAAGAAGCGTAAGCTAAACATGAGAAATATGCCTCACATCAAGACCTCAGGTGAACGGATAAAATATTAATGGAGGAAGAATATTCACCTCGAGAAGGTGAATTCCACATCGCTTGTTGCTGATGGGTATCGGCTTCACTTCTCTTCTGTGGAAAAGAACGGTTCTATGGTCCCGAAATGCCATTCGGTATAATGCTGGATATTCCATACGAGTTTCGCTATTAAAGGAGTCTTTTTTTATTTTTTAATTAACTTTTTTTTTAAATTTATGATGCATAAGTATTTGCCGGGAAACCTTGCATTAATAACAGTTTGAAAAAATAAAATATTATTCTTTACATTGAAATGTTCTTAAAAACTACATACGTAATAATATGCTCTTTATGGCGTTATTAAAGTGAGTAATTATGTAATATTCACTGAAAAACAAAATGAGGATTCTCCAAAGTTACAAGCATTCTAAAATGGGACTGGAGAAATAAGTTAAGAGAATTTGAAAATGTTCTAAAAGTTTTCGCAGGATGCCTCTGGACCTCTTTGGTAGTACTTCAAGTGACTTTGTAGGAGTAAAATGAGAAGAAATGAAACTCTGAAGTATATTTTGGATAAGTGGCCTGGAAAAAAATATTTGGGCCTATATAGATTTCTACCCATATTCTTTTGTTTGGGTGCAGCTCTTGAATTTTCAATGATTAATTGGGATTTTAAGGGGCAAGTAAATTTCTACAGAACTTACAAGAAAAGACAAATTCAGGAAAAAGTAGAAGAATTGATGCATAAAGAAGAGGTTCCTATTTCTTAATCAATTGTTTATAGAACATTTGTAATATGCCAGCTGGTGTTGGTTGGGGCCGGTATTTAACATTTTGTGGTGCTTCCATGCTATCAATGTTTGCTGGTGCACAAGTTGTTCATTCATTTTACAGACCATTAGATGATTTAGACAAATTAATACAAATTGAATTAGAGAAGCAGTTGAAAAGAAACCAAGAAAAGCCTGGTTAAAATGTAAAATGATATGATTAGCCTTAATTGTAAATAGGTATGTTTGTGATAATTAAAAAGTATTTTTAGTATTTGTGCATTTATAAAATTCACCTTACTGAAACATCCTTTATTTTCATTATTCATAAGCGATGTTTTTTCTCATCAATATATTGATTGCTGAGTATAAGCAGTAATTATTGTTACTCTATTTACCAAACTTTAAATTGATCTCTCTCATGTTTAAGAAGCAATTATTAATCAATGAAATGCCTTTACTGTTTGATTTAATGTGAGTAAGAATTTTAATGTGTTTACTTTTAGTTGACTAAAGGGTTTATTATCTTGATGGATACAGATGAGACATAATTTGTAAATTAAAAAAAAAATCAAATATGTAAATACTTACTGTTAAAGAGCCTCATTTTTAAATTTTCTGAATATTATGGGTTTTTAAATATTAAAATAAGGCTGTAATCCTAATGGACAGAAAAAGTAGACAATATAAATTAAAACCTATAGACCTGTTTAATTACCTGTCCCCAGTATCGGAGTAATGAAAATGAGGAAGGATGATTTTGATAATTACACAGAACTGAAAGTTCAGTCAGCTCATTGTACCGATTAAAACTAAAACTTTAACAAATATCATAGATTTATTACAAATATTTATCAAATTGAATCACTGAGCACTTGGATGAATTTTCTCTCTATCAACAATGTACTTAGAAACATTATACAATAATCCAACAATATTTACTTGATCATTATCTTAAGTATACATAAAAAAAATCTAGTTTTTAAAAGTATTAAAGCCCTTCGGTAAGGTTTTTGTTCTTGCAATTGGTATTTCTGAAGTCACTACCCTCATTTTTATTCTGAATATAATTATCGCGAATTTATTTAGATAATTTAAAAATGAAGGTTGTACCGCATATTTACAATTACGAGGATGCATGCCTGATGATTAAGTTACAGAACTGTGTCTTATTGAAATGATCAACCTCTAGTATTTTCTTATGCCTCATACTTCTGTTCTCTTTAATAGGGATCCTCAATATTTTATAGTACAGTAAAACGTTCTGAACATTAACTTAAATTAAAATAGAGCAAACATTGAACTAATAGCTGCATAGCATTGCTTATCACTAAGAATGGCCTTAATGAGGATATAGAAATTTATTTACACACATACAAAAAAAAAATATTACGAATGTTATAGTTGAAGGTTTTGCATACTTAAGATTAGGATTAGCACATAAAATTTAAGAGAATAATACTTCTTCCATCGAATAATTAGCCCAGTTTTAAATGCAGAAACATTTAATATTGGATAACGGAGAGCTAGACTAATAAGCAGTTGAATATGGAAACCTCGGTGCTGAAGTTATCTTAAGCAAGCCTGGGAAAAGGTGCAGCTGTAACAATATATTGTTATACTTCATGTCTGACCTGACATCATATCTTCTCATAAAATTGAACAGTATCACACTGTTAGAACTATCAAATATTAACTTCTACAAATGGAAGTGCTGTAAATAAAGAGATAATCACTTGATCAAAATATTTTCATGGCTGCAATAAAGTAATTGTATGATGTAAGTTTAAAAATTCAAAATACCCACCAAAATTTATAAATAGATTGGAGAAAAAAACAACTGAGCCCAAAGTCTAAATAAATCAACAAAGAATTATTTGTATATGCTCAAAGATTGAAAACATATTTAAATTTTATTATAAGAAAATACATTTAAAATTATTTACACTTTTGTTTAAACAATACAAGTTTTGCATTAGATTATATCTGAAACTAGCTAATTTAACTATTTTTGTTACAGACAAAAATCTTTAAAGTAGTCATTTATCAGTTAATGCAAACCTTCTCTTGATTTGTAAAAATAATTTATATAACATTACAAAAGACTTAATGACATAAGTAATTTAGATAAAATATTTAACTGTCGGTAACTTTTTGCATTTTCTTAATTTGTTTGAGTTTCTTCTTTTTCAATTGTGTAAGCCGCTTTTCCTTAATCTTATTCAATATTCGTTGTTCTAGATTTGATACATCTTTCCCCTTCAGGATTAAATCTTTCCTTTTATTTATAGTTTTTCGTTCATGAAATTCAGATTCTTCAAACTCAATTTCACATTCCCTTTTAGTGATTGAGACCTGAGCAAATATTTTAGCTACTTCTTTATTGCTAACTGTAAATTCCTTAAGTTTAGTATTTATTGTTTCTTCAATAGATTGTAATAATTTTATTTCTTCAGGAACAACTAATGATATTGCATAACCTTTTCTTCCGGCACGTGCAGTACGTCCTACTCGATGAATGTAATCTTTAGGAATAATTGGCACATTATAATTCAGTACCAATTCAACAGTTGGTATGTCTAGACCACGGCTGGCAACATCAGTAGCTACCAGAAGTGGAACGATATGGGATTTAAACTTGGATAGTGAATTCAGTCTTTCTTTTTGTGGCATCATTTTATGAAGAGGAACATTTTTAAAACCAAGAATATTCAAAGTAACCGAGAGCAAATGACAATTCTTACATGTATCAACAAAGAGTATTATTGAGGTATCTTCATGTTTCGCAATGAATCTTCTTAAAGTCTCAACCAAATATCCGTCTTTTACGTAGGCTGGGCAAAAAACATAAAATTGTTCTAATTGTTCAACTGTAGCAACGGTTGCTACTTCTTGCCATAGAAAAACTTCTTTCCTAGCTACTGCTTTAACTTGATCTAATGTATCAGTCATGGTAGCACTAAACAGTAACATTTGTCGGTTGGAAGGCAAAGTTTTTATAATACCATAAATTTCCTCATCAAATGGGCCTCCTAAGAGCTTGTCAGCTTCATCAAGAACTAAATATTTTATTTTACTGAAGTTAAATGTGTTACAACTGGAAAGATGATCATATAATCTACCAGGTGTAGCTACCACTATGTGAGGTTTTTTTAAAAGTTCTTGTCCTTGTAAAATCATTTCTACACCTCCTACAATTATAGAGACTCTCAGGTTCATACATTTACCAACCACAGAGAATGCATCACCAATCTGATGAGCTAGCTCTCTGGTTGGTGTAATAATGACAGCAAATATTCCATAGGGATCCTCAACCAAATGTTGTAAAATAGGAAGAGCAAATGCCAAGGTCTTTCCACTGCCCGTTTTTGCGACACCAATCACATCTTTACCACTGAAAATTTCTGGAATACAATTTTGCTGAATAGGTGTAGGTTCTAAAATACCTATGTTCTTCAACTGACGAATTATCCAAGGATTTAATTGTAACTGCGAAAACGATTTAACAGACATTTTGTAAACTCATTAAGATAATAACATGAACGACTTAATGAAAATCAACAAGTACACACTGAAACCACCTTGCTTTAGAACCTCTCACTTATTTACCTGACATCGAGGCGATAGTGAACGATTAAATCACGCTGGAAGTAATTTAAAACCAACTTTATAAGAGATAGTTTTTAAAATGAGCTTAACTTCACTAACTATTTTTAATTTCATTTTCAATATTATTTATTGCATAACATTATGAATAATTTATAGCGTATTAACTTTACTTTTAAAATAATGCGTTCCTAGTACTTATTAAAAAAATATATAATAACAGTCAAATTAAGATATAACAAATACTGAACGAAAACATAAATATTAACTCGAGCAAATAATGTACACAACAATAACTTATGTTGAGTAATAACGAAACTGAAAGGGTTAGACTTTTTTATAGGCAAGTGAGTCTTTTATTAAAATGATAATCTTGTTCATAGCTACTTCTGATTCGATGTCTTAGGGTATAAATTCCTGACTGCTTTGAGGTACCTGTTAAAGAAGAGTCTGAAATTAAATAAATATAGTAGAATGTTAATCAATAAATAAAACACAGTTTGCGATAAGGATAAGACTGGTATGTACAGAGAAGAAGTAAAGTAGCAAACTGCTCTATTCCTCCTTTCAAAACTTTCCTTCTTAACTTTTCAGATGGTATCTAGGCCAATTTTATGGAGTTCATTTCGTATAAAAGTTACCCAATCTGAAGGGATTTTGTTGTTTCTGGAAAAACATTACTAAAATAAGAAGTGTTCTGAAGGATAGAGAGAATGAGATAGATATTATACCTAGCGTCAGTGCAAGCCATGTTTTACTCCTTATATCCTGATTTCAAAGTCCCTCCTAATTGGAAATTCTCATAAATATAAATAAATATGCTTTTGGGCACGCTTGTAAAGTATTTATGTAAATGGTGGTTAAGGGATGACATAACCTGGTTTAGATTCTGGATTTATCTTTGAGAGCCTCAAAACTTGGCTGAGGGGCCACCAAAACCATACTAACGCTGTTGCCTTATTACCTTTAATAATAGAATGAAACAAGTGGGGGCCACTTTTCTATATAACCTTTGACGACTACTTAGAGTTTGCCATGCTGTATTGACTACAGTGGGAATGCAAGATTCATTTCCCAGATGGTTATGGAACATACAACGTTCAGAACCTGATACTTTGGGACCCTTTTTTTTTTTTTTTTTTTTCTCTCTCTGCCTTGCCTTATAGGCGATACGGGTTGTTGCAGCAGTATGTGTTTTCCACTGCTGGCAGTATAGGTCTGTTGAAATTTGTTAACATTATTATTTATGAGGTGTAGACTTGTTTATGAGCACAAACCTCACTTTTCTTTTCTTTTTTCCATTATTCCACGTGAAGCCACTCCTCGAAGCAGCTGCAACTTGTCTTAGCTTCCTTCTCTTCTTTCCAGATCAAAATGTGTAGGGCCTACCGCATCTTTCCACCCGTATACGAACTCCCTATAATGTGGGTAATTCTCTCTGCTCATTAGCTGGGTGAACATGCTCTCTGCGTGTATATATCCCCGTCTCTCTCAGGAGCTTGGCTCTTAATTCCTCGTAGGCAATACATTCGACTACCACATGTTCAGCGGTCTCCGGAAAGTTTCAGTTAGGGCATAGCGGATCAATATTCTTCCCGTGTTTAGCGAGCTTCGCTCGGAAGCCCCCATGTCCCGTGAGGAGTTGAGACACCCAGTAATCCGGAAGGACCCATCTTGCATCTAATCGTGACTTGACCGTGGGAAAGTACTTTCTTAGAGTAGCTCCCTTTGGAGTTGCCATCCATCGGCGGTTCTATTGATCAATTGTGTCCTCCTTGATAATTCTTTTCCATCTTCTTGGGTCTTCTTCAATTCTCATATTTAGATTCTCATTTATTTCATTTTGTATTCTGCTTTTTTGGGAGAGCTCTTTTTTCCAAAATTACCTTAAGCCTCATTACTTGAGGGCATATTTCCAAAATTATTAACTTCATTTGCACATATCATTCCAAGAGGATGCAGGGATTCCTAAGTCATCTGCTTATAAGAATCCTTTAATAGCTAAATATTCAGCTCTCACTTCTAGGAGATCCTACAAATCAATGGTGAAGGGTAAAGGGATTTATATCCTTGAAAAATGTCTTTTCTTAGCATTTCGATTGGTATTGAGAATTTTTTAAGATGATTGAATTGGTGGTTCAAACAGGTATAATCGTATGGTGGCGGGGTATACAAGCGAGCTGACACGTTGCCCGGCAACCTTATAAACCAAAGATTAGGAGATGAAATCCCGGTGATGGGGGGACTTTTAACTCTGCATTAATTCTCTGTCTTCTTCTCTGGCCTGAAAAAAACCTTCATGGTATAGATGGCAAGGAAGGGAGACAAAGAAAACAATATATAGAACACCTATAGAGAGATCATGATGGCCGAACATGTTAATAGCATAAACATTAACATTCATTGGAGTCTAATGATGCCAGTTTGAACCTGGGCCTGGGCGATTAAAATTCCCTCTGTAGGGCTGAAAGAGGGAGGTAGTGGAGTATTAAAAAAAAAAGATAGAACACTTTTCATAATAATGACTTCCCCACTTAATGTAATGAGATTATATAAAGAACAACTTCGAGTTGGCTTCCTTCACTTGCTCTCAGAGCCCATCTTTAGAGTATGTACTTGAGGAGACAAGCTGTATCCATAGGGCTGGACTATATCGATAGGGTGACAAAAAAATAACCATTTAGGGAGAGAAGGCACAAGGAGGAAGATTAGGCTTGCAATGGAGAAGCAGTGCAGAGGACTGGAAGGAGAGGAAATCTATCATCGAAAAATCACTGGTTCTCTGAGGACTGTTGAGTCAAATAATAATTAGTTCCGGGTACATAATCTTTCCAGGTCAGCCCCTTTGCTTGAAATGTTCCACCAAAAGTTATGAACATATTTGATGAAAATCTAGACTAATTTTTTTTTTATTTTCGTTTTTCTACAACTTAAGGAGTCATATTCCACACTAACACCCAAAAGCCACTGCTCCCTGTCCATCCAATCTCCTTCACGGAGCCCTCTGGCTGCCATGCTTTCCTCCACATCCTCTATCCATTTCTTCTTTGGCCTTCCACGCTTCCTTCTTTCAGGTGGCATATAGTTATAAATTTTCTCTGGCCAGCGGTTCTCATCCATCCGTATTAAGTGGCCATACTAGACTAATACTAACACAATAAGAAATGATTAGAAATTTTTAACCAATTCCTACAAATCCAAAGTAAGGTTTACTCTTAATAAAAGTTTATTTAAAAAAAAATATTTATTACAACATTTTTACTTACAAAATGCAACATATACAAAATACACATAACAAAACAAGATGAATAAAATATAGGAGATCTATAAGCATTTATATCATCTTTTATATTTAAAATGAAAATTAAATAACACAGAACATTATATGATATATTTAAGGAAACTTTCAATCCTATACAAATGATAATAAATCAATAATTTTAGAAAATAGAAAAAGGCATCAACATACAGCAAAAGGTTGAACAAAACAGCTATTTTTAATATACATATATAGTTTTTGGGACGCAACACATTCACATTAACTTCCTAACCTAAATGAATAACTAAGAAGTAACAAACCTTTGTAAAAAAAAAAAAAAAAAAGAAATTAATTTAATTTTTAATAGTTTAGTATATTTAAGTCAGTTCTTGTTATAGACAATATCTGACAATAATTATTTATATATAAAAAACTATATATAAACCACTAAGTAAAGTTTAAATAATATACACTCCTGACTGAGCAATAATTTACACGTCTGATGAAATAAATAAATAATTATAAAAGTTAACTGAGACAATCAGAAAAATGACTGTCAGAATTACATACTTTATAAAAAAATAAGCAACGATTGCTTTAAATACCTAATTTGTTAAATTTTAACTCTGCTAATACTTAGGTTTATACACCAATATACTTATAAAGGTAGTTAGTTATTCGAGGAATATTTTTTGGAGTGTATTTAATCAGTTTTACGAGGTTTGCGTTTCCGTACATTGTTTCCTTCTTGAGCAACTTCATCAGTGATCTCTTCCTCAATGATTTCATCATCCTAAAAAATATATATAATATATTGACATTTATAGAATTAAGAATAATATTGTTAAGCTTTTTAGACTGCTACTTAACAGAGTTTAACCAAACTAAATTTTCATTATTATCTAGAGCTGCAAGAAAGATTTAAGACAATATCAACTCGCCAAGTGCATCTTAAAACAAAATGGTGAAAGATGAAAAACTTTGATACTTGGTCCATTTTGAATCCAATAACGGCTTAGAAAATTTGTATTCAACTTCTTATTGCTGTTATTTAAAGGTTTAATAAGAAGTTTGGAAATATTAAACTGTTATTCAAAGTGTTCATATAAAATGAGGGAAATAGTAAAATGGTTTATTATCTTTATTTATCGAAAATCAAATGAAGGATGATCAGAGGAAAGGATACACCCTCTGTCCCTTACTGTGATGATGTCCTTCAGTATAATAAAAACAGTAAACTGGACTAGAATGCTAAATGACTGAGATAAAATGGGAAGTAACGTGCAAGTGACAGGTTCATCTTCATACATACGTGGCACGACATCCTGTTACCGAGACTGGACCTCCTCCAAGAGTCTCTGCCAGTTGGCTGTTTTCTATTGCAGCTCTCCAGTTCCGTATGCCAAGCAGGGCTCTCGCATCATAGGCCATGTTGTCCAGCCATCTCGTCCGCGGCCTTCCTACCCGTCTTGTGAGATGCAGCTCCTCAATCATAACTTTATTTCAAAGGCACTCATTCTGGCCACATGCCCTGCCCACCTTGGTCTCGCAAGTTTAATGTAGGTGACTACGTCGATGTCTGTATGGCAAGAACTGAGCTCCCTATTTTTTTCTTTTCCTCCAGACATCACCCTCCTTTACTGGACCATAAATCCTTCTGAGGACTCCTCGCTCGAACACAGTCGGCTTTATCTTATCACTTTTCGTCATAGTCCAAGCCTCTGAGCCATATGTCAAAACAGGCCGTACAAGTGTCTTGTATTAAATCAGCTTGGTCTTCTTTGAGAGATACCTACTTCTAAAGTATCGGCCAAGTCCAAAGACACATCTATTTGCAGCCGTGATCTTTCTCTGTATTTCTTGAGCCATGTCATTTTAGCTATTTACTTCAGACCCAAGATATATAAAGCTTTGGTCCATCTTCAAGGTCAATTATCCAGCAAGCCATTAAAAGAATATAAAGTTTGATCATTTAAAACAATAACTAATGGTTTTCACTTGAGTTAAGCAAAACAAGCCCATATTAATCAAATAATGTTAATTAATAAAACTAGACTCATTTGAAACTGCCTCATTAATATCATAGAACAATATATATTTTATTTAAATATAACCACCCAAATTAATTTATTATGGTTACTAGAGATATGAGTCGTCATTAATCAAAGACACTTCCCAAGAAAAGAAAAGAATCTCGGTAGATCGGGAAAAAAATTGATAAAGTATTGTAAGTCGCATCCTTCCTGAACAAAGGGAGAATAAACATTTTAAAAAAAAATTAGTAACTTACCGAATCATGAGCGGAATCTCCTTTGGTATCATCAGTAACAACAGTCCTATGAGAAAGTTTCGGAGGATAGATCAAGTCAATCAAGCAAACCATAAACTGTAACAAAAGTTTGTTAATTTAAAATAGTAAAATAAATAAATCAAAACAACATAAATTTACAATTAAAAACACTGCAAATTATTACACAATGGTTAATTATTTCCAAACAATTATGTATCAAAAGTAACATTACTTTCCTTGTCACATAAGGAAAAATAAAAAATAAATAATAAAAGATGATTTCAAATATTACCCTAAATAATTTTTTATTTTATCATTAGTAATTTTCTAAGAAAAATAACAAATATTGCTTCAGTTGATGTAATAATTTCAGGATATTAAAAACCAAAACAAAAAAAATTAGTTTTTCAGTAGAACATATTAAAAAAAATTAGTTAAGTAGTCTCAGAAAAAATGCGGGGACGGAGTACGACTGATGGACACAATTTTTTTTAATTTGATTTTCGAATTCTACATATCCTGAAAGGTAAAACCTCAAATTTGAAGGAGAGTTAAGTTTATGAATTATCTAGACAATTATAATGGTTGGTTATTGAAAATAATCAAACAAATAAAAAACAACAATTAAAAAACAAAAATTTCAATTATTAATAATATCAAATTGATCATGGTTTAATATGTTATTGTTAAACTATTAAAATTTGAAAAAATAAAAATAGAGTACATACAACAAAAATAATCTTTCTTCATAATTAATGTACTCAATAATATCATAGGAAGAAAACCATTAACCACCATCAACATCAAAGAAAACCATTAATAAATTTTTCTGAGGAGTTTATCGGGGGGGGGGGGGAGGGGAGTGCAGTCAAATAAATACTAAATTAAAATATAGTAACTATTAATTTTATTAAAATAATTACTATATTTTAATTTAGTATTTATTTGACCGCACCCCCCAATTAACTCATTCTCATATTATACCAACGGTCAACCATCTCTACATTATAATAAATTTTTCTATTAACATGGTTATTGTGACTATCCAAAAGTGGAAAACTATTAATTTTTAAAATGTGCTAGCTTTCTTTTTAAGTAGCAATTTATAAATATGTATATACTAATACTCACAAACATACAAACCAAACAAAATAACTAAAAAGACTCACCAGACCAAGTAGGGCTCCTAAAAGTATCGTAACAAAAGCAAATATCAGATAAGATCCCCAGCTTGGCAGGCCGTAATCCTCCATCAACTTGCTGTGCACGGCCTGAAATAAATATAAAGCTAAACGTATAAACACATGTATATAAGTAATTTTGAGAAGATTTTATGTACATTTATATATGTATGTATATGTGTATATATATATATATATACATATATTTTTTGTTTGTTTATTTTTTAGTGGTTACATACTGCTTTTTAAATAATGTTAGACTGTTTATAAGTTAGTTTTTGGCCAGATTTCTATTTTATTTTTGTATTAATTCATCATTGTTATTTTAAGGGGACTTTTAAGGTCCCAGAATAAAGTTCAATTTTCTATTCTATTCTATATACCAACTTCACATACTGTCATTAATAATAAAATTAGGATGACTTCTGTAGTTATTCAATCATTAAACAAGTAATTATTAGTACAAGTTTAATGGTTACAGAAACCTTTTTATGCCAAATAGTGTATTACTTTTTATGATAGAGAACAGCTAAACTAATTCTGAAACTAATCATTCCAGAAAAAATAAGAAGTCTGTAGGCAATTAACTTAACCTCTAAATAAATTTTTATTTTATCATTAGTAATTTTCTAAGAAAAAAAAAATATTGCTTCAGTTGATGTAATAATTTCAGGATATTAAAAACCAAAACAAAGGAAATTATTTTTTCAGTAGAACATATGAAAAAAATTTTAAAAACATATCTTTGCACCAAATTGTCCGATTTTAAGATTTTTTTTTATATTTTACATTTGTATTTAAGCTACTTTTTTATCATAGATGAACTTATTTTCCTAAAGAATTTTCAAATAATATTATTGTTGTATACAGATTTAGTATCTCTATATAGGGCCAATGGAAAAGATAACTCAAAATATAACTTATACAGAAGACCTTTAAATTTATTGTTATCTAAAAATAGAACTATAATACTCGACATTGGTCACCAAAAAATAATACATTAATTCTCAGTTAAAATTTTATAATTAATGAAAGTAGGCAAAGCTGCGACAGAAGACACTAGTTAAATACATTTTAAATCTGATCTACTACACTACACTTTGAATAATATATTTAGAACAATAAAAAAAAAAAAAAATTCAAATTTTAACAGGATCATTCAGACTTCTTGAATTTTTCAAGATACTATTTCATTACATGATTACAGAACACTATTTTACATCAGAAGTTAATCAGTCAGTCAGTAATGATATATTAGTAAAATCATGAGGTTTTAAAGAATTTTGCCCAAACATTCTTAATCTATCTATAACAAAAGAAAAAAACAACTTTAAAGTGTTAAATAAACATTACACGATTCAAATCTGTAAAAACATAAAATAATTATAACAAAAACATTATACTCACTCTCAAACCTTGTGAAAGCTTGAAAAAGTAGGACACAACAGACATTTGAACAGACGATGGTGATTTCCACCATGGAACAGCAGGAATTTGTTTCCATTTTTCATCTTCGATGAAAGACATGAATGATTCCTTATCTCTTGAACCTCTGTACTGCCTGAATTCGCCATTATTCACACTAAAACAAAAAAAATGAAGTCCAATATAATCCTACTTGACTTGTGGTAAAAAGGAAAAAAAAAAAATTAAATTCTTTTACAAAGGTGATCATTTTCAACATTTACAATGTAATTAAAATCAAAATATATAAAATACAAAAAAGAAAGTTTTTTTAATAGAATTATTATTAATCTTGACCTGTAAACTTAATGGGATTATAGTTACGAAAGATTAAATACAGTAACAAATTTATAAAGATTAGCAGGTTAACATATAGCATATGCATATTTATCATTCGAAGTATCGTGATTGACTTTAAAAAAAAGAAAAAGGATTATGCGTATACATTTTTCATTACTTTAAATAAAATTTTTTTTTTTTCCTTTTTATTAACTGTTAAAAACTGGACAACTGAAATCATGTATAAGTCTCCAGCGAAATAGGCAAATCCAATAATTCACTACTATTTAGTAGACCATATTTTGTAAGAAATTTCGAAAAGCAACAGTATTTTCATCAATGTTACATTAGGGGATCGAAAAGTGACATGTAAATTACATATTTGCAATTTTTAAACATCAACAGCTATTGATGTCAATAATAGCAAAAATAACCGAATTATTGATTACTATACCATTATTAAATGTACTTTACTCAACTCAATCAACTGAAAGAATACATGGGATGTTGATTAGCATAGATCAGAAACATATAATTTATGTTTATTTCCTAAGAAAAATTGTAAGTTTCTTATAACCATCTATTATTTTGGAGTAGTCATTTGAAATAATATCACTGAAACATTGTACCATGCAGTTCCAGCAACAAAAACATGAAAGATTTCTTAATTAATCAAACTACCTGAAAGGATAAATAAAAAGATTAGCTATCAAAACCTGTTTGATAATGTCATTAACATTCATGTAATCTGATATGATTACGAGTGATAAATATCATAAACTCAAATCTAACCAACAAGAAAAAAAAAAGTGAAGGAGCAATGATTTAGAAAAATCAATCCCGATAAATACCATAAATGAAATAATATTATACTACATCAACATTACAACCAGTAGTAAAATTCAGGGTTTAAGGTAAAACTGATGTCATATCTGTTAAGAATATACTCTTATCAATAATAGCAGTAAAACATTGTACAAATTACTTACTGAAATATTGTTGGTAATGCAGTAACAATAAAGCGACCACTAAGACCAGGTGATAAAGTAACATCAATTTGAGCCACAGAAAGGTCTAAATCTTTACTCCAAGAAGAAAACTCCTCCCAAAGTGGCTGAAGTGATTTACAAGCAGGACACCAAGGAGCATAACTGCAGACATAAAACGGTTACATTGAGAAAGTATTAAAATAAACATTAGTCACATACAAAGGGGTAAATACATAAAGACAAAGAAAACTACAGTTCTTCAACAATACAACTTACAATTCGACCATCCATTCTCCGGTAAGCATTTTTTCCCAATTGTTCTCATTTAAATGTATTAACTGAGATTTTGAATACGTAAGTCCCAAATTTAAGACAACCACACAAGCAAACAACACATAACTGTTCAAATTAGCCATTCTGTAAAAGAATTATTAACTAAATCACAATAATTCCGAATTAAAACCAGAAGACACCATAACCAGACGGCAGTGACTACGTGCCCATAGAACTATGAAAATTCCGCCCACTAAGGTTAATATTTAAATGACTAGTTTAAAACATGTGAAATATGATAATTTTTTGTTTGTCAATAAAACTTCAGTACCTATCTTTCAAGATATTTTGTTTCTTTTATCATCATATTTCTTTTAAAATTCTGCTTGTGACTATCTATACTATTCTAATTAAAAGTGTATACATAATATTAAAAAAAATGTATGAATCCTAACTTAGTTTAAAGTTATTTAATTGTCTTAATATCATTTACTATTTTTTGTTTTTTTAAACCGAAATAACATTCAAAGAAACTTTTTAATATTTATTATAGCTCAATCACCGGATAGAGGTTTATGTACCTATATTTTCGTTTATATGATAACAGTAGACTTTTAACATGAAAAACTGATGTACCCAATTGTTTCCATTAGCGTACTTATGTTTTGGGAATACTAAACACGATTCTGAATCTGTTAAAAAAAAAAAAAGTTTTCTTATTGGGAAATATGTAAAATCAAAAATCAACTGCATGAAACTCGATTTTTTTTTAAATAATTGTTTCATGCAAAGTAAGCTTCTTGTACAAAAACAGTACAATAACGATGAGAAAATTATCTACGAATTGTGTTATTATCTTTTTTTTTAATGATTGGTTTCCGCGTTTTTTTTCTTACATTATTCCGATTATTAAGTTAAGTGTTGTTTTTGTATTTGTATTTATTTATTTTTGTTCAAAACATTTCGCTAATGAGTAACTGGGAGAGATGTATACTGTCCAGGAAGAAAGGCACTTGAGTAGGAAAGGTCAGCACGAGCTTCCTTCTCCTACCTACCTATCCCCTGGCGCTGAGGCCGTCCAAGGACCTCGGCCTCCTCCATTATTTTTCGCCTCTGCTCTCTATCAGTACCTTTCTTTGCCATTGTCTTATTCCTAGGCTACAGAGGACCTCTGCTAGGTCATCTAGCCATCTTTTTCGATGACGTCCTCTTACGAAGGACACCAGATCCGGCTCTTAGTACATTTATTGGAGTTCCGCATTAAACAGGTCCAAATATTCACCTGAGTACTTTCCTTTCCCATATATTCAGAATGTTCTCGCTCTATTTTGTTAGTATCCATATTTCACAACCATACGCCACAACCGGTCTAAGGATTGTTTTGTATATAAGGACCTTCCCTCTGTTCGTCAGACCTTTAAACTTTAATGGTTTCTGAAGAGCAAGGTAACACCTGTTACCGGCATGAATCCTAGCTTTAATTTCTTCCAAATTTGCATCATGCTCGGTAACGAGAGATCCCAAATACTTAAATTCCCTAGTAATCGGGAACGTATGAATGCCTAAGCCTAAATTTAGTTGATCTTAGGTATTACTCTTATTTTTGGATATTCACAAGTGCACTTTATTTTGGGGAGGGGAGTCCTCCCTTTCCTCGCCGTTAAGGTTATACGGGGTTTTCCCGGGCCAGGGAGTGTGGGTGGAGATTTAAAAGACTCCTTCGGCATTGGGACTCGAACTCGTAAGTATTTTATATCATTTGATTGATATATCATTTTGCCGGGCAACGGCGGTGCTGTGTACACGCGTTAGTCCATTCGGCTACCCCGCCCACGTTCGCAAGTGCACTGTCTTGCGCTCATTTATTACCATGCCCAGCTTAGCAGCGGATTTCTCAAACTCCTCAAATGCCTTCGCAAGTGCTGCTCTTGCCCTAGCTGATATCAATCAGATCATTGGCATATTTAAGAGCGAGGTTGAAGAGAGTTGAGGAAAGAGGATAACCTTGTCTTGAGCCGCTTTTTATTGCAAAAGTGTCGGACAGCCTGCCCTGTGTTTTGACTTTGCAGTTAGTGTCTGATAGAGTCATTCGAGTTAATCTCACTAATTTTGTAGGGACCCCTAGTTTTGACATAAAATTTATTACCTCCTTTCTATTAATGCTATCCTAGGGCTGCCTAAAGTCAATGAAAAGATGTTACAGATCAACATTATATTCATGTGAGTGTTCCAACATTTGTTGGACGGAGAATATATGATCCACTGTAAACCTACCTGGTCTGAAGCCACACTGATAGTATCCCAAAATATTTTCAGATCATTTTTGTAGTTTCTGGTTAAGTAGGATCGCGAAATTTTATGTCACCGTTAGCAGAGATATACCCTTGTAATTTTAGCACAAAACCTTATCCCTTTTCTTAAATATTGGACATATAATAGCCACATTCCACTCGTTTGGCATGTTTTCTGTAGTCCATACTTATATTAGGTCGAGTAGCTTTTTCAGGATGCCATACGTGTAATGTATATTGAATCTTCATCCATCACGTCTTTGTTGACTTTAAAGTCTCTTCTAGAAGTTTCATTCGCTCGGAGGTTTAATGTGCCCTCCTGGTGATTCCTGAAGAGACATTCCGATTAAATTTATTAGCATTGCAATATAATTGTACTGAACATGTCAGCGCAAACTTACCCGAGCCATTTGCCACGAACTGCAATGTAAGGCTGATGAATGCACTTGCCTTCCTCCTTTCTAATCTCGCAGGTGAGAAAGCATTATGGATATCAACAATTCAGAATCACGCAGCCCTATTCAATAGCACGGTACATCTCCAAGTGTACGCCGATGATTTAAAGATTAAAACGTGCATTAGGATAGTCGTGTTGGCTCTAGCAGATCCAGCAAACAAACTTTGATTACTTACAAATGAGACAAAGGCAAAGTACCAGAGAGTCGGAGGACCATGACCAGAAATCGGATCCTTTGAGATTGGACCTTCTGCTTTAGGTCAGGTAAAGAGCTTCATTTTTCTAGAGTCATAAGTTAGCTCTGGAACCGACGTCTTTCGGTAGATCAACAGGATGTTAGGATAGATAGGATGGCGAATCGGTATTTCAATGTATATACTATCAGAATGGGTTTGCAATGACTTTCGAAGCAGATTCCTTACAAATAGGATTTTGATAGGGTAGGTAACGCCGCGCGAAAAGATGATATAGAGACAACCAAGACGTTACACGGGAGGTCTCTGGTTCAATGGATGCACGGATTGTATTTGGAGTCTGAAATTAAAAATTTGCGTCAATTGACAGTACTAGCTGATGGAAACCCAGTCTCGATGACAGGGCGAAGCGCCAAGTTGAATAACAAAACTTCCTGTACTTATATTAGCTCTACCTTTTTTCCTATTTGGTTGGCATGTAGGAGGTTATAGTAAGTGTCAAATTCTAAAATTTGCTATTTAAGACACAAGTTAACAAAATGATAAGTAGTCCGAAAATTTCTGTGAAAGATAGTTTTGATGATGATGAAATGAGTGACGACGTAGAAGATGAAGTGTTTATTCGGGATGGAAAAAATGGTTTTAAATTTGATGATGAAATTGGTGTCAAAAGACCTCTTATGGCTCCCAGAAGAAAATTCAAGTATAATAATCTGCATTCTCCAAGATGCAAGAGACCTTTCCACATAGGTTTACGAATCAAGTGTAATTATGGAATCACATTTATTGCAATATTTTTAGGTATGATTGATTCATGTTGATTAATAATGGATGAGCTTTACTTTAACCATTACCAGAAAATGGTCTAACTTTGCAGGTGTTACCTTAGCAGTGGTTATTATGTTCAATTTAATGTCCAGCCCTTTGGATCAATTAAAACAGTGGGCAATCAACAGGAAAATTGATCAGAATATTGTTCCCTGTACTGATTTTAAAAGTCAACATATTTGGCAAAAATCATTTCCCCAACTAAAAACAGAAGCCGCACTCACAACTTTTGATGCCAATGGTGATAATATCTTAGATATTGTTGTCGGTTTTTCTACAGGTATATAATTTTTATAAAAATTTATCTTTTTTAAATTGATACTAGTGTAATAAGGGAAAATGTTATAATTTTAGATTGTAGTTGTATCATAGTTGATTAACCTGGGTTTTCTTCCAAATAGGTTTGTTGGCTCTGAATTTCATTGTCACCCTCATCCAACTGATTTGTTTGGTGTAACCAAAATCGTTAATTGTTTCTAAAAGAACAAAAAAAAGTTTCAAGAAGGATCATATATTTTATTTTAATATAATTTACATAATAGATATAAAAGTTATTAGGGATCTAGGTACTAGTCTCAAATTGCTATTCCAAGATGTACATATGTTGTAAGTGAACACGATTGTCAATATTTGGCTACTTTCTTCCGATTTCACCTGCAGTTTACTCAAATCAATCTTCAAACCAGCTGCCATCAAGGAGTGGCGATTCAGAGCTATTATCTAAAAGGATTTTCAAAGATTATTTTCTCATTCGTATGATGGTCATTTTGAGTGTGAATGAGGTTAGAGAAAAATAAAACCAAGATGATATATGATGGTATATGCCGAATTAGGTTTAACTGATGTTGTTACCAAGCTCCAAGGACAAAATTTCTGAATATTCATTACAAGAAGTTTATTTAATGTTTATTACAAGAAGAAGATGGTCCGGGAGGTGGTCAAGAGTAACACTTGAAGCTGTGGTTACTATTTAAGCATCTATTTGATCCACTTTGTAGATTTTCTTGTCACTGATAATTGTTTTATTTTATGTAATCAGATGCGATAGCTTATTAGTTCTCTGTATTTTATAATATTTATTGCCAAATTTATGAGTACATAATATTTCTAAACTTAAAAATATTTATCTAAAATTAATAACTTTTAAATGGTTTACAATTCATAGTATATTTCTTATGAAAGTGTTATATTAACTTTTTTTAAATATGTTATTAATACTGGATTAATCAGATACAAATAATTAGAAAAACAATGTAAATCATGTCAATTAACAACATACCATTAGTTTTATTCTAAATTTAGAACTTTTGAAAGCTAAAACCTGGAATTCTTTTAATATATTTTTTTTTTATATATGAACACTCATATATAATATTACTACAGAATTAAAGAGACTAAAAATTTCATGTTATAGCATTTCATATTATAGTATAAAGATTCAGTAATAGTTCAAATGGTTGGAAAATCTGTACTTACATCGTTCGGTTGAAAGCTTGCATAACTCATCTGTTTTCTTACTTTTCTATGCCTTGACATTTGCTAAATTTTCAAAAGTTCCTCATAAGTCTAGTGGATTAGTTGTTTATGTTCTGAAAAGTTATTGTAATTCTAATATAAGGTTATCGGTAAGCTATCTTATTGCTCATTGGCCAAGTTTTAGAAACAATTTAAGGTAAGTCAGGCAGTTACTTGTGTCATTTTTGAAACTTTTGTTGGCCATGTCTCAGTCTTTGTTTTAATTGGCTTTTTTTTGTCCCTTTATGATTTAGTTCTTATTCTTATATTTATGTTATTGTTATTTTTATTTGCTTTTTTTTTTTTAATTTTGTTTGATTTTTTTATGTCTTAAGGTCACTTCACTCATTATTTGTTTGATGAAATCATAATCACGAATCGCTTGATCAGATTATGACAAGTAAGTTCTTTTATTTTTATTTATTTAATTTAATCACTATTTATTTAAGCTATAATTACATTAAATAAGTATAAGTAACAAACTTATTAAATTTTTAATAAGTAATATTGACTTTTATATTGAATATGTCATGGTTGTCAATAAAGCATAATTTTTTTAGCTATTAAAACCAAATTATAATTTTTAATCTACAAAATAAATGTGTGTGGTAGAGCAAACTATTATGCCTACAATAGCTATTTAAAGTTACAGAGACTAAATATAATCAGTACTTGAATGGATCGATGCCATCGATTGGTGAGACCAATATGTGAGTAAAATATAATGCTATGACAGCATCTGAGGAACAAAGTTTATTCATGACATATTTTGTTATTGCTAGCAGAGAACTGTTGAAAAACTGAAAAACATTATTGTATTTCGATATGCCTTCCTAGCATTATTAACAATATCCAAAAGCTTGGAGTAATTTTTAGATTTTTATATGCGTTTTATTAAATTTTATTTTATTTCTACTTTAATGAAATCGTTTACCAGATATAAGGTATTATTTCTGAGCTATCAATCTGTAATTTTATTTTGGAATATTTTTTTTCTCTTCAGGCATTGAAGAAAGTGAAATGCCGAGAAAGTGTAGTTCATTTGATGCTACTAAGAACTGCGGAGGTGGTGCCTTGGTTTTAGATGGCAAGACTGGTTCTGTTTTATGGAAATACTGGACTAGAAAGGATGTATTGTTCATCGACTGTTCCGAAAATGTTAATGCTGATAAAACTAAAGATTGCCTCATCTCCGGCAAAGGAGGGGTATTATTATTTATAGATTATAGATTAGTTTTAATATTTACCTTTTTTAAAATATAGTTATAGAATATTTTTATAGCTACATTTTGAAATTTTTTTTTTATATACTTGTTTTGTCTCTCCTTCCTCACATTTTAGGCTATACGTGAGTTTCCCGGGCCCGGAGGGAGTGCATGAGATTAATGCCAGAGTTAATAGTCTCTCTTGGCATGTAAACTCTGTATTATTTTAGCACATTATCTTCTACCCGCATTGCCAGGCTACGTGTGGTGCTGTACACATGCGTTAGCCACCTCAGTCCCAGCTATATTTTAACTCCAGCAGTATTCGTATATAGCGTTTGATGAACCAATAAGTAACTACTAGTAGGCCCGTGTGAAAAATTCGCAAAGTATATTATTATCAAAAGCCAAATTAATAAGAAAATAAAATAATGCAACGTATCAAAAGATAAAGGAATCAATTGTAACATTATCGACAAAGGAAACAAAATTAATTTAAAACTTCATTTTTGTTTGGCACCAACATATTTACACATTTCAATAAGCTGTATCTTTGCGAAAAATTGACCGATTTTAATGATCTTTTTTTCCCTTTTGTAGAAAATTTAACAATGTTTTATATAATCATGGAAATAACCAAGGGAAAAGTGTGACTTTTTAGTTATTCGCAAATAAAGTTTCTTTTCTTTTATAACTTGTTTGCCTGAATTTTCGGGGTGATTGGACTATTTTGTCTGCCTGAAGGAGAAGGAAGCCTTCGAAATTGGTGGCTCAATCTTGAGATTTGGTGAAGAATTAACGATAATATGGCTTGCCGATCAAAAACACCATCAATAAATAATATAAACTCCTCCTGTCTCGATCATAGAGACCTCAAGTCGACGAAATGAGACATGTATGCAATGCCAGTACTATAATTAAAGTCAGGTTGTGTGGATGCGAACCCCATGCCTTGCGTTATCTCGAAAATAGTATGTTTTTGGGCTTAAAAACGTAGGATCCGATAGTTCCGGAGGAACTATCTGGGTCTTGCTGTACGCATCAAAATCTTCAAGATCCAATTTGTCCGGCATCGATCTACAGACCTACCACCGTTCCAGTATTGAAGCCTAGCAAAATGTTTGTATCGACTTTATTTATTTTAGAAAGAAAAACGAAAGTGGAGAATACGATTCGCTAACCCCCCGTGAAATTCTGAATCCAACGGTACCCCATTCATGGCATTTGAGCATGACAGAAGCTTATATTTGGTACAAAACCGATTTCGAGCCTTACTGTAATAATATATGTGGGGATATGATTTATTCAATCATAATGAAATTGTGAGCTTTATAAAATCACATGGTTGGGGCACATTCTTAGAATGCCTGATGATAGAATCCCAAAAAAGATGCTCCAAGGAAGAATTTATGGTGTCAGAGGAAGGGGAAGGCCGAGAAGAAGGTGGTTGGAGGATTTGGAGGACGACCTCAGGCGGTTAAGAGTTACAAACTGGAGTGAAAAGGCTAGGGACAGGGACATCTGGAGAGCTATTTTTCAGGAAGCCAAGGCCCACCTCAGGCTGTAGAGCTATCGAAAAAGAAGAAGAAGAATTTGGTGAACAGAATTATAGGAAGGTTGCTCAGAGACAAATTGAAAGCCTTCTTTCATTATCCCTGAAGCAGGCAGGGTTCACAGCGATTATACGCCATAGGTGTTCCTGTAGTGACTAAAAATTTGTTTTCTAGCAGTTTCAAGAAGTAGAATATGGATAGCACTGAGATAGGCTGGCATCGATGAGCCCCTAATAGAAGCAGCGAGACACCTCTACCAAGACATTATTTATGGAGTGAAGCTTGAATCCTTTCTCGAATACTAAATGTATGAAAGAAGACTATAGTATGGAGCTGTCAGTTTTCAAAATCTACCTTCAAGTATCTGTCAAGGAATTATATCTTCGGTGTGTAAATGTGGAGACATCAATTGACGATGAACCAATGAACAGCTGGTTTTTTTTTCCGATGATGAGGTTGTATTTGTGAACAGAAATATTAAAAGAGATAATCATGTGTTCTCTATGGGCCTGCTATGAGCCTCTAGGGCTTTAGGTGAACTTTACAAATACCAAATATCTGAGGATGTCAGTGATCTCCATGTTATGTCTCAGACATATACAAGGGTCGACGTTTTTAAGTATTTGGGATCTTACCTTACTCCTCCGGATCTTCAGAAATTGATATGCAGTGAAAATTGAAGCAAGCTTGGGAAGCTTGATGCTTGTTCCATCCTCTCTTGTAGAGTGACATGATTCTGAAACAAAACAGAAGGATGCTCCATACCAGATATTCAGATGGTGGATATATGAAGTGGAGATGGCTGGCTGGGTTCTTCAGAATGGAGATTGGCTCGACCGTGACCTCTTGTGGTCAGCCATTATGTGGAATGGCAACCCTCGAAGGAACGTCTATATAATATAATATTAAACTAAGGAAGCTATACAAAAGATTTTTGAGTGTAGTTCAAATCCTGACTTTGTTTTCTCTTAATATAAAATTAACAGGCTTTCAGAATCGGGACCTTGATCCTCTCAAATTATTTCTCTCTGGAATAAAGTAAATGGCTGACATTTGTTTAAACCGGGGGTCTCCAAACTACAGCCCATGGGCCTTCAGCTTCCAATCCGCCTGCATAAGTTTCTTTGATTACATAGTAAAAATTTTTAAAATTATTTAAAAAATATGAAATTTAGTAAATCACCCAAACGCAAGATTACTGCAACATTTATTGCATGAGTTGTCTAGCTCATGTTATAACTGAACTGGCATTTATAGAATAAGCTTTTTTTTTTTCATTTCAAGCCATTGCCCGCAGGACTTAGTGAAGGTCACAATGTGGCCTAAGGGTCTCTGTTAGTTTTTATGTTGTCTTCTTTAATCTAGCATTGGAATTCATTAATATTTAATTATTTAAGTTACAAAAATTTGAAAATTAAGTTGAATATATGTAAATGGGTGTGTATGTTAAAGTGATTTTTTTTTTTTTTATTGCAGGTTCTTGGTATTGTTGATGGAAAGACCGGTATTTTGATCTGGGAATTCACCAAATCAAACGGACAATACCTTTTGGACTTGTATTCTGCTCAGTACATTGTGGATCAAACTGGAGATGGTTTTTCCGATGTTTTGATTTCACACACCACTGAACAGTCCAGTAAGAATTTGAATTTTAAAATTATCTATTAGGCATTGCAACACAATGGTATTATATCATGACAAATGTTTTCAATAAGCTATGTTATGGCTGGGCGTATGATAACATGACTAGGTGTCAGAATCTTAATTGTTTAAAAAAAGTTTTTTTATGGGTTAAAGCCACGTTACTAAGGACGGTTTTTTTTTTTTTACATGAGGTGGGGCTAGTGGTCTTACTCTCTCTTGCTCTTTTCATCATTTATTTGTCTTCACTTTCCACCTAATCAAGCTCCATTATGCTCGAGGAGCATGGAACTATATGAAAAGACTGAACAGCAATGATAATTTTCTATAATAGTGTTAATAAAATTAATATATTAACTCATACATTTTTTTCAATTTCGTCAAAAAATGGCTCTAACAAATTTGATTAAATTCATTATAACAGTGTAAAATTAAGCAGTTTTTAATATAATGTAGTTTTTTTTTTTCTCATTGATGTTCTCTAACAGAGCTTCAATGGCTAATTTTCAATATTTCTTCCTCTAAAGTACCTTTAATTTTTTTTATTTGAAATAATAAACCGTTTCACAATTAACTCTGATATAAAAAATAGTTAAATATAAAATATGAAAAAAATTGATAATTAACTAAAGCAGAAATAAGAGATCGTAATGAAGAATAATTATAATAGAGAAACCAAAGGAATATGAGTGCCCCGACAGATTAGAATTTTAGAACAGGCTTCCATATATAACATGACCTTAATATAATATGGACTACGGACAATACTATATATATAAACATATGTAGTTTTCATAAATGCTATATATTATTTAATATTTAATTAATTGTACAGATTACAGTGATATAAAAATTAAAATTTGTATATGGACCGGTACTTAAACAAATAAAAATACCCATAATAAAATATAAATAAATACAGCGCCCTTCTTGTTGGACTAAAAATATTTAGTGTCACTTAATTATTTATTATAATCAAATAAATAATTGAAATATACAATTGTAAAAGGAAATGTCAAACAAAATAAATGTAATACATTAGACGGCTATGAAAAACATATGGTAATTAATTGTTTTAAATAATGTTTCATACTGTCTATAAATTTTACTTTCACTTCCCTTTGTCTGGAAATACTTATTTCGGCTGAGAGGGTGGTAAATGAAAGTTGTGTGATGCGATCACTGCACCAGAGTTTTTAGTAATTGTTTGTTTTATTCAATGGTAATTTTTTTCCTCAGGTTTATAAATGTAATTAAAGGCCTTATCAATAATTGATTATTATTTATTTATTTTTTAAGAAGTAATTTTTATTTTATGTTGTTAATGCTGCAATTAATTTGCTTAGTTTAAAATAGGAAATCTTTTTGAATAAGACATTCGATTCATAAAAATCCTTATCTGCCTTAACAGTTTAGTTTAATTATATTATTGTTTTTAAAATAAACTTTATAGTTTTTGTATATACTTCAAATAGTTATTAAAAAAAAAAAAAAGAAAGCATATTTTGTGATAATTTCACATTTCACATACAACTGTTAATATCCAACAAGGGCAAAATATGCATTAATTGATAAATATTGGTGTTCAAAATATTAAAATTAAAATTAAAAAATTATGTTTTCTATATATATATATATATATATATATATATATATATATATATATATATGTATATATCTTTGTCTTCCAAAATTTCTATACTCCGATCTGAGTCACCTGATTTGTGAACCCTCTGGTATAACTAATAAAGAAAGAATAGTTATTATTATGTCAAGATTAAGTGTTACAACTTCAGATGTTATAATAGACTAATGTGTTTTTTGAGCTTTCAAAAATGTCCACATCCTACATCAAATCATAATAAAAAATATTAAGACAATTATTATTGCTATTTTTATTTTACAGGTTATATCATCATATTAAATGGCAAGAATGGTGAAGTAATAGGGCAAGTTGGAATGCCAGATGGTGGCAGTGTATTCATAGTTCCCCGCCTCTTAAAAACATATAATAACACTTACGTGTTATTTGGTACCGGAAGCATTGAAACATCAGGGTCATTATTCATTACCCCTCTTGAAAGTATCTCTCATTCCGATCAATCTAAAATTAAAACCATCTGGCAAGGGTTATCTGGTGTGAGTTCTGGAATTCTTATCGCTGATATGAACACTGATGGCATAGGGGATGTCATCTTTACAAATGATGATACTTTGACTGTATTAGATGGTACGAACTTTACTTCTATCTGGAACATTACTTTGAAGGAATCTGGACATTCTGAGATATTAATGTGAGTTAAAAAATATATTATTTTTTCTTTCTTCATTTCAGTTTTTACGTCTTAGCATCTATAACAAGTCTAAATTTTTTTGCTGAATTAAATACTGACAGAATCCAATATTTTTTATCATACTTGATTAATAAAAATGTTAAAATAAAGAATATTATTGTTTGAACTGATAATATTGTCATTACATTTTTTTTTTTTTAAATCCTAGTGTATCGAAACTATAAATTTTTTATGATCAAAATGAATCAACGGGCTCTTTTTAAAAAAAATGAAAATATATAATTATGCTTAATGAAAATTCATCATTTGTATATTACAGAAAATAAATTTTTTTTTCAATCATACATATTAATCGTATTTAGTAACCATAAGGAGATATGCTCGCTAAATAATGAGAGTAGAAAATAATTGATTCTTGTTCTTTCAATTCTAAATAAATTAAGTTCTAATTTTCACCAGAAAAAAAGAGATGCCGGCATTTTGTGAATACGGGTGCAAAAAATTACCACACGAATATATGTTAATTTGTTTTTTAAAAAGTGGGTACTGTTTCATTAGCCGAGCGGGACTGACTGCTATCTGCCAATGTTTATAACCTGAACACTGATAATTCCGATAAGGCAGTGATAAGCCTTCTCGTAATTCCTATCTTCGTATTATTGTATTATATTCATATTATTGAAATTATAAACAGAAACAAAAACAAATCTAATAACAAAAAAACAACATTTATTTTACGACATATATATTAATGAAATAATAAAAAAAAAAACACTTAAAGAACATATGTACATATAAAAGATGAAAATGAAATAATAAAAAAACACTTAAAGAATATATGTACATATGAAAATGAAATAATAAAAAAACACTTAAAGAACATATGTACATATAAAAGAAAAAATATAAACACTATAAACGACATATGTACAATTTATTTTTACTTCGTCTTATTTATTTTGGTAGACAAAATAGTTTTATGCTATTTAAAATAGCGAGAAACGGGGTTCTCTTCTTTGTGAACCTGCTTCCACAAAAATTCACATATATATGAATCGAGGTGTTGTCTGGCAGTTCCTCTATGTATTTTATTTCTCTATTTAGCTGAGCTGAATCGTTCTATGTGTTGAGTATAAACCCCAGTTGATGGATCAACAAAATTATAGCGGTGATTCACTTGGAAATAGTTATAGGGTTGTATCCTTTCCAACAGTCCAAATTAATGATGGTTCCCTTTTCTATATGGTTCCCTTCCTGTCTTTAATTCCTTCTAATAAGGTTGTTGCCTTTTTGTCATTTCTTTTGATGATAAAACACTCATCTGTTTCTAGGTAAACTCCACCAAACATCCATTGCTCAGGTAAAACTCTCCCCACATGATTTTTTCGTTTAGAAAAAAGTCTCATCTACTTCAACCACTTTGCCAGACTCTCCAATTTTTTTTTCTTGACCTTTATAACATGTCATGGGCACAAACCTCTCTTATACATTTGTTCCACGTTACCATAGCTTCGTTGGATAGTTTCAGCTGCTCTTTGCCCTACTTCATCATTATTATGTTATGGGACCACCCATAAATCAATTTTAAAGCCATTAAAAACGAAATCCTCGATCCCTCCAACCATGTTCTTTTCCTTATTGAAACTTTTATGTTACAAGTGCTGCAACAGCATCTCCATTTCGCGTCCTTGGTTAACTTCATTTGATGACCTCGTTCACATAATTTCACGTCTGCAAGTATCCCAACGTTTTGAAAATATTCAATAGCCTGTTCTTCTGAAGACGGTAAATCCCAGAATGTAACAAGATTCATAATTTGATGAAAATAAACTAAAAAAAAAAACGAAAAATAAACACAAACGGACCAAAAATAAAGAATTTAATAACTTAACGTAATAAGGGAATAACTGAAAAATAAACAATGTAATAACTGAAAGGTTTGGCGAGATAAGAAGAGGGAGGTGATGTGATGTGACGTTAGATAATATAGATAAGTGACGTTTCGACCCGCCTGGCTAATGAAACAGTACTAAAAAGGGTATTAGTGAACCTGTAGCTTGTCCAGGATTAGTTGGCAGCCCAAGGGCGAATGCAAATGGTGTAAATTTAAACTAACATTTTGCTTTTTTCTCTTACCCTCTGGCATATTACTTACAGAAATATTAATAATTCTATGAACATATGACAGGATGATATTGTAATCTTGTAATATATTTATAAGTATTTTGTAATTAATATTGGAGGTTAAGGGAAAACAAAGTGTAAGTTTCAATTCAGTGTTGCTCCAATTCGCACTCAGGCTACCAACTATTAAATAAATCATTAAAAATTAATTAATTATTCAATTATTCAATTTTGTTTCAGTGGACCTACTCCTACTTATTTCAACAATGATGCATATCCAGATTTACTTTTCACAAACATGGTCGGATCAACATTTCCTGAGTATTACTTTTCAGAGGTTTGTTTAATATTTCTTAGTTATATCTTTTGACCATTACCTTTTTATTTGTAAATATCAAAAAAATATCCATTTTACATATATTACAATTGTTCATTTGGCCTTTGTTTCAGAGTCGCATAGCTAGTGGTGATTCTGGTAAATTTCTGTTAGACGAACCAATGCTTGGCAGCGGTGAAGTAACGTCACCAGCAATAGCAATTAGTTTTTCTGGAATTGGGAACGACATGTTCCTATTTTGGTCTTCGACCTGTAGTACCTCAAAATCAAATCAAAAGCAAGAATTCACTTTTACTAAAGGTAAGAAGTGTTATTGTATAAATGCATTGTAAGATAATATTTTACAGAATTGTTAAGTTACATACCTGGGAATTTCTGGATTATTGGAAAAAGTCAGGGAAATTGTTTATATGTTTTTGAGCATATTTTAGGCATTAATGTGAAACCACTTATTCAAAAAGGTTTGCATTAGAATTTTTTTTGTTGACAATTTAAATATATATTTATTTAGTGATATTTATTTCCTTTCCAGTATTTGCATTATTTGTTATCACTCAATATTTAGGTTTATTTCTTTTTTTTTTTTTTAATTGATTCTGTATTTCTTTAGGGACAAATTTATTTTTCTATGGATCAAAATGTAATTGTTTCATGATTTGAGTTTATGCTACAAACCTATATAAGACAGAGATTTTACCAAGAGAAAACCAGAAAGTATGAAATATCCAGAAATACTCTGAAAAGAAATTTTTTTCAGTAGGTCTGTAACAACCCTATTTTAGTTTATATGTTAGAAAATTAATAGGACATCATGTTAAAAATATTTTCTTTTTAAAAAAAGAGGTATTAATAAAAATAAACTAAATGAAATATACTACAGAAACTTACTTCAAGAACAGTAAAAGATAAAGGAAAAAGGAAGACTGTGACATAACTCAACCAAAAAATACAGTATAACAAGGATAAAAGTAAGGTTTCTAATCATCATGCTCTAGATATCGACAGCCACACTGCAAAAGCCTGTAAGAACAAAAACTTAAAATTTTCAGGAGACGAAAAAAATATATTTTCGGTTCAATTTTTTTTCTTCCATGCCTAAGACAAAGATGTAATGCTCTATGTAACTTTTTTGATTGTATTTCTGCCAACTAATCTTTTAGAGTCATTACTTCAAACTTACAGCTTTTTAGTTAGCTTGAAAAACAGGTATCAGTTAGTTAAAAGCAATCAAATTTATTGTAGTAAAACGCATATCTTTGTTAATATAACAAAGTCAGTTTTCAAAATGTAGAGAAACAATATTTAAAATGAAGATTTGTAAAACACTTGACTGGAAAGCAATTATTTGATAACATGGATTATTCACTTGTTTGTCTCATACTCTAGGGGCGGCTCGAACAAAGTGCATGTGCTCCATTTTGGAGTAGTCTATGAAAGTTTTGTTTTAAACGTACTCAACTTCATATGAAATGAAATGAAAAAATATTTTATTATTGTGGGACTGTTGTCCCTTTAGAACAAAATATAAATACAGATTGTATGTCTGTGTGGTTACAATTAGATTGTATATTTACAATAAGAGTTGACTAAAGATAAAAATACTGAAAAGAGAAAGAAAAGAACAAGTAAATTGTACATATATATGAGAAACTAAAATAACCTTAATAAATTGAGGTAGTCTCTGGTGGTGCTTAGATATTTCTCTTAAGTATATTTCACAATCAGTCGGATTGAGAAAGGAGTAGGTGCTTAAAGAGGAGAGGTTTGAAAGAGGAAACTGATTGAGCGTGTCGAATATCAGCAGGGATGGAATTCCCGAGGGAGGCGGCTTGTATTGCAAAGGATTTGTCAAACGCAGTAGTTCGGTGAGGAGGAGGATAGAGGTCGGAAGTACGAGATCTAGTGGGATGGGATTGGATGGAGTATTTGAATTGTAAGCTGTGAAAAATATAGGAGGGTCGATGAGTTCTAATGATTTGGTACAGAAAGGTGGCTAGGAGTACTGACGGCGATAGAATGGGTAAAGCCACCTCAGCTCCGTGTAATACTGGGTAATATGCGTATCCCTTGAGATTCCGAAAACAAATCGTAGTGCGCAATTCATTAGGCGTTTAAGTTTGGCCTCGAAATCTCCCGAGAGTCCACCGTACACCATACAGCCATAGTCGAAGTGGGAGAAAACAAGGGAGGAAACTAAGAGTTGACGGGACTTATATGGAAGGAGATATCGTAGACGATTGAACTGTTTTAGAGTGGAGATAGTGCGATAGGAAATTTGGGAGATGTGAGGTGGACATGGTTGTTTGACTCATAAATGCTTGGTAAGTTCTAGGTAACCTGCTGATGTGTAGATCACTTCGTTTCTGAGCTTCTTGCGATTTCGAAGATTCATTGGTTTGAAAATATGAAACTAGTATTTTTTATTCGTCTCGTGTTAAATTTTCCAATATCGAAATGAATTCTCTCCCACGCACCATCTGGAATTCAGCGACATTGTAGCTTTTTTGCAGTCAAGCTCATTTTGCAGATGCTCAAGAGATTTCAATTTTTTTGAAGGCCGTTCAATATTATATTCCTACTTACAATACTGTATACCTACATTCTCTTCTTTGCTCCGTCTAGTTCCATGGTAAGCAGTGCCGGCCTCAGGGCAGAGGAACTGGGCATTTGCCCAGAGGGACCAGGCTGGAAGTGCCTACCTGCGACTTATCGGGAAAATAAAAAAAAAAATAATACAAAGTGTCTGAGAAAAATTAATTTTAGCCTATTAATACTGTGTCTAATAGTTAATAATTAATAATAGCCTGATTGATACTTTGGTTTATGAGCATAACACTGTATACATTTTATATTTACATGAACACCTTTCATTACTTTATTTCAGTAACGACACAATCTCTATAACCTTCACTGTAACTTACTGTTTTTTACATCCCAATTTCCTGTTTTTTACAAAAGGCCATAGAGAAGAAATGAAATATCGTAGATTCCATTTTGTGGGATCAGAATATGCGCAAGGACAAGATTGACCATAAAAACTCAAAATCTCAATTTGTAAAGAAATTGTCCTTAGAGACTTTTGCATTGTGGCTGTTGATATATTTTTTCTCTTTATAAAGCAATTGTTTATGTTAATTATTCATTATGCCAGAAATAAAGGTTTTAAAAATAACATTATTTTAGCATAATTGATTGTTTTGCTCTGTTTTAGGAACAACATTATTCGAGAAAACTCATGCCGACCTTTGCAAGTTGAGGTTTAACACTAGTCAAGATGTTCAATTATTCTTATTAAGTCAACATATTCAACCACCCGGTATACTTCTGTATTCATCAAGTCAGTTAAGATTTTAATATTGTTTCTGTTGTATTACTTTTTGGGTCAGAAAGTTCCAAACTGATTTTAATTTAAGGAAATGTATGGGATAATAATACAGAGAATGCGGGAGTTGCTGCCAAACATTTTATCCATGAAAGTGACCAGAGTGTAAATTCCTTACACAAAAATCGACATAAATCTCACTTTTCTTCACAGCCAGGTAAAATATTATTAAATTAATAAGAGGTATAATATAATTAAATAAGATTTATTTGTTTTTGATGGCTGTATAAGAATATAGTGTAATATTTAGATGAATACTATATACCATTGGTGGGGAACCTGCAGGCTCCGTCTACTAACTGCAATCTGAATGTTTCTGTGAGGTTTTCATTAATTTAGCACTAGAAGTAATTATATTTTAAAAATTGATAGAATTAAGTAGAAGAGCTTTGGGGAAATAATGTGATAAGCCACAGTTTTGAAGAAAATAAATTATTTGTGCAAAATGTACATTTATATAGCTATCAATGGGGTTCGTCAGGGAACTTACCAACATATAGATTGGCTATATAACAAATCATGCTCCAAAGACAAAAATTTAAATTTGACTTTTCAACAGAAATTTAAATCCTCTGAATACAAATAACCAAGTCTCTCCAAATGGTCTATGTGTGCCTAAATGTGAACAGCTTAACTCAAAAATGAAAAATTCTACAACACTAAAATTACATATTTAAGATTAGTGTATGCCTGGAATGTTACATTGATTCTGAATTTGGTTGTCCCAATGTTTCATTTTATATCATGGATTTTTTGCTTTTTTGCAACTTTTTAAGGAAGGATGCATTGATTTTGATTAGCTGAACCAATTTTGGGTACTTTTTGTCTAGCGGGACTGAAACCTCACTTCTTATCTATCTTATCTAAGTCATATCACATAACCTCCCTCTTGTTATCCTGCCAAACCTTTGAGTTATTGCATTCTTTAGTTTTCAGTTATTCCCTTATTACGTTCACTTATTAAATTCTTTACTTTTGGCCCGTTTGTGTTTATTTTTCATTATTTTTAGTTTTTGGCCTGTTTGTTTATTTTACATTTTTTTTTTTAGTTTGTGGCCCCTTTGTGTTTATTTTTCATTTTTTTTCCGTTTATTTTCGTCATATTATGGATCTTCTTAGAATATGGGATTTGCTGCCTTCAGAAGGTAATTCAATATTTTCAAAATGTTGGGGTACTTGCCGACGTGAAATTGTGTGAACGAGGTCATCGAATGAAGTTAACCAGGAAGGTCAAATGGAGATGCTTTCGTAGGACTTATGACACAAAACTTTCAATAAGGAAAGGAACATGGTTGGAGGGCTCGTGGATTTCGTTTTTAACAGCTTTAAAATTGATTTATGGGTGGTCCCATAGCTTAGTGGGGCAAAGAGCAGCTGAAACTATCCTACGGAGCTATGTTAACGTGGAACAACTGTCTAAGAGAGGTTTGTGCCCATGACATGTTATACAGGCCAAGAAAAAAAATCGGAGGACCTGGCAAAGTGGTTGAAGTAGACGAAAGTTTTTTTTCTTAAACGAAAAAATCATGTGGGGAGAGTTTTACTCAGCAGTGGATGTTTGGTGGAGTTTGCCGAGAAACAGATGAATGTTTTATCTTTTTATAAAACAGATTTTATATTTTTTCTTTTCTATGTAAATATGTTCTTTTAAATGTGTTTTTTTATTATTTCATTTTGATGTTTTATATTTACATATCTTCTTAAAGTGTTTTTTATTATTTCATTAATATATGTGTCGTCAAATAAAAGTATTTTTTTTGTTATTACATTTGTTTTTGTATCTGTTTAAACTTTCAATAATACGAATTTAATACAATAATACGAAGATATGAAGTAGGAGAAGGCTTATCACTGCATTATAGTAGTTATCAGTTGTCAAGTTATAAACATTGGCAGATAGCAGTCAGAAGCAGCCCGCTAGACAAAAAGTTCCCAATTTTTTTACTTCTTAAATTTTTTTGTAGGGTTTAGGCCATACATACATATAAAACAAATTGGGCCTCCTTCTTGCAATAAGAGACAAAAGTGTTTTTCGTTGATTGTAGTACCAAAATAGCTCTGACAGTTTTGACAAAACTTGCTTGTAGTATTCTAATTAAAGCCCTTTTAATTTTTTAATATATATGAAGAGAAGAAATTTTTTTGAGGCATATCTCTAAAAGTATACATTTTATATATAATAATTTGAAAGGTAATTAAATTTTTCCCTTCAAAACAAAAACATCAAAATTGAACCAATATTAGAAATAGTACTGGGTCTTGAATTCTATAGACTGATTAAAATATATCACAAATCGGTAGAAAAATTATATGAAAGAAATTGTGAACACTCCAGATATTTTTAACTTGTCAGCAAAAGAAAGATTTTATTCATTGCCGGTTTAACTTTTTTTTTCAAGTTTGACTTTATAATAGGTCTATGACCTTAATATACCAAATTTTATTTGTTAAGCTTATTTAATGAATGATTAATTTAAATAATTATTTAGGATTTATAAATTAATTGATAAATTTTGATTTCTTGCATTTCAGATGAAAAGAAAAATGCTTTTAACTTTGGCAAATATGTGGACGGAGGAAACAGTGGTGATAAATCACAATGGAATTTCCCTTACGATGATAATATGCCGGCGTTAGTTATTGTTTAAATTTTATTATAATATAGATTATTTAATAGATTACTTAATGCCATAATTTGCTAAACAGATTGCCGTCAGTAAACTTGGGCGAACTGGCAATGAGATACGAGGCTTCTTATCAAGATGGGGTTAACCACGATGAAGGAAGAGATGAGAAAATGAGCTATGGCAAGGAGATGAAGCGTTTCGCCAATTATCAAGGTGGCCTCATACCTAGAGCAAGATCAACGGGTAAGGGGTGATGATCAAGTAGCCTATTATATGGTTCAAAAAACTTCTTTTATTATAACGTAAGATTGTTCTAATAGTTCTGAAATTTAAAATTCCATAACAATATCTGGTGAGGATAACAATCTATTTTTACTTTCCTACCTATACTAGGTAAGGAAAGTATTGCAATTGGGTCAAATTTCTGACATGCAGTTTTTGACGGATCTATGCGTTTCAGAGCCTCCTAAGTCTGAAAAACATTTTTAGCCATTGGTCTGTCTGTGCCAAGATTTTCTCGGGAACTACTGAACCAATTTTGTTGCATCTTTTTTTATTTTGTAGGGTTTTGACTTCTAATGCCTGTGACAGAAATTCGTTGCTACATGCGCAATAGCTTGTGCGCAATAAATGAAAAACATGTTTTTCTAAGGACTGTAGCGCGAAAACGGCTCTAAAGATTTTGATGAAACATTTCTATGATGTTTTAATCATTGTCCTTTCAATTTTCGTATATAGAATAAATTCCTTAAAAAATTCAGGAAAAAAAGTTATAAAGAAAAGAAAAATGTACGGTAAAATTTATAATAAAACTTTTGAAAGGTATTTAAATTACCAACAAAACAAAAAAAAAAAATCATCGAACCAGTATTAACGATGATACAGCTTATTCTATTTTTTACACATTTTTTTAAACTTATTACTTTTCTACCTATACTAGGTAAGGAAAGTATTGCAATCGGGTCAAATTTCCACAATCATTTGAAAGGTAATGAAATTCCCTACGAAGCTATATAAAAATCGTTCATTTTAGACAACTATTAACGAAGTTACAGCTATTCAATTTCCAATGAAAGATTACGAGTTCATTTCCTGGTGTCAGAAAGGGATGAAAGAGAGAATAAAGATGACTAAGTGAAAGTAAGAAAATCTGCCCGCATCACACAATCTTCACTATTTCCTCTACTTTTAACAGAAATTATTGTTTGACAATACTAACCTATGGCAAAAAGTTTTTGATTAGCAATGTTAGTGAGTATTGAAATTTTTACACTGATCTACCTTAAGTCGGTTTCATTGCTTTAGTTTATTAAATAAATCGTACTTAAATCTTTTGTTTGATCAATTTTCAGGAAAATAAATTTAGTTCAATTCTTTTTTGTTTGTTCATGAACATATGTAAAGATATAAAAACTTTTCTGAAATAGGTAGGAAAGTCATGTGAGTGGACACACCAGATTTTTTTTTTATTATAAAATTATAAAGATGGCTGCCATCGGGTCTGGAGCCTGCCATTAATGGGCCTGGGGCCATGGCCTCTCCCACTTAATATTTTATGTGTTGTAGTAATATTTAAATTACTTTATAGAGATTGTATAATTTTATGTTGATTACTTAATAAAGTGTGCGTAGATACAACATGCTTGAGGTGTTTCGTAAGCTGCAAAATGACATTAATAGTATTTAACCATTGGGTTTTTGAAAATGAGCTAAGCCTGAATCAAACAAAAATGAGGCAATTCTCATCAGTTCAAGATTCTTCCGTATTTTCCATTACTTTATCTCAACGACATTCCTATTCTATTCTGAAACTATATAGGAAATCTAGGCTTACCTTTGATAAATAACTAAACTGAAATAACTAACCATTATACCCAGATCCTCTGGGAAACAATCTCAGATTCCGTGATTTGTTTCCCTGAAGTACTTGCCATCTTCTAGTTTCCTCTCATTTTGATTACAGATACCTAGTACATGTAGGACTAACTGGTGAGCATAATATTAAACTGAAAAGATTAATAAATTGTTTCATAAGATTTGTTTTTGGTGTGCCCTTGCACTTTCACATCTTTTACTTGTAGTCTGAGGTAGGCTGATTATTCTCTACCTTCTTGATGCTTTCCTATTTCAATCATTGAGAACAAAAAAAAAAAAAAATCCATAATCTTGGCTTCATCACCCTACATTCTGTTATGTAAAAAATTGTTAAATAATTTTAAGCTGTTTAAGATTGAATATAACTATTTTTTATTTGTGTCGCTTTAAAAAGGAGATACTTAGCTTAAACCAAAAAAAGCTTGAAATTTCAATGGTTTTTTGAGCATTGCAGCGAACCCACTAGGCTTTCTAGGGCAGAAACTTGGATTCTTTATATTCCCTACATATCTAAAAGTATTAAAAAGAAATTTGATTACCGGATCTTTTGTAATCTAGATCCCTTTTTTGTGCTAATTTGACTAGGCTGCTGACTTCTTAATCAGCAAAGAAGCCAATAAAATAAATTCAATTTATTCATTCTTCATAAAATTCTTGTCTTCTTCATAAAATTTAATATAAACATCCACTATTCTAAATATATATCATTCAAATCAACCAGCAGATATTCATTTGTTTGTATTTAATGTTTATAATTTTAAGTTGTTTTATATTTAAATTATGGTTTGTTATGAAGCCATATTTAATGTCAGATATTTGTGTTTCAGTAACCTTAGTTGATGCTATTAATGCAACTGGTATTGATATAATATTTACAATTTATTGGGAAACACCTATAAAAGATATCAGAATTTTGACTCAGAAAGAACAAGCCTGTATACATAAGAAGCTTGTTATGGAACAGGCAGCTAGTAAGTTTATATTTTATGTATATTTTTTTTATTTATAAATCTATTTGTTACTAGTATACTCCAATGAGAACTCTCCCTTTAGATAGTTATCCTTCTCCATTATGCATCAAGCATACAAATTACATTAGAAAAACATGTTTATTCATATATACACAAACACACAACGGCACAACAACTCATCACCGAGTCCAGGTCAGTTGGTCCTATCCTGTGCAGCACTCCTCCAGTCCCACACTCCTAGAAGAGTCCTAGCATCTTCAGTCACACCATCCATCCACCTTATGTTTATTCATTCCACTCTCCTCGTCCCTAAGATCTCTTCTGAGGCCACTTTCTTTGGAATCTCGCCATTATCCATTCTGGCTAGATGGCCAGCCCATCGAAGTCTTCCCAGTTTAATAGCGGGTAGCGTCCGACTGCTATCTGCCAATATTTATAACCTTAACACGGATAAGCTCTTCGTATTCATATTTATTGTATTATATTCATATTATTATATCTTCGTATTCATATTTATTGTTTTGTATTGATATTATTGAAATTTTGAACAAAAACAAATGTAATAATAAAAAATACTGTTATTTTACAACATATGTATTAAAATAGACCAAAACATTATAAATATATAGTTAGAAAACATTGCAACATATATATAAAATAAATAAAATAATAAAAATAGATGAAATAATAAAAAAACACTTAAACAGCATATGTACATATAAAAGAAACACTATGAAGAAACGTACATTGTTTTTAATGGCTTCTAATAAAGTTGTTGCTTTTCTATCGTTTATTTTGACCATAAAACACTCGTCTGTTTCTTGGCAAACTCCGCCAAACATCCATTGCTCAGGTAGGATTCTCCCCACATGTTTTTTTCTTTTCGAAAAAAGACTCTCGTCTACTTTGACAACTTTGCCAGGCCCTCCAATTTTTTTATTAGACCTGTATAACATGTCATGGTCACAAACTTCCCTTAAAAATTTGTTCCATGTTACGATAGTTGCGTTGGATAGTTTGAGCTGCTCTTTTCCCCACTGTATTGTTGTTAAATTATGGGACCACACATAAATGAATTTTAAAGCCGTTAAAAAAGAAATCCTCGATCCTTCTAACCATGTACCTTTCCTTATAAAAACAGTTTTGTCACAACTACGAAAGCATTTCCATTTAATCGTCCCATCGAACTTCATTTGATGACCTTCATCACAATATTTTACCTTTGCAAATATCCCGGCGTCTTGAAAATATTTTATAGCCTCTTCTTCTGAAGACGTCAATTCCCACAATGTGACAAGATTCAAAATTAAATAACACTAACACACATCTAACACAAGAAACAAAAAATAAACAAGGGAATAACTTAGGTTAGATGAGATAAGGGAGATTATGTGAAATGAGATTAGATAAGAAGGGAGGTTTTGACGCTACCCGCTATTAAATAAGTACTTCATTTTTACCAGTTGCATCAGCTTTTTAGGTATTCCCATTTTCTCAAGGATCTGGTAGAGCTCCATCCGGTTTATGCTGTCGTACGTTGCCTTGACGTCGACAAAGAGATGAGTCGTGATCTGGTGCTCCTTGCACTTCTCAAGTGTCATTCCTAATAAGAAAAGCTGGTCAAGGGTTGATCTACCTCTTCTAGAGCCTGCTTGGTAATTTTCTAATTGTCTTTCAGCAAAGGGTGACATTGATAGGATCTTGTATACACATGACATGAGTGCGATTCCTCGATAGTTTCCACTGTCGGATTGATCTCCCTTCTTGTGTATCGGGCATATTACAGTTTTCGCCCAGTCCTCCGGCATCCGTTCCTGCTCCCAAACCATTACTATCATGTTGTGGAGTTCCTTCCTCAGCTCATCCCTGCTGTATTTTAAAAGTTCTAGGTGGATCCCATCAATCCTAGGTGCTTTGTTATTCCTTAGCTTCCTGATGGCTTCCTCTATCTCATCCTTGCCATGAGGCTCAGTCATCAACAAGAGCTTGTTCTTCAGGGCTTGCATTTGAATCATCTGCTCTGTTAAGTACCCCTCTGAAGTTCCATCTCCACCTTCTGAGTACATCCTCTGCTTCTGTGAGGTGACCAGCCTCCTTACAGCATGTGACTTTTGGTTTGGCTCGTCTTCCTTCATTCATTCTTTGGAAAAAGTATTAGGAGTTCTAAGGTTCTTAATTTCATATATAAACTATAATATTATCAAGATAGCCTATTCAACGTACACAATTGGTGAAGCTTCATACTTTCTCACAACTGTTAAAGTAAAAATTTACTTAATAGGTGATTGGCCTGTCCCACTGGAAAATATCTCTTTAGTTTAATTAATAGTTAAGCAATAAGATACAGTTGTCCCTTAATTAATATTAATCAATTATTGTACTCGTACAAGACCTATTTCTTAAGTGCAGAAGAGCCTTAGTGCTTAATTGTCTCTCTTAGTGAGATTATAAAACTAATAACCAGCATATTTTTTTATTTATTATCTATATTATCTGAAGTGTCCAAGGGGTCATTGAGCTTACTTACTCCCTGGCTCTTCAGGTCTTTGGACACAGCATCTCTTGCTATCTCATTCTTCCTCGGTCTGCCTTTTTTTTTTTTTAATGATTGCCATGTCTAGCATCTTCTTCTGAAATCTGTGTTCATTCATTCTGGCAACATGACCTGCTCATCGCAGCCTACCTGGTTTAATATAATTAACTATATCTTGGTTTTTCAGTATGGCTGCGATTTCTATATTGCTCTTGATCCTCTACTTTCCCTCATTCTTTACAGCCCTGTAGTATATCCTTCTTATAATTCGTATTTCAAAAACTCTCACTTTTAGACAGTCTATGGTAGGCTCCAGGTTTCCGACCCGTAGGTGACAACCGGCTTGATCTGAGTATTATACAGCTTTAGTTTGGTTTTCCTAGAAATAATCTTTGATTTGAGGAGTTTCAGGTTCGATAATACGTGCTATTTCTATCCATTATTCTATATTATATTTCATGGCTAATCTTGTTTCCTATATTTTTATTGTGGAGCCAAAGTAAGTGAAGCTTGTCATGCTTTAAAATGTATAATTGAAAAGGGAGGTGCTATTGTATCTTTGGTTATTTTCGGCTTTTAATAGCATATATTTTGTTTGTTTTTTTATTTAACAGCAAGGAGTTGACCAAAATAACATTTTTATAAGTTACTATGGTGAAATTTCCCGGTTTAAGACTGGTTCCGCCATATTCCTTTTTTTAGGGGCTGGGTGGCCGAGTGACGTGTGCACAGCACCGCACATTGCCTGGCAGCCTGATAACCGAAGTTAATACGGAATAAAATAAGTACAAGTTCGCGTCCCAGTACCAGTGGGGTTTTTAACTCTGGCATTAATCCCCCACCCTCATCCCCTAGCCCAGGAAAACTCCGTATAGTCTAAAAGGTGTGAAAGGGGAGAACGGAAAAATAAAAAACTTTTAAACTTCTTCAATTAACATTTTAAACTTTTTTTGGAGATATATTCCCATTGATAAAAAATAGAAAATAGACATCAGTATTTTTTTTTTTGTCCTGACCTTTGAGGCTATATGGGATTTTCCTGGGCCAGGAGGTGAAGGCGAGAGATTAATGCTCGAGTTAAAAGCCAATTCCCTTGGTACCGGGACGCAAACTTGTAATTATTGTATTAATTTATCCTGTATTCGAATTGTCAGGCAACACCATGCTGTGCGCATCCATTAGCCCATTTGGCTACCCTGTCCCCAATATACATAAGTGTGTGCATTACATTTTCAGCATCAAATAATACAATAAAACAAAAACTTCTGCCATTTTGAAATTTCCTTAAGGATTTTCTTCAGCCTAATAATAAGTTTCTTAATTTAAGGCAATGTTTGGTATAGCGATATAGTTTATTGCCTTGAGATAATTTGTCATTGATAAAAAATTGAGATTTGTCACTTCTCCATGAAATTCTTTTTTCCGTTGGATCCTAGACTCATCAAAATCCATCACTCATGAGAGCCGGAAAAGCCATCTATTCTACCATATTATTTATAGTATAGATAAATATAATTAAAGTATCCTATTTTCAATCTTTGTAACTTAATTAATATAATTTATGTCCTGATTAGATAAACTAAACAGCTTGGAATTAGAAGTTGCTGAAGAGCGTGCCGAAAGGGCTTGTATTGCTAGGCCTGAGGATGAGCTTGAAGTAGAAGGTGACAGAATGGACGCAGAGGACACAATTAAAGGCAGTGATGGAATGCTAACAATTCATAGGTTGAGGTTGGTTTGCTCTTGCAATCGGTTAAGTAGCTCTGAGAAATGCAGCGAACCAATGCCGTTGGCAGAACAGGGCTACCCAGCGAGGGCTAGTCACACATACTTCTTCGGAAAGCATGCACATCCTGCATTGCAGAATAACTTCTTATCAAGATAGGAACTTGCTAGTCGAACTCTTTATTTTCATTTTAAAAAAAAAAATATTTTAATAATCTTTATCACTTCTGTTTCCTATCTAAAGTTATTTGTACGCTTCTGACATGTTTAATCTCTGGTATTTTAACTCCTATATTATTAAATTATATATATATACATTTTAAATATAATAAATATACAAGTATAAATAAGAGGGTTGAAATACCAGATTAATTGATATGTATATTGTAATTCAGGGGTCCCCAACCTTTTCTCACCAGCGGGCACATTTATAGGTAATGTCTTAGTTGGCAGGCACTGTGTTTTTAATTAATGTGAATTGCAGATAGGTTACTGTTTATAATATTTAAAAAGAAAATGTAAAGTTAGTCAATAAAAAGAAGTATATACGTATCGTGTATAGAAATACATTTCTATACAAAACGTGAAAAACATCAAGTTTAATTAATCTTTTTAATTGTATAAAGGTTTCTTATAAAAGATTAACACATTTTGAAATTATAATTAGAAACAGTATGAGTTATAATCAGGTATAAAATAAGTTTAATGCAGTGTTACCAACAGCGTCATTAATTTTTTTTTTTCTCCCAAAGAAAGAGATCAAACAAAACAATAATGATGATATTATATCAATAAATTAATTATTATTTTCAAATAAATAAATATTCCATATTTCATTAAAAGCTTGTCGATCTGCAACAGGCAACAGCAAAACTGTTGCCAGGGTAATCGCTGATGAAGGTTATGTTAGAGATGGGCAGGCACAAGTTTGTTCATGGGCACTGTGGGGGCCCGCGAGCTCTAGATTGGGGACCCCTGTTGTAATTGTTCGTTGACTCAACAACTTGTATCTATTTCAAGGCCTCTATTGTTATATTTCACTATTCGTATTTATGTATATGTTCAATATATTTTAATTTGGTTGCTAAAAAAAGTATTGAACTAAAAATATATTAAGCATAATTTTTTAAGTAGTTGTTAGAATTTTGAATTATCTTCTTCCTGCAAAAAAAAGTACAGAAATATTTCATTTCTATCGATGAACATGCTTTATCTTAAATTTGTATTTATAGTTGTTGAGTGATGAACATCCTCTAAATCCTGATTTAAATACTTTCTGATATTATCAAATTCTTCATTAGGTTTTATATCTATATATATTTTTATTTATTTATTTTTTTATGGAACTATCCATTACATTAGTAATCTCCCCTCCTCCTTCACCTTCGCACAACATTTTGTTCATTCTTGTACTAACAAGTAGACTTGACCAAAATTTATTTGAAATAATATTTCTGAGATAAATCATTCAATGACCTCATCATATTATTTTTGAAATAATTTATTTCATCATTTTACTTTAATCTTGTTTATTGAATTATTATTTAAATGGACTATTTCATATTGATGAATTTATTATTAAATCAGGTCATTTTTTTCTTAATTTATACTTTTAACAAGAAATTGACCTAAATTCATTACAAGTCTGTCAAGAGACCTCATGAGGCTAAAGTTGACCCAATTTTATCTGTCGGCAAAATTACTCTAGTCAAAATTTATAAATATACAAAAATAATTTTAAAGAACAAAATCCATGTAGTGTCACGAATGTGAGTTCAAAAGAAACCAAAGATAACAATTTAAAAAAATTATTTTTTAATTTTTAATTTTATTATTTTTTAATAATAATTTTAATTTTAAGTAATTGATCCAATACTGTATTAGAAAAAGTGATAATTAGGAAAATAACAATTAAACAATTTTCTTGTTTAACAAAATTTTTATTTATTAAAGATAATTAACACTTTTCTACAACAATCTAACCATCTTCTTCCAAAAATTATATAGTATTTTTCCTTTTTAACTTTAAAGAATTATATATGTATAAATAAATAAAATATAATAAATATCTCACATTTTCTTTTAATTCTTTTATCCTTTCCCATTAAACAAATATTTGAATGGCCTCATATCAGAGGAGGTCTGTCACCAAGATAAAAATTGAGTTAGAAGTTGATTCTTATAGCATTTTTCTCAATCTTTTAAATGCTAGAATCAGTTTCTATAAAAAAATACATATTTATGTTAAATTTAGCTATAAATTATAGCTTCTTTTCAAAATCAGACTCCTGTAGTGTAATTTTGTTTCAAAAGTGGACATTCATCAAACAGCCAATGAGATAGATGGATTCTGGTCAGGTGATTCAATTTTTAGTAATGGCTACCTATAATTTCCAGGTAGTACACTAATTATTATTTTTAATTTGTTGCATTACATCCCATGAAGGATCTTGAGTTCAGTACTGTGTAAGAAAGTACTGTTTCTTGGCTGACAGTTGTGCAAGGAGTTTAATTGACAGAGATCACGCTTAACCGCCAGATTTTCCCCCTTAATTAATTAAGAGGCTGAGTGTGCCCCAGGAAGGTCTTCTGGCTCCAGGGTCGATCCATGGCCGACTGAACAGAATAAATAATATATCTGCCATCAGCCGGATTCGAAGCTGGGACCTCAAACATAGGAAGTAAGCTACCCGACTCCCATTATTTTTAATTACAATATTTCAAATACAGTCTTTAAATTGTTAATAGAAAATTACAAAATAGTGCAGTTATATTCTTTTATGTAGGACAGAACTTAAGGAACCTTCACAATTTGATAAGACAGTGACATAACAATTTTATGTGAACATGATTGTCAATAGTCGGTTTCTTTTGGAATTCCTGGATACAATCACTTTGATGTACTTCTAAAAGAGGCTGCAGATGGTCCGGACGATTTCATAATCCCAAGTGCTGAGCAAGACCCACAGACATGTGAGGATGTTCTTGAAGCAGTGAACAGGGTAAACAACTATAAAGCTCCAGGAGAGGATGGAATTCCAGAGAGCCCTCTACAAAATCATCCTCACTGGACTGAAGAGAAAATGCTGGATCCGTGGAAGAAGGAAATAATTTATCCACTGCACAAGAAGTGTAATATCCTAGACTGCTCCAATTACCGTGAGATCTCATTTCTTCAGTGTGCTTATAAGATCCTCTCAAACATTATCTACTGCAAACTCCTCCAGTTTGCTGAAAGAGAGATTGTTAAGTATCAGGCGAGGTTCAGAGGAGGAAGATCTACAGTTGACCAGATGTTTAGCCTCCGTATGATGCTGGAAAAGTTTCAAGAGTACAGGATGATGACCTACCACCTGCATACAACAGCATCAAGAGACCTCAACTGTATGCAGCCCTGTGTGACCTTGGAGTTCCCCAGAAGCTTGTCCGCCTCATCAAGATGACTATGGATGATGCTTCGTGTACTTACGTACTTATCAGGCACTACGACCCTTGAAGTCGAGTCTTAGATTAATGGAAATACTGGGATGTGCTAACGATCTAGATCTGATGGCATGAGTCTCTTAAAAGTGCATTTTTTAAGGTTGGCTGAAGCTTTGGGAATGAGTGTAAACCAGGAAAAGACAATGTAAATGCGAGCAGGACCTGAAAAAGAGTCCACAGTACGAGTACCAGTGGTTATGGGCCCATTTACGTTCCACAATATAGACCAGTTTACCTATCTGGGAGCTATTGTAAGCTGTGGAAAGAGAATATCCCTGAAGGCCAACCAGCGAATAACATGGGCAAACAGGTGCTATTTTGGCCTCAGCAAACGCCTTAGAAGCTCTCCTGTCATACAAAATGCCTCTTACATAAGACCCTCATTAGGCCTGATCTCACATATGGATCGGAAAGCTGGATCCTCTCTAGCAAAGAAGAAAAAGAAAAAGATGTTGAGGTGCATCAAGCTTGGGCGACTACGTTGGGCTGGCCATGTGGCCAGACTGTCGTCAGAAGAGGAAGTCTCAAGGAAGTTGCTTGAGGGGAAGTTCTGCAGGACAAGAGGGAAAGCCAGACCACGTCTAAGATGGGAGGACGCCATCATCCGGGATGCCATAGTAGTATTGCATACTCGCAACTGGTGAGCCATAGTTAGTTAGTTCTGGATGCAATTGATGTGATCATGTGGCCTTCCATCTGAACTAGCACCCAAGCAATATTAGTGTGGGTTAAAAATTTTAAATAAAATAAGTAGTAGAGTTGATTTATTCATAATTAAAGATTAATAGTAAATTTTTTATGATATTAAAAAATGCAAAGCCTTGAAACAGTACTTCCTTTCAATTTAAACAAAAAATTAAAATAACTTTAAATGTTATTACTGATGAAAGACTGCAGTTATTATCAATTTATCATAGTATAAGAAGCCGGCCTTAGGGTGAGACAACCAGGGCGTCGGCAGACCTTCAGGGACGCTCTCTACTTGTAAGAAATATAAAAAGATATAATTAGTTTTAGCCTATCAATAGAGCAACTGTATAAGTGAAATGTTGAATCAAATACAATTCAAACATTACTTCGTATAAAACAGGTTAACAAGTAAATTTAATTTTTTTAGGGGGGAGATGATGTTATTGATGTTGTGATGTTATGAATACCTAAGGCCGGCACTGATAAGAAGATAGAAATTAATTTTTCAGGTTAATTGTCCATTTTCAAAAGCTTTACGGTATATATTTTATTTTTATTCTTAGTTAAAAAATTAATCCATTATGCTACCTCAGTCTCATCACTGATAACTTAAGCTCAAGATAATAACTGATAACGCATGCGTCTTGATCCTTTAAAGGGCATAATTCCCATGATTTCTTTTTCAATTTTTTTTCTTCAGAATATGCTATTTATAGAATAAAGATGTTGTTTAAAGACTCTGATAGTTAATTACATATTATAGCTATGGTGAAGAGGTTGATAAATCAATCAGTATGTGTTTAGGAACAATTATAGGGCATAATTATGTATTGGGTAAATTTTCAAAGATCGATAATGTAAAATTTGAATTTATTAAAATTGAAAAAAACATTTACTATATACAAGTAGATTAAATTTAATTATAAATTATAAGATCTTTAGGGCGAATCAAATTGAACGACAGCGAAGTTTCCTGAGACAAGCCAATCATCGTACTTGGCATTCATCACTTCAGCGAGATCCTTTTCCAGGCCACAAATGACATCGGCCTTGCAAGTTCTCAAGGTGACTAGTGGAGCAGGGTGGAACTTCCCGATGGCCTCACTAAAAGGTGTAATTGGATCCCAGTTGATATCCTGAACGAGTTTCCTGTAGTTTAGGTCCCCTTTGAAAATAATGAGTGAGGAAGAGGATAATTCTTTGTATAGCTGAGGATCGGAATCAACCATATCAGAATAGGGTTTACCAAGACACCAATACAGGTCAACCTTAACTTTCCAGATACCTAAGAAGAAAAAAAATTATATATCAAGAAAAATAACTTTATTCTGGGAAAAAGTTCCTTTGAAATAACAAAGTATTCTATTTTATTAAAAATTTTAACATAAATAAAACAAATTGATGCAAAAATAGATGCATTGAGTGCCATGGAAAGTAAAACATTTTTATATAAATTAACCAATTTTATATTTCCCTTCTTCTTTTACACAAGTACAATGAAATAGTTTTTTTTAAACAATGCCTTGATTAATTCATAATTAATTTGATAAATTGATAAAAGATTAATAGCCAATTTTTTATGATATTAAAAAGTACCTGATTCGGTGGACTTAATATACTTTTTTCAAACTTTGCTTACTTATTTATTTTAAAAGTTAATAAATTCCATTTCATATTATTATATATAATTTTTCGTTACTCTCCATTACCTTCTATGACTTTGTATGTTAGATATTGTTTTTTCTGAAATTTTATTTTTGAAAATTCATTTCGACCTAAAAAAACATTTTTCATTTTACTCCATTAATCGATTATTAAATTCTTTCATAATTTAAATCAGGCCTTTTTTAATTCCTGCTAACAGTTAATAATTTAAAATAAACCAAATTAAAGATACTTTGGAGGAAATTTTTTTAAAAATTCAGCATTTAAGCTCTATTAAGCTAAATCAATGTGGATAAGACCTAAATGATATTAAAGACCATTTAATTATATATTGATGTACTGAGTTTAATCAAAACCGTTAAAATTGTTTTTGAGAAAATTGTAAAAATGTGTAAAATCAAAGAAATAAAGTGGCACTTCGGGTTAGCTGATTTTCAAGAAAAAATTGCTGTAACATCCTAGACAAACCTTAAATATGCCATTTCACTTTTGTACGACTTCGGTTTTGAGCTAGACTGTTAATATACATACACATACACACACACAGACTAACTTGCGGTACTTGGTTATTTTGACCCAGGCAACCTCAAAACATATATTTCTGTTGAAAACTCAGATTCAAAAATTTTAACCGCAATACTTTTCCTTACTATACATTACATATATAGGTAAGTGAAAATAAAAGCACTAGTTTTATTATTATGTCTTAAATTAGTCTTAAACCCAGATTGTTACAAAAGGTCAAAAAACTAATACAAAGTAACCCACTTTAACGGTATCAATAAATTTGACAAATAAAAATTTCTCCCCCTCATTTACATTTTGGAATATTTTGTCTTTTAAAAATAAATTAGGTGCTCAGAAAAAATGATATCCTATTAAAAGCCAAGCTAGGCGAAAATTTTGGATATATTTTGGCGAAAACTGACAGATATATAACACTATATGATTGAATTTAGTAAAAAAAATGACTGTAAAATGCAATCAATATAAGATAATAAAAATATATAACTGCTATAAGCTGTTACACATAAACTAAATATATTCAGGATTTGTTGTTACCTTCATCTATATGTTTCTGCCAGCGTTCCCCGAATTTCCGATAAATTGGATTTTTACTTGATCTAACAGCTTCAACTGTCTGATAAAAATCTTTCGGCATTACATCGGATACATACCATGGGATGGGTTTTAACCTGAAATTTAACTGTTTAACATTGCATTTGGAAACGAGGTAGTCAGCAAGAAAAAGATCACATAGTATTTCCAAACCACTGTTGTCAGTAACATAATCTGAAAATGAGAAAACAAAAAAAAAATAGTAATATAAAAATGGCAACAATTCGAATTAATGACAGTATTTTAAATATAAAACTTATTTTTAATAGCCCGATGACAAAAGAGATAAAGATAACCAATCATTAATAAGATTTAATTGTTAAGGTGAGTTATATGCGCTGTCATTTTGATTTAACCTTTGAATGAATATAAACATGGAAGAATGCTGCTCTCATAATTCAGCTGTGTATTGCACATTCTTAATACAAGATTTACTCAGAAATTTAATATAAAAATGAAAACAAAAAGTATAGATTTAACTAGATATTTCAATATTGCCCCATGAATTTATAGTGCGTCCAAGATAAGTTTGCCTGTAAGGGAAGGGAGTTCGTGCAGCCTTTTCCTTCTCAAGCTCCACCTCCCCTCTTCAACATAAAACCACCTCGTAAGTAGAACGCGTTTTTCGATGTTAGATTTTCTTCTAAATTAAAATTTTGTAAAAGAAATGAAAAAAAAAAAAAAAATGGTAAAAGTACATACGAATGAGTAGAGAGAAGATAAAATAGTGGGGAATCGGCGGGACCTATATTCAAAATTGTATCCTAACGTGATGGCGTGTTAGAGAGAAGAATAGGAAAAAATAGTGTTGAAAATCAAATTATGACAAATTTTATGGAAGATATGGATTAAAATATCTCAGAAACTAAAATTCAGCAAAACCTGCATACTATAAGCGAGTGAACTGTTCAGCATTTCATCCTCTTTTGTAATGGGCCAATAATTCAAAATTGTATCTTAACGCGATTCCGTGTTAGGGAGGCGGAAAATTGGAAAAAATAGTGTCAAAGACCAAAGATAATGTGTTTTATTGAAGATGTGGATTAAAATATCTCGTAAACTAAAAATCGGAACCAGCATACTGTAAGCAAGGGAAATGTTCAGCATATCATCTTTATAATGAGTTATTATTTACGATTTATATTTCATATTATTAATCTTGCTTTTTAGATGTTTTCATTCCAATCTTGTGGTCTAAAGCACACACCTTAGTTGATTTTTTAAAAAATCAATTTATTAAAACTTTCAAATATTTTAATTCATTGTTGTTTCCATTTGTTTCCACTGAAAAGGATAACTTCCAAGTATTTGACATCTCATTATACCAATGCATTATATAAAAATATTTTGTATATTTAATAAAATTAATATATAAGATGAAATTAAAAAAATATTAGATGTATTAATAATTAAAAAGTTCCCTTAGTTTACGTTTATATAAGAATGGATAATTATTATTTTAAAAAATCTGAAAAAGAAAGAGTTTCACTTCGTGAAACAGGAATCAGAGTAATAACTTGTTTTAGAAGAAGCAATTTTAAATAAAGTTTTATTTTTAAATTCAGTGTAATTTTGTTTTATTGTGAACACATGGGATTAAAAAATTCTACATAATAAAGTATTCAAATGGCGATATGACAACCAAAGATGTGAGAGGAAAAAAAGTAACTACAAGTGTAGTATCAAAAATTTATAAAAACAATGATCTAATTATTAAAACATTAAAAGATTGTGGAGGAGATCGGAAAAAATTAAATCATTCAAGTTTTGTAAAATTAATGAAGTGGTATTGAAGTTATATACATGACATAATTGCCTTTGGTATTTCATAAACCGTAATAAAATAACTTTAATTATTTATAGTTTAAAAAGTTATACAAGTAATATTTCTATATATTTAATTTTTTTTTTCAAGGAATGTTTACATTCGGTAAGTAGACGAGAGGTTCGTCTCTATTTATATTCTTTAAAATACGAAAAAATAATATTTTAATGAATAAATATATTACCTACAATTTTACTACTATTTTCAACTGCAACAAGAAGACATGATACCCTTTCCAAATCATTGACTAAAATATTGTCATCCCAATTTCGTACTTGATGGAGTAAGTCGGATTGAACTTCAACAGTACCTCCAGCCAGTGATAGATCTAGTCTGTTTGCCCAAAGGGTACACTACACAGATATATTTATAGAAATAATGATATATAACTATACATGTTATTTTTTTTTAATTCAAAATTTAAAAGAAAATAGTAATATTTTAACAATTTAATAAAATATTATACCTCACTTAGGAAATAAAATAAAATATGCAGATGAACTTGAATACTTTTCTCAAAGTTCATCACTATTTTTGATAAACAGAAATGGAAAGAGTGAATAGGGGAAATAGGAAAATATATTCATATTAAAACGAATGATGTAAAAATCGACATACTAATAAACAAATTAATTACAAGGGTTCGGAGAAAAAAAAAAATGAGACTTTAATAAGGAAATGGTGTATAATGTATAACAAGGAAGAAGCAATGCATCACCATCACTCGACATTCATGAGTTGGAAGTTAAACAAAAAAATAAAAGACTAGCTGGGTGGAACACAGTTTACTAATGATGAAGACATCAAAGTGGCAGTAAAATTATGGGTCAGGTCTTAGCCTGTAAATAACCATATAAAGTTAATTGTTAATAATGAGTTTTGGTGGGAATAGTAAATATTCTTTTGCTTTTATCGGGGAACTAGGTTATTTACACTCGTGATTATTAAAACAAAACACCGGCACTGGATATAGACTTTTGAGGATGTTTAACTGTCGTTGGGAATTCGGGAATCTAATACCTTTTGTGACACTGAGTGAGAAGAAACAATAAAAATACCTATATGAAATGTGGGACTTAGTAAATACACTTTGAATGAATTGACTCACCTGATTTGTTATTCTTCAATTGTGAGGCATATAGGACAACTAAATAAAATGACTTTTCACTCCTGTGTAATAAAACAATTTATTTTAGCAACTGTAATAAATGAATGAATAAAAGTCTTATAACTGTAGGCTTGATATTTTTAGTCTTCAATGTAGTAAGCCTCTCTTCCCAGATGACGTCTTTTCGTCTTCGTGTCCAGGCCTCAACTGCATTCTCGGCGTCCTGCTAGCTACCTGCTCTGACCTTTTTCCAGCGTCCTTCTTCGATTGTGTTTATCGATATTATACTTTTCTATGAATAATTTGTTCACTGCCTAATTGAGTACAATTTACAGTGCAACCTCACATTCCTATATATTCCTTCTCATTCTCTCACCCAATGTCACACAAAGGAGTAAATACAGGGGGCTATCTACTACAAGCCGGTAGAAGAATATAACATCAGCATTCCAAAACAGAAGTCAAGTTACAATAAATGCCTTGAAAGTAATAATAATTATGTTGAAAAATGGACTAAGGTACTGTAACTATGTAAATAAAGTTTTGAGTCGATAATTTTCATTTTAACTTAGTTAAAGCAAATTATTCTTCATTTTCTGGACTACTCTTTTATATTTTAGAATTGAGTAAACAAATAATGAAAACAAATTAAGATTTTCATTTATTAATCGTAGTGTCACTGTCAATAATATTATATTGTTAATATCATAGTTTTTATTAAAATATAAAAAAACCTTCAATAGCATGGTAAGTTCCTCTTGCAGCTGTTTCTGAGATAATGACTTTGAAGTATCTAAAAGACCTTCTTCCTCCATGTGAGTCATAATCGGGCCAATAGCTGGCAATGAATCGGTTAGTAAAAGAGACTTCTGATAAAAGAAAGGATCCAAGATATTGAGGCAGCTCCTAAACAGAATTCAGAACTAAATTATAATAATTATTTTATAATTCAATCAGTAAAACCTCCTTTCAAAGCAACAATAATGTTCAAATTGTTATAATTGAGAAAAAAATTGAAATTTACAACTATGATTTTTTTCCTTATTTATATTTCATATGGTGTTGGAAAATATGAAATATAATATTGAAGATTTTATGAAATATCAGTTCCTATGCTATGAGATAAATGAAATAAAATAAACTTTAATGATCTTATTTTTATTAATAATCGCTTTCTTAGCTGACCTACTCCCGCGAGTCATGTACCCTCACCACAAAACAGATAAGTCAGATTCAGACCATGGAGATGAAATTCCTGAGCAAGGCCAAAGAAAAAACAGAGACCGCAAAAGGAACTCCGCAATAAGGAAAAACCTAAGCATAAGATCAGCCGAGACTGTGATAGAGGAAAATTGAAATGGTTTAGTCATATCTCTCGAATGCCAGAGAATCAAGTGGCCAGGATTGCATTGAAAAGTAAAGTTGAAGGAAGAAGGCCTCAGGGAAGAATTGAGAGGTCGGTGTCAAGAAGGCCTTTGACAGAAGTGATATTGACTGGAGGAAGAGATGACACTTAGCCCATGATCGGGAATTGTGGATTCTGCTCTACAAGTCAGCTCCTCACATTGCTCAGCAAGAGAAGAGGAAACGATTAAGAAGAAGAAGAAGAAAAACTTTCTTAGCTTTAATACAATTCTACCAATACATAAATATCAGTTTACTATCAGTATTTAAATATATATCAACTAGAGATATAAATATTTAAAAAATATGTCAATATATATTGCAGTGATTTTCACAAGTGTTTGTTGAAAATCAATTATTTTAAAATTAAATTGATATATGAAAGTTATAAAAATAAGGACAGGCTACTGGTTTTCAACCAATGAGATTTCAGATAATTCTAAAATGGGGCCTAGAACCTTACTAAGCTTGTAGTCAAGTTAGTTCCTAAATTAATATAAAGATGCAGTTCAGTTAACTGAATAAAATATACAGAAATATTTATTGATGGCTAAGCGTGTTAAAGCATAAACTTTTAACATTCTTAAGTCTAAAGATGTCAGTCAGTTTGAATTCAACCTGGGCAGGTTGATATTTATTTTGTAGTGGACCCACAGAATAAATCTCGACTTTCCTATTCTAGAAATGGCGAGGTATGGATAATGTTTATTAATTTTTTTTTTAAATATAGGTTTTCAATAGTCAATTTTTTTTTAATATGGAATATTGGTATAAATCATAATAAAAAGATCGTACAAAAATTTATCGATATAGTGGTCTGAAACTCGTAAATAAAAAATAAAATTTATAATAATTGACAACTAATTACAAGTAAATAAGATATTATTGTAATATGACATTGATATGGTTCATGAAAAACCGCAGACCATAAAGCAAGTTAAAATAATAAATAAAATACAAGTCAATTGAACATACTTAGTAGCGAAAATCTCTCGTATCTTCCGATACAAGTAACATTCTGCGAAAAGCCAAATGGCTTCGTAGTAATTTAATTTACTTCCATTTTTAATGAATCCTTCCAAATCTGCATTCCATATGTCTGTGTCAGGATCAGAAGAAGAGAATTTTTCAAAAGGTTTTCCAGTCTGTACATGATTCTTCAGCTGTGAAATTTCTCCAATAGCTGTCTTTAATTCTTCTTCAGCACCCTTAAAATGAAAATTGAACTTAGAAAAATTATCATTTATACTTACTTTCTGAGTTAGGTCTAAATAAAAATACGGGAAATTGTAAAATAATATAAGACCAGTGTAGGACAAAACTTGAGACTGAAAATAATTTTTAAATACAAAATACTTGTAACATATTGAAAAAAAACTAAGATGGGTGCTTTAGACCACATGATAGAAGTGAAAACAACAACAAGGCGAGATTAATAATATGAAATGTAAATGCTGTCAAATGCTGAACATTTCTCTCACAGTATGCAAGTCCGATTTTTAGCTTCTGAGATATGTCAATCAATATCTTCCATAAAACCCTTTAATTTAGGTATGTGGTTTTATTATATCCCAGAATTTTTCAATTATTTTTATTATATCTTTCCAGTTGATATTGGTCAATAAATTTTCTACATCAAAACAGACCAAACAATATTTACCTATTATCTATTTTATTTATTCTTTCAAGCATTTGATCCACCTTAATTGAGTTTTTTATTTTACATCATCGTTACTATCCTATTTTATGTTATTTTGTGAGGAAATAAGATATTTAGCAAACATTTTTCAGTTTCGCCATTGATATTACAAATGATAGGACTAAGTGGAGCGCCATTTTTATGTAACTTTACTAATCCATTTATTCTAGAATGTATTACAGTTAGGATTAATTAGTTTAATAAGAAATTACATAAAATATAGACATCAAAGCAAGGTCAATCTAAAAATGTCCTTAATGAATAGAATAATAGCTCATTAAAAAGAAGTTGAAAAGCTTAACATTTCCCTCGCTTATAATATACAGATCCAATTTTTAGTACCTGAAATATTTTAATCCATCGATTCAAGCCTATTAACCTAGTTATCATTTGGTTTTCAACACTATTTTTTCCTTTTCGCCTCTCTAACACGGCGTCACTTCAATATACAATTTTGAATAATATCTCATTACAAAGAGGATGAAATGCTGAACAATTTCCTAGCAAACAGTATGCAGGCCCTATTTTTAGTTTTGAGATATTTTAAACGATATGTAAAAACATTATAATTAGTCGTCTATAGCCAACTTAACCTGAGCATTAAAATCTGACGGGTCAATCTAATTCACTCTCCACAAAAAGTGCAAAACATGCCTAAAGAAGTTTTCACTTTAAAAAAAGAAAGTATTCTACTTATAATGTTTAGAAAAAATATTAGAGTTTTTCTATATTTCCTTTTTTATATTCACACGCGTAGCAAAATATAATATGTGCTAATTATTAAACATTCATTAAAAAGGTAGGTTACATATAGCCTCTTATATCAATGCCTAGTATTATATATATATATATATATATCACTATATTATTATATATCACACTAATGACAAAGAACTGTCAAGAATTTTGGAACAATTTTTTTATTACAAATTTTCTAAAGTATTTTCTTGAAAATAATAATATAGAAAGTGACCTAACCTTACAACTGAGATTGCATTTTACTTGCTTTTTGGGCCCCTAAAATATAAGATACAAAAATTTAATTTCATCTTGTATTAAGAAAAATTGCATTTCAAATACAATTATACTAAATACGCACAGTGATTACCAAAAAACATTTTTACATTCATATAAAAATAACAAGATCAAGCAATGAGGGAAATAAGAAACAAGGAGGCAAAAAGTGCTGAGTTGCAAGTTTAAATGCCACAAATTAATGGCTAGTTAATAAGCGATGAGGATTTTAAGTCATGTGGTCAACAGTAATACATAGCAAAGACACTAAATAAAACCGGGTGGTTCTATCTTGTTCAAATTAGGAGAAACGTTGCTATCTATTGGTATCTACGACATATGGTAGGTTTGTAGAAGTATTCTCCCGAGGCTTCTTAGCATTCTAGGATTGTGATAGGGCTTAGAGCTGAGGTAATGAATCCTCATAGGCTCATACAGATAGAACATCTGGTAGGTACAGACCAGTGGCAGTTCCTAGGGATTTTCTAATATTTCTCTCCAACTGCTAGGACGTAACAAGTTGCCCTTTGCCAAATCATGGAAGTTATTTTTGATGTTGAAGTGATGGTAGAACTTCCAATTTATCACTGAAAATAAATCCTTGGAACACTGACCAGAAACTTTTTAGTGATAATTTGGAAAGACCACCACTTTGGAGAGGTTAGATTTTTAAGGGCCCAACTGGATGTTGAAGTCAGTCTTCTCGAAAAAAAATTGTAATAATAATTTTTGAGAATCCCCATCTTTTAAATCCAGTACCTTATAATAAGTCAGGTGGCAGTCCATTAATGTGAAAGAGTTACAATAATAACTATAATGGGCTATAATAAGGGCTATTTACCATGCAGAAATTGGATGGCTGGTGTAATTTAATATTTGAACAAAAAGTAATTTTGATTATAATTACTTAACAATTACTGAAATTTGAAATTGAAAAAATACAATACAAACAAATAGAACTAATAGTTGAGCCAATGAAATCGTAATTAGAAAACTACAATTTTATGTGGTTGTAATTTTATTTCTAGAATTAAACAAATTTAATTAGTAACCGCAACTTCAGAAAGACTTTAGCCATTATAAAACCATGTTACAAACAATAGGAATGGAGTTGCAGTAAGCAGATAAACTTCAGTCAACCAAGAAAATTAAAGGCAATTATGTTAGCTTGTAAATATCATTAGTAGTTACAACTAATAAAACACAGTGACTAACTTTTAAGGATGGTGGAGTCCACCTAAGAGAAGAATGTTTTTCAACTATATCAAAAATATCATTAGTACTGAACCGAAGTAACTTTTATTTATATAGTTTCAAATATGCCATTTTTATAAAAAAAATTTTAATAATAAGTTAATAAACAGTTTAATAATAAGTTATTAAACTGAAGACACTTCCTGTCAAATGAGTGTTTGTTTTTTAGTAATTAGTCATTTTATTTTTTCAGATTTCATTCACTAAGTAAGATGTAATTGGCCATTTGCTCATTATATGTATGAAGCAGGCATGTGTAATCCAAATTTAATTCAGGTGAAATTGTATGGCAAACCTATAATATATAATTATACATCTTAAAATAATTAATTGAATATAATGAAATATCACTATATCTAATAATATAACCTAATAATAATTTATACCTCTCCATAAATGTTTATAATGTTTTGTTTTTCTCTGTAAAGAAGATCCACTAGTTTAGACAAAATTACAGGAACTCTATCCTTCATCGACGGATACGCAAAGCTCCTATAACATTAAAAACATATTAATGAGATCATTTATATTTGTTATTGGAAGATTTCAATATAAAGGTCCTTATTTTTATAAAGAAACATTAAAACTAATCAGCAAAAATTTCACAAATTCAGGCATCAATTAATTTAAATTACTGTATGCAAGCCTTGAAGAATAATTTGCCTGTGCTGCAAACCAAGAGATACATCTAATACAGATACCATAAAGATGTTTGCATTATCCCCACTTTTCATGTCAACAATCCAAACTATAATAAAGATGCTTGAATTGGCAAAAGGCTGAATGATTAATAATATATATCTGGCAATGATTTGATTGTAATAACCTATCTTAATACAATTCATAAAATTAAATTTAGCAAAAAAACAACTCATTAGGGAAATTATGGATTATGGTCTTACTTAAGGAAGTTGAATTGCACAAAACAGGATACAACCTGTACAATTTCCCAGATGATATTTTTGGTTAGATATTTAGAATTAAAACAGCCTGCCCTATTGAATGTAAAATGGACAAACATTGTGTTTTTTCAAATAATTTATTATGAAACGGCTATAAATAATAGCTACGGGTATGATATATGGATAATGGACATAGTAAAAATTAATAGGGTGTTTAAAAAAAATGACCATTTTCAACCAAATATTTGTATTATTGTTTCTTTGATATAAAATACAATTAATACTGAAAGTACAGTCCATTGTTATCTACCGTCATTAGCCATCTGCTAACCAATCGCTCGAATTCCTAAGCTGATACCATTTTTTGGGATGGCTGTTAAAGAACTCTTAGACCGCAATTTCAACTTCTGCAAAATTATCAAATTTTTTCCCTGGAAGAAAATGGGCTATAGATCTAAATAGGTAGTAATCTGATGGTGTAAGGTCTGGGCGGTGGATGAGGCAGGAGTTTTTCAATAAATTTTCACAAATTTCTAATCTTTTAGCTGATTGCTGAGAAGTAAATTCGTGAGGGACCAGTCTACTGCTCTTTTTCACATTCCCCATGGAGAGTAGATGGCGATTAACAGTATCTTTTAACAGACCACACTCCCAGGCAAGTTCGCGAGTACTCGTGGACGGATTTGACTCAACAGCTTCCTGCAGAACCTCATCAATATCCATTAATGGTCACCTGGAGCTCTTCTTCTTTTCCAACATCATATCTCCAATGCTAAATTTTTCAAACTAATCCTGGGCAGTGCCGCTGATCAAGGACACCTTTCCACTTCATATTTAATAATTACACAAGTTGCTTCAGCGGCTGTGAAATTTTTTTTCCAGTAATGCCTTAAAATTATGAGAATTTCTTAGGACACTCACCCTTCTTCTTTGAAACAAATAACTAAACTGAGGCTTTTTTTGAAGAAGTCAAATGGGATTAAACAAGCTTAAAGAATACTCTAAAGGGATTATATTAAATATTGGTATGTATTAAATAGGATTGAAATATTTACAGTCATTTGAAATATAGAATTTGATAAAACTGTCATTTTTTAATTTTTTTTTTATACACCCTATTAATTATTACAATTTTTTTATTTCAACAATTACTAGTTATAAATAGTAATTACTGTTGTAATTAAGGCATATGCATTTTTTCCCTCTCTTGCATAATTATCTCTTGCTAGAAGGTCCCAATTTTTTTCAACTTTATTAAACTACTCAAGAAACTAAATGCCTAGTTGAGATAAGAGCAGACCAGCGATAAGAGCATCTATTAAGTATACAACTTTGACAATATGTTAGATAATATGTTGTTGTTTAATTAATCTTGATCAATTAAACAAAAACTGATTATCTAATGCCAAATATTGAAATAAGCACAATTTTAATGTTTACGACTAACAATAACTACGACTCCCATTACTTTTATAAATTATTAGACCTAATAACTTCAAATAACACTAATTACAAAGAAGGAATTTAACTAATTAAAAGTTAAAACAGTAGTAAAAGATTAACTTGATAATGCATCAACAAAATTAATCAATAAAGTTATCAAGTTAGAACAAAATAATAATATACCTATTTATATTTATATATAATAAAGAAGTTTACAAATGTGTTCAACTTGTTACCAAAATCTTAACATGTTTTCTTATGTCTGTCCCCTCAATAATATAAACCATTTTTATTGCACTAACATATTACAATAGAATATTTTGTATATACTGCAGTAAATATTTCAAACTATAATTACTATGTGGTTCTGGTTGTACTTTTTTTCTGTCTCTCCTTCCTCACTTTTTCGGCTATACAGGATTTTTCCTGGTCCAGAGGAGAGGGTAGAGAATTAATGCCAGAATTAAAAAGCACCCTCTCCCCCACCTGGCATGGGGATTGGAAATTCTTTGGTGTATCAGGTTGTCAGACATCACATATGTTGCATAAGTGTTAGGTGTTTACATTTCCAGACCAATTTATTTGGCTGATTCATATAATTGTCTTTGTTGGAAACCTTGGAAAGGCATATTCTGAATTGATCTTTATAGCACGATCCAAAGAAAAAATAACCTTAAATTAGTAAGACTAATTTTCATTTGCTGGAGAATACATCCTGTGCTGACGTACTCTACGTACTCAAGGAGTAGATCGAAGCGAAGGTAGGAAGATTGTGTGGGGGCTGATCTGAAGGGACTGAGTTTAGATGGCAACCGGTGGAGGGAGGTGTGTAATAACCGATTGGTGGTGTCGACATCGGGTGCTAAACCTTTTATTTTTATAATTGTTAGTGAATACATCAACAAACACATCAGTTTTAAGGAACATGTGATATTCTCTGCTAATTTTGGGCCATAACCTCCTAGCAAGTGCAGCTAAATGGGGAATCCAGCATCATTTTATTTTCCAGCCTGAAAATGACCCAAAGCATGATCACAGCCAATAAAACTAAAGAATGTTTGATATTTAACAGTAACCAGATTTTAATATAATTGACAATTAATGTCATACATTAGACTAAAATATTTCAAAACAACACAACTAAATGGGACCAACTCAAGAATAGGAACAAATCCATCAAGATATAATTAAAAACATATTTCACTCAATGTCTAGTCTATTAAAAGTGGTTATCGATGCTAACAGACTTTATACAAACTATTAAATTAAAAAAGTCTGCCATGTAAATACTTTTTCCTAGGAACTTTGTAAGAATTCATTGTAATAAAAAAGAAGTTATTCACTTGAATTATATATATATATATTGTATAAGTATGTATCCAGTTTTAAATAGACTTCAAATTTTTTTGTTTTAAAATTTTTTACTATCTAAATTCATAATTTTATGAAAAAAACCTTGTGCCCGCACTGTAGATGGGGCTCTGCTATTGCTGAGAAAAGCATTGATAAGTATTGCTGAGAAAAATTGTAAAAATCATTAAGCATTCTTAAAATATACCTAAATTATCCTAAAACAACAAAATGAATCATCACTGAGCTAATACACACAAAAAAAACTTACTTCAATAATAACTTATTCCAGTAATTATTTCATATTGTAAAATAATGACAATATATCATTTACACTAAATATAAAAATGGCATGAATTTTGAAAAATGGTATGACTATATTGAAAGGTCAGTGAATATTTATGAATTTAAATATTTGATACCTTTTGTACTTAGCAGACAGTTTTTCATTTCTAGGAGTTGGTAGATCCAAAACGATGTTCATCAAAGTTTCTGATGTTTCCTGTACAGAATCCATATTAATTATGACTGTAGCTTATTAGGCGCAAGGCTATATTTAAAGATTTTTAAGGTCATGCAACTAAAGGCATTGCATAAGAAAAAAAAGATGATACCCTCTATAATAAAAATAATCTATATTGTGACGAACAGTAACATTATCATTTTGACGGAGAGGTTACTGGGCTGATAGGTTACCAATGTTATGGATTGCATAATTTTCAACTGCTTTTTAATAAAATTGTACAATAAGTAATCTGATTAAAAGTCATATATTCACTTAAATTTAATTTTAAAAATTATTTTAACTTAATTAAACTAACCTCAACAGAATTTAATTTGTTAAAATTTGTATGAAAAAGTGTATTACAGTATTTAAATGGATCTGTCCATAAGTTTTTTTTTACATTCAAGATTTTAAATTTCCTTCCCATTAATACATGTACAATTTGTCTCAGTATCATTTTATAGTTACATTCCAAGTTTCTTTAACTACAGTTTACATGACTACGAAAAAATTAAATTTAATTCGAATATTTTTTTCATTAATTGCTTCTTTTTTTTTAACATTATAATCTTCCAATAGTGGAAAACCAAAATTCTAATAATGATTGTTATTGACATATAAATTAGTTTTAATTGATAATCAACATGTTTCTTTATAAGTTGAGAACCAAATTTATATTTTAACAGTAGAATTACATACATATGTTTTTATTTGAAGTAATATGAGGAAAATGAGATAAATTGCTGAAATGAATCCCTAAACAATTACAACATATTCCGCGTTTGAATAATACTTATACACACTAGCGAATCCAGGATTTCATTTTGGAGAGAGCTTCAACCCGAAAGCTTTTTTTCTTCTTATATGTAACGATAATTACTTTGTAAAAAAAAAAAAAAAAACAGAAAGATACTAACTAGCCCTAGCGGATCCAGGATTTAATTTTGGGGGGGGGGCTTCAGCCCGAAAGATTTTTTTCAATACATATAACGATAATTAATTTGAAAAAAAAAGAAAGAAATTAACTACCTGTATGAAATGGTGTTTAAGTGGTTTCTGAAGTCCTATTAACTGTAATTATAGGAACAAGATACTTTAAGAGATAGTTTTTAATATTGTTTTCTGTTAAACATGGTTATATTTTACCATTTTGGGGGGGGGGGCTTCAGCCCGAAAGCCCCTCCCCCCGTAATCCGCCTGTGCTAACTAGGTATATGAAATGGTGTTTAAGTGATTCTTGAATTCCTTTTAAATATAATTACACGAACAATAATACAATAAGAGATAATTTTTTGCCATAAAACATGGTTACATTTTACCATTTTGGGGGAGACTTCAGCCCGAAAGCTCCCCCTCTTCCGAATATCCGCCTGTGGTAATACACAATTATGAGATGTAAACACTTGACGAGAAAATTTATTCCTAAAAGCTTTATTGTTTGTTCCTGTCATTAATTTTTTTTTTCAAGCCTTCATGGACCGCTTAAACATAATTTCATAGAGTTTCTTTCTTTTTCTCCTTGAGTAATTACCGTTATACAGGGGTACCCAGATGAGAGCTTCATGGCGCAAGTTACGCCATCAAAATTTATGAGGGGGGCATATTTTGACGGGTTTTTGAATTTTTGAAGGGGGGAGAGAAACCTCGACGGGGTTATGAATTTTTGGACTAAGGTCAAGGGGAAAGCATGGATCATACCACAGCAAGTGTAATTGTATATTATCTACGATTTTTCTAATTCTACCTTAGCTTGTTCTGTTTTCAAGGAAAGGTTAGCAATAAAATATCTTTGGAGAGGAGGATAGGTTCATGCACTAGCAGATCCCGGATTTAATTTATGGGGGGAGGGCTTCAGCCCGAAAGCTTTTTTTCATAAAAATAACGATAATTACTTTGGAAAAAAAGAAAGAAACTAACTACCTATATGAAATGGTGTTTAAGTGATTCCTAACGTCCTTTTAAATGTAATTACACGAACACTAAGGGATAATTTTTTAATATTTTTCCATAAAACATGGTTATATTTTACCATTTTTTTTGGGGGGAGGGGGGTTCTTCAGCCCCAAAGCCCCGCAGTAGATCCGCCCGTGGGTTCTTGCGCCATTGACCTTGGGGAGATCACTAGCGGATCCAGGATTTAATTTTGGGGAGGGCTTCAGTCCGAAAGCTTTTTTTTCCATAAAAATATCGATAATTACTTTGAAAAAAAAGAAAGACACTAACTACCTATATGAAATGTTGTTTAAGTGATTCATAAAGTCCTTTTAAATGTAATTACACGAACAATAATACTTTAAGAAATAATTTTTTAATATTTTTTCCCATAAAACAGGGTTATATTTTATCATTTTGGGGGGGGCTTTAGCCCCAAAGGCCCACCTCCACCCCCCGTAGATCCACCCGTGGGAAGTATGGACACCCCTGCCGTTATATAAAAAAAAAAACACTTCTCTCCCTAAAAAATAAATTAAATCCTAGATTTGATGTTCACTTTCATAGTTATAATGATGGTTCATAGATCTAATGTTTATTAGATTATATCAGCAGCGCATCCAGGATTTAATTTTTCGGGGGGAGGGTGGTTCAGCCCAAAAGTTGTTTTTCCCCTATATACAATAATTATTACTTTGAAAAAAAAAGAAGCTTAACTACCTACATGAAATGGTATTAAAGTGATTCTTGAAGTCTTATTAAATAATACTTTTAGAGATAAGTTTTAATATTTATTTTATAAGACATGATTATATTTTACCATTTTGGAGAGGGCTTCAGCCAGAAAGCTTCTCCCCCCCTCTCCTCTTGATCCGCCCGTGGATTTAGTCAGTGTTGTCATAGATTCGCCTAGTTGCGTTCTCCCGGACGAAGTTCTATTCCCTCCAAAAATTTTATGGTTTCCTTCTGAACTGTAATAATTTATAAATAATACAATTGATCATTTTTTGCAAATAATATTGGTAAATATTAGTTATTTTATTTACTAAGGAATTTCCTTTAATAAGAGTATGTATAGTCAAAATAAAATTCAAAGAATATAAAAAATCAATCGTATTTAAAACAATATTACAGTAATTATAACAATAATAATTCAGCCTAAATTACTTATTTAACAGCTATTTGCAAATTTAAAGTTATTACAAATATCACTCCATTGTCGTTTACGAGTAGATTTTCCACATTGAAGAAAAAGTTTAGGTAACTCCCAAGGTTGGGAGGGAAAAAAGGAAACAATTTTTATCTACCAAAGCCTAATCTGAGAACATTTTAATGTATTTTTTGAATAATGTAAGTGAAACAAACATAAAACGAGTAGTTATGTATAATATAGCATCTTCTTTGGAAATATCTGGGCGAAAGGGATTTTATAAAAAAAACATGAACACTTATCACCAACGAAGAAGAATTGAAAGGTTTGATAGAAAAGTCCTCTAAATAACCGAAGCTATCTGATATCACATTATTGACGCACGAGAAGGAATAATAAATAAACTGGTCAGTCTATGACTAATGATATTAAGGAGGTCAGGTGATTATTATGCAATCTATAAAAAAAATCATATAAAAACAATAAATGACACTATAGCCTGGCATGAGACAACATGGGACGCTTAGAATTTGGTGGAAAGATAAAATCATTTTAGTAGAAAACATGTTTCGAAATGCGATCCACTCCTCCATTTAAGGAGGAGTGACATGTCTACAAAAAACTATTAAACCTAATCAACATGAACATGGTGATACATCGATTTATAAAAAATAAATAAAACTGTTATAATAACTGATATTAAAAGTAAGTAAATTGCTATTACAGGGACATAGTATAGATGTTTTATTCTTTTTTTTATCGGCTGAACGAAAGTATGGTCAAATTCCTCATCCAAAAACTGAATAAATAATCAAAAATAAGAAATTATTTCACTCACCTTTCTTCAGTGACTTTCATTTATCTTCTTCGCTGTTCATCTGAAATAAGAGGCTTTCAATAAGAAGTAGACCTCTTATAAAATAAAATAGACTTCTAATAATAAACCTTCCTTTCCTTTGATATTTTTTTTTCTCAAAAGCTTGGGCCATTTGAAAATGTGAAAATTAGTAGATAGATGACACAAAAATGAAAATTAAATTTCTTGATATACAGGGTGTTTCGTAATTGCACGGCACTATTTTAGGTATGTGTTCACTAACACAAGACAAGCAAAAAAATTCATATTAACATATATCTCAAACTCATTTATTAAACAGATATCAAAGGTTAAAGATTTATTATTTATTTACTACATTAAGACTGACTGTACAAAGTTTAACGTGTTTAATACTAAATAACAGGTTTTAATCACTTGATAAACAAATGAACGATAAGCAATGACAGTAGTTGCTCATCTGTTAATCTAATTCACACGCAAGAAGAGCTAAGAAATCGGATCGCGAAAGCCGCAGTAACTATCAAGCACCATCCTGATGCTATACGAAGAGCCAGAGAAGCATGGATTCGTCGTGCTGAATGTTGCATTCAACAAAACGGAGGCCCCTTTGAACAGTTACTCTAAATGTTTTAATAATAATAATAAATAAATAGTAATAATAAATCTTTGACCTTTGATATCTGTTTAATAAATGAGTTTGAGATATATGTTAATATGAACTTTTTTGTTTATTATGTGTAAGTGATATATACCTAAAATAGTGCCGTGCAAATACGAAACATCCTGTATAATCGATATCCTTAGGGAAAAGGCAGTTATAATAATAACCTATACTACTACAACCCTTTAAGAGTCTTGGGTTCAGTGCACTTTAAGTCAAGCATGACGGATGTGCAAGATGATTTGGTCGGGTACAATTAAGGGTTCTCACTTTAAAGACTGGATGTGCCCTTGAGGGCACAGGCGGATCTACGGGAGGGCTTTCAGGCTGAAGCCCCCCTCCCTCTTCCCCCGGCAATGGTAAAACATAACCATGTTTTACCGAAAAAAATATTAAAAACTATCTGTTAAAGTATTCTTGTTCCTGTAATTACATTTAATAGGACTTCAGGAACCACTTAAACACCATTTAAAATATGCCCCCCTCATAAATTTTGATGGCGTAACTTGTGCCATGAAGCTCTCATCTGGGTATCCCTGTATAACGGTAATTACTCTAGGAGAAAAAGAAAGAAACTCTATGAAATTATGTCTAAGCGGTCCACGAAGGCTTGAAAAAAAAAATTAATGACAGGAACAAACAATAAAGCTTTTAGGAATAAATTTTCTCGACAAGTGTTTACATCTCATAATTGTGTATTACCACAGGCGGATATTCGGAAGAGGGGGAGCTTTCGGGCTGAAGTCTCCCCCAAAATGGTAAAATGTAACCATGTTTTATGGCAAAAAATTATCTCTTATTGTATTATTGTTCGTGTAATTATATTTAAAAGGACTTCAAGAATCACTTAAACACCATTTCATATACCTAGTTAGCACAGGCGGATTACGGGGGGGGGGGGGCTTTCGGGCTGAAGCCCCCCCAAAATGGTAAAATATAACCATGTTTTACCGAAAAAAATATTAAAAACTATCTGTTAAAGTATTCTTGTTCCTGTAATTACATTTAATAGGACTTCAGGAACCACTTAAACACCATTTCATATAGGTAGTTAATTTCTTTCTTTTTTTTCAAATTAATTATTGTTATATGTATATGAAAAAAAAATTTTTTTGGGCTGAAGCCCCCCCAAAATTAAATCCTGAATCCGCTAGTGCTTGAGGGGGACAATCGCCCCCTCCCCTCCCTGTACCTCCACCCCCAAGTCTGCACCTAGGATAACAAGATGTGAATATAAATATATTTACGATTAGGATGTTGATATTTACGATTACGAAAATACTCTCACTGAATGTGATTCTCTAGCCTGCTAACATTCAAGCTAGTTCACCAAATATTTATATTTTAAACTCACACAGTACAATCATAAACAAGGATTTAATATAATTTAAAAAAACAACAACACAATATTCAAAATAAAATAAGCAATTAAAGTTATTTAAAATGTATATTTCGTTTAAACCTTGATCTTATTATATTTCATTTTTATGGTTTAAACATACCACATAATTATAAAATAGATAAGTGCATAGTAAAGCAAATAAGAAATTGTTTGAAATATAGAAAATAATTTTTTTTTTTTATGCCACTGTTTGAGATCTTCGTCATTGCTGAGAAAAATACAAGATAACAAACAAAGCATATTACAAACGTATTATTAATAAATTAACTAGACATCTACTAATAAATAGATACAAATAAGTGAATAAAAATTATGTTTTATATGATAAATTAAAATATATAAGCACTGTATATAACGGAAAGGTATGAAAATGAAAGAAAAAAAAAGTTGATAATTAGTACATTTATAAAAATTGTGATAAAGGAATGTGTAAAATGATTTGTGATCTAAAACATGAAACTTTTTAATAAATTAGATTAATTATTATACATAAGTAGTGAAAAAAATTAATTATACTAGCAGTCCGTGGTACAGACCTCCTTTTATCAAATTATTAACATCTACCGAAAACTTCGTAAATAGCTTCATCTCATCGTAACTTGCAAATATTTCGTTTACGAAAACTCTTGGAATTGGGGCGTTTTCAATCTGGAGGTTAGCAAACTTTATAGATTTAATTAGCTACTAAAAACCCGTAAATACCCATTTGCTTTCCACTTGGATCCTAAAATAATTTGATCACAAAATCGGTAAAAAAAGGTGCCCTACAAAATTATTGGGCCGTTTAGCCCATGTAACCTCGTTATTTTGACAATTTGGGTTGTAGATCAGGCCAAACGGCTGAATATTTTTCAGTACTTTTTTCTCGATAATGTGTTCAAATTATCTTACGATTCAAGTGGGAAACAATTAGGTATTTACGAGTTTTTATTAACAAATCAAATATACAAAGTTTACCCCCCTCCAGATTGAAAATGCTTCAATTTCGAGAATTTTCGTAAATAAAATAATTGTAGGTTACGATGAGATGAAGCTATTTACGAAGTTTCAGACAGATGTTTATAATTTTATAAAAATGGGTCAGTACCACGGACTATATTATATGTAAAAATAGTTGGACAATTATATTTAGTTAATAGTTCTTTTTTTTTAATTTATTTATATGATATTTACAACTGTATACAAAAAATACATCTAGTAAATTCGCACATGGATATAATGACATGAAACACATGTTGAGAAACTACCCATTGGTAGCACTCTAATAATATGTCTATATTAGGAGATCACGTGGCCATCTTCTTTTCAGACGCCCCGGAGGGTTATCAGGAATTGAAGAGGAAGCAAGGTTAGAAATGAGTGGGTTGGGATGGTTATGAAGTTTATTATGGAAGGACAGGTATCTGGATTGGGCCAAATCTGATACATAAGGAACATTAAGGTCATTATGGATGATTTTATTTGTAACAAAGTAAGGAGCATTGAGGATTTTACGAAGGATTTTGGATTGTAAGGATTGGATACGAGAGGAATTTGAAGGTTTGAATAGTTAATAGTAAAACAATAATCATTGAATGGAAATTATATTATACGTAAAACATAAATAAATTATATAAGAAGTTGTAAAGTAATGATAACAAAGTAATAAAGTAATAATATCTAACAATCTGACAAAGTAATAAAATATAAACAAAGAAATTGTTTGTAAAGGATCTTGTGAACTTAAATAAGGATACAATAATAGGCATTTACTGATTATTTACTTAGAAATGCTCATTATATTAATCTTTACTAATACAGAATATATCGGACTGCACTACGTCATGACTTGAGTTATTAATCTCTGAATATTATGTTATAATAACTTCTCTACGGTATTCACTTCACTTTTTCGAATACTTCTTCAGGTGAACTGTTCATTAGGATCTACGAAATCATTCATTAGTCGATCTGTAAAATAATAATAACATTTAATAAGGTTAATTATCATAAGGTATTTAAAGGGCGAGGTAGCGCGTGTACACAGCACCACGTTGTCCGGCAACCATATTAAAGATAATTGTGGGTAAATAGTTGACTGTCGTGAATAATGGAGAGAAGAATGGTTGGGGTGATCAGTCAGAAATAAGAAGGCAAAAATAAATGATAATATTTATTTTGATATTTGACGACGTCTCGACCTGATAGCCCTGGAGCCAGGGCCCCAAAATCGACCTGATCGCAGGCGAAGGTTTAATTGTAAATTACGAAAGTGTATGTTATTCTGAGTAAAAAAAAACCTTGTCAGCCTTAACAGAGTCGCTGCTTTAAAAAATGGCGGCTGATTTAAAGAATATTAGGCCAGTAATTTGAGGATCGAAACGGGAAATCCATTGCGAAAAATGTCAGAAAAGTTTTTATTTTTTTAACTTGTAAATATGGGCTTAGACAGGAAAAAAGAAAATTGTTAACGCAGGACACCAAGGGGAAACTTTTTACAGCCAAAAAAGTCAGATTTTTTCGATATTTTTTGGGTTTTTCACCTATAACTCCTAAACGATGCATCGAAACGAAAAATGTATTCTTTAATAGATTAAAGAACGTTAAAGTTTACCAAAATCTCAACAGCAAAAGATTTTGGTAAACGATGTGTCGAAAGATTCCAAATTTTATGAAGGACTAACGAATCCCGATTCGAGATGTATAATTGGCCTACAATAAAAATGTCAGTACTCACTGGACGCAAAATTTGATGCTCTACAACTTTTATTTTATGAATATTTCCTCTTAGGCAACTAATTTCCAAGTTACAGGGCCATTTATTGTAATTTATCTCAGTTTTTGACAAATTTTGTAAAGCTCAGCGTTGGTTGACCGTAGTTTTATACCTTGCCGCGTAATTAAATTTTAAATTTTATGTACTCGTTTGACGCAAAATTTAACGTTCTTTAATTTATTAAAGAGTGTATTTTTCGCTTTAATGCATTGGTTAGGAGTTATAGGCGAAAAACCCAAAAAATATCGAAAAAATTTGACATATTTGGCTGTAAAAAGTTTTCCCTTGGTGACCCGCTTTAGCAATTTTGTTTTTTACATGTCTAAACGCATATATAAAAGTTAAAAAAATAAAAGCTTTTCTCACATTTTTAGCAATGTATTTCTCGTTTCGATCCTCAAATTATTGGCCTGATATTCTTTAAATCAGCCGCCATTTTTGAAAGCAGCGGCTCTGGAACGGCAGACAAGGTTTTTTTTACTCAGAATAACATACACTTTCGTAATTTACAATCAAACCTTCGCCTGCGATCAGATCGATTTTCGGGCCCTGGCTCCAGGGGCTATGAAGTTCAGGCCTTCATCAGGCTGCTTCCAAAAGGTTGATGGAGTACAGTCATGTCATACGACTCTTCTCTTCATATTAAAGATAGCTGGATAAAATTATTACGTTACGAATTCATGTCGACTTGCCGGAGGGCATTAATCCACCGACTTCACCCACTAGCCCGGGAAAGCCCCGCAAGACTTAAAGGTGAGGAAGGGAAGCACAGAAAAAAAATCTGGTGCGGCGCAAAGCACACACAACTTTCACTTACCACCCTCTTCTTATCAGAAATAAGTATTTTCAGACAGGGGATAAGTGAAAGTAAAAATTGTAGGCGCTATAATTATTAATATTTCATTGAGGTCATTTTTATTTGTATAAATATCTTTATATATACATATTTTAATATTTATATCACTGTGATCTATATAATTAAATATTACCAACAATAGCATTTATGAAAACCGCATCTGTATATTTATATAATATTGTCGGAGTCCTTATTATATCAAGCTCATGTTACGCATGAAAGCATGTTATAATCATTCGGGCGAGCTTGGGTTCGATCAATAACAACTATTCTCGTTATGATTTATTATTTTATTTAAGATAATTATAAAATTCTTTAATATTTTATATTTATTTAACTATCTTTTATAGTAGAGATTAACGTGAAATAGTCAGTTCTTTCCACGGGCGGATCTACGGGGGGGGGGCTTTCGGGCTGAAGCCCCCCCAAAATGGAAAAATATAACCATGTTTTATGGAAAAAAATATTTAAAAATACCTCTTAAAGTATTATTGTTCGTGTAATTACATTTAAAAGTACTTAAGGAATAACTTAAACACCATTTCATATAGGCAGTTAGTTTCTTTCTGTTTTTCCAAAGTAATTATCGTTATTTTTATGAAAAAAAAAGGTTTCGGGCTGAAGCCCCCCCCAAAATTAAATCCTGGATCCGCTAGTGGTTCTTTCAAATAAAAAAAAATTAAAGGTACTTTAGAGGCAGCTAATATGAAAAATTAGCCACTTAATCCCTGTTAGAGAACATCAATGGGAATAAAACCTACGTTATATTTAAAAAAGCTTAATAATACACTGATATACCGCGTTTAATCAAAATTGTTAGAGCCGTTTTTGATAAAATCTTAAAAAAATGTTAAATCGATTATATAAAGTGCCACTTCTGGTCAGTCGATTTTGACGAAAAAGTTGCTGTAACATCGGGTGTATATACAAACCTTAAATATGCAATTTCACTTTCATACGACTTATGGTTTTTGAGCATGACTGTTCACATATATACACTAACACACACACAGACCATTTTGCGGGACTTGGTTAGTTTATACTCATAGAACCTCAATTCTTCACTATCGCAATATTTTCCCTTACTATATATAATATATATATATAGGTAAGTGAAGGTAAAAATTCTTCTGTTGATTCTTTATTAACGAAAGAGATAATAGCAAGTAATAATTAAAATTTTAATTTATTTTGAAGACTCACCAATAAATATTTGTTTCAGATACTTAAAATTCATAAAGTATTTATTATCTAATTTATAACAAAACCAACCAACATTATAAATAAAATATTTATTAAAATAAACTTTGGTCATTATTTAGTTATTGAAAATCGTCACTTTTAATGGATAATGTGCAATTTAATTTCTCATAACTTGTAAGTTTGGACCTTTACATTTGTGTTAGGATTAAATCAAGCCAGCACCGAGTTCCCGCTTGGGTTTTTCTTCGGGAGGAGGAATAAGGGTGTATATGTTTGGTTCAACTTTCACCTGATGGAATAATATATAATTAACAAAATATAAATTTAAAATGAATTATTAATTATATATATAATAAATAAATTTATTTTAATAAATTTAAAATGAATTATTTATTATATAGACTATTGATCAGATATTTTCTTTACGGCAAATATTAGAGAAAAAATTGGAGTACAAAAGTATTGTTCACCAGCTGTATATAGATTTTAAATAGGCTTACGATTCTATTGACCGCCAGAAACTGTATAATATTCTAATCGAGCAGGGGATTAAAAAAAAATTAGTGAATCTAGTCAGGATGTGCTTGACGAAGACACTCAATAAAGTTAGAATCGGTAATAATCTGTCCGAAAAATTTGAGGTTCGGTCGGGTTTAAAACAGGGAGGATTCCCTTTCGCCTGTCCTGTTCAATTTGGCATTAGAACATGCCATTAGGGAGGTAATGCGTACCGAGAAAGGGTTGGATCTGGGAGGGACAACAGCCGTGCTGGGCTATGCTGATGATCTGGTACTGTTAAGCGAAGACGTTGAAACTATAAAACTAAATACGACAACGTTAATGAAAGCCGGTAAAGAACTAGGACTCGAAATAAACGTGGATAAAACAAAATATATGGTTAGCTGCAAAAATGGCGATACTACTGGTGATATCGATATAGATGGTAATATGTTTGAACAGGTAGATAAATTTAGGTATCTAGGTTCTACGATAACCAGAAAAAAACGAAATTGAAGAAGATATTAAGGTTAGACTGAAGGCGGGAAATGCTTGTTAATTTTTTGTGACAAAACTACTTAGTTCGCGCCTCTTGTCCCGGATCTTGAAAATTAGAATCTATAAAACAATTATCTTGCCTACAGTTCTTTATGGATGCGAAACTTGGCCGCTTGCATTAAGGGATGAGCAGCGTCTTAAGGTTTTTGAAATAAAGTATTGCGTAGAATATTCGGACCGAAGAAAGATGAGTTAACCGGAGAGTTCAGACAACGCCGAATTGCGTGAGCTGTATCCGGGTAATATAATTGAGGTAATTTCATCGCGGCGAATCAAATGGGCTTGTAAAGTTGTTGGGCTTAGTAACGAGAGAATTCCTAAAAGGTTAATATTTGCTGTGCCGAATGGTAAGCGTCCGAGAGGTAGACCGAAGCGAAGGTGGGAAGATTGCATTAACGCCGATCTGAAGGGACTGGGTTTAGACGGAGAACGGTGGAGGGAGGTGTGTAATAAGCGATTGGTGGTGTCGGCATCGAACCTTCGGGTTCGCTAAGCCTTTTATTATTATTATTATTATTTATTATATAATAATAATAGCAATAAAGACCTAGTACAGCCATAGGCGTAGGCTTTCGATTCTGGTTGGGAGGGCAATGGAACACCTCCCCCCTCCCAAAAAAAAATCTTAGGAATTTATATTATGTATAAAAATTAATATAATTAAATAACTATTGTAAGTCCCTCACAATAGTTTGTGTGTCTGTGAGTCTCTGTGTCTCTGAGTATGTGAACAGTCCAGCTCAAAAACGAAAAGTCGTACGAAACTGATATTACGTATTTAAGATATGCATATGACTCAGATATTACGGCAACTTTTTCCTTAATATCGGCTTACCGAAAGTGCCACTTTATATCAACGGTGATACACATTTTTACAATTTTCTCAAAAACGGCTCTCTAACGATTTTGATTAAACTCCGTGCATTTAATTAAGTGGTATTTCATATCATTAAGGTCTTATCCCCGTTGATGTTACATTACAGGGCTTAAATACCCAATGTTCACATACGTCTTCCTCTAAAGTCCCTCTAATATGGTTTATTTAAAAATAAAATAACTCTCTTTTATTGACAGCAACTATAAAAAATGGCTAAATATGAAGTTTGAAAGAACATCATAATTGGAAACTGGAAAAAAAAGAAGAAAAATGTTTATCCAGGTTGAAAATGAATCTCTGGAAATAACAGTCAGAAGGTATAGATAGGTATAATATATATTTCGAAAGCGAATTTTAGAAAAAATAATACCAAATAAATAAAGTTATAGAATGTGACGGAGAGTGACGAATAAAATATAATATAATAATTTCCTAAAACTAACATAAACCAAGAAAAAATATTTTAGGGATATGTTTATAACCTTAAATACATCTACTGTAGTTTAATAACTAAAATATGATATTATATTTAAATAATTAGGTATCTATTGGTCGTTTATTCCAAAAATGATCAAGTAATCTTTTAGAAAATTAAATTAGTGAATAATTTGATGAATTTTCCCTTTGTGAAATCCCAACATTATCCACTTACAATTAGTATGACAACTTTTGACCTATCCATGGTAAGCAATGAAAATCTCATAATTTCATTTTAATAAACTTTACAATGGAAAATAACAGTTTAATAACTAACGATCCTATAATCCATAATTATATATAGGTCAAATATTCAGATGTACTTTCAAATATCTCTATAAATTTGGAAATTTTTGAGACACAACGTAACACACAACTTTCACTTACCACTCTACTTTGAATAGAAACTATTTTCTGGCATTGGTAGTTTATTATAAAAATTTTGAAGTGCATTTTAAGCGGAACTAAAGCTTAAAGCTTACAGATGACAAATCATTAAGACCATTAAAATCATTACAAAAAGTCCAATTATTATTATCGACGGTAGGCAAAAAAAAATATATTTACTCCATCTGCGCTTTTATGAACCATCCAACTTCGGTCTATGAGCCTTTCAGTTGACAGAATGACTAATTCCAATTTCAACATTTTTTAGTAATGTCATTTTAGTGATATTTCTAGTTGGAACAGTTATATCTGTACATACAGTGAGTAAGTTGATTCCAGAATAGGTGATTGCAATGTTGAAATATAAAACTGTGAATTAAGGTATAAATTTGGCCACTATAAACATCACTAAAATTAATAATAAAGAATGTTGAAATAGGAGTTAGTCATTCTGTCAACCGAAAGGCTCATATATGCCTAGAGAGGTTTGAAAGTATATCTAAATATTTAACCTATAAATGATTATGTATTGTAGGACTATTAGTTATTAACCTGTTATTTAACATTGTAAAGTTTAATAGAATGAAATTACGAGATTTTCATGGCCTGCCACGGATAAGTCAAAAGTTATCACACTAATTGTAAGTGGATAATGTTGGGATTTCGCAAAGTGAAAATTCATAAAATTATTCATTAACTTAATTTTCTAAAAGGTTACTTGGAATTAACGGCTAATATATACCTAATTATTTAAATATAATTTTATATCTAGAGTTATTAAACTACAGAAAATGTATTTAAGGTTATAAACGTATCCACGTAATAATTAAACAATGGCATTGGCTTGATTCGGTAGATTTTAAATACTTTTTTCAAACTTCGAAAAAAAATTTAACTTTACATTTAGTAAGAAAATTTCATTTAATTTCCTTGGAAACATGCAATTTACGATAAATAATGTTAGTTTTCTGATATATATATATATAATATATATATATATATATATATATATTTTTTTTTTTGTCACTCTCCGTTACCTTCTACAACACTATTTATTTGATATTAATTTTTTTCTAAAATTCTCCACTTTCCAACGATATATTATACATATCCTTCTGACGAGCATTTTCGTAAATTCATTTTCTACTTGGATAAGCCTTTTTCTTTTTTTCTCCTTAACTAAATAATAGAATTCTTTCAAAATTTATATTTACCCTTTTTTCGTAACTTTTAACAATGAGAAATAGTAAATTATTTAAAAAAACAAAACAAATTAAAGATACTTTAGAGGAAAACGTATATGAACATTGGGTATTTAAGGGATAAGAACTAAATTAAAGTTCAACTAATTATACAATGATACACCGCGTTTAATCAAAATCGTTAGAGCCGTTTTTGAGAAAATAATAAAAATATATATCACCAGTCAGCCAATTTTAAGGCAAAAGTTGGTGTCACATCTGAACCATATACAAACCTTAAATACCTAATATTAGTTGTTTTTTTTCGTTTTTAAGCTACACTGTTCACATACATACACACACACACACACACACACTTGGTTATTAGTTATACACAGACTTGGTTATTTGGACTCAGGGGATCTCAAAACGTTTATTCAGTTGGAAATTCATATTCAAAAATTTTCACGATCGCAATACTTTCCCTTACTATGTATTACATATTTAGGTAAGAGAAAGTAAAAATAATACCATTACTTTTTTCCTTTTGGCATTCGATACGTCTACTAGAAATTCCTTTTCTTTTGATATTCGTCAAAATCAAAAACCTCCTGAGAGCCAGAAAATGATCAAATATTATAGTATGAAGTATTATCATATACTGTGGATGATCAAAGAAAATTCTACTACAATAGCATATGATACATGATAAAGGAAGGAGATGGTCCGGGGTGGTGGTCATAAATAGGCTAAATAGTGGTAAAACTATTTTTATTAAAAGCCGACGTTTCGACCCGACTTTGCAGGTCTTCTTCATGGAGGTGTGTTCAGCTAGGAGTTTCACTTGGAACTGTTTTACCACTATTTAGCCTATTTACGACCGCCACCCCGGACCATCTCCTTCCTTTATAATGCAACGGTCAACTATTAAATATTCAATGATACATGATAGTTTTTACCATTATCTGATTAATGTAATACTCGTAATTAACATTCCCTGAGTCAGGGTCTTTTGCCACCGTCATCATTTCGTCCACTTCTTCTCTCGTAAAGGGTTCTCCTTCTTCCATGATCAACTTTTCCATATAATCTCTTAGGATATAACCTTTATTCTCTTTGTCAATCGTTTCAAACGCTTTGAGTAATTCTTCGGCCGAAGCTGGTTGCATTCTAAATAAGAAATACATCCTATTAAAATGTTAATAACTGTAAATATTAGCAATTATTATACTTATAAATAGTACCTAGTGAAGGCATTGGAGGGCAGTTAAAAGAATCCAAATCCGTTAAAGAAAAATAATCTGGTGCGGTGCGCAACTTTCACTTATCACCCTCCTCTTAGCAGAAATAAGTATTTTCAGACAAAGCGAAGTGAAAGTAAAAATTATAGACTCTATATGTATTTATATTTCATTGTGGGTATTTTTATTTGTAAAAGTACCCCCATAAATACAAATTTTAATATTTATATCGCTGTTATCTATACAATTAAATATTAAATAAATAATAAATACAATAGCATTTATGAAAACCACATATGTGTATATTTATATAATATTGTCGGAATCCGTATTATATTAATCCATGATGCATATGAAAGCCTGTTCTAATTTTTCGAGCGAGCTTGGGTGCGCTCGTATTCTTTCGGTTCCTCAATTACAATTTAACCATTTTTCATATTAGAAATTAATGTGAAACGGTCAATTGTTTCAAATAAAAAAAATTACAGGTACTTTAGAGGAAGCTAATATTGAAAATTGGCCATTTAGAACATAAAACAGAATAATAACCACATTTTTTTTAAAACTGCTAATTTTACACTAATATGATGAATTTAATCAAAATCGTTAGAGCGATTTTCGAGATAATCGTAAAAATGTATTTAGCCCATGATATAAAGTGCCACTTCCGGTCAGTCGATTTTGACGAAAAAGTTACCGTAACATCCCAAGCATATAAAAATCTTAAATATGCAATTTCACTTCCGTACGACTTTTCATTTTTGAGCTAGGCTGTTAACACACACGCAGACCATTTTGAGGGACTTGGTTATTTGGACTCAGTGGAACTCAAAACGTGTATTTCCGTTGAATACTCAGATTCAAACATTTTCACGATCGCAATGCTTACCCTTACTATATATTATATATATACGTAAATTAAATTAACAAATTAAAAAAATAAAAATAAAACCGTTAATTAAAAAGACATAAAAAAAATTTAAAAATCTAAATCCAAGAAAAATAATTTTTAAAAACTATTTTTCTATGTATATTGTGTTTCATATAAAAATATTTATATATTGTACAACAATAAACCAAATACTGTAATATTATAGAGTTTAAAATCATTTATGTACTTGAGACTTTCCGATATTCAGCCTTATATAGTTTCCATGGAAGCATTTTGTCTTCGTTAAATAATATTATTTTTCGGAAATCATTATCCATAATTTGTTATCACTTTCCATTACTTTATATGTTGTATATTAATATTCCTAAAATTTTTAGCTTTAGCCAACAATATGTTCAAATCCATCGGGATACTTTTATTTTTTTGCTTCTAATGACATTGAGAGTTACTTATTTCAAATAAACCCAATTAAAGGTACTTTAGAGCAAGAAATATTGAGTTTGACATTTAAGCCCTTGCCACTAGCGGATCCAGGATTTAATTTTGGGGGGGGGGCTTCAGCCCGAAGGATATTTTTTCATCTATATAACGATAATTAACTTGAAAAAAAATAAAAGAAAGAAACTAACTACCCATATGACATTGTGTTTTAGTTATTCTTGAAGTCTTATTAAATGTAATTAAACGAACAATAATAGTTTAAGATATAGTTTTTAATATTTTTTCTTTAAAACATGGTATTTTACCATTTTGGGTGGGGGGCTTCAGCCCGAAAGCCCCCTCCCCCCCGTAGATCCGCCTGTGATCCTTGCCATATTCTTTCAATGAGGATAAAACCTAGCTGACATCGCAGGCCTTTTAATTGATATTGTTGTAAGAGTTTTTATCAAAATCTCTAATGTTGTATACAGGAATCTTTGAATAGTTTCAGAAAATTGTGAAAAATGTGCTAATTCCGTTATATAAAGAGTTATTTCTTTAAATACGTAATTTCGGTTAGCAAGACATTTCTTTTGATTGTCATACCCATAAAACAACGGATTCACTATTTTTTTTTCATATTAAATTACGGAAATCACATTGACGAACTAACAGCTTTACTACAAGACAAGAACATTGACGTAGCCCTAATTACAGAAACTCGACTGACCATAAAACAGCATTTAAAAATCCCACAGTATTTAACATACCGTACTGACAACCCTGATGGCAGAGCACATGCCGGCACTGCTGTCATCGTACACCAATCCCTCTCCCATCACTTACTCCCACTACCTACTCAAGATTTCCTACAGTCAACCGCTATTGTAATCAAAGCCTTCTCCTTTCCAGTCACCCTTGCATCAGCATATTGCCCTCCTAACAGATCCATATCCAAAGTCCAGTTCAGTTCTCTCCTCAACTCCTTAGGTCGTCATTTCATCCTGGGTGCAGACTTAAATGCCAAGCATCAAGTTTGGGGTTCAAGAACCACGAATTCTCGTGGCAGAACATTTCTGTCTGCACTCAATACCCAACGTTTCAGTCTCCTTCCACCCAACTCACCTACCTACTGGCCCACAGATCCTAACCGCAATCCCGATATCCTTGATTTTTTCATCCACAGTGGCTTAGGTCCCCTCAATCATTCCCTTACCCCTCTTGCCGAACTATCCTCAGATCATAGTCCATTATTACTCCAATTATCTCTAGCTCCTATTCCTAAGTCTTCTCCACCGTCCTTCATCAGAGGCCCAGTTAACTGGAAACTCTTTCACCAAATCCTTACCGATAAAATTGACCTCAGAATGACCCTGAAAACCCAGATGACCTTGACAATACCGTACACTTTTTTACCACCACTATCCAACAAGCAATCTGGACTGCTTCCTCTCCAAACCACTCCTCAAGAACTCCTAAGAAAAATAAGTTACCTCAACACCTCATAGACCTAATCCATACCAAACGCCGTGCCAGATTATTATGGCAACGTACTAGACACCCCACCGATCGCCAATCCTATAATTATTTTTGCAAAAAACTAAAGATAGAATTGGCCACCTTCAGATCCCAATCCTTTAACTCCTACCTCACTTCCCTCTCTTCTCATGACAATTCCCTATGGAAGACCACCAAACATATCCTAAAACCCCATCATATATCACATCCTCTCCGTCGAGGTGATGGCTCTTGGGCAGCATCTGACGAAGATAGAGCCGAAGAATTCGCCAAACACCTTTCCCTTACATTTACCTCTCATCCAGAATCCAATCCCACCCACACGTCAGCAGTAGAGGAATTCCTTAATTCACCCATCCCACTCTCCTTACCGCCTAAAGCAGTTAATCCTTCTGAGGTCAAATTCCTCTTACAAAAACTACCTACCCGCAAATCACCTAGATACGACCTCCTTACCTCTCAGATCCTTAGACAACTCCCTCCTAAAGCTGTCATATTCCTTACATACATATACAATAGCATCCTACGAACCACCCACTTTCCTCTTTTGTGGAAACATTCCACTATTATCCTGTTTCCGAAACCAGGCAAACCTCCCAACACCTCAACGTCCTACAGACCAATTAGCCTTCTTCCGATTCTCTCAAAAATCTTTGAAAAGATCCTCCTGAAACGCATCCTACCCTTTATAGAATCCCAAACTCTTCCTTCCCATCAGTTCGGATTTCGTTCACAACACTCTACAGTCCAACAAGGACTCCGAGTGGTTGATCATATTTCCGCAGCATTGGAAAGCAAGCAATATTGCTCGGGTGCATTTCTGGACATAGCTCAAGCTTTCGACCGGGTATGGCACGCCGGGCTTCTTTCCAAGCTGAAAAACTATCTTCCTCAGTCCTTGTACCTTGTTCTCCGTTCCTACCTCTCAGATCGTACATTCCGAGTTCGTTGCGGTACTGAATTTTCGCATTGCTATCCAATTGAGGCAGGTGTTCCTCAAGGTAGCGTATTGGGTCCAAAACCACCTCACCTTGATTGAGCACTGGTGTAATAACTGGCGCATTAAAGTTAATGAATCTAAATGCCAACATATTACCTTTACACTCCGACGCAGTTCCTGTCCACCAGTACACTTTAATTCCATCCAGCTTCCTTACTCAGACACAGTCCGGTATCTTGGCTTTCATTTAGACCGAAGACTAACGTGGAACCCACATACTAGACTCAAAAGACAAGAACTCAACCGACGATACGGCCAGCTATACAGACTACATAACAGAAAATCCAAACTTTCTATTGAAAACAAATTACTTATCTACAAGACAATACTGAAACCTATATGGACATACGGACTTGAACTGTGGGGGACAGCAAAAGCTTCTAACATCAAACGTATTCAATCCTTTCAATCTAAAGTCCTTCGAACAATAGTTGATGCTCCGTTCTATGTAAATAACAAAATCCTACACCATGACCTTAATATCCCATTTGTCCTAGACCTTATTCCAGAAAAATTCTCCAAATTTCACCAGAACCTTACCTATCATCCAAATCCCCTTGCACAATCTCTATCCAGCACCACCCATCCTTACAATCCTCCTCGAAGGTTGAAGCGGCAGTGGCCCAGAGACCTTTTGTAAATAAGCATCTATTGGAGTTTTGGCAATGGCCAGATCCTCCACTCAAGCCCGAGTGTGTATGATTAGGTTAGTTCTTTTGTTTATATACATTTATTTTATTTTATTGTATTTATTTTTATTTTATTTTATTGTATTTATTATTATTAAGTTTCTGTATTATTATTTTTTTTTTTTATTTATTGTGAATAGAGTGTGAGTGTGCTTTTTCTGAACACTATTATAAATGTCCTTGATGTGACAGAATGTAATATTTCTAAATAAACAAATATAATAAAAAAATAAATTACGGTATTACAATTAATCTGGAAAGAATCTAAAAATAAAAAATCTGGTGCGTGCAACACACAACTTTCACTTACCGATCTACTTTGGATAGAAATTATTTTCTGGCAATGCTGGTCTATTATAAAATTTTTCGAAGTGCATTTTAAACGGAGCTAAAGCTTAAAGCTTACAGATAACAAGTCATTAAGACCATTGTAATTACAAAATGTCTATTTATTATATCGACGGTAGGCAATAAAAATCTAGTCACTCCATCTGCGCTTTTATGAACCACCCAACTTCAGTCTATGAGCCTTTCAGTTGACAGTGACTAATTCCGATTTTAACATTTTTTAGTAATATCATTTTAGTGATATTTCTAGTTAGAAAAGTTATTTCTGTACAGACAGTGCTTAAGTTGATTCCAGAAGTGGTGATTGCAGTGCTGAAATATAGAACTGAGAATAAAGGTATAAAATTAGGTACTTATTTCTTATGAAAGATGTTCATAGGAAAGACACTTTATTAAATATCTGTAGAAAAAAGGTTTTATTAGTCACAACAATTAAAAAAGTATATTTTAAATTTATCCCAATTTTCGCCTATTCAGGAAAAAAAACTAGAGACCATATCTTTCCTCGCAATTGTCCGATTTTAACGATTTTGTTTTTTGTTTTTTAAGAAATTCCGAAAACTTTTAAAAAACCATATACAATATCATACAATATCCACAAAAAAAGTGTATACTTTTAGAGTTATTCGGAATTTAATTTTACCATCCCTCATAACTTTTTTTTCAGCTTCTTTTCGTTGAAGTGTGATATATAGATAAATTTAAAGGGTGTCGAGAAAATGACTTTAGCAAAGTTTCATTAAAATCGGTACATTTGTTTAGGCGCTACAGTCTATAGCAACGCAGGTTTTTCGGCCGCCATTTTGAAAGTAAAAGGCGGATAGTAATGCCGATGAAGAAGGATCATCCTCGGGTGATCTCCGATTTTATGTCCAAATTAGAAAAAAATCGGTCCAGTAGTTTCGGAGAAAATGCGCGGACGGCGGGCGGACAAAAAAATTTTTATTCGTTTTTCGAATTCTACGCATCCTGAAACGTGAAACCTCAAATTGTGGGAGGGGGTTAAGTTTTTGAATTCTTTGGTCGATCACAATGGTTGATTATTGAAAATAATAAACCAAAATATGTAATATATTCATTAGTTTTGTTAACATATTTTTAATTGTTCGTTTTACAAAAACTATATTGATTAAGTTTACGCCTATGGCAGTACGGGTTTTTACAGTTATGGGATGATGCATAATTTAATTACTATGGATTGCCAAGTAACATGCTTGCATTTTTTGTTTTATTATCTTCTACTGCACCATTTCAGCTATACCATGGGAGAGGGGAGGGATACATTCCCTATCTGCTACGAAGTACATTTCAAGCCTGATTGCCCTGGAGCCAGGGCCCAAAAATCGATCTCATCGCAGGCGAAGGTTTGATTGTAAATAACGAAAGTGTATATTATTCTGAGTAAAAAGAACCGTGTCCACCGTTCCAGAACAGCTGCTTTAAAAAATGGCGGCTGATTTAAAGAATATCAGGCCAATAATTTGAGGATCGAAACGGGAAATCCATTACGAAAAATGTGAGAAAAGTTTTTATTTTTTTAACATGTGTATATGGGTTTAGATATATAAAAAACAAAATTTCTAACGCGGGCCACCAAGGTAAAACTTTTTACAGCCAAAAAATCAGATTTATTCGATATTTTTTGTTGTGTTCACCTACACTACTCAGTACTCAGTTGACGCAAAATTTAATGCTCTACAACTTTGATTCTGTTGATTTTTCCTCTTAGGGAACTCATTTCCAAGTTACAGGGCCATTTATAGTCATTAATCTCAATTTTTGACAAATTTGGTAAAAATCAGCGTTGGTTGACAGTAGTTTTATACCTTACCGCGTAACTAAATTATAAAGTGTATGTGCTCGTTTGACGCAAAATTTAACGTTCTTTAATTTATTACAGAATACATTTTTCGCTTTGATGCATCGTTTAAGAGTTATAGGTGAACACAACAAAAAATATCGAATAAATCTGACTTTTTTGGCTTTAAAAAGTTTTCCCTTGGTGGCCCGCGTTAGAAATTTTGTTTTTTATATATCTAAACCCATATACACAAGTTAAAAAAATAAAAACTTTTCTCACATTTTTCGTAATGGATTTCCCGTTTCGATCCTCAAATTATTGGCCTGATATTCTTTAAATCAGCCACCATTTTTGAAAGTAGCGGTTCTGGAACGGCAGATAATTTCTTTTTACTCAGAATAACACACATTTTCGTAATTTACAATCAAACCTTCGCCTGCGATTAGGTCGATTTTTGGGCCCTGGCTCCAGGGCTATGATTCGAACTGTTACCGCAAGACTCCAGCAACGTCTCAACACGCTCTGCTGTGCTTGAAACAATTTACATTTTTCGCCTTAGCTTGAAAGCACCATTCCGCCATTGCTCACTCCAGCGGCCTATAATCTTGTGGTGTCAACGGAGGAAGGAGCAAAATAGTAAATTCGATTTTGTATTTCTTGTTCTAGCTTGATTTTTTCTCAGTCGATGAATGTACAGAATTAAAATAACTTTTAAATAAATATGTTTTTATTCCAGAACGCCCATTATTATAAATAACAACAAAAGGTATTTAAAAAAAAACTTCTTGGGCGATTATTATTGTTCGTATTGGTTATAGTTAATCCATAATAAATGCATTAATATATAAATCTATGCAAAACATTGCCCAAAATACTGTTTTTATTATTTTCATTAACAACACCAACATATTAAATAAATATAATGGTAGATGTGCTCTTATTTATTATATTGAATACAATACTTAACTTGTGGATTAATGGTTGACTGTAGTGAATAATTGAAGAGAAGTTGGTTGAGGTGTTCAGAGTCAAAAATAAAAATTAAAAATAATTAATATTTATTTCTGCCGACGTTTCTAATATAATTTATATCATAAATGATATGATACCATAATCAATTAAATATCATTTATTAATTTTTTCTTTTCACTCAACACCCCAACCAACTTCTCATCTATAATACCGTAAGGTTCTGAGATGAAAATATAAATATAAATATTCGTTCATGCGTGCTAAGTGGAAGTTGTGTGATTCACGCACCACACTAGATTTTTTAAAACTGTAAACTTATTTATTCATTTTGTTTTAAATATACCCCTTTTTAACTTTAATGTGAACTTATGAGTTCTCATAAATTTCAAAAACCGTCAAGTATTCCAAAGTTATATTGGATTATTTTACGCTGACAGCGATTACATAAAAAGCCAGGACTTTAATTAATAATTAATTTAGATACCAAACAACATTATTTGTACTGGATTAAATTTAAAAAACATATATCTTGTTACCGGATTTAGTAGGAAGTTTGTTCAGTTATTAATTCAAAATATTACATTGTATCGCCTTACTTATATTCAGATATCTCAGCAGCAACATATGGAAGAAATTTAAACAAATGGACACTGCCAGACGTTTCTTGGTCTTCGACATTTACAATAATTTCTTGAATTTCTGCCTCAGTGGGAACACAGCCTAAAGTAAATGCACAACAATTTATGAAGAGTAATAATCATGATTAATAATAATGATAATGTTTTGTCAAATAGTTGAAAGTTAAATTACCTAAAGATCTTATGATGGTACCAACTTCTCTAATATCCACGGTTTTGTTACCCGCGTGATCAAATACTTCAAACGCTTCTACAATTTTTCTCTCCAGATCATTTGTTATCAGAGCTATACAAAGACAGGTGAAAGTGAAAAATGTTTTTAAAAAAGTCAATCTTGAGTAAATGTTTACCTTCTAAATCTTGAGCTGCTTTTCCTCCCGGCGAAGCTTTTTTGGGGCTTTGGCCAGCTGTATCTGTTGTTTTCATGTTTAATGAATTTAGACAAAACCAAAGGATTATATTATTAGTTTGGTATCTACGTAGAATTTGTTTGATGTCAAGGCAACGATATATCGAAAGAAAGAATTAAGTTTGAATTAACCGCCAGCGGTTGACGGAGGTATCAAGCAGGCTTTGGAATATTTCTGTGGCCTGCTGGCGGCGTTTAGGTTTGGCTAGTGTTTGCATGTTTGGTTTGTTTTGATTCGGTTAGTGCCGGGCTCTTAGAGAGTATTTGTTTTCTGTGTATGTCCAGCCGAAATTGTGAATTATCTTCATTGTGAAAAACTGTGCAGGATATATTTAAAATAGTTCGCGATTTTAGATATGAATCCCTCGAAGCTCAAAGTTGTTGAACTTAGAGCAGAATTAGCATCGCGTGGCTTAGATACTAAGGGCGTTAAAGCTGCTTTGGTTGAACGACTTCAAGAAGCTCTTGATAAAGAGACAGGAGGAGGTAATTATATTTGACTTTGTGTAATAATGGCATTTATTTCGAGTTCAGTGTTATCAAATTTCATGTTTGTTAGCGTTAGTGAGGTGTTTGAATACAGAGGTAGTAGCTTCTTGCCGCCATTTTGGTGTAGCGTTCGAGGGGGAATTGATTAGTCTTTACTGGAAGCCGAATAGTCGGCTTCAGCCCATTTTTTTTGCTGCATAATTTAACTCATTTCTCTATATTCCTCCCTCAATTGTTACTATTATAAGTCAATTAAGATTTTTATATTTGTCTTCTCGTAGTGTCCTCAGAGAAGTCAGAGGAAACTCCTGACAATGGGAACGCATCTGAAAGCAATGAAGTTGAGTTGAATGAGACTGCCGCCGAAACTACACTATCTCAATCAGAGGAACCTGATGTTGATGAGACCATTACTAATAACGAAATAGAAACAGAAGAACCTGTGTCTGAAAAGGTGTGTATTGCCTTGTTTGCTATATGAAAAGTAAGACTGATGTTTTAATTAATGAAAATCACATTTTACCCAAGTTCATAGTCACATCCTGTTTATTTATTAAAATTTATTGAATTAACTTTTCCACCTGATATTAAGTATTTTACATTACATATAAAATTAACCTGCATCATATCTGTTAATGATTCTGTACTTATCAACTTATCCATTTGATATTCTAATGACTTTTCATTCAACCCTATTTGCTTTATGAGTAATTATGGTTTGTTAAATTTTGATGTTCTTGAGTTACACATTTTGATAGCCATTAAATATTTGGTTATAGTGTTATAATTTAATTTCTTAATGATTTTGTTTGTGTAGTGGATGATGTTTGACTAGAATGTTTGCTTGCATATTAGTCTTCATGTAATTAGTGGTTTACTTTTTTGTTTTATATAAAACATTTATTTTCTAACTCTTACAGTGATGGTTGTTTTTAAGTTATATCATGTAAAGTTTGTATTTATAAAACTCCAAATTGTAGGAAAAAGAACAACCAGATCAGCCAGAAGAGACTCCCGAAAGTGAAAGTAAACAATTACCTGAAAGTGAGGAAACCCAGGTTGAAAACTGCCAGGAATCTTCTGAAAATTGCAACCCCGAAACAGAGGAAAACAGTGAGATTCCTGTGAAACAAGAATCCTCTAGTAGTGAACAAAACACAGTTCAGGATAAAGTAACTATCTTACACAATTTAAGCAAACTACATTTATTATTCATCACAGCAATTTAGTTTTTTACATTTATAGTAATAGTGGTGTATAGATGTCACTCCATTTTGACTAGAGGGCCAAGATCACATAATCACACCATAAATGTTATTCCGAGGTGTTCTCAGTACAACCTACCTTTATATACATCCCCATTTACTAATTTACCAAACTCCCTGCTGCATCTTATAAAATTAGCCCATTATTAACTGTAATAATTAATCCCCGCTTTCGACTTCCACTCCTCATACTTGTTTTAAAGGGGTAACTGAACCCCATCAAGTACTTAACAGTTCAGGTGGGTTCGGTCACATCAGTCTACTTTTGACATATTTAGCCATTTTCTGGATTCCATTTACGGTGTGATCATGAATCTTGTGCCATCCATCAAAGTAGACTGATACTTGCGCAATAGAACTTTCTGTCTGGTATTGCCTTACAAGTGGTTCTTCATTTCAATGGGCTGGTCAAAATCACATTATGAATGGATCTTGAATTTTGACATGTTCATTGTATGTATAACAACCTCCCTTAAGTTAGATTGTGAATTACTACTTCTGCCAAGTCTCATATGTTCCTTTTGAGTTTTTCTCTCCAATTCCATGTTAGTGTGATTATGAAATCTTGTGCCACCCATTTAACTGGATCTAAGCTTGTAAAGTAGTACCTTATTTCTGTTAACAATGGTATAGTTTCATCGATTGGATCATCTCAAACAGTAATATGGAGAATTCCATGTTTTTAGAATAATGAAAGTTGTAGAAGTATCCTGTTGTCAGGTCAAACTGTGCTCAAAGATCAATTGATCGTACTGTAGTTTAAAAATAGCTGGCTGTTTTCGAAAGTCTACCAAGACTGCCGAACTCAAATAAATCTTCCTTTTAATATTTTTTTTTTTTCAGTCCTATACCACTAATAATCCATGGAGGGTCGTTAGTTCAGTACAATGTAAGGAAAAACCGTTACAAGGCCAAGAGTTGTGGAGGGAGGTGATAAGCCAATACCACGTTAAATCGCCAGATTTTCCCTCTTAATTAATTATTTAATTAATAGTACCCACTTCATAGAGGCTAGGGTGTGCCTCAGGAGAGTCTCTCGGCTCCAGGATCAACGCATGGCAGATAAAAAATTACTAGTCATCAGCCAGAATCGAACCTGGGACCTTGAGCTCTGGAAGTCGGTGCTCACCTACTGAGCTATCCCCGCTCCCCTAAAATAAATATTTATATATTTTAATAAACTATTTGAACTGAAATACCGAACATTCACAGATTCAGGACCTTTTCCTCGCAGTTTGGATACTCTATCCACTTTTTACCAATGTTTGCTCATGTATCGCCAGTATGATCGTGTGATCATCCATAGTTTTGAAGTTACTCTTGTGAAGTAGTACCAATTTTGGCACTTTAATAGGTGGCTGAAGATATCATGATCATGTGACAAACGAAATTTTAAGAATGGCTGAGTGCATCCGTTTGTTAATCCTAATGAAAGTTGAAATCAGCGATGTATTAAGGTTAATTAAGTACCTTATTTAAATGATAAGAACTAGTTACGATTTAGTAAAACTAATAAATCACAATCTAAACTAAGGGAGGTCATTCTTGGAATCTTATTTATAGTATGATCATGAGACCTTGGTCCAATTATGGAATATTCATTCTGCTGTAACTGCATTTTATTTGTTATTATTATTTTCAATATTTTTATAAGTTATCACTTATATTTGTGTTTATATAATACTTTTCTACTTATTGATTTTAAACATTCCGTTGTTAATGTATTATTTTATTTCTTATATAGGAAAGTGAAGACTGTGAGATGGCAGAAACTAATGGAACTTCAGTTAAGAAAGAAGGCTTTGAGAATGAGCCTGAAGAGCATGATGTAAAAATGGAGCATGACAACGTACGTATGGCTATAAGATACATATTTTTATAATTTTTCATGGGTGGTCTAGAGTTCTAGATGGATAAAGTATAACCCTTACACACCTTTCTTAAACCAGCTTTTTCTTCAATAAAAATTTCAACTAAATATGACCTTTCCTTGGGTGTTAAGTAGTATAGAATTATCTCTATTCAAAGTGAATCTATTCGATTTAGTTATACTCACAAAACAAATAAACGAAAAAATTGATTTTATACTAAAAACTCATTAATTCTTTATTGACTCCATTAAAAGATCAGTTTTATTGATTTTTTATGCTGTATCTGTGTGACCAATTAGGTAATTACTAATTTTCAATTAAAGTTAAAAATTTGAAACTAACTTAGAATCAAGTATTTTAAATACTTTTTTTGTATTAAACATCAAGGAATCACGAAATAATGTTAAATTGGTATGTTCTATAATTAATATCAATTTTATAGCATTTGGTTAACTATTAGTAACTATCTATTTTTAAGAAGTCCCATAAGGAATTCATTCATTATTTCAGTCTTCAATTTCTTGTTTAAATGAATTAGATGTAATTAAACAGAATTAGAAAAACATCAATCCAATAACTTTTGGATTTGAGGCGTTAAAAAACAATAAATATTGAAAAACTTCTCAAAGGTTTTTGTTTATATCTCTAGTTCTATTATATTTACAGGGGTCTGGTTTGTGTCATTTCGTGTACCTTGTGTAGTCCTAACATAATGTAAATTTTCGTGAGGATACATGGAGTCATTTTTATGTTTTGTGATTTTCGAAAGAAGATCGAAGGAGGAGGGAGGCTTGGTTCCGATTTGGTGCAAAAAAAAAATTTTATTTCTATGAAAATTTGTATTTAAGGCTTTATAGAGGTGCGAAATACAAATCTCAACTTTGTTTTATAAGGTCTTTTAACTTAATTCTGACAATAAAAGTTAAAGTTAGGAGAAGGTGTTATTTTTACTCTTAACATCTTATTAACGATAGTATGAAATAAAATATCATATTTCATATTAGAATGTGTGGTATAACTAAATTTACTGCTCAATATATATTGCATCATATATTAATATTATGTTAATCTAATTTTTCAAATAAATTTTCTTTTCCTAAAGGGCGAAGTAAAGATCAAGACTGAGCCACAAGATGTTAAGGAAGAACGAGATAATCGGGACAGTGAGAGACAAGATCGTAAGAGAAAACGCTCTCCGAGCCCACACCGAAAGTAAGATTAAAAAGTTTTCATTTTTTGAATGAATCAGGTATATCACTTTTTTTCACGTATATAACATGATTTATGTGTTCTGTTTAGAGATTGGAATAGCGTCAAAGCCACTGCTAAAGATGACGAACCAGGACTAAATGAAAATGACATTGTTCTCAGTTGGTGTATGTATTTTCATTAGTTATGTTAAACTATTTCAATTAATATATGAGTTAAATTTAAGACCTTATATGTCAATTTTATTAACTATAATTGCGAGACTCTATTGTAAAATTGTTGTAAAAATTCATTTTTGTTAGTGAAGTGAAAATTTATTTAGGTGCGCTTAGCACTTTATTTTGGGTAGTGAATGACACTGAATTATTGCACACAGCTATGTAACACTCATTTAGGTAAAGCCTGCATTAAAATATCTCAGAAAAATTGGACCTGCGTACTGTAAGCGAGAGACATTTTCAGCATTTTATCCTCTTTCCAATAAGATTTAATCCAAAATTGTATTTTGACGTGACACCGAGTTAAAGCAAAGTTTAATAGATTAATTTATATACAATTATAATCGTATATATTGTAAAGGTTATTATTACTTAGTGACTATAGAACAAAAAAAAAAAATATATATATATATATATTTCATATTACTTATCTTGCGTTGTTGATGTTTTCACTTCTATCTTGTGGTCTTAATCACACACCTTTTTTTTTCTTTATAATCTTATTAATGTTGTGAGAGGTGGTTACATTTTTATCAGTTAAAATTATTTGATCCAGATGATGTCCTTTTTCTGTTATAAGAAAAGAGACAGTTTAATTAATAATTTTTTGTTATAACATAATAAATAGACATTTAAATTTAATAGAATGAAATCTGGAAACGTTGTTAAATTAATCTATTGATCGATAACTATAGTTTTCCACATATTCAGAAACGATATTCAAAGATGCCTTTTACAAGTTATATTTTTTCAAGAACCGAATGTAGTCGATAACCTGATAAGAATATAGGTTGTTTAATTTTTTCTTTGTTCCTCAATGCAAGATCATTGAGGATATGATTATTTTTTTATCTGTATACTGTGACTTATTGATGATTCCATTTAAATAGGGAGACAAAATCTTTAATATATTTACTTCATTATGTAATTCTTTAAAAGATTTTTTATCGATTTACAGCTAGCTTTATTCACATCATTTAGAAGTCTATGGAACGCTAAACACAAAATTAAATCTTGTGCGGATCAACACAACTACCGACTTGGCTAGCCAACCTTATCGGAAGGGTCAAACATATGAGTAAATATAATCCAATTACGGGTATTCATTGATATATTCAATCCATCTTGTTGAAAAAAAATGAAAATCATTGAATAAATCATCGCTTTATTTATATAGTGACCGCTAAGCTTGAGCTTCTCATTAATAAGGACTTGGCTATCATGGTCCGAGTTTGACAAAATTATGAATTTTCTGATAATTCTAATATTTTTTACATCCACTCTTTTCTAATTATTTCTAAAAATTATTACATTTACAAATTACAAATTATATTTATACATATAATTACATTTATTTCAAAATGTTATATTTTAGATGATTCTGACCTGAACTTGATAATTGATAAAGACACGCTATTGAAGGCCTCTCCTTTAAGCGATGCTGGCTTTGGCTATATTTGGGCCGGAGTTCGAGGTACCCATGGATTTACCAAGGGCCATCTTGTGTATCAAGTTAAGGTAAATAAACAAATCTTGATTCAGTATCACTATGCTTTTTTAAATGTGCTATTTTAATATCTATATTATATATAAAAAATTTTAGTGACCATGTATTATGATATTATTATGTAAAAAAAAATTTATTTAAATTTTTATTCTTTAAACGTACGGCAAGTTACTTAAACCTTATAACTAATGGACAGAATGAGAACTTCCATATTTATGGATAATTAATCTCGAAACTTATTGTTGCTTTGAAATTTTAGCAAAAGCTCTCAAAAATATAGGCAAGCCGATTTCTATTAGTCTCCATGCAGGAAGTGGTAAATTAGGTGTCTTCTAACCTATACTTTATTCAGCTTATCATAAATTAATTTATTTTTTTAGAGAGTAAAAAAATGCCCTACTATACTAACAGCAACCTTGTTAAGATACTATTTCGCTGATACTGCCCACCGCAGCGACCACTATTTCATGCTGCTAACGGTTTCATACTCGTTAATTATCCTGAAACTGCTCACCGTCGTGGCCAGATCTTACCAATTTAGTGTCCTACTTTGATATAATTTTTGAATAAAAATGTTAGCCTTAACTTTAATGGTTTTTATTTGTATTGGAAGGATGGCAATAGATTTGATGGCGGAGTTTCGGTCTTATTTAATTAATACCTGCAATTTTTTCTAGTATTTAAAGTTATATAACAAGATAATGTTATGTCTATATTATGTAATGATTACAAGTATCCACATAATAATTTCTACCTTCTACAAAATGATAGTTTCTTATAATATTTTGAATATAAAATATAAGTATGCATGGTATTAATTAGATGATAAACTATTTTTAAGAACTGAGAATTTATTTGTAATTTTTAGTCATTATTAGTTCGATAAGTAACAGTAATTATTCAGTCAGGTGGCAATTTGGGGCCTTGAATAGTTATGCAAGTCTCTCAAAGTTGGTGGATGAATGCAAATGCAATCTTAATCTTCTTTGTAGTATTAACAAGGTGAGAGTGGAATGGGTTGGGTACCTGGGCATTGGGGAATTCCAGGAAATGAGAAAGCTGATTACTTTGCTAGGAAAGGCAAAATAATCAGATGCCTATTGCAACAGAGCCTATTTGTGAAATAAGTCTTGGCTTTGCCAAAAGATACATTAAGACAATTGTGAGCAATAAATTCATGCTACACTGGACACAGACTAGGAAACAGATTCATTCTAAATTATTCCTTGTAGAGCCCTGCCATTTAAGAAACAATTCACTTCTTCTAATGGACAGGAGTACCATTAGGCGGGTGACAGGACTGTATACTGGTCACTGTCAATTAAATAAGCACCTTTTCAATCTGAGTGTAAGTGAAACGTCCACCTGCAGGCCTGTGTGGGCTGGAGGATGAAACGGCCTATCACATTATCTGCAAATGTGATAATCTAGCTAGACTGCGATACTTTCACTTTGGATGTGATCGTATCACTGACCCCAAGCACTGCGAACGCATTGATCCCATCAGTGTAAATAGGTTCATGAAGGCATCTGGCCTGTTTTAACTGAGTTTAGGACGACGTACAATAAGCCTACTTGAGGCCGCGGTACACAATAATGTCGGAACAAAAAAAAAAAACAGTAATTATTACATAACTAATTGATAATACATGTCATATATTTGTTATGAAATTACAGCAGGCAGTATTTTACCGTTTTATTGATAGGCAATCAGTAAATCATCACTTTAATTATAGAATACAAATTGATTTTTCAATTTCTGGATTTGAATATTTACCTGAAGTTAAAAGTTTTGGGATTATTTAATGTCATTTGAATCTAGGTATATTTGAATTTCTCTATTCCCAACCCAATACCAACACTGTCATCACCACATATGGCGATGATACATGTGTCCTATCAGTTAATAACGACCCAACAATTGCATCCCAAACCCTTCAATCACACATCACAAACCTTGAAGAATGGTGTCAAAACTGGAGAATAAAAATAAATTCAAATAAATCCCATCAAATCACCTTTACCCTTCGTTGTAAACCTATGTTCTCTTGTCCTACAGTATCCTTTAATAATACCCCACTTATCCCTGTTGAACAAATTCGATACCTTGGACTCTACTTAGACAAACGTCTAACTTGGAATCCTCATACCAGACTGAAACGACTAGAAACAGCTCGACGTTTCCGACTACTCCAGCACTTACTAGACAAACGCTCTTATCTCCCAGTCAATTACAAAAGACTCATATGCATGACTACAATAAAACCTATTTGGACTTACGGAGTTGAGCTCTGGGGCTCCACTAAACCATCAAATTCCTCTCGTATCCAATCCAAAATCCTTCGTAGAATCCTCACTGCTCCTTACTTTGTCACAAACAAAATCATCCATAACGACCTTAATGTTCCTTATGTTTCTGACCTGGCCCTATCCAGATACCTATCCTTCCATAACAAACTTCAGAACCATCCAAACCCTCACGTTTCTAACCTTGCTTCCTCTTCGATCCCTGACAACCCTCAGAGGCGTCTGAAAAGAAGATGGCCTCGAGATCTCCTTTTGTAAATACATTTTTAGAGTGCTACCAATGGGTAGTTTGTGTGATCAACATGTGATTTCATGCTACATGTGACATGTGATTTCATGCTATTTTATTCCTTTGTTCACATTTACTGAATGTATTTTTACTTGTAATACAGTTGTAAATATCATAAAAAAAAAAAAATAAATAAATAATTCCGAACCTATTAGACTTATTGTTAAAATAGAATTTACTGAATTTTTTTTGCACAATATTGATGATTCACAGCTTTATAACAAATTTATGAAAAGAAAATATTAATTACTCTGATGCTTTAAAGAAGATATCTATTCTAAATCTTTGGCGACAAGAAGATGAAGCCTATAGTGCGAGTTTCGCTTACGTTAGAAATGTATGAGGTTTAAAAAAAAAAAAAAAAAAAAAAAAAAAAAAAGAACTAGTGAACAGATTTACATACAACAGGAGTTCCCAATCTTTTTCCACCTACGGGCACATTTATAGGTGTTATTAGATATGTGTTAGGTGGAGGGTATTGTGTTTTTATTCAATGTGAATTGCTTTGAACTTATAGGTTACTGCTTGATATATTTAAAAATAAAAAGTAAAAAATATCAAGAAACATTATATATATATATTATGTATATATATATATATATATATATATATATATATACGTATAGTAACAGCCTCTTTTATTATTTCTAACACTAATAATTCATATTTGTACAAAGGAGTAAACACCAAGTGTAATGAACGTTATTAATTTTATGTAGTTTTTTTATATTATATAAATTTACATATATTTAAGGAACAAATTATAAAATGTTTGAAATGAAAACTCGTTCATCTGTTGCTAAGGTAATCGCCGATAAAGGTTATATTAGACATAGGTGGGTTCGAGTGACGTCACTTGGGCACAGTGGTGTCTGCGAACTATGGATTGGGAACCCCTGACGTACAACTTCAGAAATTCTAGAAGCGATAAATATTCAGGACGCAGTCATTATCAGGATGTGTTTCGAGCGCTTGGAGGTATTAACGTACTCTTGAATAGTAGAGATACTATACTTGAATATACTATACTTCAGATAAAATACTTGAGTAGAGAAAGAGTACTTGAATACCTTCAGTGCTCGAAACACACCCTCTGATGTTTGGGTTGAAATGTCGGCACCAATAAAAACTTTATAATGACTACGTCATGAATATTTATCACCCATGATATGTAGAACAGTCAACTAACTTTCTTTAATAATTCAGAAATTATAGTTTCCTAAGTAATTCATCATCCAAAAGGTGTTTCACCTAAATCTGTGCAACTAAATTTAAGTATAGTTAATCACATTCTTGCCCTAGGTTATTTAGTAAAAATTTTAAATTTCTGCAATGTTTAATAATAAAAAGAACTTTAGTATGTATTAAAAACAGTTGAAGAATTTAAATATGAAAATGTTTTGAGCAAAAAATAAATTAAGATTTACTTTTAAGAAAGAAAGGCAAATATCATTACTGTCTGCCTCCATTGCTGATGCATATAATTAAGCAACCAAACCAAGGGTTTTGCTCTAAATCATATTTCTATATCAATCAGATTAGTTTTGTGGAAATGGTTCAGTTGAATAAGTAGTGACTTCGTAAGAATATGATCGATCCACTTTTGTAAAATCATTTGTCGTTATTATTATAATCGAAGGTAGGCGGAATGAAAATCCATAGTATAGATCATTTATAATATTAACTTATTAATACTAAATCCTGTCAGCAATATTTTCACCTTTAACAATTAGTGTGGTAGAGATGTTTGGTTGCGTACTTCATTAAGAGAGAATGTTCTTCCTCAAGCTCTTATTCTCTCTTAAAGTGGTTATTAATAATCAAGTGTCTCAATAATTCTTCATTGAAAGTATTAACAATTTTTTCATTTATAGTTAACAGAGTTTTGCGATATTTCTCACCTAGAAAATGAACCCAACCCGAATGTTCTGCGTGTCGGTTGGTCAGCGCTTGGAACATCCATGCAGTTAGGTGAATAAACATTTAATCTTAAGAAATTGAAATATCCTCGTATATATAACATAATATTTTATTATATTTATATTGTTGTAGGTGAGGAACCTTTGTCTTATGGATATGGTGGAACTGGAAAAGTTTCTGTCAACTGCAAGTTCCATGATTATGGTACTAGTTTTGGTCTTGACGACGTTATAACAACCTATCTTGTGAGTAATTTATTTACAGATAAGCATTGTTTTATTTTCATATTAACTAGAGTTTTTGTATATGTATTTTTTTTTCAGGATTTTAATGAAGATGCCATAGTTATTAGTTATTCAGTGAATGAAAATTTCCATGGCGAAGCATTTAGGCTTTCGGAGAACGACCTCAAGGGACGTGCTCTTGCACCACACGTTTTAACTAAGAATGTTAGGTTTGAAGTGAACTTTGGTCAAGTCGAACCTTGGTTTCCGATCAGGACTGGATACACCTTTGTCAACCAGGTCCCTGTGGAACAGTGTATTGCAGGACCTCGAAGACCTGAGAAGAAATCTGATTGTGAGGTACATTTTATTCATTTTTTTATGATCTGTTAAAATTAATTGATATATATATATATATTCAGTTTTTGCAAAAAGTCACTTAAGTGCATTTTTTTATATAGGTTATAATTTACTAGTTGACCCTTGCGAAAAATTCCTAGAAAATTTAGTTTACTGAAGATATAGTAATACAATATAAAAATAAGTAGTTGCTATGTATTATGTAAGGAAGGAATTATATTTTTTCCTTGGTCGATTACAATATTCCATTAAACATAGTAGACCAAAATATTTATACAAATTGCTTTGCTAGTACCTATTTTTAATCGCTGACTGGAAAGATAATAAAAGTAATAAAGACAAAATAATGCCCCGATCATAGGATATTCTAAATTATTAAAAAAAATAAAATGTCAGAACAACCGAATATCTTGAAGAAATAATAAAGTCAATATAAAAGCCAGGAAAAAAAATGTAGTAGACTATTCTACTCCTAAATGCAATATCTTTAAACTGGAAGACATAATTAAGTATACCGAAACTAATGGACTGTATCTTTGTTAATAATTGTCCGATTTTTACAATTTTTTTTATTTTTTTTTGCAGGTAATTTAGTAATCTTTCTAAATATCATTGGTACAATCCAGAAAAAAATGCATACTTTTTGAGTTATTTGCAAATAAAGTATCTTTTCCTCCATAACTTTTTTCCAGAAATTTCGGGGGGAAGGGACTATTTTTCGTATGTGAAGGAGAATATCTTCGAAATGAGTGGTCAATCATTGGATTTGATGAAGAATTGACGAAGTTATGGCGTACCGACTAGAAATAATATATAGGATTCTTTGATTTTATAAATTAATTAATAATTTTTGTCTTACTCGTTTAATTATCAGTCAATGCTTGTTTGTTCTAATATTAATTATGGTTGTAATTAGACTTTAAATGATGTAATTTGTTTTAGATGATCATGATGTGTGGTCTCCCTGGCTGTGGAAAGACTTACTGGGCTAACAAACACTGCGCTGCTAATCCTAGTAAACTGTACAATGTTATCGGTACCAATGCTCTCATTGATAAGATGAAGGTAATGCTTACAATTCATAACACCGAAATTATAATGGAATTTTACAAAAAAAATGTATAATTGTTTTATATTCCTATTAATTAATTAAAATTAATTTCAGGTGATGGGTCTGCCAAGGAAGGCCAATTATCACGGCCGTTGGGATATCTTAATTGAAAAGTGTACCAAGTGTCTGCAGCGGTTGATGGACATAGGCTGCCGTCGTCAAAGAAACTATATTTTGGATCAGGTAAATGTTAAAGATATCCCTCAGTTTTCTGCCTTGTATAATGCTCAATGGCTTTAGAATTTATATAATTTTAAGTTATAATTTAGTATTTTTGTTTAGGCATAAGTTATTTAGTTATTTTAAGTTAGTCATTAAAACTACTATTAGTTTTGTGTAGCTAAGCATATTATTACGTTATATATCTCATTCCCTGATTTGAAGTCATTTATTTAAATGTCTCATATTATGCTTTTAACGATGCTCTTCTTGTGTACATCTTTGTGATGCCTATTCATCAGTTATTTTATATGATGATTTGGGATACAGTTTATGTGAAATATTTACATCATATTTTTATTAATAGTATGCTAAATGATTATGGAAAGATTAATATAGGATTCATTATAAGTTGATGCTTTACTTGAAAATATCTAACTATTGAAAAAAAAAAAAAAAAAAGTTGTATACTAATTGATTGTGAGAATTTGGTAAATATTTGGATTAGATATCTTGTCATCTAACTAGCTGGCTATAAACCTTATCAGTTGATATATATATATGTTACCATGGATATTATTCAGCATAGAAGAACATACAAAATGAAAACTTGTGGTTGTATTAACAATTATATATTACTCCCAAGATACAAGAGAAAATTTTGTTTAATTTATGCGAACTATTATTATGATTTTTATCCAAGATTATGGAATAAGTATTTTTTTATTTAGAAAATCAGACGAGGGAACTGTGTAATCCATCACATCAATGCCTGACACACTATTTAAGCTCAAACAAGGATTGGCCTATCTGTTTGAAAGAAATATGATGACTTTTACTGTGTGAAAATGCCAGAAAATAAAATTTATCGAATCAAATACATAATGTATATAACATTAACACTATATATTGTTCTTTAAAAAAGTAAATGTGAATATTATTACAGAAACAGTGGCAATTATTGTCAGCTAACATCTTCAATTAAGTTTAGATAAAAGGCTTTTATTATTTGTTTAGCCAATAATGGCTTCCTTCTCAACATGTGAATATTATTGGCTATTAAGTTCATTCTTCATTCCATTAGTACTTTAGGCCTGTTTTTGATTAAGAGATGAACATTCATGATTTAAGAAATAGTATTTAAGCGTTAGTATTTAAATAGAAATATAATTATTTTTTGTTTATTTATTTATTTTTTTTAATGTTGAGCATTATAAAAGGCATACATTATTTTGCACTTATAAACCAATATAATCGGTTCCTTTGTTTTTATTCCTCTTGATAATTTAAATCAAATAATTGTTTTGTTTTTTTAAATTGATTGTGGATATCAAACAAATTCAAATATATATTTTTTTAATCTTGATAAAATCAAGAAGAAAAGGTTATTTATTATATTGGTTTTATTATTATTATTTTGAAATATTGGGTCGTCTTGTGAAACGTTGGCTCGTAACTATTTGGTAAGTACAAAGCTTTGCAGGGGCCTGGCGACTCTTTTACGTAAGTATTAAGTTAAACAATAGATTTACACGTTTGTCCTTTCTTTCTCCCCTTGAAATGACTCACTCCGGTTATTGATAAATATTTTTCTACCTACCTCACCTCGTCGACTTTCCTTCTCCTAAAGTGTCGAGAACTTTACTTAGCTATCTGATACCAGAATTTTAAAAGTTATTTTTAAATGTGCAACTTCCTTTAAGATTATATTGTGATCACACCAATTCAGGTATGAATAGCTTCTAAGTAACTTCTAGAATTTGATGTGAAGAAACATGTAGTATTAAGTTTATTTTTTAAATGTGGAATGTTCATGTTTTCCAAACTAATTTGAGATCACTTTTAATTTTTTAAACTATGTTTTTGTTTACGATCGTTTCATCATTCTTCTTAACCTACAAATGATGCCAAAAGTGGAATTGATTCTTCTCTTGTTAAAGCTGAGTTTTTAACGTCACTGATTAAATAGAAATATTGTTGCATACGTAGAATACGGACTACATTAGAATATGAACAACATCATGAGTTTTTGTTGTTTATGATGTATATGATAAAATATTGATTAAATAGCAATGTGTTCAAATATTGTTGCATACATAGAATATGGACTACATTAAAATATGAACGACATACAAGAAGGTTCTGTATTCAAGATAAACATTGATTCAATAGAAATATGACCAAATATTGTTATATTAGATTATGAACCAAAATTATGTATGAGTTCTGTTTTAGATAAACATTGATTCTACAAAGAATGTATTCAAATGCTCCAATGTTACTAATGTAAATTTTAGTGAATGTGAACAATTATGAGGTGTTCTGGTTTTAAATTTAAACATAATGCGTGATATAAGATTCCACTACTAAGAAATTATTTCATAAGAACAACTTAATTAATATTGCAATTTTCGTCGGCATTGAGAAGATTGGCTTCTTTTATTCAGCAGCAGTATGGAAAAAAATAAAAAAATTTAATGGTTATTATTAATAGTGATCTTTTATGGATTAACTATTATTATATTATCTTAATATTTATAGATTATCATACAATTAATAAATTATTTAATGTAATATTAAGTAATTTAGATTAAGTTTTTAGTTAAGTTATATTTTATCTTTGTGAAGGCGCTCTTTTCCGTAAGTATTTATATATAAGTTCAAAACTATATCTACCGCCTAATTTGTCTTTGAGAAAAAACACAAAATATTGAAAAGCTATTTGACGTAATATCTTACGTACACAGACTAATGTATATCCGGCTGCCCAAAGGCGCAAAATGCGCAATTTTGAGGGTTTCACCAGGAAGGCGGTTGTAATTGTCCCTACTGATGAGGAATTCAAGAGAAGGGTCAATGAGAGAGAGCAACTCGAAGGCAAAGACGTTCCGGACTCAGCAGTAATGGAAATGAAAGGTAACTCCCAAAAAAAAAAAATTAAAAAAAAAGGGCCTACTTTATGTTTTATTTTCCTCTTTATACTTGTGTTCTTAGGTCCTATCATACAAAATATTCTTCCTATGAGTTAATTTTGCATGCCTTTTATCTCTGTATACATATCCTTGATTTCTTTCCAAATTTATTAGTTGAACTTTTTTTTCTTTTTATATAAGTAGTTCAATAATCTTGGTAGCTAATTCACTGCCCTGTGGCCTAAGTGAATTCATTATTGTATTATCTTAAATGCATTTTTTTTTTTTCAAAATTTATCTTTTCAGTGTCAGAATAATCTGTATTTAAATTTTGTTTCCAGCCAATTTCACTTTACCTGATAAAAGCATCTTTAGTGAAGTAATATTTACTGAGCTCGATGAAAATGAATCAAGGAAATTAGTTAGAAAGTATAATGATGAGGCTATAACCGCCGGGTATGGAAAGAAAGGTCCTCAAGGACCTCCTGCCAAGAGGTTTAGAGGAGGTGACTTCCAACACGGACCACAAACACCTGGTGGCAGGCATGATGGCTTCAGGGGCAGGTCCAATCCACCTGGTGGGCACCAGTTCAGAAGTACGTACTCGTTTATAAGCTTTATTATTTATCTAATACTTTACCACTAGCAAATGAAGCAATTGATAATTTCAATTTTTTGTAATTTTATCAGGAGGGGGTGGTGGTGGCGGAGGAGGTAGCCGCGGCGGAGGTGGCGGTGGATGGCATCAAAGACAAGCTGGTGGAGGAGACAGGTGGAGGGAAAACAGGTGAGAGCAATAATAATAACTTTATCAATCGACCCTTTTTTCTATAAAACGTCTCGTACACGTTAAGAGCTATTAAACAAACTAAATTTAGCGAAGTGTTAAACTCACACAATTAAAGATAATGTTTTAACACTGCTATTAATTTGTAAGAAGAAAAGGAAGTACTTATTCAAATTTTATTGCCTTCAAAGCAAATTATGTCTAGAAAAAATCGAGAAATATTCCTATATATGATAAATAATGTCTGCAAGCAGGGCCATCGTGAGGGCGAGGGAACGGAGCGCCATGAATCAGGAACAAAGATATAAAGAATACATAATACATTTGAAAAAAGTCTTCTTTCTATCCATTTTCTACTTATTGATTCACCCCTTTTCATCTTTGCTTAGATATTGATACTTGGCTAGCGGAATAAAGATGCCTAACCTCAGTTGTACTTGTTGTCTTTAGATAAATTATAAGCTGGCCAGAGATTTATCATCTGTGAATGGAAGTGTAAAAATATATTTAGATATAATAAATATTACCTGTAATTATGAGAAAATAAACTACTGACCAAGTTCGAGGGATGTGAGAGTGTGTCTGATGAAATTTTTTCCAGGGCGTTAAAAATCCATCGATGACCATGTCCGGAAGTAATAATAAAACCCAAAATACAGAGAGAGAAAAAAATGGTTGAAGACTGTAAACTAAGAAACCTTCTTACTGTACTCTTTCAAACCTCATTGGAAGAATAATATTAATTGTATTTACACAATGAACTGACGGGTTGCTGTATTTACTTAAATATTTGTTGGTGTGAAGAAGGGAGGGTATAGTTGTTTAGCAACACTTTTCATGCAAACTGTAGTTGCTAGGTGCAGATATTTTTGTTCTTTGTTACACAATATCAGTCAGTCTTTTTTGCCATTTATGGCATGGGGGAAGATTGTTCTAGAGGTACAACCAAACCTATTCTTACCAGAGTGGGCAATGGGAAGATTGTGGTTAATTCCATCGGTCTGTTACAAAATAAAATTCAACTCGCTCAGGCTGTGTTAGGCCTGAACTGCTGCCGCTAGACTTGAAAATTTTAAGGTGGGCAATGCTCTAACTCAGTGTCAATAACACTATATATTTTTCAGGCCCTCATGTGAACTACTGCAGTGCTCTTAGGAAAGCCAATGTGCCAACCGACTCCCACCTAGGGGTTGGATAGCTTAGTTCAAAATACTAATAAAAGACTAAATAACAACTGTTTTCCAAAACAAGTTTTTGTTTTGGAAAACTTGATAAAAGAATAGTTTATCGATTAGCGTACATTAGTTAGATTCACTACTCTTACGTCCAGTTGGTGTGAGCTACCTCCAATAGGCTAACGGGCCTTGCATGCCGCAGGGTGGAGGTGCTCGGACAGCGTGGCTTTCTGTAATGGGTTACCCTCTATCTTAGTACTTAGCATGCTCAACGTTGCTTAACTTTACCTGTTGCTAGCACTGATTAGGATGTTATAAACAACTATTATGATCTTGTTCATATTTTCTAGAGCTTACAGGCTACTGCTTCTTTCTATAACATAGATATGTTATAGAAAGAATTACCTGTAAGAGTTAAGAGTTTTATTTGTTGTTTACAGATGCTTCATAAAACATGTTAACTTTCTAATTCGTTTATTTTAATAATTTATCTGTTATAAAATATTTTGAGAAAAATTACTTTTCGGATGAAAACTTGGTATTAAGCAATGAATTCATATTTATTTTACAGAGGTGGTGGCGGCGGCGGCATGATGAGAAACCATGGAGGGGGTGGGTATAACAGACAAGGTGGCGATAGGCAACAGCAACAGGGCGGCTGGAGAGCAGGCAACAGTGGGGGTAGCAGGGGCCCCCGTGAAAACTATGGAGGCGGTGACAGGAACAGGATGGGTGGTGGTGGTTATGACAGGAACCAAGGAGGTGGCAACAGGCCGCCTGGTGGTAACAGAGGTGGAGCTGGGGGAAGTTATAGCAGGGACAACAGGAAAGACACTAGGCCAACTCAGAATAAGGTAAAATATTATTATAATTATTATTGCATAACACAAAGCTGTTTGTTAGTATGATGTGTAACGTAAATGTTTGGAAACAGAGAGGTGGAAGTGGGGGTGCCAGCGGAGGTACTATAGCCAGCTCAGGAGGTCAATGGGGAGGCCAATACCAGGGCAGCGGCGGGCAGCAAGGAGGTGGCCAATCGTGGGGCGGGCAGCAGCAGAGCTGGCAGCAGCCTCAGCAACAGCAGCAGCAGCAATGGGGGAGCTACCAGCAACCCCAGCAGCAGCAATGGAAGGGTAAGTCGTGACGAGTGCAAGGAGTATGTTCATTGCTATTCATTGCAACACCTCTCCTATGGGAGGTGAATCATTTTACTTATTCTATTATATCTATAAATCGTATCATTATTTTCTTAAATGAAATTGTGTCCATAAAGATGTTACATTCTATCTAGATTTTAGAAAGATAGAAGTTTAGCTTATATAAATTAATTTTTCTTTTTTTTGGGAACCGGAGAAAAGTTTTATAAATCTCAGGTAGACAGTACTATAGAAGTGATTACTATTATTCATAGCATAATTATAACCAGTGATCAGGTTACCAATTACGGTTGTAATCAGGTAACGGTGTCACATTTTTGCTTTATTTATAGTGCTATTGAATCAAGTATAAAATAGGGATGGTCATGAAGTTTTATTTTCAGTTATAATCGTGTAATAATTGATTCCGATTTTTTGTCCATTTCTGCTATTATTGGATTATTGCTTATTAGTGGTTATCAATTTACTGTCATAAAAAGCCTGAGTTTTTCCTCATATTTCCCTGGTGTAAGGGTGCATTTCAGATATATATATAATATATATATGCCTCCCCCACAACGTTTGCATCAAGTGGTCTCTTTCAGATCAAATGTGCTAAAAAATTTGGTCTGTATAGCTGTTTTGTTTAAACAATACCATAGGAGTGGGGGCAAATTCCAGTTTGATAATTAATTAAGGGGGAAAACCTGGCAGTTAAGCGTGATGTTGGGTAAATCACAATCTTGCAAGTTGGATGTACTTCAGACTGACTATTATTTTTTTTTTTAAAGAAAGTAAGCTGTTGTTGCTTATCAAGAAATATTTGCAATTAATTTAATATCTACCTTTATAGAACTTCCAGGAAATAAAGTAATGCTTATCTTTAAGTTTCAGTTTCTTACTTTATTTTATATTAAGAAAAGAGAGAATTTTAAAGCTCACAAACATTTATTATATTATGAGTATTTTCAAATATTATTGTTGCTGTGAACTTAATAAAAATAAAAGTACATATTAATATAAATTAGTAGCAAAGATTAGTAAAAATTACAAAAATTGTACATACCAAGTGTATGTATTTTATTGTAAAGAAAATATATTATTGAATTATGAAACTAGGAACAGATCAATACAACTGGGAAGGGGAGGCCCAAAGCTTAAAAATTTTGGGGCCCCTCAAAATCAAGTTTCAACTCAGGCAATTGGCAGATGGTTCTTATAGATGTATTCTTTTAAGTGTAATCAAATTAACTCTAAAACAAATCATTATGACCAGTAATTTATAATTTAATATATCCTGTATGGCATTATCCTTTTTTCTTTTTGGCTTAAATAGCCAATTAACTCATTAATGGATAAAGAATTGTGAAAGTTTCTAATTCCCATTTATTTAAATATTCTAATAAAAAGAATTTTTTAGGTGCTTATAACCAGGGCGGTAGCGGTGGTTACAGCCAACAACAAGGAAGTGGTGGCGGACAAAGCGGTTACAACCAACAAGGTGCCCAAGGTGGTGGCTTTGGCCAGCAATATGGTGGAAATTGGCAACAGTATGGAGGGTATGGTGGATATGGCCAACAAAGCTGGGGGCAGGTAAAGTCTAACTGATAACAAAAACCCTCTTATTAATTATATCAATGGTAGGCAATAAAAACCTCGGTACTCCATTTGTACTAATTGTATCCGTTTACTAAAACGAGATTTTCATTGCCTGCCTTAGGTAGATCAAAAGTTCTCACACTAATTGTACGTGAATAATGTTGGGATTTCACGAAGCTAATCCATGAAATATTTTTATATTCCACTACTTCTTTCACACAAGTACAATGAAATAGTATTTTAAACAATGGCATTGGCTTGATTTGGTGGATTTTAATACGTTTTTCTCAAACTTGAAAAAAAAAAAAAGTTTCCATTTAGTATGAAAATTTCATTTAATTTCCTTGGAAACATGTGATTCCTCAGTTCTCTCAACCATTAACGTATTACGAAGTTAATTTAAAGATATTGCCTGTTGAAGCAGAAGCAATTTATTGCTTAATTTGGACTGAGGTTGGCATTGCTGAGCATAATTACAGTGATCTGCATGGGTCATTAAACTGAATTGGTATATGTTCAAAATGAAGCTTGCAGAAGCACCTCTGCTATTTCCATGATTGTTTTGAAACTAGGTTTAGTTCGGGATAGACAAATTAGGTAACAGCAATAATATTTAATTTCAACATTTAATTCATATTTCTGGTTAATTTAATATTTATTATTGCATTTAGGCAAAGATTTAATTATAACACTGCATTATGAATAATAGCAACAAAAAAAAAATTGTGTAAATCAATGCCTTGAGTGTTGATAGCTAGCCAATCCTACAATCATTTTAAGATTTTCTGTTGCCCCAAAACTTATTTTTTAAACCGGTTTAGTTATGGCACACAATAGACCTAGCAAGATTGCGTGCAGTGCAATATGCCACAAAGGGAACATAAGATAATCTTAGGTTGTTCTTCAAGTGTCTCTGAATGGTATACATTGTATATTTGAAGTGAAAATTTATTTAGGTATTCATTGCACTTGTTTATGTGTATTGAATGACATGGAGCTGTCACACTCCACTACGTAAGGCTCAAGTCTACTCATTTTTGCATTTGAATTAAATTTTCTCAGAAATAAAAAATATAATCTACATACTGTAAGCGAGGGAAGTGTTCAGGATTTCATCCTCTTTGTAATGAGTTATTATTTAAAATTGTGTCTTGACAGAATGCAGTTTTAGAGGAACAAAAAGGGAAAAAGTTTCAATAATCAAGTGAAAACTAGATATTTTTATTTATTTTTTTAATTTGGATTAAAATATCTCAAAAACTAAAATTCGGAACTGAATACTGTAGGCTAGGGAAATTTTCAGTATTTCATCCTCTTTGTGATAAGCTCTAATTCCAAAATTGGAATTTGACGTAAGCCGAGTTATTGAATCAGAAAGAGAATCAAAAGATGGCACCAAAAAAAAACAAAAAAAAAAAAAACTTTTCAACTTTTAGACTATTAAATATATATATTGTAACGTTCCCTTTGTCAACATAAATCAAAACAACGAGTTTCCTTTTTTCAATATATTATTTATTTTAACACATATAACATAAATCTTAGGTTGGGTTCTGACAACTGAACACTCATTCACTCATTTAATAACTATAATTTACTAATTACTAACTACACTTATTTATAATTTAAAATATTTTATAAAATAATTTGTCCCGGTCTAAACTTTTGGTTCTATCCCTCTGTCAACATAAATGGTAAACATTGTTAGCATTCACCCAAATGTTTACGCCTGCCAGCGAAATAATCCCTTCTTACTTATGAATGTCCCGTTTTCTGTACCACTTCATTATTTTCTGCTATGTTGTTTTCTTCCAACATAAAATAATCTTCACTATTGGCCTCTATCAACACTCGAACCAGCTAGGACTCCTTTTTCTATTTTCTCAACTTGCTGGCTAGCACCTACTCTCTTGACAGCTTGTCACCTTCTCTCCTGGCAGCCCGTCACATTCTAAGTTACATGAGGCTTGCTTCCCCCACTTCCTCACGCACTTTCGCGCCACTATTTAAATGCCATGTAATGTTGACATTACAATATATATGAAATATGTTTAAAGATTTATTTTTTTCAATTAACTGTAAAAATAAGAAATTAAGTTTTTCTATTCAATTTTCTGTTGCATTTAATATTGTTTCTACAAATTACTGACCCCTTATTCAGGAGTTTTATTAAACAAAAATTACCAATGCTCACAAATTTCATATGAAATATGTTTAAAGATTTATTTTTTTCAATTAACTGTAAAAATAAGAAATTAAGTTTTTCTATTCAATTTTCTGTTGCATTTAATATTGTTTCTACAAATTACTGACCCCTTATTCAGGAGTTTTATTAAACAAAAATTACCAATGCTCACAAATTTCATATTATTAATCCTGCCTTGATGTTTTCTCTTTTACCGTGTGGTGCTGAACTTAGAGAGTTACATGAAAAATTTAAGATAATTTCATAAACATATTTCGGTTTTTGGCATATATAAAAAAAATTAGGCATTTGAAAGGATTAGTAATGCTTTAGCGAAACGTATGTTAATTAATGTCCACTTTTTTAAGGTAGTAATATTGATATTAAGTTACACATGTTGCCTGGATTAATTTATTGTTATGGTTCCAGCAGGGCTGGCAGCAGTGGTACGGCCAAGGAGGAGGAGGGAACCAAGGCAGCGCAGCAATACAGCCACCGCCTACCAAATAAATATCACATTCCTAACAAGTTATTTGCAGAATTAACTTTTAAGGTGTAAATACTTGGTTTTGTGTCCAAGTAGTACTATTGTATAAAACTAACATGAGAATTTTAATAAGTTTTAACAATTTTGATGCAGTTTTTGTCTGTTTCATACATAAATTATATGTATATGTGAGTGTGTATGTTTTTATATATATATAATATACATATACATATATATATGAAATGCGTGTGTATATATTTTCATTTACAGTGTTAATTAGGTTGACTAATTGATTACCGATTGTGTTATTTTAAGTTATTTTAAAATGTATTACTGAGTTATTATATAAAAAAAGAAAGAAATAGAAACTCATTTTACAAAAAAATTGTTTTATTTATACCATAATATATGATACTAACATGTGATTCACTTCACTGTAATCTTTTGGAATATTTTCTGACATTTTTTTTATATGGTCCAGTCCTTCAGCTATCATCTGCTTAGATATCTGTATCCTCGAGGTGTTCATGTCGTTTTCCCATCTTTTCAACGTTTCTGATTCTTCTGTTTCATTCAAATAAAGGACTTTGAGAACTTTTTGTTCTTTGAGTAGAACTTGGGCTGAATTATAATCTCTATTCGTTAACAACGATAAGCTCTTTTCTATCACCCATAACAATAAGTAATGTGTTTCATTATTTGTAAGCCTGGCATACAAAATAATCTTACTAACAGCTATTTCTTTCCCGATGACATTCTTAATTACTGAAATAAAATCGCACAGCCCAGTAGTGTTCGTCTCCTTTTGATTTAAATCTTTGAACTTGACCGATGAATTCCAAAACAGATGACAATTTCTTTCCCTTATTCCGAGCCAGGCTTGACATTGATCACAGAAAACTACTTTTTCAGAAGAGTCGACTTGAGGATGAACATTTATTTGAACATAATATAAACCGTACAAGCAATCTTCTGGTTTAAGTTTTATATCGCTGTTTGAGAGATGATTGTGACAAAAGAAATCACCTGTGTCAAAACTGGTCGGAAGGGGAAGGATTCTTCTGAATTTAAAAGGTTGGTTGTTGAAAGGAGTAGAACATTGTCTGCAGAAGATGTTAACTTCCTCATTGGTCTTGAAATCTGGTATATAATAATCGCTTTGCGTACTGCATGATATGTCACTACTGCTTTGTTCCTTAAATAGCATTTCATTTTTAAAACAACCGTATATTTTGTTCGGCTCTATTCTGACCCGAAACTGAATTGAATGATCTGATATTTTAAGGCCAGAAAGACTATCACAGGCAATAGTTATGTTTTCAATATTTATAACCCATATGTCTTGATTGCTGCTCCCCTTGATGAAGATTTTGTCAGAGGCAGGAATCACATTTGAGACTTTTATACATTTGTTCATTTTAATAAAAAATTGACAAGAGCCAATTATAGGGCGTAGTTCAGCAACCACAGTGCAACAATCCATTTTAATTGTTTTCTTTAACTGGTGTTATTATGCCTAAAAAAAAAAGAATTAAAAATAAGTAAGAAAAATGTGTAATCAAATATGTAGTAATAAGATAAATGTACCAGAGTTGGGCAGTGCTCATTGAAAAATTTATTTATAATATACGCATTTTCAGATTAGTACAGATACTATTATGATAACTAGAGACTAGATTTCCGCGTTATTGCAAATTTTATTCGCTTGGGTGTTAAAATCCCTGATTGTTATATATCCATTTCAGGATCGGTAGAACAACATACTTAAATTTTAAATTGCACATTTTTTATTTTTGTTTGCATTAAATGGTACATTTTGTGCTAGAATAAAATGATATATAAATATAAATATATATATTATATATACATATGTGTGTAAATTTTTATTTTACTATCTCGTCCAAATTAAATTTAGAATTTAAGAAAGAAAAATATGAGGAAGGTAAATGATTCTATATATTTTGGGTTTTTACTGCACGATTTTGCACTTTTTGAGTTTTATGCAGCACACGTTTTTCGGATTTTTATTTCACGAAAATCCAGTCTCTAATGATAACATTCCAATACAATGTTATCGGAAGTGTTGAGTATTAAAAAAATAATATGGATTTTGAAATTCCATGTTGCGTATAGATTTCTTTTTGTTATCGGATTTCTTAAATATATCCAGGTTCAACGTTATGTTTGTGAGATAAAAGTTTGAAAATAAAACACATTTTGAAATTACATACTTTTTGAAACTGCCTATATTTTCCCATAGTCTAGTAAAAGTGTAAGAAACTAGTACAGCAGTTGATGCTATAAATAAAAAGTTCTCATTTTCCCAAAATAATTTTATTTTCAAAATGTATACCTAAAATAACATAATCTTGGGCCTCAATGAGAAAGAAAATCTAATTGTTTATATTTTACACTTTTTGAATGAATTTATTGTTTACTCTCTATTAATTAATTTATGTAAATCGGAAAAATAGAAAGTCCTTTGAAAACAGAACTCTTTATACGCGTAAAACATCAGCTGTTGTAGTTATCTCTCTAGTTTTAGTTTTTTGTATGTTATTCAAACTAATTTTTACCCGACTATTGTAAGTATTTGGCAATTTGAAACAGTATTTGGCATTGTACCCGAAAATTTAATCATATGTTTAATAAAATACCTTTATCATTTAATCAAATAAAAATGTAAACAGTATTTCTTAGTATATGCAAATTCAGAGTACAATTGTAATCTGTATCAATACTTTAGTCAAGAAATATTCTGTACCTTTAATTGTAAGTACAGTATGCCCAACTCTGTTATGTACTGGTAATAGACACTAAATTGAAATTTTCAACATAAATGTGAACCTTTTTTCTGACAGCGGATCTTTGCAAATATCTTTAATTGACAGCAAATTTAGTCTTCTACCATTTTTTTTTTCCTGCACAGTTAATTATTCATGAAAAACTTAAAAAATTCTGAGTCAATGTTGTACCAGTAATAGACAACCAGGTATTGTGGTAAGCAGTTTATTTTATAAAATAATCAAAACAAAATTAATTCTTTACAATCTTAAACTAAGAAATGGCAAGCTAAAGATCAATGGATTAAAATTTCAAGCTTATCTCCTAAAGAAACCTCCGCAAAACAAATGCACAACATTGTTACATTAAAAAATCAACTGCCAATCAGCTATTGTGGCATGATATCACATGAGATTCAGGCACCACTCTCCTAATTGTTTTGACTGCAAATTACTCATGTTTACTCTCTATTTTGGGCTTATAGAGCTTATCTGTTAATAAGTTGAAAACTGGCACATTCACTGTAAACAATAGCAGTCTGACACGAGAAAAACTAAAAAATTAAATGTAAAAGAAAAGAAGATTAATATGCTTCTCAAATACTTTAAATAAATAAACATACAAATTCTTGCTAAACAAAGAAACCAATTAACCAGGGCTATCAAATCAACAAACTAATACTGTTAAAAAAAAAAACCATCACAGACGCATAAATATCTGCTTATTCAACAAGCAACACTAGTGCTTATGTGGTGCTTTCCGCAAGCTCGCTTTAATTAGTGCCCAAAAAAACAATGAAATAGCCACGAACACAGAGAAACCAGCTAAATACTCTACTTACAAACTTGTGCTCGACATGCTTGGGTAATGTTTAAATGTGTCTGTAATTCAGACCAGAAACCAAAAGATACTACACAAGTAAGTACTAAATACCAATACGCAACCTAGACAGACAAGAATGAAAATATAGACATTATTCATAACTTCTACAGAAGATAGCAGCAATAGTGTGGTATGGCAGCTTTTAATGTAACCTTTAAAATTTCTAAAGGGTTCATTCACTGCTTGAATGTCTCTTTTGGCTAAACATGATAATCTTAAGCTTAACTTGGTTGAACTATATTGTACGAAAACCTACTAAAGTATCACAAAAAATAAATATGAGAAGGAGTTAATCGCGGGGGTGCGGTCAAATTAATACTAAATTAAACAAGTAGAATTATTTAATTTTTGCCGACGTTTCGACCCACTTTGCAGGTCTTCATCAGGGCTACAAAAGATACAAAACATGGTGAAAATAAAATAAATAAATATAAGTAGATATAAAATAAGAATAAGTTGTCTGATAAAGAAATAAAAAGATGATGTGAGAGATATAGTGGGTGACAATGTAGTTAAAATATCAAGTATTATATGTAGAAGATACAAACAAAAATGGAAAATAAGTATGAATAAAAATAGAAAATAAAGGAGAATATAGCATGTAAGTTAAAAGTAAACAGATTGCGATAAAAGATAAATTATACATTTTACATTAACTTACATGCTATGTTCTCCTTTATTTTCTATTCTTATTCATACTTATTTTCCATTTTTGTTTGTATCTTCTACATATAATACTTGATATTTTAACTACATTGTCACCCACTATATCTCTCACATCATCTTTTTATTTCTTTATCAGACAACTTATTCTTATTTTATATCTACTTATATTCATTTATTTTATTTTCACCATGTTTTGTATCTTTTGTAGCCCTGATGAAGACCTGCAAAGTGGGTCGAAACGTCGGCAAAAATTAAATAATTCTACTTGTTTAATTTAGTATTAATTTGACCGCACCCCCACGATCAACTCCTTCTCATATTATATCAATGGTCAACCATCTCTACATCAAAAAATAAATAAATTTTATTCAGTAATAGCTAAAACAGAGTTCCTGATGATAACAGGCCACGACTACCTTAGGAAGCACCAGCATAGAATAGGAGTGGCAGACTCTCCTATTGCAACCTATGTAATTCGTGAGCACATATGGGCGCAGTGCATTAAGGTGTATGCTCGTGCTTGTTGAACACAAGATATACGAACGTCGTCAAAATCGGAATCGTACTGGGCTGCAAGATCTCTGATGCTGAAAGCCGATAAAGAGAGGCAAAATTAAAAAAAAAAAAAGAAAGAAAAAGTAATAGCTAAAACAACATTTAATAAACAATAATAAGATTGGAAACCTCGTCAATGGAAATAATACTGTCAATATCTGGGATGCCATTTTGAAAGGCAGTGGATGACGATCACAAAATGTACTATTTTAAACCTCTCTTCAAGAAAACATTAAACAAGAACATTTTAAAACCATTCTATCTAAACTCTCAAGAAATAAGTACAATGATTTCTAAATCCATAAAAAAAAGAGAAAAAAATGGAACCCTTGTACTGTTTTTTCATATTATAATTGTTTTAAAAATAAAATAAATAAATTATTGAAATTACCTTTCCTCATATACTCTAAGCACAGATTTTGTCCCTGACTTGTAACAAAGGGCAATGTAGACTGTTCATAATAGTCGCTCCGCAGTTCAAGATTGTTTATCACGGTGCTCAAGATATGAGACTTTTCCGCAAAAATTCCTAAAACAAATTGGTTTCACAATTTTTTACACCTAAAAATGATTGTATTTGCACTATTATATTACCTCGCACTGCTTAACCCTTATTAGACCAAGGTTGGTCAAATTTGAACAAAAAATAAATATTATTTAGGAAGGAGATGGTCCGGTGTGTCGGTCATAAATAGACTAAATAGTGGCAAAACTATTTTATTAAAAGTCAACGTTTTAACCTGACTATTGCGGGTCTTCTTTAGAGAATAAATATTATTTATTTTTAAAAATTTATACTAAAAGATAAGGGGTGGGGATTTGTATAATATTTTATTGTACAATCAAGTGAACAAGAAATTTACAAATACAAGTTTTTTTATGTAAACTTGTCATCAAATTATAATGAAAATAATTGAAAAGAAAAAATACTTTTTAAAACTAATTAATAATTTTTAAAAATGGGTAAAAATACTTATTAAAAATTTCAACAGAGATAGAATGTTGGTAAAAAATTAGAATACTGGCATAATACTAGTTACTAGTGTGAATATGAATTTCTAAAGTTTCATACAATGCAAAAAAAAAATATATATATATATTAATTTCTAATTAAATGTTAGCAGCGGCGACTATAATATTTTTCTTTTAAATGATAATTCACATTTGAGGTAAAGAAATTTAACAGAACAACAGGAAGCTTAATACACTACATTGATTTACACTCACTGTTGTGTTAGGATTAAATTTCCTATTTCGCTGGTACTGCCTACCACGCCGACGGCTGGCAGTTAACCACTGCTTTAGTTAAACAGAAAGGAGCCTTTTCTGTTGGAAATGCTGAGCTGTCGAAAGGAGCAGTACAGATATTCCATTCATATTTCTTATCTATACTGCTCCTGAAGCAGTGAAGCTGTTGGCACTACAGCGGTTATAGGTTATGTTATCCTATTGGAGAAGAGTTTTGATCAAGATCAGTGAAACTACCAGGTTCGCTCACTCAGAGGGAAAATGGTGGGGAGGAATTGAGCTCTGACGTAGCCAAAAGACTGATTTTACCCCTCCGGCCTTTGTTTCTGAACATTTTAAGATTATTATTTACTTTTATACATTAAATCAATACTGTATTGCCAAATAACTTATCAATTTTAATAAATTTGAAAGGTGAGAGAAAGGTTGATTTGATATTTGGTTTATTCTGAAGCAAATAAAATGTAATTTAACAAGTTGATGTATGATTTTTCACAAAGTACCACAATACTACTTTTTAAATATTTCAAATAAAGACAGAGCATAATATAAAATAATAGAAATATTGAAAAAAAAAAGAAAAATTATTTAACCTAACATTAAAAAAGCGTTTTCTTTCCGTGATTTTTTGTAAATATTACATTTTTATGTCATAAATAAGTAATCCTATGTTTTCTTAATTGTTGTAAAAATCATTGGGTATTTAAAAATTTGATTCTATTAAATACCCGTTGCTGACAGAAAGGCTTTCTTCAGTAATTTCTACATTTTGTTTCCTAAGAAAAAGATTGTTTTTTTTTACATTTACGTTTTAAAATCCAATCTTTTCTTCGAGCGTCCTTTGGAAAAGTATGAAGTGAAATTTTCTTTTCCCTTTTCTTTGTGTCAATCAGATTAATTACTGTTGCAAGATGTAACTGCGCATTTTGCACCTGGCATTCTATAGGATTCTATTAATAATTATGTTATTATGAGAAATACAAGAAATACTAATAAGAACAAACGAATTTACTGTAACATGTTATTAAAAATAAAAAATAAATACTCATTATAATACTATTTTAGAGACGGATAAGTAGTTGACTGTTAAGATTATGAGGTGAAATAAATTATCAGGATTTGCAGTAGAATTTGATTATTTTTTTTTAATTAAATTTATTTATTTAAAGAAATTTTGACTGCAAATCCTGACAAAGATCTTCACCCTTATAATATTATTATAATATTAAAAGAAATACTCAGGAGATCTACAAACAAAATTATACAAACATTATGCTAAAATGTTCTTTAAATATATATAAATCTTAGTTTTTTCTATTTATGTAATATATTTGTATATTATTTACAGAGATTTTGAAATAAAGAATTTAAAAATAATCTTAATATCAATTTCGTTCTTTTCGTTTCAGGTCTGGCATGTAATTTTCATAGCATTTTATTCTAGATTGATAGCCGTATTTATTTATTTATCTGCTTGAAATTATCTTCAATCAAACGTCAAAAACACAGAAAAGTATTCTTCTCAATAAATTAAACTAGATAACAAAAAAAAAAAAAAAAAGCAAGAAATAAGCCTTCATAGGCTTGAAAGAGTAATAGATAGGTCTCGCAGTCTATTCCTTACGTCACGTTTCAAGTTCCCCCACCACGCATTTCTGAGTGAGCGAACCTGGTAGTTTTATTAACCTTGGTTTTGATGATAACAACCGCCTTGCTACAATTCATTTCCTTTATTTTCATGAAGTCAACGATATTAAATGAAAAATTGTTTAAAATGTAAACAAAGCTATATTAAATCGTTTTTTAAAGTTTAAAGAATAATAATACAAAACAATTAACCTCAGGTAAATATTGAAATCCATACATTAAAATATCAATTTGTCTTTTTTAATTAAAGTGCTGATTTATTGATTACCTATAAATAAGAGGGTAAACTATTGCCTGCTGTGATTTCATTACAAATATACAATATTTATGACAAAAATAATCGTACTAATAACAATAAGTAATAAATTTAAAATCAGAGAAACCCTCAATTCTTAAAGTAATATTTTGTCATCTCTTTTCTAATATGATGCTTATATTGTCTATTCAAAATATTACAAGAAACATTATTTTGTAGATGGGAGCATTAATATGTAGATAATTATTAACATTTTATTATACAGACATAACCTAACCTTGTTATTCAACTTTAACTATCTGAAAGAATGGCAGGTATTAATTTAATAAGATCAAAAGCTCGCCATCACATGTATTTATTGCTGTCCTTCAGATAGAAATAAAAACCCTTAATTTTAAGGCAAATATTTTAATTAAACATCATTTCAAACTAGGTTGATAAATCGAGAGTTTGGCCGCAGCGGTGAGCAGTTTCAGCAAAATTAGAAAAGCATGAACTTTTGGTAGTACGAAACGACAACGGCTGCCGTGGGCAGTACCAGCGAAACAGAACCTTGAGGACCCCCTTTAACAGAGGGCAAGAAATAAATAAACCACTTAAATTTACCTTAAGCCCTAATAAAAGTGCATATTAACTTTAAGTAGATTATTTTTTTTTTAATTTACCTATTACAGAGTTCCATTTTAACAAATGTAGCCCAGTTTGAATTGACATTTTGATGAGATCTTCAAATGTATTCAATTATAAAAATTATTAAGTTCTCCAATGACAATAATTATTATTTACAGGAAATTAAAAAAAATTATTGTAAAACCAATGCGTGAGGATTTTCAATGCATTATTTGAAAACTCAAAACTGAACCAATAAGGCACTTATACAATTGCTCAATCATTCAACATTAAGTGATAATTAGGATTTGAATTTTTTAAGGTATATGTCTTTTCATGTTAATAATTATCATAAAACCATAATCACTAATTGCTTGGTTAATAAAAATAAAAATATTGGAGCAATTTAAAAGTTCGAGGAAAGCCCCATAATCAAGGATCTTGCATTGTCACGTTATTGTATTTTCCTTCAATTTTGGTTGAGGCTAAGCTGCAGAAATCGACTTTCAAAGGCCAGTCAGTGGTGGATCTGACTTATTTTTTCAAAAATTTATGTTCTAAGAATATAAATATAAATGTATGTTATAATTAAATTAATGATTAAAATGTTCAGAAGGAAAAGTAGTATAGAGGCTATAAAGAATGGACTAATAACTAAAGAATAAAGACTAATAATTATACCTGGGGCTTCAAATTTCAAGTAAGTAAAATGAACATGAAGATGGTAAAATGTTGGTTGATAATGGATAAAAATTCGAAGCTGGTTTCTGGATATGTTGTACTTTTCGGAAATAGCATCCTAAAAGAGAACATACACATACCATCATCATAATAAAACATATAAAATTTATGGTCTATGTAGAGTATGTTATTTACTTCTAGTTTAATTGGAAGTCATATCACATGACTAGTTTTTCTTATATTAAAATTTCTTACATAAACCTGGATTGTTACCACAGATATAGAAATAAAAAATCAGTTTTATTCTGGGAAAAAAGGCCCCTAAGAATAACAATATTGTTCATGTAAATTAACATTAAATCTGGCCAAAAGACCTATTATAATAAAAGAATAACTATTATGAAAAGTATTGGATTGGCAAATCAGTCCTTTCGGTTTTTTCAGGGTGAAATAAAACTCAATGTATTATAGACATAAAATTTATTTTAATGTGCAATATATTGATCATTATTTAATATGACTTTTTCCTATCTTTCCACTAACTACATAATATCGACCCTCCTATATTTTTCACATCTTACAATTCAAATATTCCATCCTATCCCGTCCCACTAGATCTCGTAGGTGAATAGGGAGGGTGGAGCAAAAGGTCCCATCCAAGGCTCAATAATTTATTGCGAGTGACCAGTGAGATTTGGGGCCTAGCGTTGTCTAGGCAATCCGGGTTTTGACATTCTTCGAAGTGCCTCACTACTAGGTCCCCAAGATTTTCTACAGACTACATTATCGTAAAATATCCATTTTTCATCTGTTACCAACCTTTTCAAAAATGAGTCGTTTTATTGCTGTTTTCATAGTGAATCACAGGCAGAAATGAGTGCTGCCAAGTAGACTTCGGTTAAAGAATGAGGGACCCAAACATTAAACCTGGAAACATAGCCGAGCTTGTGCAAATGGTTTTCTACACTTGTGCGCGTAGGGCCGTAGATATCTCTCACACTGATTGGGTAGGATTTTGATCAACAATGGCCTTAACATTGCTCATTTCAATTTGATGTGAGCAACCATACATTGATGTCAAAATTTCCTGAATGAAATTTGACAAACCAATTTTGACAGGTGTATTGGGTTAAGGCATCATCCCCATAAACACTGCAAATTTTTCTGTGAGCTTCTGTAGCACGCTTACCTTTTTTAAAATAATACAACAAAAACAAAACATGCCGATAATGAATGATATTTTCTTTCATATTCTCAGTGCAATAGCTAACACAATACGAAGCTAGTTTCAACAAGAGTTAACAGATATAATTGTTGGCATTTTACAAACAGGATAAACAATCCACCTCCTTAGGGATTAATTCTTCAGATAAGAAGTGCATTATAGTGACATAAAAATAAAAATGAAAACCGAAGGACCTATTTGCCAACCCAATATATACATATTAGCTATTAAGTTATAATAAAGAACGCATATGAGCAATAGGGTTAAAGTGCTGCAATATAGCTGCTAAAAATAATAAAATAAAAATAATTAAATTAAATTAATTTTATAAGCAAATCACTATAGTAATAAAAAAAAAAAACCGAAAAAAAAAACCAACTGGAGTAAATAACTGATTTACATCCGTTTCTTAAAATATCTGGAAATGAAATAATGTAAAAAATTAGAAAATTGTTGAGATCTACAATCTGAAACATATATTGAGAGGAGAAAAAAAAATATAAATACATGAACACACAGATATTTATACATACATACATACACACACACACACATATACACAGGCATATAGTAGAGTGTCCAAGATTAGTTACAAATGAAATATACCTCAAAGACATAGAATCTTATGAATAGGGAAAAAAATAATGAAAAAAAAAACAAGCAAGCAATATCTATACAGAATGCTCTGTGAAAAGTAAAAGATGATCTTTTCCATATTCCAGATATATCAAGTTAAATGAACTATTCAAGAGCTAATTATAGCGCGGTAATTTAATTTATACAACTGTTATTATTATTTCCAAAATGTTACTTCAATATGGGGGCTAGCCACAAGATTTTTCAGTTGAAGTCACGGTTTGGATAGCCACAATTTCATGATGAACTGAAATAGATACATTGGGTATATGTTTACCTCTGAAGAGAACAGAAATTGATATCTGATAAAACTAGTGATTTTAATAACCCCTAATAATGACAATAAAGTGTATTTTTATTGAGTGGTGGAATATAATGAAACACGTAGAATACCGAAGTAACAATCTAAAAAACCACTATAAGGCCAGTTTTTACATAGTGATGTGAAACCTAGGTTTTGACACAGGAAAATCTCTCAACTCTCAGGCTCTGACAACTTGGGAGAGGAAAATCTAAAGAAAATAAGTTGCCAGTGTCATCTTGTGCCACACTGCCCTATTAGAAGCAGCGTTTCAGAACTAGTACCAAAAACATTTTAAGTAATAAATTCCCACAAATCAGCGTCTTTACAATCATCATTTTTAAATGACTTCTGGCTATTCATATAGCTAACATCGATATTGATCATGCTGTACATGAAACATCAAAACTAGCTGAGGGTATCTGACTATTTTGCCTTGCAATAATACCAATGTTTACATGAGCTTAAGTTTCATTTATTTTTATTCTTCAAATAATAAATACAACTTAACCTAGCGTAAACTACATTAGGTAAAATTCTATTTCATCATTTCATGTCAAGAAATAATGCAGAATACAATTCAGTTCTTAGTCACATGCAATTCTTAAAAATAGAAATTTTTCAATATTCTGGAATTTCTGGTATTTATAAATAATTAATGGATTTTGTTTATTACATTTCTTTCTTCTTGATAGTTTAATTTTGTTGTAACACCATTAGGTAAGTACTTACTATTTGAAATTTTTGTTTGTTTTTCAATTAGATGCATTTTACTTGTATTGAATCTCTAGCTTAGTAATTATTGTTAATTGAAGTAGATGTGATTAAAAACTGTTCCCTTTCAATAGTCCGCATGCAAAGTAACCTAAATGTTGTGTATAAGTTAGTTCATAGTGCTGTTTCTAATTATTAACAGGTAGAGGTGAATGCAGAAGGAATTAAACTGTGGCTTCTAAAATTGTGAGAAATCAGGAATCTGGAGTAACCTTTGAATCTACTTTCGGCGTTTCATGTACTGTGCGATCTTGGGATACCCAGATACATACATGACGCTTGTGAACTACTACTAATTTAAAAATTACATTACAAAAACAGTAAATTTTTAAAAACTTACAACTCCTTTGGTGAGTATGTTCTTCAGGAGGGGTAAGTGTTCTCCTCTAAGATCACGTAATGATTTAATTCCTCTTTTTTTGATGAGTGCTAATAAATATAAATCTTCGACTTGTTTTCCATTCCACTTCAAATCAGGGATCAAAACAAAACCAATTGATGGATCGCTATCTTCAAATACAATTCGTTCTGTCTCCTTTTTGTGATCAAGAACATTGTATACCCACTGAAATCATTTAATAAATTATTATATATATCTATAGTACAGCATACACCAAAAGATATGATTTGATAATAAATATAAAACATACAGTTAAATCAAACTGTTCTTGGTTAATATGTGGTAAAGTTATGCTTTCATAGAGTTCTTTGGTTTCCTCGATTAAGTAAATAGGTTTCTCTTCAAATTTATTAATGTGTTGTTCTGTAGCTGGATATATTATAGTTGTTTTTAATGCTAAAACCAAATCAAAACATTATAGGTGATATTTAGAAGATTTGATTAGAAAAATAGTCAAACTCACCATTCAAATTAGGATCAATCTGGCAAGCATAGCTACCATAAACATCATTAATGAATTCTTTCTTTAAAATACTTTTGTTAGTAGACAACTTTTTCACTATTTCTTCACTAAAAGGTGTCTTTTCCAACCAAATTACAGCCTTCCCTTCCCTGTCTGCAAACGAGCCTTCCACACAAATAGTCTTTCTTTGTCCAAAATCACATAAAACTCTTTTGAATATAAAATTCGATAGGTCAGGTATAATTTTATCCTTATCGTTGACTTCACTACTAGAATTATTTTCCTCAGTAACACCAGACATAACACTTCGAACTATTTTGCAATTCCTCTCAAAAATGTTACCGGGTAAACATCGGCAATGAGGTATTTTGTAAAATAGCCGTGTATTTGAAAAAATCATTATTAATTCAAAGCTGTAGTTGAAGTTGAATAACTGAATAAATAAAATTAAGAACTAGTGAAGCATCATTAATATATTTGACTTTTAAAATAAAGTGAGCATTTTAGAATTTACTCCTGGGAATTATTAAAAGTTATTCTATTTTTTTAAACATATAATTTTTAATTATAATTAACTAATAATTTTATCTCCATGACAACTTATCATTTCAACATTCAATAGTTCTGAAAGTAAAACTCCAAAGTTGAAATAGAGCTTTCGCATTTTTTGTATACAACCTTTCAAATTGAAGTCGTGGACAATCTTTCAAATTGGGGACAAATGAGCTATGTACATATAGGTTTTGTTTAAGTAATTTTTAACTTCAACAACTCAACTAAAAATAATCATAGCGCCGCCATCAGGGGATCGTTTGAAATTTAAGGAAGGTTGGAAATTTGTGGAAGCACAAGTCTAAGTTTCTTGCGAATTGTACGCTGATTAAAGTGAACACACGATTTTCAATTTTAAATGTCCAATCCGTCCCAAAAACGGTACGATATTTCTCATAAATTAATCGTCAAATAAGAATGAAGTTTGTCTAGTTCGAGAAGAGAAGTGGACATGCTGAAACTAACACATGCAGGTCTCAAAATGGGAATTTAAAAATACGTGAGTGAGTTAAAAGTTCTGGAATATCGCTGTATTAAAGAACAAAAAACAAGTATCACTAGAATCATGAATATTGAGTACGAATAGATACTATTTAAAGATGGTTTTAAATTCATATTAGTGAAGAATAATGATACTTCATCATCAATTTTCAGATTATGCACAGTATACCGGCTTGAACAGCCAATTGCTTATATGAATACTAGACAAAGCCATATGCTTAGAGTTTAATTAATCCATTAGAGTCATTCTTGGCTTTAAATTATAAAATAAAATTTTTGTTTAAAATATAACAAAATGATTTTGATAGTTGTAATGACAGATAGGAGAGAAATACAGTCGCGGTCATAGAAATTGCATCACTTATTTCTTTTGATTATTATGTTGATTTCATTGGATGATTTTGTTTTTCTTTACATTACAAGAAAACTTTAACAATGTTTCTCAGTTATGTTTCAACCAATGACAGAATTAAAAGCTGTAATTATCACCACTTTCAAAAAACTGTCCTCGTCAAAAAATATTAATATTGTGAAGTCACATGAAGTGAAGGAATTTTCACGGGAAATACTGACTAGAATAAAGTACCACCAATCAACTGTAGTCTTTTTTCCCTCCCTGCCTTGCCTTGTTGGCAACAAGGGTTGTAGCAGCAGTATGCCTATGCAATTACTGGCAGTATAGGTCTATTTAATTAAAATTTTGTCATTATTATTTATGAGGTGTGGACTTGTTTGTGTGCACAAGCCCACACTTTTCTTTTTCTCCATTCTTCCACCTGAAGCCGGTCCTCGAAGCAGCTGCAGCTTGTCTTAACTTCCTTCTCTCCTTCTCATATTAAAATGTGTAGGGCTTACCGCATCTTTCCACCCGTATACGAAATCCCTATAATGTGGGTAATTCTCTCTGCTCATTAGCTGGGGAACATGCTCTCTGTCAGTGTATATATCCCCGTCTCTCTCAGGAGCTTAGCTCTTAATGCCTCATAGGCAGTACATTCGACGACCACATGTTCGGTGATCTACGGAACGTTGCAGTTGGGGCATAGCGGATTAACATTCTTCCCATGTTTAACGAGCTTCGCTCGGCAGCTCCCATGTCCTGTGAGGAGTTGAGACACTCAGTAATCCGGGAGGACCCATCTTGCATCTAATCGTAACTTGACCATGGGGAAGTACTTTCTTAGGGTAGCTCCCTTCGGAGTTGCCATCCATCGCCGGTTCCAGTGATCAACTGTGTTCCCTCTGATAATTCTTTTCCATCTTCTTGGGTCTTCTTCAATTCTCATCTTTGGATGTTCCGGTAGATCCGCCGAATCTTCTATTTTCATTTGAAAGAGGTAATAGTCTTTTCGCAGGAGGAGATCGAGAGGTGTCCCCCCTGCCAGTACTTGCACTGCCTCATGAGATATTGTTCTATAGGCTCTATTAACCCGAAGTAAAGCCAATCTCTGAATCGATGCTAGCCTTCTGTCGGTGCGAGATGTTTAGGTTCCAGGCTGGGGACGCATATCTCAGAATACCCAAAACTACCCCTTTGTATATAGTCATTGTAGCTGGGTATCTGAGACCCCAGAAGGCGCCTCCGACACGACTGAGTCCATTTAGGGCCACTGTAACTCTAGTTCTCATACAGTCCAGGTGAGGAGTCACGTTGAACTTTCGACCAATTTTTATGCCAAGGTAGGTGAAAACCTCACTTGGACGTATCCTTTCTTTTTCTATATTCAACATAATATGATGTGCTCTGTCAGTAGTACCCCTCAAGAGAATTAACTGGGTCTTTGTTGCAGCCATCTTTAACTTCTTCCTCTCGCACCATCTTCCTACCAAACTGGCGCATCGTTCAGCTTCTGCTTTCAGGCTGGCTATGCTGTTTTAGGCCACCACGGTGGCCAAATTGTCAACATAGGTTGTGGCAGAGAACCGTTCCTCTTCGAGCTTCTCGAGCAATTCTTCAAAGACTAGCTTCCACAAGACAGATTCAGAACAGATCCCTGCGGGCAGCCCCTTTCGACATTGTCTCCTACTTCAAAGAATCCGCCCGTAATTTTCAATGCCTGGTCCTGGAGGTAGCTTCTCACTAGTTCATACAGGTTACTGGGAGTTTCATACTTCTGGAGTTGCTGAAGAACACTCGGCCACCATACGCTGTCAAATGCAGAGGATATGTCGAAAAGGAGAAGCATAACATTCCTCTAATCAACTGTAGTCATAGTTTAAAAAAAAAACACAAAAAAAAACTGTATTCATAGTTTTGATAAAAAATAAAGCACGATTTACTGAAAGAAAAGAAATGCAAAGAGGAAAAAACAAACGAACAATTTGACTTCTTAATGATGCGATTGTTTTTGAAATATAGTTTCGAAACTGGCAAAGAAATATAAGTAGATCTTGCGTATAGCAATCTAGTAAATAAACAAAAATTTCTGTGGGATGTAATTTCTATGACCGCGACTATAGTTCATTACAAATGTATTAAGAAATCTGAAATGCATTTAATACGGATAAATTGCTAAATCGTAATTTAGTAATTACAATTATTATTGTAAATTGCTAGACCATTACGCAACTTTTAAATCGATAGTATTTTCAAAAACTTCGCTTCCGTAGACGTAATACTGGACCATAATATCGAAAAAATTCGAAAAGTTTCAATAAACTAATAGGCAATTACGCAGTCTTAATAGGAATAGTATATTCGAAAATGACACCTCTGCAGCCTCAATAATTGATTAATTATTTCCATTGAATGAGGAATGTAGTTGCCCTCAATAATTCAGTTGTACATAGTAAGAAACACTAGCGATTTAAAGAGCATCTCTTGATTATCCACATGTATTTAATTTTATGGACTGCACGATCAGAAAGTTGATAGTTCCAAACCTATGCCTCCACTGAGATAATAGATGCTTATCAAGATGAAATTCAGAATGTTCAAATAAAACTGTATACGATATTGCAATCTAAAAATCGGTAGTATTTTCATTAAAAAAACTCATATAGCATAGTGCTATTTTAATTCAAGAATATTGAAAATATATATGATTTTCATATTACAAAATATAACCATTCTTAATTTAACAAGTTTTCCACTCTTCTTTAACCAGCTAATCAATGATCATTTCCTGTGTTTAACCAGAACTCCATTGGGAGGAGCTTTCCAGCTGAAGCTCCTCCCCTAAAATGGTAAAATATAACCATGTTTTACAGAAAAAAATATTAAAAACTATCTCTTGAAGTATTCTTGTTCGTGTAATTACATTTAATAGGATTTCAGAACCACTTAAATACCATTTCATATAGGTAGTTAATTCTTTTTTTTTATAATTAATTATTGTTATATGTAGATGAAAAGAAATCTTTCGGGCTAAACCCCCCCCCCCAAAAAAAAAAAAATTAAATCCTGAATCTGCTAGTGCCAACTACAACTTTTCATAAGGGGCCAATGTAGATTCTGGCTGTGGCAGATAATTATTTATCGTTTCGTCAGCTTTGAATTGATCCTAGGGCACACATAGTCTCCATAAGATTTGTATTGATAAAAATAAATGTCAGTAAAGCATGATCTAGACCCAGTCACCTCCCTGCACAACCACTGGCCTTAAACCAGTACTGATTCCAAGATTTCGCAGGCTGAAGTGGTACAGTTTTTTTTTTTATTTCATACTTTCGTATACATGTTTGTAAAATTATGTATTCTTATATTTAAGATAGACTTTTTAAACTACCATGGACCAGATTTAGTTGAGCTCAGAAAAATATAGGTATAAATTAGGCAACTGTTTTGAATAAATTTATTTAATTTTCGTTTTCAAATTGCATCAAAAACTAAAAGTGTGATTCTGGCACATACATAAGTTTATGTCATGTCAATCTCCTAGAAATTTAAATCACCAGTATTCATTTATAAACTTTAATTAGACTTGTTTCTGATATACAAATATTTTCTTATTTTCCTGAACTAACTTGCATTTTTAAAAATACAACTTTTTTTTCATTTCATTTTTTGTTTTATCATAGAATAAGCAGTTGATTTAATGAACAATAGATATGGGCAACTGTGCTGTACTTTAACATTTTCAAGTAACTTGATTAATTTGATTAAAATTTCAATTCTCATGCAAATAAAAACTGACAAGCTTTTGAATAGATATTCAACACACCATCAATAAAAATTATAAAACATTATATCTAACAAAAAATATTTTAAAAAAATCAATTTTAGATAAAATTTTCACATGTTAAGAGGTAAATGATAGCTGAACCATAATGTAATCTTTACAAAACTATAAATAAATTGTCCAAAAAAGAAACAAGGGATAAAATAAGAAAGTATCACAAATTTTTATTATTTACATAAATATAATAATTTTCCAAAACATAAATTAATTTTAAAAATTTGGTCTAAACAGGCATATGATCAACCTGGCCAGCTGATTCATGGCTCAATTGAATTAATAAATCAGAAAGTTTATATTTAAGAACTTCTACACCTTTTAATACTATGTTTTCAGGCCGTAAGGATCCACAACTTTCAACATTGAAGAAAAATTTGTTAGGCTTAGCCTCCCAATTAAATGGAGCTTCATCTACAAAAAATAATAATTATACAAATTATGAATGTGTACTACAAATTTTTTTACAAATAAAGTGAAATAAATAAGATATCAATAATTAAAAAAGAAAAAAAAAACAAATATAAATCTATGACAAATTAAGTAATGCATTATTTTCTACAATTTAATGTTGAGAAAAACAAGACAAATTATTGAAAAATGATGTATTATTTCCAAATAGTTATACATCAAAAACATATAAAAAAAAATATGACCAGTAGTCCTGGAGAGTAAGGTGGAGACAGATTTAAAAAAAAATTGGTTTCAAATAGGTAAAATATCATTAAGGAAACTTTTAATCTTATAAGTAACTTAATATATTATACTTACTCTATATTATATAATAATAATAAAAGACTTAGGTTTGATGCTGACACCACTAATCAATGACTATATAGTTCCCTCCAAAAGCCGCTGTCAAAATCCGGCCACAGCATATCAGCCTTAACACAATCCTTCCACCTTCGCTTGTATCTACTCTTCAGATCTTTACCACCAATTCTCAATTCTCGGTAGACTCATTATTCTTCGGTCCTAATACTCTACACAATACTTAATTTTCCAAAACCTTAAGAGGTCACTCATTCTTTAATGTAAGCAGCCAAGTTTCGCATCCATAAAGAACCATAGGTAGGATAATGGTTTTGTAAATTCTAAGTTTCAGAACAGGAGGCGCGAGCTAAGTAGTTTTGTCAGAGCAAAATAACACGCATTTCCTGCCTTCAACCGAACCTCAATCTCCTCTTCTAATAAGATTTTTCTAGCTATTGTAAATCCTAGTTACCTACCAGTTCAAATATATTCACTTCTATATCGATGTCACACACATTATTGTCATTTTTGCAACTAACCATATTTTTTGTTTTATCTGTATTTATTTTGGGCTCCAGTTCTTTACCAGTTTTCATTAACGTTGTATTTAGTTTTGTAGTTTCCTTGTCTTCACTTAACAGGATCAAATCATCAGCATAATCAAGCATATATATTGTTCTACCCAGATTTAAACCTTTTTCAGAACACCTAATCAAAACTTGCTCTATATTATTGTCGATTAATATAAAGTTGCAATGCACTGACATCACAAATTAATGATGCAAGTAAAACAATAAAACACTGCCATCCCTACAAGATGAGCCACAAAGGGACTGTAGAGCAACAAGAATACATATAACAATTTTTGCAGATTGACAAAATTAAGACAAATTATTTAAAACAAAAACCTATGAAAAATAAAGCAAGAAATATACTACTAAATAAAGATATTCCAAACTTACATTGATCCTCGTCAAGTTCAGTGTATTCACTCTTGGGCCACTCGTCAGGTTTTGGAAATAGCGTATGTCTCATTGAGTTATCAGGATCATATTCAAAGCAAACACCAGCGGTAGGATTCCACTTGGCATGTTCCTTTCCAAAACCTTTCTTTGCAAATGCCCTTAATTTCAGTTCTTGTCCTTTTCTCAACTTAACAATCAAAATATCTGAAAAAAAAAAATGAAAACAATTAATAAATACTAGAAATATCACAAATAAAATAAATGTTATTTTCAAAAAATATAAAATTATCATACCATCGGATTCACCGTATTCATTCGCATCAGCATCTCTGTTTTTTGATGTTGCAGGGACAACACAAGGATCAGCTGTCTTTAAATCTGCAGTTGTAACATGTCTTGTTTGATCATCGATACATTTGACGTCTAAAGTAAATTCAACGCTGCATGATGGGCAAAAGTCAGTGCAATTGCAATCCTGAAAAAAATTTAGTCACCTTTAATATTTACAATTAAATTATAATAAGGAAAAATAATGCAGAAACAAATGAATCACTTTTAGACGCTTACGTAATTTAATACATCACCGTCCACGACTACATAATTATAAAAACTCCATCTCCATTCTACTCTGTCCTGATTATTAAGAATGCAGTATTTTGCACATACTTGCATTCAGAAAAAAGTACTGTTTCTGTGAATGTACTTTACACATATAGTAAAGTAAAGATTGTAATTGTATTTATGTTGAATAGAAGGCCTCAAAAAAGATTCAATTATAAAATAATAATTCATTGATAACAATAACAAAAAAATCTAAGATTTAGTTGTTGATCTTAATCGAAAATACTTGAAAACCTAAATTATTACATTTGTCCCCCAAACAAACAATAGTAATGCCAAGTTTGATTAAAGGCGGACCAACATAACATCTATCAAATTATTCAATGAATCCTGAAACTAGCTAAGTGCATACAAATACGTACAGACAACGGATTTCCAAACCTTCCAGTTAATAAATATGTATAACTGCATGACCGCACTTTTCCATAACATTTACAGAACATCAAAATAAACACAATTTGTACGTTTCTGGCCGACAATCATTACAACACACAGTAGTTTTTCATTTGAATTAATAGCCAGTATAGGACGATTTCAGAGAACAGTCTATGGAACGATAAAAATCAAGAGCAATAAGAGGACTACAGAAGCAGACGAAAAAAAAAAAAAGAAGGAATTTCATTGATAAAATAATGATTATATTAAAGAAACAAATGAAAAGTTAATACAATACCTATTGCAAACTTTATTACAAAGGATGACCCTCCCCCCCCCAATTACCTTGGAATCAACTTAAACCCTAGATTAACATGGAAGAGCCATATCGATAAGTGTGTCATGAAGGCAGCCAAAAGAACAAATTTAATGAAGATGTTATCTGGTTCAAATTGGGAAGCAGATCAAAGACCCTAAAGTCTCTTTATATAGATCATATCAGGCACACATTGGAGTACGAAATAACCAGCTGGGGAGTTGCAGCAAACTCAAATCTTCAATAAGTCTCTGTTGTCCAAAATCAGGATCTAAGGATAATTACTAAAAATCTACTCAGATAAATAAAATTAAGTCCATTACAAGCCTTCTCAAACTGGAAGATAGAAGAGATATTAAGATGCTGAACTTGAACTCAAAAGCAATATGTATTCCCAACCATTCTCTGAAGAATCATGTAGTTCAAAGGATTGCATCAAAAGTCAAAGCTTCCAACACAAAACTCATTCAATAAAAGCTGAACTTCAGTTAGAAGAATTCAATCCAGAATGAAGGCTACAGATGATCATGACCTTAGGAAAATCCTTTCAAACCATCCTTATTTTCATCGATTCCGGGTATTAAACAGAAGAGTAATCAAAATAAATTCGAAATCAGAGCTTGAACAATTGAATATTTAAACTCCACCTACTAAAAAATACTTATAGACCAGAACTTATATGGATGGCTTAGGAGAAAATGCTATTAGGAATGGAGGCACAGGTATCCGCATAGAAAACGACCACACACTTGAGAAATAGATGGCCATGGGGTCCAATTCAACAAACTATTGAGTGAGCCGAGCAAGAATCCAGAGGTGGCCTGAATTCTAATAGAGCTAGAGAGATCTCGGAAATCAGAAATTATTTTTCTAACCGATGCAGCTTCGGTTCTTTTAAGCCTAAAGTCAAAGTGGAAAGCAGAGCTGTCATTACTTGCTACTGAATTGGAACGCCTAGCAACTAGCTATGAAAAAGTCACCTTACAGTGGATCTCTGGGCATTGTGGAATAACTGAAAATGAATCAGCAGATAAACTTGGAAAAAGTAATAGACATGACACTACATGGTGTTACCTAATCTTTCACTATATTTATCGGATGAATGTTATTCTGAATTTTAGTACAGGTAAAGATTAATAAGGAAGAATTAAACTAAGATAAGCATTGCATTCAAGCAATTAAAATTTATTATTTATTTTACTTTATGTGCAGATATATTCGAAAATACTTTAACAAAACAATTTAATATAATATATACTTTTTTCTTTATTTAAAGGTATGAGGCAGTTAGATAAACTATAAGTTCTCTGAAGCATCAAATTAACTGTGGGAAATCTGATAAAATCTTCACATAAAATGGATGGACGCACATAAATAAATCATAAAATCATAGGATATGTAACTACATATAATAATATTTGAATTAAAATTTCAATAATGGGAAGATAGGGCAAGGTAAATTACTTGTATATCTACTTCTAGGCCTTAACTTAGCCATTATGACCAGATTAACAATAATAGTTAATATAATTCTAATGTCATACATTAATTATAATATAAGATACTTGCACCACAAACAAAATAAAATGTTCCTTTAATATTTACTTAATTATAAACATAATATGTATATATGTACAATTAATGCAAAACTCTTTTACCCTGGAATAGATCAACTTTTCTATTGCAGTATCAGAAGTTAAGGGGATAAGTCCAATTCTTGAAGCTATGAATTCATCACTTAAAACTGTTGAATTGGCAGACAGTTGCACCCAATCAATGGCTAAAGTCGGCGTTTCAGCAATGAAAACCCTCCGGAGACTATTTGCCACGCTGTAAATCATTTAATTAATTCTCAATAGTTCACAAAACTAATGTTGTAGCTAAATGCATCAGGTTACATACCTCAATTCCGTATCTTCTATCTGGAATTTAACATTGTCGTCAGTTAAATCTGAAACATGAACCGAAGGCTGATTGGCATACGGCATTTTAACTGTTTACAAAACAAAAATATAACCTAATTAAACTTTTCGAGTAGGTTAAACTTTGTAGCTCTGGAAGAGCATTCAAGTTGAACACCAGTAGAAATTACCTTCCCAAGTAGATGTGTTAGTTATTTCCAGCCAATAAGATACTAGCGCGGGCAGACGTCACCGTGGAGAAACTTTTAAAAGTCCTAATTATTTGTGCGATGTTTATACACTGACAGGCAAACAATTCCACCCACTTGATTTTTCCATGTATTCATTTAAAAATATTTCTGTAAAGTTGTATTTGTATATAATACATGGTATTTGTAGATAATACTTAGTATTTATGGAATTTATAATCTTTTTTACTTTTAGTTATTTGGCAATAATAACTTCCAATTGGTTACAATCAACAAACTTGTTAACATGTAACGTTGATAATAGAAAAATACTCAATTGTTACCAACTGGAAGTTATTATTGCCAAATAACTAAAAATGAATAAACAACTTCCCAGAAAAAAGAAAAAGAATCTTTTTTACCTTCAATAATCAAAATGTGATTGGGTAAGAAAGATCAGAGAAAAAAAAATCGGAAAACGAACCATTATTATTCTAAAAGAAATTAATTACATCATCGTTTAGTTGCGCGTGTTTCCTCCTCTTGCCTTCACTACTTCTTGAAGACGCCCCGGCATACTTTCCACCAGTCGGGAAATGCCCCTTTGCTAAAGTATAATCCATTTCTCCCGAAGAGCCTTTTCAAGGTCCTGCAGTGAATCAGGAAGTGTTGCACGCACTCTTATTCGTCTTCCGAGGTTATCCCATAAATCCTCAATGGGGTTCAAATCTGGAGAACGTGCTGGCCAGGCTAAAACTTCAATATTGTTCTGTTGAAGGAACGTCTGCACTATGCGGGCGACATGTGGGCGTGCATTATCGTGCATTAGAATAGAACGATCGTCGATTTCGTTGAGGATAGGCAACACATGAGGTTCCAAAATCTCATCTACATAGCCAATGGCCGTCAAAGACCCTCCACGAACAACAACCAATTCTGTGCGGCGCTCCATTGAAATCCCAGCCCACACCATTAAGGAACCACGTTGGAAAGGCTGGCTCTGGGAAAAATTACAGGCTGCATATCTTTCGTTTCTTCTTCTCCACACCCTTTCACGAACGTCTGGAGGTCGAAGAGCGAATCTTGACTCATCTGTAAAAAGTACAGCACTCCATTCGTCCATAGTCCAATGGCTGTGTTCTCGAGCAAAAGCCAGCCGTGTTACTCTGTGAGTTCTGGTCCTCTTACTGGACGAACAGCCATTAATCCATACTCATTTAATCTTCTCCGAGCGGTACGTTCAGAAATTTGCACACCTCGAACTTCTTCGAGCTGATGAATCGCTTGAACAACGGTAAGGTGCCGTTATCGTAAAATTCTCAAAGTAAAAAACCGGTCATCCCGTGCTTCTGTTACCCCAGACTATCCAGAACCGGGCCTTCTATTGTAAGAACCAGTTTCCCGGAAACGCCTAACGGTGTCTCGTAAAGTTTCATATGGAACTCCGATGGCATTAGCTGCATATATGATGGAACGTCCATCATCAATAAGTGCCTCACCTCGCGCAACATCCTCAGCACTAAGAGGCATTTTCAAACTTAATATTGAAAAAATTAAAAGCAGGAGGCTAATAAATGTGCTGCAAGAAACGGCACTGAACTAATGATACTGAATAAACATTTTGATTCCATAGAAAGTAAACATTGGAATCTAGAATCATTTCACTGAATTAAGGATTAAGGGTTATTGTCCTCTATATTAACATTCCTAATTGAAGACAAACAAAAAGATTGCCTATTTATTCATTAAAAACAATAGACCAATCCAAAGCAGAAATATTTTTAGATGAAAACATGAAAAAATCAAGTGGGTGGAATTTTTTGCCTGTCACTGTATTTACATTTGTCACAATTTACTTTTTTTTTTCATTAGGTTATTTTTATCTTATGTAGTATTGTAATTTTTTTATGTATAGTTATTTACTGCAAAAATACATTTTAAGATGTATCTTGATACAATTTGGGGAATTGTATCAAATTGACAGGTGTGAAGAGGACTTTCAATAATATTGAACTTGATAAGAGTAGTGAGGAGGAAAATAATGAAAGACTGGCAGCATTTCTACGACTGGGAATGTGCCTCGAAGGGTAAGGACCATCATGCAGTTCAACAGAAGATAGCACTGGTTCTATAGTTTGCGACTCTTAAATCTCACCTCGACCCCTCCAGCTTAGTAAAGTTGGACACGCATAGGATAAATCATGGTAGAACAAATAAATATCTACATCTAATGGTTATAGCTAAGAGCGGTCACGGTCCAACATGCCAATGCTTGGAGGGTCCAAGACACATTGCCTTCAAGTGCAAAAGATTCGAGAAGCGAAGAAGAATTAGTTTAGGATCACAAACTATGGATGATGGAGCTACCATTCTTCGGTCGATGAACAAAGATAACGCCCGTGATTTGATAAAGTTTTTGAATGACATAAAAGCAGTTATATAATAAAAGTCCCCTCTTATTTTCATTTAATTGTTATGAAACTACTCTCACCTCACTTTTTAACTATTAGTCTTTCTAGTTTAAGTTCTTTATAAGTTACATTCAGTGATCATCTATCAAGAAATATTCAATAAATTTCCAGTGTAATTTCATCTTACAATGACAATTGCAGTATTTTATTCGCAAAATAGGACTTGTTTTTACAAGTCTTAAAGCCAAAAAGATGGGAAAAAAATATTGACCTTGTATGGGGTCCTTCCTTTAAGGCAAAGCTCTTCAGAATAATAAAATCCATAAATTTAATCTAGATACACGGCGAGAGAACTGTGTCGTTGTTAAAAGACAGAGAATTTGAACTCGTAATCTTAGGTTTATCAGGTTGCCGGGCAACGCGTATTATGCATACGCGTTAGGCCGCTTGGTCACCCCGCTCCATGACTCTATTATATTATATATTTAACTGGGCCATGGGGTGAGGGTGGGAGATTAATGCCAGAGTTAAAATCACCTTCTCACCGGCACCGAGATGCGAACTCGTAATTATTTTTATCAAATTATCTTATATATCAGGTTGTTGGTTAATTGGCCCATCCACCCCGCCTCTGCCAACTACCCACTTACCAATTACCAACTGCTCAAATAGTTCTTTAGTTAATTAACTACTGTATAGATCTGCTCCTTTCTGAGCTTGAGCAGTTATTGTAGTCTCATGACCTTGAACCAGTACCATTGTCACAGCCCTGGAGGCAGGGTTTAAAAAGAGTACTCATTGCAGGCGGAGGTTAGAATGTGAAATATGAAAGTGTATATGTTATTTTAAGTAAAATGAACCTCCTCTGCCATTCCAGAGCCGCTGCTTTAAAAAATGGTAGCCGATTTTAAGAATTTCAGGACACTAATCTGAAGATCGAAACGGGAAAAATATTACATAATATGTGGAAAAAGATTTTATTTTTTTAAAATGTATATATATGAGTTCAATCATGTAAAAAAACAAAATTACTGACACAGAGCTAGGGAAAACAAAAAAAGGCAGATTTTAAAGTTTGTTTTTCATCTGTAACTCCTGAACGGTGTATCGAAGCCAAAAATTTGCTCTTCAACAAATTAAAGAGCGTTAAACTCTGCGTGTAATGATTACCTAAACATTAAATTTTGGATGAGTGGTATGGTCGAAAAGCAGTCAATGAACTCTGATGTTTAACAATTTGTCAAAAAAACGTTACGAATATACTACAAATGACTCTGTAGATTGGAAATGTGTCCTCTAAAAGAAAGTTATAGTGCATCAAATTCTGCTTTTACTGAGTAACATTTTTAATGTAGGTCAATTACGCTTCTGGAATCGGACTTTTGTCACTTTTTCATGAAAGTCGATTTCTTTTGGCATGTTATTCTTCAAATTCTAGTACTGTTGAAAGGCGGAAAAGAGACCTATACTACATATAGCAAACTCTAAACAAGAATTACTAAGTAGAATAAATTCCTAAGATGCAGAGAGAGGCATGTTTCACAAAACACTCCTGGGAATCCTTGAAATGGGTCGTCCCTGGGGTATGTCGCTTCGTAGAAGAAATTTGCTGTTTCTTTTAATATGGTAGCGTGGACATCTTCATGTCTCCACGGTTTGCAGAGGAGACATCATGCCTATTTGCACCCTTTACGGAGTATCCTAAGGATTCTTTGAAAATTCCTCGACGATAAAATCCCGATTTTCGATTTCGTGAGCGAACCTCATTTCGGTGTAATCTAGCTTAGGACTTATCTTCTTCTTTTCGTAGTCCAACAGGCGCATAAAGCAGCCGCTGGCCTTTTTAACTTTTGGTTTTCACTGTTTTTTATCTCTTACATGGACTTCATCTTCCACTGCCGTATATCTTGGAATACACTATCTCTCCAGCGACCTTTAGGTCTCCCTCTACTTCTTTTTCACTTTGGTGAACACCATGGGACAGGTAGAATTCGTCTTCGGGCGCCATCAGGATGGCATTGGGGATTCTGGATACCTTGTAATCTAGGTCGTCAGTATTTTCTGAGCCCACAACTTTCCAGTCTTCATCGATCATTTTCTACTTCACCATGCACAGGAAGAGATTCCATTCACTTCTTCTGGTTAGATAAATCTAATCATTGCCATAAAACATCCTGGGACATTTTCCAGACTAAATACAATAAATAGCATTGTGATCAGAACTCATCTCAACCTGAATTCTTTAAGTTGTTATCACTCTATGTCTTGACCAAATCACAATCACTCTCAACTAAGTTTATTAATTAGCAGTAAAACTTTTAATTTTAAGGGAAGGTAGAACAGCCTGTGACTTATGGGAGTAAAATTTGGTATTATTATCAGACTTGTTTAATCAAATTGAAATAGGTTCTAAGGGGATTGTAATACAAACTTTTGTTTTTCATTCCATGCAGTCCCTCATCCAGCCAATGTATTTGTTAACTGTCATCAAAATCCTAGTGTGTTAAGAGATAAAATATTTCAGTAGGCAATACACATGTCATGATAATAGTTTAGGAATCATCAGACTTTGTCTGATATAGGTTCTATAAAAATAGTGTTTTGAGAAGATTATCCTCCCTATACCATCAGGTACAGGGGCAATTTTTTTTCTGTATAATTGTAAGCATAAAAAAATATAATAAAACAAAAAAATGGTTTAAATTAGAACTACATGTATTAGAAATAGCAATTACAAACAAATTGTATGGTAAGTGCCAAGAGTAGAAAAATAAATTTCCATTTGATTATGAAAAAAAGATAATAGCACACATTTCATTCAATAATTTAATTATAGAATTACCTACATATTCCTTCTCGATGTCATTCAGAGGTGGAGATTTTTTTTTTTTTAATTTCAGTACTTTTGATATCAACATTATGATATATAATAAAAAATAATTTAATCAGTGTAACCTTAAAGAGTATAATAACCAGGTGAGCAAATTATACTCCAAGTTATGGTGGATTATGATTTTTTGGGCAACAAATGGATAATTTTAAACAGTTGAAGTTACTAAGATATAATTTAACACTGAGCTTGATATACATTTATTTTCCTATTAACGTTGATAATTAAATATTATGATAGAAAGGTCAACAGATAAAACAAATAGAATTTTATTTAATAACATTATATTTACAACAAAATAATTCAGTCTAACAATAAAATAAAGTATACAAATATTTACAGTTCCAAGCATTCACCACAATATTGTTAGGAATGTGATGAACAAAAAAAAAGGAAAAAAAAATATATGTACACATACCACAAAATACTTATTCAATTTTATAAATATCCCAAAATTCATTTTTTTAAAAATCTGGTTAATTATATTAATGGTAACATAATAATAAACTTAACAAGAAAGAATGATTTTCCAAACTTAATTTATTCTCACTTAGTCAATTAGTAGTTAATCAAAATAGAAAATCTATAGGGCAATTAACAAGAAAGATTGTATATACAGAAATTTAAATGAATAGGTAAATATAATCCATCAGTCTTGTGAAACGTTAGTAACACTAGTTCTTTCTGAACTCTCAGTGCTTCCACTAGAACTTGAATCACAGCTGTTGTCCTCACTCGTATCACTAGTACTCGATGATACCGGGCTGCCACCATTTTCAACCACACTAGTCGGTTCCTGGGTAAGCGATGGCACATTTTCTTCTATTTCCATTCTTTCTTCCGTATTAGCAACGTCACCAGTTTCCATTTCTTCATATTCTTCCTCTTCTTCACCGATTCCTTCTTCTTCATCATCTAACTCCACTTCCTCTTCACCTGTTTTAAGGTTTATGTACACACGACCTTTTATACTTTCAAAATCATCAGGGTACTCGATTAGTGGTACAAATCTATCTTTTTTATCCAGACCCTGATCTCTGAAAATTAACCTCTTATCAGTATTATGGTTAGAATCTAAAGGTTCAGACCAGAGCTCTAAGCGTTCACATTTCATGTAAGCATCAGGTTTAACAAACTTAATGGTCGAAAAATGTATTTTCAAATGCTCCCTTAGGAAATGCAATTGGGGAACATTATAATCACAGAATTTGCATACATACGGACCATGCTTATTATTCGAATGACATTTAATATGACTATTAACACCATCCTTCCTGTTATTGGCGTAAGGACAGTGGGGGCAACGACTAATAACATCACCATTAATGTTATCTCTGGTAACTGTGTTGGTAATATTTCTATTTTGCAGTAACATCATTGTCTGCTGATCAGCTACAGACATTTTCAAGCTTTTCCCACATCTTTCTGTGGAAGAGATTTCATTAGTTTCATCTATCTCTCGATCCTCGACGACTGGATCACCTCCTGCGATACTTTTTTCTTTCTTTAAGCTTTCACTAAGACTATGCTTTTTCAAATGCTGACTATAATTAGCGAAATATTTAACAGAATAATCACATTTCTCACAGTTGTACCGCTGTTGAGATCCATGGAGAGAAAGATGAATCTTATACTGTTCTCTTTTTTCGAATGCAGATGGACATTTATGACACTTGTAACGTTTTTCTCGTAATCGTCCATTTTTTAAATATGCCGGATAAGTAAAATCTGGGTTTCCAAATATTAGTGAGCCAAATTCCGGATCTTCCTGAGTTGGTGCAGGTATAGGCTTCAATGGAGAGCCTTTCGTTACTTCCGTTCTTTGTTTGGAAGGTTCAGAATCTGATGAAGAAACTTCCCCTGACTTTTGATTCAACTTGACACATTCACCGTTGGCATGAACAGCCTCATGCCTCATTAGGTTTCCGTACGTCTTCACGGCGTAGTCACAGTACCTACACTTGTGCTGACCCGGGCCTCCGTGGAGGCTTTTATGATAATCTAAAGCTAACTGTTTGTAGAATTCTGCAGGACACTTGTCACAAGAAAGTGGTTTTGATTTACATTCATCGGAGTCTTTTTTTTTGTTGTCCTCTTCTTCATTTTTGACAACCACCCATATTGATTCCGATTTCCAATTCCATACTGATTCCGCAGGATCTCCAAGGACAACAGCAACTTTAGGTTTAGGATAACTTCTGTCCATAGAATACATACTGCAAAGCACGGTTGTGCGCTCTTGGTACTCGTCACTATGCACCTTGAGATGAGCCAAGAGGTGCTGCTTTTGCCTGGCAGTATAGCTACAAGATTCACATTTAAAAGGCAAGTTGAGGTCATGGAATCTCAAATGAATTACAACTTCTTTTACAAATAAGAACCTAGCAGGACATATTGGGCAGAAATGTAACACGAGGCCATCCTTTGATTCATTGTCGCTACTAGCAACAGATTCATCCGCCTGAGACTCCTTGGAAGGTTCTTCTCCTCCAATTTTCTGTTTCAAACTTGCTTCATAATCACTAACTTTCATTTTCATTTCTTCGATCTGTTCTTCATCAGATTTTTTGTGATCGACAACACCACAAACTTGGCCAAAGAAAGCCTGATGAACTTTCATGTGAGAAGAAAGAACACCAGCATTGTTACAAATGTAATTGCAATCAGGGCAATGATGTTGGATAGATATTCCATTGCTCCCTTGGCCAGCGTTAGAATTGGATTGGTTTCTTGATGCATGCATCTTCTCATGTTCTTGAATATTCGATTTTCTCATATTTACATGCGGACAAAATCTGCACTTGAACATTTTGGAAATTCCCATAGGTTTGGAAACCCAAACCATTGGTATGTCAGGAAATCCAGACGTATCAATGCCACTAATGTCTGCAGCTATCACAGTTTCAGAATTTTTAGTACTGACAGAATCACCTTCCGGCAAGGTGGTCCTTCGATGCAATCTGACATGCAAAGAAAGAATAATATTTGTATGTGTACTGTAATTGCATTTGAAGCATTTATGAGGTAAATTCTTGAAGTGCCACTGCCTGTGGTAGACTAACTGCCTGTGGGTGGTGCCTACATACGGACACTGAAGACAAGCGAACACTACGTTCTTTGACTGAAACAAAAAGAAAACAAAATATTAGCAACACGCAACAGTAATGAATAAATTATTACAAATATTTCATATTTTAAATTACACCGGTCTTATTATTTTTTTTTTTGTATAAAATTAGTATTGATACATGCTATAAATGATCATTATGTGGAGGAATGGCTTTGTATAAACTATAGCAACAGTTATCACATCACTGCACTGAGGCCATACTATATCTGATAAGTTAGGTTTCCTTTTTTATGGGGTATTGGATTAAAATTTTTTAAGTTAAAACAAATATAGTACTGATCTATGTAAATGACAAGAGGAATGGAGAAATATAATGCAAACAATTAAAAATACTGTAGTAGACAGCCCCCTGTATTTACTCCTTTATGTGACATTGTGTGAGAGAATGAGGAGGAATACATAGGAATGTGAGGTTGCAGGATGAATTGTACTCAATTGTACAGTGGACAAATTATTCATTGAAAAGTCTCATATCGATAAATAATCGATGAAGAAGGAAGAAGGTGGGGGGTACCGAAAGGACCCAGAAGGTAGAAAAAGCTGGAGGGAAGAGAAGGCATTCTAGGCCGAGACAGATAGGAAGGATATTGTCAGAAGAGAGGAGGACAGACTTGAGGCGGAATGACATACCTGGGAAGAGAGTCTACTACAAGATTTAGAAGATCAGGTCTATAGTTATAACACTTTAATAGAGTCAATTTATTACAGTTGTAGAAATAAATTATTTTGTTATACTGGAGTGAAAAGTCATTTATTTATTTAAAGTTGTCCTATATGCCTCACGATCGAAGAATAACAAACCAGGTGAGTCAATTCATTCAAAGTATATTTACTCAGTCCCACATTTCAGATATATATGTTCTTATTGTTTCTTCTCCTCACTCAATGTCACAAAGGTATTAGATTCCTAACAACAGTTAAACACCGTCAAAAAGTCTATATGCAGGGCGGGGGATTTGTTTTAATAATCACGAGCGTAAATAACCTAGTTCCCCGATATATAAAAGAGGAAGGCTATTCGCCTATTCCCGCCAAAACAAATTATTAACATTTAACTTTATTTGGTTATTTACAATACAATGAATGTAGTTTAGTTTTTTTCTCTTAAAACCAACCAAATTTCAAAAAATATCGTATTTCATCACAACTAAGAATATTATAATTCCTGATATTATAGATAGCACTTAAAAAGACATCATCTTCCAATTTTTTTTTAAAAAGAAATTATGAGGTTGTTAATTAAAAAAATTTTAAGAGCGAGGTTTTCGTAATTTTTGAGCCAGTTGAATAAGAATCTGTAGATGGCTTCAGGATAAAAATTTAACATGATAAGCTTTACTTTAAGTTAATAAAAATAAATGAATTGAATCAACATATGCAACATTTTTATTATTCATTTAGAATTCACAAAAAACTGGTGTATAGTAATTAAGTAATTATAATTAATATATTTTTGTATTGGTAGTAATGATATTTTCATCATTTTAGTCAATGTAGAGATAAAAAATTATAAAGAGAAAAACTTTAATATAAAAAATAATTTGAAAAAGGAAAATGGCACTTATTTTAACTGATGGATTTATCATTGAGACCACTCCCAGCAAAAAATTTAGAAAATGAAGGTTTAATTGAATTTTACTTTGAAATTTGATAACTCAAAATATAATCATGTGTCTCCAAAGAGGAATTATTAGCTGAGAAAGATAATTTAAACTCTGAATATTGTTTTACTTAACATATTAATTAATTTTATCATGTATTTATTACCGAATCATCAGTTGTGTCTAAATTTTCATGTAAATCCAGATGTTCCATTAATTGCCTGAAACAACACAAAATATAAATTACTACTGATAAACATTTCAGAAATAACAGATATTTATATAAAAAAAAATTAAGATAATTGAAAATTTTAATTATCAAAATAAGATATCCAACTGATTTACTTTCTCACAATCATCCCCAGTTCTCATTTCAATAAAATAACAATAAATTAGTAATAAAACCAAATTTAAGTCTAAATTATATACTAATCTAATTAAATTATTACTAATCACTTTTTAAAAAGCCTTCTCAAGTATAATAAAAAGAATAAGATTAATTTTGTTTATGCCTGTGCCATAATTTCAAGAAATTAATAAATCAATAAAATAATTCAGTTTTAGATTTTTTAATGGTTGTAGATTGTAGTTGGTAGTTGCAGAAACTGCGAGAAAAGCAAATAAAAATAAACATTTTTTACTTTATTTTGTGTTGACATTTCAGGTCTTCATCAGGGCTATGGAGGATAATGCATGAGTATATCTAATGTATTTATTGATAATTTCATAAACGAGGTGACTCCAAACTTTTTGGTCCACGGGCCGCATTGCGACCTCCACCCAAGTCCTGTTGGCCAGGGCTTGTGATGAAAAAACAAAACTTGTTCTATAATCAGCTGTTTAAGAGAAAAAAACCCATGCAATAAATGTTTTATTATTTTACCACGTAATCAAGGAAATTTCTGCGGACTGGATTGAAGGTCCTTGCGGGCCAAATCTATCCCACAAGCCGTACATTGGAGACCCATTCCATAAACCATATTTCTAGAGACTAGATGTTCGTGCAGTAAAAACTCAAAAAGTTTAAAATTGCATAAATAAAATGCATAAATCATAGTTTTTGTTTAATTTATAACTAGTTGGCCCGTGCGAAACATTCGCAGAAAATTTTGTTTAGTGAAGAAATAGTAAAACAATATGGAAATAGTTCCATAGTAGAAACATAGTAATTCCTACATAGTATTATGTAAGGAAGGAATTAATATTTTTCTTTAGTCAATTACAATATTCCATTAAACATAATAGACCAAAATATGTATACAAATTGCTTTGCTAAGACCTATTTTTAAACGCTGACTGGAAAGATAATAAAAGTAATAAAGACAAAATAATGCCCTGATCATAGGATATTCTAAATTATTAAAAATAAATAAAATGTAAGAACAACCAAATGTCTTTAAGAAATAATAAGTTAATATAAAAGCCAGGAAAAAAAATGTAGTAGACTATTCTACTCCTAAATGCAATATCTTTAAACAGGAAGACATCAACACAGCCAACCATCAACCCACAATTAAAAATTGAAATACTCTTTATAAAATTGTAGCCTATCTTTATATAACTAATTCTTCATAAAATCCAATGATTGAGGATTCATTTTGAAGGTTATCTTCTCTTTTAGAAATGAGTAAGGAAAAAAGTTCTGAAGAAATCGAAACTTTATTTTCGTATTACTCAAAAAGTATACAATTTATGGTTGACCAGTTGGCTAGTGCGAATAATTCGCATAGTATCATATAGGTTAGTGGACAGAGGACAAAATAATATGGTTATTAGTTAATACAATGTATTATGAGATGGAGAAATTTATTTTATTTTTTTGCGGTTGATTTACATTTATAGTCCATTCACAGTAAAAAACCAAAACATGTGTACAAATTACTATAGACTGTATCTTTGCTAATAATGGCCCGATTGGCAGAAGAGAATTTAACAAACATTTAAACAATCATGGTTGCAATCCGCCATAAATTGCACACTTTTTGAGCCAAGCGTAAAAAAAGTTTATTTTTCTTCTTTTACTTTGAAATTTTGGGGGATGTGACTATTTTTCCACCTGAAGGAGAAGGAAATCTTCAAGATTATGGCTCAATCATTGGGCATCATACATATTACCATATATATTTTAACCATTAAACTCCAAATTTTAAACATCTGCATTAAAATACAAGAAATCTTTACTTATTTAAAAATTTGAGAAACGATTCATAATATTCATTGTCTTAACCACACTGGGTGTACATCCTCCTTATGTGAAGCACTAAAGAAGGCCTGAAACTTAGGTTGTAACCTCAGCACCGCATAAAATATTTTTTATTTATTTGTGTTTCTCACTGTTACTGCAACTCCCAACTAACTTTCCAACTATATTATCTACAATCAAACTATTTCTTCATCATTATTATTATTTATATTATTACTATAGTTTAAATACTCACTGTGTATTTTCCACATAGTAAGGACAAAACTGGCATTTCACAGTACTACCCTGAATAACAAAATGCCTTTCAGCGTGGTCCTCTAATTTGGCCAAAGAATCACAGAAATAAGGACATGTTTCACACATGAAATCAGGACCTAAAACGAAAAAGAACCCATAAATATCATAATTAGATAAAATATAAGTATTATCACAATAAGTAGAAAAACTTGGTTGGGGGTGCAGTTAAAATAAAAATAACACTAAAAATGTTTTTGTAAGATTAATTTTTTTTAAGTTAAAAAAATCACTGCACTCTTAAATATTTTATCCGTCCGCGACTTTTCTCCGAGACTACTGGACCAATTGTTTTGAGATTAGGTATCAATGTTGAAGGGCACCCGACGATAATCCTCAGAACTAAACATCAATTTGGTCAAACTTAAGCTGATATCTAAACTCAATTGTACCTTATCTTCAAGATAAATTCATAAGAACAGTTGTGTACGATTAATTTGCAAGTGTGCAATGGTTACATTATGTATAGTAGTAATAAAAGTTATCAAGTTTTGTCACAGAAAAAAAAAAAGTTTTTAGAACATCTTCCTTTAGCTATGAATATAATATTAAAGCATGAATGCAATTAAATACTGATAATGATTCAATACTTACAATCAACGTTCTCTTCGTTTTCATACAAGCTAGGCTGACGGCTAGCATCATCCTCGCTTTCTTCTTTATTGTTGGCATTGGGACTCGACTAAAATAAAATAAAATAATATGAAAGATCTTCAAAGCGAAGTATTTTCAGTTATTAAAAAAATTGTAAAAATTTTAAAAAATATATACCAATTCATTAGAAAAGCCGTGAAATTCATCCTGTTTAGTGGGCGTTTTGTTTTCATGGATGTTCCGATAATGTTCCTTAACATGAGCAAGAACAACCCCTCGATCACTATTCCTGCACATAAAAATAAGAACATCATAGTAAGGTAGAAGAGAATGATAAGACATATTAAAAAAAATCTTCCTGTTTTTTCTTCCTTTATATTGAGGGATAGGAAACTTCTTCATCATGAACTAAAGAATCTTTAATGAAAATCCCTTTTGAGGTTGGGGGCGATTCATTAAAGGGTGGTTCTTAAAAGATAAGTGGATTGGAAAAACTTTATAAAAAAATGTTAAAAGTATCCGTCTCATTCATCATACTTTAATGAGAATTATAGCAACAAATAGATGGACAATGGCTCTCTAGTTTTTAATAAAATTTGAATGATTTTTTAACATTTAATAATATATCAGGAAGTTAAAATTAATATTGAAAAGATGTGATTACAACTTATGAAAAACTGGCTTTGAGTAGGGAGATCTTTGCCAAGATTATTATTATGTTTCTTAATTAGTATTAATATCAAAATCAGTTATGATCATTCTTTCATAAACACTGGCTAGTAATTTATTGAGATATAATTGGTTACCTCTTGAGTTTCTGAATTAGTTTTTATATATAGATAATAACATTTAATACAGAGCTAACTGATTTATCTCAAAGATGCAAAAATTAAAAAAAACTAAAAAATTGCAAATTTCTTACCTGAAAAAGCATTTTTTGCATTTCCACATAGTCTTCTTATTCTCAGTGAAAACTTTCTTCTTTGGTATTCTTTCTTCATCGTTTTGTTCCTCCATTGATCTTTTATTGGAGTTTCTTTTAGGCTCGATAGGGTCCATATTGTCCTTAGGTAATATTCGTCTAGGCTGTTGTGCTTTCTTAAACTCTTCGTTCGATATCGGAACTAGATATTTGTTATACTTGGAATAATTCCGGCGACCTGCTTCGTCAGTCAGCAATACCCTGGCTTTTTCATGAGCTGAATCTCGCATCTGTTTTAAGCGTATATGTTTCGTTATGTCCCACCTCCAGTTGGAGCTGTAATGGCAGAGGGAACATTGAAAAGGCCTCTTATTCAAATGGCCCACGATATGCACATGAAATCTTGATGCTGTTGAAGCCCAAAATGAGCAACTAGGACATTTGAATACCTGTAATAGATTAAATTAAATTACTTGAAGAAAAAAAAATAAACATAATTAATTTAAACAAACTAAAACATATTAATTTTAATAATAAAACTTACTGAAGGAATTTGTTTGACTGTTTTACATGTCATATTCAAGGCACAGTCATTTCAATTTTTTTTATTGTTGCACGACGTTTCAATCTAAATATGTGGATCATTCATTATCAGGGCATGTTACCATAACTGAAATTGTTCAAGTACTGCTTGACCATCTAAGAGTACTTGAACACTTTCAGTTACGGTAACATGCCCTGATCATGACCAATATGCTTGGGTTGAAACGTCGGCAACAATGTTAAATGACTGCATACTGACTGTTACTATTTATCACATAAAATAAAACTTTACATTGAAGAAATATATTTAAATATATCCATGACCCAGAGGTAAAAGACACCATCTCCATTTTTTTATTAAATAATTTAGTAACTAAGAAACAAATTTTAATAACTTAAAGTTATGGAAAATTGGCTGCCATAAACAAATACAAAATTGTGTCCTTTATCTCCGGGGTACAGATATTAAACAACCATAAATGAAAACAAGTTAAAGTTTAAAGTAAATTTATTGGTAAAAGAATTAAATAAAGGAACTATTAATTTTAAAAAGAAAAACCTGAATATATGTTAATCATACTGAAAGTTGTAATCTAACACAAGATAATAGAAACTGAAGATAAATACAGGACGAATAACAATCTGTTTATTTATAATATTGTATTCCAGTTCATTAATTCAATCAAGTCAACTTACCATTATTATAAACACGTAAACAATTATAATTAATCGTCTTTTTTAACAATGGTGTTGATATGGGACGATAATGAGCTCTTTATTTATTTTGAGCTATTTAATATTCACTAATTTCTGTTTATGCAAACAACAAAGCATACAAAAGAGAGAAAAAAAGAACAAACTTTTACGATCTAATTTTAAATCTTTTCAGTAAAATATCGTTATTGTAAAAATAACAGTATTTAGATTTTTTAACATACCTTCCTTGTAGTTTCCCTCTGATAATATGGTTGTTCTTCATAACGGCCATTGGTGTTAGAAGCGTACAGCTGATTTGCTTCTATAGCTAACCTCTCCTCATGCCTCTGATGGAAATTTAATTCAAATGGCGCAGGGGCCTTAACCTCACCACTATTAGGACTAAAGTTGTTCCAGACAAATACTTTATTTTCCATAGGATGGGTCATGCCATCTTCATGGTCTTCATCATGAAGGCCTTTCATTTCAGAATCATCAAGATCTTCAGGTTCAGTTTTAATATGAGGACCTTCTAAGTTATTTGGAACAGCTGAACATGTTTGCAGATGAATCTTCAAGTCCGCTGACGTCTTACATCGATGACGACAATATTGGCATCTTGTTGAAGATAGTTCAGTCTGAAAGAAATTTCCATTGGTTTCTTCTTCACCATCGTTATGATGAGATTTCTGATGCTTCAGGTGTTCAGAAAGACATTTTGCTTCAAAACCGCAAGCAGGGCAGGTGAGATCTCTTTCCGATGCATTGGTCATCAATTTTTCTTTAAGTTTGTCAAAAAAGGATGCATTTTTCCTTTTGAATGATTCATTATGCCTTTTATCATCAAAAGGGGTTGGGGAATCAGATTTTTCGGATCCATTTAAAGAACCTCCAGACATTTCGTGTTGTTTCCCTTCATTCATTATCGAGGCAAAGTCTTTTAGAGAACTGTTCATCTCATTCGCATCATTTCCTTTTCTCTCTGAAGCCGGTTTGAGAAGTGATTGCCCCTGAATAGGTATAAGATTTGGGATAGGGCGGGCTGCTTTCTTTGCAGGCGCGAGGCTCGATGGAAAATCATTTAAACCATGAACTGCGGCCTCATGCCTCTGTACTTCTCCTAAATTACCTGAGAAGTCGCAGGTTTTGCACTTGTACTTTTGAATCTGAATGAGACCTTTGTTATTATTCTGAGTTTTGTCAATCAACATTCTACCCACTGGTACAAGAACTTGCCTCATACTAAATTTCATCATTGGTTGAGGCGGAGGAGGGGGAGATACTTCATCCAGCTGGGTTTGAAGGAAGTCACCTGGGTTCTGAAAATAATAATCAACTATTAATATTTTCATTTATGGTAAGATTTATTTTCAATGTTTCTATATCGTTAAAAAAAGTAAATACTTTTTTTATTTAAGTGAGTGCCACAAACAGGAAGAAAATTGAACTAGTATAGTACCTATAGGTAAGGGGCTACTATTCTCCAGAACCGGGTTCAAGCTAGGCTGAGACAAGAACCGGGTTCAAGCTAGGCTCAGACAAGAACCGGGTTCAAGCTAGGCTGAGACAAGAACCGGGTTCAAGCTAGGCTGAGACAATCATTATGCCAGCCATGGATTAACTCTGGGGCACACCCAGTCTCTAAACAGTGGGTACTCTTAATTAACAATTTCATTAAGGAGAAAAATTTCGCAGTTAAAAATGATCCAGTCAAATTTCCTCCTTGTACAACTGTTGACCAAGAAACACTACTTTCTTACGATGTTTTAAACCAAAGATCCTTCAAGGGTTGTAGTTCATTTTTTTTTTTTTTTAAATTATCTAAAGGTGCTAATATTATCATACTACTTACAATAAAATTAATCTTGGATAGTAAAAAGAAAGAAAATCAGTCAAAATATTTCTTTATGTAAGCCAATGCTCACAAGAGTATTTGCACGAAAAATCTAACCTCCGAAATGTGAAGTATAATTATTTTTGTATTAACCAGCTATATTTAACAACACTACTTCATTTCCCGGTTCCTCGTGACTCCCACTCTTCATTCCCATTCACAGGAGCAATCAGAACTATATTATAATACTGTTATTTATTCACATCTTTCAAAAGGATTTGGCAACTTCAATTTTTGTACAAATTACATAAGTATTTTTAGATGTGTTTAATCAAAATAACTGTTACGAAGATGGAAGGTGAAGGAAACATAGTTTTTATTATTACTTTTACAAATAAATTATTTTTTATTAGCTGAAAATTATAATTGTAAATGTTTTTTGTGTGTTTTGGAGATTTCTGAATTATTATTCATTAATAAAAATTAAGTTAAGTTTTCCGTTAGATGATCTTACATAAAAATGTTTTCCTTTCTTCCCCCATTTTATTTACAACATGTTTAAACTTGTACTACTTTCTTTACAACATCTTCTAAAGATTAAAGGAGAACAAAACGCCATTATATAACATAGATTAAGAATGAATAAGCAAAAATTTAGATGACAAAATTGTATTTTAGGAGAAAAAGATAGATCTATCTATTTTACCACCATCAGGAACCTAGACGGTGAACGTTTCAGTCATATTAACATCAACATTATGGAAAGTTGTTGGAGAAAAATTTCCAATGTAGCTAACTCAAAAAATAAGGTACTATACTTGTTGCTCAATACCCAAGGGCTTAAATAGTTTGTTGTATAAAGGAAAAGAATTTATTCCTCGAAGTCTGTCTTGTTAGAATTAGATTCTTAGAATCATTACTAAGTTCACCATAATAGTTGACTATTAAAAAAATTCTAGATACAGAGGAAACAAAAATCAGAAGATGCTTTTAAAGATAACCATTTTGATAGTCATATTAAAGGCAAGAGTTTGGAAATACAAACATTGATTTCGAACAGATTTTTTGATGTTCCTGAAGCGACTTCCCAAATCACCATATAGGTAAAAACTAGATTCACAAATTCAAAATGATCCTAGAATCAATATCAAATGGGCATTTTGTTGAAGTTGAGAAGCTTAAATTTATACCTATGAACATGGCTAAACCATATTTACAGCTAACATTTGGTCAAATAAATCCAATGACAATTTCTCAACCCAAAATTTTAATGATTGATAGCTATTGTGCTAAGAATGTAATAAATAGGAGATCTTCCAAAAAAGTCTGAAATAACTACTCTCGGCATGCAATATACCATTAAAACACCATTTTGTTAGTTCTTATTTGGATTTATTTTCTAAGAATTTGGGAGCGCAGTAACAGATGATCATGGAGAAAGATATTGCATCAATTAAAAAAAGGGATAGTATAAAATAGAGGTAAAACATGCTGGCTAACAATTAACAAAAAATTGTAATGCAAGAAACCATGGTTGGGACTTGCAAGATGAAAATTATAAGCAAAACTTATACCATTAAAATCCATGAGGAGTTCAGTACTTTGCAAGGAAACACTGTTTTAAGACCAACAGTTGTACTTGGAAATGATAGGGGGGGGGGATCACGTTCAAACATCAGTTGTTTTTTCAACTACACAGAGATTTTATCAGGTTAAGTTTAGGCCACGGCATACTATAATTAGTTATATGTGATTCACAGGTACTAATTAAATTTTTTTTAAATATATGAACTAAACACTAAGAACAAAATTCATTTTATAACTGCTCATTTATCTAGTTATCGATGGAAAGTTCTACTTGCATAAAATTTAGAAATGGTAGCAACTGAAGTAATTATATTCATCCAAAATTATGAAGACATAAATTTCTCTAGTTACTAAACAGTAGTTACCTAGTTGTAGTATTCATTCAATTAACTGTGATTTTAAATGTAGAATTTGTTAAAGAGCGTATCCAGCTCAAAACACAAAAACCATATTATTTTCAAACAATACTTTCTTAGTAATATATTTCATTATATTTTTTTTCACACCAAAAGAGGCAGTTGATTCACATTGCCCCTCCCTCTAGCTACACCATTGAATATATTTCTTTATATATATATATATATATATATATATATATATATATATATATATATATATATTTTGTACAAGTAGATCGCACAAAAAAATAATATAAAATTTAGACTTATGAAAACTTCTGCATGAGCAGATGTTTTAATATTTTTCTGCTTATGCAAAATTTAAGAGTCCGTAGTAAATATATATGTCTGTATCACCAATTAAGAAAGATGGCACTAAATGTTTGTTGATGATTTGAATATTAAGCCTTAAAACATGAATGACTTTAATGCTTCTATGCTATATTTATACAATTGAAACCTTGATAAATATTGTTGTGATAGTGTCAATTCCATTCATTAACATAAGGATAACTTAACTCATAAAAAATTGTGAACGCTATAAATTATACTACAAAGTAAAAATAAGTTGTTGAAATAAAAATTTAAAAAAAGTTAACTAAATACAAGCAATAGTTATATTACTTAAAACATATCTAATGTTTGTTTTTTTTTTGTTTTTTTTTATAGAAAAGCCTGCAAATAGTTTCATGTATTGAAACCATATTTCTTAACATCTATAACCTTATCATGATTACAACTTTCATCGATTTATTAATATATCAAGTTCATCAAAATAATAAAGAATTTACGAATGGACAACTTAAAGAAAAGACTTGACTAATGATATTTGTTATATGCAAAGTTTTCCAATTTTACAACAGTTACAAATCCTAATACTTATCTATTAAAAAATTATAACCTCTAGACTATTTTGAGATAGTTAAGATAATGTTAATTTACAAAGAATAAAATAAGTAAATTAATACCTGTTCTATTTGATCTAAGGATCCTTCTCTCTCAAGCTTCAATAGGTCTAGTTCTTCTTGGTCAATACCATCCTCTTCAGTAATCATACCCATAGTATCAGATGCTCCAACCCGTAGTCTCCTTCGATTGCCAGCTACATGGCCAACAGGTGGAACATGATGATTCATTTCGTGAACAGTGAGACTCTGTTTAATGTCAGCAGCAAAGTTGCACATAACACATTTGAATGCTCCATCACCTTGATGATTTTTATTATGTCGGTCCAAATTCCATTTATAAGGAGTTTTGAAATCACACATATCACATTTAATCATAGGCATCGAATGATACTTCACATGCTTTGTATACCTCGCTTTCATATGGGTCATATAATTGCACTTTCCACAACGAAAAAACTTTTTTTTTAAATGGACTACACGTTCATGTCTAGCAACTAATGTCTGGCTCTTACTTGTCATATCACACACGGAACATTTATATATTTGAGTTCCATCAGCAGCAAACATTGGTTCTGATTTTTCTTCACCTTCTCCATCATTATCCTCAGGATCACATTTAATTTGAGGAGACTGAGACTTACGACGGACTTTCTCAGCTCTTGGTTTAACTATCCTGTTCTTTGCTGACTTTTTCTTGATTATATGAACCATGTGAATATGTCTCTGGAGTTTTTGGCTATGCTTTGAAGCGTAAAGGCAATGCGGACATTCAAATATCTTAATTTTTTCTTTATGCACTTGCTTTTGATGGTAAAGATAGAAACGTGGATTTTGAGTGTAGTAATCACAAGAAGCGCAAGAATAATTCCGTTTGATTTTGCACTGAGGAAGTTCTGATGGCTCTTCTGTACCACTGGCACCTTCTTGACTAGAATCATCCCTCTCTTCACCATCATCACTGGCCCCAAATACAGCATCAACACTTTTCACAAGTACATTTTCACCATCACGGCTTACCATTGAAGGAGCAGCCATTATACTGAAAAAAAAAGAAAAAAAAAAGAATTAGCACACATTGAGTGATAAAACAAAAAAAAAAAAAAAAAACGTAAAGGAAATGATAAAATATTTAAAATCGAATTGTAAAGATTACAATATCAGTACATTGGATTCATTATGACAGAATTTCCTTCTTTTTTTTTAAAAAAAGTATGAATTTACCAGAAGTTACTTTCTAGGTTAGAACAGCTAAGAATATTTAATAGAAATACACATGTTCAAAGAATTGATCTGTCTTTTGATTCAGGAAGAGAGGTAACAATAAAAAAGAACACTATGATTTAAACTTATCGAGATTAAAAATTAAACCTTAGCTTAATAATACGGTAAACAAAAGAATTTAAAAGTAATCCCTGTCAAAAGAAAACCATTAAAGAAAAAACAACTGGAGAAGCATTAGAAGCCACGAGACCAACAGAGTCCAGCGCCCCTAGTTCCTCCGCATCGATCTAATTTCGCTTCGTGTCCCCTGCAAGGAGCGCCGCCGCCTTCCTTCGTCCGAAGTATAAAGATACGAAACTCCGGTGCGGTAGGAAGTAGAAACGTTTAAAGATTCTTTATTGCAATCTTAATAAAAAATGTAACAAAGAAAGATGAAGGAAAAGTTGATAGAGAGTTGCTTGTAAGAGTTACCAATTCTAGTGACCCTCCGAGGTAGGGGCGACCTCCAGCAGGCATGATGAAGGAGGACGGGCAACGACTGGTTAGGGATGTTACCCCCTCCACCCGCCGCGTGCGCACCCCTGCTCTTCTTCCTCTTCTGCCCTCTTCGGCTCAATCGATTCAGTCCACTCTTCGCAAAGAATATTTCTTTGAACTTGTGTTATATTCCATCAATTCTCAATGAATTGATAAAACTTTCAATACAAGATTCGATGAGACAGTTTTTCCAACAACTAACCCCTTCGGGGAACTCTGACGAATATACCAACTAAACTATTCAAAAGCAGAAGTAGCCAATGCAGTTTTCCTAACAAATATCAATTACTTTTGAACACAACCTGAGACATATCGATCGAATCTCTAAAGGAATTAAATCTAAATGGTAATAATAGTTTAAACTGTCGACGGGATTATGTAAATATTTTTACAAGGACATCATGATCTAGAACTATATTATGAAGATCTACACTGGGCCCAGCGTTTGGAAGCGCTAAAAATGTAGTGTTTTTTGCAATGACATAACATAAAAGTGTTTTTAAACATTTCACAAAATATGGGACAAACAAATATATAAACGGTTATTTCACTATGTTATTATTTTTGTTTCTTGTTTTTGATATTTTTCATCTGATTTCGGTATCAACAGAAATGAAATAAATAGTTTGGTTCAGCAATAATGTCGCTGTTAAATTATATAATTGTATTTCCCATAGTTGATGAAATATCTAAACCCACTTTCACATAATATGAGATAGCATGTGTCCAACTTTATAATAGCGACAATGAATCCTGACGCCACGGTTGCCATGGATTCCTTATCACATAAAAATTAAAATATCTACTATACGATATTTCTCAAAGGTTTATTACTTTTTTTCGGTACCCCATATTCGTAAATTTTTCATAAAACTCAATGATTGAGCCATAATCTTGAAGATTTCCTTCTCCTTCAGGTGAAAAAATAGTCATATCTCCCAGAATTTCAAATAAAAAAGTAAAAGAAGAAAAATAAACATTCTTTGTGCTTAACTCAAAAAGTGTGCTATTTATGGCGGATTGCAACCATGATTGTTTAAAAGCTTGTTAAATTCTCTTCTGCCAATCGGACTATTATTAGCAAAGATACAGTCTATAGTAATTTGTACACATGTTTTGGTTTATTGCTATGAATGAACTTTATTGTAAATCGACCGAAAAAAAAAAAAATTCTCCATCTCATAATACATTACATTAACTAATAACCATCTTATTTTGTCGTTTGTCCACTAACCTATATGATACTATGCGAATTATTCGCACGAGCCAACTGGTCAACCATAAATTGTATACTTTTTGAGTTAAACTCTTGAGTTTTGAGTATATACTTTTTTAGGTAAAAAAAACTTAAAATAAAATGAAGTAGATAAGTGAACATTAAAGTAAAATAAAGTAAGTAGAATAATGACAATAACAAGAACTAAGAAATAAATAATAATAACGGTTACAAAGTGTGGACTAAAGAAGTAAACATAATCAAAATAAGACAACAAAAGATTACCATTTTAGTACTTATGTTATCTTATTATCTATGTTATTGTCATTATTATACCTACTTTATTTTACTTTAATGTTTACATATCTACTTCATTTTATTTTAAGTTTTTTTTAACCTACATTGTTTATGTTTCTCACATAATTGTTATCTGGTTCTTTTCTCAGCCCTGACAAAGGCATGAACTTTGAGTCGAAACGTCGGCAAATGTTAAAATAAATATTATTATTTATTTTTGCCATTTTTATTTTTGACTGATCACACAACTATCCTTCTCTTCATTTCAATTTTTATGTGATTAGGCATCTATGGCAACCGTGGCATCAAGATTCACTATTATAAGAATACAGCAGGGTCCATGGGTTATTTCGAAAACGGTACATTTTAAGGTTTTTGAAACAGAGTTGTTTAAATCTACACAGGGCATGATGTCTGCGTCGAAATATTTAAAAGGCAATAAATCCCGTCCCAACTTTTCTACTTTTGAAAACCTACTGTTTCGAAACCTCTTAATTATTTCAATGACTTTTATTGCAATTGTAATTGTATTTTATTATTGAAGTAAAGTTTTAAATTATAACAAGTAACTTCTTCGTGATAATCTATTTCGTTTGATACAAATTCATTAAAATTTATTGCTCCTTATATATATTGTGTAGATAGTTTTTATTTTAATAATAAACTTCGGAAAAAAAAATCTATATTATAACCTTATAGCTCAGTTGGTACGTTTGTATGAGCTCCTAAAGGGGTTACTTATTGGAAAAGCTGTAGTCGAATCATTTAATAAAAGTTTTATTAATTCATTTCATGGCATAGAACTGTAGTTCAAATAAATATTCTTTGTTAAGAATAGACAGAATCTATTTCAGATTTTTTTTTTTTTTTTAATTTTAAATTAAATTATTTCTTAATATAACGTTTATAGTTTTCCAAGTATTGACAACGTAAAGTCATCACATGTGATCATGAAATAACACATGGTATAAATCTAACAAGAAATCGAGAATATTTACATTTTTTTCCCATTATTTTTGGCTAAAATTAATTCAAAACAATTACGGGATATCACTGATCAATTTGAAAAATCAAACTTAAAAATTGGCCGATCCGTTCAATCAATACATACTTACACACCATTAAACGGGCAGACTAAATACATTTAATACAATAATTTATCAATATTCTGACCTCAAATCGTTCCAAAACACTCACTGAATGATTTGTAACATCAAACTTAAAAATAAGTGGAGCCGTACTATTAAAAAAATCGACATATTCTCATAAACGTTTATACTTAACACCATATTGTGGCTTCAACTAAGTCATCGGGCTAATCAAACTAAACAATAGTATAATTTTAATTGTTAAAATTCTATAAGCAAATTATCACTTAACTTCGTCAATAATATTTTTAAAATATCTTAAAAGTATTTAAGAATTTAAATCGTAAACTTACATCACTGAAGAAGTGAACACAGCTGAAGAGGTAGATGGGCGTTTTCTAAAACAAAACTTATTTGTACCCGCTTTCTTAAGAATGTTCAGTGAGTAAAGTAAATGAAGTTGATTTAAACCAGTTCAGAAATATTTAGTTACGTATCTAACCATATCCTTATTTGAAATATAAACACTTATTTCCACAAATATTTGGACGAATTACAGAATACACCATCAAACAATTCTTCAGGAATGAATGAATAACCAACAGCTGATGGAGTATCACTTAAAAAAAGTTAAAAAGTTTAACTTCTTGAAGTCTTGAAGATACAATTCTATTTTAAAAAAAAAAACGAACTCCAATAACTTCTGTCACAATTAGATTCACATGTTTTACAAATGTGGAATAAATAAAAAATGTTCACATCTTCAACGCGAAGGTGAACGGCAATATCCTAGTCTTGTCCTTGTTGCAATTCCATCATGTCGGAAAATGGATAAAATATAAAAAAATGTAACCTCATGAACTGTAATTATTGTATAGAAATTCAATTTTTTTATATGCAATGAAACAATCTGAGTTCCTCCTGAATTGTTTAAAAAAACCTTGCGAATTATAATACAATGGTGTATTATTTCTAAATAGTTCAAATTAAAATACTGGTATATCACCTTGCACGACTTTCCTTACAGCTTTGGATGCTAAATCCAATACAAAAACAATTAGTTGTATTATCGCTGATCATTATCTTTCAAATGAGTACCTGGAAAGTTGCAGGACAATTATTATTATAGGGTGATTATTTCTTTAGTGGGCGGGTATCTTAGGGAAAAGACTCGCTTAAAAAACATAGATACAAAGTCAAACACGCTCTCTCAATACGAATAACGCTCTATTTCTAATATTTTTTCTTTTGCTTCATGGAGAATTTAATTATCTTTTGGGTCTCATGAATCACGTCCACTAGATGCGTTTTGGCGCTACAGTCTATAGAAGAGGTCTCCAAATTTTTGGCCCACGGCTCACACTTTGATACCTCCACTAACAGCCGCGGGCCGCATTGAGACCTCCATTAAGTACCGTTGGTCATGGGTTGTGGTAAAAATTAAAAAAAACTTCTATAAATGATACTTTTTTTATTATTATTTCTTAATGATATTTACAACTATATTGAATAAATACATCTAGTAAATTTGAACATAATCGATATAGACATGAAAACACTTGCTGAGTAACTACCCAATGGTAGCACTCTAATGATATGTCTACATTAGGAGATCACGGGGCCATCTTATTTTCAGACGCCTCGGAGGGTTATCAGGAATTGAAGAGGAAGCAAGGTTAA